CATCGCGTTTCTCGCGGTAGAAGTCGGCAACGGCCCGTGTATGGGCGAAGAAATTGCTGTAGCCCCATTCTTCAACCAGTGCAAGGGTGATGGCCTGAATGAGTGATGAGGCTTGCAGGTTGGCCGTCGCAGTCTGATTGAATGTAAGATACACAGCACAGGCGGATATATCTTCTTGCACGTACATGTAAGTCCATGGAATCAATAATAGGCTTCGGGCCCGATGCAAAGCCCATGCGCATGCCTGCGGAGAGAATCTTGGAGAAGCTATCGAACCGGATAACCCGACCGACCTCGGGCTCGTCAAGTTCCAGCTGGAAGTACGACAGCGGCCGAGCTGCTTTTCCAAAGTACAGGTAGAAGTAGGGATCGTCTGGGTAAAGGGACGATTCAATCTACTCCGCCAAGAACAGGAAATGTGGCCCACCTTCGAGAATCAAAAAATTGTGTTCGCGTGCAAGTTGCAACACTTCTTTGCGACGCTTAAGAGTCGCAGTCATACCGGTAGGGTTGCAGCCATACTGCATTATGGTTATTTTGGTCCACAGATAGAATAGATAGAACTTACGGGCACGGTGTATAAGGTCCTCGGCTTCGGCTTTCCGACAGGCCAATTCTCCAAAATATCGCGCAACAAATGAGAACATATCCCATTCGCGTCCGTTTCCACCTCTGAAATATATTGAGCACGAGAAGATGAACACCAGAATACGACCAACCGATCTGCTCGCAGTGCAGAGCTTTAAACATTGGGATGACACCACTGAATAGATGGCAATCAGCAAAATGCCGACTTCTCTTCAGACTATGTTTAACTCACGCATACACTGGAGACTCCACGAGAACAGCATCTCCAGGGTTCACTAAAGTGTTGACCGCCTGCGGAAACATGAGAACCATCATCCATTTTTAAAGAGCTCTTGACCTTATAAATCAAGTCCTGCGAACCACAGCCCATGGTTAAACTCCATCCCTCGCCTGATTTCCGGCCATGAGAGAGCGCTTGCAATCCTATGAACCACTTCAGGAGACGAGGAAGACCGCCTGTGGGACCGTATTGCAGGCCAGCCGAAAGATCCTTTCCAGATAGCGAGATTGACTGTTCCTGCGATGGGTCCGTAGGGGAGGCAATATTGAAAGACAATGATTTAAAGGGAAACATAGCATCGTTGGGTTTTCCGGCTAGAAATGATATCACACCTGGCTTATTTTCCAATGGGAACAGCCCACGAACTGAAGTGGTATTGTTAAAACATCACTGTCGATGACTCGTGAGATCAGAAACGTACTAGGACTAGGCCTCCGTTCTTTGGCAGCATCGGACAAAAACTCCGTGTAGAAGTCTGCTGGAAGGGATTTGACGACCTTCCCGACAGTATACCCGTTAGTTTCAACGGGAGTGCTGACACCAGAAGCTGAGACGATGATTCCATCGGAGTGTGTGGCCATTTGAGGAGCTGGTTAATGCTTAATAGTCCTGCAGAGATAAAACGAAAAGAGATAGATACAAAATAAAATAAAATCGCGTCACAGTGAGGGTGAACATGATGGCACACATATACCCACCTTTTATAATCAAGATAGCAGTGAACTTTTACTGAAGCTTGAACGAATATGTGATGATGAGCACCGGATTGCAGTGTGTTGTGAAGCTGCTAGCAAGGCACTGATCGAGTCATCTCGCGTATTACTCGCTCCTGCTGATCTGATACATTGCGAGTTACATACTTATCAGTATGTAAAAGGGCTGCCGCGGGAAGGCTGCTCTATACCTATCGCGGAGCAGATGATGGGAAAAGGAGGACCCGATTATCGCAAACGCCAAATGCTAATACGTACTTACTCCAAACCAGATATTTTTAGACGTTGTGGGGCACAGCTTCAAGTTGTTATGTTTAAGGACACGATATAGATTTCGTGTCATCCTTGCCACCAGTAACGTATAGCAAGCTACCTAATTCTATGCTGCCTCTTGGAAGGGAAGCAAAAAAGAGTATAAAAATCACAGATGCAGTGGAAATACATAGGTCTAGAAGAAGAAGTGGATGTGAGTTTAAGTCAGGAATGAGTGGAAACTGTAGGCGGCCGTTCGCCGCTATGGTGCAGAGAGAGTATGAGAAGTCGTCTAGGTGACAGTCCGAGAGATATCATAATGTGTTGAAAGTGCTGTACAAAAAACTGCCTGCCCCAACCTCAGTGCGCGTCATCTGAGAAGTCAGAAAGAGGGACGGGGGAGGTAGCTGTGAGGGAAACAGATGGACGTCGCCGCTTTACTTCAATAGGAACCGTCTCTTCATCACTCTCGTCCTCATCTACCTCTTCATACATGAGGCTAGTGCTAGCCTGTAAAGCCTCCGACTCCGCTTGGCGATCCCTGTGAGTATCGCGAAAGAAACTGGAGTCGTCGTCGAGGTCGTCGTAGTCATCCTCGCTCGTCGCGCTAGATTCCGATTCGTATGCGACTTGCTGCAAGGGACTGGGGCTTTGAGTAGCTGAGCGAATAGGGAGATGCCGACCGTGCCCGGAGTCGTACAAGGACGGATCGGGAACGGCTGAAGTCGGGGGAGTAATGTAGATACGTTCAGGTTGTGGGTGTCGTAACACGACGGGAGAATGACAGATTGATTGATTGAGGCCTAAAGGTAAGTTTGACGAAATGAGGCTGCTCGGGTCATTGCATACGCCACCAGCGCCCAAGAACATCGCATCATCCGGAAGGGGAGTGTTGGCATTGTCTCTACCATGGCTGGTATGACCTAGAGAGGATGATGCACTAGGTCGACTTTGATCAAGTGGAAGAAGGGCCTTGAACTCTCTCTGTCGTGAAGGAGGGCGACTGACACGGGAGTCACGCGCCCTGCTGTTGGATGCATTCCGGGCCCACCTCTCGATTGATTCTTCTCTCCTTCCCATATTTGGCGTTGAGTCGTTACGCACAATGACAGAGCGCGCACCACCACGACGCTTCCCCTCATCGAATTCTGAACTTGACATTCGCGCACTAGCACTTTTGTGCCGCTCTACCGCAATTGTAGGCGAGGAACACACACCAAAGTCGTCGTCTTCATCATGGTGTGATGACGTGGCACGCGAAGGACGAACGCCCTTGAGTAATGAGGATATGCGACGTGTGAGGCGCTTTGGCCAGCCCCAGCTGAAGCGGACGGTAGTCATCGCAGTGCGGGTGTCAGACTCCGTGACCATCACCATGTCAATCCTGGAGGGTGATGTTTGGCGAAGCCATTCTTGGTGATGTGGGATATCCCGCAGGAACCAATCAAACCGCTACGTGTGAAATGGGAGATATGGGAGCCAAAACATGCAGAATGAAATTGACGAACCTTTGCTTGATCAAGAGTCATGCGCTTGTTTGGATCTTTTTCAAGCAGTTTGTCGAGAAGATTCATGACAACAAATCCCTCGGACTTTTTATCCTTAGGTTTTCGCCCGCCAGTTGGAAGGCAATCGTAACCCATAGTGTCTTCTGGCTCCCAGTCATTTTTGCATATGATATTGTAGAGCATATACTCGCTCGAATCTGGGGCTCTGAACGGGATTTTGCCGAAAAGAAGGCAGTACAAGGTGACACCAAGAGCCCATACATCAATGGCTTTCGTAATCTGCAGCCGGTGGGACGTGTTCGGGCGGACAGTGGAAGAGGAACCTATATGTGGTGCGGACCTCAAGGATGGCAGTGTGGTCGAGGTGGCAGAAGCGGATATAGATGGTGAAGGATCACCATTATACTCAGCGATGACTTCAGGGGCAAGAAATGGTGGGGTTCCAGCGCGCTTGGAAAGGTCCGAATCATCCAGCAAAATGGGGTCATTAGCGTCATCTAGGGCATTTCCACGCCCTGCAGCCGCGAGGCGCTGCGCGTACGAGAAATGCGAGACCCCAAAATCACTGATCTTGACCATCTGGCGATCCGCAGTCCAGAGAAGGTTAGCGGGCTTTATGTCACGGTGAATAATCCCCTGGTAATGGACTGTGTGTTGAGAAGGCAAGGAATTGTCCGGATTAGCCTGTGGTGATGAGAATGCTATTAAGCTTACGATATTCGAGGCCGAGGATAACATCGCGGCATATTCGTCGACATTGGTCAACTTGCAGCACAGGCTCATTCTGCTCGTTGCGCCACTTGATTTCTCCGCCGCTTAGATATTCCATGACTAGAAGTGAGGCTGTGAGTACATGGCTTCCTGACATAAGTAAACCTTCCTATCATACTGTTTCCTAGACTGCAGCCACAAGGTCATAATTTCTCAGCTGAGACACTCACCCATGGCCTGTAGTCAGGAAGTAGATAGGCGGCACGATTCTCCGATTCCACGGAAAATAGCGAGACTGAATGCTTACCCATGTATATCCGATCATTCAGCTTGTCGTCGATAACCTCCAACAAGCGAACGACATGCCCATGACGACATTTTTTCATTATTGCAATCTCTTTCCGTATTTTATGCTCAAGGCTTCCAAGTTTTTCTGTAAGTGGAGTGTGAGACGACGCAGGAATGTTTCGCCTGCGGAGCATGTTCATCTTCTCGGCGCGTGGGTTATTACGTTTGACAGCCTTTATGGCCTGATGGACGCCATGTTAACAAGATGGCACCAAATAAGTGGGCAAAGAATGACAACTAACCAACTCGCGACGATTATCCGACAAGTCCCAACACACCCATACTTCGCCATGCTGACCCTTTCCGACTCGGTGTCCGCGCAAATACTGGTTCACGATAGGTCTGCGGTCATCATTATACCTGTAGCGTAGTTCAGCTGTCATCCGAACGCTGCCTGGCGGATCGAATGGGAGTCCTGAGGGGTCTTCTACAGCATGCACACTACTTGCTGAGTCTATGTCGGAAGACATTTTGTTTGAGGACTCATGAAGTCCTTTGCAAGGAAATAATCTGCGAATCAATGAAAGGGAAATGTTTGTTGAATAGACTGGAAGACTGTGGAAGACGAGGAAAGGGAAAGGAGATCAAACAGCGACGCTTCAAAGAAACTGCAATCTAAAGCAGCGTATAACGACCAAATTTGGGATACGGCTGACCCCAGACACTCCATAATGCAACAGCCTTATTAGATTACAGATTTCACGGACTACGTCTATCACAAATTTGGATGGTAAACGTTTTAATCAAGATATTAATGCAGCCCTGCCATCAAGGTACACTCTCCATGTAGCGTCCTTTTGCCGACCGCTTATCGTATCTTTAACGAGGGCAAGCACATTTATCCTCCTCTTTGACGTCTTTCATAACCTGTACAAGACAAATATGTCAGTACAGGGTGCCACGGGTAGCAGAAGTTTTAAATTGGACCCTCCCTGCACTCCCAAGGGAACCCTCGAAGTTCAGGCAGAGAGGCCGTCATGGGGTGTCTTCGAAATCAAACGACAACGTGGAAATATCCCTCCCCCTCCTACAGATCATATTATCCTTTTGTCATTTTAATATCCAACGCCCGAATTTTACGCCGAGGCAGTCTATCAGTTAAGAAAAGCTCCTCACCTGTTCGACATGACGTCCGCACCCCTGTTTGAAAGGACACGTCAGCTGGATCTCAGCCTATCACTGCAAGAGAGGGTATGTGTAAATAGACAAAGTTCGCGGGTCGGGCCTGCGTTCTCTTAATCTCATGATACTTCCGCCCTCAGCGTCCGCGGAAGCACTATGAACCCTCAGCCAATCACCATGCGCATCGCTACATCGTGCGTGCATGTGCTGCCGCCTCCAACCGGGATAGTACGATGGATTACACAACATCACCAAGGAGACAATTGCTTACCTTCCAGCTAGTTTTACCGCATTTGTCACATTTGACTGCATAGCACATGTCGACGAGGACTACGGACGCTTCTTCATGACCCATTGTTATCTCGGTTGTTTACTGAGGAGGTAGGTTAAGGTAATAAAGTCACTGGTAGACGTGTGATAGACAAGTGACACTGGCGTGAGTTACATCATGATGTCGGTCAATCCCTCTTACCTTTGATCTGACAGCAGAAGATGCCGCACGCCGTGTGGCGAAGCAGTGGCAGAAGTGTGAGAGTGATTCGCGGGAGCGTCTTGCGACTCTTATCGGGTCTTCATCTTTATACTCCCTCCTCAGACATATTTGGCCATCTACGCCAAATCTACGCTCACATAAGCCAAGATAGGCAAGGAAACCTCGAGACTGAGCACGAGGCGTCCTCCCCATGCCAGATTGATATTATCCTCCACTAAGATCTAAACCTCAGGTGAACTCAAGGGAAAACAACATAACGCGGGACGTAAAATTAAACGCGTCGCTTTCGCTGGGATTTGTTGACTTTAATGGCCATTGGCTGGTCTGGATTTCCGCATTACTGCAGATTACTGCCGGGTGCCCCATATCCCCCAAGAAGGTCGACATATTAATCTCACTCAGGGTCGCACTTATCGGCTGGACCTGGAACCGCCGATATGAACCGCACGCGAATGATCTGAGCGACCGGTTTTCCTCGTACGTACCCGCCTGCTAGCACATCACTGTTAGCTAAAGTAAGTATGACACCCCCATTGAATTATCTATCAATACACAGCCGGATCTTTGCGGTTGTTTGCCTTAGCACGCCGCATAACTAAGTGGTGTCGAGTCGGGTTACAGCCGTTTGCACAACGCCAGGCTAATCCCAAAAAAGAAAACATAAGTCGGCAAGAAGTCATACCAACAAACCTTCAACTTCGGACAATCGTGTTCCTAGCATGGGACGTTAATTACACACCCTAGAAATTCGTGGTATCTGACCAAACATTGTATTAATTCAAATGACGTTGTCCTGTTTTATCTTTGACGATTGGCCTAGTGTTCTGCAAATGGCTGCTCCATCCTCCAATGCATCTGATCACCACCCCAGTATTAACAGGGTCGTAGTAGGGGCAATTCCCTGCCATTCAGCACGTCCTCCCCGGCTGTTAATGCCGCCGACTAGTACTACCCCTCAATGCGAGGGGCTCAATCTCAGCGGCATATGTATTTGTTCCCAGTGGTTGACGGCGTTCGTTCGAAATACACACGTCGTGGTTTGAAGGCTTTAATTGCGCTACGATACGACCATGACTTGCATGCAGAGCCCAGGTAAGGAAGAATGATTTTTCCGCGGTTTTTCCGGATCAACATAACCAAATTGTGATTGATGTCCTCAGTAGCACAAGGCCTGGGTAGTGCTATTTATTTATTGCCCGGGGGATGCTGAGCATTCTTACAGAAAAAGCTTCGAGATACGTACTAATAATCTCCCAACCACTGTGAATCGTGACTCCCCGTCAGGCCATACAGTTCACTCAAGGGACGTCGGCAACAATTGCCCAGTTGCGTGTACAGGTCAGTAAATTTAATTGCTCCTCGGAGAACCACCTACATGGAGCTTAGCTAGACTAGTCAAAATTCACTTACTAACAACAGATACCAATACAGGTGACACACCAAGCTCTTCACACAAACCTCTGTCCTGCAACGTCGAAAAAAAGTATTGCTATTGTAGTAATCATACAATACGAAATGAATGAGGCGATGTGAGAGATATACTATTATATTGTCTCCCACGAAGGAGCATGTATACATCGCAAGAAAAGATGTTCACCGTCTTTCCTTGACGAAGAAATGCAACATGAGGAAGCTCGCGGTTGTAAATACCACGAAGAAGATACCAAGCAGGGATATGTTCGGCCACCAAAATGACTACGATCAGAACATTAGCGCACGATTTACGACGGCGTAGGCATTTAATACCCACCTGAGCTTTAAGACCAAATATCGAAAGAATGGTAGCTGCGGGAACGTCCAACTCAACACCATACTGAAGCGAACACGTTAGATAACAAACAAAGATTGGTCATCGACATTACCTTAATCTCCTTTAGTTGTAGATACCTCAGTTCATTCACAGCAAGCGCCTCGAAAGCAGCATGGAAGAATGAAACGGTATGCAACCACTGCAAGGCGGGTGTGACAGTGTCCCTGTTCATCAGGAGGCCTGTGAAGAGGAGGCTGTGGTGATCATCAATCAAACGCTGTCAGCATTTAGATATGTAGGATGACTCACTTGAAAAGCATGACCAAGGTGCCAACTAAGCTCGCCACGCTGGAACTGGCAAATGCTATCGACAATAGAAGGATAACACTTGCTGTTGTCAAATTGAACAGCACGAGCGTCAACATGAACTTCCAAAAAGCCGGAACTGTGGGTACGAGACCAACTAGGCCGTAAACAATGCCAGCAAAGACAATTGGAGGCACCAAGCGGAGTGGCAGGATATCAAATAAAACCTGGCCAAGGGTCAAATTATAAAGTAATACAAAACGAATTGAATGATTTTACCTTCGAAGAGAAGTAAGTGAAGGTCGAATAGTAGCCGTTTGCTCTGTGATATAGAATGAATGTGGGAAACGTATTTTGACAGAGCTCGCTACCTTTCACGCATGAAGAGGACTCGCTCGTTCGCGAATAATCCAAGACTAGATAAGCACGAGAAGCCGAAGAGCGCCAATGTGAAGAAGAAAATGCCTGAACCCTATCAGTCAAATAAATAAATAAACTATCACAGGACTACTCACCAAGCCGGTTCTGGAAGCCTGCGATGTCGTTGCTGACGTTATGAAAAAAGAGGCCACATATCACTAAGAAAAGGTATATGAATACATGAAACCACAAGAAAAAGCGATGGCTCACAAGCCAGCACGACGGAGGATAGATAATGAGCTGCCAGTAATGCCGGATCACGGTAGAGATTCTGAAATGCCCGACCACTCAAAATCGTGAACTGCGTTCCCCAACTAGCTCTTTTCCGACCCCGCAGTAAAGAGTTTTCAACTACAACATCTCGCAGTTCACCATCTGCATGTGACGCATCGGCTCCACGCTGTGCAGTAGCAACCTCCTCTGTCTCGGCCTTGATCGACTGCGCAACTTCACTCGTAGAGTACGCCTCGACAAGCTGCGTAAGTTTGGGAGTAAGCGTGCTGTTACCAGATTGTGAGCTTCGGACAGCTTCCAGAAGCTGCGAAGTCTTGCGTTTGATTGAGGATGTGAAAGAGACACGACGGGTTCGAAGCTCAGTTTCTTCCTCGACCGTAGCGGAAGAGCGACCATGTGATCGTACAGACGACGCGCCAACGGCACGCTCCTCATCTAAAAGGTTGTCACCAGATGTCGATGATACTGCATCATTGGAAGGAGAATCCGGACTTCGTGGTTCAAGTCCAGCATGCACTGTTAGGTCGACTATAGCAGAAGTCAGTCGCGTAATACCGTAGAATCATAACACTACTTACTGAGATAATCCGCGATATTAAAGCCTGGTGGACATGGCTGGTCGATGCTAGCGAAGTATTCTTGGCATTTGGCGAATTCTCCGGAATACACCATTTTCCCCTGAGCGAGAAGGACAAGATGATCAAATAAGGCGACAATATTACTGCGAGGCTGGTGAATAGTGAAGACAACGGTCCGATTGTAATCGCGTGCAAGGGTCACCAGGCTCTCGACAACATTAAAGGCATTATAAGAGTCCAATCCTGCATAATATCAGCGTGTTATTGGCATTCGTCAAAGCACAACCCTACCGCTTGTAGGTTCATCTAGGAACAATATCGAAGGGCTAGTGACCAATTCACAAGCTATCGAGACGCGTCTCTTTTCGCCTCCAGATATTGAGCGGCGTCCTGCAAAACATTAGTATGCGCCCTTAACCTGAGCAGACACCAAGCGTACCAGAGTCACCAATTCTCGAGTCCTTGATACCCAGGATGCCAAGTTCGTTCATTGTCTCAAGTGTCCTGTACTTCTTTGCCTCTAAGCTCATCTCTCGCGGGAGCCGTAATAGCGCAGAATACAGCACAGTCTCATACACCGTCAATGTGCTCATTAATGTATCCTCCTGATCCACAAAGCCCACCACCTTTTTGAACTCCGTGTCCGCGACCTCTCGCCCGTTGACGAGTGTCGTGCCGCTGACTTGGCCCATCTTACGCTTGCGAGCGAGGATATCGAGGAAGGTAGATTTACCCGCGCCGGATGCACCCATGATCGCCATAACTTGACCCGGCTTAACGGCCCCAGAAATTTTGTCAAGGATCATGCGGTTGCCAAGGGAGTAAGATATATTTGAAAAATGGAGGGATGCAGGGACATGGTCTGTCATGAGCTTTGAAGCTTCATTTTCCGGCAGCCTGATTTTGCCGAAGTCACCACCGCTGCGCGATCGACCGACGTACCAAAGGATTGCGACAGTCAGGACAACAATCAAACCTGCACCGGCAGAGCTCAGAGCAATCCATTTTGTGTTGTCGGGTTTGGGTATGGGCTATGAGGTTGTGAGGACACGAACACGTTAACTCAATCACTCTACGCACATGGAACCCAGGAACTTGAGAGTAATGCAAACATTCTCCACCTGCGCACTCGAGGGTGATGTATGCATCGCCAAAGATATCGTTGATTAGATTATTCATAGCGGGTTCCTCAAACCTGCATCCAGCAGCAGTCTTACAGCTGAAAGTCGCAGGTCCACGGATCTCCTCTGTCAAGAAGTCGCTGATATCTATGACGAAATATTACGAAAAGTTCAAAGTGAGTTATAGTATAACCTTACCAACACTTCCCTCTTCTCCACAGAGGAACTTGTCGGGAATGCATTTACATTTGATATGTTCACATGCATAGATCGTAGTGTTCGTGTCGTATCCCGGTTGGGTCTTGGAGGAACACGTGTCCAACGCACAATAAAAGGATTCTTGTTGTGCAGTCCAGAACTGAAAGCTGCATGTCGCAGTGGAGTTATCGCAACTGAATGTGACTTGTGGGGGACGGTCGGGGAGCATGTCCAAGATCTTGCGGTCTACCAAGATCAGTATACGGCATGTCGATGTATTCCGGGGGCGTACTAGTGATGTCACACATTTGGTGGTTGTTGAAGACAGTCTCGCCGCCCGCGTAACAAGTCATGTTTGCGACATTTTCATCTAACATATCGGTATGGATACTGCCGGCTAATGGAAAGCCAATGCAGGCATTGTCGGTCTTGCAAACTGGCAGAAGTCGATTAGGTCAAATGGCAGTAACATAATATGATGCGGAATGGTTCGTACCATTGCAATTTATACCTCCCCAGCCCTCTTTGCATTGACATGGCTCGTTTTCTCGGAGTGGCCTCTCGTCGCCATCTGCTAGGGAACCGCACTCTAAAAAAGAATATAGGTGATCGGCGTCCAAACGGCGCTAGGCTGGTGACTTACGGGGAAGCAAACAGTCTATCCCACCCCAGCCCGGAGGACATTTACACTGTCCATTGTATTCATCGCAGTGACCAAATTGTCCGCAGGTGAACGCTGGAAGAAGACAATTGAAGCAAGGTGGACACTTGTCTAGAGAGCACGAAATGGTCAACCAGCGATCCAAATAAACGCGGAAGACATACCTATTAAAGGAGAAGACGCGAGGGACTATAGAAAGAAATAATATCTAAGCACCACAAGACGCGACACCACGGATAACTGATACGTACGGATATCTCGTAGTTGGACACTCCGCTTCTTGGCCATGACGAATTGTCTATCCGTCCGGAGACTAAAGGCGTTAACGCGAGACCAAGTAATGATAGTGGAAATCGCTTGTGCATGTTTGTTAGCATTAATGTTGACCGCATCCTACTCTCCTTGCAGTAAGTAGCATGCGTGGTGTTGCCAACCAACGCACTGCGGAACAGCTACGCGAAACTCTTTCCATTTCTGGCGAGTTCCAGCCCAAGAAGGGATTTCCACTAGGTCTATGATCCGGCTGTCGGTGCCTAGCCTTGCTCCAGCCGCATCTAATGCACAAACTATAGGTCGTGATGTTCTCCTGGGCAGGGCTTGTGATCAACAGGATGACAACGCCTGTCATAATCTTTTCAGATGATTACGGACGTCGTCTGCTTCCATCATCCGCATGATCCTTTCTTGCTCATCTAGACTTTTCAGATTATCATCATATAGGTAGCAAGTGCGGTGAAGACCTCAAGTCACTGTACCTCCACATTTATGTCTCCGCAACAGAAAGCTCTTATTCTTCCCAAAAAGCGGGGCAACCTCAAAGTCGACTCTCGTAGTATCCCTAGCCCTGGTACTGGGCAGCTCCTCGTCAGGATCCACTCTGCTGCCCTGAATCCGGTTGACTACAAGATACATGACACTGGAATATTTGTGACTCATTACCCTGTCATTTTGGGGGTGGACATTGCTGGCATTGTCGAAGGACTAGGAGAAGATGTCGAGAATTTCCGCAAAGGCGATAAAATGTGAGACATGTCTTTCCCCCATGGTTTTATAGGCTCAACTTCGAGTTACAGATTGGCGCATGGAAATTTATATATCATTGATCAAGGTGCGTTTCAGCAGTACGCGCTGACCGTTGCGACGTTCACTGCAAAGGTAAGTCTTGAGAGGGTCGATTATATCACCGGCTATATCCCATCCCAGATTCCTTCAAACCAATCTTTCGATAGCGCAGCTACCGTTCCCCTAGGGTTGGATACTGCAGTAGGGGGCTTGTACGGAAGTGATCGGGGAGCCGGGATAGACCCTCCTTGGGTGAAGTGTGTCGGTGATCATGGACCAAAGAGACCCATCGTCATCCTTGGCGGTTCTTCTTCTGTGGGTTCATACAGTAAGCGAGGTGGGACTCGCCCCTTCGACCGTACGCTGACACCATTACAGCCATCCAGCTTGCTCGTCTTTCAGGATTCTATCCTATCGTTACTACAGCATCCCCTAACAATGAAAACCTTGTCAGGGACTACGGCGCAACTCACTTTTTTGACCGGCATCTTTCTGGCAACCAATTAGTGGCGGCCATTAATAAAGTGACCGATAGTCCTATCGGGATTGTTTTTGATGCTGTCTCGCTGCCAGAAACACAGTCCGTTGGATGGAGATTGCTAGCGAAAAATGGTATCCTCGTATTAACCCTTCCTGCATCAGTCAAGGAAGATGAAGGCAAAGGGCGCAAGGCCGTTTACACCCACGGGGACCCGCATCTCCCGTATAATCACGAGTTGTTCAGCAACTCCTGGCCTATGGTCGAAAAGTGGCTCTCAGAGGGTATTATTCAGGTTTGTTCTGCGATCACCGTCTTGCATCTGTCTCACACTTATGTAGCCTAACAATCATGAAGTCCTTCCGAATGGGCTTGAAGGCATTATTGGAGGGCTGGAAAGGCTGAGGATGGGACAGGTGTCTGGAACGAAGTTGGTTGCTCGCCCTCAGGAAACACTGTAATTTAATACCAACTTGAGTGTATTAGTAGTATGTGCTAGTAAGTAGTGAACTAACTCGAGCAACTCATTCGACTCCTAGTCGAACCCAAGGTTGTGGAATGAGACAGTACTTGGGTGACTTCCCGCAGTGTTTAGAACGTCGTTCTAAATCTAAATCTACGTTCTGAAGTTCTCGTCTTGCCGGCAAACGTCAGTGTTTTGCAAGTCTGCATATAAAAACAGTTCTAAAGTGATATCTAGAAACGAAGGGGGGATATTCAAATGATGTTCTAAACACCTAAACGAGCCTTTCGGTTGACACCTCAACACTGTACATCAGAATCTAGGCACAATTGTCCTATGCATGTCTAGATTGCGACGAGCTGTGAAACGACACTCCTTCAAAGGTTTGAATCAAAATCTAGGATTCTAAAAGTCGCCCAGTATCATTTATCGTAAATGCATGATACATGATGATGCTAAGAGGATTGTCAGTGCTAGGTTGAGAAATGAAAGGGTGAAGGTCCTAGGCCTGGACAAAAGAGAGCTGGTAAGTAAATTGACATACCAAGTATGTGCAGGGAAACGTTTCCAGAACAACGTTTTCCGCTCCCTGGACCGCAGGTGAGGCCTAGGTGTCGCCGTGGCTAAGATGATGTGCATGCATAATCTACATTTCATTTCAGAAATGTAATAAAAGTCAGGAAGAAGTCAATAATAATAATGACATACAGCTGTTCGTCATTCATGGCATCAGAATGCGTCGAATGGCACCGAGAGCAGCGAATGAGGATGTTCTGGGCTTCCATACCATCGGGGGTAGCAATCTAGCGGGGTCTAATTCGCAGCGGCTGAGTATGGCAGCAGCGCTCTGGCAATGAGAAATTCGGGATCCCCGTGCAATGTCCTAGGATTCCATTTCGAGAACATAGGCGTCATCCAGCACCGACTCGGTGCGTCCAGGTTAAAAGAAGAACAACCCTCGTCTGTAAAGGAAGAATGAACTAGCCAACCCAAGTCCAAGGAAAGTACAGTCGTGACCGCCCCCGTTGATCTTCGATGCTGTGAGCAATAGATACAATGCGGAGAGCTTGGGCTCCGCTTTCTTCCGTAACGGAGGCAGGAAAGCACCAGTCCAGCATTGGCTCATCTGAGTTGCGCCACCAAGCTGTCTTCCAACCATTGCCAGTGCTAAGCAGTTTCCAATATATTGCAGCGCTTTGGATAGACGAAGGTAGCCATGTTATTTTTTCTTAGCTCACGGATGTAATTGGTGAGTGCTTCCCGAACGTGAATCCTTGCTGCCAAACCAGCTATCAGCAAGGCCAACACACACGATAAGCAACTTACACCTCGGCGTCAGTGGTTTGGTCTCTTTAAAGACAGGATGCTCAACAATTTTTTCCGAAACCGTTGTACATCTCTGATGGAATTGGAATTCATCCACGACATGATCCTGTCTCGAGGGGTGATGAATGCCGAAGTGAAAGCAGCAAGATAGAACTGAATCTCGTTCACGTGTATACTTGATATCCTCGAGTCCTTCCTTGCGGTCCATGTGCAGCTTCCATTTCCCATATGGCACACAATTTCGCTTGCTTTAGATATCAGCTGAATTACCGCCTCATACAACGATAACAAGATAAGCACCTCTTCAATCGCTCGAGTCGAAGCTTTGCCTTGCTAAATGATAAGCTGCTAGTCCTTTTTGTTCTTGCCGGAAAGATCGTGTTCGAGCGCCTCAAACTACGATCTCAAGCACAGCAGCACCAGTTTATTGAAACCCGATCAATTCACAGCGACATGTACAAATTAATTTGGCGTGCACGAGCACTCATTTTGACATCTGCTGCCTATATGGCGAGCCGTTTTCGGTCTTGCACGGTGGACCCGAATTGTGACTTTCTGACCAAGTAATCGCCCTAAGAGTTCAGCTATGTGAGCATGACAATTGGGCGATTGGGAATGGGGTCTCTATAGTAGACGTATATCAGGTTTTCAGACATGTCTAACCTTAAGTGGCCAGATAACAGACCTGACTCCTTTTCCGCACCCTCAAAAAGTCAATTAGCCCGAGCGTACGCTGGAGTGTTATTCATGAAGCACATGAATGACAATGAGGATAAGATATCAGATTTACGTACTTATTGAGGATCGCTCAAACCAGCTAGGCAATCAGGAAATTTGCAATCTGTCGAGGAGCTTGTCGCCAAATAGAGCAACTGTCTTCCTTCTATATGATGTGACTAGGTGATACTGCTCACCAAATGAACGCAGAGGACACTCAGGCGAGTAAACTTCAAAAGGCCTTGGTGATGCACGAGAGATTCAGAAGGTCCATAGGACGCAGGAAACTCGATATCTAAGCATTTCAGTTCATGTGAGCAACATGCGAGGACGTCAGGTACGACTTGACTCGGACCGTCATAGCATAACTCAGACTATCTCTTGCTCACCTGGCAAGCCGCACAATACCACTGTCTATGTTCATGGATAGTAACAACTCGAGTTTTCCCCTTCGTCTTTTTGCGGTGACGGTCTTCGAGGTGCTTGCAAGATTTGTGCGCGAACTCCGCGTTTGAGCCTTGACGGGAGAGCGTTTCAAGTTCTTAGACATTTCCAGGTTCGGCGGATGACGCGTCTGAGCTGGCATCTGAATGGTCACTACCCGAGTCCCGCCGTGCTTGGAGAGGTTCTGGTAAACGTCGCCCACGTCACGCTCGAGAGAGGCTCTGATCTGCACCATACTAGGGCTCTTGGACCGTCGACCTAGGAAGCAAGTCAAGGTTGGTGCCAAGTCGGGCTTGGCGCAAAACGAATTTAGTAGAAGAAGAAAAAGAACTTTTGGTGAACGTAATGATTCGTAAAAGGGGAAATACCCCTATGCACCAAGGCAGATCTAGAATACAGGACTATGTTTTAGTGAAAGAACGTATAGTAGTAGGTGTGGTCATGCTACGCTGTAGAATTGCAAGAAGTAAATAACATATGACTAGTTCTCAGAACCTGGTTCCCAGTGGTCCTCGACCATAGCCTGAGGTTTGCCCTGGAGCGCGTCGCTGAACAGTGATAGTAAGTTTCCCGTCAGGCGCAAACCGTGCACGGACACTAGGCATGTCTGCGTCACCGGGTGCAAAGTGTACTTGCCACTCATAGTGACCTAAGATTCACGAGAATGAGTTGAGACTCCGTCATATAACAGATGGTACATGCTTACAATCATTCTCCATGTGCCATGCATCAGCCACGATATTCAACCTATCTCCCTTTTTGACAGAAACGGTAACCATTTCTGATTGTATTGCGCGCGGAAGCACAACGGACATGGTGTGCGTTGAGAGAGTGCTCTGGATGACCATTGTTGGTCGGGATTCTGGAGATGGGGAACGCCGCCACCGCGCTATCGGCGACAATAAGCTCGAGTCACTGGAGGACGAGCTACTGCTCGATTCGATAGATGGGCATGATGAGATAGATGGGAGGCGTGTCTTTTCGATTGTTTGGTCAACCCCTTTTGATCCTGCAGGGTTCGTGAGGGATTTTAAAGAGTGCCTGTTTGTGCTGGGGTTTGTCATGACGAGTGGATAAGAATGCGAAACTTCGGCTACTCTTGAAGTTTCGTCCTTAGTGTCTTTAGAGTAAGGGGTGAATGGAACGCTTGCATCTGAAGCGGCCTTTCCCTTAAGTAGCATGTCGAGTGCGCTGTAGGACAGGGACGAAGTCGGGCTAGTGATCTCGGGCATGAGAGTCATAGAGGAAATGTCGTGTATGCCCCGAAAAGACAAACTACATGTCATGGCGCGCAGATTGTCCGCGTTGTAGGGTAGGGTAGTAGATTCACTGCCAGTGGGAAAACCCCTTGCTGCGCCACGGGGCACGAACAGGCTAATGCTGTGACCGCGGTAGATATCTGTAGACAAATTGCAGACATGACCAAAAGTAGCAGCCGGGCGCAGAATCAAAATGATTCTTCAGCTCATATACGATCAAGTAGTGCATGGTACTGACCAGGGGCTGCATGATCCGATAACCCGTGAGCGTGTCGGAGAGGAGAAGCAATCCCGATGTTAGTAAGTGATGCAAACTTTTCGGCCTCGCTGCAGCCACGAGGGACCTGTTTGCGAAGGGGAAGGGCTGATGGTGATTGGCACTTTCGTCCGGCGGAAGAAGGCTTGCTGTCTGCCAAAGAGAGACTGATTCTGCGCAGGAAGCTGGTGTTTATATTTGTATTAGCGTACAACGACATGAAGATGAAGCGGAGTTAGGGTTGAGATCAGGATAGAAGAGAGTAACTGGAGGGTGACAGTCTACAATTGAAGTAGTGGTATGTGAAACCAAGGTACGACATCCGGCGATGTCAGTCATTCGCTCGGGAAACACCACTGGTTCAATTCGAAATCAATCGCATTAACTAACTAGAGCTAATTTAGGTATGTGTGAGAGGAGTGACCGGTATTTAGCTAATTACCTCGTGTTTGTGGTTGTTATTTAATAGAAAATCTTCTATCGAGTGGAGGCAGTGGTGCTGGCAAACCCTGACAAAACGTACAATTAAAATGACACAACTTCGAAGTCACCGTACGCGTGTTAGACATGGCAAGATCTGATCGATTACGAGCAGCCCTCCTGGCAAATCGAAACCCATTCAAATTTTGTCTGATCGGTCACCGCATTAGTCTGCCAATTGTATGAGCAGGTATAAGTACATCATTCGCAGCCTACTTAACCAACTCTTCTTCACAATTTAGTTCGCATTGTGCAATTTCATTGTCCGGCCAGGCGGAGAGAGTAGTTTATTTAGCACTCAGGTAAGCTTTTCGCAGTTAGGCCGTGACCTTTACCCGAGAATTAGTACGCCACATGTGGATGTGGAAGACGGTTGATGCATATGTTTGATCTGTTCGCAAGTTGCTCTACTTACGCAGAGAGCAGAATTAATGGCCAGCACTTGCGTTTGGCTACAGCTGAAACAAAAACTCACAATGACGTTGCTGCAATGCTGTTGATGACAAGAAGCAACTTCGAACTGCATGTAGTTGCAATTCGGTCGTGCTTAACCACTTGTGCGGCATGTAAACTATGCAGTAGTGGAATCTCAGGCATCAAAAAATGAATCAACAAAAATGGTCAAAAACCTCTTACTTCATCGGATCTCCTCGGCGAAGGAAATGTCGAATCCCCCTAAAAATGGGACTGGTTTCACTGTTCCAGTGGTTTTTTGCATCACGAACCCCTCGCTACATGGCGATAAAGTGGGAAAGACACTACCTACGTCATTGTGCACCAGATCAATGCTGACGAAGAGTGTTCAGCTTTACCCCACGAACTATAAAAGTTTCTATGTTGAGTGCTCCCCAGTCAGATCTTTAATGATATGGAACGTGCATTACAAGCCTTGATTAAATGACTGGTGACCCTTGATACCTGCGAGAACAACGCATACATGATCAAAAACGCTGTGCAAAAGGAGCACAGAAAAAATGGCTGAAGAAGCAACGAAGTGATCCACAGCGATGGCACACTTACTATTTAAATAGCCATCAATCTCATTGGTTTTAACTCGTGCAATACACGAGCTACGTCAAATCAATGACTTCTACGAATACACCGGGCTTCTGTTCTTGCTTGACCTTCTTGCTCCTGTGCTCCGTCTCTTTTGTTCTCTGCGAGTTGTGTTCTCCTCGGACTGGATCATTGGATCTGCTGCTCCCTGCCTGGACGTCATTAACAGTGAGGTCAATGATTTCCTGAGATGCCTTGCGCTTCAGGGGTGCTGGCACTGGTACAATTCCATTCGCCTTCAAAAGATCTACCAGAAGATGCTGTGAACGCAGTAAAGAGTAAAACACATAACACAAACTTCGGTCTCTGTATTTGAATGTGAATTTTGCGAGAGGTTGACCAATGGACTGTGACTTGCGCAACATTGTTTGTGGGATCATAGTTTCCTTACCAAGCCTAGGACGAAGTGTGTCGAGTAGTCAGTGTTCAGTTAGACGACTTGCGCATCTCACACAGCTTACCCAACACAGTGTGTCACTGCTTTCTTCGACCGCTCGTGCACCTTGTGTTCAGTTTGAAGCTGGTTCTGGGCAGGATCGTAGTATTCGCCGAGTACCACTTTGCAAACTCTGACTTGGATTTGTCCTAAGTCGGCTGATGATACATCCGCGAATTCATCTTCATCTACACAATAGTGAGGCACTGAACCAATAAACTGACAACGTGTGGAAATACCTGTCAGCCGGACAGTTGAGAATACGAATGGCTTGGTGATCCTATCCGAAACAAATGCGTGACTGAACTTGACAGTATGATTCACGTTCCAGCGCTCGAACAAGCTACCGTGGCACCCCTGTCCGTCAATATAAACGAATGCACCGATGGTATCGAGACCAGGGGCAGAAGTGTTTTGACAATGCACAGAAAACTCCTGAGCACCCCCATCATCAGACACAAAATGAGCTAACAACGCCAAGGTGGCGCACCTTGCCAGCTTCAGATGGGATCCAGCATGTCACTTCGTTGGTCGCCAGAGATGTCTCCACAGCGTAAGTATCCAACGGCTGGCCATCAACCGAAATCCATGCGGTGTACTCCTGAAGTTTCAGCATAGTTGAATGTAAAAACTGCAGGAATTCGGAGATGAAGTTTGCATGAGGCGCTGCAGTAGTGACAGCCCCACTTGTGGTCTGGTGCGCGGTATTACCACCGATGATTACGTGAGCTGCCTTTTTGCACCGTGACGTTACTTATATATCCCCATGCTCCACCCCAGGGTTATCTTACGGGCACCGTCAATTCTTTATAAGACTAGAATGGCTTCGACGACGTCAGATAAGGCGACTCCAGAGCGGCGGGCAGAACTTTTGCAGAACCTCGCTGAAACCAAAATTTGTTTCGCGGAAGCTTCGAAATCTTCATCTCACACTCTGACACTGGTAGCTGTATCAAAGACCAAGCCGGCATGGATGACTCGTGCTTGTTATGAGGAAGGCCAAATAGATTTTGGAGAAAATTCTGATATCGATCTAGTCAACAAGGCGAAAAAGGTTAGTACTTGCCTCTACGTGGTGAACGAGAAGGGACCGACTCGCGATTGATAGCTGGCAGACCTTGAAAGCCTTCGATGGCACTTCATAGGTGTGATGAAGAAAACAGAAGGAGACGATTTTCGGAGGCGAGCAAGGATGAGAGAACTTACAAGTATGTACATTTAAGTCTACCCCGATTCGTACTGTGACAATCATTCTGAAAATCAGCGGTGTCGAATCTTCATGCCATCCAGAGTTTGACTAGCATCGAAGATGCTGATATTTACAACAGTGCTATACCGGCTGACCGCAAGACGCCTCTCAACATGCTCTTGCAAGTCAACACATCTGGGGAAATCCAAAAGTCGGGACTGCAATATGTGGATACCGAAACTGAAGCCGCTGACTCCCCACTATTCAAGCTTGCTTGCCACATCATTGAACATTGTCCCAAGCTACATTTCAGGGGCTGATGACTATTGGCTCACAGGCGGAATCTCTGGCGTCATCGGAGCGGCTAAATCAAGATTTCGAGGTGCTCAAAAAGACCAGAGATGTACTAGAAGGGATGCTTCGAAGCAATCCAGCGTTCAATGGGAGATGGGGGGACAACGGAAAACTGCTGCTCAGCATGGGTATGACTGCTGATTTTGAGGCAGGCTTACGAGCTGGTAGCCACATTGTCAGGGTAGGAACTGGTATATTCGGAGCTAGACGTATGAAGTGAAAAGCCATGTAGTTCTTTGTGTTGTACTTAGTGTGACGTGACAATATAGATACAGACGTCACACTCCGTTTGTTGATCAAAGTCTCACGTGGGAATTCACTATTCAAACTCCGCTTACTGTAGGTTCCCTCCTCCGTTGATCATCGTCGCCGACGCCGACGCCGGGATCAACGGCAACGACGAACAAATATACGTCTACGACCTTGAACTCCTGTATTTCGACGGAAATTCATGAACGGGACCCTTACACACGCTGTTGGAGGACTCGAAAACCCAATGACATCCGCAGACCCCAAACCACCAGGAAAGCGGAAAGCAGTGGATGATGTTAATCCACTGATGCAGGCAGCAAAGAGGCCAAAGGTATGTTACTCGATCAATGTGCGCACTTTGTTTATTGAACGATGCGTTATAGCCGAACGGCGCGTCCAAACGAAAGTGTGAGTAAGAGTTTGAAAGCAAGTCGCGTGAAGTACTCACAAATCGCGTCTAGACATTGGCGAGGAACAGCCAGGTGGGCTTGTCATTGTACGCGCGCCAATATCGCGTCCTACAACTCCACAGAACAATTACCCGTCTTCCCAGCCATCGACCACAACTACTCGACCACCATCTCGTCCTCCCTCGTCTCTTTCGCAACCCATTCCCTCCAGCTCCATAGCTGGGCCTTCCAAGCCGCCAGCCAAAAGGTTTAAAGCTGACTCGTCACGCGCACCTACCGGTGTCAAGCCACGCGATGTACCATCTTCGACGCGTGAGGAACCAGAGTTGGATGAGGATATCAGGCAGATGGAATCTGAGACGGTTCATCTTCGTCAGCGATCGCGCGCCAAAGATGCAATCGATTCGTCATTCAAATTCCCTCCCTCTACACCTAAACACACCTCTCAGCGATACCCCTCTGATGCGCTTCGTCCACTACCCGATAGTGAAACCCCACAAATAGAGCGTAATAAATTACTCCGTGAAGGGGTGTCCCTTCCCCTGCGTACCCCACAACGGACACCCCAACACTCTCGACGAACATCAATGAGCGCGCGCGGCAAGCGCATAAGCACGAGCTTTGAAAACACTGGTGTAATCAGTACGTCTCTCCCCTCTAATAAATCACCTTTGTTTTTCGTCTACGCGCAGGCTCTAACCATTTTTCTTAGCTCAACCACATGCTACTGTATCCGATTCGAGCTTCTATAAACACATCGATTGCGACCTCCCTGATCCACAACGCGCACGTCAGCTGCTCGTCTGGTCGGCTGCTCGAGCTATGACGAGAATATCTGAAGCATCTTCTTCAAGCTCAAAATCCCAGTCAAAATCTAAAGCATCAGGTAGCGGAAGTGGCAAAGACCCACCTCCGCTTGATGAACGCAGAAAGCAAATTCTGAAGACTGTACAGGACGATTTCATTCGCATGCTTGCGGAGAAGAAGATTGATACACCTGTGTATGGCCATGTTCTGGACGGGCAGGCTGGTGACGAGCGAGATTTGAAGCCAAATGAACAGAATGTGAAAAATAAAGAGCGGGAGATCAAGTTTCGCGAACATATCGAGTGGTTCGTTGTTAATCTATATCCACGGTCATGAGCTACTAACGCTTTATCCGCTGCACAGTGCATCAGCAGAGGCCGATGCGTGGACTCAAGTCGACCACTTTTACAACGCTTATATCACCAACTCCAAGGCAGATCTGGAGAGACGACGCCAAGCTTTGCAGCCCCCTTCGTCTGCTAAAGCGAAAGGCAAACAACGAGCTGCTTCGCAAGAGCCACCGGATGACTGGGGGTGGCTACTACCTCATGAGGACGAGCTTTCGGACGCTTTTCGAGAGAAGATTAATCCGGATCTCATCAAACGCATAATGTCTGACGTGAGATCAGAGTCGAGAATATTCTCGACGAACGAATAGCGGGTGTCCACTTTAAGGTGGACAGTCTGTTTTCATTTGTCCACTCTGCAGTGCAGACGACAAACGTAGCTGAGTCAGAACTCGACTATCGATTCTCTTTGCTGTCATTGGCGCTCTCGACTCGATCGCGCTCTCTTCCTCCTTCATCACAAAGTTCTTCCCTTTCGTCACATCTACCGATACAGAGAAGCTTGAGCCAACATCCTGAAGACCAACAAGATCTTTTCCGTGCACTATCACGAGTAGATATGGATCGTCCGCCAGCCAAAGTTGGTGATGCTGCACGGCGTGCTGTCCGAGAAGTGCAGCGGGTAAAGGAAGGTGGCGGTTTTGCAGGCGAGCGGCGGCTGACAGGGCTGCCATCCGGAGTTGGTGCAACACCACGCAAGATTCCAGGGACGCCCCGGCGGAAGGAGCGACAACAATAATGTTTTATTTTCCCCTGCGGCATATATGTGTGTTGATGTTTGAATTATCTATTCCTTGTATCCGCAGGATGTGGACTGTGATTCTCAGGAAGTGTATCAGATGCAGCACTACTTGTCTGCCACGTACGTATCTTATTCAAGCATTGTGGGGCTTGCATGCAATGTTGTATTCGATCGACCAGTCCTTCGTACTTACTACTCGGGTTGTAAGTTACCAGCCGCAGCTGACTGGCTATCATACCAAAGTGTAGCTGCAATTAATTTGTCCTTGTCTCCCTGCCCCTACATACGACGTTGGGAGTATTTGTTTGTGTCACGTTAGAAATTGATTCCGCTTCGGATGTGGACTTCAGATTCTGGCACTCATTTTCTTCCCAGACGCTCATAAGTAGAACTTCAATTAGAAGGCCATCGTGGACTCGCTTGGCCAGGGCTTCTCATTCATCGCTCTTCTTCATGCTCTGTGCTCGTCACGTTTTCCGGTGTTTCAAATGGCTTGAGCGGGCTGGAGACCGCATCACAGGCGCAGCAGGCCCATATTTTGTTGGGCTTGCAGTTATACTGCAAACAATTGGAGCAGCCAGCTTTTGTATGTGGTTTTCTGTCTGATTGTGTACACTCGCCTAATTTTCAACTCCAGTCACCGTGATTCAACCCAGCCTTCCCCTTCGTTGGCTTACCACACCCCCTTGCGTACTCATTGCACTCAACCTCTTCACGCACTATTACTATGTATGTACGCTGCCACCTGGATTCGCCCAAGATGAGGCTTTGCTGCCAGGGAGTGGTCGACTCTGGGCCTCGCCTTCTCAACGGACGAGCGCTGGAGTTCGGTGGTCCAACCGTGGTATCACGTTATTAACAGCGAGTACCACTGCATGTAGGAGGTGTGGATTGATGCGCCCAGAAGTGAGTACGCCCACTCTGATGTGGTCCAGGAAGCTAACCTATACTTCACGGAGAGGGCCCATCATTGTCGGATATGTGGCCGATGTGTGCTAAAATATGATCATCATTGTCCTGTAAATGCTCGAACACTCTGTTTATGGGATATTGCTCACCCGTTGGTTAATTATTCTACAGTGTGAGCCTTTATTACTTTGGCATGCTCGTTCCTCTTAGCTCCCTGTAGGGATAAACCAGTGCGTTGGACTAAACAATGAGAGGCATTTCGTCCTTTTCATGTATGTTTCACTTCCTCCTCCCAATTCCCAGCTTATGCGCTTCCATCAGGGCTTACTTAGTATTATCGACCTTCTTCTTGAGTATTCTTGGTTACTCTCAAGCGCTAGAGGCAGTCGGCCTCACGTATTCTGTGCGTCGCCCTGTCAATATCGTTCAGCCAATGCTCATTACACATGACAGAACAACTGGCCGTATGTGGTGCCACAACTAGCTTATATCCTCACCTACATGCTCTCTGTCGTTATTTGTATTGCGGTGTTCATCATGCTCTCCTGGCATTTGTGGGGTATTGCTCGTGGAGAGACCACCGTCGAGGCACAAGATCATGAAGTTTACAAGCGCATTGCAAGGGCCAGAGGTGATGTATGTGGTTCTATCTGTCACGATCATTTGCATGCTGATACGCTGTGTAGAATTTTGTAAATTCTTTTGACCTTGGGTAAGCGGGATGTCAGATATCGGGCATAGGCATAATACTTTGATTTTGTTTTAGAAAGAGCACTAACCTGCGCCTTTTCTTCAACATTGGTCCGGACAGATAGTAAATTGTGGCCTTTTCTCAATTTACTCTTCTAATTCCTTTACACAGCCCGTGGTATACCCTCATTTTACCTCTACGAATAATGCCCTACACCGATGGCCGTTCGTGGGCCCGGCGTGAAGGATTTCAAAGACACCAAGGAATTCAAGAGGGAGAGGAATTAACGGATGATGATGATGACGACGGCAACGACGACGCATAGGCTGGTGGTTTGTATGTTCATCGGTGAGCCCAAAATTTATTTTCTCGTGATTGATGATGAGGTTTGCCGGGGCCATATGATTCTTTGAATGCGTGTTCATCACCGTTCGAAAGTTGTTTGATTTACGTCCGGCTGGGTTTGCCTTTCAGGCTCATCCTTTTATCTGATATGATCTGACTACTGTCGCCCTTATACATCTCATTACTGACGAGTGGTATTACAGGGATACATTAGTGCATCATGCAGATTCGATCAACTTGATTATGTGACATATGTATGCCTGATGGCCTAACGCGCTTCGATCCCTTCGCAGACACTAGTAGTCATGAGCACCGATGATTTATATCCATCGTGACCCTTGCTAATTCAAGTCCCACAAAAATCCGGTTTTTACATGGTCTGCTCACGGTGTTTGGTAGATTTGTCAGGCGAGGGGAATCCTAATGAAACTCTTGGGCTTCGGTTCTCGGACACACGCGACAATTATTAGTATTGTTCGTCAATCGACCCTCGGAAACAGCTTGTATCCTCGAGTGTATCGCATTAGCCCTTCTTCCTACCACTCACACAACACCGTCCCTTCCTCGTCTCGCCCATTCGCTGCTTCTCGGTTTATCTGCCTCGATTGATGTATGTCCACAGGGCAGGTGTATCAAGTCCGCCAAAGTGACGTGACAGGAAGCAACAGGAAGCATCTGCCCAAGTTAACAAGCCAACACTTACATTGCTAGTGGGTCTGGCTTCTGGCTTCGCAATCAGCACCGGAGTGAGTCTCGAAGAGAACTTCTTCCTCGGGCTCTGTGTGCTGCAGACCTTGCGTGCTCCGCGCTGCGCACTTCTTTGTGAAGCACCACGGGACTAGGAGAGGATAGAGTCCGTATTGTCCTAATAAGCTCACTTCGAATCCTGGTGCATGTCACCTGTCCGAGTGGCCGCTACCTCGTGTGCCTCTCCACCGCGTACAATTCACAGAGTTTTTCTCCCCGTAGACAAATGCCCCATGCCCATGCCATGCTTTCCCCACATTAATGTCTCGACGAGATGACTGAGGGTACGTGGCCGAATCGCCAATTCCGCTGCTAATGCATTGCCGCCCAATACTGATGCACTTTCTCTCATTATCACTTGATGGGCAGATATACCACCTTGATCGGCGAACAATGATCTCAGAGATCACTGTGATTTATTCGAGTCAGGTTGGTCCCGGCCCGTGTGCGCGATCAACCGATGAGGCAAATGCGGGCTCAAAGGCAATGTTAGCATCACTAGGTGGAGTACTGCGTTGAGATATGTGGAGTGAGGCCTCGTGTCGATGGCGATCGTTAAACGAATGTCCGCTGTGTCCTCAATTTAGCTCAGGCCAAATGGGCAAGCGGCCGGTACGATCGTTCTGGTGTGGAGATGAACAGCACAAGTTTTGAATCAATACGGTATCAAATACAGCAGAGTACTGGTATTAGTAAAGTAAGTCTGTGATCACCTTTGCATCCATGCACTACCTCCCACCAAACTAGGTAGCATCCGAAACCTCACGGGCGTGGCCCTAAGACATCGAATACTTCTTTCTCCCTGTCTCTAAACGCCTTGATTCTACTGATCGACAGTCCAAGGGCATTCACCCTGTTCGCAAACCCCACGGCCCGTCCCTCCACGCTCCTTTTACGCCTCCTGCAGCTATCATCCGCAGTATCCCCGCCAACTCGTACACCATGGATGATGATGGCCTGCACCCGCTCGAACCTAGGTTCTGGTATATCTTCATCACCTCTCTCGATAGCCTTGATCGTCCCTTCGTTGTCTTCATCTTGCATCACCTGCGCGTCCCGCCCAATGGCAATGAGCTCCATCATGAAAGGCCGAAGTGGCTCCGGACATGCATCTGGTGTGAGCTTGTGCCCTCCAAGCTCTCGTGCACTGACGCACATGATCGCGTTTTGATCAGGGAGGATGATCCCCTGCGTCGTGGCCACCTCGAGAATAGCAAGGCTGACGGCGGCAAAATGGGCACGCGGGGGGTCATATTTGAAGAGACGTGCGAGAGGGTGCGGGTTGTGAGCCCGAGAGGTTGTGATCTGCTCTAGCACAGCTGCGAGTGCGGAGTAAAGTGTCTCGCGGATGAAGTCGATTTCAGGGGTGTCTTGGGTGAGTATTGTAGGGAAAGGCGTGGGCGGGGGAAATGCGGACTGAACGGATGATGGAGAAGAGAATTTCTTGGACCCATATCCGGATGATTCAGCGGCAAACTGATCAGAATATACAGGTGGTGGTACGAAGCTCGTCTTGACCTTCAAACCACTGCTTGATGAGCCTGCATCTAACGCAGCTTGCAGATCGCTTGCATATCTATCCTGAAAGGTGCGTCTCTGACTGATTTCAATTGCCACTGCACGTAGATCGGCTGCGATGCCGGCGCACTCAGGGTTTGGTGGGACAGCAATAGGTTGGAGGCCACAGATGATGCGAGCAAGATCATGCTGGTCTTGGGGGATGAGGCACTGGATTTGCGGCACCGCAGCTGCCCAAACGGCTAGAAAGCCGAGAAATGCCGGTGGGCAATTATCTGCTGAGAGCTCGAGGGGCGGTGCCGACTTCGTGGCACGAGGAAGTGGTACAGACGGTGGGTTTGTTGTGCATCTAAGGGCAGCAAAATATAGGCATAATGCTGGACCTGTGATATTAACATTGACGTCAGATGTGATCAGACCAAGACATCAGAGCTACTTGAGAGCTGCTGCGCACCAGATATCATAAGATCTGCTTCTGCAGATGCTAGAACTTGATCCTCTATCAGTTTCTCTACCTTTGCTTGTGTGAGGGATGACTTGAGGTAAGTGTGAAAGCTGTTTTGAACATATTCTTCGTCGAGCTTGAATGAAGGCATCGAGGGAAACTAATGTAATATTGATGACTAATTCGTGCATAAACTCCATTATATACTCTGGAAATTACATAAATGCCAAATATGAATTAGTTTTGTAACAAAAAACTGCGGAATACAAAAAGCCAAGTTGTAGCCAAGACTCCACGGAGGTTCTTGTCAGGTGCATAATGGGGCTCTTGTTATATATGCCAAAATGCGCCGCGGTCACTCATTTCCTTCTTCTTTCTCCCTGTCATGACCTCCTACCTTCAAAAAGCAGGTACAAGGCTCTTTGAAAAAAACCTCGAGCAATACAGACCTGAAGACCCGTTGTACGAGTTTTATACTGACAACCGCGGCAAACAACGTCGTAGAAAGGTGTGCCCTAATCCTTCCTTCCGCTGCGCTCGGTCTTACCATTTTCAAGCGCGCGATACCTCCTGGCCTTTCAGCACGTGATGCAAAGATTCTCAAGTCGGTGCAGCGCCGTGCCCACTACCTAGACAAAGGCTTCTCCATTTGTGGTCTCCGATTTGGCTGGACCTTCATCATTGGTGTTATCCCCGGCGCCGGTGATGTCGCTGATGTCACGCTCAATTATCTCCTGGTCGTCCGCAAAGCAAGGCAGGCTGAACTACCAGCTTGGCTTGTGCGCCGCATGCTCCTCAACAATGCAATATCGGCTTTGAGCGGCCTGGTGCCGGTAGCGGGCGACATTGTCATGGCCGTGTTCAAGGCAAATTCAAGGAATGCCGCGCTCCTGGAAGAGTTTTTGAGGATAAGAGGGGATGAATTTTTGAAGTTGCAGGCGGATAAGGCGCAGGGAACGAGTCAGAGTGTGCCTGGGAAGGATTCACAACAGGTTAAGCCTGGCGCGGGGATGTCAGACAATGCGGCAGCGACTGCACCGCAGCAGAAGACGAAATTCGTGTCTTGGAGCCGTCCGAGCCGCAAAGAAAAGGAGCGCGCCCCTACCCCCGGTGAAATGGGAAGGTTTGTTGAAGATGTGGAGTTAGGTGTCACAGCACCCAGTGGAGAGGCGAAGAGCAGTACCATTACGGTGCAGAAAAGATAAGATTGGAGGTTGACAAATCTACGTTCTGATCGATGTGGTATACACGAACTTTTTACTGGACCCATTTTCTATACTCGGGGTGCTCTCTATAATAACATTATATACCATGTACTGTAGCTGGTTTGTCTGCTGTCTCAGTGGATCAAACATATCATAGGAGCCTAAGATAGATGTGGACTAGCTGTATGTACGTACGAGTTGCTGCGCAAGCCATACTTCTCGCGGATAACATGCATTGCTTGGAGAACCCCGTATCGATCTACAGTGCAACTCTGAATAGGTTGTTGGAAGGGACGAGAGTAACTAAGTTGTTATTGGCTAGAGGGCTATCCGTTAGTACTTATGATATCCAACGTACCTCCGCTATCACCTGATCAATCAAACTGCACAGGCCAATTTTCTAAAGTGGATTAGTGACGACTACATGACGCACAAATTCCACGAGCGTTGTCTTCCTCACAGCAAGATATCGCGCGTCATGACGATTCTATAGCTGTCTTCTGCGTACAATTTCCGAGCTACCTGGAAAAGCTTAGTCTCGATCGAAGAGGCTGAGTGCGCAGGGCGTATATAGAGGGCAGCACAAGATCACCAGCAATAGTCATTCCTCCACCTAATCACAATCGCAATGGCCCTCAAGATACACGGTCATGCTAACGCTCCCCTCGTCAGACTCGTCGCAGAAGTCTGCCGAGAGAAGGAAGTGCCGTACGAACTTGTGAACGTGGAAGTCTACAAAGGCGAACACAAAACACCTGCCTTCAAAGAGTTCCAACCTTTCGGACAGGTCCCCTACATAGTCAGTGACTCATTTGGACTACTAATGGCGACAGATGCTGATACAGCAGCGGCCAGAATGACGACGGCTTCATTCTCTATGAATCCAGAGCCATTTGCAGATACATTGCAAAGAAGTACGCATCGCAAGGCACCCCGGACCTCGTGCCCCGTGAACCCAAAGCGGAGGCCATCTTTGAACAAGCGGTGTCAATCGAGACGTCGAACTTTTACCCTTTTGCGTTGGGTATTACCGCGGAGAAAATCATCAAGAAGTAAGTGACTTAACGCTCCGCGGAGTTCGTGGCTGAAGCGTTTTCAACAGGCATCGTGGCCTCGAACCAAATGAAGCCAGGTTATCCGACCTGGTGAGCAACCTGAAGGCAAAACTGGATGTATACGAGGTTATACTCGGAAAACAGGCGTATCTTGCAGGAGATGTAAGTAATGACAATTGGTGCGACCGTATGGCTTGCTCACCAGGAGTTTTCGTTAGAACATTACCTTGGCCGACTTATTCCATCTTCCGTATGGAACAATCGTGTTCGAAGAATTGGGCTACGACATGTTGGAAGATAGACCGAATGTGGCAAGGTGAGCGACCGTTCTTGAACAGATATTACTGTGACCAGACAACTGACCAACCTACCCACAGGTGGTGGAAGGATATCACTGCGAGGCCTTCGTGGCTCGCAGTCAAAGCCAAAGCTTAACCAGATGTATAAAGGACTCGGCACTAAGTATTAAAGTCATTTATGTAAGATGTGTATAACCTTTTGTACATATAACGAATCTGATAGAACTTCGTTCAATTGGGACTTTTCCGTTCTATGTAAGTGCAGAGAACGAGGAAAGGCGCGCCCGGTATTTGCCGCACATTCATGCTCTGGGACCAACACCGACTCGGACGTCCATGTATATAAGCTCACTTCAATGCACCCACTCTCTGTGCACATCATTGGGCTATGTACTCGAGTAATCTCACCTGCGGTTCAGTCGAGTAAATGTTCTCAACAACTGTCGTTTACTCCAGTACTCTTCAGTGCTATTGCTAAGTTGTCAAACCAGGTTCACATCTCTGACTCACTTTACTCAACTGTGATGATCGAGCAATAATCCCGATTCACAGAATTAGGCGTTCTGGACACTGCCTTACAAAGGAGGCTAAAACCTGATGCTGAACAGCAGGTATATCCTGTTCTTGGTGGTCTTTTGCGTGTACCCTCCTAGTCATCGATTTTCTCTAAACATTCAACGCCCAAAATTCTGCGGTGTACTGCATATCACGTCTTCGTGATAACGGGAGATACATGTTCTCACATGTCGTGTGGAGGTGCGAATATCTCAGTGATTTCCATTCTCACCCTGTCTGCAGCCGTCGGACATCGCAATCTCTCCTGACATTAATGACATGTCTCTGCGTCAGGTCGTCCTGTATAAGTGCGAAAGCCTCGATGATTCCATTCTCACCCCGCACTGCAGCCCTTGTTGCAATCTCTCCTGACTTTGATGATTAATATGCTTTACTCTGATAACATCTCTCCACGTCAAATATCTCACGCGATTTGGATAAGTAAGAGGATGAAGTTGTTCATAGCGAGGAACCAGAAACTTTCAAGTCCGTTTCCTCACAGTCCAAAACTCCGTTCACGATGGTTTTGAAGCTCTACGGATTTGCTACCTCAACATGCACACTCCGTGTTGCAGTGGTATTGAAGGAAAAGAATGTACAATTCGAGTTCATTCCTGTTGATCTAACCAAGGGTGCACACAAGGCTCCTGAATTTACCGCCTACCAGCCTTTCGGCCAAGTCCCTTACATTGTGCGGTCGTCCTTCCCTTATCTACATAGAACGATCGTTAATATGTCTTATTTAAAGGATGACAATGGTTTGATTCTTTATGAATCGAGGGCGATCTGCCGGTATATCGCCGCGAAGTACGCTTCGCATGGAACTCCCCTCCTTCCCACCGATCCCACCGCCATCGCATTATTTGAGCAAGCTGCATCAACTGAAACATCTAACTATGATCCTTTCGTCTCCGGATTGGCATGGGAGTTGAAGTTCGCTATGTAGGTACCAGTCACCTGCAACGCGTTGTCAAATCTGCAACTTTCAATGTTATAGGTGGTTTGGAGGGAAGACCGACGAAGCCCGTGCTAAATCACTACAAAGCCAGCTTTCTGCTAAGCTTGATATTTATGATCTCATCCTTGGCAAGCAGAAATACCTGGCTGGAAATGTAAGCACCTGCATGAACGGACGCTGAATCGCGCTGACCCAGAGATAGGATATCACTCTGGCCGATCTGTTCCACCTGCCTTATGGTGCTGTCCTTCTGGATATTGGGCTCGACGAGTTCAGCAGCCGCCCCAATGTTGCCAGGTTGGTCATTCTTTTTTTCGATGAATTTTATACTAATAATGATGGGATAGGTGGTGGAAGGATATCTCATCCAGGGCATCCTGGGAAGCAGTGAAGGGAGGTATCTGATCGTCGGAAAAAACGACTAGTGGATTTAGAATCGTTGGATGTACAGCACGTATCAGATCCTGTGATCATCAATCTATAGTCTTTCCCTTTCCACAGTCACGGCGGATTTCGCGTAATAAGTATTTAAAGGCTTAGGTAGCTGAATTTCATGACCTGCTTCAGGAACATTACTCAGATTTGGGGTGTATCAGGGGGCATGTCTAACACGCTGTGAAACAGAAAGCTGAGTTGACTCATCCCGAGTATCGTACAGCCTTGTGTTACCATTTCCACCGCAGGTGCCGAATGGTGTCATAAATGAGACACGAGAGCACATTCAATGTCGAAGAGAAAGGCTGACCCAGAGAAAGCACGTGGAAGTTGAAGTCGCCAGTACATCAATGCTTTGGCTTTATCGTGAAGATCAAGTAGTGTAAGCGCAACCCGGCACAGTTGGAGAGACAGATTGCCGGGGCATCCGGTCCAATGTTTCGTGCAGGTCAAAACTACCGTCTACGTCACGAAGATTAAACTAGTTAAATCCGCGCGTGTGACAATAGGAGGAACACGAGTCCGCGGAAGTGAACCTGATGGTACGACAATGGTCGGTCAGATTTACAGTAGACATCAAGACAAACTCAAGTGGCTCAATTGCATCAGGTATGTCGAACCTATACGCAAATGAGGTGTTGAAAGGCACGAAAGATAGTAAGAACAGACGCAAGGGAAGGGTCGAAGGGTGCCAGAGATGCGCTAAGAAAGATATAAAAGAAGTGTCAAATAGTGCAGAGGCACAAAGAAAGGCGTCGGCCAGCACCACGCAGGCAAAGCCCAACAAAAGAGACCCACCTTCGCGGCCATACATACTCAAACAGAACAAAGGCGTCGACCCGTATCATGTGGTCACGCACACTCCAATAAAGAGGGAGGCATCAACCAACGCAGTCATCGTCAGTGAATTGATGGAATCCCCGCACAACCTAACAAAAAGGGAGGCATCAGCTCAATGCAACACACAGTCATGCACAACCCAACAAAGAGACGAAAGCCAGACAACATCCAGCCGTTACGGTAATACACGCTCCGAAAAACGAGGCATCGACTCGCCACCGCGGTCATGCATACTCACAGAAGCTGGTACAGAGAGGCGATCAACGACCCGGCGGAACAGCGTTGCGTGAATGAGTAAATATATGCGCCCAGTCTCAACGAAATATGATTTCGGAACAAGCACACCTGATTTAGGCCACGTCGTGGCGTCGCAAGATACTACATAAAAATTTAGACTACCCTAACTCATCGAAGGTTGAACGTTGAATGCATGATCAATGATAACTCGAAGGTTAAAGACACATTTTTCGATAAATGCTTGGTTATAAGGTTGTATATTCTCCGCAAGTGGAGTACACGACCAGAATAACCATGGCGCTTCGTGCATTCAAAATTGATTTGGAGCGTCGAATCCTCACATCAAAGACGATGAATGAGCGAGAGATGAAGCTAAGCTTCTTGAAGGAAAACGGATGCGTGTATAACTAGTTTAGTTAGTCTACATTGCTCGCTCGCTTAGTAAGCACTTGTTAGTTCACCAACATCGAGTGTCAATATTAATATTGTTGCAAGTCTCGGACCAACTCTCATGCATCATGGATGATTTAACTGTCGAAGATGAGAAGAAACCTTTCGAGGCTGAACACAATGATGACGACGCTCAACCAGACCCTGATGAGGAGCTAATGTTGGACAAAGGAAACGGGAGAGTATGGCTTGTCAAGGTGAGCATCTCCTGCCCCATGGCTGTTGAAAGAAGGGTAGAAAGTACTACTTCAACCCTGTCGGAGCCTCTCGATTCCTTTTATTTTCTGGGCTTTCTAATGCTCGTTTTCATCTGAAGATACCAAAACATCTCATGGCCCGCTGGGCAGCCATTGACGCAGAGGATGTTCATCTTGCTACAATCCGGGTGTACAAAAATGCCGTCAGCTCATCCGGTCGATCCCCTCGCATCTTCTTGTTCTTGCCCCCTGATCCGAATGACTCAACTCCACGGGATTCAAGCCTGCCGGTCTTTTCTCCGGACGCAGCTTTCATACCTTCTGTTGAGGGGGGGTTGCAAGTAGACAGATATGAACTTGAAATGGTCAACGAGGATGTTGAGAATCAGCTGGTAGTCGCAGAACGTCCTAAAGACCCTGGTCCTTCTGGACCAAACTCCACCTCGTATAACCCTCGAGCTAGAACGACAATTCTAACGGGTCGCATCAAACATGAATGTAATTTGCGTCCTCTTTTCAACGAGTCATACAGGCAACAAATGCGCGAACGAACTCGAAAATATAATACCCCACGAAGGCAGATCCGTATGATAGAGGATGCTGGTGTTAGCCGCGGAGGCATTAACAGGTTAAGCAGTGGAGTCAACTCGGGATCGTTTGCGAATATGATTGTCCGTGTCTGCTTATTTAGATCGTCGCTGATAACTAACCCAACCTCATAGAAATTTCGACCCAAACCTGCCAAGGGCACATTTGAGCGTATGGCGCGTATGCCACGCAACCAACTGCTGGATCTTCTCTTCACACTATTTCGCGAACAACCTCGGTGGAGCATCAAACCACTGCGCGAGCGCACCCAGCAGCCCGAGGCATATCTCAAAGAGGTCCTTCTTGCTATTGCTACCTTGAATCGCAGCGGAGAGTACAATGGAATGTGGGAGCTGAATGATGTGTTCGCCAAAGAAGGGGTATTTCATATCAGTTATGGTTATTTTCCAGAACTGAAGTCTAGAGAACAGATGAAATCTGAAAACGTCCCTGGACCAAGTTCTCTTCCAGAAGGAGTCTCGGGTGATATGGGGATGGACGAATACGATGAGGACGAGGATGACGATGACGACATGGAAGAAGTTTCATAGGTTTGCATCACGGACAGGTCTCATTGTTTCTTCCTTGTTTTCTGCTCATCATGTATATATATATAGCTGCCTTCCATTAACGCGCACAGTTATTGAACCAGTTCGCCCGTGTGAAAACAGCTCCGAGGATAGAACTTGGTGCATGATGCGTGATGGAAGGCAGAACTTCTAAGGCTGTTACTCATAACTCTTGACTCACTATGAATATCCCGGCGTTTTGGTGACGGTCAGGGCAACTATAGAGTTCATGTTGTGGGCAATAGTGGTGCGTCCGTCGTTTGCTCATGGCCTCATTGCTCGTCGACTCATAGTAGATGATTGTTAGGCACTGGCAAGGTAGGCTTAGCTAAATTATTTTCGAAGTCTTGAAATCAACTCTTTGAAGTCAACCCTCAGCGCGTACATTGCCACTAAACTCAATGTGCCACATATCTCCCTAGATGCACTTTTCTGGGGACCTGGGTGGGCAACCCCTTCAGATGACGAGTTTAAGGAAAGAGTTTCTGCTGCGATAACACAGAACTCCAAAGGATGGGTCATCGACGGCAATGGCAGTTGCAGCGCCACGCTCATCTCAGAACATTCAACAGATGTCATTTGTACGTCTTTTGACTTTTGACTTATCTACCCTGAGAGTTGACGTGTCGTGATAATCTGCACCCTCCCGGTTTAGGGCTCGACCCCCCTCTATGGTTCTACTTGCCACGAATATTTTGGCGTACGCTTCTTCGCCTGTTGACCATAATTCCAACCTGCGCAGAAGGGTGCGACGAAACTTGGGGAGATGTCCTATCCACAAATGGCATCATCTGGTTCTGCATTTCCCACCATGGATATTGCAAACACAAGTTCGGCGAAATGCTCGCTCGTAGCTCGATTACAAAAGGAGGAAATATGAGGCGCCTCAATGAGTGGGACGGCGATTTGATGATGTGGAAGGCTGGACTCGAGGAGATGCTACGCACGCACTAAATAGTCTACTCGTTGTAAGTAATATTGTATCCTACCACCAGTTCATGCATCCTCAAAAACGACACTTTGCCTGGTGTAAATATTACTCATAATGCTCCAGCTGTAGAATGCCCTACGAGCTTGAATGAATGCCGCATCGTGATAAAGGCCCTCAAAATGCCGAGCGGACTGCGAAATAGGCCAATGTCACCATCGTGTGACCGCATGGCATGCATACCCTCGGCGAAGCGAGGCGCCCACGAGTGTAGGATTAGAATGAAACTTTGTGGCAGCGGCAGTGCAGCCCTGCAGCCTTCTTTTCCCTACCCACCATTCCCTTGTCCCCCTTTCCAGGGGCCTGGGTAGCTGGTACCTACTGAGTTTGAGGCTGCCCGCCCTCCCTTGCACAGGTTGGGGTCGCTATCGGGGCTTCCACCCAAAAACTATTTGCTTCAATAAAGCAAACAATTCCTTTTGTTCTCGCTACCACTACTGAGACCGCAAACATAAAGTCTGGTGGTAACCAATAGTATGATATTTGATTCGTGATTCAAATTCAATTCATTTAATATTAATGATAAGGTTATCCCGAAAGTTATCTGATCGCGTAATTCCACATCATCTTCTTCATTCTAGGAGTGACCGCCCAGACTCTTCCGAATTCTGGTCCGGTTTCACTGTGCCCCGGCCCCTAATACACTTAAAATATTTGTTCAGGTGAATCGAGCTCGTAGTAAAACAGCATCACTATTACAAGGGCTTCAAGCATCCGAGGCTGAACGAGTTTACCATGGTGAACCCGTCTTAGACCGAACAAGCCTTATATAATGACTCACTGATCACGGAAAGCAGGGTCACACGATAGGCTTTGTCGAGCTCCACCAAGCAAACAGATTTCTATATAGACTTGTTGAGCGGCAAGTTCCGAAATTTGGAAGGCCTAGTCACATCAGAACTGTTCTAGTACTGATAGTAACAGGCATGATATTCTGGCTCAGTGACTGTCGATACCCCGACCTTTGCTCTGGAGTCTGGGTCGACTCATGTAAATGTGCTCGGGGTCTACTTCAATATGACCGGTGACCTTCCAAAACAGAACAAACAAATCTCGTAATCCGTGCAGATTCTCAGAATATCAGCACCACCCTGACTTAAACCCTGAAAACGTACTCGCCCTAATCGGACGAGAATAAAATGCGGATGGGCCATCTACTCATATGAAAACGTTGCAGTATTTTCCCAGTCTCTTAGCCCCATCATCGCTTGAGGAGCTGAGCACTGCACGTTGATTGTGTCTAGCATGCCACTTACTGCTGCTGGCATCTCGTAGGTCTTGAAGTTCGTCAGATACCTGCTCGTCTTACCGGCGCACTCAATCAGGTTTGGCCCCTTGCTCGCAGGCTTTGCCCTTAACACAATCTTGTACGGCGCGCTGGTCACATCAGTGCTCTTATATTTCTCTTCCTTCAAAAGGTGAGCAATGTGATCAAATATGAATGCTCACTTTGTAATCAATTCTCTGCCAGCGACGGCGCATGGATACGACTTCTTGTATGAGGCATTTTTTAAATGGGTAGACAGCTGATTGATTTTACTTTTCAGGTGTCAGCCCTTTTATTGTTGTGCACCGCCAATGTCGTCCTGGAGTATGTCTTCTTGAATGGCACTCTCATCATCCACTTTGGTATGTTCATTCCTATCTATACTGGATGCAGAGTCCAAACAGGTTGCTACAAGGGGATCAATATGCATTGTCCAGAGCCAATTGGGGTATGTTGTTTCTTCATAATTCATCCGGCATGGTGATCTCATTCGACGTTTCCAGTTTTCTCCTTACGTGCGTACTTCTCTTCGGTAGTCATCTATTAGCATCTCAGTAATCGCCCATATCATTCTTAGTACCTGGCATCACGGTATTTTTTTTCTTCGATCGTAACCCTCTTGCCTGCTGACGGTGCACAAGGGTGTTATATCCACCCTTGTCCAGTTCTTCTTCGCCTGGAGAATTCGCATCTTGACGTCCAGTTTCTGGCTAGTTGGAATCATCGTCCTTCTCGCGAGTGCTGCATTCCGTAGGTAGTCTGACTGTTCAAACCCACCATTATTGTCTCATGGCTGCCAGTTTGTGGCATTGGAACCACAATTGCGATCAATATGGTGCCCGTGTTCACGCAGTTTCATAGGTTCGAAATCGTATTTGTCGTTGGCCTTGTCTCTTCTACTTTTGACAACCTCCTGATTACCGGGTTGCTTGTCCGTTCCCTGGTCTGTCATTGCTGGTTTTGATACGGGTATACATGCTTAAATATGCTACAGAGAGAACATAAAACTGGATTCATGGACACTGACCATATCATCAAAAAGATAATACGAGGTACGTGGCTTCCAGTCGGTTCCTATGTTAATGAGCGAAAATTTGGCATTTTAGTCGTTCTGCAGACGGGTTTGCTGACAGCAATATGGGCCCTTGTTGACCTGGCCGTATATATAGCGCTCGTGAGTCCGTTTGCTCGGTATTAAAGATCAACTTACATGTCTGGTTTCACCAGACTGATGGCATGTAAGTACGTCTTTCATATGCTTTTCGAAAAATTAATACTCCACAGGCATCTGGTCTTCAATCAATCTCTTGCACAATTTTACACAATTTCCCTTATGTCGACGTTGATAACCCGTCCACGAGACCATGCTTACACCGACTTCACTGTTGTGAATGGAGAGCAACCAGAGAGAAGGGTCCGTCATCTTTTTCTTGGCTCACAATGCCGAAGCTCCTTTCGATGATCAACAGCTAACCAGGATATCAGGATGCCCAAATTCCCCTTGAATATAGAAATGTAAGGGATATCCTGTCATACAAGATCTCGTGCTTAATCTCGACGTAGATTGATCGGAGAAGAAATTCTGAGTTGGTTTTTGACGTTGTCAGCCTAAAGAAATTCGACACGGTACACGATGCCACGGGCACTCGACAGTGACATATAGAATCCGACATGTATCATGCATGATGTCGCACTGTATTATTATGACTACCGCAAGCATGTAGATAGACTCATCTGTTCCATGTTCATGACATTACATTAACGTTCATGCATCCAGACCGAGTATATATTACATACATAATACATAAGCGGCCTCGTGGATAATATACTTGGCGATAAGCAAGTGCTTTACCTCATGAGGGTGGAGGCTTTACGTCTTGAAGGCGACTGCCTTCTCTTTATAGACTATCATCATCATCCACACCACAATGGCATCCGATTATTACGATGCGAGAGCGTTGGTTTTAAAAACGTTTAATCCTCACATGCTGTCTGCCCATCAAGTAGACCTCTCAGCCATCATCTAGAGCAATGGCATCAACCGTGGACCAAGCCGCTGTGCAATTCCCTCCTCTCTTGTCCAAGAAATTCAACATCACTGACATCAAACAAGACATGCTCAAGTGGGATAAGGAGTGGGAGGCGGCGATCGCATCATCAACAGCAGCAGACGTCCTCAAGGAGATTTCCCGTGTCTTGGATGATTCTTTTTTCGCTCTTGATGACCTGGAGTCCTTCCACTTGGATCTCCGCAACGTCCAAGAAGCCACAGCTCAAAGCCTGCGCAAGATCTTCCACGAAGGGCACTTTAAGACCATATGGTTGCTGCTGGATGCCTCTGAGCAGAGGAGACATATCCTTGAGGGCCTTGAGAAGGCATCTGAGGCACCTACGTTCTGGGGCCAAGATAGTCGTGCTCTTTGTCCGGAGGTCACAGTTTCGAACTTGCTATCGGAGGGTGGGAAGCGTTTTGTCGTTTTTCTTGCTCATTTCTTGGAGGTCTTCGAGTCGTCTGATCCAGCGCTCCTGCCAAACTCGTGGTGGGAACAGGCGTCGGATATGCCAAACCCATGGTGGGAACAGACAGCGCATGATGCTGAGAGAAAGAGATCCGAAAGCACAAAGATCGTGTTTGAAGTCGCAAGTATCAACAGGAACAAGTTCATTGGTGGGATTTCTCCCGCTCATCAAACACTGCGCATGTCTGAAAAATCAACTATTAGGTTTCTTCTTGCTGTTCTCGCTGGCGTCGATTTTACACGACATTACCCATCGTAGCAAGGGGATGAAAGATGTCCTGGCCGTCATGGAGAATACAGGAGCATATTTTGCCCATTCCTTAGCACAGGCAAAGTCCTCTCTCAGGGACAAGCCCCTTGTACGATGCGAGAACTGCACGAAGACACCAGAAGACATCGGACAAGGCGCTCGCTTCATGGTATGTAGTACTTGCAAATCGAAACTTCAGTTCGAAGTACATTATTGCTCTCAGTACGTACTAGTGCTATAATCTTCTTCATCATGTCTCATGTTTCATTCGCTAGATTCTGCCAGAACGAAGACTGGCCCATTCACAAAAAGGCCTGTGGCAAGAAGAAAGTTTCGAAAGGTCTCAGCGGAACCAAGGGTGACAACCTTTGGCAATTCAGTGGTCAATTGAGTCCAATCGCCGACATGATGCGTGATCTCCCAGGAAATCAGGATGGGACTGTGAGTCTCGCAAACATCGGCGTAAGTCCCTGTAAGGGCCAACGTTCCCCTGCTGCCGAGCGTCAAGCCAAGATGCTTGAAGCTGACAAAGATGCCGATTATTTCCTCTTCACTGCAAGCGATGTACCAGTTCGCTTTGTAATCGATGATCTGGGAGCGAAGATGATCTTCCGGATCAATCGGCGCATGTTCATGACGCAGACCGCAGATTCTGGCCTCGAGGCTGTAGCTGAGTACATACTCAAACACATGAGCGAATATCCTGGTTTGAGTCGGGACATCATCCTCAAGCAGCTCTGCGCGGAATACGGAAATAACACCACTGAAAAGGTAGTCGAGTGGGAGCGGAAAAGTCGAGAACGTGGAATCGGCACCGGCACAGTTATAGGGTCTCTGTCGAAGGATTTCATGAAGATATTTGGGCACACCATCTCCAACTGGTACGGGTTTTTGTTCTCGCTTGCCGGATTTTATTGATCTGTGTTTAGAGACGGCACATCGTCTTCTCAAGAGACTACGAATGCCTTCCGATCGTATCCGTCCAGCATTCCTTTAACCTGAAACGCTTGACCTAGTTCTTCAAGGATATTTTGTGTGTCGATAGAGTATACAGTACTTAATCGTCATGTTATTATCGTGGTGATAAACACCAAGTTCACGCTTATGCTAACTTCCAATTCAATCATCACTAAGTTTACTACACTTTTGACTATGCCTCGATGGCAAGAACCTCAACGCCAGTATAACGGGGTACTTCCGTGGGCCTTCACGATCCTGCAAGCCTCGTCAAGGGCATCGACAACATCCTGTGGGAGGGGCCCTTTCTCCGAATCAACACAATTTTGCTCTAATTGCGCTGCACTGCTAGCGCCTAAGATAATTCCGTCTTCTGGCGTCAGTAAAGAATGGTGTTGGCACCAACGAAGAGCAACCTCTGTAAGACGCAGACCGTGTCCATCCTGTCCAAGTCATTAGTTATGTAGACTGTCAGTAGCAGAGGGACATACGGCAGCGGCTTTCACAACCTCAAGAGCCTTAAGGTACCCTTCCGTAAGGTACCGTGCTCGGTACATCTGGCCCATCTTCGACTTCGGGTCAAAGCGACCACCCTTGGGAGCTACCTCCTCGGTGGAAAGCACTTTACCTGCAAAAAGACCACCGCTACATCTTGTGATGAGGCTTCCATCCAGATAATATTATTCTCGAACCCCACTCACGCTAATGGGTTGTAACTGACGAGCCGCAAGCCATACTTCCGGCAGCAAGGGACGAGCTCAGGCTCCATCTCCCGGGTGATCGCGTTGTACATCCTACGTGCGTCATGAGTACTTGCTATTACAGCTGGACAGTTGCACTAACACCTGGTAAATCTTTGGTAGCACATAATTATTCGCTTTGCAGATCCCGACAATTTCTGCAACCTCCCAAGCTGCAAAGTTACTGTTTTATGACTTAGTACTTGAACTTGGAAGAGTATTCAACGAACACACTCACCTCAGACCAAATATCTCGCTGGTGGGTCAGTCAGATTCCATTCCTTCATTTGGAGGGACGTGGACACTCACAACCGACCCTCTGTATAGAGCTTGTTAATCTCTCGTACAGTGTCCTCAAATGGAACACTGCGATCGGGTGCGTGCAAATACAAGACCCGGACTTTGTCACGCTTCAGATATTGGAGGGACGTGAGGAAAGTAGACCGCAATGCACGCGGGCTGTGATCTCCCGGAGTGACAGGGTACACTCTACCCCATCAAGTCAGCACATGTCTCAGGCCACAGCGTAAAACCATACGACGCACTTGGTGTCGATTGTCGCATTCTTCAAATCGAGCCTGGCCAAGATCTGGCGTGAAAACCATTCAGTTGGCGCTAGGGTTGTGACGTTCAACGCGTCAGCATGCCCACCTGTTCAGTGGTGCCCTCGGCATACATGCGTGCCGTGTCCACTTCAGTATGACCGTGACTGAAGAAGATGTCTAGGATTTCCTGACAGTCCTTCTCGCTGGACGTCCGCACTCCGTTCATGCCTTCGAACCCCATGGTCATCGTCCCCTTTCCTCATACATATCAGCGCGATATTTAAGGAAATATTCAAGTTCCTTACAAAAAGAAGAGGAATGCGGGTCGACATGTTAGAAATGGACAAGTTATTCAAACTAACTCAGCTGGTGGTGATGGTTTCAACAAAGTGTTAGCTTTGTGACTTTGTTAGTTTCGGGAGACTTGAACATACATATCTCAGGCGGACTCCCGCTTTCCTGATGGCTTCTTGTCATGTGTACAAGTCTACGGAAAGGCTACAGAGATGAGGCGACTCGTTGGCCTCATGATAGTATCTATATACAGAGAGATAAGATAATAAGATGCTGCCACGTGTTCCTCGAAAACTATACAATTTATACAATATCTACGTAAGGCCAGTGCAGCATGTACTTCTCACTACATTAGGGCATTATCACACATGTATAATCGAAGCAAGCCGAGAATAAGAAAAAGAACACAACTGTGAAGTTTAATGCCCATGCCTCGAGTGTGAAGCTGAACCATCAGGGGTTTACCATCTCAGATACATTCGTGATGTACGTTCCCCAGTCATTAAGCCTGTGTATTTATCAGCAGGGGCAATTTGAATTAGCCCAAATGAGCATGACTTACTCAAAACCAGTGGGAGCGTTGGACCACATAGCAATCGTGTCCGTGTTCATACAGCTCGCTCCAGGATGCGGAAGCACATTATGCTGATGTGTTCCATCCATCATACTCTGCATCCCCTGAGGGTCGCCGTCATAAGACGAGGGAGCGGGGGTCCCTGATTGATATTGCGCCGGATACTGGCTCATCTGCTCGTAGAACATATCATCCATGCTGTACGCGGCAGAAACAGTGGCCTGCGAATAATCTTGAGGCGGGGACATATTTTGTATAGAAGTCTGCGTAGCGTGTGGTTGCACCGGATTCCCACCCCCGTGAGAGTACCACATATTACTGTCAGACGAGCTAAAGTTCACTTGTCCATAGAGCGGTAGGCGCCCAAGATCATTGCTGTAGAGTGGAAGATCAAATGAGCTCACAGGCTTCGAGCGGGTGTGTGCAGCTGCTTCGCGTATGATGCGGCGCGATCCCGCGATGGTGCGGGGTACCTCTGATAGTGAAGTCGTAGGTGGGGCAGATATTGGACTATCTGAATCACGTTCACGTTTCGTTCTGCTAGGAGGACTGGGCTGGGGCAGCGGAAGGTCACCGACAGATGCCAGTTCATACAGGATATCCCTTCATTATAGTTTGAGCCCTCACCGAAGAAAATAAAAATAAAAATGTACATACCACAAACGACCAGCGGAGTGCCAGCTATGAATTAATGAGAAACATTCTTCCGCAGTAAAAAAAGTCGACAGACCGTTTTTCGCACGACTTCAGGATGGCCATGCACTTGTGCACGTCTGTCATCTCCTTCGTAGGATCAGTGTATAGTCCAGAACGTTTTCCACCCCAGATATTCAGGAGCAAGACAATACCTGCCGTGAACGCAGGCATCTAAAGTAGTATTACGATGTACTGAACACAAGGGATCGAAATTCCTTGACATACCTGCGAATAAGGCACCAGCTTACCAGATCGACATCGAAATATATCCATGACGTGGCTGCAAGATCGAGCAGCATTTGTACAGATTGCCAAGGAAGGGAAAGACAGAGGAGATGGTTTTCGGGGTGACGGAATGAATGGGCGGTGGATGAGAATCTGGACATGATAGTAACTGGAATAGAGGGAATACGACTGCAGGAAAAAGTCATTAATTTCCATATTAGGGTCCCATCTGACTTTAGGTCGTAGATTTTAGCAGCAGAGATAACGAAGTCCAAGGTAAGATACATACGGTGATCAGGAACAGCGTCGACCCATCTATTAAGCGCAGAATCAAGTTCTGCAACTATTTGCTGCTCCCACTGCTGCCCAACGAAGCCAAGCAGTATTTTCAGCTTGTTGATCGAATACTGCAGCACGTCATTAGTCGATGGTTCTTATACGAGAAATTACATACGATAGTACGAAGAGCAAATGCGAGTATGTGGTCAAGCTTCAGTATATTGACAAAGTACGATATCAGAGAAGGTTTGCCAGGAGGTTGCTTGAACACTTGGTCCGGGTCCGGGTGTTCCCAGTAGTCGTCATCACATTCAAGAGGCATGTCAAGATCGAAGCTATGATTTCGGTCAGCTTCGTATCTTCAGAGTGACGCAGATAAACCCACTCTTCATCCTGTATCGCACACGGTCGTCCCAACGATGAGCTCACCAATCGGTCTAGGCAGATGAGAACCCTGACACAAAACATTGAGCCACAATGTGCGACGGCAAATTATTCGAACCATACCAGAATGCACGTTTCCAAAGCTCCTCTTCGACAGTGGGTTTATGGCCGTAAGCCTTGCGGCGATGGGCACCAACATCCTGCGCAAGACGTATACCAATTCCAACGATGGTCCAACATGCCTGCGGAGCCGAAGTCCCCATCAAGTAGATCACAGATAGCTAGGTGCGAGTTAGTACAAAGAAGGAGCGCTGACTCGACACCTACACAATGTACTTGGAGGTCCTCCAGACGTGGTGGCCCAAGCAAGGTCTTCCTGACCATCTGCACCTGTTCAAAAAACTTCCATCCCGACGAATGTTCGCTCTGGCCTTCCAAACAGACGCGGCGATCGTCAGAGAAGCGCGAGCCCACGGCAAGGACCAATAAATACACCGCCCCAAATGTCATGTCTCGGTGGTGGTGCCCCTGTGCCACCTTGCGCTCAAAGGTTGGCCGGTGTAGCAGGGGACTCAGAACATTACAGTGCGTGAAATAGAGATCGACAAGGGAGGTAGCAAGATCTTCCTGAGGAAAGTTATAGATCGCCTCAACAACATCCTTTGCGCCCAGCTCCCACTTGATGAAATGTCAACTCTAGAAACAAAAGCTATGACTATACGCACAGGGAAGGTTCCACGAAACTCAGGGCGACCTTTGTGTTGCCTAAAGTCAGGTAGGATATCTTCATCGCCAGTGTACTCCTTTTTGAGGTCGATAGCTTTCTGGATTAGCGTCACACCGCTGGATTTTCCAAAGAAACGGGATAAATTTGGATTGATAGACATGTTCTGCATGTGATCAGCGAGGCGGACGGATACTATATCGTCATCATCACTGGTTACGAGATCTTCGAGAGGAGTGGTAGCATAAGGGCTCATGACATGGCTGGTTGAGCCATTCATATTGCCTTTTTGCCAGGTCTCCCTGTCCAAGGGTCCGCCTCCGAGCTCCTGAGAGAAGTCGGCGTCAGGGCAGACCTGGGTTGGAGTGAGCGACGATCATGGAGAGTATCTGCGCAACAAACCGACCTTTTTCAGAAGCTTCTCCATCTTCTCCAAACGATTCTCCAGGCTCTCGACATACCTAAGTCATCGTCAATGGCAAGTACCTCGGGTGAATGTGGGAAACGCATTGCTTCACACTTACCCCTTTGGGGGACCTCGTTTCTAGAGTAGGGTGCGTCAGGCGCTACTCGAGGAGATGACCGAGAGGGAGAACACACCTTTGCGGCCTCTACGTACGTACATTCAAAATTATACGCAATGCAATTGGAACATCGGTTCCCTGGCATCTGACTTCCATCGCCTTAAAACGAACACACAAAGCCAAAAACATAATAGCAAGAGAGGACATGGTCAATTTTACTGATGGGATGACCGCCGGGGGGCGAGAGGTAACGAGGCTGACTCACATCGGACTGTATCAGACGGCCAAAATTAACGGCGGGCCTTGTACAATCCAAGACAAGCAGTACTTACTCTTCTTGCGTCTACATATGTCACACGCCCTTTGCACTCGTCGTTTTTTGGAACCAGGTAAGGTTGAGGCATTATCGTGCTCGTTGTACTCGTCTTCTGCGGATGACATGGCGGAATGGGTTTGAGCCCTTGCGGGGATTGCATAGGCTGTATCAGGGTTCACGTGGTACTGAGTACACTGACCTGAGAGAAAATTAATGTCAATAATAATGATGCGTACTCAAGCCGATGATATTCGTAACCCAGGACCCTACGGCATGGGAGCGCAAGTTTCATAATATTCATTTCACTTTCATGCACTACTTATCTTCCAAATGTGCCACAGTCGCAGTATCGTCGTCAGTTCAAAATCGGGCTGATCATTAAATTGTCTGCAATTGATGGTCAAGCTTAAGTTTTTCCGAGTCCATATGATATTCATCAGGCTGCCGCTGGGAACAAAGTGTCTAAATTTATCAGGGGGTTATTTATTTATTTTAATTTCATATTATATTAATAATTACTAATGGGTGGCAATGTCCAGATGCAACACTTGTAGGTCAGCTACTCCGCTGACTCCACTGATAGATGACTCAGATCTCAGATCCGTCACTGACAGAAATCATGCATGGCCGCCATCAGCTGGGGTTGGTGCCCTTTGTGGAGTATTGGTGCCTGGTCAGTGACTTCCCCAACATTCCACAACACGTACAACTAAATCCGTAAACGGAAACACCACTGGTCATTACCTAATATACGTACAACTTGGCGGGTACACACTATGAGTACATAAGGCAAGGGTTCGAAAGCAAATTGAACACAACACCCTAATCCATAGGAATAACTACCTGGTAATTAAGGTGACTACTATTACAACGTAAATGGACAGCGAGGATGACGGAGTATGACATGCAAGTGCAAATTATATGTGGGAAATGCAACGATAAGAGGAAGGTCGGGGGGAAGCGCAGCATAAGGATGAGTAAAACGCGCGGCAGAGGGAGGGAAACCGCGCCCTGCAGTATCAGTAGCATGTTCGCGAATGGAGCATGGGAGTGCTAAAGTACGATAGAAAAGAGAGATAAACGCAACCGTGCCGCGTGATTAGAGGACAAGACAACGAGAAAAAGAGACCCCATAACATATGCGAGAGACACCAGATTATAGAAGATCCACGTGTTGGCAGAATTCAGCAAGAAAATCACCACCCCGAGTAGTGGTAGTCGTCCGCCCAACTTCGATTTCGAGCCATTGCGCGACGCCTGCGCTCATCCCTATCCTGAGCCTCTGCACTCATAGTAGCGCTAGGATTCTCGCCCATGGAAGTTGTCGAAGCAAGCGGTCGCAACCCACCAAGTACGCCATTGGTCGCGCGTCTTGCGTTTGCAGCTGGGTTGGTAGTACTGCTTACCTGCCGCTCCCACAATAATTGCCTCCGCATGCTCTCTGACAGCTCTGTCCGAAGCATTATTCGCCGGGTTGTGCGCGGCGTCATGGGTAGTGCGGGAGCGGGAAGGTTATAGGGATGACCGAGGGGTATAGGTGCCGTGGATTGTGCAGCAGGAGCGACGTGATTTTCTGCCACACGTACATGCGTATGCTGAGCCAGTTGCGACGCAATGCCATTTTCCGGTGCGCGCCGCGACATTAGCGCTTGAAGTCTCTGCTGTGCCACACTGCGCGATACCTGGATTTTATCGTCATCATCGTCGTCCCCACCACTCTCATCTTCCATCTCTTCTTCTTTCGGGCGTCCCTTTGGCCTATACCCCCCTTTCTCGTTCTCTTTCCCCCTCATTCCAGACGATGGGGGCTTCGAACTCGACGTGGCAGTGATTTGCGCAGCCAGGGGTAACGCCGCCGAACTTTTACTTGTCTGCAGCCTCACAGGCCCTGCAAATCCACTAACGCTCCTTTGTGGAGCCTGCGCCTGCTCAGCTTGACGCTGCACTTGCCGTTGCATCCGTACAAGATCCGCGGTTGATTGACTCAAACGACACGGATGATTCGGCGGGAATATCGCAGGATTAGGGTTCATGAGCTGCGAAAGTAGCCCCGATTGCGTGCGATTGAGATTCGAGTACGAACGCTTGGGAACCTTTGCGAAGAGGTCACGTTGGCGCTGAGCCTCCCGTGCAGCTCCGCGCAGCCCAGCTTCATTGGCTTCATGGGCTTTGTCCTCAGCGTCCATATCCTCAGAGGCCCATCCAGAGTCATCCGCATCAGTAGTTTCGTAGTCTTCCTCAGAGGTACTAGCTACAACGATGGTTTTTCGTTGTTGGGGACCCGTGGCGGTACTTGCATTAGCAGCAGCATTGCCAACCCCGTTGGCGTTTCCGTTGGCTACGGTGTTGCCATTCGCAGCAGGGAGAGGAGCCACGATCGGACGGGCAGGTTTTAAATTGATAGCTGTCATACCGTCAAGCATAGCGCCCAATCCATTAACCACAGGAGCAGGTGGAGGCGGGGGCGGAGTGAGCTTCGCCGAGCTCCCATGAGCAGACTTGGACCCGTTCGATGAGTTTGAACCAATATTAAACATCGCACGCGGTTTACTATCCTGAATCGAATGCTTGCGCTGAATCGAAGGACCGATGTGCCTTGCCGAGTGGGTCCGTTTTGCCAAAGGTGGCCGGGCAGATGATCTCCCCAATTCCTTACCCTTCTTGGGCTTAGTACTAGCACGATCTTTCTCCTTCGGCTCTTTCGTTACTCCTTTCTCATTATCAGTGCTGTACATCTGACTGGAGGCCGCGCTCGACGCATCGAACAAATCAACATGGCTCTTTCCACTCTCCGTTGAGCCGTCGCGTTCCGGGGACGCATCCTCAGGGCTCTGCTGTAAGAAAAACCTTCCAGAGATCTTCGAGGACTCGGCGCCTCGGGCCGGGGACGGTAATAGTTCGTCAGGTGGAGGTGACTGCGGGAGCGGCTTGTTCCGCTTGCGCTTGACGTTTCATCATTAGTGCGGGCGAGGGAAGCGGCGGTAGAAGAAACGTTGATGGTGGCTGTGAAGCGCCAGTTGGTTCTTCACTGAGGGAAGGCGTCATCGGTGGAGTAGGTTGGGGCGTGGGGTTGACAACGACGACGCGCGGAAAGTAAGCTTCTGCAGAGGTAGGCGTCGAGGGAAGCTGAACGGAGGGTACGGTAGCTTGTTGAAGCGAACACGGTGATGGCGTCTTGTCGGGTATAAGGATATTATTTGGCAACATGTCTATTATTATTCGGCCTGCAAACGAAGACGATTTGGGGCGGAAGGAAGTGGTGAGAAGCGGTGCTACGGGGGTGCCTGATGAGAATTGAGATGTGCGCAGGCGCTCAGGAACAACAGGGCTCGTTGTAGATGCAGGGGATGGAGGATGTTGATATACGGATGTCGAATGCGGGCAAGGGAGTGTGCCTACATGTGCGGAACGCAAGGAGAACGCGAGATGAGCAACGACGAAAAAGGAAATAATCCTCGGACATACCTGAAGGCTGGACTACCTTGACAGGGTCGGTAAGGGGGAAGAACAAGCTACGGGTATCGGACGATACTTTGGGATTCGAGACGGAGTCCGGCGTAGGCGGCAGGTATGACTGCTGAGCTAGAATAAGCTCACGGTGCCATAGCCTCCAAGAGATATTCTCCAGTCTTCGGCCATCCTGAAGTGACTCCTTGCACTTTGTGAAAACTAGAAAGAGAGTTAGAAAGCTAAATGATGACGCAGTCAAAACTTACTAGTCCAGAGAGCTGAGAGGGCATCTTGCCCTTGAAGATCTTTCACTGCATCGGGTGCGACAGAGAGAACAGGTGTAGGTAAGGTTGTGAGCATGGAGATGGGGCGAAGTCAAGGACGTTAGAAGATACAAGCGCCTTTGGGGACTATAATCAACGTTTGAAATCGCGAGAAGACCCTGCTAGAAATCCTAGTTATTCTAGAATGAGGAATTCACGGAATTCTGGTATTTAGTTTACCGGACCAGATATCGGACTTGACAGATATCAGGCGCTGGTCTTAACACGCCCTTGCAAGACCTTGTATGGTCTTGAATGTAAGAAGAGAAGGATGTGAGAGAGAGCTGCTTGAAGAGTGAGGTTTCATTGAAACCACTTGTCCCGATTTGCACCTTGTGGCCCTGTGGGTCTCCGGTCCGACCGCCAGCGCAACGACACCGGCCTCATGCCTTGACACCCCCGATTATCGTATTTTTTTTATTTCCATGTGGTATCCGTAGCATCCAATTCAACAAGTCACACTCAGATCTGAATCATGTGCATGGTCACCAGCTCAATTTTCTACGTAAATCAACAGCCAACTTCAATATCATATCTGCCAGATCGTTCGTGACGACAAACTGCTGCGGGCTTTACATTCATCCGTTAACAAACTTTTTATCAAATCTCCTTAAACAAATTCTTTTAGGGTAAAATTACGCTATCACTCGAATTTTTATTTTATGGTTTGAGATAGGATATTTCAACGAGACGTGAGATCAACAGGAGAAACGAAACAAGTCCCAATTATGAGGACATCAGATAAGCTTCACAATGCGAATACAGCAGCTACATCACTTGATACGGATCCAAATGGGTCAATATAATATGAACCTAATATACGAAATGAAAGCGAAAGAAACGGACGCGATTGCAGGCGTAATACGCTGCGAAGTTCAACGTCAAATGTACACAATGCGAAATGTGGCTGATGTAGTCCACTGGATATATCTGGCTTGCGAACGAATTTAGTATATGTACATTACACTGTACGCTAACACAGCCGCTTCTGGCATTGGCTGTAGTACCGGGGTTTGTAGTAGTAGATTTGACCCTGAATTCCCGCGGATTCCAAGTGTGGGGTACTGAGCGGTCTGCTTCGGTGCGGAGGAATCCCTGATATACACGTAGATGCGGGGGCAGTCAACGATCAGGTGGACTTTAGCTCACCTTGGACTAGCGGTAGAACTCCGGCATCGGTATCTCATTTTTACAAGTCCCTTTTTCGAGGTGATATTTCAACCCGTTTGCGTTCAAGTACGTCTGGGGACATTAGGTTTCACTTCTCCTCTTCAAGACGCCGAGCCTAGACTTACTTTGGTGCAATCAGGGCGCTAATGAGCGGAAATTAATGGGGTGGGCATGTGGGCGAAATCAAACAAGCTCACAGGACAGTTATAAGTCTTGTCTTTTTTTCGTTGACGAGGTCGATGGACCCGTTTTCCAGTGCGAACTGGTTTGCTCTTTACCTTGGCGAACGAGTTTTGTGGTAGACATTCTTCTGAACTCGTCTCTATAGGACTGATCGGCTCTGAACTGATAGAGGGCGAAGACCATCGAGACACAGATTCGAAACAAGATCCCGGTTCAAGAAACGCCACAGGAGCCCTTGGTGCAGGATAACCCAACACAAAACTCATGTAAGGTCCCTCGTTCTCTTGATCTAGAACGCGAAGTATCGGGCTAGGGTTCGGGTACACAGCATTCCCGGCGCTGTCGAACACTACGACATGTGCTTCCTCAAAGTGATCCACCAATGAGTGAAGGTCTCTAAGAGACAGCCCGCAACATGTGAAATCTGAGCACTGAAATAGACGCGTTACATCAGCCCGTACCATCAAAAAAATAGAGAATAAGAACCCACAATAGTTTGTTCACGCTCGACGAATGGCGTGTCGTCGGACCATGGCGACGAGGAACGTGGCAATGATCCGATGTGTGCGGACATGGGCGGGGCATATGGAGACCATGGGTATCTGAGGTGTGATATAAAAAAAAGCGTGATCTGTTAGCATCTCGGATCCAGGTCAAGGGAACAAGTATAGGTACTGGATGTTCTAGACTTACTGGATCTCTAGGTGTTCGTAACTGTTCATGCCGGCAGGCTTGGAATACGGGGGTGACAGCGAAGATGAGGAGTTGTGATGGGTGAACAGGCGAGATTGACACGAGCGAGTATCGATCTGAGCCAGTATATAATCACCCCACTAGGGAGCCGCGGATCAGGCGTAGTACCAGCCCGCGGGATCCAGCTAATTAGTCTACACAACGTCGAGTCGTTTACAAGAGAACTGATGTGAGTAAAGTGCTCTGGTCGACCTCGAAGACCTGATCGATGGTGATAACAAGGAAGACTAAGTCGGCGTAAAAGAGGCCGTATAGGACACAAGAAGCCGATAAATTCAGGATACAGGGGCGCGGTAGCTAAGAAGGTTTGGGAGCGGGCAATTAATTATAATGAAGACAAAATAGTAGAAAGTCACCAACGAGGATGAAATCTCTTGTCTTCGTTCTCCATCTGGGCTTCGTTTCGATAGTGAGATTAACTTCTTTCCTGATGTTGCATGCGCGTGTACAGGCACAATACGAGGGTAGTTGCTGCGATGGGATTTGCCAGTCCTTAGCACTCGGATGAGTCTGAGATCGATCGGGCCGGACCACGCCTGCCACTGTCTGGAACATGATCTGATGCCCTGAATCACCTCACTGTGATTCCCCCAATTCTAGCCTAACGGTCCCTTGCAGATCCGACTCAGTGACTTGAGACAACGTATGAAATGATCTGCCAGCTGGTATCAAGGGAGAAAAAGTCATGGCGACAACACATTTTTCACAAAGATGAAGGAAGAGACCAGGCGAGCAACCGATTTTTGCTGGGGCGGATCAGTTTGTGGACTGAACATCATAATGCGCAGCGTCTTGCAGTCTCGATGGTCCGGGATTGTTCGTGCAAACAAGCAACCATTGCTATGTGACAGTAACATGAGCTCAGTCTACATCGCTCTGCGTTAAAAATGGGTTGTAGTGGAACAGTGAGTAACACTGTCCCCATTGCTCTTCGTGCACTACTTATGTACATGAAAAATTGATTTTAGACAGTAACGTTAACGTCTTGGTAACGTACAGCTGTCCAAGTGTCTGCTGCATACAACAAGGACAAGCAAACGCAAGTACACATCAATAAATCCGGGCCGATGCGCTCCGTCGTACCCCGGGCCGCCCTTGCTCTGCACCGAGGCTGGGCAGGGCTGGAGTGGCCCTTACAGTTCATTTCATACTTTTGAGGATGACAGTTCTTCCAGCAGCTGATGCACCGATCCCCATCTTCACCACCCTGAAAGAAGTGTATGGCAGTCTTGCGACAGCAGCCAAGCACGCGTGAGTCTGGGCTCTAGGTCTTATGTACTGATTTTTAATGAAGTTTGTTCTTCGCATTGTTTCTGGGTAGAGAACGGTGGGACGAGCTTGTCAGAGAATTCGAGACCAAGTTCGGGCATAAACCCACCTATATCGCCCGAGCCCCAGGCCGAGTCAAGTACGTTCACACTCCCTCCTTTTCCCACTGGTGTTCATCATTCCCCGTGTAACACAGCCTCATTGGTACGATGATCTCATCAATATTCGCGGTACAATGCGATGCTAACTTACAGGACGCAGGTGAACACATAGATTACGCGGACTTTGGCGTTTTTCCAGCAGCTATAGAACATGATATTCTCATTGCTTGTGCTCCACGGCCAGCGTCTATCGCTGCCGCGCATCCTGACCGTCATGCACCAGGCTCTGTCGTAGCTGAGAACCTTCACACTCGTTACACACGTCAGGTCTTCATGCCGACTCGCCGTCACACGCTTGGCGACGACGTTCCCCTCGACGCCGTGCGTGTCGCCCCTTGGCATTTGGATATCGATAAAAGCGAGTTACGATGGGAGAGTTATGTCAAGGCGGGGTATTATGTATGTGTCTTTGCTCCTTTCGTATCCTTTCTCCGGCTTTTGAAGTTCCTCCGTTCTTCACCTTCAGTTCAATTCTTCGTGGGTTTACAGATGCTAATTAATGGGTATAGGGCGTCCTGAATCACTTCTTCTCTCCATCGTCCATATCCCCCGTTCCTGTTCCTGTTGATATTCTCGTCACTGGAAATGTTCCACCTGGCTCCGGTCTCTCAAGCAGCGCGGCCATGGTCGTCTCGAGTACGTTGGCATTTTTGGCAGCTAACGGTATTTTTGAGGGTGAAAAGGTCCCAACCAAGGGTGAGCTGGTAAAGATTGCAGTGGAGAATGAGAGACGAGTTGGGGTGAACAGTGGAGGGTGAGTGTCGCTGCCTTTACCTGGTCCTTTTTTGTGGCAGCTTTGTGTTTTAAATCAACCCCTCGATATCTTGTGTTTTCCGCGCAACTATCCGCTCAATTTCTTTGCAGGATGGACCAATCAGCTTCCGTGATCGCTCTTCCTGGCAGCGCACTATATGTTTCTTTCGTGCCTTCCCTTCATGCGGAGCCAATCGGACTTCCGCGCGATGCCGTGTTTGTCTGTGCTAATAGGTACTTTTAGCCAGTTCCTAGTCGTCCGGAACTTCCTGACAGATTTAATCTCGATGACAGCCTAGTCGTGTCCAACAAAGCGGAAAGCGCTAAACACCAATACAACCTCCGTGTTGCGGAGACCCTTGCAGCCGCCCGCCTCCTCTCTCATTATCTTAATCTCCAAGTCGACTCCACAGACGGCGATAACACGAAGCGACGTCTCGTGACCCTACGTGAAGTCCTCGCTCGGAAGAGCGGCTTCTATCGAGATGAGCAAGATGCGCAGTTGGAAGATCTTGTGCAGCTACAGAAAGGATTGGTGGACATGTTGGGGATTGCTATGGACTATTTGTTGCCAGAGTTTGGCGATAGAACAGATATATCTCTAGATGAGATGATCGACAAGAGTGGGATGGACGAGGCAGAATTTAGGGAGGCGTATCTTTCGGGGGTAGACGGTGAGCTTTTTGATGATGCTTTTTTGTTCATTACTGAACTCTCATGTTCGTCTCGACAGTGTTTTGCTGTTTGAAATTTCACCAGCGAAAACAACTAACTTTGAGCTGTACCTCCGTGCTCAGCACGTTTTTGAAGAGGCGCTCAAAGTGCTCAAATTTAGGGAGGTCTGCTTAACTGGAGGAGGTGCATTTTTTCCTTGGGTCCGTTTTGTCACAATTAAATGACACAATCTGCATGGCCTCGACGACGCTGATCGACATATTGCCCATCAACCCTTCAACCATCAGGCAACGAAGAATCCAAGCTCCAGACCCTCGGTAAGCTTATGAACGACTCGCACGACAGCTGCCACAGGCAATTCGACTGCTCCCATCCGAAACTGAACGACCTCGTCCGTGTCGCGCGGAGCTTTAGGGAAGTGGAGGACGGGACGAGGGAAGGGGAGAATATATGGGAGTCGCATGACCTGGTGCGTTCTTTTTCATACACCCTATTTTGCTCTGATTTTGATGCGCTTGAAGGCGCTGGCTGGGGCGGCTGCACCGTCTCTCTCGTACATCGAGAAGATGTGGAGGCGTTTATCATGCACGTGAAGAAGAAATATGCGTCGTATGAGGGTATGAGTGAGGAGGACCTCGCGAGCTGTGTGTTTGCAACAGAGCCGGAGATGGGCGCGAGTGGTGATTTTTGGTTTTGATTTTGAGAATTCCTAGATGTGCTGATGTTCCTTGGACAGTGTTCAAGTTCACAAATTGACCACCAGACTGGAAAATCGTAACGGCACCCGCGCCAGCCACTCCCTTGCTTGATTCTGGCACGTCTTGTGTCCATCGAATTAAGTTAACGCAAACTAGTTTTTTTTATTTCATTTTGCATTGGCAAATGACTGCTAATCCAGTGTGCCGAGTTTAACTTTATTTATACCAGGGTAATTGGACGAGCGTGCTCCTTAGCAGTCTTGTCCTTCGGGCCTGCCCGAAACCTGCTTGTTTAGGGCCTGTCCCTTTGCCACCTGTGGCTGATGCCCTGCGCATCGCACGGCATGACCAATATGCCTGACGCAATCCTCATTGCCACCTCCTTTAGTGGAGTCAACGGTCTATGTCTAGCGAGACTTGGTGAGATCCTTTGCCTCTTCTCACTCGAATTACTCGTCTCGCTAGGTGCGCCGTTCGTATTTAGTCTCTCTGTTCTCTTCTTCCTCGAATTACTCGTCTTAATAGCAAGTTTGCGCACCCACCCTTATTTCTTTACCCACCCTAGCGTTATACTATAGGTACTTGGGTCGAGTTTGGAGTTGTTTGTTCTCCGAATCCATGGGGGCCCCTTGTCCTCGCAACGGGGTCCTCTTTTTGCTGGCTAAATCCCCACCGTCTGCGTCCCCACGAGACCTGAGTGAGGACAATTAGACTATCAATGAATGATCTTCGACTCGTAGACGTTCATCTTGACCAGTTTTGGCCATCGTATCGGTGCGTGCGCACCAAGTCCCCGACTCTCGCTCCTGATCATTTTCTCACTGCCTGTCTGCTTGTCATCCTTTATGTGTTTACCTCAAATTCTACTGACCTTCTTCCCTCAGTCCAATTCTTGTACGAACACTGGTCCCCTGTGCCATTCGTTCGCATTGTAGTTTTCCCTTCCATGATTCGTGGGGGCGGTGCTAGCACTCTTATAGCTGTGATTTTTGCTCTGTGTCCATTCTATTGCCCATGGTGTGGCTCAGTGTGAAGTACACCTGTAGCAGCATACCTTTGAGGTATCGACCGTATTCTGATGGTGCGATTCTTGCACCATCAAAAGCAAAGGCCGTTAGTAGAGTTCCGTCCTAACTTGTCCCTAACAACTGGTTGAATGCTTCTCGTACCTCCTGTGTGTCAGCCACTCCCCGATGTTGTTATCTTCTGATACATTAGTCTGTCCTGGCTCAAGAATCCTTTTCGTACTAACTCGTTCCCTTCTGCAGCTTGCTGTTACAGTAACTGCAGATTGTTCACCGTAACATAAAGCAGCCGCAACTTCAACACCGCGCAAGTCTGTCAACTCGGCGGCGATGTGAGTGGCTCGCGTGTTCAAAGTCCCTTGAAGATGAGAGACAGTTGCCCACTTAAGGCGATGACGAAACTATACTGCGTACTCGAGTGAAATGTCGAACTAAGATTCCAACTGAAAGTTCTTCGAGCCGAGTCTCGGTGCTGCTGCAATCTAGGCGCCGGGCAATGTCTCGCAGGACTGTGGCACACATCACTGAGATTTTTGCGATAGGTGTCGACAGCGTACGAGGATTATGCTCGAGTTTGAAAAGAAGGCAAGTTGCGTGACAAGTTACATAACGCCTAAAGACACTGCAGTATGCGCAAGACACTCCTGCGAAATATGAAGGAGGGAAAGATATCGACGTCTCACCGATGGTAAGATTGATTGAGACAGTCTCAAACACAGCACGATGACACTCGGAGTGATACAATGGATCACGATAGATCGGAAAGTCAGCGGGAGAATGCAGGACATGGAGAAGACAATGATTGTCATCAAGTGCACGAGTATTAACTGAAGATGATTTATACAAGAACCCTGGTACTGCCATGCTGAGCAGAAGAGGGCCGAGCACCTGCGAACATTGTGATAAACACACAGAACACACAAAGTACATCACCTACTTACCACAAGAGTAAGAGAAACGTACGACGGAAAGGTACAGGAGCTGACAGCGCTGAGGCCTGGTATACAGCGAGGTGAACACTGAGATAGCGTACTGCCACGTAAGCTAGCAGTAGCCTACTACTTACGCGTACAGGTACCGTACGCCACGTGGCAATTCATAAAACTGAACAACTTCAATGGTCCAGCACTCAGGCTGTACTTTCTGGAGTCTAACACCCATGGTTATCGCTGTCCAATCCTTTCGTACACGGATAATTATACACGTCGGTGTTGTCAAGGTTTAGTCGCACGAGACGACTTCAAGCGTCGTATCACTTAAGGAAAATTCTGTCACTGATATCATTCGTGTTGTCATGAATGGAGTAGGCACACTGGCCGTGGTGGGCCCGAGATGTATATCGTCAGATCAGCTGGTTCAAAACTTCTGCCGTACCGGCCTCGGTGTGCCGCTCGCGATAAACGGGCCCCCGCTGGTGCCATGAGGTTGATGATATTACTGCTATACCATTGTGTCTGCGCAACTACTACCTTTGCACCGCAGTCATAAGATAAGACTCCAGAGTTCTTCATCTTTCAAGTTCTGCAGAGCGGACAGCAAGCAACACAAAGCATGATGGAAAAGCGATATCAGGGCGAGTGGTTGTCTCTCTCGTCAACATTAACCCCGTCGCTTGCTGTTGAGGTGGGTGGTTTGATTATTGGATTTCACCATAGTCTGGGTCTACAACTCTGCGGATTGGCACGAGTGTTTACGCCGGAATAATTATCGAGTGAGGACTGATGACCCTTGACTTATGAACCCACAGGTCCTCCCACATGGCATGACCATCCATAGGATCATTGTACAGGTGGAAGGAAAGGTTTGTGGTGCATCTATCCTGTGAACATATCTACTGACCTAAATACTACCTTTCACATAATACTTGAATGTGACGTGTTTCGTCAATTATCTGCCATCTTTTCCAACACTTTGTCCTCCCGACCACTCATTGATCAAAACGAACACCATCCGAATTACATAGACTCACGATATCCTCATCGGTCCTGAAAATCCAAAAGACTACGAGACATTTAAATACACCAATACCATCATCGGGCGGTATGCCAACCGCGTGCGCGTTGGGGAGCATATGGTGAAGAAGGATGGATTCGAGAGGTTAACAAGGCCTGTTAGCAACGGTGGGTTCCATATTTTCAAGGCTGTCGACTTCTTTCTTCTCCATTTTAGTCTTGGTCTTAGATTTTACCCTTCTTCCGCTCCTCAAACGTGTACCTTTCTCTAATCCCCATTTCGCCAGAATCCCCTGAAGTTTCTTTACATGGGGGTCTCGTGGGGTTTGATTTTGCAGTTTGGCAGCGCCTGTCCCTCGAAAATGCCAAGCTCTTTACACCTGCTGAGATCCGCACTATTCAGAACTCCTCTACTTCCGAGTCATCTAATAACACAGCCATCTATGCATACACATCAGAAGATGGAGATCAAGGTTATCCAGGGGAGTTGTACCTGGAAACGCTCGTTGCGCTGCTCCCTTCTGCACAAGGTGAGAAAGGAAAGTTGGGAAGCATAGTGATCTTGTACAGGGCGAGGTTAGCGAATGAAGGCATTACTCCCATCAATCTGACACAAGTATGTATCTGAATCATCTCAAAGAAAACAAGTGCTGATCCAATTTAGCACTGGGGATTCAACCTCGATGCAAGCTTGCAAGAGGGTGAAAGCGGGAAGGATAAGTTGTCAGTGAAGAATCACAGGCTGAATATTAAGGTGCGCCGGGCATCGTACCTCTCACTCTATTTCTTGGGGCTGATAACGGCCCATACCTAGGCAAGCCACATGGCTGAGCTTCTTCCAAATAGCCTTCCCTCGGGAAAATACTGCCCAGTCGGTGGCACGGTGCACGAGCACAACGACAAACTAATCAAAGAAGGATATCCGAACCATGGGTATGACCACTACTATCTTCTTGCTCCTCGCCCATGCGAGAAGCTCGCGCGACATCGCATATCTACGAAAGATTTTGATACTGTGAAAGTGGGAGAGGAACTGAATATTGTAAAAGAGATATTCGACAGCACGAATGAACCAGTGGTCCAGTTGAAAGGTGAGAAATCGGGGTTGAAGGTCGATTTTGATTCGAATCGTATGTGTATGTTTACATTTCAACCTGCGTCTACTCATGTTGTATTGAATATGTAACGTGTAGAAGCTGGCCTTATGTTCTACACGAACAACCATCCGAACAAGCAGTTTCGAAAGAAGATTCACGGCGGTTCGGGAATAAAGGACGACGGGTATATCAGCGGCTGTACGTCTCATCCCCTCCCATGTGTTTTTCACTGAGTCTCGCTTCAGCCGCAGCATTCCTCGAGTTTCACGAAGTACGTCACTTCTTTTCTGGGCGCCTTCAACATTCTTCTCTGCACCTCACGTTCTGTTATCCTACGGCATTGCTGACTATGTTTAGCCACTCTCTGCTTTTCTCCACCCCGAAGCGACGCCGAACAGTACAGACACGCTTCTTACGTCCAACGAGATCTACAACAATTTTGTCCGTGCAGATATCTTTGTGGACAGTGAGTGCGTTCGCCTGGGGTTGATATGATGTTGCGGGGTATTCTCTAGAAGTGGAGGAGGGTTTTATTGACTAGAAACGTACCCATCTTCAACTAGTCTGTCAGAAAGTTTTTTTCCTCATCTAACATACAACTTGTATGTTTCATTTTTCTTGAGCACAATAGTCTGCTCTGTTGGCTCGAGCACCCGTCATGTCCTGGCGGCACTTTGTTGTTTTGTAGGTTATCCCAGCTCCGGGGCTGGTAGTACAAACATTTAATTTATAAATACGGTGCGTTGCAAACAGCACCCTATACATAGTCTTGTGAGTACATCTACAAGGTATCGCGATCTACCTGCTACGAGTCAACTTCTGCCTAAGAGAAGCAAACACACCGACAGTACGAATGCGCATGAAATATGTGAACCAGAAAACAGCGATAATCTGCAGATGTTACGTGAGCACAAGATCCAAGCAACTTTTGGCAGCGACGCACGTTAAATGCAACGAATCCGAAAACGATGCCCAGGTTGCGCCAATGATTACTGTATGCGATGTTGAACCTGGAGAACATGTACTGGTCCGTAGTCGTATAGGGACAGTACTGGCAGCCTTCTGCAGCTTCAGGGTTCGTGAGGTAGCCGCCAGCGAATTGCATGAAGGGGCCCATGTACTTATCGCACGTCAAACCCTTCGGTGGGTTGACGGAGACTAGTTCTGTGTAAGAGCAGCTGATAGCTTTCCCCGCCAATAGCTACGAGGACCAAAATGTGTATGGTTATCCAGCAAGAAATCATTCACGAACCTTGAGCAAGGAGGCCCTCGATGATGTACTGTGAAAGGGGAGACCCTGTACATCCATTTCCACCAATTAAGCTCCATGAATGGCTGGATTACGCCGTCACTGATGGGCTGTTAGTATGATGTAGCGTGGTTCAAAGCGTGCATCTTACAAGATCAAGACAAAGATAATGAGAGTTGTGAAGTACAGGGATGCAACTGGAGTGGTTGGTGCCATGGATGCGATGCCGTGTCCAAGCGTGGTATAATACAGCGGGACGGCGACAGAGAGCATGAGGAAAGTATAGCCTGCCCGGCCCGTGGGGTATCCGACAGTCCAGTAACAACAGAAAAAGAACATTGCCGAACTTGTCATGTTCCAAGGAAGCTCAGCAGCAAGCTGTGACACGAGGAGAGCAGTCCAGTGATACATTCTACTATGACGTTCACGGATTTCGTACACTGTACGAATGTCAATGTAGACGGTCATGATCTGATGGACGAGGGAAATGCTGAGCACGAGGACAAGGAAGATTGACTAGAGAGTGTGAAAATAGGATTCAACAAATAATCCAACGATGTACTTACAAACAGTTTGTTTTGGGTGCCCTGCAAAGAATTATTTGCCTGGAAGAATGTAAAACCCACAAGGAGGCCACCAGCAATGTTAAGCATAAACTTAGCGCGTATATACGCGGGAGCACGCCAGTATGCTCGGAAGTTCCGTTGGGTGAGGGCAACGAACTGGTGCAACCATGAGGTGGCGAAGGACGGAATGCTGGAAGCTGGGTTGTTGTGGGCAAGTACGACCTTGTTCGTGCATCTTTTCGATCTCAACTTGAAGCTCCATCGCCTCTGATGAACGCTTCCAGACATGGTACCAATCAGTGATGGAGACTGCAGCTGCTCCAGCACCAATCACGTCAAGTATGTATTCCGCCCTTAAATGCACTGGTAAGCGCCATACCTAGTACAACTTTACCTTACTTACGGGTTGGCGTCGGAGCCGCAGCGTGGAGCACCATTACGCTCCAAGTAGTTCAGGATGGTCGATGAGTTCTCGCCAATGTCGCCAAAGTAGACAGTCTGTCCACCCTTGCAGAGGAGCAGCAATCTGTCAAAGGCCTGGAAGAGCTCCGCTGATGGCTGATGGATCCTAACACAACTCTTAAGCAGCGGGTAACCCACAAGTGGAAATGGCACTCACGTGCAGACAATGGCCTGACCATGGTTAGCAAGTTCACGAAGGAACTGCACGATAGCCCAGGCAGATTGCGAATCGAGACCAGACGTGGGCTCATCCAAAAAGAGTAGCAGTTTGGGCTGCTAGATGCTTAGCACAATTTCAGCCTGGAGGGTTCGCGTTCTACCTTGGCAGCGAGCTCCACTGCAATAGTGGTGCGTTTATGATGCTCAACCCCAAGAGAACCAACAATGGCATCGCCATACTCCTCTAGACCACACATTTGAAGGCACTTGTCAACACTTCACTGGAAAGTTAAGTTGAGATTCAGCATGGGTACAAATCGTACGCACTAAGCTTTCTTTTCAGCGAGAGGAACCGACTGGGGTTGGCGAAGGTTTGCGGAGAAAAGGAGCGCTTCACGAACAGTTGCCTCGGGAAGGTGAACATCGAGTTGTTGGCAGTAACCGCTAAACACGACAGTCAGGTAAGTCGACACAAATTAAGGCGATACTTGCATCTGAGCCTGGAAGTCTATGGGAAGCGACTGTCCATTAACGAACAGGTCACCACCCACCACACCAGCAGCGACGCGTTGTGCAAGAACGTTCAGAAGTGTGGTCTAAAAGCACTCAATTAAACGGAATGTGCAATTGGTATCATAGGAAGCCATACCTTTCCAGCGCCAGATTCGCCCATCAACGCAGTGAGTTTCCCAGGGACAACAAAACCCGTGATATCATCAAGAAGGCGTTTCATACCGCCCTTAATGGGGACTTCATATTGCAGGTGCTGCCACGTGAAAAGGTTTGTATCCATAGTGTTCTTCTCGAGGTTGTGGAGAGTTGATTGATCAGCTGCCTTGGAGTGGTTTCCAGAGCGAAACTCGGCATCTGCCTTCTCCTCGTCAGGTGCCTTGGCACCCCCATCGATAACATTAGAGTTCGACCTGAAGAGAATGACGACGTTGCCGAAAGTAGATGGCGTATTGTATTCTGTTGCGATTAGGAGAGCAGCCAAGAACAGGAGATGGAAGGCACAAATGACACCAAAGTTCTGGGGTGGTGTCATGAGCTATTCACAAAGCACAACGGACTGGCCCACCCTCCAAAGATGATCATACCAAAAGTCGAACGTCAATCCAACATAGATGTTGCCATCAACGAGAAGCTGCCCGGGCTGCGATCCAGCCGTTGTACAGACCTGGTTTACAAGTGAGACATTCTCATAGCCAGGACCCTGAGGAACGAGAGTGGAGCAAACTCCGTCAAGCGTATGAAACTCGTTCACAACAAGTGCACCAAATCCCCACCACAAAGGCTAAGGCAGTGATATTGGTACTAAGCCAATAAGAAGCGTCCTACAAGGGATGGGATGACGCACGTTCAGCCACATGATCCACCGCAGACCCATTGGAGCAGTCGGCCAAGGGATTGCATACCCACCATAGAACGATATCAAAAGAACGAAGATACCACTAGCAGCTATTGCACTATGACAAGTTTTGAAGCTTGCAGCAATGGTTCTGAAGAGTGACTTCATGGTTTGTGACATTAAGGAAATAAAAAGGTAAAATATGCTGTTGTGCAACAGAGTGAGTATGAAAGCCAAGTACAAACAGCATGAAGAACTCACAAAAATTGTGCGGCAGAACGTTGCAACCCAACCAGCAAGTAAAGTATCACAGCGAAAACCAGTTGAATGACCAAAGTCATCGGGATATCGACGACAGTATGCGCAAGGCTCTGGATAAAAGGGTAGTATAATGCAGCTTTCTGGTGGCGAAGTATAATTGGACGTTGGGAGAAAAGCGCAGGGACTTCTGCAAGAGATGTAATAGCGCTGAAGAACAGGGAGCTGAAAGAACCGTGAGGCATAACTTGGATCACAACAGGGGAAGAAACTTACAAGAACAGAACACCCCCACGAGAGAAATAGGCTGAGGTGTCCTTTGGCACGTCCAGGAAGACGGTGCCCATAATCACCGCTTGGAAGACCTGGGAACTTCACCCAGTGTCACCGAAGGTTGGACAAAAAAGACTGTCACCTACGCCAGCTGTACAAAGAGCTCGAACTTATTACCAACAATAACTTGCAAGCGGCGCATCATGACCGCTTTGACTTGCTGGGGAATAGAAGTCATGTACGCGGTAGATCTGGGGGCACGTTCAGCGGCTATGCTAGACAGATACGTTTGCTTGTGTTTGCGATTGCCAATAAATTGTTCGCAGCGCATTTCAATCGTTTTCTGGTTCTGGCGACCGAGGTCGGACACCATGAAACGACTAGCAAGGTCCTCCGACGTCCGCGGAACAAAGCTCTCATATCCAGGACGGATTTTCCTTCCGTTCGCGTTCGTGACTGATGACAATGATTACGAGACAACCTTAGAAAACCGTGATGCCCTACCTGCTACCAAAAAATCGGGAGTGGTCTGCCTGTTTTGAGGTTCGAAGCCCATATCGATGAAATAACCTTTGGCCAACTTTGCCGAACCAAAATAGGCCATCTTACCTTCCGCAATAACACAGACCTTGTCAAATAAATCATATAATCGATCGCTGGCCTGGTAGAGAGAAATGATCGTTGTCGTGCGTCTGATATCTGTGATGTAACGCAATGTGCGAATGAACTCAAGGGCAGTCGAGGAGTCTAGTCCACGAGTAGAACTAGAATAGAGACAAGTCAGAATAATACCCCTTGAATGACCGCAACTTACTTATCCCATACACAAAGTGAGCCTGCAGAGCCTAAAGTTTCTGCAATGGAAACTCGCTTTCTCTCACCTCCGGAAACACCTTGCACTTCAGCATTACCGACCAAGGCATTTTTCAAATGGTAGAGGCCCATGACTTTCATTAGCTTCGTGGTAGTATCCTCAACGTATTCCTCGCGTGCCTGGCCGAGAAGACGTGTTAAGGGTGTACGATTTCTGACAGCGAAAGAGAGCGTCTGATTGACAGTCAGGGTTGGAAAGTGGACATCATCCTCCGGACAGTAAGTGACATCGCCACGGAAGGAGTCATGAATCTCTTTCGGGGTAAATGAATCATAAAAAACTTCACCCTCAACCGTATGGTACTCCCCACGTCGGTTAGCGAGCGTCCTGAGGAAGGTTGAACATCCAGAACCAGGACGGCCAAGGACCACTATACGGAAAGTCAATACTGGAGGTCGAGGACGGATCTGAACCCACAAAGCATTTGGCCAGGAGTGACTACACCCTCGAATCCGGACAAGATATCTCTGGTAGGGGGGTGGCGGGTTTCCCTTATCTTGCGCAGAAGCGTTGAGGGATGGAAAGGTGAGCTTACAGTGGGTTGGAGCAAAGTACGAGAACCTGCACCAACGACACGCAAGTCTTTAAACATGATACCAAGTTGGTAGTCCTTGATCCCTTCATCTTGACGGCTGAGGACAAAAATGTCAAATTAGTGAGTTTATGAAAGTCACCACGAAACACTTGCCGTTTCATGAGGTCTCTGAGTGCCTGCTTGAAATCAAATGCTTGCTCATTTTCGATGAAGGTGGATATGTCTGATGGTTTCTTAAGGAGCGAGGGAGCGGATGCGTCCGAATCTAAGTCTTCAATGGCGGTGGATATGCCAGACGGCTTCTGAAGGAGTGGAGGAGTGGTTGCGTCCGAATCCAGACCTGAAGGTAGGTTGTGAACCGGAGTAGCAGTCTGGCTAACTGAACAGTCGAGCGGTCCATTAGTAAAGATATGTTGTCTACTTTGATGGAGAGTCATAACAACATAAAGAACGGGTTTGAACAACTTATAGGAGTGAAAAGGCTACCCACAGGGAAGGTACTCAGTTCGGTGAGTGAAGACCCAAATCCTTTATATCACAATATTTGCAGACCTGTATGTGCTAGTCCATGGCCAGCCCACTGAAGTGTTGATGCTGAGAAGCATGTCTCGGGTGACGGAGTCTTGACGTACCTGTTGGCGTTCCGCTACCTAACATGGTAGAGAATGGAGGCCGCATTGCGCTATAATAAGCCCAGGTACATAGTCAGTGTCAAAAGCAAGACCGCTGTGTAATAAACTTACTAATTTCTGCCAGTGAGCGTTATGTATTCAAGTATACTTCCATCATTGCAAACTAGTATCGAAGCATACTAAGACCGGTTTGAAGTCTTAAACAGGAATAATCAAGTACTGCTCGCAGAACATGGAATGGAAACCGGCTCCCGAGCCTGTAACTTCCGCTCACTGATTTGACGGATATTCTTAAGCTTGTTTCCAAAATCAATGTCGAATACCGAAGGTAGGCATATGTGTTGTTGATATGAGAGGAACTTAGACGCAGAACAAACGCACTGAGACTAGATTAAGCTCCTACAGGCCGCCTCCAGCCTTCTGGTGGCTTTCTTCGTGATAACTCACTTGCCTGATACGCAAGCAAGGGTCAACCATGCTGTCGGCAGCTGGATGTCGAGTCTGGTATCAGTGGCAACGCCACCATATTTCGATAGAGATAAAAATAGAGTGGGCAGTCGGTCCTACGATTGTTCAAGTAGTCACTAGAACCAAAGACGAATTGAAAATTACAGCATGCTATACCTGGAATGGACGCTTGGTTGCACCATTTATCTGTCATGTTCACCCCAGGAGGCATATGGTGCAGAAGTCAAATGAAGTAACAAGAACGTTTCTGAATTGCAGAATTGCCACAGCTGCCCTGCAGTGTCCATGCCAGACGCTAAACTTTAAAAGAACGTGAAACCTGCATCAGTTTGCAAACTCGAAACCAAAGTTGAAAAGTAAGATGACAGAAAGAACAGCTGCCGCACTACGCCGCATGTGCCGTATATTGTGCTGTGCTGTACACACTAGAGTCGGTTTCAGTGACCTCTGTCAAAAGTTACGTTGAACTTCAAAGATATGTCATGAAGTAGTCAGTAGGAAAATATTTATTTAGCGTTGATTTTCAGTCACGTGATGTCGTCGCGTCCACTTGGAAACAGTTGAACATCGTCAACTTCCCCCTCCGTTTCATCATCTTTGTTCGTTACTCCATTTTAATTCTCAATCACCTGTAATTTAGCAAGTGCATATTCGACGCGACACCCAAAATAAACCTTTATCGGCGTCCAAAATGATCCCTCCAGAGATTCAAGTCGGTGCTTGGGCATTTCTGCTAGACGCGCTGCTTCGCTTTTTCAGCGTGCGTGTCACACAGACTTTTTACGCCCTCCCATATCTCCCACCCCATCTACTTCTCGGACCTAGTTCACCTTACCCACACTCGAAAAATGTCGTCATTCCAGAGGACTTGACTCAATTTCAGCCATCATTTTCCACATCAATAGCTACATCTTCTCCTATCTCTTCACATGATACGTCTACTGCAACATTAACACCACTATCTCCAACCCTCATACCTTCGGTTCTCGATCCGCTGGCGGAACCTAACCGCGCTTTCTGGTTTCACAATCCGCCCCCAGGTGCACCGCACCCACAGCAGAAGCGCACGCGCAACGTAATATTCCCTTCTTGGGTACGCCAGCAGGCACCTGCGCCCGGCGAGAAGCAGCACAAAGCACTCGCCCCTTTCTCCCCGCGCATAATCACCTTCTGTCCTGTGCTGCTCTTCGTCCGTTATGCGCTTACTTTGAGTGCAGCATACCTCATACTATCTGTGAGTCCTATACCCCTGAAACTGCTCGCTTCAAACTGACATACCTCGGTGATACTTTCTGCACTAGGTCCTCGCGATGCTTGTCGCTGCACCATTTGAACGGTCTTCGGAGGTTGTAGTCTGTGATGCACTGCTTGTCAACCCTGGTGTGACGAGCCTTATGAGGATGATTAAAATGATGGAGCCAATTGCTGCAATCGCTTTGTGTGTCGCGGCGTTTCCCATGGCTGCCCTGCGTCGGTCGTGGCCTATCATGAAAGAAATAACATCTAAGCTCGGTTACTGTCTCCGCACTGGTACAGCGCGCCTCGCCGAGATCCTAGTAGCATGCTTCAGCAAGATTGCGCACATGTCGTCTAGCGTTGCTCGTTACATCGCTATGTTCATGATAACTGCATATAGGTGGCTGCTCTTCATAATTCACCGGGTACATGCTTTGCTCGCTGCCTGCCTCTGCTGGATCTCAATGGGTATCAAGGCGATCCACCATGTCGTTCAGAGAAAACCGGCCACGAAAGCACAAATTCCGATCATTACCATAACGCCTGCTGAAAATCCCGAGACGAGCGCATGTGAGAGTGTCATGATTGCTGCGCTGCTGGAGGAAATCAGCGATGGAGCTACTGGAGTCAAGCCGCTTCTGGGGGATGCAAGCCCAAATTCCGAAGATTGTCCCACAGACGACGTCATCGTCGAGTCGCAGATAGATAAACCCCTGCTCCATGCATCTCGCGGTCAGGTCGGTGGTGAAGAGCTCTTGGTTGTCGAACAGCACGTCTTATTGGACGGACAGGATGTGCATACCAAGTGTCTAGACCACGAAATCAGGCCAGACGCTCCTGGCGATACCCTGCCTGGCGCGATGACCGGGAAACCTGAGATTCACGCCATCTGTTCACGGGATTCTGGGGGCCCAGTGGTAGTTAAAATCGAGGGTCCAGTCGCCTATTCGCCACTAGTGCCTTCTGGGGATGATGAAGCAACGGCAACAGCCTCAATTCCTTGCAAAGCAGGGTATCCTATTACGCGACTGGCGCCAAAGGAAAGAGCTCCTGGTGAGCAGCCGACGTACTCGGAAGGCGTCTACCAAAAAACTATTCCTGGCAGCGCCGAGCTTGGAGCTAAGAAACAGGAGAGTAGCTATAATAATCAGGATGTTCTCAATCCGTGTGTCGTGATTGATGTTCCTGAATCGAAAGGTCCTAGTCATTGTCTAGGGACTACGACATCAACGGACGAATCCCCTAGCGATCCAGCTGTGGAAAGCATAAAGCCTTACAGGGCCGTCCAGCCCCCACTACCGGCGTGTTCCTTGACACCTAGCCGCAGCACGGCATCTGAGCTGTCATTGATTGTCCAGGGCGAGAATGGAAAGCGGCTTAACGCTTCAACTGTTTCGCGTCAGAAGAACAGCGATCAATGCGAAGACAACAGCCCCAACAAAATATGCTTCTCGCTGGGTAATGAAACGTTCATGCCCGAGGCGATTATGGAAACGAAAGAGTCAGCCATCATCCCCTCTGTTCCCCCCTCTTCGGCTCCACGGAAGACGAACAGTAGTTTGTTTATGACGATACCGGAGGCTTCGACACCTGGCGAATTTCCCTCTGCGCAGCTGTCTGCACACAATGCTCAACTGTTGACATCTCCGAACACCAAGGAATGCCCTTCAAGCATAAAGGAAGGCCCTACCAAAATAGCGTCAGACGACAAACTTTATTCCACATCTAACTCCAATCCCGAAGGTCGGGAGCCAACTAGTGAGATATGGGATTTTCCAAAATCGGGAACGAACGCACCATTTCACCGGTTCTTGTCGGCATCTATCCATGCTCCTTCGGGACAGTCACCAGAACCGGCGGTTCATTGTACTGGGGGAGCCATCGAGGCCAGCCCCGCAATGCCCCAGTCAGGAAGACCGCCACACGTTGTTCTTAGCAAGAACTCCTTGAATCATCGGGCGGCGTCTTTCACACCGCACGGCTTGGTTCTGAAAAGTACGTCGACGACATATGATCCGCCTCTGCGACTCGTTGGACCAGGCCTGGAACAGGGCGACCATGCTCTGAGTCTGAACCGCCCAAACCATACCCATTCAAGGAAGTACATGGCTGATCTACCTGATCACACTGCAAAGGTTTACGGACTGCAGCCCTTGCACTCTGCTGGAACCTACGCGACTCATCGAAACGTTCCCCCTCAGATGGCCGTTTCGGGTTCCAATCACGTAACAACCTACAGAGCTCCTTCAACACGCGGGCTCGTCCCAGATTGGGCTGCTGAGGCTGCTGCAGAGCGAAGGTCTGTAGATATGCATATCTCCGCGCCGAAAGTGTATCTAGGAACACCAGCAGCCCGTGCATCCTCGTTGCACCAGCCTTCAGGTACAACGACAATACGCATGCCCATTCCGGAAGATATTTTCAGTCCAGCTCCCCAACGTGTCGCATCCAAAGTGGCCAGATGGGCCGCCGAAGTAAACCGCGTGCGAGAGCCTGCAATGAGTCAAATTCTCGAGGGTTCTAGTCTCGATGCGCAGGTCAAGGGTTGTTGTCAGGGTGGTCAACAGAGGCCGCTCCTTCTGAACCGTAAAGCAAACACAACGTTATCACGGGACGATACGCCAGCTGTTTTCCCAAGCGCGTCTGGAACTGCTTATCATGATCAAGGGCCAGTATTTTCCGAATTTGCAAAACGGGCCGTTGAAACGTGCGATAAAGAGCAAACAAAGTACGGGGATTTCCTATCAAAAATGTTCGACAAAGTGTTAATGAGAATTTTAGGACTGTCCCCTGGGGGCAGTACAACTCTTACTACGAACCCCTCTGTGCAAGGAACATGGAGGATATTATATTAGAGGCGAGGCGCATCAACGCGGATGTTGGGAGGCTGCCTTCGAACGGACAATCTCCTACTACAGTGAGCGACTTCAGCCTGAACGAGTGGTTCAGTCGTGCAAGGGATCCGATCTCCGGAGACGACATCGAGAGGATGATCCGTATGCTCGAAAGGGGAGCATGAGATGTAAACTTCCGATGGTTCTAGGTTTCGTCATTCAGCCGTCATGATTGTTGAGAGAACCTTATGCATTGAACCTGTGAGCAGTACTAGTGTCGGTGCGATTCTGCGTGGTTTTTACCGCCTTTTGTTTTGTATCAATGTAGCCGTGGACTGCATACTGTATAATATTGCCGTACCTTGAAAACAAATTGTATCAGTGTCTAGAGTGATCCGTCAGACGTTTCTTCTCGTAAAGTACGGTTCAGTACGAGGATACTAGTTTAAAGTTCCTTTTCGGGAAATATTCATACTCCGCCATTGCTCGTCGAAACTTAGTCCGAGAGGCACGCGTACGCTGTAGAGCTCGACGTCAAGACTCATTTCAAGGCCCTCCCTACTCGTCAAATCCTTGTGAGTACCGTTCAGATCGTCTGGGGTGTATTAGGATGCAAAGAAGAGTGTCAGAAACTCCCCATGGCTGGATGAGCTACTTCCCAGTTGGATGACACGACTGACTCCAGTCTTCCTCAGCCGGACAAGTGCGAGATCGTCATCGCAGTACGTTTGATTCCTATAAGCACTGTCCGACCCATTTCCAACTCTTCCTCAGCTTCCCTATTTCATTCAACTAGCCCAGCATGATTATCACCAAACAAAACAGGCGCGCCATCTATGAGAACCTCTTCAAGGGTGGGTTATTGGCATACAGGCCTTGCGATGGCTTTCCAGAGCTCATTATCAATTGATCTCAGAGGGTGTTCTGGTCGCCAAGAAAGACTACAACGCGCCAAAGCATGAAGACCTCGATGTCCCTAACCTCCAGGTTATCAAGGCTATGCAGAGCCTGACCTCCAGAGGCTTCGTTAAGACCCAATTCTCGTGGCAGTGGTATTACTACGTTTTGACTCCTGAAGGTGTTGAATATCTCAGGGAGTGGTGTGTAACCACGTTACGCCTTATTTACCCGGACTCACGTATTGATAGGCTACACCTCCCCAACGAGATTGTCCCTTCGACTCACAAGCGGGCTGCTCGCCCTCCACGTCCAGCAACTGTACGCCCTGGTGGTGGCGACGGTGCTTACCGCGCACCTCGCGGCGACCGCGATGATTACCGGAAGAAGGAGGGTGGTGCGCCCGGCGATTACAGGCCATCATTCGCGGGTGTTGGTCGGGGTGCACCTAGAGAGTAGGCGTTTGGTTGTTGCGGGGCGCTATAAGTTCGGTCAGAGTGCTAGAACTTGCATCTTTCGGTGATCGCAAAATTTTGTATGAGCATGTTCTATGCATGATTATACTATGCTTTCCTTCGCGTTCCTTCTCATTTGTCCACTTCAACTTCAGGAACTAAGCTCCCTACCATTCTCCAAATAACTCCACGACGTTGCGGATGTCCAGAACAATTTCCTTATCCCTCATCACGCTCTCTCGGAAGTCGACTATTTGCTTCGAAGAGGAACTGTTGTCTCTCGTTGATCGAATATTACCACCTGCTGTCATGAAGACGCACCTTGTCTTACTGCAAGCCTTGGACCCACTGACAAACACCTGAGACTGCATCGACACCAACTTGTCCAGGATGCCTGAAACTCCTGAGTCCTCCAGAACCTCTTCTTCAAACTGAACGTTCCCCTCAAATATTCTCAACCTTTTTATCTGCGATGGAAGCTCGGTTATGACATATCCTTCTAAATCACCACCCGTCTGAAATGCATCCTGAATGATGTTCATGGCTTCCTCATGCTCGGGCTTAACAGCCTGGAAAGTCCCAGATCTCGCGCTCTTAGTCTTCACACTGCTTGGCTGTTCTGAAAGGGTGTGATAGTCGGTAGCAAACCAGACCAGCTGAGGCCCCGAGTCATCGTCGTCGAGCACTGAACGAAGGGTAGAGACAAGCGATGCCGCACACCACGCAAGGTTTTCCACCGGGACGCGTTCTAGTTGCCAATGCACCGCGGTGTAGGGTCCTGCGAAGCTTGCTAATCTTTCCGCAACCTCAACAAGCGCATGGGAGTACTGCAGGTCTATATTGGGCTCAGGGAAGATCGGGTGGCGCAGATCCCACTCGATGGCTAACACGTCAGATTTCCGGAGCGCGGCAAGCTCGTCTGAGAAATATTCCACGGCGTCCACAGCCTCTGAGAGAGTCTGGATAAGACGCTGGCTCATTGATGGTCTGATTAGATTGTTGTGGTAGAACCTGAAGGAGATTATAGAGGAGCTTTGGTGAAGTCTAGGAAATTTGGAGTGTAGGCAGGAAGCGACCTTGTGGTCTGCGAGGCCATAATCGATGGTGAAGTCGTCGTCAGTGAGAGGATTGGGCAGTGAATCCCGTTCGCTGACGCTGAAAGATACGACTCTGCTTGTAGGTAAGACGGGACGCGTTTCGCTCCAACTGTTAAATACAGTGAAAGGCAAAGTGTTGATAGCGGGGAGGGCGCTTCTGAACAGGTCCACGTCGTAATATGAATTGAATGGCCATTTGGAGCACGCCCCTATGCGATTATTGCCTACATTCGGGAGAACGAGAGTGCGATTCAAACTACTTGCGAGAATAGCTAGTTGATGCAGATGCAGATGGGCTTTCGGTTCTTGCTCGGCGATACGAAGGGGAAGAAGAAATCGACAAGGGAATGAACCACAAATTGATTCATCGGATTTGACGGCGTCAGCAGCTGGAGCTGTCAGTATACTAGGAGCGTGAGCACCTGTATGTTCAAGTTCTGAAACACCCTTAGACTCAGGAATTCTGGTGACAATTGGGGGCCATTTGAGATGGGGTCGTGAGACTGTCGGGGGAGATAAATCGTGATGATCATTGGGTTCGTGGGTATCATGAAGGACATGAAGAACAGTTCGGTCAATCACTTTTGGTGGCGGTGAACGTACTCGAGTTGAACCTATTCCGAAATTTGTGGTGTTCGATGGAGTAGGTGACATCCCTGTACGTCGTGACGCTGATTTTGACAGCGAAATGTAGAGAGTGCCGGTTATGAGAATTGCAATGATAAAACCAACAAACTGTAGAAAGTTGGATGAAGGCAGCTGAATTGGACCGCGATGCCGTTGTTCTGACTTTGGAGACGGCAAATTCGCTCGATACGACGAAGAATCTGTCGTTTCTCGCGAGCGTTTTGACCTTTTGAAAGGATGATGCATGGTTAAAGTTGGAGTCAAAGTCAAAGTCACAGTTCAAGTTGTAGCAATTTGAGGCTCCACTACGAGTCAGAAAATTCTACAACTTGAACAAGAGCAAAGTATGTCAATAATCCGAATGCGTGTGGCAGGCTCAGCTCCTGAAGGTATGTGAATAGGCGTATTATATATTCTACAAATCTATAGGTAGAGTACCATGGATATATAACCTGGCGGGTAACCTTGACATGATCATCGTCAGAACAACGCTCCGTACTTGATGACCCACGTACCTAATTACTTTTAGTCTTGGGAGCGCGTTCATACGCATTAGCACTCGAGCCCGCTTCTTCTACTTCATGAATCACTCCCCTGTGAGGAGCGTCACGCCTAGCAAGTCCATTACTATGTCCGTCTCCTTCTGGATGATGCATCCTTCTCTGACGTGGGCAATTACTGTGCTGACAGTCTGAATCAGAGTCTGACCCGGATGATTCTTCATCAGACGATTCGTCAAACCGCCGAGGCTTGTGGTATATACAGCAAACTAGGGGCCCGGGGTCAACACCGCCACAAGAATTCATGACTGGACACGCTCACTCTTTGACTTTTTCTTTCCGGATCCCTCATTATCAATCACGTCTTCATCCCATGCAACTCGCTGACGAGTCTTGCGTGGTTCCCCCCGTAATCTAAGAGTTCCCACAACCACAGGCTGACTAGCATCATCTTCTGGTCGTGGTTGCGAATCGTGCAGCGTAATCGTCCGGGATCCATCAGCGGGTGCAGATGTGTATTCCCTTCCCTGGGCAGCCATCATTGATCAGGGACAATGTTACTTTCAGTAAGTTGGAAGAGATGGAAGGGTCAACGTGTTGTCTATCTATGAATTTTACATAAGCAGGCGGTGACTATTTCATAACCAGAAGGCCCAAAGCGATTCAAGCTCGAGTTTCAACTGTATCAATGAATGATAACCATTAAATCGACATGCAGTACAATTACAACATAACATGAAATCGTGGGGTATGATAAGTTGTAATGAATGCGACACAAATAGTACAAATTGTCCGAACACGATGCAGCGGAACGAAAAAAATGCTGGTCATGCAACGATCCACGTTGCCAAAAGATAATCATAAGTCAGGAAGGCGATGATTTAGATTAGCCATAAACGACCCTAAGATTCGATCATGTCAGTTTCACGGTCCGATCCATCAAACTTTGACTGCTTACCCCCTGGCGGTCGTGGATATAGGTTTGAAATCTGTTCGGCCAGATTCAACGAAATGACGGAGAACTTCCGACCAATCGTCTCGTGAATCCCACGAGATTTTACTAGGTGGGTCGACTTCCACGGGCATAACTTGAGAAATGCCACCACATTGTACGAGTATAACAAGGGTTCCGATTCCCCCACTGCGACGACAACGTTCTTCTCGTCGGCTGATATCAGCGGCCACAAGGGGATCATGGCTGGTTACATATGTCCGAGAGACTATATGCGTATTTGCTACTGAGAAACTGCGTGGCCGGCGGAATCAGTAAGAAATATCTCCTTTCTGAGTCCGGTGACCAAAACTTACCGGTATAATGATTCGGCGTGAGCGTTGTAGCTCAGCTCGATAAGCAACGCACTTTGCCGGATATTGGCAGGCAGGCGCTTTAATTGAAGGGCTTGGAAGCCGGCCCATCCGAGAAGTGAAGAGTGTGTCGAGGTAAACTTGCGAAGGTACTTCGCCAAGTTTTCATCGGGATATGCAGGCCCGATGGCCTGCTGTTTTGCACCTGACATCTGAGCAGCAGTGTGCTGACAGATGGTCTTGTGAGAAGGCCAATGCGATTTTTGGCACTCGGGGGACTATAATAGTGCGTTAGAGGAAATATCATACCGGTGGAGACTGAGTAACTTACACAATACTGGGTGGTCATCTGTTGAAGGATAACGACGAGGTCAGGGGGGTTGGTCATCGAAGGGAAGGGAAGGGACCTACACAACCACCGCAGAGTCTGAACTTCTGGGCAACTGGGTTTTCAACTGCACCGCAAGTATCGCAGATACGATAGCCACGTTGCTTTTGGTGTGCATGAGGAGGAGCGGAATAGTAGTTGGCTGCTGCTGGCGCCATGGTAGTAAGAATGTGATAACTCGGATGGCTTGTTGGTTAACCTCCACCATTGTCTTGCGCATTTTATAGCTGGAAGAGTTGATGTGTATGTCCATCTTGGGCGAGCGTGTCAAGAAGATATTGCGATCTAGGTGGAGAACAAAAAGTAGGTCTGATGCTTTTTGTCTTCAATGTATCTGAAAGTAAGACCCGACAAGGTCTTTTGTGTCTGTAGTCAAGGAATAGATGCGGATATGTGAAAACAGTGCTTCCTAAATGCCCAATAACAATAAAGCAATGAGAAACTGAAATCAGTGACCGATAATCTAGTGAGCAAGACAATTAGCTCAAAAAGGAAAAGAAGGGAGAGGATAAGTATTTGTATTTATTTGTTATGTTGGATATGCCGTTGGTGCTAATTGTTGCATGTCGGTGGGGGCGTGATTCGTTGCAAAATATTGCATGGAACGTCTTCTCACAACTTTGACAGCAGATCCGATCGAACCTCCAACCAAAATATCATATCGAACATTTGCGCCCAACTAATCTAGCAACTTCAAAGGAGAGCCTTTACCCGCAATCTCGAACACGAGGCACGGATGGATCCTGTTCAATGTTTCAACTGGTTAGCTCTTGCCAAAAACTCGTAAGGATTTCACAGCGCTCCGTGAACCATATCGCAATTAACCTTCGGCTACTCTTTGAACCTTATTCCTTTATCCTGTGCTATCCTGTGCGGCATCTTTTCGTTTTTCTCTGCCTCTTCGCAATCTAGACAAGCGACTCCGAAATGAAACCCTGTTCAATGTTCTTGCGAGGAACTCCGGCTCTGAGCGATCGGATGATCGTGCTCTCTTGCAGCACGAGCGTCTCGTATCGTCACCCAGCCATACCATTAAACGGCATCTACTCGAGCGCACTTAAGAATGACATCAATTGACGTCGGCATAGCGGCACCTTTTGTGTCCTCCGAACGGGTTCTGTGATCTGGATCAGAGTCTACCTCTATCAAAAGGTTGTCAGTCTTCGATGCAGTGCAAGCAGCTTACCAGAACCATTCCTTTGTGTCGATGTTCTATATCCAGGTGCTGCCTCGTTAGCTACTCGTCCCACGATGCTTACAATGGTGGCTGGCATATGAGTGGCTATGCTTATGACGAGCGGGACCGACTGAGTTGCCCGACTAGGTATGTCAGTCATTACTATTATATACCTTCGATGTGCGAGTTCAGTTACAATTTCCTGACTTGGAAATATTCAAGACATCATTCGACGCTCCAGGCGCGATCCCTTTAAGTAACGGCAAGATCCTGTCGCAGTCAGCGGCTTTAGAAGGACATATGATGGCTTCTACTCCACGGACAAGTCGAGTAGGTGACTACGTCACCCTTTGCTCCAGTCAAACTGCCGCCGAACCCAGGTTTATGGTGTTGCTGTTGTGCCACCATTCCTACAATGCCAGAGATCCTTGACAATTTGGTCTCTATCTGTGATTATGGCCGGCTAGTCGGCATGCTCTGGTATGGAAGTTGCACCGAAAGCTCTAATAGCACTTCCAAACGTAGTACATCCAATTGCTGATGCCTATGACGTAGGATCCGGTGAGAAAGCATGGGTTTTGCTTTGTTAATGTAAGTCGGCTAGTTCCCCATAACACTCGACTCCAGTGATGAGCGCTGAGCATTGGTGGAAGACACTCTCAATCACAAGTCCGGCACCTGAACTAAACCCATTGGACGTCATATAATCTAATGTCAACAATCTGCCATTTTATTTGTCTAAGGGAAATTAATTAAACGCAGTTCATGCAAATGAGTATGTCATCACACAGGAGAAAAGATTGGTGAGTCAGAATAATGACCAATAAGTTGAACAAATGCATGAATGCCGATGCTTATGTTATGCCAGGGTCCTAGATCCAACGGGGTCTACTGCAGTGTGGGCTCTATGACCGCCTCCGCAGTTTTGTCCCTCACACCTTTAAGGAAGCGTACTAGATCCGTCCCGCCAGTGCCCTTCAGCATTTGCTTCCCACTGGCCCCCTGAGCTTCTGGACCTGCGCTGCTCGAGCTCCATCCTTTCACGAGCAGCAGGTCCAATAATATAGATTGCCACGATCTTGATATGCGCATCCCTAAACTCCTTCACCGACTGCACTGCAGAATTGTACGCGTCCAAAAGCTCTACATCAGGCTTCATTTGCGTCACGAACGTTCGCACAGGACGCGGGTTCGCGCTGAGGTGTCGCAAGAAATTGCGGTGGTGACGCGGCATGTAGATCTGCATCCTTCTCAATAGCGTCCGTTGGTCCGGCGTAACACCACTTTCGACCACATTGCAATTGTCTAGACCAAGAAATACGTCTAGAGCATGAATCAGGGCGCTCTGCCCTGCGCTTGGCCCTGAGAGGTGGATAGGCTGCTTGTCAATACCTTCGAACACCCATTTCCTGTGGGCAGGATCGGAGTCTGCGCCACGGAACCATGGCGGATGGAGTGATAAAACGTGTCAGGGTCGCAACCCTTACGCACGTCGAGCAGGATGGTCTCGAGGTCGTGCACGATCGACGCAAGCTTGTGGAGGTATGCGGTGATGCGCCTGATAGCGATCTCGTCGCCAACGAACAACTCGTCCATAGTCGCACGCATAAGCTCGAGAGCCTCGACACCGCGAAGCTCTATGCGGGCCGAAGCAAGGTAGAATTCTTGCTCATCTATGGTACCGGAGAACAAGTCCCGACTGCGAAGGTTGTCCAGAGCAGGAGGTTCGAATCCAAGCTCGTTTTGTGCCCTAGTGCGGATGGTGTCCCAGTTATAGAGGACATTGTCAGAGTACGTGACGACCGGGGGTAGCTGTAAATGACTAGATATGGCGACGAGGGGGACAGAAATTGACTCCGGAATAAACACGGGGGAAGATAGGGGGAGTGTGTAAATGTAAAAATGCATAATAAAGGTGAGAACATGGTGCGCGCGCCGAAGTAGCAGCTCGGAGTGTGTGAGCTCGGACATGGGGAGGACAGGCAGCTGATCGTGTGTGTGAGTGGGAAGTGCGTAATAAAAAATACGGAGGCCCGTACTGACCTGTCGAACATGTTCTCGCCATGACTCAGATGAGTTTTTCTCTTCGGCTGTCAGACCTGGTTTGACAGCGAGCTGTAGTTTTGCCTGCATTGCAGCATCTAGTGCTGTCTCCCAGAGTTCCCATTCCGCTGGAAGTCTACTTAAAGGAGGATCTGGGGGCATAAAACCCGTGCGAGTATCAACATCGAAATCATGTGCAGCGAGAGTGGAGGTATCGATGTGTCCTTCCTGTGCGCCGAGCAGGAAGTCCTGACGAGGCTGGAGGAGGAAATGATCAGGGGGTAGTATACCGGCTGGCTGCTGACTGGACATTTTGTGAGAGGGAGAGCTACAAGGTGATCCAATAGCCAGAGTTGGAGAATATGAATAACGATGAGATTATATGGTTTTCATAAGGTCAACCACCGCCAGCAATTGCTCATACGGTCATACCCAGGCCTCAGACTCTATGTATGATCCGGCAGTTCACGTAACGATCCATTCTTGGTGAGATCTTGCAAAAATTTGATGATCAATGAATCACATGATCACCTCGCGGAACAAATTTAGGGGGCAGAATGTAATTGGCCTTGTACCTACGTAGCTGCTAGCAATCGGTAAAATGTATTGCAAGCATTTCAACTCATTTTGACTACATTTCTTTCTACTACCGCAAAAATATTTCTAGCTACTATACGACCATAACCCTGGACTTGATTTTCTCATGATTCTTTCTGATTATGATTTATCTACACACTGTCGTACTAGTCTCGTCTGATTCCACAATTTTCATACACATTTCTTACAAATGTTTCTGGTTCCTTTCCCTTGTCTACGAAAAAAGTAATGTCTGCGATATCCTCCGCCCTTGAGAAGCTCCAAGTCGAACCCTCCTCTATTTAGTCCACTTACTGGCACATGCACGAAGCCATCAAGTTGTCCGAAAGTGCAAAACATTTGATGATTTTCTTGTTGGTACACTGGGAAGAATGGCGTGTTGACAGTTAATTTGAACCCCCCAAACGGGCACGCGCACAAGCGCCACGCTGGATGTTCGTGCTGACTACCACTCACGAATAATGTTACGCTTATCTTGCCACGAAGGCAGACTGGGAAAGGCTTCATCATAACCATGACATCGTCTTCCTTTGCGTCTTGGCGAGCCTGACGATGAGCCTTGTTGACGGTTGCGCTACTTTTACAGGGGTTAAGCTAAAGTGAGCCTGCCGCGTGGACGCGATAACAGAGACAGAAAAAGGCTCTAGTAAGACAACTGTTGGAAATCCGCACTTCGCCGCTTCATACAGTACCTTGCATAACAGTACTAGCATGTAGTGCGCGTGTTAGTAGTTATCGAGCCTTGCCTTTGACCGTCGTCGTCCTCGCTGGACAGCCCGTTTTTCTTACAACAACATTATCTGTTCGCCTACGAAGGCGCTGCAACGCTTTGAAGACAATGTATTGTATTGAGCATTGTGCACTACCTGATGAACACGAAGCAAGTTTCGAACTCCCGTTGTATTGTGTGAACTTGCGAATTTCACAGAGTGTGCACGCGCGATGGACCGCAAGTCTTGGAGGACACAATTGGAAGTTATCGTTAAACACGCGGAGAGACAGCACAAGAACCGCCAAAAAAAGCCTGCGGGGATAAATTGAAGCTGAAGGTAACACAGGCCGGGGACCAGGGATGTTCACCGTACCCCGTATGTGAGTATACGGCCCCGGCCGCCGTGTTGGACACATCATGAAAAGACAAACCTATCTGAGGACAAACGTGCCAACATAGCTTTCGCCATCCCTAGGCCTGACAACGGGATACCAGAAGCAATCGTCTGCTGAGCCGGGTGTATGTGTGACCGCGAACAAATAAAATAGTTACAGCGGACTGTTTGGGCATGTGTAGCGATTTAGTTGGGTCCGAGGCCCCGTCCGAGTGGTGTTAAGTTAAGGGGGTGTAGAAAGGATTAAACTGTGTTGATAAGGTTTAGGTGACGAGGTTTGACTAGGATTTTCATTTTTTTTAAATTACGAAGTGACTTGGCAACTGCAGAGTGGCAATACTCTGCCAACAACTACTGTGACATGTTCTGGCTAATTTTTTGAGCATATCATCGGCTCAGCGTTTCCGAGTCGAGTCATTGCTCACCGTGCCACGAGCATGAACATGCCAGATCACAGAATTTTTTCAGTCTTACAATGGAGATAGCGATCGATCCGAACGAGTGACTGGTGCGCCACAACAAGTGGAATGCAGAGTCACAGCATTGTGTGGTCTTGAACAAGCGAGTACTACTAGTCTAGTAGTAGTCACTGCAGCGGAAGCAACCTTTTGAACACAGAGAAGGGGTGAAAAATGGCTTTCGGGCCGATCGGATATGAACCTCGATTTTAAAAAAATCGAGAGCCCCGCATGAATGAACAGTTTCACTTGTATGTGGCATTACAAGCTCCTCTGAGTATTTTCTATTCTTACATAGAATCATCCACTTCATTCTTGATTGTGTCTAACTGTTGCAGTTAAGTCTAAGAATGCAAAACACGCTGGATGCCTCATAAGTTAAACTTTTCATCCATGCAAAAGCTCCCAATTCTTGATAAAATCAAGGCTATATCCATCGTCCAGAAAGGTATCCAACTTTGTCCATTTGTGACGCTTCGTCACGTCTTTTCTGTATTCAAAAAGGTTGCTTCCGCTGCACTTGGCTTGCTGGGATCAACACGTGACCATCATAATACGCGGTGACTGACGCGCTTGTCACGCGTTTGTGACACCACTTTCTTGAATTCTCTCCAGCTTAATGGAGTCGACTCCGGTGACGCCTTCTCGACGTTCAAAACGCTTTCAACCGCTTGTAACTCCTGTGAAGACTGATGCTTTTGTGGATAAAGCTATAACTTGGACAGATGCCCCGTGTTACATTCGCCCCACTGTATACGAAGATTACCAGGTTCTTCAAGAGGATGAGGGGTGGCAACCGGGGCCAGGAATGCAGACTGCTTTTCGCAAGTCATTTAAGCGGACGAAGAATACCGCGCCAGCTTCACGGAAAGGGTTGAGTGCACGTAGGTCAGCTGTCGAGACTGAGACATTTGAGGTCGGAGACACCGTGCTCGTCAAAACTCAGTCTACAAAACACCCTAGTGTTGGTGTCATCGCTTCGATGTGGGAATTTCAAGGTAAGGAGAACCGGGAGGGCGACAATCCTCAGATGATGGTCAGGGTTCACTGGTTCCAACATCCATCGGAACTACCTCGCATAAGGGCAAAGAGGGAACATTTCGAGGTCAGTGGCACACCTGCTAATTGTCATTCGCTCATTTTTATTACCAGAACGAAGTGTATTTCACTCTCGCTTCACAAGCTATTCTTCCGCCTTCATGTATACTATCGCACTGCACCATCTCCGAAGTTCCACAGACCACACCCACAGCACCCAAACGAAGTAACTGGATCGGTGCTACTGCAGAAGAGAATAAACTATTCTACTGTCGCCTTGCAATCGAGTCTCGCAGCAACATTTATTATGATTTCCACTGGGCAGCTCACAAAAAACAAGCTCTCAGTAGCTCTAATGAAGACCTCGCCAATGGGACTTGCTGGCACGTTGCTGTAGAGACCACACCGTCAAGACGGCATACGAAGAGGCGAACAAAGCTTCAAGACATCGCAGAAGAAAGTGGCGACGATCCCGTTCGTGATCGTGACTACGAGAATGACGAACCTCCATCAGAGCCCGATGACCACCTCATCCCCTCTGTTGTTGACGACACCTCCGACAACGAGACAACTCTTAGTGGGCCTATTGATGACATTCCAAAGACACCGTCTCGCAAGCGCAAACGTGCCTTATCCACACCCAAATCCACGCCGAGCAAGAAACGTGCACCGAAGCTCGCAGCACCCACTCCGCACTCTAAAGCGGCACTACGAAAGCGAAGTCGAAAAGCACCAGCTGTCCGTGTTCCGCCTCCAAATCTCACACAGGAGCACTACAATCAACTGCAAAACCTTCCTCCGGATCCGTGGCTTCGTGCAATGCACGTCCTTCATGTTGCAGCGCGTCCTGATGTTCTTCCATGTCGCGAGGAGGAATACAGCCGTGTTCTGAGAACTGTAGAAGAACTCCTGGAAGAAGGAAGCGGAGGTTGCGTTTGTACGTAGAGTCTCATCCATTTTTTTCACTCTTTGAACATCGAATTTTAGACATTTCTGGAGTACCAGGAACAGGCAAGACTGCAACAGTTCATGCCATTGTTCGTGAGCTCAAACAAATGGCTGAGAATAATGTCTGTTCTTTCTCGATCAGTTCTTCTCACTCAATATTTTTTTTTGGTAGGAAACAAATCCATTCACTTATGTTGAAATCAACGGACTCAAGATTCCCGAGCCATCTGCCGCATACAACCTACTTTGGGAGACAGTCTCGGGGCACGATGTAGCCAGCGATGGTCATCTCAAAACCAGCGCCAAGGAGGCGCTCAAGCAGCTTACCAAACACTTCTCTGCAGGCGCACGGGCGGGTCCCGCAGGGCACGCATGGTAAGTAGCAGTCTCAACCAGTTGGTCATTGCTAAGTCGCATGCCTAGCGTCGTTCTTATGGACGAGCTCGATCAGCTTGTCACGGCAAAGCAGGATGTAGTATATAACTTCTTCAACTGGCCCACAATCGCAGGCTCAAAGCTAGTTGTGATCGCTGTCGCAAACACCATGGACCTTCCAGAGCGGGTAATGACCGGACGCGTACGTAGTCGACTCGGTACGTGCCGTTAGATCAAGCACGTCGCCCATCTCATGCTCATTTATGCACTGCGAAGGCATGATCCGAACTAACTTCCAGCCATACACAACGCAGCAACTCGAGAAAATCGTGCATGCACGTCTCAAAGAAGCCAAAGAGGGCCTTGAAGGGCCGCCGGACGTGATCAACGCCGACGGCGTGAAGTTTGCCGCAATGAAGGTTTCATCGATCAGTGGAGATGCAAGAAGGGTGCTTGATATTTGCCGGTATGTGTCGGGCTTTTTTTATAGCGACGATACAACTGAACTCAGATGTAGACGAGCGGTGGAACTCGTACATCCCAAACGGCGCGCTGCTCGCACGGAGGATGTGAAGGAAGTTATCAAAGTGCTGCAGAATAGCCCAACTGCAGCGTACCTCCGGGACTGCAGCTTACACGAGCGAATCATGCTTGCATCCCTGCTGAGATGTATAAAGCGGGAGGGCGTTGAGGAGATCAAATGGGGCGAGGTATGTGTTTTATTCTTGTTCTTATCTCGTGGAGTGCTCGACTAATAGTACGTGAGATTGAAAACCAGCACATCGTATATGTTGAAGCCCTGACTTCGGAAGGAGATCCGTCGCGGAAGCCCACGCCAGAGGAACTGGGACTTGTTCTAGACTCATTGGTTGCCTCCCGTGCTATGATTATCGAGGATGGTGTAAATGCCGTCCGCAAGCCCCCCCAGGAACGCAGGGTCATTCTCAACTTGGAGCAGACGGAGGTAGAGAGAGTGCTGAGCGAGGTGGGCGGTCGGTCATGGACAACGGCGCTTGGTGTTGGTGCATGATCAATTCTAAAGATGATTATGAATCCGATTGACGGGACTGAATCTGTCAGCGTCACTGGCTGGGAACGTTCTTCAGGCCGCCCTGTCTCACCTGTCTCATTGTACTGACACCATCACTTAGACGAGTCATGTGTACGTATTTCATATTCTATACCCTAAGCTAAGTACTGGTGTCTTTCCAATCTATAGTTTAATTCGGGACTTGATCAACGGCAAAAGCCTGAGGACAGGAAATTAAGTAGTGCCGGGATCTCAAGTTCAAGATGCAAGTACTTCCTGACAATGGGTTTCGGAGGCAAATCTTTACAAAGGAATAATGGCAGGCCTAGATCAAAAGTCAGCACGTTACCAATCATGTCATTGACATCGCATTCATGATCTTTCGATTTTAATTTCAATGCCATCATCAGCGCTACGCTGGCAATGGCTCGGAGCTGAAGAGCAGATTAGGACTATCAATTAGGCCTTCAGGACTCATCGTCCCATACCTCTATGAATTATGGATGCGCATCGTAGGTTGCAGGGGGTCGGGCCGGCATATTTTTAACTAAAACACACTCTACATTTAATATAGGTCCCCCGAATCAGTAACGTTTTTGCACACAATCAAATGCACTGACCCACCACAAAAATAATTTGTTTCTAATTTCTCCTGCTCTTCAGTCTGTCTCAGGGATAACCTCAGGATCTACGAATTATGTTTCAACAAGCCCGCGGAAATCCTCGGCCGTTCGCCTCTGGGCCTCGTTTCATATCAGGTGCTTGATATGTGCAAAGTCCGTTCGGTGTGATGACACAAGTCGTGATGGAACTAGTGAAGTTATTCAGCTATTTCTTCCATCGCATCACGGTTCCCATCCCTTTACTCGTCGCTCAATGATCTTGTTTCAGGTTGATGTATGTGCCTCAATCATTTTATAACGAAGCACTGATCTAGACAAGAGCTCTCTTTGATTGGCTGGCACTTTATGTCTGTCAGATAGTAAATGAATTTCAACAAGTCTTGCTGATTCGTTGGTAGTGAGCTATCACATCAATACAGAGATCTCGATGAGAATAAATATTTCGTTCCATATTATACGCCAACGTAACCTCTAGCTACAATTTGGTATACAATCAACGGCGAAACAAAAGATCCAATGGTACAGTTGAAATCTCAAGATAGCGTCTACAACATGAACTTCCAAAGAAAATCATACTATTACACCGCGACATCAGCGGAACAAGCGCAGCACGTACGATCACAGGGAACTCCCGGAATAATAAACGCTCGAGGCACCGTCGTTGACAACCGCATCTAATCCATGCTCCTTGAACGCCATCCTGAGCGCTGTTGATGGACTAAAGAGCAAATTCGGTTGATCGGTTATCTCGTATCCCTCGTGAATACGCATTACAGGAGGCAAGCAAAGGCTATGCAGTCCCGTAGATTGGCGCCACTTGCTAGCCACTTTCCATGGACGTTCTGATGCATCCGGAAAGATATGAAGGTAGTTGGACACCGGCTTGAATTTGAATTTGCCTGCAGGTCCCTCTGCAACAGGATCGATCTCAAGAACAAGACGATCTTGGAATTCCGGGTGTTCTGCCTGAGCGGTCACCGACAATTGAGAGATGAACTCTTGATGGGACTGAATTTCAGCATCTTCAATCTTGGCTAAAAGGAAGAGGCTCCTCCTGATATATCGTGAAGCATTTGGGCCTGTGAATGTCTCAGCATGCAAAACATATTAGATCACATAGGGAGACGCGCCGATTGCAGCTTTGAGGTACTTGCACGCCATACGATGGCCCTGGTCCCAGTCTATGTTCTGGCATTGTCTAGAACAATATCTCGCAACCGTGCACCTGGCACACTGGAATAGATCCCACTGCGGATGCCATTCATCGCTATTCTGAAAATCAGGGGTTGATTACCAACAGTCTCTAGAAAGGAGAAGTACATGGTTCACTCACATGCACAGCAGCACATTGACGATCGAAGAATATCGATGCCGCGGGTATCTGGCTTCTAAGGTCCAAGAAACGTCGAACATCTTTTTTGAACAAATTCCAGGCCTGTAGTAGGTCTGTATCGCGCTGAGCAATCGCATCTAGCGATTTCTCGTCAGCCTCTAGCTCGCTCCCTGCGATCCGCAAGACCTTATCGAACGTGAGGTATGAACGAAGGGCAGTAATCAATAATGCATTAAGGCATTCCGCAGTATCCGCATCGGGAATACAGGTATGAGCTTGAAGGATGGTAGGGAGGAATCGCGCCCGAAGGGCTTGACATATAACGGCTACAAGGTCATCCACAGGACCTCCCATGAGCAGTGCAATGTAACCTAAAGCATCCTCAAACGCCTTCTTGACGTGTTTGGCGAAGTCATCCTGCTTCAGGGTTAGAGAGAGTTGACATAGATCACGAAGGGTGTAGATAACGATGGCCACGAGGTTGCGATCGATGTAGGCCTCTCGCAAGGCGCAGTTCTGTTGGCTGGTAACGAATAGTAGGTTTGCACAATTCCCAAAGCAATTAATGAGCATTATTTGCCAACGAGGCACCCCGAAAACAGAATCGCATGAAGTGGTATCGTCGATGCTTTGTCCAGAAACGACCTTTTTCCTGTACAGACAGCGGATATTTCTGATATACTTGAAGGCGATAGAAGCCATGGCTCTAATGCCTCCAGCGACATGAATAAGGGTGGACACAAAAGAAGGATGGTCAACATCCAGGCATGCCTGCACCACGTATGACATGTGTTCCTGGAACGCCCCCTGCTCCTTGCTGCCCATTACCTTGTCAGCTTCTGTGAGAAAGTCATTATCCTTTGAGGTGACAGCCATGCACCACAGCTGCGAGATAATGGGGTGTAGAGATGGGGTGTTGATTAGTGACTGTGGCGTTTGTGAGTCGCCGATTAAGCTCATCCGCATCAACATGTTAACAACTAGCTTCAGCGCTTCTGATCTAGTTATGAGAAGACCTGGAAGGCGGGCAGGGTTGCTGGAGGCGAAGAAGTGACGATAAAAGAAATTGACCCAGAGATGACAACGATGCCAATTGGATATTAGGTTGTCAGCGATGGTCTGTAGCGCCTGCGTCAATTCCCTTGGGTTATTGACACGATTCAGCGTGACAAGCACTCCTTTAAGGGAGTACCTTGCGAGCATGATACTTCTCACATCCCTCGAAGTGACCACATCGGGGATGCGAGCTGGATCAAGGTGGTGATAGAAGACTGGGAGCAGCATGAGAAGTTGCTCTGGTTTCCAATGTTGTGCGATGTTGCATAGTCCATCGAGCTCCTTGATTGACCCGCTGGCAGCTTTATTGATCATGAACTGTTAAGACAGGAGACAATTAACCTGAGCAAATGCAGGATGGTAGGCAGATTCTCGCACACACCTGTATCACTCGAGCGAATGTATGGCCATCTTCAGGTTGCCTTTGAGGAGGGGCAGATGACATGAGGATGTTCACACAAGCACTGGTACAAGCCCTGAAGCGCTCGTCGATGCATGCGTTCGTCACGCGACTGTCACGTAACGCCGTGTAGCCGAACTGTAATCCGCATGTTACAATCCAAAGATTATCGATTACCAGTGAACATCAAAACTAACATTAAACTTGAACGAGAAACATGTTCTCCAGTATCAATTTCTCTCTCACTATTTTTCCATTGCTAACGACTTACAAGCGTAAAGATACAGAATTCATGATGTAGACTGAGGTTGCGCTTCGAGTGTAGATGAAAGTGGACGTGAAGGTATAAGTAACAGTAACGGGATGCGTGACGGTGAAATTTCAATCATGCCCAGTTGTCGATAAGAGAATCCCGCATCTCTCCAATGACAGCTGAAGAGCTTTGTCCTTGAAGTTCTGTGACGGTGAAATATGTTGAAAAAGTGAAAAAAGGAGGCAAGAATGGTAGAACCCACTGAATGCAGCTTCGATAACACTAATCTCTGTGGCGGTAGTGTCAAGCCCAGTAAACGCACACCAGTCGTTCACGACGAGACCTCCACCGATGACGTCTGAACCTCGGTTGACAGTACCAGCCTAGAAACACAAGAGTAAACTCAGTTATAATATACCTGCGATGGGCTTCCTATAAATACGCACCACGAGGGGAATTTGTAGAAGACTACTCAGTTCATCCTGGTCCTGAACACTCGTCTTTGGGTGAACAAGCCCGCCCTGATTTGAGATTGCACAATAGCTCCCCACGAGGACATTATCTGCGACGGTCTGCCTGAAGACCTCAACCTTCAGCACATCAGCAATTATTTCCTCCGTCTCGCGATCAACGTCAGGGTGGACGAGGGCAACGTAGTCATTGCAAGCGATGACGTTTCCCAGCGCAGATAGACGTTCTTCGACTCGCTGGATCGACACGGCGTCAGGAAGGGAGTTGCGCAGATGTTGCAGTTCCTGATCAGTCGTCGTTGAAGGGACGAGGAGACCATGTCGATTTCCTAGAAATGATGGAGATCAGCCTTCTGGGCAATGATGGGCAAAACCATATCGCAGACCTGCAGTCAATCTCCCAATAATGCGGGTGCCGCCGATCGTGGAATGCACGATGGGAATGACATCGCCGAGCTCAGCCTCAAAGGCCGAGTAGAAATTTGTACTGCCTTGGATTGCAGCCAGGCAGTAGCTGTTGGTTAGTTTTGAGAACACGCCGATTTCGCTACTATTTTCGAATTGGATGCCTGTGATGTATGTTCATGGGGATGCGTAAGATTGCGCATCAGTAAAGACACGCACGAGTTGCCATGATTGTTGAAGGTTTAGATGGTAATCTATGGCTAGTCTTAGAGGTTAGACGGAAGATAGAATACAGAAAAGAGTGAGAGGTGTGAAGATAATGAGTACCTCTCAGCTGATCTTCGAAAATTTATATAAAGCTAATCTGGTACAAAGACGAGTCAGCTGGCGGATCCGCTTTTGACGCTCCCTCCTATTTTTACTGGAAGCCTTCCCATGACTCAAAGATCCATGATCTGTACATAAGTAGCGACCCGAAAAGCTCGATGAGTCGACCTTGGTCACTGACTAGCCTGCATTACAGGGTTCCGCTTTTGGAACCCTGCGGTGAACGCACTTGACCGAATTCCAGTTGAGTACTAAAACATAGATGCTCAGATATGCTACAAGGTATGGTTCAAATGGACTATCTTCGTGGCTCAGGCAGCCAAACCGCCGTCACGGACTCAATCCAACAACCATCCTGCGTGCCTGCATGATGTCTGGAGATTCCTTCGGTGCTCTGACGGACGTCGAGAAAATAATGTTGGATAGTGTCAAGGTGAGGTCCTCGGCCGTGCCACTTCTCAAGTATGGGTCTTATAGAATAAAGGCAACAGGTCCGATATCATTCTCGACGTTCATGCAACTCAGTCTTGGGCACCCCACACATGGGTACTACATGAAACCGGAACATGCTGTCTTTGGTACTCAAGGTGACTTTATCACCAGTCCCGAGATTAGCCAGATGTTTGGCGAGGTGAGATTCATGCTATCATATGTATCACATCTTTCCAACGCGGATGCGCTACAAATAGCTTGTCGCGTTATGGATGATAAAACAGTGGATAGATACGAATGCTAAAGTACCCTTCCGAGTGGTAGAACTTGGACCTGGTAGGGGGACGCTGATGGACGACATACTTCGAGTAGGTGATGTTGAACGGGTGGTTGCTTGCTTCTCACCATGTTTCTTTCAGGTTTTGAAGCAGCTTCCTGCAGCACGTGGAAAACTAAAGAGTATTCATCTTGTTGAGAGCAGTGCGACTATGCGTGCTTTGCAGGAAAGCAAGCTTCGTAAGGCTTCTCAGGAGGGCAATTTCGAGACATTGTGGCATGATGCAATCGAAGAAATTGAGCACGAGGAAGATGTCTTCACTATGCTGGTCGCTCATGAATTTTTCGATGCCCTTCCCGTGAACGTCATTGAGGTGAGTTCCGTTCAGAGAAACGAACATTTGCTTTACTAGCGGAAATCGTAGAGAACTCAACAAGGCTGGAACGAGGTGCTAATTGCCCCCTCGAGTGATCCAAGCATTAAATACACCAGGCCCTCTTCGGAATCAGACCAAAATCCAGACTCTCCCCCACAATTGCATCACACGTCTTCGCGCTGGACGCGTGTTCTTTCGCCAACTCCGACAGCATCATCAACCCTACTTGGACTTGCGTCTCCTCGGTTCTTTTCGCTCCCTGTGGGGACCGCGTGTAGAGGTATCCAGAGCATCCATGAACCAAGCACGAGGTATTGGGAAACTTATCAATACCAAGGGCGGAGGATGCGCGCTTGTCATCGACTATGGTGCAGACAAAGCCTTTAGCGATTCCTTGCGGGTATGAACTCAGACGCATGCACCGAATTCTGACCAATAACCATTCACAGGCCTTCAAACAGCATAAAATCGTCGATGTCTTCTGTAGTCCCGGAGAGTGCGATATTACGACAAATGTCGATTTTGCGTTGCTGAAAGAGTCTATGGCTGATCTTGGTACGTCTCATGATGGTGCTCTGCTACGTGATTGTGGTTATTCAAGATGTACAGTCTCGACACATGGTCCCATCTCCCAACGCAACTTCCTCACGTGCATGGGCATAGAAATCAGGGCCGCCGCTCTTGTGCGTTCGGCCTTCTCTCTAGAAAGGAAAAAGGCGATCGAAGATGGCGCAAGTAGGCTCATTGATCCTCTTGGGATGGGCGAGCAGTACAAGGTGCTCGGAGCTGTTGCGAAAGGTAGGGCAGAAGAAGGCCAAGATGTTGGCGAGGTTTGGCCATTCACTGTCATCCAAAATAGTGCACAGCAATCCATTTAATTGCCACATAGGTGTATAACACACAAGTACATAGTATAATACATGACAAGGACCTGAGAATCAACAACGTACCAAAAAAATACACCACCGAGGAGCCTACGATTTATAGTGAGCCTTGATAGCATCCGCCAACTTCTCGGCGGTCGCAATAACCGCACCAGCCTAGATCTCTGTCAGCTTTACGGCCACCTTTCAGAGCTTCCACAAACCGGGTGTCCTGAGATCAATTTAGGGAAAACACTCGCATCACACACCCGGAGCCCCCGAGTGCCCCTAACACGTAACTCTGAGTCAACGACGCCGTCAGCTCCCATCGAACACGTCCCTATCGGGTGATACACCGTCTCCACGCGCTCTCTAACAATATCTGCCAGCTCCGCGTCGCTTAGACCGGAGATGTGGTGGTCAAGTTCGGGGTGGTGCGAGGCGTGCACGTCGGTAATAGAGGTCATAGGCGCTGTATGTGCGATTTTAAAAGCAGCGCGGACACCTCGAACGAGTACGTCAACATCGTGTTTTGTTTCAAGGTAGCTGGTTCGTGGTAGTAATAAGTAGAGGGTGAGTTTGAAGCAAACGAGTTAGCCCACCTGGGATCCATGAGCGGGTCATCCCAAGGGTCGGCAGACTTGAGAAGGAGCGATCCTTTACTCGTGGGACTAGCAGCACAGAACGTGTCGGTCGAGTTTGAAGTAGAAACATCGATGGCTTACCGTAATAAGATAATGATCATCTGATATGCCTGGAGCTTTGGGCTGAGGGGTATATTGTGTGAGTATACTGCGCCGGCACACATGAGGACCTCGAGGTCGGGGGCGTCTGGACCTGAACTGGAGTCTTCGAGGTTATTGTTGTACTCAGCGGGTGGGAAGAGCACCTGGTCGTCTGATCGGAAGAATGCTACAGACTCGCCAACCTATGATACTATTCAGTACTGACGATGTGAGCGCGGGGAAGACTTAACGAACGGTAGAAGCAAGTGGACCGGTGCCCCACAGCTGATATCGCAGCAAGTCGCGCATCAACAAGAACGCGGTGTTCAAACTATGAGGGTTAAAATGGTGGAAGGTGGTTCCCGTTTTGTCCCTAAACCGGAGATTGACTGATGGGTGATCCATGAGGTTAGCCCCGACGCTGGGGGCGTCGAGCACGACCGGAATGTTGTGACGTAAAAGCTGCGCAGCTGGACCAATGCCAGAAAGCATCAAGATCTGCGGAGAGTGTATGGCGCCACCGCTAATGAAAGGTAAATGATTGTTTAGGGCATATGAAACAATCACGCACGAGACAATGACTTCCTTAATCGCCCGTGCACGGAACTTGGGCCCGACTTTATTCATATGAGATCTGCTGGCAAACTCGACACCAGTGGCACGTGGGGTGCCACTGGAGGTGTCAAAGAGAACCTTGGAAACGCGCGCGTGGGTGACGACTTTCAAATTCGGACGTGCAAGAACGTCATCAGTAAGGTATGCAGACTCGGTAGTTACACGAGTGCTCTTGCTGTCGATGTACGTCACTATATATCAGTTGTTCAGCACTTGTTGAACCTAAGTGACTAATGAACTCACTGATCTATGCCATGTTAATAACCGGTGTTAATGAGCCTTAAAACATCAAGCCGGCACAATCTGTAAAGAAAGACTCGCCTTATTTGTCCCCTTCGTTCCCTTAGTCGTGCAGAAATCGGGTGAGAAAGGAATGCCGGCGTTAATACTTGCCTCGATAAAAGCTTTGCAGCCTCGCCATAAGTGGGTGTTGTACCCAATCTTAACAGGCCCATCGGCCCCGCGGAGGAGTGGATCAACATGCGGGAAGCGCGGGTCTGGGGTGTATTTCTCGAATTTACGAATATACCTAAGCAACAGAGTTATCGGAAGCGAGGAGTGACGAGAAACGAACTACGTACTTGCTGAAGTTGTTCCACGACCAGGATTGGTCACCAGCAATTTCCGCCCATTCGTCGAAATCGGACGGTGCGCCGTATTGTGCACTAGAATAGTAGGAGTAAGTCAACCCGCGGGAAGATGCACTATAACTCACATCATGGCATTCATAGCAGAGCCTGAGGAACATTAAAACATCACTTTACCAGTAGAACGACTACTCACATCCTCCGAGAAGTTTCGCTTAACATATGGGGATCAATATAACAACTGGGAAATTGAGGAAAACGACGTACCGCGAGGCCAATATTTTTTCCTGTTGCCTGCATGTCGCTGGGGCTCGGTATAAAGATGGTAGTCCCATGGACTGCGCATTAGTTTCGCGAACGCAGCAGGTATGTTGCTTGGCTTGATATTTTTAGAGCTATGAAGAGCTTTGGCATCTCAGAAGCAGATAAAACCCTCGAATATGCCGACCTTCCACCAGCCTCGACGAGTAGAACTCGCAGGCTTGGGTCTTCGGAGAGACGTGATGCCAGAACACATCCTGCTGTACCTAGACGCATTCGAGGTATAAGAAGTGTGGCTACCAGTATGGAACATTGAATGTATCATACCTCCTCCAACAATGATGAAATCCCACTCATCAAACTCGACTTCATTGTCATTAACTTTCCTCGCTACCTTCGCGTAGTCCGTTATGAGCTTTGGTTGTTTCGCGGTGAGGTACCTCAGGACGATCGTTAACGCCACTACGCCTGCTGCCGCACCAAGAGAGAGCCTAGATGGGGTGGCAGCACGAGCCTGAATGGCCTCCAGAATGCCGAGCAGCTTCGCAAACAAGTCTGTATGGATCATGAGTTATGCGGGGCAGAAAGTATCGAAGGAGCTAGAGGAGAAGCGGGAGTATTTGAAGGCCTTATGCCAACTCACGCCCCCGGGATCCGGATCACACAGCATGTGAAAAGCTCATCCGAATTACCGATTTCACGATGGCCGAGTCGTTGACCGAGGCAACATCTTATACTTAAGATTAAAACTCATTCATTCGAACGAGCGCTGGCAACAGGACTTAGACCAACTGTGAATGGTACTTTAACTTCATGAGCTGCGCGCACGGAACCAACCAGCAATCGGACAAATTGCAAATTCGTGCCTGACATGTTACGGTAGTCTCCGCCGGGGCCAAGACCGGTCCAAGTGTCTAAGCGCTCAGTGAGCAGCGCTGCTCGAGCAAAAGGCAAAAAGTGGCCGGGTCAGGTAGGCGTGCTATATAAAAAATCGCTCTGTTCAGCTTCATGGCCCATGATCAGTTACAACTAGCATTTCGTCTCCAGCCAGATAATGGTGACCTAGGTAGATGAGACCGATAGGTGCACCGAATTATGGCCCAGTTAGATAGACCAGGGAAATCTCAAATCTAGACTCGCTCTGGATCAGAATTCGAGAAAGCACTGCATAGTTTAAAAATTGCTGCACTAACTTCTTTTTATCTATATAGTCTATAGCGTACATTATAAGTAGTCCACTTGATAAATAGCTTGATTTTGTTTTCAAAGACGGTCCCGAGCCTATCAGGCCGTAGTAGGCCGTGCATTTGACTGCTGTGTGTGGCTGTGCTCCGAAGAAGCACTTGCGGGTCACGACCATAATATTCCATCGCCCTCCAAGCTCTAGGTACTCTACAGGCTTTCTGCTCAACTACTCATCGTGGCCCGTGCTGGCCACCTTTCGACGCATATTCCCTCTCGGATTCCTCTCAAGAACCCAACAATCCTACAGGAGTAATACCCTCCCTATCCCTGAGTCAAGGCATAGCCCCCCTCAGGCTTCAAACATGCCTTCAGACAGCCCCCCGCCAACCAAAGCCGGCCTCCTCAAGTGGTGGACTCAATTCACTCATGCTCAAAATCGCAAAAAGGATTCAGACCCGAGTAGAAGTCTGTACTATCCTGACCTCCGGCCCATTGACGTTGACTAATTTGCAATCTATTATCCAGTTGTAGATCAGGAGGAACATCCAGTGTTTCAAAAACCACTCAAAGAGAGTCTGAGATATGCAAGCGTGCAGATTTCGACTGCCAATGCAAACGGCGAGCTGTACGTGTGGGGGTACATACCTGTCGTTGTGGCGAAATGGTGAGTGGGGCTGCCTTGCACCGTCTTGACTAGCTGTGTACCTTGGCTCCTCTAGTGGTCTGTATCTCAAAGAAAATGGTGGGTGTTGGTGTGTACGACGTAATCATTGATCTAAACGCTCTGCATCTATCAGCTACAGAGGTAGAGGGAACGTTTCGTGTCAACGGTTCTAATAAGCGCATGCGAGATCTACAAGCCGCTTTCGAGACGCCCCCACGGGTGCGTACAGATTGCTCCTATATAACACTATGAGGTCCTATTGATGTACTATTTTCAACATCAGTACGGGAAGTCGCTGGACTGGAAAAATGAACACTTTACAACACATGACGTCGCGAGCGTCTTTCGTAGATATCTAACTCAAATGCCTGTCAGTGGCGCTCCACGCTCCTTGCTGTACGTACTCATGCCCCACTCAGGAACCTGTAATACCACACGATATGTATCACGATGTGAGTGTATGCTGCTTCCTTTGTTGATTAGGGCTGACCTCTTCTCAATTAGTTCCGGGACGTTTTGGGTAAGGAGTTTTGAAAGTTTGAAGCACAAGCTGAACTCGAGACTGTGCAGGAAAGAAACCATTCAACCATGATGAAGTGATTGCAACGTACAAGCGTCTAATTCAACGTATGCCCCGTGCGAACCAATACCTTCTTCTCTACGTATTGGATCTATTATCAGTATTTGCACGAAAATCAGATAAAAATCTTATGACAGCCACAAGTACGCCAAACCCCTCTGCGATTGACTTTATCTTTATTCTCATCCCTCTCCCGCGCAGATCTCGCGGTGATTTTTCGGCCCGGCCTCATATCCCATCCTAACCATGAAATGTCCCCTGGGGAGCACGCGCTGAGCCAACGTGTTCTCGAATTCCTCATTGCGCAACAGGATTGGTTCTTACTCGACATACCACCGCCACCACGATCGGAGCAGAGCTCCTCGTGGAAGCCTCCACCACGGCCCCAACACGCGCACACACAGGTACCAAGTGAAGAAGACTCGGATCTTGTTGTTGTGCCTAGTTCAGATGACGAGCATACGTCGATTGCTGGAGGGTGGAAGCTTGTCGGCCGCGACAGACGGCGCATTTACCGGCGCCGCACAACGCTAGAATACACTGGTGGGTCATTCCTGGGGGCCGCGCATCAATTGGACCGTCGCTGAAGTCGGAGTGCACCCATTTGTGATTGTGCCACATCTTTTCCCTTAGATTCACTCGACAGAACAAAAGATGTTGATAGTGGGCAATTATCGCCTGTCTTGGAGACACCAACATCACGCCCTGTAAGCCAAGCTTCAAGTCCTGCAGCAGTAGGAGTGAGCCGAAGTCGAACACTGCCCTCCAATCGAGGAAGCACAGACGATGAAAAACACCGCGCTAGGGTGCTCAGAAAACAGAAGCGAACATCAGCTCAGCCGCGACACCCAACTGCACTTGGGGGTCATGCGGGTGGGTAGGATGGGTGAAGTTGGTGGAAGTGGAGTCGTCTGGAAGTTTGTGATATTGATATACCTCGAGGCGGGCACGGCGTTGTTGTGCCGAGTTCCCGATCGCCCATTTGTTTTCCTTTTTACCGGTCTGGACAATTGCATTTGAGGTTTCGGTGTACACTTTAGGGTTGTTGTAGTACTTCGGGAGATAACAAACAGGACACTTGTTTTCATGCCGCGGGCCAAGCTCGGTCAGGGTAAATATGTTGTGTCAACTCCGCAGCATTAGTACTAATTTTATCTACATAGTACGTGACTAAGGAAAGATTTACACTAGAAATCAAACCAGAATAGCATATCAAGAGCTCCCGTCGCCATCAAGCAGCAAGCCTGGGTGAGGTTCGAACAAGAAAAGGTAATTCTTGATGGCCTTGTGACGGGGCGCGTCCTCACGAGGCACAAAAATTAAAGAAGTTAGGGCAAGGATCGACCAACTGTCAGTTCTAGTTTCAACGTTCCTCTCTTCTGCAAAAATGCAACAAGGTGGGTCGAGCTCGATGCAACAGGTAGCGCCCTACAGGGACACCCCGACGAGCAACCTACAAGACAATGACCCATCTTCAGGCGTGGTAAGAACCCCGTTACCATTCATATATTGTTGGAATGTATCTATATATAATGTGGAGCGTCCAGTCTGAAACCTGAGTTCGCTTGAAGTTCTAGTGGTTCAATTATTTTTGCACCAGTCTCTTCTCCCTACTTACACCTTCTCTGAACTAAACTTCTGCTGCGCAGGCAACACACGCTCCTTCCCCCTTCGACTCGTCTCACAATCTCTCATCGGGGCCAACGCTCAGGGATCCAACAAATCATCCACTTGCAGGCCAGCCTACCTCAACCGCGTCCTACATGCCCGTCCCACAAACCAACTACCAGAATATCGAGTCCCGCAACAGCGACTGGCTGGAGCAGTCGCAGAAGGCAAGCAAACGGTCAAGATTCATCGTGAGTTTCACTCAACCTATGTCGTGCTTGACCACTTAACAACATCCTGCTGGAAAGGTTATTGGCTCAGTAATTACCCTTGCCGTATTGATCGCTGTTGGTGTCGCAGTTGGCGTCACGCTCTCGAAAAAGAGCTCGAATAACAGCTCGAGTTCGAGTTCGAGCGCCTCCGCTCCAGCTGGGACGAACCCCAACGATCCTAGTAACTTCCCGAAAAACTCTGCTTTGGTCAATTCGTTCTATGGTATCGCGTATACGCCACTGGGCTCGCAGCTCCCCAACTGTGGCAATAATCTAAGTGTGTATAATTGCATTATCTTGGTTAGGATGTGTCTAACGTACCGCAGCGGAGGTCATTGAGGATATCCAGGTAGGTCTTTCAAGGGATCTTTTTGAGCGCTTGTTCTCTTACACGACCTATAGCTGTTGTCCCAGATCACAACGGTGAGTATCTCGATGGTGTGTTATATACCGTGCACTCATTCCCTAATTGCCAGAATATCCGTCTTTATGGCGCTGACTGCAATCAGTCCTCCCTCGTCGTAAGTTGTCATGTGGACTATCTTTGATGTGTTTGTCCACACTTTTTTTGCAGCTTGCTGCCATTCAGGCTACCAAGGTTAAGATGTCTGTCTACCTCGGCAACTATCCTGCTTCCGACGATAACGGGACTGCGTATACACGCCAGAAAGGCGAAATTCAGACTGCTCTTCAACAATACGGTGCAGCCAACGTGGCCGGTGTTACAGTCGGCAATGAATTCATCCTTGAGTTAGCACTCATTTCTGAAGTTCAAATAGTTGGCTAAACCGACTCTCAGTTACATTACAGGGCAAGGGCAGACGGACCCCAACGGCTCCGCAGGACAGGCAGGCGAGTTCATACTTTTCTTTCCTGCTGAAATGAATTTCCAATTGTTTTGTCACAGCTGCGGCGATGCTGATACCCTGGATCAACGATACTCGTTCAATGCTGTCCTCGATGGGTATGAGCAACATCTTAGTCGGTAATGCAGATGCTGGAAGTTATTTCAATAACGAAGTTCTCGCTGCCGTCGACTATGGGGTTGGTTTCCCTCTTTATGTATGTTTGGCGCCTACTTATGTTATGCAGATGGCGAACGTCCACCCATGGTTCGCCAATCAATCGATTGATAACGCTGCCGCCTGGACGGGCGAATTCTTCAGCTCCACGGACGTCGCTCTTGCTCAATCTCTTCCGAACCAACCGAAGATGTACATTGCTGAGACTGGCTGGCCAACTGTCTGTTCTCTTTATCTTTCATCCCTGATTCATTTAACCTGTACTATAGGGTTCTTCTTCTTTCAACGCCAACCCGAATGATGGGCCTTCGCTCGCTTCTGTGGAGAACTTGCAGGTGCGATTCGTTCTCGTTTTGCCACGCTATGACGTACAATGGTTGCTAATTTCATACTTGCAGATATTTATAAATGATTTCGCATGTAACGGTATGCACTTCTCACGTGGAGCAAGGACAATAATAGCTCAACGTTGCATTAACAGCTACCAAAAACGGAACTGGATACTTCTTCTTCGAGGTGCGTATTCGATCTCCGAACCTTTAAATTGTACTCACCGTAATGTACGACAATAGTTCAGTGACGAGCCTTGGAAGGTAAGCTTGTACTTGCAGTGTCCAGGAGCGGTGTCTGACTTGCCTTGCAGAATACAACGTATGGTGGCGTGGAGGTAACGTTCAGTTATTTTTGGTTTCGTCATGCTGATCTCACCCTTGCTCGCTAGGGATACTGGGGCTTGTTTGACTCCAAGTAAATTTACTCACTCCACGTTATCTATTGTGCGGTGCTAATGACTATTGATAGCAAAAACCTGAAAAACATCACGATCCCCACATGCTAGCCGGTCCCCTCTCGCTCGGACAGATACCTTATGCGGACTCCATAGCCAATACAGATCCTAACTATAGCATTTTGTTCACAGTTAGCCTTCTATCCATCGTATTTTTTTCTGCATGCCGCGGTGGATGATCTTTATCGAACGTTTGCTTCGAAAGGACTACATTATGTTGCATCTTTATCTGCGATTTTGTCATATAGCTTTTGACGATGTATTTAATACCCGTAGCTTCCATGCCAGCCTTGACCCTTGTGTGGTTGAACCATTGACTAATACATTTTTAAGCGGTGGTTACCTAATTATGCTGTGACCTCTACACAATGCAGCGGCGTTGGACATGAAATGTTGAACTGACAGGTCTTCTGAACCAGCCTATCGAGGGTGATAGGCGTTGTTGTCTTTGAGATGGTGGCATCCGCTCATCAGGTCCTTCCGTGCCTTGATCGGCCATGCCCGCACGGACCTCGGCGCTTATTCATGGGCATTTAGCGCAGTGGTAGCGCGTATGCTTTGCATACTAGCACGTATAAGGTCCAGAGTTCAATCCTCTGAATGTCCATTTTTTGCCATGAACTGGTAGATCGCCATGTGGAACTCGACTTTGTTCTCGGTGTTTGAGGCTCTTGTGTGTGATCAAAGAGATATGAAGATCGGCGGAGTGCTTGACAGACAAGTGACACCTACAGATGAAACTCGACGAATACAAGTGTGGCAGTGCCGCGGGGATGAAAAAACGCATCCGTATAAAACATTATAATGCATTTGAATCTGAACGGGTTGTTCACCGGTGAACGAGAACAACCCCTTTAAATTAGATCACTGATACGAGAAACGACGGCTAGTGCCGCCCCCTGTGATTGTGGGTATTGGGCGAGAGGAAGACTGATCAAGCACTGAGTATCGGGTCAACGAGAACAACTTTCAAATGAAATAACTAACCACCTGTGCACAATCGTTGGGTATGGGCGGAGAGGAAGACTGATGAATTAAATAATAACTGGAACAGGGATGACGTCGGAAATACTGTATACCAGCGCCATCTGCATTTAGTCTGTCATACCGACAGTTTTTTTTTCAGGTCCAACTTACCTAGGTGGAGACAGACCAGCGCTTATGGGCTGCTTACTATCCGAGGCAATCGATCGATGTGCGCTGATGGAAAGGGACCTCATGTAAGTGAAACAACACATGTTGATACAGAGTTGAATTAAACAAACATGTGTGCTTACATTTGCCTCGATGCATGCCTCATTTTCCGTTGTGTGGGTACATACTGACAAGAGACAGGGGCTAGAGTAGTGTCTCAAATGGAGTCGTAGCACGCGATGGATAGATTTCTGTCGCTGCCAGTCACCACCAGCTGTGCATGAGAAAGCTTGATGTGCTTGTCATGAACCGAGCATATGAAAACGTAGCCAGACCAAAACTGATGGGTCCATATCGACGAACACGCTGCAGTAGATAGAATTCACGAAATTAATAAATGTTCGTCTGATGCGTTCTTATTGGCTGGTTAACCGTTAAAGTATTACGTAATCACGTGACTTGCATACAGTTTTTGGGGAAGTTGACGCCTGAAACCAAAAAATTGGGATAATCCAAAATACACTGGGGAGTAACAGGCATATAAAGTAAACTCTCAACCCTCTTCTCCTTCTTTCACTCCTCTCCCGCACGTCGTTCCCGACGTCCATCATCTCTCTCCAAAATGTCTGTCCAGAACGGTGATGCCGTTCACGAAAACCAATTTGCTACTCGTCCACTAGTAATATCCATCGCAAATATTAGAGTACGCGTCATTTTTTTTGTTCCATCTATCCCTTGTTTAAACTGGCTTTTTCAGGTCTCCATTCCCGTCTCTACCCAAATAGACGAGTGGATCGCTGCTGAAGTCCTTAGGGATGACTTCATCTCGTCGCAACAGCGCGTCGATGTCGTAGACACCGTCGCCGACCCGGAACGCCCATTACAGGCCCACGTAGATCTCTTTGCACGTTTCCTCGCTTTCATTGCACAGAGGACTTCCGATGCATCAGACTGCACAAAGGCACGCACCTCTCTGCTCAATCGCGTGTTCACGCATTTCGTCTCCTCATATATTACCGATACCGACCTCTTCTCTTTTGTAAACCCGTTCGATGCCGAGGTCCGCACTGGAATCCTTGCAGCTTACTTTGCTGCACGTGCTACCCTAGAGAACTATAATATTGCAGATATCCCCGGTCCACCTGCTTCCGCTCTCCTCACAGCTGTTGATGACGCCGAAGCATCAATATATGCGCTTTTTGGTGGTCAAGGGACCAACGAGGTCTACTTTGACGAGCTTCAGTCGCTGTACGATATTTACAAGCCTTACGTTTCTTCAATAATTGCTTCCATCACGGATGACATTCTCCTTCCCCTTGTTGCATCCCATGAGGGTTGTAGCTTTTACAATTATGGTTTGAACGTCGCAGCATGGCTCGCAGGCACATCTCCTCGTCCGCCTCTCGAATATCTTGCCTCCATCCCAGTCTCGCTTCCCTTGATTGGTCTCACTCAGCTAGTGCAGTACCTTGTCATCTGTCACGTCTCCGGGTTCACTCCCGGCGAGCTTCGTGATCATTTCGCCGGTGCAACTGGCCATTCGCAGGGCGTTGTTTCTGCCATCGCCATTTCTGCGTCTACATCCATCGAATCATTTAATATCAACGCCAAGAAAGCCCTCCGATGGCTCTTCTTTTGTGGTCTGCGCGGGCAGGAAGCCTTCCCCGTGCTCGCCCTAGAACCAAGCATCGTTCAAGACTGCATCGATGGAGGCGAGGGTGACCCCACGCCTATGCTTTCGGTCACAAACCTGTCCCTCGCTGTGCTGCAGCCCCACATCGATACTACAAACGATCATTTACCTGCTAATGCGCAGATTGCTGTCTCCCTGTTCAATGGTCCCAGAAACTTCGTTGTGACTGGTCCTCCACGTTCTCTGTGTGGGCTCGTCACGAACTTGAGGAAAGTACGTGCACCTTCTGAGCTTGACCAGAGCAAGGTTCCGTTTTCGCAACGGAAACCCGCGTTCGGTGTCCGATTTTTGGTGGTGAATGCCCCGTACCACAGCGCGCATTTGAAGGGTGCTGCCGAGAAGTTGTGTGATGAAGATCTTGAAGGCGAGGAGCTTTGGACCAAGGAAGAATTGGGTATTCCAGTATTCAACACCGAAGATGGTGCACATATAGTCATTTCAAACGCGTTTATGGCTGATTTTCTGGTTGTAGGTTCCGATATGCGTACTTTGGAGACATCTATCACGCGTTCGTTATGCGATCAGATCTTTACATCCCCCATTCACTGGACCCTTGCAACTGGTTTCCCTGAGACCGCGACGCACGTCATCGACTTTGGTCCTGGTGGCCTGAATGGCATTGGGCCTCTCACAGCTCGTAATCTGGAAGGTCGCGGCGTGCGCGTTGTCACGCTAGGCGATAAGGGCCGCGGCGAGGCGGAACTCTTTGATGTTGAAGAAGTCAAGTACGAGGAGTGGTGGAGCAAGAAGTACGCGCCAAAACTTGTGAAGACAAGGTGCGTCAACCAAGGACGGCGACTTTTCAATTTAGATTCTGACATGACATGACAGCGATGGTACCATCCACCTTGACACGCCGTTCTCGCGCCTGCTCGGGAAGCCTCCGATTATGGTCGCTGGTATGACACCCACAACCGTGAAAGCGGGCTTCGTCTCTGCGGTCCTCTCTGCAGGGTATCACATCGAGCTGGCAGGTGGAGGTCACTACAACCCTGCAGCATTGCGTGCAAAAGTTGCCGAAATTCAAGCACAAATTCCTACAGGCGTCGGTCTCACGCTCAACGCCCTCTACATTAACCCCCGTCAATTCGGCTTCCAGTTCCCCTTATGGCAAGAAATGCGTCGTGAGGGCTTGCCTATCGAAGGTTTCTGTGTTGCTGCCGGCATTCCCAGCACTGAGAAAGCAGTGGAGATTATTGATGGATTGAGGAAGGCTGGTATCCGGCACGTATCATTCAAGCCGGGCTCGGTGGATGGCATCAGGCAGGTCGTCAATATCGCGAAGTCCAACCCTGATTTCCCTATCATACTTCAATGGACGGGAGGCCGTGCCGGTGGTCACCACTCATACGAAGACTTTCATATGCCCGTGCTGAAAACATACAGTGCCATGCGTGCGCAGGAGAACTTGATTCTTGTCGGCGGTTCCGGATTCGGAGGTGCTGATGATGTGTGGCCATACCTCACTGGTGATTGGTCAAAGGACCTCTACGGCCAGCAGCTCATGCCATTCGACGGTTTTCTATTCGCGTCGCGTGTGATGGTGGCCAAGGAAGCGCACACGAGTTCCAGTGTGAAGGATCTCATCGTTAAAGCGCCTGGTGTGGACGACAAGCAATGGGAAAACACGTACGCGAAGCCTGCCGGCGGGATCTTGACGGTGCGCTCGGAGCTGGGCGAGCCTATCCACAAGGTCGCCACGCGCGCTGTGAAGCTCTGGAAGGAGTTTGATGACACCGTCTTCAAGCTCCCGAAGGAGAAGCGCGGCCCTTGGCTCGCTGAGCGCAAAGCGGAGATCATCGGTAAGTTGAATGCAGACTTTGCGAAGCCGTGGTTCGGTTGGAAGAAGGATGGCAGCGTTGCCCTCGATCTGGGCGACATGACATATGAAGAAGTCGCTCTACGTATGGTCCGTCTGATGTACGTCTCGCATCAGAGTCGGTGGATCGACTTGAGCTTGAGAAACTTGACGGGTGATTGGTTGAGGCGCGTGGAGGAGAGATTTGCAGGTGTCCATGGGGGGTTGAAGTCCAGTGTGCTGCAGAGCTTTACAGAGCTGGACGATCCCAGCAAGTTCGTGGAGTTCTTCTTTGACAAGTATCCTGCCTCGAAGATTCAGTTGCTCGCCGCTGAGGACCGTGCATACTTTCTCACCATCTCTCAGCGCGCGGGCCAGAAGCCTGCCCCCTTCATTCCGATTTTGGACAGTAGCTTCGAGGTGTGGTTCAAGAAGGTTTGTATCGATCAACCCTCTGTTGCTGAGATTGTTGATTAATCTCATCAATGAATGCAGGATTCGCTTTGGGCTGCTGAGGATATCGAAGCGGTGTTTGACCAGGACCCGCAGCGTGTGTGTATTCTTCAAGGCCCCGTTGCCGTCAAGTACTCCACAGTCAAAGACGAGCCCATCAAGGACCTTCTTGGCAACATCACTTCCTGCCTCGTTGAGAAGCTACTCGAGCGTTCCTACGGTGGAGACGTTTCTAAGGTGCCAACTGTTGACTACCTTGCTCCTGTCCCAGAGGAAGCCGAGACTCCTGATGGCGTTGCGTATGAAGAAACCACGAAGAGCGTGACTTATACTATTGGTGATGTGATCCCAGACACGAAGGAGTGGTTGCAGGCGCTGTCCGGCTCAGAGCTGAGCTGGCTCAAGGCGTTGTTGACATCTGACACAATCGTTCAAGGCACTGCATACATCGACAACCCGCTCCAACGCGCGCTTGCGCCGAGATATGGGCAGAAGGTGGTCATTGGCATGGACAAAGGCTCGCCAACATCTCTGACCTTCTACGGTGCTGGTCGCTCGCATGGCACGCACAAGTCCGAATTCAAGGCTGTTGAGATCCACTACACTGCATCCTCCAAGCTCATTGATGTCACTTTCTATGAGGACAGGCGCGATGTATCCGTGCCCCTTGCTTTGCAATTCAAATACGTATCATCTACAGGCGCGATCCCAATCCATGAGGTCGCAGTCGGTCGCAATCGTCGCATCAAAGAGTTCTACTGGAAGCTGTGGTTCGGTGACGATGAAGAAATGCCCGAGATTGATATTCGTGAGACGTTCATAGGCCCTGAGGTCACGATTTCTGCGGAGGATGTGGGGATGTTTTGTGGTGTTGTTGGTAACCAGAATGAAGCGTTTAAGACGGCGCGCACGGAGATTGTCAAGGCTCCGATGGACTTTGCGATTGTGACTGGGTGGCAGGTATGTCGTTGGAGGCCCGTATGCTCTGGGGTCTTGAACTAACTGGGACGATGATATAGGCAATTATGAAGGCGATTTTCCCTGTGTCCATTGATGGGGATCTCCTGAAGTTGGTCCACCTCTCGAATGGCTTCCGCCTCGTTCCTGGCGCAACGCCCTTGGTTGCTGGCGATGTCTGCATTGCTGACGCGCGCATTTCGTCGGTTAAGAACACGGATGCTGGCAAGGTCGTGAAGGTAAAGGGACATGTGTTCCGTGATGGAAAGCCTGTCATCGAGGTCGTTTCGTCGTTCCTTTACCGCGGCCGTTTCATCGATTTCGAGAATACTTTCGAGACCATCAACGAGCCTGACTACGTCGTGGAGATTGCCAATGATGCTGATGTCGGCGTCATGCAGTCTAAGGAGTGGCTGAGCTGGGAGGATGAGTCGACGCCTCTCAAGGCTGGCATGACCCTCGTTTTCCGAGTACAATCGCAGGTTACGTTCAAGGACAAAACCACTTACCGGGATGTCACAGTCTCTGGTGACGTGTTCATGCGCGATCAGCTCAAGCGTTTGAAGAAAGTCGCGTCAGTGGAGTTCGAGCAAGAAGGATGCCACGGAAACCCTGTCGTTGCCCATCTCGAGCGTCGTGGCACTCAGGAAGGCCGTCTCACTCAACTCACCAATGAGGGGTACACAATGTCCAGCAAGGTCTCTACCACATTCAATTCTCCTCTTGCAAACGAACCATACTCGAAGGTCTCGGGTGATTTCAATCCTATCCATGTCAATCCTTATTTCGCAGACTATGCATCGCTTCCTGGTACCATCACCCATGGCATGTGGTCAAGCGCTGCGACGCGCCGTTATGTCGAAAATATTGTTGCGGAAGGCAATCCTGATCGTGTCGTTGCGTAAGTGAAGTCTCCAGGATACGTGATCAACGATCTGACTTCTCCTAGATATGATGTCTCCTTCGTCGGCATGATCTTACCTGGCGATGAGCTGAAGGTCAACATCCGCCACGTTGGCATGCGCGATGGCAACATGGTCGTCAAGGTTGAAACATTGAACCAGCGCGAAGAGAAGGTCCTCGAGGGAACTGCAGAGGTCGCACAGGCTACCACCGTCTACGTCTTCACCGGCCAAGGCTCACAGGAACCTGGCATGGGGATGGATTTGTACAACAGCTCCTCCGCTGCTCGCTCGGTGTGGGAAGGAGCCGATGCGCACTTGCTCGCCGTGTATGGCTTCTCCATCGTCGAGATCGTCAAGGACAACCCAAAGGAAAAGACCATTCACTTTGGTGGTATCAAGGGTCAGGCAATCCGCCAGAGGTATATGGACATGACCTACGACACCATGGACAAGGACGGCGTCGTCAAAACTCATCCCCTCTTCGCCGACATTGACATTCGTACCCCGAAATACACCTTCAGCCACCCCAGTGGTCTCCTTTTTGCTACTCAATTCGCACAGATTGCGCTCGTGGTGACTGAGAAGGCTGCATTCGAAGACATGCGCGCCAAGGGCTTCGTCCAGAAGGACTGCGCATTTGCCGGACACTCACTTGGTGAATACTCTGCTCTTGCCTCCATGGCTGATGTCCTCCATATATCCGCTCTTGTCGATGTCGTTTTCTACCGTGGGATCACGATGCAGCGGGCCGTCGAGCGTGATGCTCACAACCGCTCTAACTATGCTATGTGTGCTGTCAACCCCAGCCGTATCTCGAAGACTTTTACCGATGCAGCACTTCGTGAGGTCGTCGATACCATTTCCACTCGTACGAGCACATTACTCGAGATCGTCAACTACAACGTCGAGGTCAGTGCTTTCTCACTGAGCTCTTTCTCGTCGCTAACGTGTATTTTGCACAGGGTCAACAATATGTTTGCGCTGGAGAGCTTCTAGCTCTTCAGACGATGACCAACGTCTTGAACTACCTGAAAGTCCAGAAGATCGACATTCACAAGGTTTGTACTTCATCCTATCGAAATGATCGCAGCTTAACGTTAGTATCTATAGCTGACTGAACAATTCACCGTCGAGAAGGTCAAGGAGATGCTTGGGGACATCGTGATGGAGTGCTTCGAGCACGCCAAGGAGCAGCAACGAGCAGAAGGCTACATCAAACTTGAGCGTGGCTTTGCAACCATTCCTCTACCTGGTATAGATGTGCCCTTCCACTCTCGTTACCTCTGGGCTGGTGTCATGCCTTTCCGTGCATGTAAGTCATGAACGTGTACATTACGCCGACCCAGCTAATCACTTTCTCTAGACCTCTCGAAGAAGATCAACCCGTCGCTTCTTAACCCTGACATGCTCATCGGAAAATACATCCCGAACTTGGTTGCCAAGCCATTCGATATCACGCGCGAGTACGCGCAGCTCATCTATGACCAGACGTCTTCGCCCCGTCTCGACAAGGTTCTCAAGAAGTGGGATCAGGACGATTGGACATCCCCTGAGCAGCGTCAGAAGCTTGCATACACCATCCTCGTTGAACTCCTCTCGTACCAATTCGCATCTCCGGTCCGATGGATTGAAACCCAGGACTTGTTGTTCACTCAGTATCACTTCGAACGTTTCATTGAGCTTGGTCCATCACCTACGCTTACTGGCATGGCCACCCGCACTCTCAAGGCCAAGTATGAGCCGCAAGATGACGCCGTGAGCCGCAAGAGAATCATCCTTTGCCATGCCAAGAATGTCCGCGAGATCTACTACCAGTTTGAAGATGAAGTTGCCGCGACTCCTGCTGCTGCTGAAGCTCCTGCAGAGTCTACGCCTGCTCCCGCATCTCCTATCGCCGCTCCCACGCCTGTCGCAGCTTCACCTTCGGCTGGTCCTGCTGCCTCCATTGAGGACGCCCCCATCAAGGCCAACGATATTCTCATGTCCATCATTGCACAGAAGCTCAAGAAGAAGGTTGAGGAGGTTCCTACGAGCAAGACCATTAAAGATCTCGTCGGCGGCAAGTCAACTCTTCAGAACGAGATTCTCGGCGACTTGCAACTTGAGTTTTTATCTGCGCCAGAGAAGGGTGAAGAGTTGCCTTTGGAAGAGCTAGGTTCTGCTCTCAGCGTCGGTCACTCCGGTGCTCTCGGCAAGTACACTTCGGGCTTAGTGTCCCGTATGATCGGTGGCAAGATGCCTGGTGGCTTCAACTCGTCTGCCATCAAGACCCACTTAGCAAAGACTTGGGGACTGGGATCGTCACGCGCTGACGGCGTCCTTCTACTCGGAACCACGATGGAGCCTGCCAAACGTCTCTCTTCGGAGACTGAGGGCAAGGCTTGGCTTGATACTGTTGTCGCTATCTATGCTCAGCGTTCTGGGATCTCTCTCTCCAGTGGAGGTGCTGGAGGTGCCGGTGGTAGTTCCGGGGGTGGTGGGACCATCAACAGCGAGGAGTTCCTGAAGTTCCGCGCTGAACAGGAGCAATTTGCTGCTCAGCACGTTGAACTTTATATGCGTTATCTGAACAAGGACTCTCGTGCCGGGGAGATTGCGTTTGACAAGGAGAAAGCCAACTCTGTTCAATTGCAAGCTCGCTTGGATTCCATTATGAAGGAGCACGGCGACGCATACATTGACGGTATTCAACCTGTTTTCGACCCGCTTAAGGCTCGCCACTTCGACTCTTCATGGAACTGGGTGCGACAAGATGCTCTCCTGATGTACTATGACATCATTCATGGCCGGCTCACTACCGTCGACCGCGAGCTTACTGCCCGCTGCATCGCTCTACTCAACCGCGCCGATCCCGAACTTCTCACTTATATGCAGTACAACATCGATCGTTGCGATGCTAGCAAGGGTGATACCTATGTTCTTGCTAAGCAGTTTGGCCAACAGCTCATCGACAACACGAAGGAAGTGATCGACCACCCTCCGGTGTACAAAGACGGTAAGCACACAGATTGATTTGTGTCCGTCGCCGTTAATCACGTTTCAAACCAGTGACATTCCCCACTGCTCCTCATACTGAAGTCACAGAGAAAGGTGATATTGTCTACTCCGAAGTCGTCCGGGAGAATGTTCGTAAGTTGGAAGCTTATGTCGAGGAGATGGCCAGTGGAGACACCATTTCCACCATAAACATCCAGAAGGTGCAAGACGATGTTTTGAAGTTATGGACCGTAGTTAGATCCCAACCCGGTATCAGTCAAGACCAGAAGAACCGTATCAAAGCGTTATACGAGGGAGTCGTTCGTTCCCTCAGAAAGGGTCCCGAACAAATTCGCACACGCACTCGCAGCCGTCGCTCATCTTCCCAATTCCTTCGTCCGCAGATCACCGCTGCCACTACCGTGTCCGCAGACAAGGTCCCCCTTCTCCATCTCAAACGCAAGGTGGGCAGCAACTGGGAGTACTCCAGCAACTTAACTGGCGTGTACCTCGACATTCTTCACGAGATTGCAACCTCGGGCACTACCTTCAAAGACAAGAACGCTCTTCTCACTGGTGTCGGCAAGGGCTCCATTGGTGTAGAGATCATGAAGGGTCTTCTGTCGGGCGGTGCACATGTCGTCATCACTACCTCCCGCTATAACCGAGCGACCGTGGAGTACTACCAATCTATCTACCAGAGCTTTGGCGCTCGAGGATCAGCTCTCACTGTTGTTCCCTTCAACCAAGGTTCGAAGCAGGATGTTGAAGCACTTGTCGACTACATCTATGCTACGCTCGGTCTCGATCTCGACTACATACTTCCCTTCGCTGCAGTGCCCGAAAATGGCCGTGAGATTGACGGCCTGGATGACAAGTCTGAGCTTGCCCACCGCATCATGTTGGTGAACTTGCTGCGCGTTCTTGGCGCAGTCAAGAACAAGAAGGCTTCTCGTCACTTCGTCACCAGACCAACGCAAGTCATTCTTCCCCTGTCTCCTAATCACGGTCTTTTCGGCAATGACGGTCTCTATTCGGAGTCTAAGATATCTTTGGAGACTTTGTTTAACCGCTGGAACTCGGAGAGTTGGGGCGAGTATCTGTGCTTGGCTGGTGCTGTTATCGGGTGAGTATCGTCTTAAATTTTTCTTGTTGCTCGGTGGCTTATACCATATAGATGGACCCGCGGTACAGGTCTCATGGACGCTACCAACATTGTCGCGGACGAGGTTGAGAGTCACGGTGTCCGTACCTTCTCGGCGAAGGAGATGGCGTTCAATATCCTGGGCTTGATGCACCCATTGCTCTTCAGTATTACCCAGGTTGAGCCCATCTGGGCCGACCTCAATGGTGGCATGGATCGTCTCCCTGACCTCGCTGATATCACAAGCCGCATTCGCATGAATTTGAACAAGAAGAGTGAACTTCGTCGCGCTATTGCGCGTGACAATGCTCTTGATTTCAAGGTCATCAATGGAGCGGAGGGTGAACGTGTTCTGCAAACTGTTAATGTGGTCCCGCGAGCCAACTTCACATTCGAATTCCCTGCCCTGGAATCTACTTCATCCCTACGCGATCTCGAGAAACTCCGTGGCATCATCGATCTGGAGAAGGTTGTCGTCATCACTGGATTCGCCGAGGTCGGTCCTTGGGGTAGTTCACGTACTCGCTGGGAAATGGAGGCACGAGGAGAGTTCACGATTGAGGGCTGTATTGAGATGGCCTGGCTCATGGGTTATATCAAGCACTTCGATGGGCGTCTCAAGGACGGTTCACTGTATGTTGGCTGGGTTGATTCCAAGACTGGTGAGCCTGTCGACGACAAGGACGTCAGAAGTCGCTACGAGAAGGAGATTTTGAGTCATGCTGGTGTGCGGTTGATTGGTGAGTCGCGTCTCGACCTTTATTAATCAGTTATGAATCTCCTTACAGAGCCCGAGCTGTTCCGCGGCTACGATCCCAAGAAAAAGGTCTTCAACCAAGAGATCGAGCTTATTCATGACTTAGAACCAGTCGAAGTTGCGCAATCTGAAGCCGAGAAATTCAAGTACGAACATGGCGACAAATGCGATATCTGGACCGGAGAAGGTGACCAGTGGTTTGTCAAATTCAAGAAGGGCGCGCGCGTTTTTGTCCCCAAGGCGTTCAAGTTTAGTCGTCTTGTTGCTGGTCAAATTCCCACCGGATGGGATGCTGGCCGCTATGGTATTCCACCAGATATCATCGCTCAAACAGATCGCGCCACTCTCTGGGCCCTTGTCTGCACTGCTGAGGCTCTGAACATGTCCGGAGTCACCGATCCCTACGAACTATACAAGTACTTCCACCCCTCTGAAGTTGGCACGTGCGTCGGCAGCGGCATGGGCGGCACTGAAAGTCTTGCACAGATGTTCAAAGACCGCCGTGAAGAGAAAGACGTCCAGAACGACATCTTGCAGGAGACGTTAGTCCACCTGACTTTTTCCTGACAGATATGCATAATTGACCTATCTTCGCAGTTTTATCAACACTACTGCTGGATGGATAAACCTTCTTCTGATGTCTTCTAGCGGTCCAGTGAAGATTCCTGTTGGCGCTTGGTGCGTATTCATAAGTATCTATGGTTTGTTGTTCTTGACGTTGTCCTAAATTTCAGCGCGACTGCACTCCAATCTCTCGAGATCGCTTCTGATACGCTGTTATCTGGGAAGGCGAAGGTCATGATTGCTGGTGGATTCGACGACATCAGCGAGGAAGGCTCTTATGAGTTCGCCAACATGAAGGCCACGAGCAACGCCGAGACTGAGTTCGCCATGGGACGTGAGCCCACTGAGATGTCCCGTCCTGCTACAACCACTCGCTCAGGTGTAAGCCCTCTGATCCATACCCTAGATATATTGAACTCACCAACTTTGCTTAATAGTTCATGGAGTCTCAAGGGACTGGTATACATATCATCATGACTGCAAAGACAGCCTTGGAAATTGGTGCTCCTATCCGTGGTATTCTGGCATTCACATCGACTTCCACGTAAGTTTACGTCACACCTGAATGACGTACAATTAATCACCGTTCTGCAGTGACAAGGCTGGACGATCTATCCCAGCTCCTGGTCGCGGTGCTCTTTCTGTTGCAAGGGAACTCCCATCGAAGTACCCCCTTCCTAGTCTCAGTCTCGATTACCGATCTCGCCAGATCGCCTTCAGACGCAAGCAAATCTCCGAGTGGCTTGATCACGAGCTTGCTCAGCTGCGGGAGGAGATGGATGCTCTCGAGGCCGATGGCAGGGATGTTGACAAGGAATACTTCTCCTCTCGCGTTGCCGATATTGAGAAGGAAGCTCGCGGCCAAGAGAAGGAGGCCTTGGCTACGTATGGCATGCTAGAGGGTACCGATGCTCGTGTGGCTCCTATGCGCCGTGCGCTCGCCGTGTGGGGCTTGACAGCAGATGACATTGGTGTCCTCTCGATTCATGGAACGAGTACCGGTGCGAATGAGAAGAACGAGACGCAGATCTGGCACAACATCTTCGAGTCCATGTCACGCACCCACGGCAATGCTGTTCCTGTTATTGCTCAGAAGAGCTTGCTTGGACACTCGAAGGGTGGTTCAGCGGCGTGGCAGATGGCAGGTTTATTGCAGACTGTCATCACTGGTGTTATCCCAGGTAACCGCAACAGCGAGTAAGTATTCTGTCTTCAGATTGGCTTTCCCTGCTCATGGCATCCTTTAGCAACATCGATGCCCGATTCGAAGCTCACCACTTCCTCATGTTCCCATCGAGGTCTATTCATACTGATGGTATCCGCGCTGGTGTCATGGTGAGTTCAAATGATCCGTCTTCATCACGGGCTAATGCCGTGGCTACTAGTCATCCTTCGGTTTCGGTCAAGTCGGAGGCACCGCAGTTGTTGTTCATCCCCGTTATCTCTTCGGTGCCCTTGAAACCTCCGATTATGAATCGTACAAGATACGCAACCAGTCCCGTGCGCAAGAGGCATACAAGGTTATGACCGAGATGATGACCTCCAACACCCTTGTCAAGATTAAGGAAGGCCCGCCGTACAGTCCCGAGTTGGAGCAGGCGGTTCTCATGAACCCCATGGCTCGTGCTACCTTCAATCCGAAGACTCGCAGCTACTCGTATACCACCAACCTTGATAAGAGCATTCCGTTTGATACTGCCAACGCCAAGGTTGTTGCAGATGCTCTTGCGTCAAAGGGATCTGTAGCAGGAGTCGGTGTCGATCAAGAGCTGATCTCTTCCGTGCCGTCCTCTAGCCCTTGTTTCGTCGAACGCAACTTTACTGAGGCTGAGATTGCCTACTGCCGCGCCCAACCGTCACCTCCGTCTTCCTTCGCAGCTCGATGGGTGGGAAAGGAAGCAGTGTTCAAGTCGCTTGGTGTACCGTCAAAGGGCGCTGCCGCTGCAATGAAGGACATTGAGATCCTGCCCAACGAGTCTGGCGTTCCGACTGTAACTCTTCACGGCAACGCGAAAGCTGCTGCACAGGGTAAAGGGATCACTAATGTATTGGTATCCTTGAGTCATTCTGAGGTATGTGTCGTGAACCCATATCACCAGATCATGACCTGACATGTACTTTCATCAGACCGTTGCTATCGCTTTCGCTCAAGCTTCATCATAGAAAATCGTTCACCTTGGACCCTCATGACTGGCATGTTTTTAATAATTCAATACTTTACGCATGAATGAAATTGATATCCGTTGTTGTAACATAGAGTAGACTGGAACGTAATAGATTTCTTCGCTTTCACATGCGTGCAATTGCGGGACTAGTAGCAGCATTAAGAAACGTACAAGTTGTTCTGAATGATGTAGTTGGCAATAGATGGGGTAACAAGTCTTCTCCATGTCTCGTCCTTGAGTGCAACCTTTGTTCTCACTTGACTTGAACTAGTTTGCTCGTCAACGCTGTCAGCGTCTATGCTGATCAAAGCAACTCGCTCGCTCTCTATAAATCCCCTTGCCGCGGATAAAGTCTTCGCTTCTACTTCCTCTTGTACCGAATGTTCAACTTCTGCCAATTTCCGCCTAGCACACACCACATAGCAATCATCTCCTGCAGGCGAAAAAAACAAACGAAGAACATCCATCATCGCAGCTTCAGATGCATAGTATCTCGGAGACAGCAGGCGGACGAGAGTGTCAAAGCCTAGCAGGAATGCTAGGCGTGGACCTGGTATTGATATTGCCATTCCGTCCAGAGCAGTTGCCGGGGGATACAAGCTGGAAATCCGCGCATGCAGGAACTGCCGAAGAACTACGGCTTTTCCGACGAAAGTTGGTTCATCTACGATGGCTATTGCGACGTTGGCATGCGCAGACTCAGATTTATCCTCGGGGCACTGCGAGACAGATGCTGGCATGTCCTTTGAGAAAAGGTACATCATCTCCAGACGCTGCTCATATGTTGCGTCACCAGATTTCAGTGCTTTGTCGGCGTTCCGAACAGATAGCAGCAGCAGCTTTGCATCATAATCAAGCTCAGCTACTGATGCCAAAGCCGAGCCTGTGCCAAGGCCGGACTTAATGGTGTACCGTGGGGGTCGAGAGTTTGCCAGAGCGAGATGGGCGCATGTCGGCGGATTGAAGGAAGAATCTAAGACAGATATACGAATGGTGTCAAGTTTGAGTTGCGGGTGAATTGGCAATCGAGGGCAGGGCCAACGTTCATGGGACGTGTACACGAGTTCCACAGGAGATTCACGCCTCTGGACTTTCTGGAGGAGTTTGAGCGCGTGACCGGGAGGCCACAATGGTCTTGCGTTCATATTTTACTTCTGCTGCAGCAACAGCCTTGCATCGGACTGGCGTAGATCTGGCCTTGCATTATTCTACAATCGACAAGCATTCCATGATATAGACCCACCAAGAAGAAATAGTGATAAGATGGACTTACGTAAAGTTAGATCTGACTTGGACCTTGTCTGGTGAATGTTACCTTCCATAATCGGACGACCTGTCATCAAGCAAACCTTCAGTCGCATCTTTCGCTCCAACCATTACTCATGGAGAAGGACGCAGACGGTTTTTATACCCCGAAACTGGAAGGTTTGTGACATATCGCTACAAAGTAGCATGGACCTGACACTTTGCAGCTTCTGCACCACTTGCACAGGATGAAAGCAAGGACACGAAGGAGGTGGAGCAGCCTGAGCCTGTTCCATCTTCAAGTTGTGCGTACAGGTCGCGTCGTTATCTCGCAGTGAAACTGATACTATACTCTCAGCTAGAACCGACTTGATTGCGTCGACGTTCGAGGTCTCGGTACGTTTAGGAGCCGCAATACCAAACTGTTAAATGACTCGCTACATATTCAGGTCACACTTGCAGACCAGCAGGCCGACCCGAATTCCCCTTTATTCAGCGCCAAAACATTCGAGGAGCTTGGACTGTGCGTCGTCACATCCTAGTATTTTATGCATTTTTAACGATTGATCGTAGCCATCAAGATCTATTGAAGGGTCTCTATGATCTTGGTTTCTCGAAGCCGTCGAAGATCCAAGAGCGTGCTCTCCCGCTACTGCTCGCGAATCCGTAGGTGCACTAGCTCGTGTGACATGGAAATATGTTACTGATCACTACCTCAAGTCCTCAGAACATGATCGGACAATCGCAATCTGGCACAGGCAAAACTGCCGCATTTGTGCTTACCATGCTGAGTCGTGTAGATTTCTCCAAGAACAAGACACAGGTCTGTTCTGTGCGTTACATTTCGGCTCTCCAGTTAAGACTGGCTACAGGCACTGTGTCTAGCTCCTTCACGAGAACTTGCACGTCAGATCATGTCTGTTGTCGTTGCTATGGGCAAATTTACTCCAGTTCAGACGGAGTACGCAATTAAGGATAATCTTCCCAAGGGCACATCACGGATAACTGCACATATTGTTGTCGGGACTCCGGGCACAATGACAGATCTTTTAAGAAGGAAGGTCATTGATACATCTGAAGTCAAGGTGTTCGTTCTCGATGAAGCGGATAACATGCTTGATCAGGATGGACTTGGTGACCAGACACTGCGGGTGAAGAAGTGAGTGTGGTTTTCTCTCAGTTTGGGCTATAGTTCACAAAAATCGACATAAGCCTTATTCCCCGAACAGGCGTCCAAATTATCCTGTTTTCAGCAACATTCCCCAATCATGTCCGCAATTTCGCTAGTAAATTTGCTCCCAATGCGAACAAGATCGAGCTTCAGAGGGAGGAACTCTCTGTGGAAGGCATCCGACAATTTTACATGGATTGCAGAAATGAAGAACACAAATACGATATCCTTGTGTCTCTGTACCAGCTTTTGACCATCGGTCAGAGTATCATCTTCTGCCAGGTTAGCAAGATGACGCCCGCCCGCTCGTACCTTACTAACCACATATCTGCTCTTCCCAGCATCGCCATACAGCAGATAGAATATCACAACGCATGTCAGCTGAGGGTCACAAAGTGGCATCACTGCATGGTGCCAAGGACGCTGCAGAGCGTGACGCAATTATTGACAACTTCCGTGAAGGACGGGACAAAGTCCTTATTACGACGAATGTCATCGCACGTGGCATCGACATCATGCAGGTCAACATGGTAGTGAATTACGACTTGCCATTGATGAACGAGCGGGGAAATCAACACTCCAATGACGCGAGACCCGACGTTGAGACGTACATTCACCGTATTGGTAGGGACTTTCAAAGATTCGTTCTGTGCCTTACTAACAACCCTGTTTCTCAAGGTCGCACTGGTCGCTTCGGACGCAAGGGTATCTCAATAAACTTCGTCCATGACCGCCAAACCTGGTCACAAATGGAGGAGATTGAAAAGACACTGAACAGGAAGATTATCCGCATACAGACCGATGATCTGGAGGAGATGGAAGAGGTACGTGCATAATCTTTGATCTGCCTACGAAATCCGATTTTCATTTCTGTAGAAAATGAAGAAGGCGTTGAAGTAATGTGTGCTTTTGTACCTGGATGTGAATCCTCTGTTGTATTCTTTTTCTGATCATGTTATGTCGCCTTGCAACCTTAGTCAGCCATGTGCTCGTGGCTGGACGGAAGTTTCAATCTTGTACTGTAATTTCTGGATGTGGACCTGGGGGTTGAGGAAATAGTAGAAAGTGGATGCATGTACATAGCATTCAGCGAAAATGGTGTGTATCTACACGAGGCCCAGTAGCATGCTTCATATGACAATGGCAAGGCATTGGACTGGATGTTAGTGTTTCTTTTGAGTACCAGCGAGTTGATCTCGATGGATAGAGTGGGCAGCCAGAAGAGACCGAAATATCATTGGTACATTGAAGCTACGAATCACTGCCAGACACAACGAGCGAGATGGTATTGCGGTATAGAAATTCAAGACCAGGAATAGGGACCTCTTTTGATTGTCTGCAAAATGTTGTGAGCGGCAACTCAGAAGTATCGGAGCAGACTTACAGCTCGCGCACTGCAACAAGGGAGTCTTTAAAAACAGTGAACGTGTGATTGGTTTAGGCTCACCTCGGATTACAAAATTGGCCAAGACTGCGAAGAACAGAAGTGCACTGATAAAGACAGGTCCAACGATGTGGTCTAGGAATTGACAGTGAGCTTGGATCGACTACGAAGTCGTCAAATTAACCATAATGCCCGGGGTCACGTTTGCGAATCATCGTGATCCTATTCTGATAGATTACAAAACCGTAGACCTATCTTGCAGTATGAGCATCAGTTTTTCGCAAATAGCAGACTTGTAGGTGTTCACCAAAACACCAATGCTGATGAAGGCATAAGCATATGCGAATCTTCGGGCTACCACGTCCTTGGACGCATTGAAGAGGCCAAGCGCCAAGGTTCCCAATAGCACAGCAAGATTCAGCCAGGATATCCATGCTTTAACTGGCGTTAGTAAATGATAGGAGAGAAGAAGAGGATGGATACTAACTCCGTTCATTGGCAAACCATACCTTTCCCTCAATCTTCAGAGACGTCTTCACTTTCTTCGGAACACGTATCTGCGGCGGAACAGAATTTATGGCATTGTAATCTCTGATGGTAGGTCTTTGTCCATCAACGTCGTGGTCCACGTCTGGAATATCATCTTCTCTCGTGTAACGTGCGGGCCTTTGGGTGTTTTCGGGGAGAGACGCTAGCGCAGATGAAGAGAACGGAAAAATTGCAGTCCATGATCGCCTGAACAGGCCGATGTGCGCGTTATTATCTTCGTCTTCGGGCTGTTTATTAGAGGCCATGGTTTATACTGGTTTACTTACACAAGACGTTACTTGGAAGTTTCCAAAGGTTGATTACTAAGAATCCTTGACTCTTGGTCTAACAGTTGGTGCTTCCGATCCTTTTCGACTTCCGTATGCCCTCGAGTCTCAACCTGGCTGGACTCTATTCACAGCGAGGCAAATCTCAATATCTTGTTTTCTTAGGCGTTAGGTCATAGGAAGACAAAGTATTAGAGTTTTCCTCCCATACGATACGGATCAGCGAGGAGTCGCACATTTTCCCTCGCCTCAGGCTGGTGTGAAGGCAAACTTCACACTCTAAAAAATCACAGGCCAGGCCTTGGTATCATTTTGGACTCTACCCTGAACTCTCGTCCCAGGCAATGGGAATTCTGAAGGAAGGCCAAGGTCATTTTGAGCGGTTCTGTGACCATGTCCTCAGAAGAGAGCCTCCGGCTCGAATTAGAGGATCTGCACGTCGTTGACAACTTGAATGTGTACGACCGATTCAGCAAAGCCCAAAAGAACTTTATTGTGTTCGCAGTGTCATTTGCAGGCCTGCTTCCTAGTGCGTATAAAAAGTGACAAGCTATGCAACTGAGATGACCTCGTCGTTCCAGTGTTCATAACTGGGAGCTTCGTTCCTTCGATCCCCCAGATAGCTCATGACCTCAATTCAACAGGTGGAGTTGTGAGGTTCCACCTTCCAACGAGAGCACCACATTGGAACTGGCACGCGCCGAAGGCGTACGGCAGACGATCGCAGTGCAAGCATGATTTGAGATCACTTTTCCATCGAAGCACGACTGAGTAATGCGACCATATTTTCCGAACGAGCAATGGCCCGCTTATTGAATTTCCAGATGTACGTACATTTTTAAGTATCTGATTTTTTCCACTGCTCGTTACTGTCATGTCGACTTTCACTGCCTGACACGCGCTCACACCGTCGGCCGAAAACTTGAAGCACTGGACACTTCGATATGTTCACCGCTGGGGTATCCCAATTGGATGGTGCATGAACTGGACCGCAAATAAGTGACCCATGTCTTGAGTGAATCACATAAGGCAAAGCAAAATCGATTCAACGCGGTGTCGGGGAGTTTGAGCGCAAGCGCCATTACGATTAGATATACCTTGGTAGAAGATAATTCAAAAGACCTGGATGGTTGTCATTTTCTTGCCCCCACGTTCAACCTAAAAACCGACATGGCGGGCAGGCATGTAGTAACGAAGGCCGTCGCTGTGCTTCAATAGGTTTGCTGCCGAGGAAAACCAAAAGTATAGTAGTTACATGCTGTTAGTGGATGAACCTCATCCTTGAAATGCTTTGAGGTCTGCCTCAGCCTTGACAAACTCATCGCACTCTATTTGACTCTTCTTGACATCTACCAGATACAAGAACATGGTGCTGATAGTTCCACTATATTTTTCACCCCCGTCAGCAATTGGAGGGCGCGAATAATGGCATAGGCGACGCACAGTCCGAACAAAAATGCGAACGGCATGTTATTATTGTTGCCGGACACGGTAATGATAGCAGATGACACGAGTGGACCAATGAAGGCAGAGGTCTTGCCGACCTTTAAGCATGCGTGAGTTAATAGTTGATGCAGAATGCCCTTGATCGCCTACCACGGAGAAAAGTGCAAAAAACAAGAACCTGAAAGACTGTAAGTAGGTCGGAGCGCTCGGGGTAGTGGGCTACATGCATTTGAGAAAGAGGAGACACTTCGCTAATCATTGTTTGGCTGTATGCATACCAAGGGCATACCATGAGCCCGTAGAAAACCTGATACAACCTAAATTCGTATATGTCAGGCAGGGGAATGCGCAGAACATCAAAGACAAACCATATTTCCCATGTATGTTTGAATCCGAATTTGTCGGTGTGAACGCCGATGAGACCCCAAACAGTCAAGACCTACACACCCATTATTCAAAGGACGCCAAGAGCAAGAAGCAAACTTATACCAAAATCCAAATGACATTGAAACTCAACATCTACCAATATTCAGAAGGGTAAGATAGTGGCAAAAATTTGGAGCATGAGTCGCACCGCTTTTGTGGATATCTTGAATTTTTTCTGCACTAGCCAGAAGGAGCTACAGACGACAGTGTCAATAGCATCAAGTAGAGGCAATGTGAAACTTACTATATTCCAATCGCTTGCGCGACAATACCAACAATCAACAGGAGTGTCAGCTGCAAGGTTGAGTACGATACTATGCTGAGAACAACGTTCTATTTAATATGTAGAATGCTGTTCAAACAAACCAACCTATTCTGCAGCGTTGCAATGACGGTGCTAATGTCTAATCAGCATATGAAGGGATTGGGCATTGTGGACATGCTCACACAGTAGTGTTTAAAACGTCTCCCCTGATAGTGCCGTTAGAATGGTCTCCGTGCAGAGTAATCCACATACATGAGGAAATAGAATATGAGATATAGGATCGTCTGCTTTAGCCTCACGCATTCTCGTAAGGCAGTATACGTTTGTCTAAATCCGATCGTAAACAACGAACTGCCTAGAGGAAGAGCTAGTCCAGGGCGTCGCTTCTCGAGGAAGAACCATGGTAGTGCACAAAGTACTGACATACATCTACATGAGCTTCACAACATGCGCCCATGAAATTAACTCACACCATAATGCGCCGGAGAATGCAATCAAGACACTGAATGCTTTCGTGTTGTTTGCAGTACTAGAGCCTGCTTTCAGTCCTTCGAGGATTCCCACCATAACGACGAGAATCAGGATTTCACCAAGGGAGGAGACGGCGAAGGAGATATTTGAAACTTGATTGCGAGACAGAGATTCGAATTCTGCATGTTCGTCGCAACTAGATCCGTACATGAAACCTGACATTTCACAGAGGTGACGTGGAACATATACCTTTTCTCTCCATCAGCAATAAGCTGAGCAGAAATTTCAACTTCCGGAAGGTGGCGCGCAAGCCCGGGAAATGCAGCTGTCCAGAATGTAAGGGCACCCTACGTTGTCATCTCCCAAATGACTCATAGACATGTGATAGCATGGTCCTACCTGGTATGTTATCACTAGCAAAAGTACAAGTGAGTTCACTACGTCTTTCTGACTCCGTGACACTTACAACCCAGGATATAGAGAGCTACGCCAGCCTGCCATTTGGATGGATCTTCTACTCCAAGCCAAACAAATGACACTGCGACCGCGACAAGCGTGAATATGATGGTTATGTTCGGTCTACAAACTCTTCAACCTCGCTGATACACACATCATTCAATGGTATGATTCCACACCTCCACGTGCCGTAGTCTGCCCAGGCCCCGATCAGAAGTAGAAGTACCGCCTGGATGGCAAAGCTAATGCCGTTGGTCAAGAGCACAATTGAATTGACTATGTAGATGGGTCATCCATGAAGATTCTCGAGACGCGTTTAGTTGAGTTCACTAACTGTTCCTGATCTTTCCGAGATAAGGCAGCACACAATCTGTGCTACTACCACAAGGAGCGGAAGATGGGGGCTGGCTTGGATCGTAGCCTGCCAGGAAGAGCAAGTTTTGAAATTGAGATGGTCCAAAGTTAAACCCCGAAAGCCCATTGTTCCCCTAGTGAGAAATGAGCTAGTCTCGCTCAGTAGTCCCGTTCGGCATTCGCAAAATTTGCGATGTTAGTTCACTTACAACATAGTATAGATAAAACGACCAGAGCTCGACACGCGAGGTGGTCGAAGAGGCGGGTACATTGAGCTCGCTGGCGAGCTTCTGGCTTGACGCCATGTTGATAACGATGACTGGAAACTGGCAGATGCGCACTACAGAGTCTGTACCGCACGCGGACAAGTCACAAGCAGGAAGGCTGTATCAATTAATTTTGGGATGAGTCAGTATACGTCTGTATGTAGCAACTCGAGCAAAACTCGAGCACTAACGAAAAAAGAGCGTTCTTTGCGCAAATAATCAATGCCGGGTCGGTGTGCACTGTGTGGTATAAATTTTAACGATTGACTGTAACAGAATTTGAAAGTCTGAGTCTCTGAGAGTCGTAGCCTGGGTCCGGTCGGGATCACGTGATACCGTCCCCAGCTTACCCCGCCGACGGGCCGCTCGATGTGCGAAAAGGCTTATCGATCGTATGCTCGGCGTCCGTAGTTATGAAAGGAATTTGTATTTGTACACTACACACATGATACTGACTAACCGAGTGAGAAGTTTTGATAAACGGGTGATACGCGGCCAGCAGGAGAACCCTTCCGAGTCAGCGTCACGCGATGAGCGAGGGCATCATTGATGCACTGATGGCAACCTACTTGGCGTGGGAGGTCTGAATGACGGTAGAATCGATAACCAATGGCGAGAGCAAGATATCAGACAGTGACGGAATGTGCCTGCAAGTCTCAGGAAACGGAAGTGATGTCACATATCATTAGCCGGGCCAAAAAACACATCTTGATCACGTAGAACCTGAAGCTGAATTATTGTACACCGGCCAGAAGGCTCACAGCGCCTTGTCCTTGAAGATAATGAAACAAAGTATTTGAAAGTAGCGATAAAGATGAAGAAAATGCTCCGAAGACAGCGAGACTGAAGGAACTAGGAAGGGTTGGGAAAAGAGAGGGTGCAGGTTGGTTGCTGTAAGTATGTTGGAGAACTGGGTGGGTGCAGGTGGTGTACTGGGTATCAATGTGTGTTGTAAGGCGCGGGCCCGAAGTACAGTATGCCAGTGTACTGGCAGTGGGGCCTGGCAAGTACTACTGCTGCCAGGTACTGACAACAGTGAGTAGCTGTGAGAAATAATGAGCTACTGTCCAAGTACACGTGATTCCAGGCTGTGAAAGGGGCCAGCTGCCGACATCTTGGCCTTTTCCGTGACATCTACTGTGCACGCGGTCTTCATGGGAAACCTCGAAGTAATTGACACGATCTGTTCGTACACTTCACTTGGGTCACTTCCAGCATTCGCATCCACATGCCGCGCGTTTGAGCGTCCAGCACTTTGGAAGGATTTGCAGTCCCCAGAGCCTCTTATCAAATGCACAACAAGTGACCTGTTTAGCCCTGACCGAGTACGTATGGTGGGTGCCTATATTTCGTATGATTTGTGGGCTTCAACTCAGTTCCCTTCTTAGGTATTACAAAAACCTCCTGACGGCATGATGTAGGATATTCTTTGCAAATATACATCCCACGTACACTCAATCACTGCAACACGACAGCACCGCTTGGCGACCATCACCGAGCCTCCCAGTTTTCTGATGCTGTCCTGTCCTTCAGCACCTGCATCCTTGTTTCTGAACCTCCGAAAATCAATATGGTTTGCCGATGGAACCTACGACGCTGCAGAGTTTTTGCGCATGACTTTGGTACCCTCCCTATTGGTCTTCACTTTATTCACTCGTTATTGGTATAGGATTTAGGAAACCAAGGCATCGAGCACGTTATCCAGTTACGAGCTCTGCGGTCACTATGCTTGGACTTAAGGACATTTTCGCCTTGCGAGAGAAACTCTCGTTTAGAATTTCCCGGCTTTCATGATCTAAAAATGCTGGGCCTTTCTACCGATACGTTCAAGCGCGCCTCGAACTCCTTGAGCTCACTTCAGGTCATGGAAAGTAGAGATTAAGGTTGACTTCAATCAAGTTGCTTATCCCCCCACAAGTGAATCTACGAGGCTATCCCAACTCTTCATCACCCTCCAAGAGAGATGCGACACTGACAAAAGGTTTCACTCCTCTTGGAATTTCTGTGGGGGTACGCGCAGAACCGGGTGTCTTCATGTCATTGCAGGCATGCCGCAATCTAACTCGGCTGTCAGTCGAGAGGGGCTGTAACATTTCCATATCTGATGAGGAACTCTGCCAGCTGGTGAGAGACTGGCCAAAGCTCGAGGCGCTCAAAACCAGCTGCTATAATCCCGTCGATAACGCCACAATGCCCCGTTACATGGGTTCATCGGATTACTTCGGCTCTGCCCCATTCTGACTTCGCTCGCTCTTGTCACTGTTGGACGGGATAGATATCAAAAGTCCTGGCGGTGAAAACTGCAAAAAACATCTCAAACGCCTTGTCCCACCGGTCGGGACTCCATTAAAGGTGGCTCTCATCCTCAGTGGCCTCTTTCTCAACTTGGAGCAGGTCAATCCTGATTGTCCGGATACAATGCAGATGAAGAGGTCAACTGTAGAGCGACGGGCGTTAGTCGACAGTTTCCTTGGTGGTTTTAGCATTGTAAGAGCGGTGCACTGAAGCATAATATTGTCGCCTAACTGTGACAGTCCCGGGCTATACTTGAATGATCACCTACACTTTTAATTATACCAAATGTTTACTTGAAAATGTTGTTTTCAAGTCACATGGTGTGAGTAGTCTTCGTTGTGAATTGGGTGCGTCGACGACGAAGGCATTGAGAGCTAACTTGAATATGCCGTTGTGTTTCTCCCTGTGTTTTGGTAGACATGTCGTCGGGTCCATGGACTTACCTTCCCACGTGTGCTCTATAACTCTCATGAGCTGGCATTGACGTCACTGACCCCAGACAGTTCTGGGATGTTCTGGGATGTTCTGGGAGAGATCTCTGTGTCTTGAACTTTCCTGAATTTGTGGCTTTCACAGCTGCAGCACTATATAGTGTTGGCTTCCGAGTCATCTAGTACAACGACGAAATACATCATCATATGGGTGCCGACTACTACAAGGTCTTGGGCATTCCTCGGGACGCCGGCGAAGATGAAATTAAAAAGGCATACAAGAAAATGGTATGTGGTGCTTTCATGTTCGCACCTGTTCAAGCTGACACTTCGTCTGCAGGCTCTGAAATGGCATCCAGACCGCAATGGAGGGTCTGAAGAAGCCTCGAAGAAGTTCAAGGAGGTATGTGAGGCATCTCGCTGTATGTTCCTGGCTGACGGATTATTAGATTTCAGAAGCATTTGAAGTCCTCAGTGATAAGAACAAACGAACTATATACGACCAAGTTGGTGAAGAAGGCCTCAAAGGCGGAGGGTCTGCGCCTGGTGCTGGTTTCCCTGGATTTGCTAGTAGTTCAGGCTTCCCAGGGGGGTCCACATTTACATTCACGTCTGGACCTGGTGGCGCGCCGACAGGTGGATATGCACCAAGTGACCCGCAAAAAATATTCGAGTAAGTAATATGCATGTATTGTATAGCATTCAGTAACTAAACGTTCTTGTAGACACATATTCAGCCAGTTTGGCGGTTTCGGGGGCATGGGTGGCTCTGGAGGTATGGGTGGTATGGGCGGTTCTCCAAGTTTTGGTGGCATGGGCGGTTCTTCAGGTTTCGGTGGCATGGGCGGTGGCAGGAGTGGTATGAGTGACATGGGCAGAAGTCCAAATATTTTTGATGACGACGATATAGGTGGTGGTGGGTCTTTCTTTGGGATGCCGGGGGGCATGCCATCGGAGCGACAATCTCCTAGACACCAATCGTCTACTTCAACATCAACGTCAGCCCCTTCAGAAACCACTCGCCCACTGAAGTTATCACTTGAAGAATTATATTCGGGTACGACCAAACACCTGAAGGTCAGCAGACGGCTATTGAACGGCTCTACGGAGGAGAAGGTGCTTGAAATTCAGGTTCTCCCGGGCTGGAAGAGCGGCACAAAGATACGTTTTCCTCGAGCCGGCAATGAGCAGCCGAACGGCGAGGCTCAAGATCTAGTATTCGTCATGGAGGAGAAGCCACACGAGGTTTTCACACGGGAAGGAGATGATCTGATTTGCCGTCTCAGAATACCCTTGGTGGACGCACTCACAGGCGTGGACGGAAAGAAGACTGTCGCTATTCTGGACGGCCGAAAATTGCAGATCCCATTGCCTGGTGGCGTGGTGAAACCCAACCAGGAGACAAGAATTTCTAACGAAGGGATGCCGATTAGGAAGCAGGGCAGCACGAAGAAGAAAGGAGACCTAATAGTACGATGGGATGTCATATTCCCAGACCGTCTTACACCCACACAGAAAGAGGGGCTGAAGAAGTTGTTGGGGTAATCATGTATTAGGACATTATCCACCTCCAGTCGACTCCGCTCGTTAGATTAGCATATTAACTGTACTTTTTAATTTATTTCACGATGAGATATGGTCGCTGTCACGCGGCCATACGATAAGCGCGTCTAGATAGTGACATTCAAGAGTGTTCAGGAGCAGACCACAAATCAGGAGACTAAATAACTTACACCAATGCAGGTACCTGGCGTGCGATGACAACATCACGGGGCGTGATGATCATCGAATTGCAGTGTCGGAAGCCGGTGACACTCCGGAGTCCAGTCCGCGGTCGATAGGATGAAGTGCATGGCCCGGATCATAGAGATCAGGTACAAACATAGAACAGGCATGATTGACGAGCAAAAAACAATATCGACTCGATCAACCTTCCCGCGAACATTGAGGGTGATTCTCCCGCGAATGAAATATAGACTTGTAGCACTTTGACTGTGCACAAAAGAGCTACGAAGCCCAGGCGCAGCAGAAATCTAAACACCGATGAGAAAGCGTATTTGATAGGCTGACCGATATTATGGGCGAGACCAGTAAGTCACCTGCCAGGTACGCGAGTCGCAAGGAAATGAAAGAAATGCTGGACGTGTGTAGTGCCTAAAAGTGTGCCGGTTCCTGTGACTCACGAGTGGGCCTTTGGGAAGGTTCATTGTCAAGGGTTAATATCCTTTTCACCAACACACTCCAACAAAGTGTGTAGGTGATAAGTAGCGGACTATCCTTGCAACGATTCGGAACACCACAAGAAATCTAACACGCCCATGATTAGTGTGACGTGCATTGGGGTAAAGCTATGAATATGAGACACGAGGCGGCGCTATTGATTACTATTAGACTGCGAACAACTCGGAACATTCATGGATGACCGACGGGGTATAATTCATAAAAGTCTTGGACTTACGGTCTTGGTGTGGGGTAAAATTACCGAGGCCAGTAGTCTGAAACTAGAGAGACGCTGAAGAGTGAAAGGTCCTCGGAGGAGATTGTTTGGAGAGGAGAAGCAAACTACGTTAAGACTCGGAAGTTCGCTGATCCCAGGATGGCTTATGAAAGCAGCGGAAAACCGAACCAAACTTTGTCACACCTTGACGTTCTAAGAATTCACACTGGGAAATGCGAGTCAGCTGCTGGTCTTGGTGCAATCGGTATGATTGAAAAGACAAGACCACGCATTAAAGTGGAGTAATGATGCACTGATGACGGTTCTGGTCGCCACTGACCAATGATTTTTTCCAGTGATCGATTGTCTATTCGGCCTCTAGTGGGCGAGATCCTGATCAAGGCACGATGTAGTACTAACACCGTGAAGAACCTTACACGCACCGAAAAAGGAACAAGCGAAGTAAGTAGGACTACCGCTAGCTATAGTAGCCGTTAGTGTCCCCGCGACTTCTCACTACTGTTTAGTGCCGCCGGGGAATGAAGGAATACGATAAGAGGCAGACGGAGAATACAAGCTGTCACGGTAGTGCAGCTTGGTGCACAGCGGCAGCACTAGCGTCTGACACAAATTGATCATGCTTCGGGCGAGTAATTACTCATAACAACACGCGGAGCTTCCGTGCTGAACATGAGGCAGAGTTGTTTTCAGTATGTGACCTGCAGGCAATCTGCATTTCATGATCGCTTTAGAAGTTATCTATCGGAAAGTACGTTTGATCGGTTTTTGACGAACCTTCTCTCACACATATAAACGCTACTGTGTTACAGAAGAAATGTCAACCAGTCCTTCCCCCACTCCTGGAGCCCTTCCTGCTTACCTCCCTGTGCGACTTGTGGGCCTTGTAAATCCACTCATTACTATCCGACGATGCCCGTAGCTTCTCGTCGACCCGAATACTATAATGTGCTTGGTCTCGTCGTCGACGCTACGGACGAAGATATCAGAACTGCATACAAGAAACTGGTATATTTTCAGGTTCCATTGCGCATACAAAGTGCTCACCCTCTCAGTAGGCCCTTCAGTGGCACCCCGACCGTCATCAGATTGGGAAAGAACACGCAGCGCAGATGTTTGTTGAAGTAAGCGGCGTGGTCGTCGTGTCCTCCGGTCTAGCATTCAACATCATCATTGCCAGGTCAACACTGCCTACCATTCCTTGATGGATGGCACAGAAAGCATGGATCCTTCCTGCGGAGACGGTGTCTCACCATTATTTACGCCCACTGAGAGTGGTACAGCCCAGAGCTGTTCCGCGGAGCCACGACCACAAGCCAATGCACAGTCATTCCCTCATGCAAAGTCGTCAGGCTCACAGAAGAGTGAGCAGACACCCAATCCGTTCCCCTCCGCTTCCGTTCCTGGCTCTGACGCCGAACAATTTTCTCAGCCTTGTTCGTCAAACGACAAAACTACTCATCATGCCTCACACAACCATCACTCTAATCTAAAGCACCAATTCCATAAGCCTTGTAGCACAGGCAGCAATGGCTCTCGTTCCCGCTCCCGAACAAAATCATACGATAGCTTACGTGATTTACCACGACCATTTGCACCTGGTCAAGCGCCGTCCTCTGTCACGAGCGCTAGCCGCTCTCATAGTAGTCGCACGACCATTCCCCACTCAAAGTCACATGACAATCTGCGTGATCCTTCACTCAATTCGCACAAGCCGCGAGCGCCTGCTCCAGTCTCACGCGATCCGAAGTCGAACCGGTCCAAAAACAACCAAGGGGCTGGATCTACCTCTATATATTCCAAAGATCGCACACACGATGCAAAGCCATTGCGAAGTCAAACAGGCAATTTCTCACAGCCCGTGATTCCACCGACGTCATCCAAGCTACATAAACCACCTCGGCGCGGACTGGGAGAGTAAGTGATATGTCTTTAACACTGTCACAATTAACTTACTTCCCATAGGGAGCTATTCCAAAAGCTTTCCAAGGGGTCGTCGAAGTGCAAAAAAGAAGAGGGTTCAACATACTTAGACAACGCTCCCACGTATGGCTCCCCGTTACGAGCTCTTGGTACGCCTCGAGGCACATCCAAGGAGTGGGTGTTTCCTCTTCCGCTGACACTTGACGAGATGTATTATGGGACGGCTTTCCAATTTCTCATCACACGGGAGCTATTAAACCGTAAGACAGAGCAAGTCGAGATCTATGTCGATGTACCTCTGGGTATTCGAAGCGGAACTAGGATTGTCTGTCCCCGCACAGGTCACCAGCGCAAGGACGGGACTCTTCAGGACGTAGTCTTCTTGGTTGAAGAGGTGCCTCATGGTAGTTTCACTAGGGATGAAAGACGACCTGTTCGTGGATATTTGTGTGCCATGGGTGGAGACCCTCGCCGAACAAGGGGCCGATATTTGTATAGATGGCATGGATGGGGAAGAGATTATCTTCGCACTGCCTTATCCAATCTACGACAAGTCTACCGAAGGGCAATTACTAGTTAAAGGAGCGGGCATGCCGATTCGGGAAGGACGAAAGGCAGTGGGACGTGGTGACTTGATTGTCAGGTAAGATCACAGCTGCAGATATCATGCCGTTGTCGCTGACACTGGTTCTTAGATGGCAGGTGGTGTTCTCGCACCCTAGCAGATGGGAGAACTTTAAGAAAGCTCTGCGTATCAAGGTATAATCAATTGGGAAGGACATTATGATTGCGATGAACGTCTTATGGGAATAAGTATGTATACTTATGTCATCGCATTGAGCGCATGACGGTGTTGCATGTTGGGAGGCGAGGCATTGGAATACGCAACTAACAATGTACAGTATTCATTAAATATGCCATGGACATTATCATCACAGAATAAAACATTCATTGTATCACTTCAACTCATGCACAGGAAGTGCAGTACTATCAGCCACTGGCCACTAACGATAGAACTGAAGAGTTAGGTTATACTTAGATTGTACACGTAAGAACAGGCTTATCACTGAGATGATAATCAGTTGCTGCAACGTGACCTCGAGGTATATAGATATCTTTAATCTCACAGCACCCGCAATCAGCACTCTCTCGACATGAACAATGGGGTCAATAGCGCTCGAAATGTCAGCCGGCGAAGTTCCATATTGATGTGACGTACCATACTTCTTGTGAAGGGCTCTTGTTATTTCGCGGTTTCGTTTTTTGGGCGGCGGCCAGCCGGCCACCACTGTTTGTCATGGTGCGGCGTCGTCAAGATCCAACTTCGATCCTGCTATTAGGGCTACAAGATTGGTAGATGCCGGACTTCTATCAACTCGCTCGAGAGCTGGGTGGGGGTAGAACGCATGGATGGAAAAGCTGCCTAGATCAAATACGCGTTCCTTCAGAGCGAGATTAAAAGGCAGCGCTTATTACTAAAAAACACGTCGTCGCCAGGTTTTTCACGTTTGTTACGTAGTGGCATATAAGCGTCACACCAACTATAACATCATATCTTCGAACACCACCTACCTAGGTCGCGATCGATCGACGAGCAGTGTTAAACGAATATCCACAAGCATACTCTTCGCAGGAAGCGTCAAGGCAGTTCCACTGCTTCAGAGCCCCGGTCGGCGTGTCAAACGTCCCGCTTGAAGTGGGAAGTTCCATTACCGGTGTAATGCATTGCATTGCAGGGCTTTCAGAAGGAAGAGTCAACCACTACTGACTGCACTATGCTTCCATTCCTCAGTGAGACAAAGATCTTGCCACGTGACAAGCCACGCCCATCAAACGCGTTTCTGGCGCGTGTTTGCCCAGCTTACTGTGGACCTACATAAAGTCAGCAGATCTGACGCCTCGTTGTAAGCCCTTTCTTCCAGTTCCTTTCCCTAACACCAGAAATTCAATCATGGCATCGTTCTTCCGTCGTCCTCCCAATAATACGTGGTCTGACCACCTACTTTTGAAAGTAAAGCAAATATATTGATAAAATATGACCATTTTTGACGTTATGATGTGCTCACTTCCAGCTGGCTAATATTGCTGGAGCGCTTTTCGTTATGGGAGCAAATGGCTACACAGTTATTTCTCCTCTGGATGTCTACTACACAGGGAAAGAGACGTACTTTACCCCTGCTCCCTGGGCATACTTCCTTTGGTGAGAAACATGCACGCTTCGTGTGTCAGACACTTACTGTTAATAGGCCTGTGATTCACTTGCTGGTCCTTGGAACATGCACCTACCAGTTCTCCGGACGGGGTAAGGAGCTCATTATCGACATCATCGGCTGGAATCTCCCGCTTCTCGATTTCATGAATGCTATGTACATTTATTCCTGGACCAACCAGGAGTACAAATATGGTAAACCATCTTGATTTCTTAGTTGCGCAGTTTGCTGACGTGCATCATAGCTTTGGTTTTCATGATATTTACTGGTTCAGTTGTATCGGTAGGTCGTTATTTGATAAGTTAAACGATGCAACTTAATCGTCGGTTCAGAAAATTTACCGGCTTGTGAAGGCGAGCACTGTACGCAACATCTGCGACGAACTCTTCCTGCATCTTCCATTCTCCCTCTATCACGGCTGGACGACATGCTTGATCTTCAGCACCGCCTTTGCGGCTTTTGGTGTGAATGCTGAAATTGAGCCGGAGGAGTTCTGGACCAAAGTTTTTGTCCTCCTTAGCCTGTAAGGTATACTTCACTTGATCTAGGTGATATCTGATCCCGTGTTCCCAGGTTCGTCCTCCAGACTATTGCATCCGCCTATGCGTACGCGTCTACAGAGGGCGACCTTCCTGCTTGTCTTGCGGTCTCCTGGTTCATATGGGCTATCTTTGTACACCAGACGCCGGAAAAGTCTCCATTTGTGCATTGGTGTGCGCTTGGAGCTGCTATCCTGTCGTTGTGCTGGCTCATGCGGAGTGCAATCGGTTTGGAGCTTAAGATCAGGACCAGAAACGCTAATAATGTTAGGTTTGGATTTGGTGCTGCTAATGACCACGAGGGCTCTCGACTTTTGGGGGGGCATTAAGTGGAGGAAACAGCACCGCAAGTGTTGGGCGTTGCGCCCTGTGGCGAGGAACACATGTAGTTCTTTCTCTTTCAACTCTATCTTTGTATATCATATGGATTCGAATATATGTTTGTGTTTGTAATAGTGGACAGTCCTTGTCAACATTTCATTGATGTTACATAATTTATTATGTTTCGTGCACTTATGCAAGACGAGCATGGCTAAAACGTACAACAGAAAAATGAAAGCCTTAAATAAGGATCGAAATAAACCGCTGCCTTGAAGTCAACTTCCCCGCACAGTACCTGCATTTATTCAAACTTGATAGGTTCAACCTTCTTAGGAGATGGCAGTCCAACAAAGCCCGGAGGGAGTCTCCTGACCGGTGTACTTTGTGGGCTTTGACCTTGTCGCGTTAGTCTCTGTTGTTGACTGGTAGTCGGCTTGGCTAGTGCCAATGGTGGAGCACCGATCAGCCGTGATACAGTCCATGGCAGCTCGAATTTTGCAGCTCCCGCCCAGGCAATATACCGGGAAAGTTCGAGATGCAACGTCGGATAATACGTCACAGACGTCTTGCGTGATATCTATAGAACCAAATATGATGAATGATCATTCTAGTATCAGGCCAGGTTAATCTCACCAAAATAATCCGCTCAAATCCAGAAGCAAATAGGTCGGAGTGGAAACGGTGCGCAGACATGTCATGTTCCTTAGACAGATTCAGCTCATGAGCGGATCTGGCGATTGCGTTGATAAGTTTGAGGTGCATCGTCTGCTCGGATAGGAATTGTAAGTCAGCTTCAGCCGTCGTGTACTTTGTCCACTTACAAAGTATCCCATGGCTTCAAATTCGACACCTCCAGTCATGCCCCCAGGTGCTTTGGGCTTCTCCACCTTGCCCTCATCAACCTCTTCTAGGTTCCAAACAGTGTTATTGGGGTGACAGAATACCCAGAAGTAATCTCTGCAAACGTCCGAAAGCTCCTGAAGGTAAGTTTTGTAAATCCTTGGGCGATGTAGTGATTCAATAAAAGCATGAGGTGACACAGGTGAAGCGGGTGACTCAGTTGGAGGAGGCGCAGGTGTCAGAAGGAGAGCACGGATCAACGAGTAGAAATTCTTGTGTGGTGCTGGGAAGGTGATGAGATTCGAGGACGAGCGGCCCTCGGGTTCCCAAGCTTCGCGACGTGGACGGTTACCAGTGGATGGGAGCGACGAGGAAGGGTACAACTCGAACAAGATGAGCAACAATTCGACAATGAGCTGTCTCGTTGCCACGTCTCCAGGCTTTTTGTCAGAGTAAAGCAAGGAGAGTAGTTGCACGAATGGGGTCGGGCACGAGCTACGCAAGGCAAAGCAACCAATTGCAGAGGTCGACAGGGCCTTGAAGCATCGAAGTAATTCATATAGTATCTGGTCATCATGCTGCTCTTCTCTGAAGAAAAATATGAGAATATAATTGAAGGTTGGAGGTATTGACTCACCGCCACTCAACTTCGAGTATTTCATTCAGTCGCGTAAGCAGAGCATTGTAGCCACCCAATTTCAGGAAGTCTTCTGACCAACTAGTCAAAGTTTAATCAGCTAACATGGCACAAGAGCTTCAGATCGCTCAGTACTCACATTGCCGACTCATTTCGTAGGAGTAGTCGGAGCTTCTTGACGATTTCTACTTCTAGCTGAGTGCTGGAAGTCGATGCCAACATACTACAGAATTTGACGGGAGTTATGCTCTTAACGAAGCCCTTCTCTTTGGATTTGCTCGTAATGAGGTCGCCTGGGATAACCGGAGAATTCTGACCACGAGATAATGTTCGTGCAGCATCAAAGGATAACCCGCGGTCATGTCCTTGTTTGTCATCGAGTGCGTGCAGATCCGTTGTACTCTTTCCAGAGAGACCAGATATCCAGCTGCTTTTCGTAGGCATCTGGTCATAGCTCATGGAAGGTGGAAGAGGCGAGCCCATAGATTCGCTACTGCGGGCTTTTCTCAACGTCATTGGGGTGCTCAGTGGCCCAGACGTCAGGTTTGATGTTATAACATGTGATGATTTGAGCATGGCGCTTTAACAGTTGAATCCATGCCAACTAGCTTTTACCCGAACAGTGGAAGGGATTTGTAGCTCGTCCTGTGAGCATATGCTGTTAAATACCATCGATTGATGCTATCACTGCACAGTCCTACCAGTAATTTGTCAAAGGCTGGTTCATTACCACCGGCTCGACCACAAGGTCCTGCGAGACCTTGATTGTCTTCAACTTTTCTTGCTTCGAATTACCCTTGTGAGTTCCCTTGCCTGATTTTGTCAGTGCAGGGGTCACAAGATCATTGTCAGGTAGGTTCTCCTTTCCACTAAGTGGATCTCCAGGGCTCGTGATCATGGTGAAGTCTGAAGTAGATATTCTTTTTGATGAGGGTAAAATTGCCTTGAACATGATTGCAGATGCTTATTTGTGTCGTAATTGTGGTGAGTCGTCAGTGTAGAAATCAAAGTAGAAGTTGTGGCTGTGACGTAACAAGCACGCGGTTCGTCTTTTTCGACGCGACTGTCACGTGCATTTATTTTCTGCTATTTGGGTTGTGGCCACCGTTTCCTCTCAAGCTCAAGCGCTGACGCCCATAGAGTCATCACTTTGGAAGTTTTTTGGGCGGTATACTTAGGAACGCAGGTGTTCCATCAGGCTCTTGAGTGCCGCCCTTCATCTCCGCCGGCGCTCGAGCTTCTCCACGTTGCTCTCACAAGTGTCATACCATCAATTTCACTGCATACCGTTCTTTACGCAGGATGGTCGGCAAATGTTATTGGTCCATGTGGGAGCGCCCATGCCTCACATAGGAAATGCGAATTTCCGGTCGCTCGGTATATATAGGTTTCACTCTGCCCTTGACGAGAACTAACTTTCCCTCTCTGCACAGACGCACTTCCCTCCTTGCACGTACACATTTCATTCTAGCGGCCCAGCAAGTTCTCCTTATCTTTCTGAGCCATCCTGCTGGCCAGCAGCACGTCGTTCTCCCTAAAGACGGGGCGTGGAAATGTGAGTCAAATTAATATTCATCAAATTCAGAGCTCTATATTTTGTTAATCAGAGTACCGTAGGATGGTATTGTAGGACCGATGCGATGGCGTTAAATAACTAGGTGTGTATGATATCAAAGGTTGTTCATCGTACAGTGGTAGAGTGAAAAACCGTCATAACTTAAACCAGCAGGAGCAAATAACGCCCTTGAATATGGAGCAGGTCTTGCCATTCGACTCTTCCCCCTTGATTATCCCGTTTTTGCCATGCTGTTTGCATGACTCGCATAGTCTGACTGGTGTTACCAAAGCCATTGTGTTGACCTTGCAGCCGTGATTTCAGAAACTCGCGCTTCATGGGATCGTCCGCGAGACACCCAGCCAGACATATGGGAAACACTAAGCAGCGGTCGATATTCGACACGGGTAGCCGGTTCAACAATTGTACAATGACATCTATCGAATTCACGATTTCGGGCACTCCTGTGACAAAGTCATGAGCATTGCAAAATCACGTATCAATTTCGACGCACCTGGATTGGGGTCGCTGAGCACTGTCTGCAAGTAGAGGATAGTTGCTTCTCGGAAGATATCACCCACTATCCTCCGAGTGTCGTCTGCAGGAAGGGATGTGCCCACGTGTCCAGTAGGTGAATTTTGTACGTTGCCATGCTCAGCAACCATTGATGATAATTCAGGATGTAATGGTGTCTGGTCTCCTTCTGCCGATAGTACTGTCTCTGTTTGGGTGCGAAGGTGTCGTTCAATAACGTCCCCTCGCCGGATGAGCTCTCTCATGCTCAAAGAACCTTTACGAAGTTCCTGCGTCTTCCAGCACGATAGCGTTGCTATCTCCGCGATACCGAGAAGTACTTCGTCCGGACATCCAGTTAAGCTATCCATACGAAGGGCTGATTCGTCACCGATGCCCTGCTGCGTTAAACCCCAGTAATTCGATTCTCTGCGGAACAGTCGCCGATAGAAGGTTAGATGCTTTGGCGTCGTTTTCAGGGCCAGGGTTGACATGATATCACACCACTGCGTGGTTCGGGTGAGCTTAGTCTGCCCATAGTCCCAGTAAAACTCACTATTGTGGCTTTCAGTGCCAATTGCGATGCCTCGTTCATGTTTATCATCATCGACTTGGGGTTGTCGCTCGTTGTTATTCCCGTCCTCACAAGCCATTCGCTCGCAATATCTAACATCGGACGCCAATCTGTCACTCCACCTGACATGAGCGAGAAGCTTAACATGTGGATGGCTGCATTTGCGTCGGATTCGCTTAGCGTTGTCTGCTTGTTTCTATAGATCTGTTGGTGGGCGCTATCATAGAATCGGATTGCCGGTGAGTGCTCCAGGGTGGGGTTTGGTGCCTCGAAACCGTGGGCGATGCGAATCAAACTGAAGTGCAATGATGCTAATGCGGAAATAGCATTTGCCACAGGGCCCTGTGGGTGTTGTAATACAAGCTAAATAACGGTTAGCGACCAAGTACCAATTTTTTTGAGAAAACCTTACTGAATATGTTATATTTGCTACAGAGTTGCCAGCAAACGCATACTGCAACTGCCGAACATGCTCAAAGTAATAAAATATGTGCTCCATTTGCAAGCCATCGTCTGGTATCGATATCATTGGAGGGTTATACAGATTTTGGGTGGCGGTAGTCGAAGTCAGGATGAAAGTGCATATCCGCCACGGGCGATGGATGCGAGGGAAGAGAGCCAGAAGGGCTGAAGGGGGAATTGTGGTTCGAACGTTGAAAGCTCCCATCCCTCGTGTACAGAGGGACAGGAACAATCTGAGGTGAGTTTAATGTTGAACCTGAGGATGCGGTGTCAGTTGCTGTAGGCTCATTTCTTATCACAAAAAAACTCACCAAACACGGACATTCCAGTTGGGTCGCCCAATGGATCGGCATACGCTGGCATTCCCAAATCGTTGACTCGAGAAGACCCTGGAGAACTTGCAGATCCCTGAAACTGTCGCGAAGGAAAAACAGATGACGATGACGATGAAGCTGATGTAGATGATCGACCCGTTGAAGTGGCTTGCAGTATCGACGATTTGGGCTGACCGCGGATGAGGCCAGCCCGTGTTAGCTGAGCTTTGATGCCAGCCTTGTAATCTTCCACAGCTTTCTTGTCCTGTAGGACGATGAGAGATGGTGGTAAGAAAGACGCTAACTGTACTCACGCGCATCCATTCAGGGCGCCTTGTTCCCCAACCCAGACAATCTATTCTCAACCGCTTGCAGGTATGACAGGAGTTGCCCTCTCGTTGTTCGTCACATTTCTATTAGAACATTTACGGTCAAGACGCATGAACAGCTTTGTTTCAGTCAAAACACACCTTTCTTCGCAAGCGACATGTCCTACGATTGGAATTTGGAATTGCACGTGTTAGCCAAGTGGAACGGTCTGGGAATATGTAATGCGCACCAGCATCCCCCCCTCCCTGTCAACCCTCCGCGAGGTAAATCTACTGGCATTCTGTTTGGAGTTTCTCGTGAACGTGCGCTTTGCGAATCTGTTTCATCCGAAGCTTTGGATGGCTTGAGGGGTGCGGAGATGTGGGCAGGAGATGTATTGTTGGAGGGCGTCTCAGACGAGGGCGATGGACTGCCGCTAGCTGACGAACTACAGTATGTGTATGACATTCACGCCACAATTGGGGGGTTGTGATAATGAGGCAATATAATTTCTCAAGAAGATGTCTTAAGAACAGATTACAGCCAGATGGGAAGTCGGGGTCAACCTACAGAAATTACCGACGGGTGACAAGTCGGAGGTTCACTTTGGGCTTTCTGCCGCAAAAGAAAAGACGGCGTGATGTTTATGACCTAAAGAAGCATGTGGAAGTGCACCCCAAACCAATTTGGACTCATTCATGGCTTGGTCTCCAAGGACAACTTCTCGAACATTAACTCCGCAAGGGCTATGGTATCCGGTGTCGGTGCACAATATCAAGCGATGAGAGGGTCGCCACGCATCCTCCGTCTCGTTAGCTCACGTAGGTAAGAAATGCGAAAACATTTTTGATCGAAATAATATGTGATATCCAGGGTAGACACACCTTCAAGCCCGTCTGCTTATATAATCTCCGAGCTTGATGGAAAGACGAAATGTACGGGCTATCGCTACTGAACTCAAAAAGTGTATGTACCCGCAGCTAGCCGTTCTATCTTTACCAAGCCCCGAAGTACCTGGTATCGATGTTGTGCCTTTGTTCATCTAGAAAGAGTTCTGAATCACTCGAGCTCGTACTTCAGTGAAGACCATGGAAGGTCCGATGCGCTTTCGTCATTTTACTGCGAGATGTCGGCATCGGATGGTGCTTGTTCAGCAATGCACTGTCCCTGCATGGCATATAGTAATTTTGTTATACAGCACACCCATGTCAGAGCAGAAGGGGACATGAAATTGCGGTCAGATAGGCTTGCTCTCGACATTTAAATGGCGTGGCCTCTAACACTTTTGTTATCACATGTGATCCGATCATGTCGCAGAACTGGGGTACAGCTCGGGTTTGCATGCATGCTACATATACACCGCCGTCATCGTGGGGGGTAAATGAAACACGATCACAGCTTGGCCTTCTCGAATTCAAAGAATACAATAAAAGTTCCGCGAGTAGAACGTTCATTCAATACTAATTGAAGGGCCTGACCCAGGCCTGTCAGGCACGGTACATTTACGCGCTGAATCTCCGATGATGATCCTCCTTCGTGTGTGTCGGTAGTAGATAGTCACCGGGACATGGCAGGATGTAGCCGAGCAGGGTGTTTCCGCACGATAGGAGGGGTCATGGATACTTCCATCACGGAGGGTCGCAGTACCCGTCGTTGCGACAACTTTGGGAGCTCGGTACCTCAGTCGTTGTTCTCGAGTATTTAGTCACGGAAGGCTGTGACTCACGAGAACGTAGCCTCGATCGCTTTTTGTACTTGGGAGTTTCTCGATAATTAACTATCTCGAGTCTTGACATCGTTCGTTAAATTATTAGAGTTGTTCCTCAATCCCCCAATCAAATTTGAGTGGCGGTGCCAAGGCTGTATCAGCAAGTCTTGCACGACAGGCCTGGTGATCTTTACAGGAAATTGAGTGTCAATTTGAAGATATACATCATCTTCCGTGGAGTTCGCTCACGAATAATATGGGACCAGCTTCACAGAACGTCGTGACTGACCGCGACTTGTCCATGATACGGCGGTAGTATAAGCCAGGCTGATCCCGAGCCTAGTGACCAAATCGAGAAGGAACAATTTCAAATTGTATCCGATCTGAGAAAGGTGTCATAATGTAATTATCAATCATATTTGGCTCCCAAAACGAGCGGCAGTGTTGAGATGGACTATTGATCAGAAACATACCGGCGGTGTATTGAATATTGACAGGAGACAGCCTCTTGAACCTTGAGATCTTGAGACCGTGGAGATGGGTGTCTGGAAAACAATGCATTGCATTCGGAGGTCGTACAAGCGCAGATGCGATTTGATCATCATATCAAGCATAAATAGATTACAGCTTGTAGGGTAAGCCTTAGGAAATAGCTAGCCGCGCTACACGCTAGGGGCGTGCCGAATATTTTTAACAAATAATGAAGAGAGCCAGGAAGTAAAAGCCCGTGTAGGGTAGCCTTTAGAAAAGAATCATCTGGGACTGTTGCATGACGACACGCCGGTCCACGAGCTCCCCTCATTCTCGGCTGTTCCACACTTATCTCATGAGTTGAGCGGCTTGAGCACAGTTCCCCATGTTCTCCGTCTGCTGCTCCTGCAGGCGCCGCAGGAAGTAACTGCGATATCGAGGGACATCCGTCGGGCAGCCACATATGCATATGCTGAACACGACACTGCGCACATTATGGCGCGCTGTGCTGACGTCTTCAGCGCGCCTGAGACGCTTGACTATTTATGTGATGTTGCTCGTGATCCCTGGACATTGTGGCTGATCCCCAGAGATGACGGAATGGAGATAGACAAGGGCAGACACGCGGAATACATCAGACGTGAGGCGCCGTCGGCGTGACTTTTCCGTGTCAAAACCGTGGAGGTGAGGGTCATTGGTAGATTTCAGGACGATTTCGATTTCTTGCCCGCGTTTGTTGGGTTCAGGAACGCTGAGTCTACCTGCACGCCTGCACTCATCCTTCCAGCCTGCAAGATCAGCCATTTCAGCGAGGGCGATGTAGTTTTCGCATCCCATGACGCTCATCATAGAAAGCTCCGGTCTGCCACCGTGGTGGGACCATAGAGTGAACGGAGCACTTCAAGGAGCTCGGGACGATGGATTAGCGTTGCAGAGGCAAGGACATCGAACCACATGGATGTCTTGATGATAAACTGCATGCTGCCGGTGCAGGATATCAGTGCCCAGTGGGCGCAACATGATTCCGCTGGAGGACACTGATTGAAAATTCGCAAGTGCTATCAAGGAACGCTTGCCACTGCCCTTGCCCCCCAGAGAAGAGGAAATCGGAGACCATGCAAAGGCTGACAAGAGCGTCTCCTTCCGGCACTGGTATCTCTAGTGCACTTTGGATGCGTGTGTATGCATCATGATCTGATGGCGCAGTGTGACCAATTACACCTTAGGTGCTTTTGCGGTGCAAATCCGCAAGCAAACATGCAGCCTCTCAGGCTGAACCACTGGGATATATGAGTTTCCAGATGAGTTTATCAATGGACCCGTCGGCATGCAAGTTCTGGATACAGAGAACATGTTGCATATAGTATTGCAATGATGCGTTTTATTGCATGTTCAGGTTAACCCAGTTATGATGTATGGTGTTGTGTAAGCACGCTGGCTTACTAGAGTTCCCATGATCTACATAAATACTGTCCGCTGATACTGAAACACAAGCTTCAGTATCGCTGCCTTTTGGCATAACAGTTAAGTGGACGACTAGTCTTGACTCAGTTACATGTTTGTTGATATCCAGAGGGTATAACGACGTTGTTATCGTCTTCGTCTGGGAAGGATGCACGATGCAATGCAGAGAAGTCGCTGGTGTGAGGTCAAGGCGGATTCGATTGCGTCCCTGCTAAAAGGTGAGTTTGAGTACTAATTTACTTGATAACGATACGGGGTCTTACATGATGGTTCCAAGCTAGTCGTATAAGCAGTGGAAGGATACACAGGCAGCACACTCCCAGAATGATTTTCCCTAGCGTCCAATGGTGAATCAATGGCCTGCATCACCGGAAGTCCTACAACAATATGAGAAAGCAAGCAAAGATATTCTACAATAGGAGTCTTACGAGCATCAGTGTCCCCTCGAAGATAATCATTACGGGCTATACCCGAGTGTCGCTCGTCGCCGGAGATCGACAGCGTCGGGATCCGGGGGCTCGTACTCGGGTGTCGCTTGTCGCTGGGGATCGACAACGTGGGGCTCTGGGGGCCCGTACTCGAGTTTTGCTTGTTGCTGGAGATCGACAACGTAGGGCTCTGGGGGCTCGTGCTCGGGTGCAAAGCGCTATCAACAAATTGAACTGCTTCCCCGACAGGAGGCCGATCAGAAGATGTCGTAGACCAGCAACGGGTCATGAAATTCCAGTGCCGGTTAGTGACATAAACATCGCCTGGACGGGGATGCATTTTCTTCTCAATAACCACTTGGTACATGATCGAGAAGTCACGGGTCAAGTGACACCAGGGCACATTTCCCGTCAAAACCTACAGAACATCTTAATGAGCCGCACTAGCAAAAGGGAAGGACTTACTTGAAGCATGATGTTACCAAAGGAGTACATGTCGCTTTGAGTGGTGGCTGCAGAATCGGATTCCCCGGAAAGAAGCTCAGGAGCTGCCCATCTCACTGCTCCTGGATGACAGCTCATCTTCACGAGGTACGTCATGCCGGGCAACTTCTCAAACGTTCCAGAAAGGCCAAAATCTGCAAGATATGCTTTTCTATCACCATCGATTAGGACGTTGGACTTGTAACTGATCATTAGTATATAAGGGATAGAATAAATAATAGATGTTACACCAGTGAGGTCTCCATGAACGACGGGGTTCAAGTCCGTTTGTCCGTCTTCAGTCAAGCTAAACGTATGAACTAAAATAGAAATTTATTCATTTTCCTTCGAACATACGCATTTTCACCCACGATAGTGGAGTCCAGCGACAATGTCGCGAAGCTTGCGCACGACATAATAAACTCGACTGTGCAACTGAGAAACGTATTTTAAATGCTCACCAAAAGCAGACGATCACGCAACTTAAGGGTCTGATTATTCCTGTGGAGAAACGACGTCAGAGTGCCATTATTTATCCACGGAGCAACCAAAGCTACAGATGGACCAAAGTCCGAAGTTGCGCCCATGAGTTTCAAAATATTAGAATGCCGCAACCTCTTCCAAATTCCAAGCTCTCTTCGAAACATCTGGGAAAGTTTAATGAGAATCTGACCACTTCCCTCAGATAGAATAATACCTCAACATTAAAGTATTGTGGTCGAATTGCTTTGACGGCGACCTGCGGATGAGTGTTGAGTTTGTGAGTGTGGAAGAACTGTAACATCCGCACGAAACTCCTCGTCGCCCTCTGGTGCGTGGTATATGCACTTGTAAATATTTCCATATGTACCACCAGAAATCGGGTCCGGGCTGCATCGGGTGATAAGACTAGTTAAGTCTGGGATGAGGATTGAAGTGATCAGCTGGGTAGAGGGAGCGACATTGGGAGTAGTAAGTGGGGATGGTTCGAGAGTACCAGTAAATTTTCGCTGATCTGCTGTCAAAGGACCACCAACTCCAGTGTCCGTTCCGAAACTTGAATTTTCAGGGACTCTGCGAGGCTTTTGGGTTGATAGTTTCCTTCCAGGTATGATGTATGGATGTTGACGATGTTGTGCCGGAGAACGGGGAAAACGGGGACGATGCTGTGCACCAAAGTTGGTCGCACTGGAAGAAACTGTGTCTGGAGGGAAAGTACGACCAGAATCTGGTTGCGTGACCATCTCCTGCTGTATAGATGAGGTGGCGACTGTAGTCTGCGAGTGGTTGTGTTACCGATGGGGAGGGTGATGCATGAGTCCTGAGGCGTCGAGGTTGTCAATCAGTGATTTACTACCCTATGAGAAATGAATTGTACCAGATTGGCACTTTTGGCGTTACGTCACGACGGCAGGGTCACTGAAACTCGCACTGTGCAATACAGAACTGTAGCAGTGCCAGTGACATGCGTACCAAGTGTCCCACTGGACATGATCAACTCAGTCCAACGATCATCGAAAAGGAGACCCGTGTAAAGTTTGTTTTGTGAACGTCGACACGTAGGCACCACTAGAGTAATGCCGGAAAGCTCTCGGGTCACCAGTCGACCAGTCAATATTCAATATTAAATCGTTAAAGGTAAAACAGGACAGCGTTGTTTGAGTTGCAATACTAATGTCCAATCAGATACCACGAATTTCTGGGGTATGTACGTCTTGTATACATGGTACCGTAGGACCGTGGGTTGACCATTGTCGTCGGAAGTTGAAACATTGAAAGTTCGTGGTTTGATTTAGCTTGCCGAAAGGTTCCTGGCATTCTGCATGACCGAAGATTGGTCGGACAAAACATGTTTAAAAAAAAAGGTATCGCTCAACTCTCGGCACATTCAATATCACTTCAAGCTTTGTTTTAGTAGTAATGCTTGTTTGGGGTTAAATAACTTCCACCTCTTCCTGTCCCTAGCCAGATATTATTATAATTAAAGATAAATTGGCGATAGAGCGCAGGCTCGAAAAGCTTATCGCTCTGCATTTTCCTGTGGAAAATTCTGTCGAGAAAGGCGTGAATGCGAGGAAAGATGAGGTCAGTGTTAATGGAAGAGGAATAAATATACATGGATGACAGCTTGTAGGGCATGAGTTAAAATTGCAGCACTGTATGCAGCACACTAGGGGCGTGCCGAACACCTTCAGCAAATAACGAAGAAAGCCGGGTGACGAAAAGATCATGTGTCGTAAGATGGCATTTTAAACAAGAAGCATGTCTCGCATGACTCCGCGCCGGTCCACAGGCATCCCCCCTTCTCGGCTCGTCCAAACTCGCATCATGAGATCACAGGCCAGATCACAGTTCCCCACTGTCTCCATCTCCTGCTCTTGCAGGAGTTGCAGGAAGTAATCACAGATTTGGGGGACATCCGTTAGGCAGCCGCAGCATATATTGAATACCATACTGTACACGACATGGCATGCTGTTTACGTGTTGCCCATAATCTCTGGACATTGTGGCTGATCCTCAGAGATGACGGGATGGAGATGGACAAGGGAAGACGCATAGGAATACGTCAGACGCGAGGCGCCGTCAGGGTGAAAGCCGTGGCCCGTGGAGGTGATCAGGGTCATTGGTAGACTTCAAAACGGTTTCGATTTCTTGTCCGCATCCAACGAGTTCAGGAACGTTGAGTCTACCAGCACGCCTGCATTCATCCCTCCAGCATGCGAGATCAGCAAATTCAGCGAGGGCGAGGATGATGCGGTTTTCGCATCCCATGACGCCCATCATAGAAAGCTCCGTATGCCATCATTAAACCATAAAGCGAAAACTACATGAACGTCTTGATGATAAGCCGCATATTGTCACTGCATGATCTCCGAACCCAGTCTGGCGCAACATGATTCCGCTGAAAAACATTGATTGAAAATTCGCAATCGCTGTCGAGGGATGCTTGTCATTGCTCTTGTCCCCCAGAGAAGAAGAAATAAAAAAATCATGCAAAAGCGTCTCCTTCCGTCACCGGCATCACTGGTACCTTCTGGATGCGTGTGTACACAAAGTTATGATCTGCTGGCGCAGTAAAACCAATTGCACCTTGGGTGCTTTTGCGATGAAAATCCACAAGTCGACATGCAGCCTCCCGGACTGACACACTGGAATGTATGAGTTTCCAGATGAATTTATCTTAATGGACCCGTCGGTATGCGAGTACTAGGCCCTAGATACGGAGAACATGTTACATGCATTTTCTTGCAAGGTGTTGTTGTAGTTAACAGGAGGGGCCAAGAGATATCGAGAAAGTATGATGATGTTATGATCGTCTTCGTCCGGAACTTGAAGTATAGGTGCGCTGCAGAGAAATCGCTGATCTGAGTGAAGTCGAGGCTGGTTCGATTGAGTCCCTGCCAAAAGGAGAGAACTTAAGTGATAACAATATGGGGTCTTACTCCAAGCTAGTCATATAAGTGGTGGAAGGATACGCAGGCTGCAGTATAATCTGGGATAACTGTCCCCAATGTAAGGATATGATATCTACGCGCCGACTAATACTTCAGAATGAAACACAAGCGTTCCTAGTGCGTCAGCAATCGATGCGAAAAGGTCTACTCTTCGCATCCGACGCATTCGGATACATTCTTCTACGTTATCCTTTTTCCTTTGTACTTGGAGTTCGCATTTCTCCAATCATTTCTCCTGCCTAGAATACACAAATCACTTGCTACGATACTTAAGGAGCGCTGTAATAATCCGTACGTCGTCAAATCAAGAGTATTCCTCCCAAAGTCCCACCCCCAACAATTTTCATCTCGATTTATCATTCCCCTTCGAACTTGCTTTTCGCACTCAGTTCTTTTTGCGTAGTCTTACACCAACGTCCAGTGGTGAATCAAGATCCATCACCGGAAGTCCTACGGCAATATGAGAAAGCAAGTAAGGGCATTCCACGATACGAGTCTTACGGGCATTAGTGTCCCCTCGAAGATAATCATTACGGGCCATACCCGGATGTTGCTCATCGCTGGAGATCGACAGCGTCGGGCTCTGCGGACCCGGGCTCAGGGAAGCATAGTCCGCCGAAAGTGTTAGAATTGAACATTCCTGATCAATAACCCTGGCATAATTGTCCTGAACGTTTAATGGTGAATCGATGTCCTGCATCACCAAAAGTCCTACGACGATATGAGAAAGCAAACAAGGGTATTCCACGATATGACTTACGAGCATCAGTATCCCCCTGAATATAATCATCATGCTCGTCGTCGATCGACAATGTCGGGGTCTGCGGACTCGTGCTCGGGGAAGCATAGTCCGCTGAAAGTGATAGAATAGAAGGTTCCTGATCATTGCAGCGAGAGCTCATACCAGAATGCCCCTTAATCATTCCTTGTGAGGCAAGAAAATCTTTAATTTTTTGTCGTTGGTCGACCTTGCCGCTTGCCTTGCGGGATAGAATAAGTCAAATGACAAGGAAATGATAAAAATAATAACATACACGCAACCATTCTGGACGCTTTTCGCCAAAACCAAGACATTGCAGACGAAGACGAAGACATGTTTGGCAGTTGCCGTCTGCGTTGAGCTGCTTGTCACATTTCTAGGAAGGGGCGAATAAGCAATGAAGCGGCGATTGAAGATCAAAGCAGTGACATGCAACCTACCTTCCGGCGGATTCTGCACGTGTAACAACCCGACGAGGCGCGCACAGCGTCTTTATCACGGGCTATACCGGTGTCGCTCGTCACTGGAGATCGACAACATCGGACTGTGGGGTCTCGTGCTCGGAGTGCAAAGCCCTATCAACAAATTGAACTGCTTCCTTGGCACCAGGCCTATCAGTCAAAGACATAGATGGAATAACGGACAGGCAGCAACGTGGAAGAGAGTATGATTGATGATGCGGTAAGAGAGAGATAAGATTATACAACTATACGGGCGACGAGATGTATATGTATATAGTGAAACGGTATCCAAACACCGGACAATAGTGAGATCTTGAGGTGTCCAATAGGCGCGTCGATCACATGATAAGCACGGACTTACAATAGACCAGCAACAGGTCATAAAACTCCAGTGCCGGTCAGTGACACAAGCTTCGTCTGGGCGGGGGTGTATGTTCCCCTCGATATTCACTTGGTACGCGATCTGGAAGTCACGGGTCAAGTGACACCAATGCACATATCTCTTCAAAACTGCAAGACATCTTAGTGAGCTGCACTAGCAAGAGGGAACAACTCACTTGAAGCATGATGCTACCAAAAGAGTGCATGTCGCTTTGAGTGGTGGCCACAGAAGCTGATTCTTCCCCGGAAAGAAGTTCAGGATTTTCCCATCTCACTGCTCCGGGATGACAAGCCACCTTCGCGAGGTATGTCACGCCAGTCAACTTATTAAAAGTTCCGGAAAGGCCAAAATCTGCAAGATATGCCTTTCTATCGCCGATGAGGACGTTGATCTTGCAACTGGTCATTAGTATATGAGGGATAGAATAAACAATGGATCTTACAGTGCTAGTGAGGTTTCCATGAACGACGGGTTCAAGTCCATATGTCCGTCTTCTGGCGGGCTAAACGCATGAACTGACGTAAAAAAAAAAAATATACATTTTCCTTTGGTCATGTACATTTCACCCACGATAGTTGAGGCAAGTAGCAATATCATGAAACTTGTGCACCAGACACGACTGTGTAAACTGGGAACATATTTTAGGTGCTCACCAAAAGCAGACAATCATGCAGCCTAAGCATCTTGTAGTTCTGGTCGAGAAACGACGTCAGAGTGCCGTTGATCCCACGGAGCAGCCAAAGCCACTGAGGAACCAAAGTCCGACGTTGTACCCATGAACTTCGAAATATGAGAGCACCGCAACCTCCTCCAAATCTAAAGCTCTCTCTGAAACATCTAAGAATGCTTAATGAGAATCTGACCGTTTCCTCAGAGAGAACATTACCTCGGCGCTTAAGAACTGTAGTCGAATCGCTTTGACAGCGACCTGGTGACAAATGTTGAATCAGTAAGCGTGGAACTGTAACATCCACACAAACCTCTGCATCGCCCTCTGGCCCGTGGTATATATACTCGTAGATGTTTCCATATGTGCCGCTGGAAATCGATGGGTCTGCAGAGGCTGCATCGGGTGATAAGACTAGTTAAGTCTTGGATGAGGGTTGAAGTGATCAGCTGAGTGGAGGGAGCGACATTGGGAGTGGATGGTTGAAGAGTACCAATAAAACTTCGCTGATGCACCAAAGTTGGTCGTACTGGAAGAACAAACTGTGTCTGGAGGGAAAGCACGACTAGAGTCTGGTTGCGTGTTCATCTCCTGCTGCATGGCTAAATGAATCAAATGGTGGGAGCTCTAAGGAGAGGCGACTCTCGATATTTCCCGACACCGTCCTGCAAAAGAATAAATGACATGCCGTCTGTCATTTCATACGTGGAAATTACTTCCCTTATTTGTTACCGGGTGCGCTATCATCCAAATTTGAAACTTTGAAACGAAGTGTGAAAGTAGGTGAGCGTTCTCCCCGTCATACTCACGACCATAATCATTTATTTATCTACCGTATATGTCCCATGGTACTCCATGTTTTTTTCACAAAACACCCTTCTGTTGTCTGTCATCTGCACGATGCAAATCACCCAAATCCGACTTTCGTGTGCCAATTGTTGTCCGCGCTACAAAGTACTAGACCTCAGGCTGCTTCTTGTCGCGGTGAGCGTGTCGGCTGGCTGAGGAACGAGGCCGAGCCGATATGCTCTCCATGTACCTGCTGTGATTGGCGGTCCCGTAAGATGCTGAATGATTGATAGTGAACACAATGTCATATCCGTTCTGTTTTTACTACCTGTAGTACTAGTCAAGACTGTATGTAGATATATAACTCATGATGCCACATGTGTCGCAGACTGGCGCAGCCGAGCACCATTACGATAATAACAACTTCAACCTTTTCTATGAAACGGTGTCCCGAGCCGTGCATACATAGCTATTATAATATTAGAGATAGATCGGCGGATTATCTATGAAGCATGTGGATGACATCCTGTAGGGTATAAGAATAAAAAGGCTCCGGGAAAAAATCGCCGCGCTGCATGCAGTACACTAGGAGGTGCCGAACACCTTTAGCAAATAATGAAGAAAGCTAGGGTACAAAAAGATCATGTGTCGTAAGATGGCATTTTAAACAAGAAGCATGTCTCGCATGACTACACGCCAGTCCACAGGCATCCCCCCTTCTCGGCTCGTCCAAACTCGCCTCATGAGATCACAGGCCAGAGCACAGTTCCCCGCTGTCTCCATCTGCTGCTCCTGCAGGAGTTGCAGGAAGTAATCGCGGAATTGGGGGACATCCGTTAGGCAGCCGCAGACGCATATGTTGAATATCATACTGTGCACGACATGGCTCGCTGTGCTGACGTCTTCAGCGCGCCTGAGACACTTGATTGTTTCTGCGACATTGTCCATGATCTCTGGACATTGTGGGTGGTCTCCGGATATAACGGAATGGAGATAGACAACGGTAGACGCGCGGAATACGTCAGAGGTGAGGCGCCGTAGGCGAGGTCCTCCTGTGTCAGCAGGGCGGGGGTTATCGTTATTGGTGGTCTTCAGCATGGTTTCGATACGTTGCCCGCGTCTGACAAGCTCAGGAACGCTGAGGCTACCAGTGCGCCCCAGATCTTCCTTCCAGCATGCGAGATCAGCAACTTCAGCGAGGGCGATAACGTTGCGGGTTTCACATCCCATGACGCTCATCATTGAAAGCTCCGGCCTGCCGTCCACGAGGGCAGTGCCAGACAGATCATTGAGCAGCCGGAGTACTTCAAACATGGGACGACGGATCAAAGTTACTGAGGCGAGGACGTCAAGCCACATGGACGTCTTGATTATAAACTGCATGCTGTCTGTGCAGGATGACAATGCACTGGCTGGAGAAGGGGGGTTCCGCTCGAGGAAGTCGAGGGAAAATCGGCAAGCACTGTCGAGGAATGCTCGCCATTGCCCTTGACCGCCGGAGATGAGGCAGTAGGAGATCATGCAAAGACTTGCAAAAGCGTCTCCTTCCGTAACTGGTTCTATAGCCCTTTGGATGCGTCTGTACACATCATGGCTTTCTGGGGCACTGTAACCAATCGAACCACCTTGGGTACTCCTGCGGTGCAAATCCGCAAGTAAATATACAGCCTCTTGGGCTGCATCACTGGAATGTATGAGATTCCAGACGATGGCGTGAACGGACCCGTCGGCATGAGAGAACTGAATAGGAAGAACATGTTTCATATAATATTGCAATAACAAGTTTTGATAGCCGCTCAGGTCAATCCAATTCTGATGGATGGGGTTAACGGAGGTGGGCAAGCGATATCCTGAGGGTATGATGGTGTAGTTGTCGTCGCCATCGTCAGGCCAGTGTGCATTGTACATTGGAGATAATTCGCTGGTGTGGGGTCGGGGCAGCGACATAGTGTGGTCGATTGAAGCCCTGCCAAGAGGAGGACTGGGGTGCTATATATACCTGGTAATGATGCGGGTTTACATGATAACCGACGTGCAATTTCTGAACCCTGGCCGTCCCTAAGACCAGGCTGCACTCAGTCTAATGCTGCAAACCGGCTCAGGTTCGGCTTAGGCTCGAGTCGGCTCACGGCCCGAAGCCTGGATTTTAATCGAAGAGTCGAAGAATCACTAAGCTGTGAACTGAATGCTTTGAGGCCGGTGTAAGTCAAGAAAAGGCTGTAGCCCTTTGGTCAATTGCAGGGGAAGGACGAGTAGGCTATCGTCTAGTTGCAGCCCGGAGAAAACGAGGCTGCGGTAAGCCCCGACATAATTGGATTTGCCATAAATTGAGCTGTGTTGCAGTCTGAATTGAGACAATAAACAAACGTCAGTTTAACCTAAACTCGAACGTGCATATCAGATGATCCTGGTGCCAGACGTCAAAGTGACTCACGCGACACTGTTCAGTCATGTACTATCTGTGACTAACCCACCTGGAATGAACGACTGTATTCCTTCAATACAATCTGACTAAGACCGAGAACCACCCTGCAATTGAATGATAGCATTCAATATGGCCAATGCGAGAACGCACTGTCACGTTCGCTAATTAACATTTAACCTTTGAACAGCTGACCTTGACACGAGAACTTACATGAGGGAATGTGCTTCATCTTGGAAGAAGTGAACTTTGTAGGAATTCGGGGCACCTGAGCCGCATTATGGCCACCCCAAACCTTGCAATTTTCTACATTTGTCAAGGAAGCTTGAGTTTGATATGGTATGCTATACGCAAACAATAACAGCAACACTCCCAGGACAATCCTATTTGCGTCACCACCGTGGAAGGCAATCACAACACAACAAATCTCCGACAGTTGCATGATGCACCCTGCCAATTCGTGACTAGTCCGTGCAAGTCGGTCGTGGATACTAGTCACCGTGGCCGAGCCAATTTATGGATGTTTCCGCACAATTGTCAGGGTCCTGGATACTGCTATCAGGGCGGGCAGCAGCGCTAGCGCCGCGGGGTTGCTGCGACGTTTTGGAGTGTCACTTGCAAGTACCCGTTATGTAATAACGGAGCCTAGCTGGGCTTGTCAAAGCAGTCCTAGGTCCTAGATTGATTAATATTCAAGGCACCACCTGTGAATGATTTTTTTTCTTACAAAGTCGTAAATGACCCGTGGAAGGCTGTAATGGCAACACTCGAAGGCTTGAGAGTTCGCGATGATGAAATCCCGCCAGTGTTCTTTGATTAGGTTGTTCCAACTTTGATCTGAATGCCGCAGCTAGGAGGTCTCGGATGTTATAATTCTAAATAGGACTTACTATGTTCCGAATAGCTCGCAGAAGACTGTCATGCGACCAACTGGAGAACGTTATGACCGGTTGACCGAATTTCAGAGAGGGGTCCAATTTGAAACTACATGCACATATATGCAGATGAGGAAAGTATTACACGATGATAAGCAAATTAATTCGGCTCACCCGGGACTAGCGGCGGTGCTGAGATGAGATCAACATCACAGCATCATGCGGTGGCATCTTGGTGGGCATTAACAATAGATCATGATAGGAGACGTCCTTGTGATGGCGGTGCCTCTTGAGGCTATGGAGATATGTCTAGAAAAACAATACATAGCATTTGTATGTCGTGTGTAGTATGGCACAGATGCAAGTTCGTGAGCATGTAGTGTGATATACAGTTTGTGTGGTATGAAAATGAAGATCCTGGGGAAATAATTGGCCGCGCTGCACACCAGGGGGGCGCTGAATACTTTTAACAGATCATAAACAGAGCCAGGTAGCAATGAAGGGAAAAGGTTCATGTGTCGTAGGATAGGCCTTAGACAAGAAGCATCTGGGATTGTTGCATGACGACACGCCAGTCCACGGGCTCTCCTCGTTCTCGGCTGTTCCACACTTCTCTCATAAGTTGAGCGACCCGAGTACAGTTCCCCACCGTCTCCGTCTGCTGCTCATGCAGGCGCCGCAGGAAGTAACTGCGATATTGGGGGACATCCGTCAGGCAGCCACATATGCATATGCTGAACACGACGCTGCGTACAACATGACGTGCTGTGCTGATGTCTTCAGCACGCCTGAGACACTCGACTGTTTCCGCGATGTGGGACATGATCTCTGGACATTGGGGGTGATCCCCAGAGATGACGGAATGGAGATAGACGAGGGCAGACGCGCGGAATACGTCAGACGTGAGGCTCCGTCGGCGTGACTGTTCTGTGTCAAAGTTGTAGTGATCAGGGTCATTGGTAGATTTCAGGATGGTTTCGATATCGTGTCCGCGCCTGACGAGCTCAGGAACGCTGAGTCTACCTGCACGTCTGCACTCATCCTTCCAGCATGCGAGATCAGCAATTTCAGCGAGGGCGAGGACGATCCGGTTCTCGCATCCCATGACGCCCATCATGGAAAGCTCCGGTCTGCTATCATTAACGGTTGTGGTGGCCCGACCATAGAGCGAACGGAGCACTTCAAGGAACTTGGGACGACGGATCAGCGTCGCAGACGCGAGGACATCGAACCACATGGACGTCTTGATGATAAACTGCATACTGTCACTGCATGATTTAAGTGCCCAGTCTGGCGCAGCATGTTTCCGCTGGAGAACTTTAATTGAAAATTCGCAAGCGCTGTCGAGGAACGCCTGCCACTGCCCTTGTCCCCCAGAGAAGAGGAAATAGGAGACCATGCAAAGGCTTGCAAGAGCGTCTCCTTCCGTCACTGGCGCCCTTTGGATGCGTGTATACACGTCATGATCTGTGGGTGCGGTGAAACCAATTGCACCTTGGGTGCTCTTGCGGTGCAAATCCGCAAGTAAACATGCAGCCTCACGGGCTGAATCACTGGAATGTATGAGTTTCCATACGAGTTCACCGATGGACCCATCGGCATGAGCATACTGGATACGGATAACATGTTGCATATAGTGTTGTAATGATGAGTTTTGGTGCATGTTCAGGTTAACCCAGTTGTGATGCATGGTGTTGTTGTAGTTAACGGATTGGGGCAAGAGATATCCAGAGGGTATGGCGTTATAATCGTCTTCGACCAAGAAGGATGCATGGTACGTTGCAGAGAAGTCGCTGGTGTGAGGTCGAGGCAGGTTTGATTGCGGCCCTGCCAAAAGGAGGGCTTGAGTACTATGATACATACATACATTTAGTAGCGATACGGGGTCTTACATGATGGTTCTAAGCTAGTCGTATAAGTAGGGGAAGGATACGCAGGCAGCATAACCCCAGGATAATTTTCCCGAGCGTCCAATGGTGAATCAATGTCCTGCATCACCGGAAGTCCTACAACAGTATGAGAAAACAAGCAAGGTTATTTCATGATATGGGTCTTACGAGCATCAGTGTCCCCCCGAAGATAATCATTACGTGCTATACCCGGGTGTCGCTCGTCACTCGAGATCGACAACGTCGGGGTCTGCGGACTCGTACTCGGGGAAGCATAGTCCGCCGAAAGCGATAGAATAGAAGGTTCCTGGTCATTGGGACGGGGCCCAGCACCAGAATGCCCCTTAATCATTCCTTGTGCGGCAAGAAAATTTTTAATTTTTTCCCGTAGGTCGACGACCTTGTCGTTTGCCTTGAGGGATAGAATAAGTGAAATGATAAGGGAGTGATAAAAATAAATAACATACACGCAACCACTCTGGCCGCTTTGCGCCGAAACCGAGACATTGTAGACGAAGACGAACACAAGTTTGGCAGCTGCCGTCTGTGTTGGGCTGCTCGTCGCATTTCTGGGAAGGGGAGAATGAGCGTCTGATGACAAAGAAGCGGCGATCGAAGATCGAAGAAGTGACGTGCATGCAAGACTCACCTTCCGGCGGATTCTGCACGTGTAACAACCCGACTTGGCGCGTACAGCGCCTTTAGCTTTGGGCGCTCCGGACCGCCTAGACTGTGTGGGGGACTTTGGTACGGCGGGCATGATGATTAGGAAGATAGAGGTATAAGGGGAGAGTGTGGGGTAAGAAAGATACAGAGAGAGAAATGGTATACAATGAGACAGAAAGAGACAAGAGGAAGCGACACAGGACGCATTCTGGATGTAAGAGAGTATAAGTACATAACGTTCGACGAGAACGGGGAACGACAACACCTGTTTAACGAACAAAATGACCAAAAAAGGAAAATAGCAAATCTATCAAGATAAGTTGGACAGAAGGTACTTTCGGGGTCTCGCCTTACCAAACATCCACCCCCATACCATGAGAACTTGCCAAGGGGCGTCTTTTGCTTCCGCGCGTTAAACGGCACTCTTTACATCGCGGCCTTCCAATTCAGGCGCTAGCTGATCATCATTCTATGATCAGTTGTACAGCTTTGTGTACAACAATGTACCCTTGTGTACAGCATTAAACTGTCCCTTCTACAGGGCCCACTTGTACGATACTGGGTTTCATCCTAACAAAATATCACTGCCACAGAATGCGTCAGCAGCCAAAGGTAGCAGTGTAAGCCAAAAAACATGCGCAGACCTGCCTCATGCCTCACTACAACCGCTACGGTCGGGGTGGTATCCACCACAGAGTCAAGCCCCGGTTCTTACTTTGAATACCGTCGGGAGACCCCATGGACCAACAATAACGCTCAAAATGGATCTGCTTGTCAAATCCTCCGCGCTTGTCGCTTTGGCCCTGCCAATGATTATCAAACTAGTATTGTATATGAAATCACAATCGAAACTGCCGAACAATCAAACAAACACAAGTGTCACGAAGAGATTTCCTTTTCATCCGACCACTGTAGCGCAAGCGAATAGAGGTTGTCTACATGAACTGCAGAACACCAGACTGAGGCATAGATATCGCTAGAAGAGGAATAGAACTGATGCCCGTGAGGCAATAAATGATGACAGTCGACTTCAAATACAGCCGGGGAAGCATGATTGGAATAATACTGACGTGAGAGTGTTACACTGAAGGATAACTGGGGTGACTTGGCAGAATGCCGTTATCTTCGTTTGTACTTTGCTCTAGTCCTCCGAAATGGGCGCTGTGGAAATGCCACTCGGTCCGCTTATACTCAAGTTCCTGACCTTGTGTCTCAACCCGCTACTCGATGCCGATCCTCCCCCAGAGCCCTGATTGGCATCTGCACCAGAAGCCGCCGGCTTCGAGGCGCTACCGACGTTTCCACTTGAGTCTCCTGGCACAACGCCAGCGCCTGATCGTCGAGCTATAAGAGCACGAATGGCACTAAGCCATTTGATTTCTTCTTCCTCGCTTGGAGCACATAAAAGCAGCGCCCTTTTCGTCGTGACTATTTTAAACGTGAAGTGGCCATGCGAGTCGTCCGGTGATGTTGACGACGCTAATGGCGAGGTCGAAGGAGGAGGTATAGGTGCGCTGTGCTTGTGACTCCGCATATCGAACTCCAGGGCATCGAGAATCTCCGAAAATGAAAACTGCCGATGGGGTTTTGTGTCCTGATAGCCATATTCAATTGGTTCCGTGTTAGCAAGGATCCGACGTGGCAAGTACAAGAATACCCATTACCATGTGACTTCCCGAGTAGACTAATTTTTCGCCATTCAACACAAACCACCGTTTGCGCCAATTATGTCGCTTCGAGCCGCATTTCATCAAGTAACCAGATAGGACTATCTTTGCAGCTTCTTTTGGTATCGTTTGCATTCGCGTGGGTGAGGAAGAAATTGCAGGGCAATTCTGGGACGAGGTCGAGTAAGTCCGTTGGGCGCTTGGCGATGCATCTTCTGAGTCCGAGGAGGTTATATTTTGAGCGTGAGATGCTTGCGGAGGCGAGTGCGAGACCATAATGCGACAAGGTACTGATTGAGCCCCAGGGATCGGTATAGGGGATGTGATTAATGACGTTTGAGTTGAAATGGTCATGAGAGCCTCCCTGGCGTCCTGTATTGCTTGAACCCACCGCTGAACCTCTACTGGACTTTCAGCCTGGAGATAGAACGTTCTGACAGTAGAGACAACACCAAATGTATTGTTATGTTTCTTGAGCGTGACTGGGGTGCAAGAATGTACGTCGGAGAGATCCAGAAGGCGTAACAATTGGTATTCCGCATTGGTCTTGTAATACGCGATATGTGCAGGTCGGAGCACAAACCATCGTTTCTTCCATGTCTGTGATAATTGCTATCCACACCGAATGCGAAGAAGCGGTCTCCGATGTACGAACCTTGCGTCGCTCGCCTTTCTTCCATAGATAGCCCGACTTGATCATCTTCTCATCGAAAGAACTGTGCGGTTTCTCGGCCTTGGTTGCGGTCCTCCAACCACCCTCCTCTTCCTCGTCTTCGTCTTCGTCGGACTCCTCACCACTTCCTGATTTTCCCTCTGCAATGGAGGATAATGGAGGCTGAGATGTACTGCCGGAGACCGCATTAGAACCATATGACTGAGATGTTGGGGAGACAAGATCGGGAGACAGAGCTGAGTCAGAGTCAGACTCGGTTCCAGAAACGTGTGAAGAAGGTTGTGACGCTGGAAGGGCCTGCAGGGTTCAGATCGATCCGGATTGTGACAAAATCAGGAGAATTAGGGTTGACTTGGTTGGATGCATACGAACCTTCTTAGGTCTGGCTGTTGAATGAACGGACAGTTTTCTTTGTACTTCTTGTAGTGACGGCGGTGGAGCTGACCGTGAAGTACTACTAGTCGTCATGGGTGGGAGTGAGATGCGTGTGCGTTTTCGTGACCAAGAGGTCACAACAATCCCTCGTGACATACGGTCACACCAACGACGTGGCCTCAGACTGCTAGCGCTCGCACTCAACTTTTGTAAAGGAAAAACGTTTAACAGGTGGAACAAGTGAGTACATGTTGCATAAGTGTGCAGTATTATATTATAGGCTAGACATGATTTTGGATGTTGAAGACTAGAGTGATTCACGTTCCATGAACTTATCTGCTACAACACCAAGTGCATTGGCCAATGATGTCTTGTTCAAAGCGACTCTGAAACAAATGCGATATTGCGCGCTTGTCAGCTGATAAGATCTCGAAGGAAAAAATGCAGCCGATTCCAGATCTGGCAATTGCTGCCAGAGAGCTGCGTTTTGTCTTCGCCTAGATCAGTTCCAGCATTTTCATCTCTCGCCTTCGACGATGTCCTCTCAATTCGAAAAAGCTGTTGCGTACGTCCAAGGTCTGGACAAGAATGGATCAGGCCCGGATGCTACCGTCAAATTGGAGGCGAGTCTATCATTACGTTGAAGATCGCAGACGAGCCATGCTGATTGATACGGGCATCCACAGTTTTATAAATTCTACAAGCAAGGTTCTTGTGTTACCTCTGTAGAAGAATACGAACTGACTTTCCTCGGCGATCAAAGCTACTGTAGGAGATGCGGATCCGGCCAAGGAACCCTCTATGTTCCAATTCGTCGAGCGTGCTAAATGGTGAGTGGAAACAATCCTGGATAAATTGACCTGACCTGTCTCGCAGGACTGCTTGGAACGGCATCAAGGGAATGTCGAAGAAGGATGCGGAGGAGAACTACGTGAAACAGCTTATCAAAGTTCGTGATACTTCCCGCCCGCTGATCTTGCGTCTGAACATGAAATCAGTACCTCAAGGAGAAGCACCCCAATGAGCCCATCCTCAAAGAGCTCGAGGATTAAAGTTTCTACTATGCAACACGTGGATAGTAGCATGCTCATGTTAACTAAGAAGTGATCGAGCTGCCACTTCACCCGAACATATAGGAGTATTCAGCCAGTAACCCAAAACGAGATTGTGATGCCCATCAGAAAGCGCTCAGAACGTGGTGCTAAGTCAGGTGCCTTGAGTCAGGTTACCACATACAATCTCCGATTGAACATCATGATGAAGGGGTGTTCGAGGACCTGTCAGATGACGCCGGCAACTGCGGGTGGTCTGCTGTGGTAAGTTTCGGCGCCCGTTTTTCATATACCTGCCACAGAAGTGTAAAGAACCTTTCAATTTATTCGAGACGATCGGACGGATATGACGAACACCCGGATACTTATCGCGTTTTATTCATTAACAGCGGCAGATGGCAAATAACGCTGTGCTTCTGGTGGCCTAGATGTGGAGCCAAGTTGTGCATTCCTCGTAGTGTGGTCCCGGTTGCCGGCAGTCCCATGTTGGCTGCGGAGATAAAAGACTTGCAATGCAGTGGATATTGAACAAGGTTCAAACAGCATCGAATTAATGAGCTTCGAATTCCTCGTAAGTAGTAGATGCGAAGCACTTTCATGACACACGGTGGGTAAGCCTAACACAACACTCAGGTGTATATACGCGATCATCGCTGTGCCCTGGCGATCAAAGCTTCCCAAATTTTCAAGTGCTGTAAAGTTGAACTCAGACCAAGGTCGGGAAAAATTCCACGAATATTTTTGAGCTCAGCGAGACGCGCTACACACGGCAGCTGTACCACACATTGCTCTTCATTCGACTAAGGGGAGCCGTAGTGCGTTCAGTTTTGGCAAGTACGGATTAGCCAGTTTTCACAACGTGCCCCTAATCTATTTATCAAGGATTTCAACTATGACGGAACTCAACTCGTGTCACTGGTTTTACACTAAACCGAGCAGCAGTCGAGACCAGTCACCTTCCGGCGAACAAATATAGTAGCAACTCCTAGTTCTAAATGCCAAGGGCGCTTCCTGACTACCCAGTTCAGCTCGCGGTGTGAGTCCTTGAATTCAGGCCTGTGTAGGGTCAACAGCATTGATGGCACGTGTTGGATAGACCGATCATCAAATTGACAATGCAAAAATGTGGGTTTGCCCGCCTAAAGCTGCTAGGCTGATTCAAAAATTCAAGACTTCATTCATGTAAGCGGTTGGTTAAACGGTCCAATTCATTCAAATACTTTTGTACTTGGCTAGTAGAGTCCAATCAAGGAATCCTGCCCTGGGAGATGTCTGAATAATGTCTCAAGAGCCGGAACTACCCTGTGAAGATACTCTCCGCAGGCCCGACGGCGGTGTGACCCTAGATCTAACTTCGCACTTTGGTCACCATGGCCCCACTTATACCCATACAATCATAACTCACAATCAAGCTCAAACCAACAAATCACATCACTGATATAGGTGTACATATACGTACATATGATCCAAATAAAATAACGGCAGATTGCTATTTGGGAAGGGAACGTAAGCAATAGGAATGCATTATGGAATGCGCTCCTTAACAATGCGGTCCCATAAGTGTCCATCGGTCTCTGGCTACCAATGTCCCCATCCGGCGCCGTTGAACCCTATGTAGGTGAGTAAGGTTGTGACTTGGCTTATCGAGTTCGTTCGGAACTTAAGCGCCCCTTTTAGGATGTGCAGAGAAAGGCATGCTTTCGTCTTATCTTTAGGAAATTCCCACTATAGGCACTAAAACTGAGACTAACCCTGAACCTTCTACCTCGGTCACCGGATTCTGTGAATGTCGGCAATGACAGCGAGACGAATAGTAATTCAAATCCTGCCTCGTGTAAGTGGACTTTCTATAACGGCCGTAGCACTTTGTCCTGTACTGACGGTCGGGACGTATGACAAACATAGGTGCACTAAGCTTGACAGGGACAGGGGTGCCCACATCCACCCATAGCAGGTTCGTTCTGCATACTGTCACTCTGTCAGGGCGATGCTTCGTGGTTGATGTGATCCGTGGCTGCCAGTGACAACAGCGATCATTGTAGCGGATGGGCACCGCCCCACTATAAGTCAATGACTGAGTTGACTGTCAAAATAGCGATGAGGACAGAGTTGTCGAACATGATTGGTTTTGCGTTGACATCGTTTAGCACAGGAACATGGGGCTCACTGTCTTACAAATGACAGACGTGGGCAGATCCCTCAATTAATTCTCTCATAGTCGTCAAGAAGCACCCGGATTCAGTAAATCATTCTAGAACGGTCCCTTCTGTGCTATACTTATTCTCATGACGGTGACCGCGTGCTAAGTGCAGGCAGGCTCATGGTTCCTTGTTCTTCGACTACCGAGCTTGGCTGTTCTAAGTACTCGCGTACTCGTCGCCATCGGCTTTTCAGTACATGGACCGATCACCAATTACGACAGCGTAACCAATCATCTGACATTCCCCTGTGGCTATCATCTTTGATCGTTGGATGCCCGAATGATCTACCTGCCAAGAATACACATGTACAATGCCGATAATTGAGATCATAGTCAAGCACGTTCCCCAAAGAATGTCCAGGGCGCAATGCATGAATCGAGGCCCACAGCAGGTTCCTTTTCTGGTCTGCATGGCATACATACTATTACAACTTCTCCCATCACCGTGCTAACTTCGGATTGCCTTCGGACCATAGATATATGCATTTGAAATGAAAAAAAAATAAACATTTGGTGACCGTGAGGAATAATCGTTGGTCGGATGGTATCTCGTGTTACAGCAACTAAAACAACGGCAGTAAAGACAGGAGGGTAAACAATACAATTCCTTCCAGAGATTAACAAAGGGGCAGAAGTCACAATTTAGGCACATTGCTTGTCAGGGTTGGCAACATACAATGATGCTCGCGGAGCTAGACCATACCGAATGGTTGGACGGGTACGGGAAGGCACTTCTTCTCGCTTGCGAGTATTCCGCGGAGGTGGAGAACGTTCTGCCACCAGATTGTTCGCCACCTGCCGTTCGATTTCCTGAACCCTAGATGTCACAGCATGACCTGTGGCCCTTATGAACCGAGAACTATGGGTGGTGGGTCCAGTCCTCGAAGGCTCTTTTGAGGAAGAAGAGGGACATGATGCCGGAGATATAGGTCGGGAAGAGGTAAGCTTGCTTTGATCGGATGATAAGCCACCCAACATTCCGTGTTCATTTGCACTAATCGAACCAATCGAAGCTGTTCGATGTGATGTGGATCCGTCCGAAGCAATTCGCTGTACGACATCATAGCTTCCACCCAGCCGCTCTGCGACCTCAGTGTTCGCTGTCCGGCCACTATAGACAGATGGAGAGATCAGGCGGATATGTTTGACTGGTTGCTCATATTTGGACTCAAGAGAGTCCGGGGAAGCATTCCATTCGTTGATCGACGTGAGTGGCGGAGCTGGGTTAGGGTCCCGTAAATCTAGTGGTTTCTGACAGGTAGAATTGCGTCGATCAAGTAGAGATGTCTTCATAAATCGCCCCCACCAGCTGTCTGATCGACGAATGGGGTTCGAAGAAGGTGAATACGAGTTGAGGATGGATGAATGGCGCTGTGAGGGTGCAATGGTTGGTGCAGAGGAGTGCAATGTAGAGGGCATCGTAGGACTATAAGGCGGCTGCGAGGGAAGACTTGGTTGGGAGGCATAAATGTTGCTGGAAGAATGGCCGTTGGAAGACGAATTATTTTGTGAGGAACCAGGGCATGATGCTAGGGTGTTGGTTGAGTCGGACGCGACCTCACGCACAGGACTGAGGGTGGGAATGGTCCTCAGTGGGCGAAGGGGTGGCGGGTCTCGGCCCAAAGCATCAACATCAATGCTGTCATACTCGCCATCAGGTTTGCGTACCCCATGGTCTGGCTGATACGAGTTGTACTCCCCATTATGTGGCACAGGATCTGAGAATGGATCTGTGTATGACCATGAGATACCATCTCGTCCATGGGGGTGTCCGCTGTTGGGCATCACGTTGTACGAGTTGTTTCCCTCATTCATCAGGTCCCCGCGATCACTCTCAATTTTCTCCCAATCATCCCAGCCTCGGCTGCTATTGCCTGTACTGGGCTCCCTGGAAATCATGCCGCGCACCATTGCGCCCATCGAGCGCATTGACCATGCACTAGTTCCGCCGCTGCCTTCACTGCGTAACATATCCGGAGGACTGCCCGACCCGAATTCTCGCGCGTCTTCGTCGGCGAACATGTCACGGCGCGGGCGAGGTGGCAGGGGGGAACAATGTTTTCTTAATCCAAAATGAGCGAGAGCTGCAGCTAGCGGGAGGGCGCGTGCACCTAGGAATCCGTGACTCCTTTGCTCGGAACCCATGGACAAAAAATCAGCAGGACCGCCATCGATACTGTCGTACTCGTGGTCACCACCAAGAATGGAAAACCTCCCGTTATTCAAAGACTGGCGTCCCCGCGAACGTTTAATATACCAGACAGCTACAAGTCCACCAGCAATGAGTCCAATGATGCCGAAGGTGGTACCTAGAGCGATAGCAGTAATGTTACTGTTACTAGAGCTGGAACCAGCACCAGCAGTACTTGTTGGATACACTGCTGAGGGTGCACCTGCACTTCCCCCACTTGACCCAGAGTGGCTAGTTTGAGAGGGTGCGGGGAGAGAGATGATGGCCGGGGTCGAACCCGCAGGTGGCGAACTATAAGAAGAGACCATGGACGAGCTAGAAGGGTCGTATATTTCCATGGTGGCAGACGCAGGTGCGGAGGTTCCGTAGCCTGAGTTCGATCAGACAGGAGCAAGGAGCCAACAGGGATGGACTCACCGAAGGCAAAGAGTACTTGACCGTTACACTGTACTGCCAGGTGGTCCTTGCGAGCGCCAAGTTGCTGAAGAGATTGTGCTTCTCGCCAGACCATTGGACTTTGGTTGGTATTTAATATCCATCCATCGCTATATGTTGTCTGTAATTCGCCATCGCCTCCCCCATGAATTAGGATTTCTCCAGTGACGAGAACAACAGCCGCAAAGTCGCGGCGTGGACTTGGTGTGGTGTAATTTGAGACGGATATCATGTCCCATGCGAGGGTTGCCTGTGTCGTGTCAAGGGACCAGACAACATTCAGGGGTACAAGCTCCCCACATGATGCACAATATCCACCCAAGATAAGGAGTCGTCCGTCAGGAAGAATGAGTGATGCGTGCCCATAAATGTCGGGTGGAGCATTACCACCAGACGGAAGCACCACGAACTCTTGTAACACAGGGTTGAAGAGGTAGTGATCAAAGAACGCATTTCCTGATCCATCGGCCTTCTCACCACCGACAATCCAGACCTTCCCGCCAGTTGAAGATGCTGAATGACGAATCCTCCTCATTGGTTCACCACCCCAGTTCTGAGGCTCGATGAAAAATGTCGGGTCCGCATGATCGTAAGCGGAAACAAGTGTAGCAGAATCGTTAAGGGAAGTGAGGACTGTTTGTGAATTCGGTCCTGGTTGACCTCCGAAAAGCAGGAATGAGGTTGTGTTGAATGCAGAGAGGGTGTGCCATCCTAAATTGGGATAAGAGCTCGTGGTGGTTGTATTTGAGAGCAGCTGCCACGGCGGGGAAGTGGCACTGAATGATGTGGAAAGGTCAAGTAGCAATAGTTCTGATGTGGGCGGTGCAGATGTGTACGAGTATTGATCGTACTGATCTGTCAGACCTCCGTGAACATATAGAAGATTTTCCAACAAAGCCACCGCCTGCGCCCATCTATCGCATCGTCCCTGATAAGTGCCCGTCAACAAACATAATTGACGTACCTAGGTAGCGGAGTATATTGACATAGGGCAAGTGGTATCGAGTAATACAGCACGGCCGCGGCGCGCCAACTACTAGCCATGACACATATAGAACCTATCCTGCCCAGTTTGCAAAGAATTGACAGAAATGTTCGAGAAAGGTATAAGTTAGTTGTAAGAGCGAGATACAAGTCGTTTTTCGTGAAATGTCGTCACGGAGGAGAGTGCACAAGCTGGTGGAGAGCCTGAGTGCAGAACATTCGGTCACTGTACAACCAGAACTGCAGTGGGCCTGGGCCCACGTGGAAAATTCAAATTCTTTCAAATTGCTTTCGAATATGCAGCTGCCCAAGCTTCAGCCAAGTGTATCTGACCCAGGCTGCAACAACCCACAGAAAGTTGGTGGCACAATCCGTCAAAATAATAAACACCACTTCGCAGTGGTTCGAAGTGTCTGTAGTACTGCAATCACTTATGACTATTTCCGAGTCTACGGTAGTGAACACGCCATTCGGGCGCTCAAGAAAGGGAAAAAGTATTATACACTGCCGGGGCCTAAACGTGCGCGTGAGTCCCCACCCTGTTACCTTGAAATTCTTAGCAGCTCTGTGACAGGCGGTGTGCCAAATGACTCAAATCAGTAAATGCCAAAAAATCCTGGACCTTACAGGCTTACTTCAAGTTATCCACCAACTCAGGTTTTTTTGTATCCAAGTACTGATGTTACCAACTGCATGGATTCAGAATTTCAGACATGTTTACTGACTGCTTAGACGATTAAGTTACTGTATAGAACACTTGCACGTTTTGTCATGATGAAGGCACGTGTAAGTCAGGTGTAAGTCGCATCAGTACCGTACATGCACACTCGGTGCTTTCGTATATATTGACGCTGCTCTATTCACAGAACAGTTATAAATCACCAGTTTTTTTTAGTCCACGCCCTCCGCCCTCGTAACGACCTGCCCACACACCACGGCAATCTATGACTACTACGCCGGTTGATAGTCAGGCCATCTCCAAACCTACTAAGTCTGTCTCTCTGTGTTGATCTTGACTTTGAGCTCATACAGTCAATCCAGCCTGGATGATCTGACGGAATTCATAACTAAGACTATTAACTATCCGGTGGCTTCTGGCTCATTCGGTTTAGTTTACAAGTGCAACTATAAGTGCGAGAAGCAGTCATTGCAAGTATGTTTCAGGACTTAGTATCAGTTACGCGCTATGTAACCTGACATACTTTCAGGTGGCGGTCAAGAGGTTTCTTCGAATTGACTTGGAAAACAAAGAAGTAAGAGACTATTCATTCATTTTTAATCCGATGTCCCTCAACATCTTTGAATTGAAGGCGTTGAGGAGAGAGATAGGTGTTTGGAAGAGATTACGCCATGAAAGCATTGTTCCACTTCTGGGCTATACTAGACTCGGAGACTATCCATCCGAGCCTGTGTCCTTAGTGTCGCTTTGGATGTCTAAGGGGACGCTCCATCAGTATCTCGATGGCAAAATACGGGAAGACAAGTACCTCCTGGTAAGTTGTTTCAAGCATCCCTGGGCCTTATCTATCTATTAACTTGATTTAGCTGTGTAACGTGGCGAACGGCCTACACTACTGTCGGTGCTCATGATGACACTATCCAGCGGTTGCTGATTTTCTGTGATTCTAGTACACTCGGAATCTGTGGTGCACGGAGACCTCACGAGCGTAAGCCTTTATACCATGAACTCCAGGGATGCCAACAAATGAAACATTATATTTGGTAGATGAATGTGTTGGTCGACGAGAAAGGTCAAGCGTGCCTCGCTGATTTTGGGCTGTCATCCATGGTCAAGATAGGTCCAAAATTCGAATACCTCCGTCCTCGCGAGAAACAGCCTGGAGCTTTGATTTGGTCAGCACCTGAATTAAGCAGTTTCGATGTCGATGTCGATGAAAATGAGAATGAAGATGAAGATGTCGATGCCGATGTAACGACTTCTCTTAACCACAAAGAGGTTACAGAGAGATATATCCCATCTCCTTCAAGTGATATGTATTCTTATGGCTGCATCATGTTTCAGGTGAGTTTGTTGGGAGTTCAGCAAACGGATTGCAGTGACGAGAATCATAGGTTCTTTCCGGTAAAGTTCCTGAGGTGACGCCCTGGTGTGTCATGAAAGGAAAGACACGTGAGCGTCCACAAGCCGTGCAAGATGAGGATTGGATATTCATATTACAATGTTGGTTGTCGCTCCCATCCCTTCGACCTGTCGCATCGCAAGCACTTAAATTCGCTGGAACTCGAGCCCGCTCGTTCATGTCCACAGGTAAGGCATACTGATCGTGTTGCACACGGGTCGTCGAAACTGAGACTTTCTCCTATGATGTAGGATTTCCCGAGACGTCCAATCGAGCTTCAACATACACCGCGCATCTTGATGATGCAAACGTCTACAATTTATCTTCACTGGTACCTTCACATACGCAGCCGGCATTTTCGGACCCTGAGGCATGCTGGAAGTCGGTTCATAAGCTAGCGAAAGCACTCCTTGACCTATTCAAAAAAACTACCCGAGGGGACCAGCGCCTCCTTAATGATGCCATCCAGCTGTACCATGTTGCCCTCGCCACACTCCCGCCCACTCCCATAGCTTCTTCACTCCACAAAGTTATCGCGGCCACCGCTCAGATTGGCACTAGGCGAAGAGATGATGAGAATTCGGATGCGATTGAACGCCTTCGCTTTCGCATGGAATCGGTCGATGTCAACGATCCATTTCATTTTACGGGTTCTAGCTACCTTAGCCTTGTCGATATAGCCAAGCATATGACAGACCAAGGTCCGGATTCTATTTCCAGTGCCAAAATTTGGTACAGAAAATCCTTCAATGATACCATCAGTGGTGTATTATGCCGCTTACAGATAGCACTAGCGTGTGCTCGGATCGCCGAAAAGGTTGTGGGGGAGGATGAGTTCAGGTTGGAGGCATACGAGATGTCTCTCCAACTATTGCAATCGCATATATCTGCAACCCCCACCCTGACATGGGCGGTGGAGCATCTCTCGACTTCTCTTGCGGTCGATGCGGCAGCGACGGCACTGGGTATAAAACAAGTGAACAAAGCTGTAGAGTTGTTGGAGTGGGGGAGAGAGCTACTGTGGACATATATTGCGCGGTCTCGTACCAGCAAAAAAGACGAAGAGGAACAGGAACAGGAACAGGAGGAGAAAAAGAAAAAGGAACAGGGAAGGAGAAGGAGAAGGAGAAAGACCAAGAAGAGGATAGTAAAAAGATCTCGAAAGTGGAGCAGCTGAACTTGCTTGTGAGCGGTGTACTAGACACCTTGCAAGAGACTTCCAGCCTCAAAAGCGCCGTCGTGCCTAATGCGAAAGTACACGAAATACGGGAGGCGGAGGGTACACCACGCTCACATCCTCCAATATCTGATCTGCTGAAGGCAACGCAGGATGGCCCGGTGGTCATGCTTATCGCAAGCAGGCGGTCATGCGATGCCATCATCGTATCCAACGCGTACCCCAAGCCGCTTCATGTACAGCTGGAGATAACCTTCAGCTCTCTCGCAGAGTTGTCGACTACTTTTCAAGCTTGCACCTCTTCAGTACCAGAAGACCCTGACTCGGTAGAAGACGATCTGAAAGAGATACTTTGCCGCCTGTGGCATGATGTTGTGGTTCCGGTGATCGCTCAATTGAAAGAGAAAATTCCACCGGGGCGTAACTCTCGAATATGGTGGTGCCCCACTTCGGTTTTCTCCACCTTGCCGGTGCATGCCGCAGGGGATTACACTGTGGAAGGGGAACAATTACCACAGCAGTACGTTTCATCTTACACTTCCTCTATCTCGTCACTAGTTCGTGCTCGCAATTGCGCGGACCATCCTGTGCCATCTTCGAAGTTCGCTGCAATTTATCAAGCAAAACCACTTGAAAATGACGAAGGGAAGGAAGTTGAATACCCTGCGATCGAGTTCGCAGAAATGGAGCCTGAAATGGTGAAACGCAACTTACCCCCGTCATTCTTCTTCACAAGATTCCCCGATGCAACAAAGGAGGATGCTATCGAGGCCTTCAAAGACCATGGATGGTTCCATCTGGTAGCTTATGCTACACGGAATGCTTATCAACCATTTAATTCCTCCTTTTTGATGCGCGACGGCTTGCTGTCACTTCCCGACATCCCCCTGGCCTGCTCTGAGCCAAAGGAGTTTGCCTTCCTCTCTGCGAGACCGGTTGGACCACAGTTCAGATGGATGCAGAACGAGACTACCCAGTTTGCTGCTGGGTTGCAGTTTTCTGGATTCAAAAGCGTTATCGGAACAATAGGAAACTTGGATGATTCCAAGGCCTATGAAATCATCGACAAATTTTATAAGGCTATCTTTTGTACTGAGACCCTAGATTGTGCCCGGGCCGCGCGAGCGCTGCATGGTGCTCTGGAGGAAATGGCTAAGGGTGATTTGTCCTTCAGACAAAGAATCGCATTTGCACATTTTGGACTATAGCTAGTATAGGATTTGGAGGAAGATGAATACGGAACTTCACTGCAGCACAAAGTCTCTATCGCATTACGTATATCTCATGGAACCTTATGGGAGTAATCAAGTACAAATTACGCTTTTCAGAACGCTCACCAATTGAAGAGCATCTACAACGAAAGCACAACAGCAGTGAAGGATATCATCCATGACGGCGAAATATTCTTCGAACCTATTCATGCAAATATATTATAATAAGAGCAGTGATTCCGAATTCAAACTTACAGCAGCCCACAGTCTGGCCCAAGATGAACGTTTACGAGGGGTCATTGGTAACGATGACTCTGCGACAAGCTCAGAATCTGTAGTGTTCGCCCGTGACTTCGCACGAAAACAGTGAGGGGAAGAGGCACCGAGGAAAGCAGGAGATGCAAACCTGTGAACGCCGCCCAGCGGCACTTTGGTTGACTCTAATGATAACCGGTCCTCTCTCAAATGGTACACGAAATGGGGAAACCAGCCGCTGCCGCAAGGGCCTCCTGATCCCATTCCGCATCTGTGAGGGAGTCCCTCGGGACCCATTTGAGCCCATGCTCTGATAAATAAGTTTGTGATGCAGTTGTATTAGATAAAAACATGAACGAACATACATCGAAAAAACGAGGCAGAGGATCGTGGTCGGGCATTTCAGTGACATGGACCTACACACAATTGAGTCAATTTTGCGCAGAGTCTCGGGGGTTAGATCCTAACATCGTCAATGTCGCTGAACTTGCTCTAGCAAGAATGTGAGTGCAACATAAATTGTAATAATATTCTGGCACTTACGTCCTCCACGTCCCCCTTGTGAATCACTGAGGTGATTTTTCCGATGTTCCAAGTGTACAATTTACCCCTTTCAGTACAAGCAGCGAGAGTGTTTTCATCGTCAGAGAGCGCAACACCATTCGCCTCGTCATATTCAGAGAGCTCGAATGGGCCATCAAGGCGCTGGCGAGTCTTGAGATTCCAAAGGTATGCGTGGTCGATAGATGCAGTTGCAAACACGTGTGCTGATACTGCAATATAGTTGATCGTATGCGAATGTGCTCGTATCGCAGGGCATACTTCTTTTTGCTCGGTAATGCCCCATATTCGAACAGTATGGTCGACAGATCCGGAGATGACTTGACTCCCATCCTTCGTCCAAACAACTGAAGAGATAGACATCTCGTGGCCGCGCAGTGTTGCTTGCATATGCCCTTTGCGAGCATCCCAAATTTTGATTGTAGAGTCTTTTCCTCCAGTGGCGACACTCTCCCCATTTGGGGAGTAAGCGACAGCGTGAACAGCCGCCTGTTCGGTTGGGAGAGGTTCGAAAATAGGCTTTCCTGAATCAGCGTTGCAGATTACGAGAATACTGTCTTCTGAACAGGACGCAATGTGGTTTCCGTCTGGTGACCATGACACAGACCAGATTCTCTGTTTATGCAGCTTCCAGGGTCCAGCGAGATGCTTGCCGGACTCTGCATTCCAAAGCTGGAGAGCGCAGTCACGACCCCCGCTGACAACCTTTTGGCCATCATGAGAGACTGAGACAGCAGTAGCGCCCTTGTGGGACCAGCAGTATTCTTTTTCCTTTGTTCTGAACTTCCAAACAACGACAGTGTCGTCATCGGAGGCGCTCACCACCCGTTCGTTGTCGGGAAAGGGGGCAACACACCATGCCCGTCGCTCATGGCTGCCAAGAGTATTTCTATGGATTTGTCCTTTTTCAGGTGAACTGGAAGAGGGATTGCCATGAGAGGTTGCTGCGGCCATGATGTATTACTATAGCTGATGCAAGGAAAAGAGTGAGTGATACAGCACACATGGAAGTCCAGGTGCTACCTACCAACCGGAAGGAGATGGAGGCCATCGAGTACGAGATCTCGATGTGCGGCTTTCCTAAATATGCCATGAACAGTTGTTGCCTTCTGTGGGTTCATGTTTGTTAGCGGTGCATGTTGATCTTCGGCAGTGCAGAATGTCGGCCTGTCTACAGTGAGAACAAAGTTAATCGGTTTCCGAAGGTCTCATCCCAGTGCCATTTCGTGCTGTGCCCATACCGACTTCAAGCCGCCGACTGTCATCAAAGGCGCGACCGAACTTCTCGAAGCATCTACAGAGATACTATGACACTAGCTTCAGTACCTGCCGCACCTCCGGTTAAAGTCACAGCCTCGAAGCCGCGACCTGCAAAGTTTCTTTAGTTAAGTAAACTGACATGAAAGAAGCAAGGTACACTTACAGCGTGGATAACAGACGCTCATTTCATGCATTGCCACTCTACTTTGTGTCCAATGGAATCGCATCCATATCAATCGCTTAAAGAAAAATCTTCGACCATTGAAAGGATTTCCGGCATAAGCCCAAGGGAGCTGATAAGACTGGGGCATTTGAAAAGGTGAAGGCTCAGAATTTCACAGCAAGCGCTCAATTGTATGCTAGGCTCGAAGATAATTGAGAGAGATCTATCAATGCAGACGATCACATCTGAATCGGAATGAGTCAACAGCACTTGTCAGTGTGAGCCTGTGACGGTTGGTCACAGACTCACAACAGAGCCTGCTAAGAAAATTATCATGACCGTCTATCATGATTCAGTAGCGTAGCCAATCAAAATCGAGTTCTTGCCGAAGAGCATGAAGATTGTCATTTTCCAGCTGCATGTATCAGTAACTTTGACGATTGCCAAGTGCAATATACTATTAGCTTGATGTCCTGTCACAAGCTGCAAGGGCGGCGGCCCAACAACCACAGAACTATGTTTAAGCAACGAAGATGACAGACGTATTACGCTGTACTGTTATAACAAACGTTGAACCTACATGATCTATAGTCCTCCTAAACTACAAAAAAAGGGTCCTCAAACTCGCTTTGTAAATGTCAGCGGAACATCCCTGACGCCCATTGTAAGAGTCATTTTGGCTTGCATGACTCTTTCGCGCCATTCCTCTTTGGTTTCCTTTTCTCCAGTAGAGACATTGACGGACAGGAGAGGCTCGACGCGCCAGTCGCGTAGAAGCAGTACTAGGAAACAAACAGCCTCAGTCGTCGCGAATTTTTTGCCAAGGCAAGAGCGCGGCCCTGGAACCAGCATTGAGTGATATGAAAGAAACCGGTAGCATAGTACATACCAACGCTAAAACCAGTGTGATCTTCCCCGTCTGCAATATATGCATTGCCTGTGCTATTCGCATACCATCGTGAAGGTTTGAACTCTTCTGGGTCAGGGAAATATTGTGGGTTGTAATCTAGTCATCTTGTAGGTGAAAGAGGATCCAAGAACAAAATAGCTACACGTACGGACTCCAATCATGTCGACCACGGCCTATTTATCCACAGCATAAGATGAAGAACCATTTTCTAGGATACGAGTTGCAGCTTACATGTGTACCTTTCTTGACTGGCAACATCTTAGGTTCCTCGCCAATGCCTGAAAGATTGAGGACGGTGTCTTGCTTCGCCTCCCTTATGAGATATACACCAGCAGCTGGGAGGAGCTCAGTTTGAAACTGGTTAGAAGAAAAATCGCATACGGAACATTCGGATTCCTTCATAGAATGCTGCGAGAGCCTTGTCCAGTTTGCTATAATCGTCGAATGTCTAAAAATGCGATTAGATATATGTATCGGAAACGACTGGTTTCGAACAGGCTCACAATCTCGCTATTGTCGTGCCCCTTAGTGACCTCGTGAACTTGCTCGACTATCTCATCCTGAATAGATGGGTGTAATGACAAGAAACCAAGAGTAGCTGCCAGACTGTGTGATGTTGTCTCTGCGGAGAATTGATTGAAACCTCAGTATGATCAATGTGGCAAAACGCACCATGGCCAGCAAATAGCAATGCAAAAATATTCCCGATCTGTGATAACCATTAAGCAAAATGATCTCCAAATTACTGGAAAAGTGTACCAATTCCTCGTTGTCCAGACGTCTTTTGCCCTCATCATGTTCGCTCGCTCGAACAAACAACGAAAGGATATCTTTTGATGTGTCATCATCTGCGGAAGAGTTTATGGCTTCACGCCTCGCCTGGATGTGGGAATTCATGAATGCCCTCATGGTATCGAACGCTTGACGGGTCTGCCGAACCCTATGAATCGGAATGTCAATGGCACTCAAATCGAAGAATTGAAGCAAGAAGAACTACCATGGCAGCGGCAGTTTCCAAGCCCATTTTGGAGCTGCAATCGCAAAGGTATTTCTAAGCGTTATAATTTCCATACACTGCTGGATTGACATTTGTCCATCATGAGAAGGGGGTTCTCCCCAGGAAAACGGGAGACCGAAGCCGCAAGTAGCAATGATGATGAGGGTGAACTGCAAATACTTAGCCTCGAGGATGAACGCTGCACAAGGACACTTACCTTGGTTGTCAGTGATTGGATACGTGGAATGTTCATCGTCCCTTTCTCTGCCCACCCTTCGCAGTGGATCATGTCAGAATATACTTTATGTGTAGCATTCCAGACAAGTTGATAGCTGTGAGAATAGATTATAGTAGCCTTCTCCCGAAGCCACGCACAAGACGCACGTATCGTTATTAAACGCAGGTCCAGCGATTCTCCTGTGCTTCCTCCATTGATCCTGAGACGCTGCAATAACGATACTCGGACCCCAAAACCTGAGATTCATTAGAATGATGCAATAGTTTGACGGAGGGAGGTCAACTCACAGAAACGCGCGACCCATATCATCAGTCTTCGCAAATGCACCCGTCTTATGACCAACAGTCACGACCTGCTTGGTGACATCCATTGATCGTGTATATATTGTCGGTGCACCAGAGATAAAAGGTACCACCGAGACCGTGTCGCTGCCAAAGCGACGATAAACTAACGGCGGATGGTGAATACGCCAGATGTAGTGAGGATGTCGAGACTTACTGTTTCTAGTATGTCTCCACGTCCAGACGAAGATTACACCTAGTGGATTGCATTAGGCGATACTATCGGAGAGAAAATACATCATACCTGGGTTCCATGATGCTTCTGGTACAAGTACACCTAGCAAACTGAGAGGCTGAAATGGCACCCATAAGCCTGGAAGGTAATCCACTGCCTAAGCGAAGAGATTGATATCCTAGAAAATAATGAAGTCATAAGCTTCGCACCTTTAAACCCGACACGAACTTGAAAACCTTTGGGATCGTGAGTACCGCAACCAGCGCAGCTGTAGTAGTCGTCCAAGATAGATCTACACGACATATCAATTTCAACCCATATCCAGGTTTTCAAAAAATCCACCAACCCATTCCTGATAGTATGAAATTCGGAACACAGTATGTACGCGCGCCCAACGTATGCCGCGAAGGAAGCTTCGAATTGAGCTAGAACTTATTTGGCTCAGAAAACCGTCGAGACGACTCGTCAGTGTCGTCACTCGCGTGTGCTGTCGGACCGTGGCACCACATTTCACAAGGTGAACGCTGAAACACTGATAAATATCAACAAGCATGAGAGTACCCTCGGACTGAGTGAACACATCACAGTCTCCTAGTGATCGGGCGCCGATGGTGGACGAGGTTATTTCTGTGGCGGATATTGGACGGGTATGCAATAAATTGATAAAGAAAGAAAGTCAAATACGGAGCGCTTGCGGTTATCAATCATCTGCCGACCCTTCAGCTAGTAGTATCGCACTGCCTCAACGTTAGACAACAAGTACTGCTAGCAGCTACAAGGAGGGAACTTACTAGCCACCACCATCATCATGTCCGAAACTCCATGGCATACTGTGTGAGCATATCGCCCCCATCTTCCAGTCTCATTCAAAGCTGTACCATCATGATAGTACCATACGAGTCCCCTTTGCAAGCCCCAAACACGCGACGATAGCAATGCAAGTGATTGATGTGGATCCAGAGCTTCAGAGAGAGGCCGTCAAACGCACTTTAACAGTAGATGGCAATGATCTCGTCGCGTATGTATTCACGAGGTCTCGAACCTATCACACATGATATATAACGAAACACAGGTCATTCGCGACTTCGACTGTTCGACTGGCAAGGCTGACAACGAATGGCTTTCTGGAGAACGTAGACCTAGTAGCCCGAACTATTGGCGAGTTTGGAGAGGACTCGGAACGAAAACAAGTGATTTCCAAGTGATTATGTGGAAAACAATGGTTTGTGAGGGAGACAGAGTTCCCCTCAACGGTCTTCATGGTAATACAGAAAAAGTTCACCGATCGCCGAACTGCGGTCGTCTACTTTACAACGTAATTTTATTCGGCTTCCTATGCGTCATCCGCATTACTCTCAGCTTCCTTTGCCTTCTTCTTACTCTTTTTGCTCTCACGGAGGGACTTGGACAGCAGGCCTTTGAGTTCATCATCTTCCAACTCCTTCTCAGCCTTCACCAATTGCGGCTTGTACCACACCGGTGGGTGAGTCAGCAGCAGCGGGCCAGCAGGAACCAATGCGATTGTAAAGTGGAATGCTGCCACAAATGTGTTTGCAGGAGTGTACCTACAGCGATGTCATTAAGAGCGTTAGAAATTAGGGACGTGATCCACGTACACAACTTCATACGGCTTGATCAAGCCATGTTGCACGGCCTCTTGAAGACCAAGTCTTGCTCTCTTCTCATCCTCCAGTGCACGAACATTGAATGGGAAGGCACCAGCCTTTTTCTGCACTTCAGAGAACACGGCACGCGAGTTCTTCATCTTCAATTGATAAGTTACTGAGCTATCTTTTTGGTAGATAGTCGTCCGAGAATCCTCGATACGTGCCTGTCGAATGTTCAGCAATCAAGATTCATTTTGTTTGCAGTCAACATCAGACCTTGCCATCATCTCCTGAAGAAATAAGAATATCGATTCCATAAACTTCGTCTTCCGCGAATATGATCGACTCGGTATCGCGTCTTTGCGTTTCATTCGGATTGAGAATGATGCGCTTCTTGCCATCGATGACATTCTGCGACTGCTGACAAGAGAGCATGCCTGAATTCGTAGCATCAGATCCGACTTGCTCGCACTTGAGTGCGTTACAAAACTCACCTTCGACAGGCTTGCAATCCCAAGCCGCGGCAGTTTTCGCGACAGCATCGGTGACCATAAAGTTTTTGTTGCCGACCTTCACGAGCCTCATGGCGATCTCAGCTGCATGCCAAGCTGCCTTGATTACATCTGCTTTTCTGCCAGTCACGGGTTCTTGCTCAGATGCGCCGACGACAATGGTCTCGGCACTAATAGCAGCGAAACCGTCGATGTGTGCACCGATATGGACCTTCACTACATCGCCTTTAGCAAGGGCCTGGGCTGATAGGGGATCTGAACTATAACAGAGTGAGGTTTTAAAAGGGTGCACACGATGAAATATAAAATCCACGCACGCCAGGGGGGAGAAATGGGAGACAGTGTTGTTTACAGAAATTGATGTGGGGAATGCAAGACCTTTTGTTGAGAAGTCATAAACATCACATCGAAAACATAAAAGTGATCTGACTGCACCCTTGCTCATTTTAACACCTTTCACGGCTTTGTTGTAAACTCCACCAGTCCCCTCCTCGATGAACTTGTCACCCTCGATACAAAGATCGATGATCTTTGCGCCCTCGATGCAGAGTTCGATCAACTTCTTCATAACATCGTTTACGATGTCACCAGCAGTCTACACGACATCGCAGTCGTTCGATCAGACTCTGTGAACCAAGCACGGTGATCAACGCCCTCCATACCTTGTACTTGGTTACATCAGCTTCGCTGATCAGCCGTGGTTTTTCTGCAGGCTTTGGTGCGTCTGTAGTAGCCTCAGCCATGGTGTAGGATAAATGCAAGAATAGGAATAATCAAAAGAAGAAAGTGCACACGAGGATTAGATAGATTGACTTGCTGCAAGGCACCTTCAAGCTTGGTATTCCCGATATGGTATGTCTCTTTCCATCATCAACACCGGTCAACACTCCTGAGTCTACAACGCCTATTTGGCTCGTGACATGCATGCTAGAAGGTATGGAAGGTTCTTCGGTATACTAATACTGATGTGACTTCCCAAACACCAGCAGCATCAGACAAGTTCAACGATTCGTTCAAATTTCCGCTTGAGATGGAACTCCCCGAGTCCTGACGGTCTCGGACGTATTCGTAACTCAACACTTCACCAACGTAAGCATATCTGGAACATTTTTTGTCCACTCATAAAGCAATCTATACCTGAGTGCCAGCGTAGCTCTGTGACCACGTACCTACTGCGCCCAATTTACCGATTTTTCTCAAGCTGACTCAAATGGAATCTCATTCAGCAGTTTCCTGACATCTCACCAGGTAGTCAGTGTTCCTCAATATCCCAACCAATACACACATTACAGCGCTAGTGCAAATCTAGAACCTGCCGCGGCCGCTGTACCCGGCGTATTGTCTCTACCAGCACGGGTACCCGGGGATCCCTCTGAGTCTGCAGTGGGATAATTTGATGCGTTGAGGTATAATGTGGCCATGCGAGTGGTCGACAAATATTGCGCTACTGACGCGTCCATAGTCTCTCCTCGGCAGAGCCGGACGAAAAATAAACAAGGTACCTAACAAGAATGAGCTCATGGATGTTCAAGATTTATAGATCTGGTTGGCGGAAGGAGTGAACAAGCTGAAGTAATCCAAAATAGTAAGTCGAGTATGCGATATCCACACTGACCTATGTTTCCGAGCATTATGATTGAATGGTGTAATATTCAATTCAGGTCAGATCCATGCGACGGGCACCGGCAGGGGGAGACGCATGAGGTATTGGACTATAGTACGTATACTCTCTGCCAGCACTTACGATGAGGCTTCAGTCGCTCACGCACGCCACCATCCTCAGGGATGATTAGGCTGCTGCGTTTCGAGAAGATGGGATACCCCATATCACTGCCTCTCCACTGACATACCATATCTTGTACGAACAGTGCCACAATACTCACGCGGAGCGGTAATTCTTGACCCATGGAGATCTTGATTCTTGGAGATTATTAGTTGCACCTCAGTTTTATTAAGCCCCTTCTCTGACGGGTACCTCTAGCCAGGAGACTATCTTGTCACGTCTTTCTACCGGTGGGATATAAACAGGAGGAATGCCATGAGTGCTACCAAGTAATTAGTCACGAAATCTTTTCTAGTTATCATAAATCGATACTCTAAGTTACACTTGCTAATCCATCAAAGTTCAAAGAAGTGTACAGTTTTAAGACGAAGATATACCATACGTATCTCTATACTCCCTCATCGCCTGCAAACTCCTCTTCTCTTCCTCCGTTGTCTGCCCCTGCGCTTCCTTCTCCTCTAACCACTGTACTAGGTCCCGCATCTTCAAGACACTTCGTACCTTCCCCTTTCCTCCCAGCAAACTCTCCAGCTTCATCACCGAGCTGACCTTGCATCCCTGCTCGTCTATCTCGGAAAACTCCTCCCGATCAAGAAGCTGTACAACGCCCACCACTTCTCCGCCCTGCCGAGCCACAAGTTTTATCGCGGAGCTTGCTGCAAGACCAGTAGTCATCACGTCATCCACAATCACTACACGCCATTTCTCATTGCGACCTGACGGCCATCCGACAACACTGCCGCCTTCACCGTGATCTTTCGCCTCCTTCCGATCGTATGCAAATTTGACATCGCGGCCATACACGGATGCAAGTACGAGTGCGGTGCAAGCTGCGAGGGAAATGCCTTTGTAGGCAGGTCCAAAGAGAATATCAAAATCGGAAAAGGGGTTGACCATGGTATCATCATCAGAAGCCGCAGCGCAGAGAGTGGCAGCGTAAGCTTGTGCGACTGTGTGCAAAATGGTGCCATCGGACATGAGACCCGCGTTGAAGAAGTAAGGAGATTTACTGGTGTGTAAGTCCAGGATAAGTCGATGGAAACAATCATGTATGTCACTCACCGGCCAGATTTGAGCGTGAAGTTGCCGAATTTGAGAGCGCCGACTTGCGCAGCTTGCTCGAGGAGCCGTGTCTTGTAAGAATCGAGCGAAGACATCGTGGCACGTAACGGAGAGTGTCTAAGGAGTTCGTGAATCGCAGATAAGATAGTCTGTCCGCGTCCAAGTCTCTGGGTGTTATTTTGAAATTCAGAAATGTGTCACGTGAATAATTCATACCCAGTGCCGAACGCTGATCTTGCGCTGATTGAAAGTACGTGACTTGTTCTCGAACAAGTTACCTTGTGGAGCAAGGTCTATGAATGCGGCGTGACCCCCAGTGAAAACTGACTGTGACGGGAGGAGGTGTGGTGTGACGATAAGTGATTTTGTCAGCAGCTCAGTGGAAAAACATACGAGAACATGATATGACACGTAGTGAGCGAATCCGCACATTTCAATATATGCGGGGGCGGGTTTCCTCATGCACATAGGTGCTTTTTTCAATGTAAAACATATTTGCGCATTTGAACGCATATACTCGCTCCCTTACCAAATGGTCTAAAATGTGCGCAAATATGCTTGAATAATATCTCGCTCCCCTTGCCAGACGGTTGAAAATGTGCGCAAATATGCTCAAATAATATTAGGCACTGTAGCAACGGGGGTACAAAAGGTGGTACAAAAAAGCTCAAACACACAAATAGCGGCTTGAAAACATGACATGTGCGGACAGCGGCTCGAAAACACTCGAAAACATTGTAGGAAATGCATATGTTGGATGGTGCTGAATCTAATAAAGTCGTCCTTCGGAGACAGCTTTGGTCCATGTATCGGTAGCGACCTAGTAGATGATGATTTAGAAGGTCCATCGAGAGAATCAAGGACTTACGAGTGCAGCTGCTTCCTCGTGACTTCGGAGCAAGTTGGCGATTTACGAGTTCTGACCATCCTCCACACAGGGTCTTGCGAATAGCTTTGACTGTTGCTTCAGGGACCGGTTCTCCGTTTTCGCCTTCAAGGTAAGGAATTTTCCCGCGATGAAGCCCTTGTGCGCTAGCTCGTTCCGCCCAATCCAAGAATGCGTCCTGGTTCCAAAATTTGACCTTGGGATGTGTCTCACGAGTCGGCTGTTTGGTGTTACTGGTGCAGGGTGCTGCCAGTGATAGGTGCGTGCCTTTGGAGCCAAGAGACTCCACAGCTTCGTCAAGGCACACAGAGGAGGCGAGCTGGTGAAACATTGCCCTATCATTACATTAGAGAATGCACATGAAGTACATACAAAATCTTACTGTATAGTATCACGTTCAATGGAGAGTTTGGTGACTTGTGCTTCCAAGATTCCGCAACGCTCTCGCAAGGCTTGGTTTTCGTGCATATATGCGCCCTAAAACATACAGTAAGTTAATAGAAATAGTAGCAAATGACTCACCTGCTGAAACAAGCTGAATTGAGGCTGCGGGACTTGCACTGGGGGTGGTGAGAACGAATCTGCCTCGGGTGACGTCATATTTGCCAAGGAGGGTCCAGGAGAAGGCGTATAAGACCCTGAAAATGCACTGTTGTTCCAGAGGCTAGAGCCTCCCTCGCCAGCCATACTGAACATACTAGAACTGTAAGAATTATAAAGTCAGTGATAGGACAGACTGGCTCGATATAAAGTAAAAGCAAGACTGTCCGAGTCTGTATTCGATATTCTGTCTCCGCCAGAAAATACCGAATCGAGAAACTTGAAGTTCTCGGTCTTGACATGGTACCTTTCATTTCACGACTTACCACACATCGATGTCTTCCCCGACTATCATTAGCTCATCCAACATCACGATGCTCGGGGATATACATTGTGTGGCCTCCCGAAATTATATCTCGAGCACACACAGAGGCTGGAATTTTCTGCGCACTCGCTTGTAGTAGTAGGCATGTTTTCTATAGATTGAACATACACATGCGCCGAAGTGCGACGTTTCTGTAAATTGTAGACACGCAAAGTAAAGCAAGGAGAGGTTATGCAAAGAGAACAAAGGGAAACACGCGAAGTTAACACTTTACAATGCAATGTTGCAAGCACGACGTGTGCAAAGAGTCAGATTATGATAAACGAGCATATCCGAACATGTAACTAAAAAGGAAAATCATTTCTAAGCATGTGACGACTCCTCCCGTCACAGTCAGTTTTCACTGGGCGTGACCTGTGGTGGTAAACATCACAAAATATACACGTGATCATCGCGAACCGTCTGACACCAGACACACCAAAATGAATTAGACTGCGTTATTGCTGATTCTGCACAGAATTACATTATGGCGAATGAGATAATGGTACAAAGTATCTTCAAGAACGATCCTCCCGAACAATAATTACACTACTTTTTTAAAATCCATCCGGCAAACTCATTTCATCACTGGCCCTCACACATATACCATGCTATGAACGGCCCGAGGTTCGATAACAGCGCGAACAATTAACCTCGAGGTTGTTTCAACCACGCTGATGCAAAAGCACACAGCATATGCGAGGATGGTATGTGCTCCAATATCCAGAGCATACGAGAGCGCGAATGCGTCCAAATTGATTTATACCTGAAACCTGTCCAAGATATGAAAAAATGCATAGTGACAAAGACTACTCGCCTGAATATGAACCACGACTCCAATTGATCGTCTGACCTGCGATTCTACAAATGTAGCTGCTTGCCGTCATTTCTGTATGAAAGTCAACAGCCTGGCGCATTCCGCAATTAGATACGAGCAAATGACTAACTCAGATTATGTCATCACAACAGGTGTCATGGACTTCATTCACAGCGGACAATACGACGAACGAACGACATAACCATTATCAAAAATGCGGCAAAAGAGAACACAGAAAGTCCGTAAGTTAATTGTCAGACAAACAGCCCAAGCACCAATTTCTTAACTGACCACTCGAGGAATTTTGAGAGCAGCATCTCTCAACCGTTCTGCTAACAGAAGTGTATCTGCATACACCACTGTAGTATCTAAGTCGCGTGCCATTTTCTGAGCGATTCCTCAGTAATAAATTAGGGTAAAAGACGCCAACATATAACTAACTGACGTACGATTAAACTCTGCTGGATCTGCACATAACACTTGATCTGCAAGGATGGTAGGAGAGTCTGTATAAATCATTCGAGACCCGCTAGACTCAAAGGCTTCTTGGACAGCGGCCGCAGTCTGAATGAAGATATGAGGAGTGCCGCGAGATTGGTGTTCGACTGATGAGACATTCATCAACGATAAATAATGCACATAACGAATTAAACATACTAAATATAAAAGCACATTCGGCGTTGGAAGTCTTCAGCAATTCGAACACGCTAAGCTGCATCGTAGACCCCTTCGACACCCTTTGGAAGATCTTCGTATAGAAGACGAAAGAATGCGAGAACTGGTAGAAGACACCGAGAGACGTTTTAATGAAGGTGAATATGGACCCATATGAAAGTTTACAGCCTTTTGTATCATGCTCAGAATGTTGTGCGTCTGAACGGCGAGTAATCAAAGATATTTGGCCCTGTTGATATTGTGGGCAAGTCAAATTAAGCGAAAGAGCTCCGCAAGGTAAAAAGTCGGCAACGCCGACCCCTAGTCTCTAAAAGCATTGATCCTTGAAAACCCGCAATGCTGATCAAAATGCCGATACGGTTGCCCGAGGATATCAAGATAGGGAAGATAGCGGAAACCCTTTTCCATCGCGACGATATCAGCACCCCATATCTGATCATATTCCCCAGACCATTCATACCTTGAAGATGAAAGATTCGGCGGATGCCTCCGGTTTCATCAGGCAGCAGGCCTTTCTTCGCGAAAGACTCTTGGCCACGATTCTCTTTTTCTATTTGTTTTCAAAGAACTTGGCCATGGATGTGTACGCCGATGACGAAGCCGTCTTCTGTCTATTCTTGGGACTGCCAGCAACGCATGTGTGGCAACAATCTAAGTCAGGACTTGGCATACAGCGCATATCCTGGGATCACGATGCGTTCATGAGCATCATCATCTCCACATCTTTCTCGACGGAGTCCAACCCCCTCACACTACACACCTTTGAAAGCTGCGCTGCACGTATTATTCCCGAGGCATCGCGTCTTGTCGACATGCAAATTATCGCGTCCTCTTCCCATGCAGAATCCGAGCGTGCACACGCAGAAAGAGCTGCGATAGCAGAATTGAACACCGACCCTATCACCAGGCCACCAAAGCATATGTACAATGCAGGTGGCGTGTTTTGTACGACGCCTGGATGCGGGAGGGGAGACCATGCCCATGATCATTGTGATGCGAAAGGTGGCGGCATGGAAGGTCAAGCTCCATGGCAGCGCAAAAAGAAGAAGTTGACTGGTACCCACGCGGCAGTATTCGCCACATCAGTATCCGCTATGATCCCTGTATTTGCCACACCAGCGAACCCCGCGCTCTTCACTTTGATCTCTCATGCGTCTACAGGGTCCACCTTCTGGCCGCTTATTTCTCCCTCGCCACCCAATATCGTGACTCATGTTATCTCTACCATCCTGGACTGTAGCACCTTGCTCACGCTCATTAGAGCCTGTGAATTATTTGGTCGTATTCCGCCACCAATCCTGTCACTGTGCGCACGGCCAATGTCGGGTATCTATCTCTGGACGTGGTGATTGTGTAGCCTGGCTCGCTATCAACGGAAATCGCCATCATATTCGTCTGGCAAACTGTCTGCATGCTCCAGACACGATGGTCAATATTCTTTCGGTTGGGCGGATGATCACTAAGGGCTGGGGTTGTAGTTTTCGTTGCAATCCACCTCGCTGTGAGCTCGTGTATCGTGGAACTCCCGTTGGGGATACTCCCATGTCTGGGGCACTCTTCTCTGTCGATCTCACTTTCATTTGTCCTCAGCCTGAGTCTACCTCGCTCGCTCCACAGCGCGATGTCTTTTCCTTTGCGAATGTTGCTCGGAACCCCGAACTGTCGCTCGCTTGCATTGGAGGTGACACCGATAAGGATCCAGAGGAGCGCCGATCGGGCAACCCCCCACCCTATTAAAATCCAAGTCTTGCATCATGCCCACTAACGTATGAGGCATCGCAACTCGGCACGGAAACCGTTATTTCATATTCCTCACACGAACGTTCTCGACCGTCTCAAGCTTCTTGCCAGCCATAATCGGAAGCGTGGCATATGAAAGAAGGCATATGATTTCGTCGGAAAGAAACAATTGCAATTTTCATTTCTCGCATATTTTTTCAACCCTCACACGATTCAACTATTATACCTAAACTATCGATCCACGACACTGTCGATCTTGTCCAATGTTGTTACACTTCTTAATCTATTCCTTACAAGCTTCTCTGTACAGATACATAATAACGTATAGTTCACGGCGGTTTCTTGACAACCACACGTCCCAGGTGTGAGGTCGATTTCACAACATCACGATCGCGACAATCGACGATGATCGAATAGAACCCGGATCCGATCACTCATCAATACTGGTTTAGATGTAAAAGGCCCTGTATCGCTCTAATACATGGGAGCCATGGGAGAGCCGAAAATGCCTGATATGACATCAGTCCATTTATTGAAACATGCGAGATTGTGTATGATGAAGGGGTATATATATGAAGTCGTGTGTCATGACTCATGATTTAAAACATACAAAGCCACGAAGGCTCCGGCAATATTCCGCCGATTCATTTCGAGAAGAACACGCATCTTCCTGCGGCAGAGAATTACGCCAGAGGCGCCAATCTGGAGGTTTACCGACGGGCTCGCTCCACATCAATTCCGTTCGCATGCGTCCCCGTAAGCTGGTACGATCTGCCATATCGCTGTACGAACACAAACAAAATCAGTTACGTAGATTCGTTCATACAAAAGGCGAATGAATTACTTTTCCCAATTGATCCAATCGCGTTCAAAGTAATCGCGAAGCGGATTGGTAGGCGATGGGCGGAGGTCGGACCAAGCTGAGGTGGACTTCTGTTGTGTTGTTCGAACGACTACAGGCGTAGGATCTTCGCCGTACAATCTTTCGTAGGCACTCCAGATCGACTCTTTGCAACCCACGATTGTACGCACGGTTCGAGCTAGGTGCATGCATGCCCACGACGACATACTCTGCTGAGAACCCCCTGCCGTCATCACAGAAGCACGGGCGCTGTAATCGGCTTCACACGACGGTTGGGCTGACAAGGGTCGAAGCTCGAAAAGAATTGCAGGATCAAGCTGTATAGTCGATGTCGAATGTTGAGTCGTGAGCTGTTGTCTGTCCGAGGAGTTGCGTGGCAAGGGAATTTGCAAAGGGGGATGTGACCGAATGCTGGAGAATGATAACGAGAGATACAACGGTAAGACGGAAAGTGGCTGCGGTGACAAGAAATAGTTGTCTAGCATTTCCTCCCACGCACGCTGAAGCCGTGAGTGATCTTGAGGATCTGGGGGTTTTGGATGCCTAAGTTGGGCATCCAGCACGGAGGGTAGTGAGGTTGACGACGTTCCAGAGAATGTATCTAGGCTGGTATTTGTGTTATCTTTGGTTTTCAAGGACGAAACAGATTTGTCATGAGAGGTTGTAGTCACAACCGTATTCGAGCCCTGGGTAGAGCTACCAAAAGACTTTCCACTGCTGGGTGTCACATCGTGTGATCGCGTAGATTGGCAGGGAAATAGTAGGTCTTCTTCAATAACCTGAAAGTCCGTCAGGGTAGTTCCATACGTAATACAACCGAAGAACAGCTCCGCACCTCGAGTACACCGTGAGGTTTGAGGATGCGGGCGATCTCCTGATGTGAGTTGGGTAAAAGCAATTCAAAAGGTTTTACGACATGCGACAGACACCTCGCTTACCGCCAGAACTGATGGCCACTGTGGATGGGCCATTAGTAAGTTAGCAAGTTGACACCATAAACACTAACCTCATCTTCTGGGATGTGTAAACCCATTCGAACCATCCTCACGAAGTCAAATTGGCCGGTCAAAAATGGTAGCTGTTCTAGTCTGAAGAAGCGCATCAGATATGACGCGGATTATGAAATGTGCAAGGAACACGTTACAGATTGCCTTGAACCCATTTTAGCCGACGAGAAACAGACTTTTCGAGGACATTAGAGCGCGGTTGTGTGTGCTCGATGTCGAAGCCAACAACTGTGCTGCCCTACGCTCTCCTGTCAAAAAATACGGTGTGTTGTATGTATTCTCACCAACCTGCCAATGCTTGGCGGCTTCGATGGCCCAAAGACCGCGCCCACATCCGAGATCAAGAATTGTAGATGGAGGTCCGTCAAACTCATGAAGAGTCAAGCTCCGGCAACAGTTTGTTATGAACATATGATCCCAGTGATCACTGGGACATCATTGGTAAGAACGATGAAAGTCGAAGCTTGTTAAAAAAGAACTCACAAGTTCACGACGTCGTTTGTATATGTCAAGGGCGAAATAACCTCGTTGGGAAGCCGCCTACATTTTGGCAATGAAAGCAGCTCGATGTCGATGTTCGTATGTGGGCTATTGTTCATGGTGAAGGAAGAGGATGCATGGGCATGCGAGATCCCACTGATGGCCATGTGTGGGGTACTACAGATGGGCCAGTTTATATGTGGACTTGTGATGCAAATGCAAAAGTTAGCAGTGTAGCTTATATCGACACGAGAAATCGATCTACCTTAAAAAAAATTGGGGACTCAGGTGATGATGGCCGAGGAAGGCCGCATCTTTTCCAAGCACGTCATGAAGGTTGTACCACATTCGTAGACTTGCAGGGCCGCGAAGATAGGAAAGATGCCGTCGCTTGAGCTCGCTTGCAACATGATTCGTACTAGTACTTCCTAGTACTTCCCGTCGGTTTCTCATAATGAATGGGTCCGCAGTGGTGTCCGGTGTCCTAAACGTTATTTCTGGGGGACTCGACGGTAGTCTAATTGGGTTGATCACTGTAACACTGAACTTCACCTCGACTTCGATGAGCTCGCTACGTCTTATTAGCAGCGTTGTGTCCAAGCGACATTTAAAACTGTCACCCCTATTATGGCGCGCCTATGCAACGCCTGCAACTTTCAAACCCCAAGAAAAAGACCCTCAGCTTGGCGATTACCCTGACCTTCCATGGATTTCAAACCAGGAACTTCCTGCTAGAGGCTGGTGGGATCAACAAATGCGACGGAACTTCGGTGACCCGGTCAGCACATTACCCATTTACCGGCGCGTAATCGCGTCTCAGACTTTACCTTTTTTCAGATACAAGAATACGACGAAGTTCTATCCATGTGGGGCCCTGATACTCCTCCAGTTCCTCCGCATAAGGCTTTATTCCAGCTTTCTCTCGCCATCTCGGCGTTCGTTGGCTTCGGTTTCCTGTGCAAGTACACGCTCGTTCCAGAGAGACCAACCGTACCCCGGGAATACCCGTACTCCGGTCTTGTACGTGAACTTGGCGGACTTGAAGAAAACAAGGTGGGCCTGCCCCCACGTGTGCACTCAATGGGTTAATTTGACCCTTGTTCTAGGCTAGAGAAGAGACTGAAGAGATCGACGAGTAATATTGCGGTGTACCTAGACCTCGCGTTTCTTATCTGGGAGAATGTTGCTCTCACGCGTTTTGCTATCTTTGCACGATGAGTCTGCCAGTTCGCCACCGTTCACTCCGCCAAATAACGCACATTCAGAACTTCGGCTCTCAGGAAGTACATGTGCTCTGATGGTAGTTATGTATATGTTGCTTAAGCTAAGAACCCTCGGACTCTGCCGCAAGCATGGTGTATCTGTCAGATATTCGGGACCCTTTTACCACTGGTCTTGCCCGTGGCGGAGACGGGGTTTTGATGTTTCTGTGGCAGAAAGACCGTCATCAATCACATTGCCAACATACTCATCCCCGCTTTCAGACTCGGATTCCTGAACTGTCTTGGGGACGAGCCTCGCGCTCTGGCATCGCGGCTCTTGCCTCTACGGCCAGTTCTTGTCCCCTGTCTTTTTTGTTGTGCCACCATGGGACTGGATTTCGTTCGGCCTTAGCGCCTGTTTTCCTCTTTTTGTTGGCGGGCTCCTTCCCGTCTCGGGTACAAGGCCATCTGCCTCATCAGATATTGGTGTACTTATATTCCATTTTGCCTGCGATCTCGGAAATCCGTAACCACTTGCTGAAGACGCTTACTTGCATATGCTTGTCGTTTCCGTGGAGCATATGATCCGCTACCGGGCGCAACATCAAAGAAGCTGTTTAGGTTGCCTTGCCGATTTATAGCTGCGACCTAGCAAACATATTGAATTAATCGTACACCCAAACATTGACATGCCACGTGGCTTGGTCCGTACCTGGCTCCGCTTATTCATTTTCTGAATGATTGGTAGAAGTGTTTCATCGACTTTGGCTTGGTTCCAGCGTAGCTCTTCGTGAAAAAAGCTGCGGAGCCCTGTGAGCATTTTTTTCAAGTACCGGAGGCGGTCATTACGCACTGTCGGAGGGCGTCGAGGTCGGGCATACCCCATTTAAACGGCTCATCTGATGAATCCACCGTCGGATGATAGTAAGCATCCCTCTACGGCACAGAGATCACCTCTCCATTGTAGCCAATAAAACGGCAGCCACTCACCACTGACGCATTAGGCCACTCCAGGGGCAGGTATAAGTTTTTGAACTTCTTTTTCTAGATCAAGAGATAAGCTCATATAAGCTAGCATCAAAAATTTCAGCAAGGCACATACGAAACGCTTCCGGAATTTGGTTAGTATTGTCCTCTGCTCGGTCCCGCCCACTTTGGACTTTTGTCCACCAGTCCTTGAACTTATGAAGGCCGTCCTCGCCCGGAAACTCTTTCAGCAGTTCCATGGCCATTACAGGGCCAACACCAGGAAGCCCTTCGACATAGTCGCTTCCGAGCAGGTACGCCAGACGGATGAGTGTATCGCGTTCCAGTCCAAGCTCGCGCGACAGATCGGAGGAAAGAAAACATTCCACAGTCTTAGATTGATTAAACATATTCTTGAAGACGCGCATGCCTCCGAAAAGGAAAACGTCCGAGTCGTCCGTTATGATGCCCTCGACCAAGCCTAGCGACACTAATTCTGCGCACTGTGCTTCGGCTTCCATCGGTGCAGTTATGTATGGAATCCCGAAGAGACGCAGCAAGAGCTTGAACCCGATGGTGAGCTCAAATGAATAATACTACCTTCAGCACGGCACACATACCATAATTTGTGAGATCATTTGTTGAGTGATATCCTCTGAATCACGCATCGCTGCCTTCTTCTGTTGATTCAATGTCCGAATCTCTTCGTCGATCTCATGTCTGACGGCATCCAAATCTTTGCCCTTGACTTGCGAGATAAACCGGGCAAATTCGCCTTCTTCAGCATGTGGATCCATTTCCTCGGCGGCATCCCACGTTTCCGCAGCAGCAGACGCTCTTTGATCGGTACTCTCTGAAGCAGTACCGAGCACAGGAGACGGAGCCCGTGACCATTCGACATCAGATTCATCGTCGCTCTCAGGTATCTGAGCCTCGGGCGTGACCACACTAGGGGTTGAAGGCTGTGGCGGACGTTCTAGTGACTTCAGTAGCTGAAAAGATGCAGGGAACGTTGACTGCTGTTCTTTCGTCGCATCCTCCGGTGCTGAGATTGCCGTAGGTACAGAACTCTCGGGTATATTATGAACGTGACTGGCATCAATGACTGGGACTTCTTCCATGTCGTCATCCGAATCTTGTGCAGCCCCCTGTAAAACTTTGGGAGATTGTGGCGTCTCGACATGGGCGTTGCTAACAACGGGCGATGGCTTTCTGTGTGGTACCTCAACTGCCTGTCTAGGCGATACTTCATCCATGCTTTCTTCTGATTCTGACAAGGATGATTGGTCGATGGGACGCAATGCTGTCTTCGGTGAAATCAACAAAGCCACCTTCCCAAACGCAGATTGCGATGGAAGTTCATGCAAAGCTCCAGACAACCTTGGCACCGGACCAGCCCCCGCGATCGAAAGTGCGGTCTCCAACCGAGAAGGGGACGTGTATAAATCATCATCAGAATCATGGTGTCGAAGGGCAGATTTTGACTGAGGAGTTGCAGGAGGACTAGGTTTAGAAGGTTCTGAAGTGACTGAACGAAGGTCAAATTTCGCCATGTCCCTACTCTGGAAAGACGTACTGTAATTTGCAGTATGATCTTCTAGTGAAGCCTGGATGGCAAGAGCAAGCTCAGGATCCCCGATGTGATCAAATTCGTCCAAAGGTCTGTATATGTCCTCGTCGTCATCCGGCTCAAATAAAGGCTTCGATTTGATTCGCCTCTGGACAGGTTTTGGCACGCATGGCTGCAAGCGTTTGCCTATCGCGTGCAATGCCATGCTTGCCTGGAACTCCCGAAGATCGGGGTCAGGGGTTGCATTCTCTGGTCTAACAACACAATGAACGGATGATCGATGATAACGAAGGATTCCGGTAGCGTACATACTGACTTCCTCCATCTCCATGTCATCATCGCTGTCGCTTTGAATCGTGGGTTTGTCTTGATCAATCTCAATTGGTTTTGACCGCGTGCCGTCGTCTCGGATGCCCAAGACCCATCCGCCATCTGCCCCTTCGTTCTTGACAAGGACATACTCTCTATTTCGTTCATTGGCAATTCGAACGGGAATGGTGATGTGGGCTTTACCGATGCTGTCGGTAGTCGTCAAGAGCTGTTGGGTCAGAGCATTTCGTTGCTTGAGATTCTTGATCTGTTCTCGAGAGAAGTCCAGAGGAGTCTCTGCCTTCCGTAGCATGTTCTGTAGGCGCTTGTACGATGTCTGACGTGACTTCAACCGAAGGTCACCAACAATTTCATACTGAACTTCTGTGGGCAGCTCTCGGAATGCCGGAGAGGAGACATCAAAGTCCTCTGGACGCATCTCTTCTATGAATGTCCGGAGCTCTTCCTCTGTGGCGAGGCGCGGGTCTGGAGCCTGTGAACTAGTAGCCTTTGCCACGCGCTCCTCGAGATTCACTGCTGGAAGCCTGTAAGGATCATGATCATAAAAGCGAGCTTTCCTTTTTGACGAAGGAGGTGTTTCTTCTGCCTTCTTCTTTGCCGGTGTCTTCGGTGCAGAATCATCAATGTCCTCAAGGTAGACCACATTCTCATCCAGGACCACGGGTCCCGGGGGCACTTTCTGCTTGCCCTTTGACGGTGAAGGGCTGGCTCATATATATAAGCATTTGCACATTCGTTCAGGATACGATATGTCGCATACTGTGACATTTGAGTATGTGCCAAAGCCTCCCGTCTCATGTGGGCTGCCAGCAGCCTCTCCGCAATCCTGGCGTGAGTTGCAGCGGCACCACTCTTCTTTTTCTTACGCTCGATCTATACCGTTCGGTCAGCATTGCGGTGAGCATAAAGAAAGAGTGTCTTACAATCGTGTTTCTTTTCAGCGCAGGAGCTCCTCCATCAAACACAAAGACTGGGCGAATCCCGTAGAATAATAGCTTGCAGATACGTCGGAAGAAACCAAGCACATGTGCGTTAACCAATGCACGTCCATCCTTGTCGCGCATAGTAGCTTGAAATTGGTAGATCCAAATACTAGAATCAATGGCGAGAGCTTTCCCTTCGATGGTCTCGAGCCTGACACGATTCCAACGTTTATTAAGCATGTTAGAATCCCGGAAATCATAGTATGCGTACGGTACTGGGCGGCCCACTGGAGACAAGAGATCCCATAGTGACTTTACACCCATCTGTCAACCTTCTCAGAAAGTGAGTGTGGGCGTAGTGACGTAGAAACTTCGACACCAAGTAATGAGCCGTTGGAGGTTGGTGACAAACTGACACTGGTCACTGACTCGGACAAGACTTCTGATCCGAGACGTGGGCCGAATATTGCATCCGCTCAAATTTCGCACAGTTCACCAAACCTAGTGTTGACAGAAACACCTGATACTACCGTAACAATTTCGTCAGAGACCCAGATATAACTATGCAGAAGATAATTTGATATGACCAAGTCCATGAAGAGTGGAGCTATGAAGCATGATGATAAACTAGGCAAAAGGCATTTTATGGTCGTAAACTTCATAAAAAAGCGTGACTCAATTAACTGTCCTTGCACGCCTGACCGAGAAGGAGAAATGCCTAAACGAGGAGTGTAGAAATAAGGGACTGCTGATCAACTTTTCGGGCTGTCGCGAGCATCGACGGGGCGTGGTCCGGCGGGCGATCCTTGACCAGCCGAGCTATTCCGGGACGAACTGTGACCAGTGCGCTGACCCTGAGCGAGCAAGGCGGGAGGACGAAGATCTTCGATATTAGCTGGAGAATACCTTGCGTCGAACGCCGAACCACCTGTCATTTGCATGCCCATGCCTCCCATACCTCCCATGCCACCACCCGCCATACCACCGCCTCCCATCCCCATCCCCATACCTCCGCCCATATGATTCATGCCCAAGGGGTTGCCCATCATCGGCACGCCCATCATCGACATCCGAGGATCGTAGCCCATTCCACCGCCGGTCATCATGGGATTCATGGGCATGGGTTGCATGCCATCGCCGACATGTGACCCGGCAGTGGAATATGCCATCATAGCTTGTTGGTAAGCGGCTTGTGCTGCCTGCTGCGCAAAGAACTGCGGATTTCCAAATCCTGGCATCATACCCGGATAACCCATATATCCACCCGTCATCATGGGGTTGGCGCCGCCGTTCATCATGGGGTTGGCACCAGCCATCATCGGATTCCCACCAGTCATCATCGGGTTCATGCCCATCATCATAGGATTGGCCATCATCGGGTTGCCCATCATGTTCGGGTACTGCTGGCCACCTCCATACATGCCCTGCATCTCCAGTTGATTGCGCTGGAAGTCATCAATCTTGCGTTGACGATCTTCAGCCATCCTTTTTTCGCGCTCACGCTCCGTCAGGGCAGCACCGACGCCACCTTCGCGTTTACGCTCGCGTTCATGAGCAGTGATGGCACCCAAGAGACCCGTCTGAGGCGGTGGTGGTTTATTAGGAACGTTGATGAGCGAGGCACCAGTTTCCCGCGCAAGCTCTTCCTGTCTCTTGGCAGACCGATCCTGCTTGTCCTGCATCCCAGCAGATAGCAGACCATGAGGGGTGAAAGCTTTCGTCATAGAATGAGAAGCAGGTTCCAACTGGATGAAAGGGTCTCGTTGATGTGAGGGAGTTTCAGGTTGGGGATAGGAACCAGGCGTACGACCAGGATCGAGAACCTGTGTCCAAATGCTCTGACGAGCGGCAGTGTGCTGGTTAAAGTCCGCTTGTGGACGAAGAACTTGAGAAGTATATTCAGACTGTGGACGCAGGTGAGGGGCATCATCTGGTGTTCGCATGTGCTGATCAGATGCGAGTCGCCGAGGTGGTGGTATGGCGTTCATGTAGTCATCTGGCACACCGCATATAGATCGTCAGCTCAGAAAATTCAATGAAGAGATGTATGCTGACCTTGTGTCAGCGGCCTCGGAACAGGTGGTAAATTACGAGGATGTCGTAACTGCGCGTAGGGATTCGCGTCCGTTGCTTGTTCTCCAGGCGTCACAGCACGCCCTGCACTACCGGGACGCAGAGGTCTGGTGGCCGGAATCGGTGCAGGCGTGACAGGACCCGGCTTCTTACTCTCCAAAGTCGAAGGGCGTTCCTCGTCAGAATCAGCATCCTCCTCATCCTCCTCATCCTCTTCCTCCTCCTCTTCTTCGTCGCTACTCTCATTCCACCCAGCGAGCCTGTTACCAGGTGTGACACGCTTCCCGTTCGCTCTCCCAGGCTTGTGAAGCACCGCCTGATGCTGTGCCTGTGCACGCGCCTTTCGCTGTGCAGCCTGCTTGGACGGCGCAAACGAGGACCTGTACTGCGTAACGCCCTCCGAGCTCTCAGACGCAGCGCTACCCTCGACAGTAGGCTCTGACGACACGTCTTGTTCCATCGGTGGGGGAGGCGGCTGGGATGTAGTTGCAGGCGGGGGTGCGACATCGGATGCACCATCGAGGAAAGACAACGCAGCAAGTGCATCTACGTTAACGTCGTCACCGCTGCTCTGCTTTTGGATGATCTTCTGCTGCGAATCCATGGCCTGAACGTGAGCGTGCTCTAAAGAAGTTGAGGGAACTAAGGTGGCTTCCACATTTGGGCCTCGGCTAGAAGGTTGGACACGTGCACCGGACGGCTTACGGCCGAGAGAAGAGCGCGAGCCAATCACGCTAGGTTCGCTAATGTTAGCTTCCGTCCTTCCCAACTCTGAGAATGACATCGGCGTTCCCCGACACGCTGGTGATGAGCGCAACGGGTTGTCAGACACTGAACCCTCTTCAGAATTTGAGGCTTCAGAAATGGTGGTTGGGGCACGCCGCGGCGGGTTTTTTGGCTTTTCGTCAAATTGTTGCATGAAGAAGAGAGCGTCTGAAAAGATACTTTGAGTGTCTTGTGCTGGGGGCTGTGTGGGGACGGCAGGAACCGTTGCTACAGAAACAGGCACCCGCGGTGCTGGGATTGGTGACTGGGCCTTGGGAGGTAAGGGCGGTGAGTCTGCATTATGCAGCTGCGGGTGAGGCGGAGACAGTGCTCGAGGCGGCAGCTGTAAAATATCTTGTACATCTTGAATAGAAGGTAACTCTTTATCCTTTCCTTTGGGAGAGTAGGGCGATGTGAGATATGAAAGGGGCGAGGCAGGAGGAGGAGTTCTCGAAGTCGATGATCTGATGGGTACGGGTGCAACAAGAGCCGACAACGACATTCCTGGCAAAGTAGGCCTACCGCTTCCCGAACTGGGACTTGTCGAGCCCGTAGAAAATGTAGGTGACCCAGGAGACTCGGGCGTAAGAGGAAGTTTGAACCCGCCAACATCTACACTCGCAGCTGTTGACGGCTCTGTGCTCCTCGTTTGTGCAGTCTCCAAGCTCGGCGTAAGCTTTGAGTTAGAACGCGAGGTAGGAGGAGGGCTTCCGGTCGGCGGGAAACCTGTCATCGACCCAGGTACGTTCTCTAGGACCGGGTTCAACGAAGAAAGCGGAGAAAGCATCTGCGACTGGCTATGCTCGGACATGGAACGCGACATGAAGTCCTGATGCCCGTTGCTCATCGACTGCCCCATCGAATCTGGCTTCTCACTCGACATCGAACTGCTGATCATCATAGACTCAGACCCGTGGTGCTCATTCGACATCGAGCGGCTTTGGCTATGAGGGAAATCTGGAAGCGTTTCACGCGTTGCGCTCCGTTCTGTAATAGGGGAGAGAGCGTGACCGACAGAGAGGTCTGGTGGCGAGCGCAAGTCGAAATTGATCGTAGGGAGCTGGGGGGCGTGAACAAGCTGACTATTCTGTGTCTGTGATCGGGGCTGAGCAACATTTTGTGATGGCTGTTGCTGTTGTGGGCGATTTGGATCAGCAACGGGTGGCAGGGGGGGCGGTGCGGACGCGGCACGCCGTTCGGGCATGCGCGAGTGCAGGATATTTAGGAGACGATTGCGAATGGCGGAGGTACGGTCGTCACGTGGGTCCATAGATTCCGCAACTTCACGATCAAGGAACAGGAGCTATCGTCCAATAAATCAGTCAACCTGTGCTGAAAAGCAACTTACACTTACGTCTCTCCCAGGATTGACTGGATAAGCAAACATCAGTGAAACTGGGTCACGAGGGTCCCAGGTGTACACTTTCGGACGTCCGTATAGCTCAAAGGCGTCATGAAGCGCTGAATAAAGGGTGAATCGTCATTTTCTGCGCGGCTGAAATGGTCTACTCACCAACAAGCCACTTGAGCATCTCGGATGCTTGCGTATTCCCTGCCTCGAGCTCAGGCATAATAAGCAACCACCCCTCCCTTCGTTTCATTGTGCCTGCCATTTCCTCGTCACCAATCAGACCCTCAAGTTTCATGAGCGTGCTGCGGTTGATCAACTCTGGGCGCTCTGGGTACACCGCAAACGCCTGTGAAACCTCCTTAAGCGTGAGAAGTGGGTGCTTCTTGTCCTTTGGCCTAGGGGATGCGTAAAGTGCAAGCAAAGGCTTCATGGGTAGAGGTTCAGGAGAGTGATCCCGCGAGAAGAGATTTGACATCCGTTTCTTGGGAGTGGGTACGGTGCCAATGGTAGTAGACGGAGCTCCAGGATCGGTAGATGAAGTTTGCGACCCAGAGATAACCATCCACATGCGTTTCCAGTCTGTCTGTCCAGCAACGCGTATGAGTACCCACCCTTCCATGCGACCACGGACGAGGGTTGTGCGGGTATCTTTGCCTGAGAGAAATGACGTCAGTGTCGAACATACTCCAGTGAGAGAGCTGACCTTCAAGCAATGTTATGCGTATCAAATGAGCAGTATACATTTCTTCGAGACGAGACTTTTCCCAAGCAGATAATCGTAGAGCTGTTGCCCATGACTCCAATGCTGGTATCGACGGACAGCTGAATAGAAGTAAATTGGAGCCTGCTGTGTTGAGAGTGAGGACGTTCGTATATGTCTTCCGTGGTTGATCTGGACTCTCGGCGGGGCCAGTTACTGAACCTAGTACGTGAACGAACTACAGCCAGAGTCATTACCACTAGCATAGAAAGAGGACGGAATAAACTCACGGCATCTGTAATATTCACATACGTAGGAGGCACCTCGAGGCCCTTCTTGTTGGCTTCTTCGATCTCCTTCATGTCCCATATGCTCAACGTTGTGCCGCTAAGCTGAGCCCAAACATCAACCCATCCATCATCTTTGGGACGTTGGCCATCCGGCTGGCGCTGTACGCGTTTTACAAGCGGGCCGCTGAAGTAGACCTTCCGGGCATGCGCGACAGTGAGCTGAACAATGGAGCGTATTTCAGGATGAAGAGGGGGGACAGAGGTAGAATCCCTGCGGGCTGCTAAAGCCGTGTCGGGCTCTTGGACATCCTGCTTCTCTGGCGAGGAGCGCATTGGACCCATTGTTTGAGCGCGCTGTTGGTTGTTTTGCGGTGCAAAGTCGCGGTCTTGCGCGCCGGTGCTTGGGCGTCGGTTAGATTGCTGCTGGTGATCTGCACTCACGTCGCTTGATTGCTGCAACTGTTTTCGAAAAGAAAAGAACGATGAAGTGCGAATGTGCGACATTGTATTAGCGGCTGATTGTTGTTGAGCAGGTCTCGAAACCAACTGGTCCTCCTGTTGAGTTGTTAATGTTACTACTCCGGCGCTAGGGTTGCTGTTGTCGCCTGGTAGACTTGTTGCAGGCTGTCGTGCGTGAAACTCGTGTAGATCGGTTCCTCTGCCTGGACTAGCTTGTCTGAGCTGTTGTAGTTCGGCGGGAGAAATAAAGCCACGATGACGGTTATCCCACTGGGGACTACTTGAGCCTGAGCCCATAGATAGTGCCATAAACCGTCAAAGTGCTCTCCTTAGAATACAGGTCGATCTCAAAAGGTTACAATAGACGCTAACCCACGAATATTTAAAACTAGACCTTCTCTGATTCGAACAATAATACATGGGGAAACCTGCCTGCTTTGATTGGGAGGCGTATCGCTTTAAATTTATAAGTGCACGTGCTCTGAGCATAGCCTTGAAAACCACAACGTTTCTCAAAACATACTGTAATCATCGTGACGATGACCCGGCCTAATCGTGACGACGACATGGGGTGATAATCGTCCGTACGAGGCACAAGAACTTGATCAAATCGTCAAGATCAAGTTGGCAAGCCTATCTTCTATATGACAATGAAAAGAAGGAACCCCCGTTTTCCAGAAGGACAGATAGGCTCTCGTAACCATTCCATGTCTGGTCTCCATCATCTACGGTCCCATGTGACTGTATATAATGTCCCACTGAATAGAACTGACCTCCTCGAATAGTGCAAGAGCTTACTTATTCCGAGGATACAATCGCGAGGTGCTAAAGTATAAATGAAAGTCGCATTCATATCTTTATGACGAGAGAAGACGTACGTTCGTCATGAGCACACGATAATAACCGATATGGTCAATATAGTGCCTCGACGGCGACTTGCAAAGAGCTATCAATGACAATTGGGCCCGTGAATCGCCGAACGGATTAGTCTTGGTATTAAAGATCGATAGCATAACGGTGACCCATCGTTGAAAATTGCGAACATATCAGAATCTAGCGGGATGTTGCGACTCGAAGATCCGGGAGGTGGTAGCCAGTCGTAGTCTTGGAGGGTTTCACTTGTGCGTTCCTATTCGGCTGTGAGCTGCAGCTCGGCTACCTGGTCCGTGCAACAGGCTGCCGCCGCCCTGCGAGTTGACTTGTGGTCTTCATCCTCAGGAACCCCATGGTCCGGCCATACAACATAAATCAGATGGATAAATACCACAGCATCCAGCGGATTTGTCCAAGCGATAGGAATGTCACTTTCAGTACAGATGCATCGCTTGTCGGACCTGATAATATCGATTGGCCAGGGGTGGAGGGAAAATATACATGAGCTTTCTGTCGTTAGAGTGGGGTGGTGCAGGCGGGTGTTTGCCACCATTTGCATAGCTTTGTTATTGGGGGCAAAACCTTCGGGCGTTGTTGTGTAGCGCTCATCTTTAGGTTGAGGCCATACCAGCTTCCGTCCGAGGCACATTGCCATCCGCCGCCAGACCACCGTCCTCTCTTCATATTTTGCGTGAGCTGAACGACAGTCCACAAACGACTTGAAGGATGTATAGGGAGAATTGGAGGTTGGCTAGAGGAGTAGAATTTGGTTCTGTGATGACACTGAGGAACACACGTGCGAGGAAGAGGTACTTGGGTAGTAGCAATCCATAACTTCCCGCCATACAGCTCTCGTACGGGTCAGCTTGCATGGAAATATCTTCCCTTGCTACACTCCTCTCCGATGTTGCAGTGATTGCGCTTCCGCAGATCGCGAGTCTGATTATATGGTTCAATAGTTAGAATACCGATCAACAACTATATTGTCTGGGTGATGAGGTATCATGATAGAGTGGTATGCATTGATATTTCCAAGTACAGAAGTTAATGCGGCCTGCCCGCGCGGAAGAGGCGACGTAGAACGTGGTTCTGCTATGAGAGATTGAGTTTGCATATGATCGCGAGCATATTCGCGTTGAACCAGACAGTGTGGAGCAAACAGTCTCGGGTATAAACTGTGAACCATCGCTAACGTCGTCGAGTGCTCTGGAAAGCCATGGAGAGCAGGTATCCATCGAAAAAGGATCATGAAGGCGAAGAGCGTGAGAAAAGACTGCAAGTCGAACCACTTGAGACTCAGGCTCCTTCCCATCGCTGTGGAGAGAGAGAGAGAGGCAGTCTTCTACTAGTACAACCCTTGAAGCTTGAGCTTGAACCCATGCATATGTGTATCTCACGTGCTAGTGATAAATTCATACTCAGCTACAACTTTAATTCTCTCTCTCTCTCCACAGCGGCTGGCAGAAAACACTTGTAAACAATCGCCAGCCACAGCGGCAGACCACGCCGTGCTCAGCGGACTTCCAAAATCACTCAAGACATTCGATATTTGATTCTCGCTAATTTCTAGGGTTACCTCTTCCGAAAATGGACACCTATCGACAGCTACTTGATGTTTTGCGGAGACATCAGTCTGTGTTCGAGAGGTTCGAAAACTCGCCAAGGTCGATAACGGATGGCAATTCAGCGCGCTGCATGCAAAGGCGGAGCAAATCGAGTGCTTCCGCATCGAGGAGATGACAACGGAAATCGAGGCAGAGGCACCTGTACTGTGGGGACTATTCGATGCTGTTTTATCTGCGGGTCGTGTGAGGACAACAACGAGTACAGAGAGACAGGATGTGTCCAAGGAATGGGAGGCAGAGGAATCTGAGTATTGGTGTCAAGTGGATGATCTTGAAGGTGTCATAGAAGGAATTACCGGAAATCATGTATCGCGAGCAGAACGGCTTGTCTTTCGTCGAGACGCAGTAATAAAACTGGTATGACATATGTCATACCTCCCTTGATCTGTACCTGAGATGAAATTTGTTAGCGCAAAGTGGTGATTGTCTCGCTCCTAAAGTGTCAATCAGAAAGCCAACGCACTGTCCAGTATGCTTGGAATATTTCTACATTCGACGCATGCTCCCGAGAAAGTGATTGAGACAATGTCAAGGATGGGTCTCTCGATATCCGTTGATGCTATACACGATGCAATTTGTGCACTGTCAGCGGAATCCTGTCGCGCGCTGCAATACCTGGGCGCGAGACTTCAGAACCAGAATAGATGATCCACGCGTACCATAACCTAAAAATTCCACGATGTAAACCTGAGGAATTTCTTAGGTATTTCTATCAAATATTCCATTTGTTTCACAGTCTGCTGAGCACGGCGTGGTCTGCCGCTGTGGCTGGCAATTGTTTACAAGTGTTTTCTGCCAGCCGCTGTGGGGAGAGAGAGGATTAAAGTTGTAGCTGAGTATGAATTTAACACTAGCACGTAAAATACACATATGCATGGGTTGTACCAGAAGACCACCTCTCTCTCTCGACACAGCGGTGGGAAGGAGCCTGCTTGAGATTCTCATTTTGAGTCTGAGCATGTCATATTGTTTTGAAGCGCAGCTGCCAGCCTAACGAACAACTAATGATAACGTTAACGGTGCCGGCGCCAGCTCCCTACTCAAATTACACGCGAACTCGTATCAGACGACGCTTGCTCAAAGGTTCGACAGGGACCCATGGTGGCCGGCCGGCCATCAAAAATCTGCTATCTATAGACGGACCTCGGGCCAGCTTGGTCTCAAATCTGTAGTATCTTCGGACAGACATATGTAGGAGCTTCCGGGGGCCTCTTCTTGCCCTTATGTTCTATCATGCGCGAGGCATTCTCTATCTCGATCTATTTCAATTCGCCCTATCTCTCGTACCGCCATGATTGCGCGGCAGAATGACGAGGAGACACTCCTTCTGCAACGACCACAGCAGCCAACGACTAGGACACCTCTGCCCTGGGATCAATTATGGATCATACTGTTCTCACAGCTGTCAGATCCTCTTTCTTCTAAGACCCTTGTCCCGTTTATTCCCAGTGAGTATATTCCCTTTGCTTGGACTTGAATCTGAGCACAATCAGAACTCTGTCAAGCTCATCAGAGACATCGGAGTGACTGGCGGAGACGAATTATAGGTTGGTCGCTATGTCGGCATCCTTGTAAGCTTATTCCTGCCTCTTCGTTCCTTCCTGATGTACTCCGAAGCAATCATCATACTATGCAGCTAATGCGCTGACTGTTTTTCATTGGAGTTAACTGTCCGGCCACGTCGGGCGGAAGCCTGTAATACTAACAGCTCTATTAGCAATTTCGGTTTCGATGTTTTCGTTTGGGCTGTCGAAGACCTTCCTTGGTCTGGTGCTTAGGTCAGCATGTTGAATACCAAATAGTAGTTGTGATTGTCGATTACTGATACTCTTGACCAGTCGTGCTGTCTGCGGAGCATTTAATGGGAGCAATAGTGTCATCAAGAGCGTGGTGATGGACATCGCTGACGTGACCAATATGCCCAAGGCATACAGTTATATGCCAATTCCGTGGATGATCGCAGCCATAGCTGGGTAGACATACAGTACATCTACTTTCTTACTCTCGCACTGAGGTTCATGGGATCTAGACCACTCATTGGGGGATCGTTCTCCCGACCGGCAGACAGATTCCCTGACATCTTTGGGCGGTCAGAACTCCTGAAAACCTACCCATATATCCTGCCATGCTTCTATTTCGATGATTTTTGTATCAGCAGCTTCGCTAGTCACGTATTTCCGTCTTAAAGAGGTGTGTGTGATGTTGAAAACTTATATCTGGATCACACTAAGTGTGGTAACAAGAGCGTTTCTACTAGGATACCGCCTTGGGAGTTAATCAAAAGAGGGTTTTTGGGACAGTCATACGCAAATCCTCGCCAGCCATCGAGCAATGTGCTAGTTAATCCTGGGGAAGCGAATCATGGAGAAGTCCAATCAAAGCCGTTTCCGCTGCGCGCCTTGCTAACCCCGAAAGTTTCGACCGCAACAGCAAGTTATGCCACCACGGGCCTGTTTCACATCGCGTTTAATTCGGTCGTACCTGTTTTCTATGCTACACCAATTGAACTTGGTGGCCTTTCCCTTGACCCTCCTCGCATCGGCGCTATACTTGCGGCATCAGGTGTCGTGCACGGCATATTTCAGCTTGTTTTCTACGCTCGTTTACATGACCACTTCGGTGCAAGAGCTATCCAAATCACTGGCATTAGTTCCGGCATACCAATCGTCATTTTATTTCCAGTGATCAATGCTCTGGCTCGAGCCCATGGGATAGGTTTGGCTGTGTGGCTGTGTGTTGCCATCCAGCTTGCGCTGACGACTAGCCTGACCTGTGCTTCCGTATGTCAACTCAGCACTTCGTGCGTTCCGCTGAACTGAGAAGAACCCATAGCCTGCTTAGCATTATTCATCAGAGCAGCCACTCCAAATCGTGCCTCGCTCGGAGCAACCAATGGAATCGCCCAGATGTTTGACGCAGGAGCCAAAATCATTGGTCCAGCGTCTGCAGCTTCAGTCCTTCTCTTATTCAATGGAGGAAGGGCATGATGCGTAGTTGGTATACTACTTCTTGACGGCAGTTGCATTTCTCGCAGTAGGCGCTTCTCTATTGCTTCCCCGAGATCCCAGTGTATGGGAAGATCACCAATAAAATTATCTCGAACGACCGCATGTTATCTGTTTACGGCCATGTTAATGCCAATGCATCTTCTGGGTATAAAAAATGCAGTAGTCAAGCAGAGATCTTTCCTTATTCGTAACTCAACAATGAAGATATATTCCTTCCTGGGAGCTCTCTGAGCGCTTTCAAGGAAAGCAATTGTGAAGATGGAGACGTGAATGGTATATAACTCGTCGTGTTCCTCCAACGCTATCATGATATCAATCCCGACTAATCCGCGACTGCAGCTCTCCCAAGTGATATCCCCAGTGATCGAGAATCTTATCGTATTTTCTGGGTACTCGTTATTGCAAACATGAACATATCAGTGTACCGTCGTTTGCCACGTAGACGTTGCACGAGCGTAGGCAACGTGCAAAGGGGTGTCCCTCAGTTGATTGGATTGGTAGATGGAGCGCGACTTATTATATCTTGAGTTCCCTCGTCTTGCATCCAATTGTGGATTCGCCTAGCACATTTCGCACAAAACAAGGTTCGGTACTCAGTAGGAAGACACCACGACCTTCTTCATGTTGGGGTCGTATCTGCAGGCTGGAATAATGCGGAATAGAGTAAAAAAGTAGGGCGAGCCGCTATTCATTTAAATCCAAATCGCAATCCATCTTGACTCTCTTGAAAACGCTAAGTTTACAGGGGGGAGGGCTGGGGAGCGGAGCCCCTGAAGTGGAATCAAGATTGAAACGTTGACTACCCTTTTCAACCACTAACGCTAGCGATATCCGCTGACGTAATCCACCAGAGTTATTCTCTGGTACCATGTCAAGGAACGGCTCGAGCCTCGGATCTTCTGCTGTCATTTGGTTTCTACTAGGCTCTCTTTGTAACGAAAGGACACTGCACACCCCACTTGTATGACACAGGTCCCCGCCGGATAGTCTTTTCACTTGGCAATGTGATGCAAGACGGATATCACCGTGACGGGTTCGGCACCAATCCAGTGGCAGAAATATTTCAATTAACTTGTCTACAGGGCCCCATCCGCTCGTTGATAATCAATTGGAATGATGTATATGAAGAATCGGAGAACTTCAGTGAAAACGGTGATGAGGATAAAATATGGTGCGTATTCACATTACTTCTATTGTATTCATTCTGGCGCCTAGGTCTGGCAACACTGTGATGAAGTGAGATGGTCAAGTGGGGTTAAACAACATGCACCTCCGGGCCCCGATATGCCAGTCCTTGAAGTCGGAAGCGGGAACAGTACACTGTTGTTCGCACCTGCGAATGCACGTGGAGAAGCGTGCTATCCAGCTCCTGGACTCTTAGGAATTGATTATAGAGAAGGAGCCCAGCTCGCTCAATAGGTGGTTCGCTCTCGAAATCTCGCGACCATTATGTTCAGCTAGTGTTATTTTTTTACATGAGGACCCATCATTGCTCGAGCGCTCGCAGATGCATCAGAAAGCTGCCCAGAACGAAGCTTTGGATCTTATCCTTGATATAGGCACATCCAATGCCATTGCGCTGGTGGAAATGGAAGAATTCCAGTTGAAGGTTTCCCGATGATTGCGTATCGAGAAGCTCTTAAATCCAGGCGCGCATTTGTTAATCATATGCGCGTGCATAGCGTCACGGTGACTTGGCTGGCAAAATTGATAAACTTTAACAAGGACCCTTTGTCCCGGCTTGTAACTTTACCACCGTTGATCATGGATACCCTCCCAAAAAATCTCGTATAGAGCACCCAATCATTTCATTCGGCAAGAGCACCGACAGTGCATGATCTATCTCTGTCCGCAGTTGAGCGGATTTCTTGACATTCGTTGTTGACGTTAATAATTAACAGACGGCGATCATTGGTACCCAGTGCAACATGGATGCGTCAGTGTGCTTTCCCTTAATGCCGATGCGTATCTCATTGACTCTACTTAGCACAGTGACACACAAGCAGGCCGCTCTGAACGCCATCGCTTATCTTACGAAGATTGGTTACGGCGAGTCGTGCGTCGCAAAATGAACCATCCACTACTAATCAACGAGTGTGACCGTAGCCCGTGAGCAAGCGTGTAAGTGTGTGCTCTGTAAAAGGGAAAAGGCGCTCATTTTCACCCAGGCCCTTCGATGTCTGCTGCGCCAGTGGAAAGTCATATTGGTGCAATTGTGTTAAGTCAAGTCTAATTTGAGTTCCTCGATAGTTTTATTTAAATTTTTCCGAGGACTCTCCAAATGCCTGTGTGACTCTCGCTCTCCCCTTGGGGATCTTTGACCATGTGAGCTCGTTGTAATGCATGTAGCCGATTTAGCCAAATGATGTGTAACAGGTCATTTTACCTCAGGATGAAGGTTCAAAGAAGCTGGAATTTGGGCAATGTGCTGTGCGCAGCGACGGCGTACTCCTCTAGATGATAGCCAAGACCACGAGACCTGCATGACATGAACCAGTCAACGACGATGTACTACGATTGATGTTATGGATGAGCGCACATTTTGTACAGTACTACGCGGAGGGTTTCTTACCCCTGCCCCGAAATAACAACAATTTAAGAAATCTGACATACACCTGTTCCCCCTCTTCTTAGACAGCAAGTCGCCGCAAACAAACCAAACTACTGTTCTATGAAACCGAGACCGCAAGCAGTGGTCACATACCACACTGTGATCCCCCTTTCCTAGTTAGTAGTGTCCTACATAGGGTATTTCACCCCAAAGGGACAGAAATTAGATATTTTATATATATAAAAAACACCCGTGAACTGGGTTTCATACCATCGCACACCAGTCCATCATTCTTTCCTGCGCGATCCCCAGTGGTCGACCACCTCACATAATACCCATCTCCCACCCGCATGTGCCCGAGTCGATGTCAGCAAGGCCTTTGGGTTCTTACAATGTGACTGTAACGAGGGTCCGCAGGAAGCGGCAGAAATGTAACGTTGCTAACGGGGTCGTGGTGCGTATTTTGACGGTTGTGATGGTATGCGTCATAATCGCCTTGCCGTTAAGCAAGGTGAAGTTTGGTAGTGAGTCGACAGTGCAATTGAACTGCATGGTCACTGCGGGGCCCGGAGTCAGCACATGGTTGCTGGTGTTCGAGATCTTGCACATAAATGTCAATAGAGGCGAAGCAGGTACGAGACACCACCTACAGTCCAAAAGACGCGGGTATCAACGCTTGGTCTTGTTATATATAGACATCATGATGGTCAATGATAGTCGTAGTCTCGTGAGCATAGAAGTTCGCCTGTAAGCTGTGACTCAGCTGCCTGCAGTCGATCCTGGTCCGTGCAACAGCCTGTCACTGTCAGTAGCATCGCGCTCTTTTGTGGGCAACTAGGGACGTTATTAAAATGACGATCCCCTTCAAGTTTGTTGAATATTTTGAAGTTGTTGTTTGATGGTTGTTGATTGGCTTACATTCTACATGTGATTGGCCGTGCCGCAACACCGACAGTCTATAGACTCGTCTGTACATGCCAGGCGTCAAAGGAGGGTCATGGCTGACGCTCATCGAGAAATTCAACCAGCGCATTATATCGCTGATTCGAAACAATGGCTTCCAGGTCCAAGTCAAGATAGAGCAGAACACATGCCCAGCTTCATCCGTGTTGTATCATGGAATATTGATTGCATGAGGCCAGAACCAGACCTTCGCCTAGACGCTGCTCTCTCCTATATCCAATACCAGGTCTTCAAGTGCAGGACAAATCGTAGACGTCCTGAACCATGCTCTATCCTTCTCCAAGGTGTCCTAGCCACTGCATTCGATACCATACTCAACAACAAATGGGTCCAGAATTTCTTCGTCGTCATTCCTTCGACTACCAACGCCTGGCCTAAGCTCGCAAAGTATGGCTCAGTCACCCTCCTCTCTCGTTCCATCCGCATCACACAGTCAACTTCTATTCATTTCAGCTGCTCTGAGTCGCAGCACCATGCTATTTTCGTAGACATCAAGCTAAGCGGTCTCCTTGACACAGCCCAAGCTCCTCCATCGTCCGAGTCTGTCGTCGCCTTACGGATTGCTAACACCCACCTTGACCCATTACCCGACGGCGCCCCAATCAGGGAGAAGCAACTCAAACTCGTCGCCGATGCTCTAATGCAGGATGGGCTGTTTGGAGGAGTCGTCGGAGGCGACTTTAACGCCATTTCACCCAACGACTCCGCACTGGTTGAATCTGTTGGCTTGTGGGATGCATGGAGCGGCGACGATGAAGGAGGCTTCACTTGGGGGTATCAACCTCGTTCTCCGCTTACACCGGGAAGACTAGATAAATTGGTCTATACGCCTCGTCCAGGTTTCTTCATAGATACCCCAAAGAAGATAGCTGTTGGGAAGAAATACGGGAAGCTGACGCGGAGGAGGTGGATCAGCGACCATTACGCTCTGCTCACCAAGGTCCAATGCGTATATTTCGCATCCGACGCTTCAGATGTAAGTTCAGTATTCTCGATGCTGGCATGTTCTAGTTATCATGAGACGTTTAGTATGATCCATCGGACCACGGGCATGTGCAACAAGGACTGAGAGAGCAAAGGAATATCGAAACATGCTCGCTTGATGTGAGCTCGCACTTCTTCTATCCTAACCTGCTTCTGACTGTTCTGTGACTAGCACCCACTCGTGTCTCATTCACCACCCCGTAGTAAATATATTATTCCACTCCATCCTGGTACCAATCCTCGGTCCAGACGGAAGCCCTGGAAACGCTTGTTGCGCATGAAGTCATCAAGGTAAGGCATACACTCACGTTGCAGAAATGGTGATCATTGACAGATATAGCCCGAGTGTAGAACAACATTCTGACGATACGAGGACCCATTGAAAGGAAGGACCATTTCTAAGTACATACCTGTTCGTGTCCTCCCTTCCTGCATTCATTTTCGTCAAATTACTAATGAATCTTCAGACCCGCGCATACTCGCGCACATCACACATATACACTGCTTTCTAGCTGGACCTCACAACTAACAATTTATCATGATTTACTGTAGAATATTTTGTATACTATTACTCTGACTTGGATTTATCTTATCATGTCTCTTGTGTTGATTCAAAGTCCGATGATCGTCTTTTACCAGCATCACCGATGCAGGACAGTTGACCGCAAGCTTGAGGCAGGGAGCAAAGTCCTGAGATCCAATAGCAATACTACTCCCCACCTCCAGCGCATCTCCATGTCAAGTCCCGCTACCTCCCCACGCCCCGCAGAACGGCAAGACATCCACAAATCATGCCAAACGCTCGAGACAGTCATAAACATGCTTAATGACTACTGCCAAGCTGCGGGGGCTATTGTCGCATTACAGCGGAAGCTCTCAAAAGCCCTCAAAGAAGCTGCCGCCCTCAAAACCACTAATGAGATCGCAGGTAAGTCTACCTTCTCAAATCCAAGTATCGGGCCTTCTCACGAAACGGCAGGCAACGCTTTGAACGTTAGCGCAAGCATATTCGACGTTGTTTCTGATGTCGATGCTAAGTTTGCAAAGATAGCTGATAATGAATATGGCAGTATCAGTTCAGAGTTGAAAAAATGGTTCAAGAAGCTTGCAGTACGTTTTACGTTCCTCACTCCACCCTACCCTCACTCGCTCACTGACGACTGAAGAAAGAAGAGAAAGCTCATGACGAACGTATGAATGATTCGAATGTTCGTATCAAGCAAGCTGGTACGTCACATCATGTTGTCGCTTGCTCTGGCTTGCGTTGTCTCAACGGTTCCTGTAAGGTCAGGCATACGAGAAGAAAGCTAAGAAGAGCGCACGCGATGTTGGGGAAGAACACGCTCGTTATGTTAATCTGCTCAGTATTCTTGGTCCTGAGATGTCCCAGGAGAAATAGTACGTTGCACGTATATCTGTTGCAGCGCTTTAGTTTTGACTGTGTATTCGACAGTAATCATGCACTGCTTGTGACGCAACAGCACACATCAACTACATATAGCGTAGCAGCATGCCTCTCAAGGGTTGCGGACGCAGAATGGGCGCGAACATGTGAAAGCATCCGTCGATTCTCCCCGTCTATTGGGCCGCTCGGCGAATGGCGAGCTCTCTGTGAAGGCGCATGGGCAGGTCCCTTACCGGATGACCTACGAGACATATCACTCACACCTGCTCAAGTTCCACTTTCAACCCGGGGCGTAACAGAATGGGGTCAAAACATCCCGCCTGGCAAACACGAATACCAAACTTCGCTTCCCCTTCCCTCCCAAACCAATCCCGCCGACCTCGAACGCCCCCACCCGCCATTCAGCTTCAACGAGCAGAATCAGAACCAGGGCTCCATCAGCTCCATCACGACTCTCAGCGCGTTCCCTTTCCCCCCGACGCATTTCCCTATTCCTTTAGCTGCCAACGAAGCAGAGCTGCAGCGCCAGAGAACGCAAATGCAGAGTTTACAAGTTCTCCAACCAACTCAACAACAAATCTTACTACCGAAATCTCCACAACCGATCGAGAATACGCTTTCTGATACGCATATGCTCGTTGATTTCACGTTGCATTCTGCGTCTCAGGGACAGACTACGCTTTCATCTTCGCAGTATGGATACTCTAATGATCAGTTTGAGGCGAGAATGGCACAGGAAATAGCTGGGCCGGGCATATCGACTGGTGGCGAGAAGAAGGTCCTAGAACAGACGCAGTCCCAGTCCCGCGAGGAAGTAAGGTTCCGTCGACCATCCCTAATCGCACGAGCGACTTCAAGCGAGAAAACACTTGGCAGTAAGCAACCAGAACACACTCCTCCTTCAGAGCGCGAGTTCGGTGCTTCAGCAGAGAGCCGCAGCGCACTCAAAAGCCGGAGTTTCGATGCTGCCAAGAAAACGCTTGAGCGCACTGATAGTTCTGTGAGCCATGGGAGCATCGTTGCTGCTATGCGTAATCGTTATAGTCGTACAGTGAGTAGATGGTAATTCAAATTTTTGATGCGCCGGGCTAATTTTTGTTTGCATCGAGGTCGAGCCTTTGCCTCTGGTGCCGAAAGATGTACCACGCTTATCGATGAGCGTTTCAGATCTTGCTTCTAGGTATCAGCCTATAGATGAACCCACGACTCCTCGACGTTCACCGACCGTCGATAGGCAGGCGGTCAATCAAGATCCTCCTGCTTCCCAAGCTACCCGTGACAGCCCTTTCGGCGAGGACGATATTCGAGGGCGGAGACAGCACATCGAACAGCTCACGGAACTAGAGAGGGAGAAAGAATACGAGCTCCAACAGCGCGAACGAGAACTCGACCAGAAAACGCGCGATTTTGAGCTCGATCGAATGCATTTTCTTGATGCACGAGGCGACCTTATCAGTACGAGTCACACGCCCAAAAGGCCTCATGCGACACCATTCCAGCACAAACGCGGCTCACAAAGCACTTCACACCTCGTCCCTCCACAGGATTCGACTTCACCGCAACGGGGTTCTCAATCTCCATCGCGCTCACAGCCGTCTTCTCCTCTACCTGCAAAAGGCCACGCGCCATTTTGCGGTTGCGATACGTGTTCTGTCATTAAATACAAAACGCCAGAGTTTTCACCCTCTCCTCACGATCTACGTCCTCCCGAGCCTCCTATTCTCTTACGCCCTGAGAAGCCCATGGGCTGGATACGGAGACTGAGCATGCCTGCTGTGGGTGCGGGACTCTCGTTGGACGCGAAGAAAAACGTGAGCGCTACGAGTCTGAAGTTTGGGTTGTCGTCTGCGGTTGATAATGGGAGACGGAGGAAGCGTAGTTTTGATCAGGGGATCAGTAATCGGAGCGTTGGGGTGGTGCGGAGGTAGTGTGATATGTGCTTTAAATCGTTCCGTTTTGTCTTCTCCCTTTTGGATACATGCAGTTGATAGATCTTCCGTTATGGCTTATTTACGGCTCATGCACGCTGAATCATGATCTGATTACCGCGAATATCGCGCTTGCTTGGACTAAAACGAATGAGCCAACAATGGAACTGAGTCACGAAACCAGGTCGGGGCTTTGGATGTCTGTACTACTGAACTTAGAACTAAAGAGATGTTCACAAATTTAAGATCTTCAAGGGTGAAATTTGTTCACTGCAACAACTGAGCACCCAGCAACGAACTACTTGCGTCTCATGTGGTTAAACCACATGACACGCAAGCAGAAACACGTCTCACTGTCGCTCAGCGCTGAGCGCTCATCGGGCGTCAGACACAAATATGCGACCTGCCACTACCACGCCAGTGAGTCACGGGGTTAGACGAAAACTACTCATACTCACAGTTACAGGGTTAGATATTAACTGGCAGGTATAGCCAGGGCAGCAATCTCCTAAGGAGCAGAAGGAGTAAAAACATTGATCCCCAGTGATAGGCATAGACATTGTCGACCTGAAAGTAGCAACAACGGCGAGGGTGAAGGAGAGACGCATTCTTTGTGAGGTGTGGGCTTTCAAAAAAATAAAGCTGAAGGAGACGGCAAGAATGCGGCAGCCTGCTTGCTTTTAAATGTTCCCTGTCCACCTGCCAAAACACCCCCGTGAACAGATAACATTCGCATTGCCAGCAGGTTGCCAACAGACCTCAGGATTGACTTGCTCTGTCTCGACACTCTCTTGGCATAGGAAAGGCTGGCAATGTGTAATTATAACCTGTTGTCGCATACGGCCTACGATAGGTGACACGATTGGAGTCCTGCAGTTGGAGCCAGGCTCAGACCCGGGACTCGTGAATACTGAGAAAAATTCAGAGTCTCATCATGCATGGGGGAAGCTGGATACAAGGATATCAGCACATGGTCGGCAAAATAGGTCAATAATTATACGCATCTTTGTCCAACAATATAAATGAGCTCAACTCTAGGTACTGTTTTCGTATCGCCGTAGGACTTATCGGTTACTCCCGCCGTGTTACTACTAACCCGCGATGGCCCCCCGGGCATACGTTTCCTTTTTTCGTCTGCCCACTTGCCAATGTTTGCTGAAAATGATTTTGTTACACCAAATTGATCAAGCTACCGCTCTTACATGTCTTTGCTTGTTATCAATCACGTTCTGCATCAGGCCGCAACCAACATATTTCCTTGTCACTTCCCTGCACGCATTCGTGACCTCCAAGGAACCATACCATGACTAGCATGCGTCGACGTCCCTGAGATAGTGATCCCGGTGTCAATGTTCCAGCGGAGCATCTGATCATCCACTATCGTCCGCGTGGCATGCAGGCAATGCGTGCTCTTCTTGCACTCATGTCTCCCCAATTGGAAAGGGTTTGCGTACAATTTGAAGGTTGAACCCGTGCTCTGTGTATTTCATCAGTGCTTTAACGTGCCAGGAGTTTGTTTTATCTTCGATATGGAGGGAAGTCCATTCGGGGTATTTGCTGACGATGCTTTCTGCATGCAGTTCATTGAAGCAGATCATGGACATGATCAGATGAGGACACATAAGATTAGGTAGCATCACAGGTAACAACGAATTACACATAGGCAAACACTCAAAAGAACTTGCACGCCCACCTTCTGCAAGCTCACAATCTGAGTGACACTGGCGATTAGAGGAAGAACCGGAGACAAAGAGAAGAACAGTCCATGCTGACAAACCTTATGATAGTCCAAATGAGGTTGTCCGACTCGGACCGGCAATCAAGTGGAAGCCGTCATGATCGTACTCACAGGAGATTTTTTTGCTAGACCTGTACCCTAGAAGAGGGTACAGGAATATTCTTCTAGGGCACGGGAACCCTCTTCTAGCCTGAGCTAGATAGCGCACAGGAATCACTGGTAGCGCGTAACGTATCTACCACTGTACCGCGAGGTGAGCACTCAAGACTGGTCACCAGCCCGTCTATAAGGCAAGCTGTCGATAGCATAAACGGGCTGATCACCAGTCTAGGTGAGCATACCCACTTGCCTACCACCCTACTAACAGATTTCTTGCGCATGAATCGTACACATTCTCACTAGAGCGTACGTTCCCGGTCCCATTTTCATGCGCTTACTCGTTCTGGCAGGTCATCCCGTTGGAAGCTGTATCCTTATCAGCGATAGTCAGACAAATATTTATGTAGCGCCGCTAGGCTACAGAGATTCGAGTCTAATCAGATTTGCACCTCATTGCTCGACCTTAACGCAAAAATTTCGTATTACCATAGGGAAGACTAGGCCAGATCAGGGACTCTACTCTACATTGGCGGTGCCACATCGCTCACTGCTCTGCTTCCTCTTGTTCTACTTGACAAGTATATGAGAACGGGATTACGACCCTCGGTTCTCCGCACTGAATCACCACCCTGTGGTTCCCCGTCTTCCGAGTCGCGGGATTCCCCATTGCTAATATATCCTCCTGGATATTCGTGGACATTCAGGTATCTGATGTCTTTATGGAATATGGCGCGCGATCTGCGATCTGAACGGGTTCTCCGAATCGGAGCACCGAACGGAGGCCAACGGCAGCGTGCTGTACAGTACTGGTACTGTATGTTCAATGTCTTATAAGTAGTGACCCAAAGTGAGGTCGACTTGTTGGCATAAATCAGCATGAATGCTTTTCAAGCGACTCAAGTTGATATGTTCTTGAGGTTGGGTGTGAGTGCAAGTCCTACTATTAAGTGTATCCTGTATCACTGATCCTGTCGTCCCAGTATCCTTATGGTGCGGCTATGGTCCATGATCACATTTCATTGATTTGTTTATTTGTCTCCTCGTGGTAGTTGCACTAATGGCGCTGTGGGTGAGCGTAAACATTACTATAACCTTTGGTGGCCGAGACTCATGCTTTCACTCGAACATTTAGTTATATGACTACATACTGTCCATACCCGACGCAGGTAAGTAGAGATCTTCTTGAGCATCCCAAGGTATACTGATCTGTAGTCGGTGTAGGTCGAGTTTATCATCGAGTCTCAATGGGGGCTCGGCATGTTTCTATATGTAGCTTCCAGTCACTTGCCCTTTGTCTGCGTGTCACTGAATGTGCTCGGTGAGTGTCTGGTACTCATTCCAATTTCCCCTCCCTCATGGTGTGATGACTTTCAGTGATTTTTCAGCCTGATGCCCCACTCCCTGTATGTGAAATTTGGAGCATTGCGAACGTTTGAAGTTGACCCATACCGATCAAAGCTTTGCCGCTCTTATGAGATCGCCAATACTTGTGAGTCTGGTGAAGCTTCCCCCAGACACGTACTGACTACGTGCCATAATTAATCAGATATAGAGCTACTATCAATGTTCTTTGATGAATGTGGGTCCGGCAATTGGATTACCTAGCAATAATTCTGCGCTCTGATATTATTGCACTGGTTCAGGTATTTTCGCACTCAGAGCATTTGCAGTATGGGAACGGGAGAGGTGGCCCGCTATATTCGCAATCGTCAACATCATTGTGAGTCCAGTATACGGAGGTTACAACCAACTCCAGACAGAAATGTCTAACTCATCTTGTGCAGGCCTATTTAGTACCAATTATCATTTGCTTTAAAGAATTTGATTCGTCAGTCTCTGGTGTGTATAACTTCAAGTTGGACTTTGTGTCTGTTTAGCTCCCGACCTCTGAAATACAGGGGAATGTTGGATTCCTGGCGTTTTCGGATATCTGGGTACGAAATTGAGGTCAAAAGTATATGTGGTTTACGGCTTGCTGGCTGTTGTTGAGCTACGTTCGTATTGTGAGCTGCTGCTAACACGAGCTTGAACTTATTGCATGCACACAATTCCAGAAATATTGTTTCTTCTGCTCTATCGCGCCGTCAAGGGTCATGGTGGTTGGAAGACTGACAACCGTCTCATGCGCGGTCTCTTGCAACATAATCTGCTGTATTTCAGCTCCAGCTTTGGTTGGTTCTCGCATATTACCAAGTACCTCTTGCATATTTACTTGCTGGGTGCTACAGCTTTTACTCTCGGTGTTGTTCTCACGGCAATCTTTCTTCCGGTGAGTTAATGTATATATTCGAAGCCACTCCATTGACGCGAGGCGTAGTTTCCATTTGCACACGTCGTGGCAGAGTTTGTCTACTCTCAATTTGTAGGCGATGATTACTTATTCGACAGTAGCTCCCAGGTCATTGTGCAAGCCGTCTTAGTCACGCGAATGCACAGGGACTTCTGGAGGTCGAACCGTACTTCCTGTGGCACCCACACAGATATTTCTTTCACAACGTGGATGGCAGCAGTCCCAGATATCATATAACGGTGCGCTTCCTCTGCCAAATCATCATGATCATGCAGTTGATACTCGTTGATCAAGAAATAATGCTACTTGGAGCATGCAAACACTGAAATTATGTGACCATTGCGCAGTCTCTCATACAGGCGAGGCTAAGAAATGGATGACAAAACTTCGCTGGAAATCAACCCGTAAATCACAGCATACTTATATATTTCTTCTTGACTATTTTATATATTTATTCTGTTCATCGTCACTCTAGGCTGGCCTAATGTTAACAGTGCATCATGATGGCGTCGCTATAGACTGAAGTTCCATATTACCGTAATGCTCATATATCAATATCACGATGAAACACTGCAGCCGTGTGCTGACGATGATAAACTGCAAGGTTACAACGAGACGTCGTGTATATATCAGTCATGTTTTATGCAGCCAAGTGTTAACGAGGTGTTCCTCAGATTTAAGATCTTCAATGCTCGAGCAGGGTGAAATTTATTCACCGTTACAACCGAGCACTCAGCAACTTGACAAAGCACTTACTAGTACGTGTCGTGCCGTCAACCATACTGCCCAAATGCGAAAGCGGGAACACGACTCACCGTCATTCAGTGGGTAACTCACAAATATGTACGAACCCATCCTACCATGCCGGTGAATCACGGGGTTAGATGAAAACAGCTCATACTCACAGGAACCGCTAATAGCTTGCATTCATAGCCAGGGCAGCAAGCTCCCAAGTTGCAGAAGGAGGGACATTTACTGTCAGCGACAGGTATAGACACTGTCGACCTGAAAGCAGCAATAACGGCGAGGACGAAGGAGAGACGCATTCTCTGTGAGATGTGATTTGGGCTTCCTAAAATAAATCTAGGGGGGACGGTAGGAAGACAGCTTGCTTTTATGTGCTGAATAATGTTCTGCGCAAGAACCTGTCCACCTGGCGAAATACTCCTTCAAACGGATGACGCCTGCATTGCCAGCAGATTGCCAGCAGACCTTGAGATTGACTTGCCACTTTGTCCCCGATATTCTCTTGGCGAGGGAAATGTTGGTAATGTGCAATTCCAGTTGTTGCATACGGCCTACGATGATGGGTGATATGACAGCCCCTTCCAGGGAGCTGGGCTCAGGGGTCTCATGGATACCGGGAGAGATTCAAATTATTTTCATGTTCAATCATATACGTTAGATGATTTTTGATGATTTGCAGCTGAGGATGGATTCAACGGATGTAGCGCCCCTCCTCTGGCCCTCTCCTTCCCGCTCCTTCCCACCCTTCCATACCTCTTCATAGCCCTGATCCCGGAATAGGTCCAACACGCCCGGCTCCTGTAGAAGCGCGCCAAATAGTACTATATATTGTGGCCACTCATGCCGCCAGCCTAAATCCCAAGATCGTGAACTTTGTTCCACAACCTGAAGCGTTTCCATGAATGTGACGTTTGGTACCGATGAAGCGAAGGGTGAAGGAGGGTACGAAATGTCCACACGCGATGGAAAATGCGTTCGCATATATTCCAGGGGCGCTTCGAAAAAGATGTCTGCCTGGTCCTTATAGTCGCTAAGATGTTGAAGCCTGAGGGCAAAATATCAAACCCAAGCGAAAATTACGACAATGACGATAATTTACCCCAGTGGTGGCTCACACCCAAGAGCCCACATTCTCCCAGGTGCCGCGAGCTCGGGCCGGTGAAGGTAGGCCTGCCATGGGGTCGAATGACAAGGTGTCAAGAACCCCACGGAAGTCAGGTTCTCGGGAAGCAAGCTTCGCAAATACGACATGACTTTGATTTGTCCTACGCAATGGAAGAATACCACATATATCGAGGCTGAGACGGCCAGTAGGAGAAGGCATAGATCTCGAGTGCGAATTGGGAGTGAGAAGGTTTTAGGTATCGCGTTCTCTCTCTTCTCCCAGGAAACTTTGACCTCTGCTTTCGCGCTGCGATGATACAGTTCCACTAGGGACCTTGACGCGAAGATGTGTAACATCGGCAGGAGTGGGTGGAGAAAACGCGATTCTTTATGTCCAACAAATGAGAATACCGTCAATGTCCAAACGATACAGCCTAGCATTGTCTTCAGTCTTTTCTCGTCGTTCTCGACTGCAAGGTGCATATTATGCAGCACGAATGGCAAGGATGTAGAACTGAGAATTGGGAGGGCCTGAGACAGGTAGTAATGCCAAGAGCTAGAGCCGTAGAACAAAGACACGGGCGACGCATTGACACGCAGAAAATTCAACAGACTCAGTGTGGGTCTGCCATAAAAGGCTGAATCGAGCGCAAAGACCACAAGGGTAGTCATAACTCTGAAAATTCTGAGTTGCTAATTACTTCGCGCAAATGGACAAATGCAACTAACCCGATGACACAACAATCGCGAATAAGAATGGGCCCCTGACTCAGGCGAGCCCAAGACGCAGGACGAGAAGGCCAAACATGTAAACCCAGATGATAGCATTGATGAGTCTGATTGCGCGCGCCAGCGCAGCAAACACAATACACAGGCGCATTCTAGTCATGTTCCTTACATATGAGATGTCTTGTCACAATGACAGCCAGTTTGGGTGACTGACAACTGCACCTACATGGACCGTGCATTGTCCCAGGGGTAGTAGTTTAGTGCAACTGTTGTCAACGATGTCTCAAGGGAATTCGACATGGAACGTGAAAGTGACAACGAGTGGAATAGAGATGTTAGAGAGACAAAGTACTGCAAGAGATCAACTTCAAGTCGTCAATCATACTCGAATTCAAGAAATCGCACCGCAGTTGGTACAAACGCATCGTTGAGAACTTGTCTTGTGACTTCACGGATCCCTATATCCGTGATGGCAGCCAACAAACCATGGATGATGCGTGGGCCTACTATCTGACTCGTCGAATGAAGATGAAGAATGACAGAACAAATAGAATGCTCACGAGTAGCTCAGGGTGTCTTTCATCAAGGCCCAGCGTTTTGATAAGCCAAAAGGGAGGTATATTCAACGCAGGGTAGATGATGCTCCGAAGGGGTGCTGGACTAACCCACTCCCATGTGAAATGGCCATATCCAAAGACGTAATAATGGTGGGCAGGTTCTAACGCTTGGAAGTATTCATCTGGCTGGAAGAATCCTTGGGTGCTAAGAGCGATTACGACGCGAAGGACCAACGCCAACGATGCCATATGCGCTGCTCATGGGTGAGACGAAACGCGTTCTTGGGTAAATTTAATTGCTTACACGGCAAGGTCCCAGGTATACTAACCTGTAGTCTGTCATTTTCGGAACGCGCACTATGCGCGTGGGCCATTCAATACGCATACCAGCAATAATATTAGCGAAGGTTTATGAGCTCAACGTTCCCTGCTATCCTAGGTAATGTTGTCATAAGAGTGAATTCCTTTTCATGGACACAAAAAGTGGTTTCGACGCAATAACTGGGCCTCAGGCCTCAACCTCCGAGGATCTATACACCGAAAAATGTTGACAATAGGTTTCGAACCACTTCCAACAGAAACAGATTTTGACTCTGTTGCGGTAACCGCTGGGCTAAGACCAGTTAGATTGACCTCTGGGGAGACTATCCATGAATCAATGTCAAGGTGTGCTCCAATAGAAACAAAAAACTGTCATGCAGCAGGTTTCAAACCTGTGCAGTCGAAGAGAAACAGATTTTGATTCTGTTGCAGTAACCACCTGGCTAGGACCAGTTAAAACACACAACCAATGAAAGCATCCATGAGTGAATATTAATCTTCAAGGGTAGCAAAAAAAACCGTGCCTTCGGCAGGTTTCGAACCTACACTCAGTGGCGCAGTCCAAGAGACAGATTTAGATTCTGTCGTGGCAACCACTTGGGCCAGTACGATGTTGAGATAAACCTCCCAGGAAGCCATCCACGAGCGAATCTTCAAGGCGTGTTCCCATAAAAAAAACCTGTCAATCGGCAAGTTTCGAACCTGCACAGTCCAAGAGCAACAGTTCTATTGTGGTAACCCCTTAGCTAAGACTAGTTAGACGAACCTTCGAGAAAACCATCCACGAATAAATGTCAAGGTGAGTTCCGAGAGAGAGAGAGAAAGACTTGTTGTCGGAAGTTGACCTGCGCAGTCCAAGAGAACCCGATTTGAATTCGGTTGTGGTAACCACTTTGGCCATGACGTCGACGCTTCCTAAGTTGAGATGAACCTCCGAAGAACTGTCCATGAGTGACTCATGTCAAGGTGTGATAAGCCATTGGTCGACAGGTTTTGAACTCCTCCTGCGTCGGTTGAAACCCTGCTAAGCTGTCATATTCATTGTGGCAGCGCGATCTATACGATGATAGGCTAATGGAACTGGACCAAAAAACGGACGAATGGTGGAAGAATATGACTAAAGATAGCGAAAAGGCTTACCACCGCTCGGCTGAGACTGGTTGATCAAGACGGACGTCAGACATCTGTGGTGCATATTGACAGTAGAATCACATAGCATTAGCAATCATTAATTGATCAATCATTTGCCAACACAAAATGAAATAAAAAGATTAGTTCAATGGCCACAAAACATACCAGGAATAACTTCGCCGAGCCGGTGGCTGGCGATAATAGCGGAAGTGGGAACGTACAGCCACAATTATGGACTGATATTAATATCAACCTCAAGGTGGTACAAAGTAACCGAATAACATGACGGGTGATGAGAATACTTTGTATCATGTTGCCCGAGGTCTCCTAGAGAGGGGGTTCATCAAGTGCCGGTGCCTGCTATTCAAGTTTTCCCCACTCAAAGGCTACAGGTATCACTGGCAAAATTATTAGTTCCAAGAGTAGCAGTATCACAAGTTCGTCAGACGTAAAGTAAATGATGAGCAATATCACGAAATAAGAGATCTGGGTAGCACACCCGAGCGCCTGCACCTTACTTCTTTTTCTTCTTTTTCCCTCCCCCACTCTTGCTGTTGCTTTTCCCCATCGGCGGGGCAGTTGGCTTCGCTTTCTTCCCCTCAACCTCCTCTTTGTCCTCCTCGGGATCATTACCCTCTCCATCGCCTGTCGGGACGGACGACTCTCCAGGAGCAGTGGTAGTTTCTACAGGGGGGCCTTCTTCTGGCGCCTTCTCTGCAGTTGTTGCTGCATCGTTAGAATGTGGTGGTACCTCTTCTGGCGCTGGCGCCACTGCGTCCGCCGCATTGGTCGGCGCTTCAGCTGGCGCAGGGAGCTCTTCTGTCGTCGGTACAGGAGCAGCCGGTGGATCACCCCTTACATTAGCAAGAACGTGATGAAGTGGAAGCGGGGATGCGTCAGGCTTCGGTGAGGGCATGGGACTCTTCTTGTCATCACCGATGAGGAGGTTACTAAATGATCCTGCAAGAGAGCTGAGACTTGGAAGAGAAGTGGTATGTTCGGCTGGAAGTAAGGATGAACCAGGTTTCGGCGAGGACTTGGAACTCATCCTGCCATCAGCGCCGAGGAATCCTACAAGGGTTGAGCTGAGGCCTCCGAAAGAGGGTGCAGCTGGCATAGACCAGCCATTCGATGATCTCGACGCGCCCCATCCTGCGGTGGTCTTCACAGTGGAGCCCCATCCGATGCTACCGCCTCCACCAGAGGAACCCAAAGCAGGAGAACCTACAGGCTCCGTCTGTTCAGTGGAACCCCATGCCTCATCAGGGCCCCAACCACCATCGCCATTGGTGTCATCTGCTGGTGCTTCCGACGTGAAATTGAGCTCGAGTGCTGGTGCAGAAACTTCAATACCCAGAACATTGGATTGCGTCTCTGTGGCAGTAAGAGTTGTCTCTGTGTGCTGCTCAGCAACCATCACTTCTGAAACCTCCGCAATCACGGCGAGGTCCCGGGGAGCTTCCGTAGAGATAAACTCAATAGGAACTGTGTCTGCCGGCGTGGTGGATGACGGCGGGCCTTCCATCCTTGTCTCTTGCGTAATCTCAACCGAGAGCTCTCTCATTGTCTCCTGAAGCACTTCAGAAACGACAGTGGTAGACATCGAGTGATGAGCTTCTCCGAGTGCAGGTGTTGGCGGTTCTGAAAGCTTGACTTCTGCAGTCTTTGGCGTAGCTTTGTGAGATAGCGGAGGGGGAGCTTCGGTTTTCGGCGTTGTTGGTTCAAGAGATTTGGAGGTTTGAACCAGCGGCGAGGCTCCAGGCGTATTCGCCTTGGAAGCAGAGCCCCATACAGATGTAAGGGTTTCAGCTAGCTGGCCTGGACTCTTGCCCACGGTGGTGTCAGCTGGGTCAATAGGGGAAGGAGGTACGGTGGTCTTGGGGGTCTTGCTTTTCCCCTTTCCTTTGCCTTTGGCAGGGGGTTCAGCGTCCCGTCCGCGGGTTTCGACAGTAATTAGAGGTGCAGGCTGGACGGCAGCTGGAGGAGGCTGGGAAGCGACTAGGAGTGTTTGTTGGGAAGAAGTTGCGTGAACATGCTGAGAAACAGTCGAGGTAGAAACTTTAGAAGCAGTTGAGATCCTGCGGTCCCGCTCAACAGTGCTCGCAACTGCTGTGGAGACCTTGGACGCAGTAGACACAGTCCGTTCTCGCTCAACCTCCCGGATGCTTTGTTCAGTCGTGGATGATGGCGGCGCAGGATGAGAAATTGACGTTGCGTTGCTCCTCACCCCACGCTCAGTGGCCGTTGGGGTCGGAGGTGAGGCGGTGGACACCTTGGAAGCGGATGACTGAGTTGCGACTACACTCGTCTGGCTACGCTCTTGGACTTCTATGAATGTGGACTCTACTCGTGAGGCTCCCAAAGGAGTCCTGGTGCCTGAAGCCAATGACTCGCGAGAATCAACGCGAGAGGCAGCGACGGAACGAGAGCGTGATGGCGCAACGGAATGAGAGCGTGACGGCGCAACGGATCCAGAACGCGATGGGGCGTAGTCATCCTCTGAGATGTCTGGTTCGTCTTCATCGGCACGGTGGCCGCTCTCGCTATATACGATAGACGCAGGCCCACTGTAGACAAAGTTAGAGATGTCACTGATTCTATGCAAATTTTCACATACTACTTGATCGTTCCCTAATATTGTCACAATTAACTTAGCACACGTAAGAAAAAATACACAGAAATCACTCACGTTGTCATTCCACTTTATCCGCGCTTTGAACTCGGTGAGACCAAAGTGAATCTCAACGCTGAACACGATCGTCCAGTATGTCTTTCCGTTCTTGCCTTGTTTAGGTTCCGCACTTCCGCTGAGGAGCGACAGGTCAGCACGGACTACACACAAAGTCGAATAGTCCTCTGTCAATGGAACAATGGAAGGCCGTGGGTCAGCACGGCATTCGGGCTCATGTTCAGAAATACCCACCTGCGTGGCGTAAAATCCACTGCGGAATCGTGTCACCACCTCTATAGCACCATATCTCTACCTCAAACACAGAAAGGGTAGACAGGTTTGTGAGTTCCGTGCAGTACTTCCGCGAGAACACCGTGGATTCCTTAACCTTCACACACTGCAAATATGCACGATCGTCAAGTCAGCCCACGTTCCAGTGAGATCACTAAACACATACTCGAGCAAGGATGCAATCAAATGCATCGGGCAGAAGCCGAGGACCAGAAGGAAGCTCGCAAAGTCGATCTTTCCGAGACTGGTGTTCCGGATCGTTGGGATCGTACTCACGCAAGTACTCCACCCCATACATGAATTTCGACATTCGGGCCGAAACATGGTGATCGCAGTAGAAGCCAAGTGCACCGTCGGCCACGGCTTTGGAACTGAATCGTACGATATTAGAGAGATGAAATACTGGAGTGATCATATATCCTCTTACGTCTGACTGTCAGGTCTGCTTACAGTAATCTTCAGTGGAGCGAGGCGTTCCTGTAACTGAGTAAAGAGCCACGGGCTGGCCGCGAATCCTCCCACCAACCAGACGGACTATGAAAAGGCGATCATTAAGGCCTCGTGGTTGTTGGTGATGAGTAACGTACTTTGATCACCCCTTGCGATGCGTCAACTTGGGCTTTAATCGAGGTGATTGCCGCCTGGACAGAAGGCTCGAAGAACTCTGCCACCTCCGCACTATCGAGCGTTATTTGTGGAATCATAATGGATATCTGTTCGCCGACTTACCCATCGAGTTTCAACTGACCTCCGCGGATGCCGACTGAGAGATCTTTGTCAAGTGGAGAGCCAAATGGAACAAATTGCAAATCTTTTTTGTCTCGGAATAGCCGTTTAGTGGTTTCATCGAAGCGTTTCGTGATATGGTCGATCGAATCGGAGGTGCCATATTTCGACCCTTTGAGCTTCTCTGCACGCAGAATGAGATGATGCCTTGTGTAGATACAACTAAATATAGCCCACCTTCAAGGAATTCCCTTGCCCTTCGGCTGACAAAGACTGATCCGGCAAATATACCTTCGGAAGCAAATGATCAGACGCGGAAATAGACAAGAGGACGCGTCAGCGTATTCTCACAGTCAGGAGGAGCCACCTCCTCGATTACCAGGGGATTGGTCCCTCGAACTGCGTAGGAACTGATATCAAGCGTACCACCACCCGCATCAGCTACAAGGAACCCGTGCCTAGACGGATTCTAGGGGACACGTCAGACAAGAAGTTCGTGTGTGGGATATGTTTGAAATACACACAGAAAGAACATCGGCAGCAAGACCACTCTGGACACAGGCGTGGAGACTAGCTTCTCCTTCCGTGACGAAACGGATTCGCGCTCGGCCTTGGTCCGTATCAGGAATCAAACCCCCATACACAGCAGCGCGTCTCATTTTCGTCTGCTGAGCACCTTCCCAACCGTTTGGATGACTTAACACGAACTCTGTGCTGGTTTCGACATGGTGCCACAAGGTCTGGCCGTTAGCATGTGTGTCTATGATAAAACTCTTCGTGCAGCGGAAGAGATAGGCGAGGAAGTCTCCAAAAACATCGACGGATGTTTTATGCCGTGGTAGCGGACTCAAGCGCATCCCATTCATTTTCAATTTCATACTCTTCGGCCGGAGGCGAAGCTTGAAACTGGCAAATAGCAGTGTCAAAATTTGATCACACAGGAAGGAATTACACATACAGTTCCGTTTTGATCCATTCCTCGTCCTCAGCCTGGCTTATTATGGAGGCATTGTCTGCCTCAGCGCCAGCAGCCATGACTCTGCCATGCTTATCGTAATACATGATGGAGGGAATCTTGGAATTGCCAGCTACATGTTCTTGACCAGGAAAACTGATCAGGGCAGGAGCGGACGCGATTTCTGTCAGAGGATACGCGTCATTCGAACAAGATGCTCACCGAGTGACACCGTGGATTTTTGGGACCTCGCCTGGTTCGAGTAGGGCATATGATACACCACTGAAAGTGGTTCCGACGTCGAGAGCGATGATTAGTGCACGCGAGGAGCCGCTATAGGGCTTTCGCGTATCAGAAGTTGGCTTCATGCCAGGTGCAGATAGTGTTGAGAAAGTTGGATTGTTGATAGATATGAGTTTTAATTACGAGGTCATATATGTACTATGTACCAAGTCGGGGGGCGGGTGACTCGAACAAAGGCAGTCCACACGAGGCCACGATGAAAATGATCGCAGCGTGTCAGTAGTGCATGCTGCACAGACAAGGGCTAGAATGAGAATCAAATGAAGCAGCGTTGAATCAGCAAGAAGATAATTGGAGTTGGTTACCACGAGGATGATCACGTACATTTCTTCCATTGGCTTTCCACGGATAAAAACGCAACTGCCTCGAGGCTTAAGAAGAACCTCGTGCTGCGCTGGAAATAGGGCTTGGGACTTGCTTGTACCGCAGAGATTGCCCAAGGAGGGAATCCTTGCCAGGATTTTGGTTGGAACTGTGGCAAAGCCTGGCACTTGTCAGTGGTTATATCTACCTCATATGATCTCCCATAAAGTTTCGCTAACACATAGATCATAAAATCGAGTCAGTGATTAGGGCTGAAGCAACGCGCTGATACGGTTGTTTGGTTGTCCGTTCAGTCGCCATGCTCCCTATCGCTAACTTGAATCTCAAAGACCTCTACCAATCAACCTTCGAATTCTTTGCCTCGCTTAATCCTTCCTTTTCTTTCAGTGCTTTCAGCGCTGAAGACTCTGTCTCTGTCTCTGACTCATCTTTTCCGTTGACGCCGAGAGACCCGACGCCGAGAAACCTTTCCACAGACGAGGAGTCTGCTTCATTACGTGACAGGTTGGATGCTGCCGAACGCACCAACTCTCACAATCCGTCTTCTTGTGATCCCTCTTTTGGCGCATCTGCTGCAGCTTCTACTCTTTATTCAATGCGCCGCGAACACGATGCTACAAAATACGAACTCTCCAGAACCCAAGCAGAAGTCGCTCGCTGGGAGGAGAGGTGTAAAACCCTCGAGAAGACCCTCAAAGAAACGAGAGACCTTTTGAAGGTCAGAGACCAGGAGATTCAGGTGCTCAAGGAGCGCGAAAGGCGCTCTCCCGAGCGTCATTGCCCTTCCACTCACATCGATCGTCGACGAAGCCGTGATCCCGCACATCAGCGATCAGACTCATCCCAGTCTTTGCAGATCCGACTGAGCGCTGACTGGTCAGAGATCCATGGCGATACCTTATCGCAGGCCAACGGCAATCATAGCCGCAATGGTAGCAACTTGGATAACATGTCTACCGTGTCCGAGGAAGAGCGAGCCCGGTCTCGCAGCTTAGAGACCTTCCTGAATAAGATTGATTTGTGGTCTGGAGCGCAGGTCATACAAGCCGTGCAAGATCTCAACTCTGAAATTCTCCAGTTTGCAGCATCTGCCACAGAACTTTGCACGTTCTCAAAGCAGCGCCCTAACTCAGCCAAGGTTACGCAAGCTTCCTCCGAAGTTGCCACGAGGTTGGGTGCTGCCCTGAGTCGCTTATTGGCAACTCGGGATCACTCCCAGGATCCTATGCTTGTCCAGCTAGCTCTCCAGGGTTGCATCTCGTACTGCATATCTAGAGCACTATCGTCATTTTGCATCGGTTACCAATCCAAGGCGAACATCACCCTGACCCAGATTTATACCCACATGTTCCACTCAGGTGGGTTCCTAAAACGTTTTGTTACCCGCAATTTACTCATACCGCCTCAGAACCTCAGCCAACCTCGTCACGATGGAGAGCACTGACCCATAAACACATCCACGAGCTCCACCCCGAACTTAATGAATACGCAATCAATGAGATGACGGAAACGATTTTCCGCTGGTCGCTAGACATTTTCCTCATCTCTGGCAGCACCAATCCGCAGCCCAATCCGGCTTCGCGCGAGAACTTCCGTGCACGCTTCGGGGCCCAAGTCAAACGTATCTCGAAGGCCGCTTGCAGGCTAGCACAAGTGACGAAGGAGGAGATCATGTCGGCGAACTTCGAGGTTATCGCTGCGGATAGCGGCCAGCCGTTTGACGGGCAGGAAATGATGGATGCGTTTGAAGACTATGGATCGTCGGACGGCGTTGTTCTGTGCACAACGGAATTAGGCCTACGGTGCTCGACGAGCAAAGCAATGAGCGACGCGCTGGCACCAGAAGAAAGCATAGACCGGCGTATACTATTGCGACCCAAGGTAGTTCTTGAATCTGTTGTAGAAGTTATTGACCCGCGATGATGTCTCTTTTCTTACTAACAATGTTTGCTATATCTATGTACTTTGCATAATTCCCCTCATCCATCCATACCATGCACCGCTGTTGTACTTTCTCTGTACTTATACTTACTTACTTCATAGACGTCGACGTTACTAAGGTACTTCGTAGTAGATCACTTTGGATATTGTTTATCCGTATTTGATCCTGAAGGTGTTGCTGCAGACAACCATTCGATCACCTTCCTATTCAGTACTATGACACCTCAAAAACTCCTTCACATCTAATGCGGCAAGGGGGTGATCAGAGACGCCAGCATGGCATCAGCCTGCCCAAGTCTCTACTCGAGCAGGTCAATGCTTCAGGTAAGCTGACACCGAACTTGTTTCCGAGCCTGTCCTGACAATGTATGCAGAACCGAGCTCTCATCAACACAACAGTGGTCGTTCCCATGCATCACGCAAGGATGCGCGAAAGCAAGAGCGAACAGATCGTAAAAAGAGAAAGGCGGATCACTTCATACATAACGCTCACTCAGCAAAACGGAAGATAGAAGAAGAACACGTTAATTCGCCGCAGAGAAAGCGTATGAAGACGGCACAAGAGTCAGTTTCTCGACCACTTGCCTCAAAGTCTCATAATGTGGCCACCACCAAGGTATTACCACATCTTAGACCTGAGGAACCGCACACCACCACCGAGTCTGTGCAGAAGCAAAAACTCAAAACCACTGCGCTAGAGAGACTCGTAAATAAGTCGGCTGCTAAACCCCGTAAAGTTGCATCTACGGGCCCTCGAAGTCGCGAAGAAGAGGACGAAGATGCATATATCGCCTACCTTGAATCAAAGCTGGGGTATGCTGGAGGTGGTTCACGTCGTAAGGATGATGACATGGATGGACTAGGAGGTATACTTTATTGCATCTTTTACTGGAGAACGTATCTCACAGTTCTTCTACAGATCTGTTTGACTTTACGGAAAACGTCATGACTGGAATACCAGTAAGTCTGCTTTGCAGCCACGTGTTGTGTCGTGTCTGAGTCCACACAGGACTCGGATTTGGATGACGAAGTGGAAGATGAGGATCAATCAACATCTGCAGAAGACCAAAGTGACGGATCTTGGGAAGATGAGGAGTGGGGTGGCTTTGGCGAGCTCAGCAAGAACGATGGGAGTGAGGCTGAGGGAAATGATTATTCGGTGGTCGATAATGACCATGAGATGACAGAGGCGAAAGAAGGGGAGCCTTCTGACGCTCAACCTAAAGCTGGTGGTAAGTTTTCCTGCATGTATAATTTTTGCGTTGGATTCCATCTTGCTTCACAGGACGCTATATCCCACCAGGATTGAGGAAACAAGCCAATGGCGATACAAATGAAACAGAGGAACAACTCAAACTCACTCGCCAGCTGAAAGGTTCGATAAACAGGTAATATCAGTTATTGTATCATCGTGGTCTGTACTGATTTTGTCTCGCCTTAGAATGTCTGAACAAAACATTGCAACCATCCTAGATAGTATCGAAGATGTATATCGCAACCACCGCCGACATGGTTCGTGCTTATTTTGTCTGCACTGAACGTGGTGCATATTTTCCCCCTCAGATGTCACCTTAACCCTCACGAACCTCATCATTGATGGTATATCATCTCACTCAACTCTTCTGGACTCGTACGTGGTTCTGCACGCCGCGTTTATATCTAGCCTACATAAATTGATCGGCACTGCGTTTGGTACGTGTCTTGTGAAATGAGCTTCTACCACCTGAGCTGATGCAGGCACGTTATACGCTCAGCCGCGTATTTTGTTCAGAATGTAGTGTCATCGTACGAACAACACCTCGCTTCGGTGGAGGAAAAGTCGGCCAACTCAACGGAAGTCTCTGAAGACCTAGGGAAAGAGTGTTCCAACCTCATCGTGCTTTTGTCGGAGCTGTACAATTTTCAAGTCATTTCATGCATTCTCGTTTATGATATCATCCGTGGCCTTCTGGATAAAGACCTATCTGAGTTCCGGGTAGAACTTCTGCTGAAACTTCTTCGAAGTAAGTTTGATAGTATTTATTCTCGTCGCATGTTAACTGTGTACTAGGTTCCGGCCAACAACTACGACAGGATGACCCCATGGCATTGAAGGACATCGTAACTTTAGCACAGTCTCGGGCCACCGGACAAGCCGATGCGATGAGGTACCACACTTCGTCATCTTTATTACAATCTTCTCACTGTGAATCACAGTTCACGCACGCGTTTCATGACCGAGACCTAAATAACCTGAAGAGCAATAAAATCAAGAAGACAGCTGCGACACAGCATCAGGGGGGCGATGCGGTCGAGCGGATGAAGAAGTTTCTCTCAGGGTTGGGAAAAAAGAAGCACGGTATGTCGCTCCTCCGTTGGGTTATTTAGGATGGTGCTGAGGCGTATGCAGTTCTCGCGCACGAACCATTACGGGTATCTTTGGAGGATCTTCATTCGGCGGAAAGCAAAGGAAAGTGGTGGCTCATTGGGGCTGCTTGGGGTGGAGATCCTCTGGCCGATCAGCCGCGCGAAGTTCCCCAGCATAGTGGGGAACCGGAGACGGATGACGTCCAGCACTGCCGCGCTTCTAAAGCTCGCAAGGAAACAGGGCATGAATACAGATATTCGTCGAAGTGTTTTTGTGGTGCTCATGAGCAGTGACGTAGGTGTCGATATCATATCCCTGCTATCAAATCTCATTTTCTGTTCGTAGGATTATCTAGACGCTTGCGAACGACTTGCGCAACTCGGCCTCACGGAAGTACAACAACGCGAGATCATCAGAGTAAACTTGCATTGTTGTGGAAATGTACGTGATTCCATAGGATTTTGCATGGTCGTCGTTGGTTGAACCAATTTCGCAGGAAAAATCTTATAACCCGTATTACACGCTTGTCTGTCAGCACCTGTCCCAGCGTTCGCATTCGTACAAGATCACATTGCAGTTCTGTTTATGGGACTTTCTTCGGGACTTGGGCGAAAGTAGCGTTGGTGGGGTAGAGGTGATCAAGAGCCTGAAAGATAGTGATGTAGGGTTTGATGTCAAATCCATGTCGCCTTCGCGAATGAAGAACGTGGCCAAAGCATACGCATGGTGGATAGCCAAAGATTGCTGTACGCTGACGATCTTCAAGGTGAGCCTGAGCAGTTGGCGCAAGCAGTTGCTGAAACGAGTATCTTACAGCCCGTGGATTTCACGATGCTCAAGCCACAGACACGCAGTTTCTTGAAAGAGTTATTCATACAGCTGTTTATCGCTAGCCAGGTTACATCACCGATGCTTAGCACCGACTCCGGCGACTATCCTTCCATGAGGAACCGTGGATCACTCGAAGAGATCTTCTTGAAAACATCCAGGATCGAGAACCTGGGTCTTGGATTGATATTCTTTATGTCTAATACGTTCAAAGGAGAGGATGGGTTCTTGACTTGGGCTAGCTCAATAGCGAAAGAGACGGTGCAGACTGGGATGGATCATATTCCCAGAATATAGCAATGCTTAATTACGCAAATTTCGTAAATGCCACACCAGAACATGCACTCCCGATGCTCCCGCCGAATGAAATAGCTGGGTACTCTATACGAGAACTTCGGGAGCATCAGCATGTGGTTTCTTTATGAAACGTGCATCACATACTGGTACTGCAGGCCGGTTTCTTCGGTAATGAACCTTGATTGTAACTCCACTTTGGTAAAGTTACAAGCTGGGGTGATTAAAGGGTCCTTATTCAGTTTCACAGCCAAGTGGCATGATACGTACATACGCACATGTAATTAGAAAATGCCTCTAGGTTCAAGAGCTTCGCGATACGCATCGGATAACCTTCTGCTGGGATCCCTCCATTCTCATCCTTCTCCATCAGCGCGATGGCATCGTATGTGCCTTTATCAAGGATAAGACACTTGAAGCTCCGTTCTGGTTAGCTGTCTGATCATCTGCGAGCAATGGTGGGTCCTCATGCACACTCTAAACGTAATAGCTGTGAGATTCCGAGAGTGCGCCACCGGTTGAGCGAGCTGGACAACTCCGAAGTTCACTATAATCAATCCCTAGGAGGCAGTGTCATGGATAACACGCTTCTCTACGCCCCTCCGCAAGCGCGAATAATAGTGCACCGTTTCCACTCCAAGGACCGACATATCAGGGCGTGGAGGGGCGTGTTGATTAACCCACTTGACAATCTCATTCATCGCTCCTTTACCGAACCTAGGCGCCAGAAGTATGGATGCAATAGAAGTGACAGGAATACGCACCATATTTCACCCTCGTCACCGTTTTCACTGATTCGTAAACGTTTTCCCAACTGATTATCGATGAGTGATGGGACCCACAAGTTTGTACAGAAATTGTACACGTCTACCGCTCTTCTGTACCTTTCAGGGCTCGAGCTCTGATGTGTCCATGACGGTTTTGGAAGTGATCTTGGAATTGAAGCCAGTCGTTGACAACTGTCACAGAATGAAAGGCGCAACTTCGTAAGCCGCTCAGCTTCCTTCACATGCAGGACAGGGTGACTGTCTCAATTTTTGATAAATATGTGAAGGAACTCTAAGAAGCAGAATCAGACGGCAGGTAGTATAGCGGGCCAGGACCAAAGGAGCGAGTGATGATATTCACTATGATGGATATATACCTGCTCAACCTGTTGCCTTCGAGATTCATCCTGACATTGACATCAACTCGAAGGCATTGAAGGATATGGTCTTCACTAACCCAGTTTCTGCAGTCTCCATTGACCTATCTTTGTGTTGTCTCCGCAGGCTGCTATGATGACAATCGATGACGGAGATGCAAATTGAAATTATTAGACTCGCGGACGAGCTTCTTCACAACAAGTTGCATTAACCGCGTTTTTGTTGTTGTTAACAATACCATAAGTTCGAGTTTGTTTACGTAGGTTAGTTTTGGTCCTACCAAGCCCAGCTGTGCTTCTTTTCCAGCCCAAACTGCCGCAACACCAAACTCAACACGTCCTCCGCAGTTCAAAGACATGTCTGCCCACCCAGATTGGTAGTAGGGAAGCTCAGAGTAGCCCGCTGTCCGCTTCTGCTTTCGCTGTCGCCGCACGTGAGCGTCAAGGGTTAGCAAAACACCCCGGAAGATGCTGGAACAGATGCACGATGTCAAGAGACATACTACAATTTGAAGGGAAAGGGGAACTTCCAAAGTGCTGCAGCCTGCGGGATGTAGGATGTGGATGCATGTAGGAGCCAATTGGGGAGGGTGTAGAAGGATTAATGAGAGGGTGCGCTAGGAAGATCAGTGAACTAGGCTGCCAGGTACCGAAGAAGGTCAGGGAAAGAAGGAGGCTCCTGTAATTATTCTCAATAACCAAGTCAGGAAGTTTCCTATCAATTTCTTTGGCAACAGCGTGTATGCATACTCTGTGGGGTTCGGGATCCTCGATCCCAGGCAAGTATGCATAACTCGTGTTCTACAATCCCTGGCCTTGTACATATCACAGTAATCAGCCTTGCTCGACATGTGACGCAGCACGTCGCGCAGATACCAAGGACCTTTCGCCAAGTATTTCAATATCTCTTTCCAATCTCTTTCTTCCGCCTCTTTTTAGATGTGATACCCAGTGCCCTGTACGACACATATGCTTGATCCTCGGTGTCTCATACCAGCATTGGGTAAAGCCTATAGTAAGTAGTGATGTGAAGGTAGTCAGCTTCTGCATTAAGCCACCCATATGTTGTAGTAATAAATAGTCTATAGCTACAAACTGTACATCGAATGCAAATAAAAATCATGGAATCAATGCCTGCTGTTTTACCTGCGACACGAGCTGTTTGGGGTGGTCTTCATAGCCTCCTCGCAGTTCACTGGCCTCGGACCTTTGGTTTTGGACTGATGTGTTGATTTTTCTCGTAACATACACTACATGTACGTGACTCTACTCTATCTGTCATATGATAGTCTGTCCGCACGCCTGCGAGGCGCGACTTCCGCATATTTCCGAAGTTCGCCGATCCAGGTTCTCTTCCTCCCCTTTCCTCCAGAGATCTATTAGCACGCAGACTGTGATCTGGATTACACCTAGGTGCAAACTACAAATTATTCACAAACGCAGATATTCCAACTTCGAAAAAGATATGCCGTATTCTTCATGACTGGGTGGTCCGGTGATCGATCATCTATAATCACCGTCAAAACTCTGCTCGACGAGTCGACTAGTTAGGGACGATACCCGCGTTTTCTTGAAATACTGGACACACAAAAGTATCAATTTGTGTTTTGTTCTTCAAACTTCACGCACAGCCCATGTGTGGTTCCTCGTCCCCCTTTCACTGCTGACTTGGTGTAAAACCCCGTTATCATCCATTGACAGTAGACGCTCATCCAGCAATAAATAGCTGTGACCTTGGATGGTGGTTCCTACATCCTCACTTTCGTCGCATTGACATCGTGCGCTTTCAAGTTCTTCTCTATCTCTTACATCCATGACACCCACATCCGTCACTCTGCAACAGAACGTTTATAAGGCCGATCATGAGCCTATAACCGTTGAAGACGTCGACGAGAACAATGTTTCTTCTCCAGCCTTGCGGCGTCTTATCAACTCAGCTCCAGGCGCCTCCGTTGGTGTGGCGGCCACGTATCGCCCTGACTGTTCTCTTTCGTCTTTAGCATTTGCAACACTCAGCAGAGCGCTCGTCATCCACTTTTTTGCTGCAAACGAACAGAATAAGCAGCAGCAGAAGAAGAAGAAGGGCCAGGAACAACAACCTCCTGTTTCTCGAGGACGCATCCTCATACAAGACCAAATTCTCTGTAACATTGGCATTAAACTCTATGGGTACAGGATAGACAGAATTGCACTTGCACTCTTCCTAGACCTCTCGCTTCGTATCAATGGCGCAGTCGACGTCCTGTCAGTGTCTACCAGCGATCGGCGCTCACTCCAGGCAATCATGAATGCCTTGGGCGGCGAGGTCTCACTCCAGAAGGACAACGTGAAAACCCTGTTCGCTCATAGAGAAGGGGACACAGCACCCAAGGATGTGGCGCTCCAGGCTTGGGCAGCATGTCGCGCCGCCACACTTGATGACATGACGCTTAGATTTGCTGCTATATCTCGAATTGACACAGACACGATGCCAGATATAGTACGTAGTATTCGTCACGTCATAGACATCTCCTTCTAATTCATAATGTAGCATTTGAAAGCCCTCGCCAAGATCTCTCACGATGCTGAAATTTTGGAGTCTTTGAAGCCAACGAAAGTCGCCAACAATATCAAATCAGTCAGAGAAGATGTAGTGCTGAAGGCTCTTCAGGGCACCATCACGTTGACCGAACATCCATTCTTCTGTAGTATCTGGGCGCCGTCATTAAACATCCCATGGCCACCTGTGTATGCTCCCACGGCTTCGCTCGTCCACTATCCTGACGGTCAATTGAACTCCTCGCAGTATGAAGCAGTGGAACGAATTATTTCGCAAGCCGACAGGGACCGTGTATTGCTTATTCAAGGTCCTCCTGGCACTGGTAAAACAACAGTCATAGCGGCCAGTGTCAACAGTATGATCACCACTGGCCCTATAGAGAGTACGATTTGGCTTGTGGCGCAATCCAATGTTGCCATCAAGAATATCGCGGAAAAGCTTGACAAGGTTGGCTTCCGTGATTTTAAGTTGCTTGTATCCAAAGATTTCCATCACGACTGGTGTGTCAAGCCTTCCTCACCTCCCCATCATACTGAGTTTTTGTGTCTCAGGCATGAACACCTCTACGAGAGACTGGAACATTGTTTTATACGATCCGACATGTTCGGTGGCGGGGCTGTGACCATCAGCCGACTTTTGCTCGACACAAGAGTAATACTTTGTACATTGAGTATGCTGTTCAATCCTCGTATCGAAGAATTTACTCGTACAAGTTCCGGTTCAAACCGTCATATTTGACGAAGCAAGTCAAATCGAAGTAGGGAGACTACCTGCCGCTGCTTCAGCGTTTCCAGCACAGCCTCCAAAAAATGGTGTTCATCGGTGACGACAAGCAACGTGAGACCCGGGTAGTTATTCCATCGTTGACCTGTACTGACTTGAATATCAGTGGCGCCATTCGGCCAAGATGACATTGGGGAGCTACGAAGTGTTTTTGAGTTCCCACACCTTCAAAAGCGGGCACACTTTTTGAATACCCAGTGTAAGCTCGTATCTCGACTTCATCCTCGTTGTTTCAACCTTATTATCAAGACCGCATGCCACTCGTCATTGGGGACCTTCATTTCCCGTCATGTATACGATCAGAAGTTGATGACCGTCCACGACATCGCTAGCAAAGCAGCATGTCGTTTCCTAGACATCAAAAGGGGGCAGGAGATGAAATCGGGAAAGAGCTTGATAGTATGCTTATCCTCTTCACGCTCGTGATATGCCTGCCTTACGTCTTTTGCATTAGAATCAACAAGAGATGTCTGTGGTTATCCACCTCGCCCGTATATACAACAAGCAGGGCAAGCAGTACAGGATCCTCACTCCATATGATGGTCAGAGGTCTTCGATCGAACGTCAACTTGAATTAGCGAATCTTCCGTGGGCAGACAAGTGCTTCGACGTGAACTTCTTCCAAGGCGAGTAGTTTCTTCAACATGCTGGAAGGATCTGGCTGATACTCGCCGCAGGAAACGAGGAAGACCACATAATCGTCTCTCTAGTCCGTACCCAAGGTGTAGGGTTCTTGAAGAACTCGCGCAGGACGAATGTCATGCTGACACGATGCAAGAAAAGCATGATCATTTGCACGAACCGTGACTTCGTGACGAAGGGTAAAGTAGCAAGCACGCTGGTCGGGCAGCTTGCTCTTACCATGGGCTCTGATTCCTGGTTGGACAGTCGTGATATAGTCAATGGCATTTTAAGGTGATTTGGATTATTTACCTCGCACTTGTTGGTTGAGTTTTGAAACTTTCTTGTCGCATCTTGCACTGCATTTTGTATTATATGGCAATTTGCGTATGTACATGAAGTCAGCGTCTACGTAGTACAGAGACTCGTTATATTGAACCACATGCATATGGGAACTTGCAAGTAATACTGTAGCTACTCAGAGTATTGAACGGCGCTGCGCTCCCCGCAAGGTTTAGTCCAAAGTCCGACGATTATCTAAGCTTACCGTTTTTAGTATGTGGGAGGTGTGCGGCCAAGGCCATAGTTCCGTGGAAATCCACCTGGTTATCCACTGATGTAGATATCCACCCAGTTATCCACGTAGATAACTCGGTGGATAACCCAAGGCCAAAATTCATAGGTGGATAACGTGGATAACTGAAAATCGTGTGGGTGTATGGGGTTGTATTAAGTATGCATTAAATACACTTAAAAAGCTTAAATACCAGGTCTACAAGCTTGTTTCTGCTTGAAGTGAGCTCGAACTAGGATTTAAGCTTGCTTATTTTGGCGGAACTTCATGCGACGTCAAGTCAATGTTTGTTTGGTGACTGGTCGAACGCTGATTGGACTACAGCGACTCAGAGTTGGATGTCACTGACCCCGAGGATATATCTGAAGATTGGCTCAAAAAAAGCGGATTCTTTTGACGGCGAGGCTTTTGATGCTGCCAGTATCAATCTTGACTCCACGACGCTAGCTGATGTGCTTGCTGACAAAGATTTGGCACCCGCAGCACCGGAGAACACTGTCACTCTTCTGCTGGCAAGCATGACATCAGGATTCAGCCTGCTCAAGTCTTTATTTGAGCAAATCGAGCCTCAGGTAGGCTCATACAAAATTTGTTATCAAGCCTGTCATGATGATGTATGCAGAGCAGAGCTCCCATCGACACAAAACTGGTCGTTCCATGGATCACGCATGAATGCGCGACAGCAAGAGTGAACGGATCATCAAAAGAGAAAGGCGGGCTACTTCATACATAGCGCTAACTGAGCCAAACGGAAGATGAAGAAGGACACGTTGAGACTGGGGAAAATGGTGATTCGGTAGACGATGATAACCATGAGATGACAGAGACGAAACAAGGCGAACCTTCTGATGCTCAACATAAAGCTGCTGGTCAGTTTTCCTACATGTATAATTTTTGGGTTGGATTCTATCTTGCTTCGCAGGACGCTATATCCCGCCGGGATTGAGGAAACAAGCCAATGGCGATACAAATGAAACGGAGGAACAACTCAAACTCACTCGCCAGCTGAAAGGCCTGATAAACAGGTAGTATCTTATTGTATTACCGTGGCCTGTACTAATTTTGTTTCGCATTAGAATGTCTGAACAAAGTATTGCAATCACCCGAGACCTCAACCCTCACGAACCTCATCATCGATGGCATATCATCTCACCCAACCCTTCTAGACTCATACGTGGTCCCGCGCACCGCGTTTATATCTAGCCTACATAAATTGATCTGCACTGCATTTGGTACGTGTCTTGTGAAATGAACTTCTATCACCTGAGCTGATGCACGCACGTCATACGCTCAGCGGCGTATTTCGTTCAGAACGCAATGTCCTCGTACGAACGCCTCGCTTCGGTGGAGGAAAAGTCAGTCAACTCAAGGGAAGTCTCTGAAGACCTAGGGAAAGAGTGTTCCAACCTCATCGTGCTTTTGTCAAAGCTGTACAATTTTCAAGTCATTTCGTGCATTCTCGTTTAACATGCGTTGAGAATAGATACCATCAAACTTACTTCGAAGAAGTTTCAGCAGAAGTTCTACCCAGAACTCAGATAGGTCTTCATCCAAAAGGCTGCGGATGTATCATAAACGTGTGCTAGGTTCCGGCCAACAACCACGACAAGATGATAGCGATGTAGGAATGTCAAACCCATGTCGCCTTTACGAATGGAGCACGTGGCCAAAGCATACGCATAGTGGATAGCTAATGATTGTTGTACATAGGCTGACGATCTTCAAGGTGAGCCTGAGCAGTTCACGCAAGGAGTTGCTGAAACGAGGATCCTTACAGCCTGTGAACTTCACGATGTTTAAGCCACAGACGCGCACATTCTTGAAAGAGTTGTTCATACGGTTGTTTATCGCTAGCCAGGTTACATCACTGATTATCGATGAGTGATGGGACCCACGAGTTTGCACAGGAGTTGAACACGCCTACTGTTCTTCCGTACCTTCGAGGGCTCGAGCTCTGATGTGTCCATGACGGTTTTGGAAGTGATTTTGGAATTGAAGCCAGTCGTTGACAACTGTCACAGAATGAAAGGCGCAACTTAGTATGCCGGTCAGCTTCTTTGACATGCAGAACCGTTGCATGCAGGACAGGGTGGCTGTCTCAACTTTTGATAAATATGTGAATGAACTCTAAGAAGCAGAATCAGACAGCAGGTGATGTAGCGGGCCAGGACAAAAGGAGCGAGCGATGATATTCTTTACGATGGATATACCTGCTCAACCTGTTGCCTTCGAGATTCATCCTGACATTGACATCAACTCGAAGGCATTGAAGGATGTGATCTTTACTAACCCAGTTTCTGCAGTCTCCATTGACCTATCATTTGTGTTGTCTCCACAGATGACGGAGATGCAAATTGGAATTATTAAACTCGCAAACGACCTTCTTAACAACAAGTTGCCATTAACCACGTTTTTGTCGTCAACAATATCGTAATGATTAAACGCAATAGTCACAAAGTCGGAAGAGCTTGATTACGCAGGTTAGTTTTGGTCCTCTCTGCTTCATTTCCGGCCCAAACTCATCAAACTCAACACATCCTCCGCAGTTCGAAGACATGTCTGTCCACCCAAATTGGTAGTAGGGGAGCTCAGGGTAGGCCGTTGTTCGCTTTCGCTGTTGCCGCACGTGAACGTCAAGGGTTAACAAATCACGGTCACCCCGCAGGAAGAATGAAACAGGTGCACGATGTCAAGAGATGCTACAATTTGAAGGGAAAGGGGAAAGTACTGCAGCATGCAGGATGTGGGATGTGGATGCATGCAGGAGCTAATTGGGAAGGGTGCAGAAGAAATGAGAGGGAGCGCTAGTCCGAAGCTCAGCGAACTAGGGCAGGCCCGGCAGGCACCGAGGAAGGCAAGGGAAAGGAGGTACCTATATTTATCAGGACTTCACTAAGGAAGCTTCCTGTCGACTTCCTGTGAAGATTTGCAGCGTGTATGTGATCCTCGATCCCAGATGCTGTCTGCCTACATATGATATCATGTCCGCTGACACAATCACTGAGCCTTGCTCACAGCACTGGCACGTCGCGCAGATATACCAAGGTGTGTTTTTAAACGCTAATTGTACGACAATATCTCTTACCTGTACTCTACTCTATCCTATAATCTAACCGCACCCAAAACACCCCTGCGAGGCGCGACTTGCGCATATTTCCGAAGTTCGCATCCAGGTTCTCTTCCCCTTTCTTCCAGAGATTCATTAGCACGGTGATCTAGATTACATCTGGATACAAACTACGAACTATTCACAAACGCAGACACTCCAACTCCGCAAAAGACAATGTTGCCGTATTCTTCATGACTCAGTGGTGATCGATCATCTATGATCACCATCAAAACCCTCGTAAGTCAGGAACAATACCTGCGTTTTCTTGATTTATCACACTAGACCTTCAATTGCTTACGCGCAAAATTCAGCCCAATATTGTTTACACCTACAAGTTGGATGCAAAATGATGCTGAAAGGCGTTTGAATGGTATTGGATTTCAAGCAAAACTAGTTACTCTGGAGTCCGGGATACTGGACACACAAAAGTATCAATTTGTGCTTTGTTCTTCAAATTTCACGCACAGCCCATGCGTGGTTCCCCGTTCCTCTTTCACTGTTGACTTACTGTAAAACCCCGTTGCCATTCATTGACAGCAGACGTTCATTCAGCAATAAATAGCTGTGACCTTGGATGGCGATTCCTACATCCTCACTTTCGTTGCATTAACATCGTACGCTTCCAAGTACTCTCTCTATCTTTTACATCCATGGCCTACACATCCGTCACTCTGCAACAGAACGTTTATAAGGCCCACCATGAGCCTATAACCGTTGAAGACGTCGACGAGAATAATGTTTCTTCTCCAGCCTTGCAGCGTCTTATCAACTCAGCTCAAGATGCCACCGTTGGGGTGGCAGCCACGTATCGCTCCAACTGTTCTCTTTCCTCATTAGCATTTGCCACGCTCACCAGAGCGCTCATCGTCCACTTTGCTGCAAAGAAACAGAATCCGCAGCAGAAGAAGAAGAAGGGCCAGGAACAACAGCCTCCTGTTTCCCAAGGACGTATCCTCATACAAGACCAAATTCTCTGTAACGTTGGCATTAAACTCTATGGGTACAGGATAGACAGAATCGCACTTGCCCTCTTCCTAGACTTATCGCTTCGTATCAATGGCGCAATCGACATCCTGTCGGTGTCTACCAGTGATCGGCGCTCACTCCAGGCAATTACGAACGCCTTAGGCGGCGAGGAGTTACTCAAGAAGGACAACGTGAAAACCCTGTTCGCTCATAGAAAACGGGACGCAGCATCCAAGGATGTGGCGCTCCAGGCTTGGGCAGCATGTCGCGCTACCGCATTTGATAACATGAGGCTTAGATTTGCTGCTATATCTCGAATCGACACAGACACGATGCCAGATATAGTAGGTAATCTTTGTCACGTCATGAACTCCTCCTAATTCATAATATAGCATCTGAGCGCCCTCGCCAAGACCTCTCGTGATGCTGAAATTTTGGAGTCTTTGAAGCCAACGAAAGTCGTCAACAATGTCAAAGCAGACTCCATCAAGAAGGGCAGTGTCGATCTCGAGTGCACTCGCTTCAGTACGCGTATCATGAAGTCTAAAAATCAAGTATGTAAATTCATGAAACGTCATGCCACCAACATTGAACGTTCGCACTGACAGGTCATCCAAATCGAAATGCTGAACGGGAAAAAGCGGTCAACGATCACTGGTCGCGCAGAGCGAATAGATGGAAAACAGGCACATATCAATGTCCAAGGCGTAAAAAATGCTTCGGGCAAAATCCTCTCCGTGACCACCATCGGGAAAGAAGACTTGACGGCTGCTGAATCGGCCAGAGAAGATGTAGTACTGAAGGCGCTTCAGGGCACCATCACGTTGACCGAACATCCATTCTTCTGTAGTATCTGGGCGCCGTCATTAAACATCCCATGGCCGCCTCTGCATGCTCCCACCGCGTCGCTCGTCCACTATCCTGACGGTCAATTGAATCCCTCGCAGTATGAAGCAGTGGAACGAATTATTTCGCAAGCGGACAGGGACCGTGTATTGCTTGTTCAAGGCCCTCCTGGCACTGGCAAAACAACGGTCATAGCGGCCAGTGTCAACAGTATGATCAACACTGGCCCTATGGAGCGTACGATTTGGCTTGTGGCACACTCCAACGTTGCCGTCAAGAATATTGCAGAAAAGCTTGACAAGGTTGGTTTCCGTGAGTTTAAGCTTCTTGTATCGAAAGATTTCCATTACGACTGGTATGTCGCGCCTTTCTCACCTCCCCGTCATACTGAGTTTTTGTGTCTCAGGCATAAACACCTCTACGAGAGACTGGAACATTGTTTTATACGATCCGACATGTTCGGTGGCAGGGCTGTTACCGCTAGCCAGCACTTGCTCGACAAACACACAAACAAACCTACAAGAGTCGTACTTTGCACGTTGAGTATGCTGTCCAATCCTCGTATCGATGATTTTACTCGTCAAGTCCCGGTTCACACCGTGATATTCGACGAGGCAAGTCAAATCGAAGTGGGAGAATACCTGCCGCTGCTTCAGCGTTTCCAGCACAGCCTCAAAAAAATGGTGTTCATCGGTGACGACAAGCAACGTGAGACCCGGGTAGTTATTCCATCGTTGACCTGTACTGACTTAGATACCAGTGGCGCCATTCGGCCAAGATGACATTGGGCAGCTACGAAGTATTTTTGAGTTCCCGCACCTTCGAGAGCAGGCACACTTTTTGGATACCCAGTGTAAGCTCGTATCTCAACTTCATTCTCCTTGTTATTTCAACTTCATTATCCAGACCGCATGCCGCTCGTTATTGGCAGCTTCATTTCCCGCCATGTATACGATCAGAAGTTGATGACCGTGCACGACATCACTAACAAGGCAGCATGTCGTTTCTTGGATGTCAAAAAGGGCAAGGAGGAGAAATCGGGAAAGAGCTGGGCAGTACGTTTCTCCTCCTGACCATCGTGATATGCCTGCCTCACATTGTTTGCATTAGAACCAACAAGAGACGTCCATGGTTATCCACCTCGCCCGTATATATCACAAGCAGGGCAAGCAGTTCAGGATCATCACTCCGTATGATGGTCAGAGGTCTGTCATAGAAAAGCAGCTTCAATCAGCGAAGCTTCCATGGGAAGACAAGTGCTTCAACGTGGACTCCTTCCAAGGCAAGTACTAGTAGTCCCTTGACGTACTGGGAGGATCTTACTGACGGTCACCGCAGGAAACGAGGAAGACCATATAATCGTCTCTCTAGTCCGCACCCAGGGTGTAGGGTTCTTGACGAACATGCGCAGGATGAACGTCATGCTGACACGATGCAAAATGAGCATGATCATTTGCACGAACCGTGATTTCGTGACGAAGGGTAAAGCAGCAGACACGCTAGTCGGGCAGCTTGCCCTTACCGTGGACCCTGATGCCTGGTTGGACAGTCATGATATAGTCAATGGTATCTTAAGGTGATTTGGACTATTTACCTCGCACTTCTTGGTTGGGTTTTGCAACTTTCTTGTCGCATATTGCACTGCATTTCGTATTATATGGCAATTGATGTATGTACATGCTACAAGTCAGCGCCTACATAGTACAGAGACTCGTTATATTGAACCACATGCATATGGGAACTTGTACTTGGTGTGCGCATCGATGTTATAGGATACACACGACAGACAAACCTCCAGGAGGCCGCCATCTCGGTGTCAAGGTCGGGCACTGAGTACTGAGTATTGATCACACAAAATCTGAGTCTGTCACTGCTCCACAGCAATATACACTGAAGAGGAATAATGTACCACGAAACGTCGGGCAGTGTACTACTGCATCATGATAGTAAGCCCTTTGTGGTAGAACCTAACCCATTGACACCAACGTTTAGAAGGTGGACAGAGCTAGCCAATGGTTTGAATACCAACTACTATTAGCTTCCACTAGTACTGGTCTGGGCGCCATTGACGAATATTGAATCCGGGCACAACATCATGATGAGTCGAGCGAGCTGGGCGTTGTATGTCGCCGCATGATGATAATAAATAATGATAATAATAGGTGTTGTTCAACAAGTGCAAACAACCATCCCATCACCTTCCTATTCTGTGCGGCCAAGGAGCGATCATAGACGCATCAGCCTGCCCAAATCTTTATTTGAGCAAATCAGCTTATAGCCTCAGGTAGGCTCATACAAAATTCGTTCTTGGGCCTGTCGTGAGGATTTATGCAGAACAGAGCTCCCATCGACATAAAACTAGTCGTTCCCATACATCACGCAAGAATACGCGAAAGCAAGAGCGAACGGATCGTCAAAAGATAAAGGCGGGCTACTTCATACATAGCGCTAACTGAGCCAAACGGAAGATGGAAGAAGGACACGTTGAGGTTGGAGGAAATGGTAATTCGGTGGACGATGATGACCATGAGATGACAGAGACGAAACAAGGCGAACCTTCCGATGCTCAACCTAAAGCTGCTGGTCAATTTTCCTACATGTATAATTGTTGGGTTGGATTCTATCTTGCTTCGCAGGACGCTATATCCCACCGGGATTGAGGAAACAAGCCAATGGCGATACAAATGAAACAGAGGAACAACTCAAACTCACTCGCCAGCTGAAAGGTCTGATAAACAGGTAGTATCTTATTGTATTGCCGTGACCTGTACTAATTTTGTTTCGCATTAGAATGTGTGAACAAAGCATTGCAACCGCCCAAGACCTCAACCCTCACGAGCATCGTTATTGATGGCATATCATCTCACTCAACCCTTCTGGACTCATACGTGGTTCTGCGCACCGCATTTATATCTAGCCTACATAAATTGATCTGCACTGCATTTGGTACGTGTCTTGTGAAATGAGCTTCTACCACCTGAGCTGATGCACGCACATCATACGCTCAGCCGCGTATTTTGTTCAGAACGTAGTGTCATCGTACGAACACCCCGCTTCGGTGGAGGAAAAGTCAGCCAACTCAATGGAAGTATCTGAAGACCTAGGGAAAGAGTATTCCAACCTCATCGTGCTTTTGTCGGAGCTGTACAATTTTCAAGTCATTTCATGCATTCTCGTTTATGATACATCCGCGGCCTTCTGGATAAAGACCTATCTGAGTTCCGGGTAGAACTTCTGCTGAAATTCTTCCAAGTAAGTTTGATAGTATCTATTCTCGTAGCATGTTAACCGTGTGCTAGGTTCCGGCCAACAACTACGACAGGATGATCCCATGGCATTGAAGGACATCGTAACTTTAGCACAGACCGGACAAGCCGATACTATGAGGTACCACACTTCATCATCTTTATTACGGCATTCTCACTGCAAAACACAGTTCACGCACGCGTTTCATGATCGAGACCCTAAATAATCTGAAGAACAATAAAACCAAGAAGACGGCTGCGACACAGCATCAGGGGGGCGATGCGGTCGAGCGGATGAAGAAGTTTCTCTCAGGGTTGGGAAAAAAGAAGCACGGTATGTCGTTCCTCCGTTGGGTTATTTAGGAGGGTGCTGAGGTGGATGCAGTTCTCGCGCACGAGCCGTTGCGGGTATCTTTGGAGGATCTTCATTCGGCGGAAAGCAAAGGAAAGTGGTGGCTCATTGGGGCTGCTTGGGGTGGAGATCCTCTGGCCGATCAGCCGCGCGAAGTTCCCCAGCATAGTGGGGAACCGGAGACGGATGACGTCAGCACTGCCGCGCTTCTAAAGCTCGTGAGGAAAAAGGGCATGAATACAGATATTCGTCGAAGTATCTAGACGCTTGCGAACGACTTGCGCAACTCGGCCTCACGGAAGTACAACAACGCGAGATCATCAGAGTAAGCCTGCATTGTTGTGGAAATGTACGTGATTCCATAGGATTTTGCATCGCCGTCGTTGGCTGAACCAGTTTCGCAGGAAAAATTTTATAACCCGTATCACACGCTTGTCTGTCAGAACCTGTCCCAGCGTTAGCATTCGTACAAGGTCACATTGCAGTTCTGTTTATGGGACTTTCTTTGGGACTTGGGCGAAAGTAGCGTTGGTGGGGTAGAGGTGATCAAGAGCCTGAAAGATAGCAATGTAGGGTTTGATGTCAAATCTATGTCGCCTTCGCGAATGAAGAACGTGGGCAAAGCATACGCATGATGGATAGCTAAAGATGATTGTAGGCTGACGATCTTCAAGGTGAGCCTGAGCAGTTGGCGCAAGCAGTTGCTGAAACGAGTATCTTACAGCCCGTGGATTTCACGATGCTCAAGCCACAGACACGCAGTTTCTTGAAAGAGTTATACATACAGCTGTTTATCGCTAGCCAGGTTACGTCACCGATGCTCAGCAACGACTCCGGCGACTATCTTCCCTGAGGAACCGTGGATCACTCGAAGAGATCTTCTTGAAAACGCCCAGGATCGAAAACCTGGGTCTTGGATTGGTGTTCTTCATGTCTAATACGTTCAAAGGAGAGGATGGGTTCTTGACTTGGGCTAGCTCGGTGGCAAAAGAGACGCTACAGACTGGAATGGAAGAATATAACAATGCTTGATTACGCAAATTTCGTAAATGCCGCACTAGAACATGCACTCCCGATGCTCCCGCCGAATGAAATAGTTGGGTGCTCTATACGAGAACTTCGGCGAGAATATCAGCATGTGGTTTCTTTACGAAATGTACGCCACATACTGGTACTGCAGGCCGGTTTCTTCGGTAATGAACTTTGATTGCAACTCCAATTCAGTAAAGTTACAAGCTGGGGTGATTAAAGGGCCCTTATTCAGTTTCAAAGCCAAGTGACATAATGCATACGCACATGTAATTAAAAAATGCCCGCCTGGATTCAAAAGCTTCGCGATACGCATCGGATAACCTTCTGCTGGAATCCTTCCATTCTCATCCTTCTCCATTAGCGCGATGGCATCGTATGTGCCTTTATCAAGGATAAGATCCCAAGCTCCATTCTGGTTAGCTTTCTGATCATCTGCGAGCAACGGTGGGTCCTCATGCAGGAAATCGCACACTCTAAACGTAATGGCCGTAAGATTCCGAGAATGCGCCACCGATTGAGCGAGCTGGACAGCTCCTTCACTATAATCAATTCCTAGGAGTCGATGTGCTGGATAACACGCCTCTCTACGCCCCTCCGCTAGCGCGAACAATAGTGCACCGTTCCCACTTCCAACTTCAAGGACTGACATATCAGGGTGTGGAGGGGCGTGTTGATTCGCCCACTTAACCATCTCATTCATCGCCTTTTTGCCGAACCTAGGCGCCAGAAATACGGATGCAATGGAAGTGGTGTTAATACGCACCATATTTCACCCTCGTCACCATTTTCACTGAAGTTCTCCAATTCTTCCTCGTAGACGTTATCCCAACTGATTATCGATGAGTGATGGGGCCCACAAGTTTGCACAGAAGTTGAACACGCCTACTGTTCTTTCGTACCGAGCTTTGAGGGCTCGAGTTCTGATGTGTCCATGACGTTTTTAGGACTGATTTTGGAACTGAAGCAAGTCGTTGACAACTATCACAGAATGAAAGGTGCTGCTTAGTAAGCCGGTCAGCATGCGGGTTGCATGCTGTCTCGAATTTTGATAAATATGTGAAGGAACTCTGAGAAGCAGAATCGGACGGCACGTAGTATAAGCGAGCCAGGACCAAAGGAATGAGTGATGATATTCATTATGATGGATATATTAAATGGGATAGGAATACAGAGTAGACTTGAGATATCTGAGTAATTCTCCTAGTTTAAGAGCATGGAAACGACTTACCGGTACCATAAGTAACCAACGAATGAGAATTGAAAGTTATCTCGACTTTCCATCTGTCTTGTCTAACAGGTCCTTAGCTTCGTTGATTTTACTCGCTATGTATGGCGAACCCCCACGGTCAGGGTGGTTTGCGAGCATGATGTGACGGTGGGCATCTTTCAACTTGTTGCGCAGTGTTATGCCATCTCTGCAAAAAGCACTGCCATCAGATACTAGGTGATAGATAGTGCTGAAAGTGCAAACTTTAGCCCAAGGATTGCAATAGCCTCCTTGCGATCCATTTTCGCTTTAAAACCACCCTTGACCCACTGGTCTGCTGCCCGCTTTCCAATAATACCATTGCGCAGAAGATGTCGACCAACGAGAGCAGCTGTGATAGCTCCAACACCGACAATTACAGGAGTTGTCATGAGAGGAAAAGAAGAGAGCAGGTGTGGCTGTGCTAAATTTGGTCACTAATTGTGACACGATTACCCGGCCGCGTTTTCCTGAAATTGAATTGACTTATCACACTGCCTTCAATTGCTTACGCGCAAATTCAGCTCAATGTTGTTTGCAACTACAAGTTGGATACAAGACGCTGAAAGGCGATTGAAAGGCGTTGGATTTCAAGCAAAACTAGTTACTCTGGGATACTGGACACACAAAAGTACCCATTTATGCTTTGTTCTTCAAGCACAGCCTATGCGTGGTTCCCCTTCCCCCTTTCACCGCTGACTTGCTGTAAAACGCCGTTACCATTCATTGACAGTAGACGCTCATCCAGCAATAAATAGCTGTGACCTTGTATCACGTTCCTACATCCTCACTTTCAGCGCGTTGACTTCGTGCGCTTTCTCTCTCTATCTTTTGCGTCCATGACCCACACATTCTTCACTCTGCAACAGGATGTTTATAAGACTGATCATGGACCCATAACCGTTGAAGACGTCGACGAGAACAATGTTTCTTCTCTAGCCTTCCAGCGTCTTATCAACTCAGCTCCAGGCGCCTCCGTTGGTGTGGCGGCCACGTATCGCCCTGACTGTTCTCTGTCTTCTTTAGCATTTGCAACACCCAGCCGAGCGCTCGTCATCCACTTTTTTGCTGCGAATAAACAGAATCAGCAACAGCAGCAGCAGCAGAAGAAGAAGAAGGGCCAGGAACAACAACCTCCGGTTTCCCGAGGACGCATGCTCATGCAAGACCAAATTCTTTGTAACATTGGCATTAAACTTTATGGATACAGGATAGACAGAATCGCACTTGCACTCTTCCTAGACCTCTCGCTTCGTATCAATGGCGCAGTTGACATCCTGTCGGTGTCTACCAGTGATCGGCGCTCACTCCAGGCAATCATGAATGCCTTGGGCGGCGAGGTCTTACTCCAGAAGGACAACGTCAAAACCCTGTTCGCTCATAGAGAAGGGGACGCAGTATCCAAGGATGTGGCGCTCCAGGCTTGGGCAGCATGTCGCGCCGCCACACTTGATGACATGACGCTTAGATTTGCTGCTATATCTCGAATCGACACAGACACGATGCCAGATATAGTACGTAGTATTCGTCACGTCATAGACATCTCCTTCTAATTCATCATGTAGCATCTGAAAGCCCTCACCAAGATCTCTCGCGATGCTGAAATTTTGGAGTCTTTGAAGCCAACGAAAGTCGTCAACAATGTCAAAGCAGACTTCAACTCCAAGAAGGGCAATGTCAACCTCGAGTGCACTCGCTTCAGTACGCGTATCATGAGGTCTAAAACTCAAGTATGTGAATTCATGGGACGCCATGCCACCAACTTTAAACGTTTGCACTTATAGGTCATCCACATCGAAACACTGAACGGAGATCAGCGATCAACAATCACTGGTCGCGCAGGGCGAATAGACGGAAAACAGGCTCATATCAACGTCAAAGGCGCTGTAAATGCTTCGGGCAAGGTCCTCTCCGTGACCACCATCGGGAAAGAAGACTTGACGGCTGCTGAATCAGAAAGAGAAGTTGTAGTGCTAAAGGCGCTTCAGGGCACCATCACATTGACCGAACATCCATTCTTCTGTAGTATCTGGGCGCCGTCATTAAATGTCCCATGGCCGCCTCTGCATGCTCTTACCGCGTCATTCGTCTACTATCCTAACGGTCAATTGAACCCCTCGCAATATCATGCAGTGGAGCGAATTATTTCGCAAGCGGACGGGGAAGATCGTGTATTGCTTATTCAAGGTCCTCCTGGCACTGGCAAAACAACGGTCATAGCGGCCAGTGTCAACAGTATGATCAACACTGGCCCTATGGAGCGTACGATTTGGCTTGTGGCGCAGTCCAACGTTGCCGTCAAGAATATCGCAGAAAAGCTTGACAAGGTTGGCTTCCGTGATTTTAAGTTGCTTGTATCGAAAGATTTCCATTACGACTGGTATGTCGCGCCTTTCTCACCTCCCCGTCACACTGAGTTTGTGTCTCAGGCATGAACACCTCTACGAGAGACTGGAACATTGTTTTATACGATCCGACATGTTCGGTGGTGGGGCCGTGACCGTCAGCCGACTTTTGCTCGACACAAGAGTCATACTTTGTACATTGAGTATGCTGTCCAATCCTCGTATCGAAGAATTTACTCGTCAAGTTCCGGTTCAAACCGTAATATTTGACGAAGCAAGTCAAATCGAAGTGGGAGACTACCTGCCGCTGCTTCAGCGTTTCCAACACAGCCTCCAAAAAATGGTGTTCATCGGTGACGACAAGCAACGTGAGACCCGGGTAGTTATTCCATCGTTGACCTGTACTGACTAGGATATCAGTGGCACCATTCGGCCAAGATGACATTGGGCAGCTACGAAGTGTTTTTGAGTTCCCGCACCTTCGAAAGCGGGCACACTTTTTAAATACTCAGTGTAAGCTCGTATCTCGACTTCATCCTCGTTGTTTCAACTTTATTATCCAGACCGCATGCCACTCGTCATTGGGACCTTCATTTCCCGTCATGTATATGGTAACAAGTTGATGACCGTCCACGACATTGCTAGCAAAGCAGCATGTCGTTTCCTGGATATCAAAAGGGGGCAGGAGCAGAAATCGGGAAAGAGTTGGATAGTACGCTTCTCCTCTTTATACTCGTGGTATGCCTGCCTTACGTCTTTTGCATTAGAATCAGCAAGAAATATCTGTGGTTATCCACCTCGCCCGTATATACAACAAGCAGGGCAAGCAGTACAGGATCCTCACTCCATATGATGGCCAGAGGTCTACGATCGAACGTCAACTTGAATTAGCGAAGCTTCCGTGGGAAGACAAGTGCTTCAACGTGGACTCCTTCCAAGGCAAGTAGTTTCTTTGACATGCTGGAAGGATCTGGCTGACACTCGCTGCAGGAAACGAGGAAGACCACATAATCGTCTCTCTAGTCCGTACCCAAGGTGTAGGGTTCTTGAAGAACTCGCGCAGGACGAATGTCATGCTGACACGATGCAAGAAAAGCATGATCATTTGCACGAACCGTGATTTCGTGACGAAGGGTAAAGCAGTAAGCACGCTGGTCGGGCAGCTTGCTCTTACCATGGGCCCTGATTCCTGGTTGGACGGTCGTGATATAGTTAATGGCATCTTAAGGTGATTTGGACTATTTACATCGCACTTCTTGGCTGGGTTTTGGGACTTTCTTGTCACACCTTGCACTGCATTTTGTATTATATGGCAATTTGTGTATGTACATTCTGTAAGTCAGGGTATATAGAGACTCATTATATTGAATCGTATGCATACGGGAACTTGTACTTGGTGTGCGCATCGATGTTATAAACCATAGATACTCAACCATCCAGGAGGCCACCTGGTATTAAGGTCGGATACTGAGTACTGACCCCCCGAAATCTGTCACTGCTCTACAGCAATACACACTGACGACGAGAGTCACGTACTATGAAACGTCGGTGGGTGGTGTACTACTGCATAAACCCTCTATGGTAGAACCCCCCAACGCTTTGAAGGTGGACAGAGTCCGCCCGAACTTACTGATAGCTTGAACAACCACTGGTAGCGCTGCCACTGATCTGGGCGCCATTGACGGTGTTGGACTTGGGCATAACGTCATGATGTTGAGGGAGCTAGGCGTTATCGTATGTTTTTTACATTGCATGGTAATGTCAGTCACAATAAACAAACAGGCAGAACGTACAGTCAATAGACTACCACAAAGCACAAAGGAATTAACACGTCATAACGAACGTACTGAGGTATCATACCGTCACTCAATACAGAAGACGGCTATCCTCCTTCCTTTCGCCTTTGTTAGGGGGACAATGAGTAACAATCAGCATTCTGATTGATGGCAACCCCAAATAGCGCGCCTAGCAGTGTGACTTGGCGAGTCGTGGTCAGCAATACTTAGGCAATCGAGTCTGTGAAAAGAATCACAGCTGAATTTAGATTCTCCCATGGAGTTCCGGAGTCAGAAAAAGAGCTTGACCGGGCAAGAGTCTGGATGACACTTGGGGACTTAAAACGGCAAAGCGACAAAGACTGCGGAGAGATTGTGATACCTATAGACAATGGAAAGACTCGGAGGGCCGCTCAAAGAGCTGGGAACCACGAGGACCGCTTGGAAACTGCAGCTAGAGTCAGAACTCAGCAAGCGCCCGCCTAGTCATGAGGCTTCGGGCCCGGAGCCTCATTGCAGACCTTGAAATAGAGTCGCACTCCATCGTTACACATTGCCACTCACCACCATCATCATATCCAAAGCCATCATGTCCACAGCAACAAGACTACTCTACCAGAATGTCATGGGTGTCGACAGTGGAACGCTATCAGTCCACATTATACCTGAATCACACTTGAACGAAGAGGAAAATCAGTTGCGCAGTCTGTTAGAAAGGAACGAGGGACATGCCCTTGGCCTTGCTGGCGGATTTGCGCCCACTGGAGAGCTCGCGATGCTTGCAATCGCTGACACGTCCACGATTGTCATCATCGAATTCGAGTTGAGGAAGAGCAAGGGCAACGAACACGATGAACGCCCTGTCACACCCGCCAGTAAGGTAAATACTGCCGCTCGGGTGTTTTTGACACAGAACCTCCTCCGTCGCACCACCGGATTCTTATACGCATTCGACATCGCACCAATCGCCCTTGCTTTATCTCAGACACTTGATCTTCGGATCGCAAATGCGATCGATATGCAGAGCGCAGGACCGAAAACACGTGCCCCGCTCGCCACCGTTAAACAGGCCATTGGTGATCTTCATCATGTACACGATGGAAACATCAACAAAGTATTCTGCGATGATACCATCATCGATCATCCCCTCGTTACTAAGAATGGCACCAGTTCACTTGCACAACGTGCATGGATCGCACACTATATCTCGCAACTCCCAACCATGGACGATCGTCTCGCGCAAGTGCCTCCAGTGGACACCTTCCGACTCTCTGATGAGGTAGTTCACTGCTTTCTTGGTGAATGATGGCGCTGATTGTGATCACAGGCGTTGGAATTCCTTGCAAAGAGCTCGAAGGATTCATTCCAACTCGAGCAGAAGAAGCCGACCGAGGTCACGCGCCAGTTTGCCACTTCTATCGACCATAAGGACAACCACATCAATGCCCAAGCTGACAGATACCAGAACAAAATTCGCAAGGGCCAGCATCAGGCATGTCATTCGCGTATCCATGGCGTGCCTTATTTGACAGCTAATTTTCTCAGCGTGCATTCATTGATATCGGCGGGCGCAGCGGGCGGGGCTTCACTGTTGACGGTCAGGTTGCCAAGTCTAAGGGTCGCACCGCGAAACTCGCTACCACTAACAGTCTCAGTTTCGTTGGCAAGATCATCGGTTCGATTAAGATCATCGGTCGTGATGACCCTACGCAGGCTGAGATCCAGCGTGCTCAGAAGGTTCTAGAGATCCTCCAAGGTCTCATTAACCTCGAGCACGACAATCCGTGGGTTCAGTTGATATTCTTTTCGTCTCCCAGAGATAACTTCCAATGGCCCTCCGCCTGGACGGAGGAGGCGAACGATGCGGATGTTGTCAGATTCCGTGCCGACCGTGTCAGTCGCCCCCTCAATCCATCCCAGACGAAAGCTGTGAAGCGGATGCTCCAGCAGTCGAATGACGGGCGTCTTACTGTCATCCAGGGCCCCCCTGGAACCGGTAAGACCACTGTCATCGCCTCATTTGTTCAGACTGCCCTTGCCGGTGGACTCTCTGGCATCTGGCTCATTGCCCAATCCAATGTTGCCGTCAAGAATATTGCCGAGAAACTCGCTGACTTTGGCCTGACCAGTTGGAAGCTTCTAGTCTCAAAGGAATTTTTCGAATACTGGTCAGTCCTTTTGCTGGTGGTCTTTCCCCTTTAGGCAGACTGACATAATCTAGGCATGAACACCTCTATGCCAACATTCGGGCCAATATCATCATATCCGAGGACTTCTCTGCGCCAGGTTTTTTTAAGGAGCTCCAGACCACCCCGATTGTTCTATGTACCTTGTCTATGCTATCATCTTTCGCTCTTCAAAGGTTTGGAGGTTTTAAAGCTGCGCCACTCAGGACCCTCGTCATCGACGAAGCGTCCCAAATTGAGATTGGTGACTACATTCCTCTCTTCACCTCTCATACCTCCATTAGAAAGGTGTGCTTCATTGGTGATGATAAACAATGTAAGTATTTATGCTGCATGTCATCGCATGTTCTGACATCTTCAGTGCCACCCTATGGTCAGGATGATATCCAGGACCTGAAGAGCATCTTCGAGGTCAAGCATCTCAAGGACCACGCCATTTTTTTAAATACCCAATGTAAGTCCTTACCTTAATGTGCTCCTACCCCAAAATTTAACATTTTATTGTAGACAGGATGCCCCCTCAAATTGGAGGGTTCATATCTGAAGCTGTGTATGACGGCCAACTGGAGTCGAATCCGTCACACCCCGTCGCGAACGAGAGAATGGCTTGTCATTTTGTCAACATTCCCAGCCAGGAACAGCTACATGGAACTAGTTGGAAGGTAAACCACTTGAATTCAGTCACTCGCAGTTGATCAATGTCGTGCGCAGAACATTGGAGAATGCCAAACCATTCTGTGCATCGCTGGCATGTTGCAAGCAAAGAATAAGCAATTCCGCATCATCACCCCGTACGACGCTCAGCGGAGTTTGATTGAGGAGGGCTTAAAGCTCCAGGAGCTCGATTGGGAGGATAAGTGTTTCAACGTCGACTCGTTTCAAGGTTCGTTCTCGCAACATATATTTGTAACCATCATGTTTACGGTTTGTATGTGTAGGTAACGAGGAAGATTACATTGTGATCTCACTCGTGCGGTCCACGGCGCTCGGATTCCTCGCCGATTTGCGCCGGACTAATGTCATGCTTACTCGATGCAAGAAAGGCATGATCATTTGCACGAGCCAGAAATTTATGAAACGAGCAGGGTGTAACTCACTCGTAGGCAGCCTATTAGAGTATTACGAGCACGAGTGGATTGAGAAGGACGAGTTGGAGAGGATCGCGGTGTAGGTGGGCTCGCGAAGGTGCTAGTCGAATGGTCGTCATCGGACTTAAACAGGGCTTTGAGTGCTTTCGTGATGATAGTTAGTTGTACAATACTTTACTGTTGATCTGTAAAATAGCTTGCGCGGTTGGTTGTTCCTGGATCAAGGCATATTTTTTTTTCTTTTTCTCGCAGTAAAGAACGAATTTTCTTGTTTCAATTGCGTACGAGTGGTATGCGATAAGTAGGTATAGTTTAGTTTTGTGCGAATGAGAGTAGGGTAATCTAATGGAGTTTGGACGTCGTAATCACCAACACAAGTTGGACAGGTCTTGTGCGGCTACAAGGAGGGCGGTCGCTGATAACCGTTTCACGCATGTATAGAATTCTCGATCGAGCATCCAACAAGCTTCTATTGAACCGGCACGGGCGTTTGATCGCTTGCGATTATCTACAGTCAAGATCAAGTAATCTCCATCAGTGTCGGGGCTTCGCGTTCACGAGCCAAGGCACAAACCTTGATCAATGCCACCAGGCCTATAACCGTGCGTGCACCTGCGTGCCCACCGCTAATTTCTTCGTTCTGTCTTTCAACTGGAGCTCTCCAGCCTCGCAAATCACTCGTATATCCCGGAGCGCATCTGCGATGTACTGCTTGAACTCGTTCGTGGAGGTGAGCGGGGATGAGAATTTGGACTCAACGCAGAATTTGACGCAGTGAGGTGCTATGAGATCTGTGAGAGGACAGAGTATGAGCTTAGTTTAGTAGCGAGGGTGAGCGTGAAAGGAATCTCCAATTAAATTCGAAAGCGAACATCTTCGGTCGACCTGGTCAACTGATGGTGATGTCGGTGACAATAACAAATGCAGATGGGAAACCATTACAGATGAAAACTCCCTCACTGAGGTTCGACGATCCCGCAAAACAATTATAAAAGAAACGAGTTAAACTTACAATTAATCCCATAACCATCCTCCCAACCAGCTCCAAAGCCAGTGCCTCGGAATTGATCACCGGCGCTCAGGCCACTAGTACTGAGCTTCCACTCCTGAGAGCGAGAGAAAAGAGGGTCGGTGAAGAGGGGGTGCGTACGTTTTTGCGGGGGGCCGGTGGGACTTGAACTCGAGGGAAAGTCCGAGGAGGAGGAAGCAGGTGTGGACGCATCTAGAGGGAGTTCTTCGAGCATTAACTTCAGGCCTAATAAGTGCCTATCGATTCCACGACCCGTAGCAGCTTCTCTCGTGCGCCTTGCGTGGGTTTGGATGGCGTGTTGGAGGAGGGGGAAAAGTACGCGAGGCTGATTAGATTAGTGGATCAAAAAATATGAGTTTCCGTCGTCACTATAAAGGTATGAAACGAATTCACCTCCACTTCGTGCTGGCCCCCCTCTGCCACATACTCAGCTCCACGTCCCCATTCCTTGGCAGCTTGAACAAAGTCTAATCCCTCCACACTTGCACTCCTCACGCATTCTGTACGGCCAGCATTGAACATTCGCGTAAGGGCTGTTTCATAGGTCGCTGTGAGGAATCCGCGGGAGCGGTACCAGGCAAGTTGAAGCGCAAGTTGGATATAGGCGTCTGGCGGAAGGAGTGCTAATAATGAAATGTTTAATGACCTTTGCAACAAAAGAAAGAAGGGTACAGGAGAGGGGAGAAATATTGAGCTTCATGGGTATGAGTTTCGGATGTTCACCATAACATTTAAAAAAATAAAGAAGAGACAAAACGCCACAGAATCTACAAGGAGTCGCAAACTCACCAACATTACTTATCCATTCTGCTCCATATTCCCCGAATTCCAAAACCCCTGCCTCTGAGTCATTGATCGAGGCCTGAGCCCGTCCTTCCGCTTCTCTTATTTGAGTTTCGATCCGCTCGTCGGTCACCCAGTCCAAACGGGACCACCCTTTGCCACCATCACTCACACGAGCCTCCTCTAAAGTAAGAGGGCGTGGAACAGGCTCTGAGAATGCAGAAGAGTCGATACCAGCAATGACACCATAATCAAAGACAATGCTGGGCACTAAAGCATCGACAGGTGCATGTTCACCCATTGCGCCAGCACGGGTATTGCGCTCTAATGATAGGGTAAGGCTTTTATCGAAGAATCTGTTCCGAGCTCGGGGAGGGGAGCGGGTGTTGTGAAGGTGTGCGTGGATTTCTGCCCCAGAGTCCAATGCTGGGATGCTTGCGTGAGATGATTGGGAAGAACTTGGTAAGGTAGCGGTTGGGTAATGCGATGGCATGGCAGTGTAATGGTCGAGAGAAAGAGCCATTATAGATTCGTTGATAGCGCGGAAGGTCGAGGCATTTGTAGGTGAAAGGGAAAGCAAGTGTTGATAATTCTATGGGAGTGATGTCGGTTAGTAAGGGGACGAGCAAGAAAATAAGAATCGAAAGACACACTGACCTCTGCCCAACGGTCTCTATCATCCGAAGTCAAGACACCGACTGGCACGGCGCTTTCCCCGGAATCTATTCTCTTAATTACGTCCAGTACTACCGCACGTATTCGATCCTCCATGGTCTGTACAGGCAACGGTGTCCGATCATCATCACAGACCCTTACAGTATACACAAAATCATACAACATGAGCATGATATCCTGGGCATGCTCGGATGCCGGATTCCTGGTTGCAAGTACATCCGCTCCAGCTCTTGGTAAGCGACATGTGTTGAACATCTTCTCCGTATTAGTTAGGAGCCAGACACCGGTACGGGTTGTGTCAGGGTCTGGATGCTGGTTAACCATGCGGGCGCGCCAGTCTAGAATGCGATGCAATATGCACGCGGCACGGCGCACCTGCCATGGTTCAATACCTGATCTAGTGTCACCGCGCAAGATCGACTCGGGTATGGAGGGATCATTAATGAACGTAAGCCACCAGTTGGAATTGATGAGGAGCGGGGCACGCCATGAGAGGTAGGCATGGTTCGTCCAAATATTATCGTCTAGCCAGTTATGTGGCGACCGAGCGTCCAATTCTGCAGGTGCGGTTGGTTGAATTAATTTTTGTCGGATTAACAGAAGGACATACCATGGAGCTTATGTTGGCAAAGGCGGCCAATACCTTTCTCAAAGTCATCTGCCCATTGAACACGTTTTTCGTAGCTCGCTTCAAAAAGAGAGTGACCGCGTGCCTCATCTTCGCGCAAAAAAGGCTGAATAGACTGCAAGTAGCGGTCCAGCGTCTTGCGGAGGTCTGGTACGGGCAAACGCGGCAACTTTGCCATGGTGCTCAGCCCAGCACACCTCAACGAGAGGATGAACGAGGAACTTTGGTATAGCCTCGGGCGGTATCGGAGTGTTATGCGGCCGCCTACTAGTAACGTTGACCTTGAGATCATGCCAGTCGCGGTGAGCAAAGGACACACGTGACTTAAATTATAAAATGGTGTGAACACGCGCGACGTGACGCGCCTTTGTGTTAAGCCTGAGTTTTAGCTTCGATGGTTGAACCCGCTGCACCTGCAAACATCGTTAAATGGGTCAACGAACAGTATCCACGTCCAGCTCTAGATCCAGTAAATTCTAATTAATAGTTTGCATTTATGATATTTATTCACCCGCAGGTTTGGCTTCGTGACTGTTGCTCATGGATCGCGCACTCCTACTCCCTTTCTCCAACTGACTTTCCACAATTTAGTTCCCATGTAACTTCTCAATTTTTTCAGTCCAGCCTCGCAGACTCCACCCTGCCAAACACTGGTCTCCCACAAAATATCCATACCATCAAAAGGGCTCGTCTTACAGGCCTTCCATGCCTCGTAGAGATTCGTGCCATCAGCGACATTGGTAATAGTGCGTTCAGCTTGATGAACGTGAGGCAAAATCGTATGGATCGAGCGGACTTGGCTGGCCTTGCTAGAGAGGATGAAGAGGATGCGGAAGAGGATGAAGGACCAGTCCCAAAGTATCCGAGAGGCATGCTGCGTCTTGAGTTAAGCGATGGTTTCACAACTGTTGAAGCTGTAGAATATCGTTCTATACCACAGCTTGAACTTGGCGTCACTCCGCTGGGGTACAAGGTACGTATTGGTCAGTCGCTTTGTGTCGTTTTGATAGAGTCCGGCTGTTAGATCCTCTTGAAAGACGTACAGATTCGCAGAGGCATTATCTTCCTTGAACCCCAGACGATCGAGCTGAAAGGACATCAAACAGAGGACCATGAGGTAATGCAAGATGAAATATTTCTGCGCAGCTTGAGACGGAGGCTTGGGTGAGTTCCATTCATTTAAATAATCATCAAACTAACTAATACTCCTTAGACAAGCCGACCCAGAACCCAATCCACAACCACCTGGTGAAGCAGAGGCGCCCCCGCTCCTCAGAGTTCCATCTCCTCCTGTTGCTAACGGACCGTCTGTTGGTAATCCACCCGAAAGTTCAATATCGACCAATGCTGCACCTCCAGCAGTTCGATCGAAGCCCTCATCTACTGCAGCACCAAAACCAAGCTTAGCACGAGCAGCCTCGAAGTCAAGCTCTATCCCCGCTTCCACCTCGTCTACCCTTGTCGCATCTTCCAAACCAACCTCTTCGCTCAAGCCTCCCTCTGCTCCAGGTAATCTTGCGTCGACCACCTCGCCATACTTTTCTACGTCTTCTACGCTGTCAACCTCAATCCCTTCGTCATCGACCTCCGGCACTAATCCACAGGATAACCCCTCTGCCCCCCTGGCAAGGGCTCGGATCCTCTCCCCCGCACCACGGGATGCCATGTGGAGCTTGGATGACGAGGAATTCGAGGCTTTCATAACTGAGTCCGGATCAGCGCCTATCTCACCTTCAAAGCCCATCTCCAAACTGCCCTCAAAGCGAAATGTTCCATCTGCAAAACCTGCGTCACCACCCCGTCCCCCATCCCCACCATCAGATTACGATTTAGATTTGATGGACCTAGACATCGATGAAGAACTCCTTGCGCAAGCGGATAAAATAGAGGCAGAAGCATTAGCGACTGTTTCTAAACCACCAGGCACGAGAGGCTCAGGTTCTAATACACGAGACATGCGTCAAATGAATGCTTCGCAGGCGAAAGGTTCACGCTATCAAGGTATTCAAGGGATGACAACTGCTCTGCAGATGGCGTCTGGCTCATCTCGACCGTCCGCAGTTTCAACCGTTAGCACAACGACATCACATCCCCGAATCGGTCCTACATCGGCCCAACGCCGGCCAGCAAACTCCACCCAGTGTGGGGTACCGAGCCCTGCTTCCGTTCGACGTCAACATGTTCCGTCTACCTTGCGGGAAAATGTCATTGACGTCGAGTCGGACGATAGCATGTATGTGGACGATTCAGATGATGGAAAAGAGAATGTTCCAACACGGACGCGAACACGGACGCGGGCGGTAGTCGATGAGGATATAATTGAGATTTCTGATTGAGAATATTTTGATTAATGTTGCAAATTCTTTGTATGTGATGTTCTTTGGTCAATTATATCACCACTCGATTTCAAGTGTTAGGAGAGCTATTTCATAGACACCCGATGTTGGCTTCTTGTACAACTAGGTTCGGAAGGAGATGCAGGGGTTACAGAGGTCGAGGCGAGTATTGTCTCCCGCACCTTGGATGCGTCCCGTTGTTATACTTTTTTTTAATTTAAAAAATCAAATTTATTGCCGTTCGGGGTTGGAGACCGCTGTTATACTTATCTACAGTCACTGACCACCTCATCATCAAGTGTCGTACATCGAAAACTGGAATTTCCATAAACTCTGTCTCTACCTTGACAGTCCCCTTCTCAAAAACCTCTCCATCCCACATAGATGACCAAGTCTCGGGAGAATGAGAAAACGTCTGATACTCGGCACCTGATAAATTGGCAGTCACGGTGCCCTTTTCGCGAGATCCGGTGTCAAAGCCGCAAATTACAGAACCTGGCTGAGCAGATAAAAGGCCCGCGAGAGCCCTGGCAACGTGCAATTGTTTCTCCTCGTTGAAGAGGTGGAAGAATGTAATAGCGTTTATTGCGCTAATGCGACCATGAAGGGAGTTGAGGGTTTTCAGCGAGGACAAATCAATGGCTGGCGCCGGAGAGATGTCGTCTGACGGCGCTGCTATAGAAAGAAATTCTGGATCGAAGACATCTCCAGGAAGGAGGCATCCCGGATAAGAAGCTGGTGTCGTTTTGAAAAGTTCGTGGCTTAGTTGAAGAAACTCTGTAAACACACATCGTCAGCAAGAATGGTTATTCACAGGAAAACTGTATTACCGCTGACGATATCCGACGCAATAACGTTTTTGGCAGGGAACCCATCCGCCGCAGCCTTTCTGGCGTCAACACCGACTAGAATGGAGTCAGAAGATTATTCAAGACAAGTACATAATGATTTGACGTACAACAACAACCGATGTCGAGTAACACTGCATCGGGGCGCTCGCGACCAAGCTGGAGGATGTGTTCATACACAGGAAAATTTGATAAGTTTAACCTGAAAAATGTTCAATTTCCGTGTGACGTGCAGATCTACTGAAAACATACCGAAGGAAGTTGAATACATGAATACAAGGATATGGCGCAACCTGTCAGTGGCAGATGGTTATTAGACTTACTACGAAGTCCTCTGGGAATGACTTGCCTTGTATGCTTTCGCCTGAACTTCTAGGATATGCCTTTTCAAGTCTTCATCATCATCAATACCAGTTTGTGTCTTGAAGAACGCAGCTTGTGCGGGAGACAGGTTGTAGAAGCTAGTGTCTACTGTTGGGACTGACGCGGTGCGAACTGTTACGTCGCCCAACGTCATCATGGAGTCCTCGTGCATAGAAGCGCCTTCCATCTTGAGGGGCTACAATTTGTCCTGAGGCAGCATTCCGCGTCCTTTTTAACGCGAACGACTCTTCCCTGAAGCGTCTACAGATATCAATAAGATAATCGTTGCCGAATCGGTTGCTGTATTGTTCACCTGATTCAGCTAGTGAAGCTATGTGAAGCTAGCATCCCCGATTCCAGCGGGCTTTGTCGGACGTAAAAAAATTCCTATCGCTATATAACAAGACGTGCGAGCATCTGTTCATCTCTTGTGGCAGTGGTAGCCCAAGATATGATGTGAAAATGGAAGCGTGAGCGGCGTGACCCATTCATAATATCTGACACAGAACCAAAGAGATAACTCACACGACGAAGCAATGTCCACTATTAGTCGAGCACTGCCCCTGATAGTGAACGCATGCCAGAACAAAGAACTAGCTTCACGGTGAAGTGACCCTGACTAAAATGTTTAAGTACTAGTGCTATCGGCAGGATCGTTGGTTTGCTCACCGTACCGGTTCATGCAGGAGATGGCATCGGTGGCCTGGATCAGGTCAAGTTGTGCCAGGGTTACATTCGTCCTCGACATCGCGGCATCCACTGAAGACATCAATATTGTTAGTGCCTGGCTGAAAAGCAGAGGTGGTATCTATAGCCTTGTTTGTCAAATGGATAAGCAGAAACCAGTATGCATAACAAATTAACGCTTTTGGACACACATCTCGGCAACATAAAAGCATCTACTTGTGGTGTAGTGGCTCTCTCGCATTTTAATTTGTCGGAGGCTATGAGTTACAAGAGGGTAATCTGTGTGCCAGAACATACGCGGGTGAACGGTAGGGCATTGAAGTTTCCCTAGTACTACTTGATCCACCTGCATCTTGGATGGACCCACGGAGACCCAGATCCTTGGATGATGTCCTACAACAACTGTGTTTCAGATCTTCATTCAAGGAACTGAGTTTTCTTCTTCATATTATGTTTGAGTGGTGGTCATGAATCAATTAGGGTTCCACGGGACTACGGGCAGGTCTTGGATAATGATGAGTCATGGTTCATGAAAACACTTCTGACCGAAAAAAACGTACCTTCCGAGAGAGATCTTGAGGACTGACGAACGAGAAATGAACTCGATAAAAAGTTTTGACACTAGTCGGTGTCAGTGAATTCCACTTGAGGTCCAAAATGTCATTGACGTCAAATGAGAATTAGACAATGACGTGGATATGGACAACTCGGACGACGGGAATGAGACAACTGGAGATATTTTCTAATCGAGAGATTATGCATTCTGCAATAATGATCAAACGACAGTGCGAGATCAAATTATTTGTGCGCGGCGAGATTGAACGATGAACGAATTAAATTAATTGACTGGCTGAAGGTCCGCTTAAGTAAGCCTGTGCAGGACCGCAGTTTGGACGAACATGTATACTGACCCTCAAGTCTAGATTATTAACAATCTCCTCTAGCATTAATATTGTACATGCACTTCCTTAATTCGACTGCGATGTTTGTGTCTACAATCTCACCACTGACCACTCCATCATGAGGAATTGCACCTCGTGAATCGCAACTTCCACTAACTCTGTTTCTACCTTTACACTTCCCTTCTCGAATACCTCTCCATCCCACAAAGATGACCAAGTTTGAGGAGAATGAGCGAACAACCCATGCTCGGAGCCCGATATATTCGCAATTACCATACCTTTTTCGAGAGTTCCGACCTGATAACCGCAAATAACGGACCCTGGCTGCGCAGATAACAGACCTGCGAGAGCCCTGGCAAGATGCACTTGTTTTTCCTCAGTGAAGAGGTGGAAAAGCCTTGTAGCGTTGATTGCGCTTATGCAGCCATGAAGGGGATTAAGGGATTCCAACGAGGATAAATCGATAGCTGGGGTCGAAGAAATGTCGTTCGGCTGTGCAGCTATGGAAAGAAATTCTGGATCAAAGACATCTCCTGGAAGGAGGCATCCCGGGTAAGAAGTTGGTGTCGTTCTGAAAAGTTCGTGGCTCAGCTCGAGGAATTCTGTATATGCACCCATCCGAGTCGTTAGCAAGAATGGTTCACAGACGAAATGAATTACCGTTGCTGATATCTGAAGCAATGATATTTTTCGCAGGAAAACCATCCGCCGCAGCCTTTCTGGCATCAACCCCGACTAAAATGGAGGCAAGCTAAACCAACAAAGTAGATTATTATTTGACGTACAACAACAGCCAAGGTCGAGTAACACGGCATCGGGGCGCTCGCGACCAAGCTTGAGGATGTGTTCATACACAAGGTAACTTGATATGTTTAAGCTGAACATGGTTCCCTTGTTATGGGTCGACTGCATAGATTTAGTACAACTTCACGTACCGAAGAAAGACAAATCCGTGAATACAAGGATATGGTGCAACCTTTCAAAGGCAGAGGGTTATTCAACTTGTGGTGAGATCCTCTGCAGGTAACTCACCTTGTATGCTTTCGCCTGCACCTCCAGGATATGCCTCTTCAAGTCTTCGTCGTCGTCGATGCCGATTTGCGCCTTGAAGAACGCAGCTTCTTCGGAAGACAAACTGTAAAGGCTGGTATCTACTATTGGTATTGATGCGGTCTGAAATGCTACGTCGGCCAACAACGTCGTAGAGTCATCGTGTACAGCAGCACCCTCCATCGTGATGGGATGTAAATTGTGCAACCGCAGCAAATATCCTGCATCCTTTAAAAAGGTGACTCGGACTGACCCCGGCATTCAGAAAATGACCTTTAATATTATGCTAAGTCCTTCAGATCTGGTACGAAGTGTTGTATAATGGAACGGATGAATACAGATGACTTGCAGTACGAGTCGGTACTCCATTGATTGGATCGTATTCTTATCAGTCCCTGAACTACGCATATGTGACACGCCACTTCTGAAGCTAAGACTCAGGCGATGGAAGTGATATCCATAGTCAATCGATTGCTGCCATGGTGATCAAGTGCGTGCCAGAACAAGGTAATAGCGATTAGCAATACACGGAAATCACCTTGGCTAAAACTTTTGAGTACCAGTGTTATGTATCAGCAGGATAGTTGGCTTGCTCATCGGATGATGATGGCTGTGGCCACTCAAGTTGAGCGGGGACGCTGTCCTCATATGGTTCTCGTCCAAGTCAGTCCGTGCCTGTGCTACACTCGTTCTCGACATCGTGCTATGCGCTGAAGATGTGATCATAGTGCCTCCCTGAAAAGCAGAGGCGATTTCTGCAGCCTTTTCTTCAAGTGGAAGTTTACCGTGCAGCACTCTGTTGTATACATGTCTGCGTCTCATACTGGAAACATCTCTTTATGCTGTCGTAGATCTGTGGTGCATTGCAATCTGTCACAGAAACCACAAGTTACAAGACAGAACGGGGGTAGTCTGTTCAAACGCGCGGGGGTGAACGAGGTTCGATGACAGGACATTGAGATTTCCCTACTACGTGAGTGAGTCACGTACTACCTGATACACCTGTTTCTTAAAAGATCTTGAATCCGAACGATGTTCAAGTTAGGACATAATTCGGATTCAAGATCTTTCAAGATATCGTGAATGCAACTGGTACTCGGTTCAGAAAGAATTCGGATTTTCTTCTTTGTGTTATTGATGAATAACAACCATAAACCGACATGGGTTCCAAGGGACCTACGGGCAGCTAATTAGATGATGAATCATGAAGGCATTTGTGAGTAAAAGACAGTGTACATACCAGCGCACGACAAGTGAGGGTGACACGGAGAGCCAGATCAGTTGTCCTTATGAAGGGCCTTACTAAGCTATTTATGAGATCGCGAACAGGCTCTAACCAAAACGCAATGAACACACCACCAGCGTTTTCAGTGCCGGTATGTCTTCGCCTTCTGCTCGCAGTTCTACCTCTTCCAGGTCAAGATCTCCTCAAACATGACCATCAACTTAGCTCTCCATTGACCTCATACCTTCGCTGTATGTGTCAAAGTATTGCTATAACCAAGTCATTCTATTGCTAATACATATCGATACCAGTGAATGAGGGCCTCTGGCTCCTCGATAATAATATCAACCCATACATTGGAGGAGCTTTTCACCATGTATGTCACTCTAGTAGATTAAGTGTCTTGGGGTGACCATCTGCGCCATAGTCGCCTCTCCTACTCTCCTTATTTTCAACCATAGTACCTCCACTCCCAATTATATGGGCTGTGTCTGATGGAATGGGAGCATGGGCACTTCTCCGCATATGGCGCGCACGCCAGGGTTTATCATCTCAAAATGGTACGAGGTCCAATGTAGAAAACCTCATCGTAAGCGTGTACGTTCCATCAGCATACTTCGAATATGCACCTAACGCACTGCACAGCTACTTGCTGAATCCCTACCTCCTCCTTCCATCACTTGCGCTATCGACATCCACATTCGAAAATACCTTCACCCTCCTTGCTCTCATGTTTGCATCTGAAGGTACGTCCCAACGCCTCCGTCCAAGCTGGCTCACTCGCATTCCCTAATTCCAGGAAAAGTATCTTCTGCTCTCCTCGCTATCGCATTTGCAGTTCACCTCACCCCCTCCTCTATCTTTCTACTTCTCCCAATTCTCATGGTGCTCGTCTCTTCTCCTGTGTCTCACCTCGCTTCCCCGCATCCTTTCCATGGTAGCCTCAGGCGTATACCGTTCCTCTTTGGTGAGTTCACGCTATACTGGCTCGTCCTTGTAGGCGCAGCATGCATCATTACGGGTGGAAACTGGAGTTGGGTCAGGGCATCATGGGGCGCAAGGTAAGTCGACTTCCAATTCCTGAGAGATGGTCTATAAACACGGCATCCCAGCCTCACACTACCAGATCTAACGCCTAACCCCAGTCTTTGGTGGTACTTCTTCACAGAGATGTTCGACCATTTCAGACCATTCTTCCTCATGGTCTTCTCTGTGCGTTCTCGTTGTCTTCATGCACGCATGTCATCTAACCACATAGTTAGGTTCACCTTGTCATATACATATTACCTATCTGCGTAAAATTTCAGTAAGAGATTCTTAATAATATACGTGCTAGTTGTTATAGGTTCTGACACACTCTATCTGTAGACATGATCCCCTCTACGCCACGTTCCTCCTCGTAGGCGTCTTGGGGATATTCAAAGCGTACTTAACTCTCGCGGACCCAGGCTTGTTCCTAAGCATGATATCCATCTTCCCTGAAGTACATGGCTGTAAGTCCCCTTCCCTCCCACAACCCTACCCTATCTTGTACTCACTTTACCCACACTCTTCCAGACCTCCGACATCCCATCATCACCACACTCCTCCACCTACACGCTGCGCTCCTCCTCCCGCTGCAACATGTACTCTGGGTGAGCGAGGGTCGTGGGAACGCGAATTTTTATTATGCTGCGAGTCTTGTTATGGGTATGGCGGGTGGTGCAGGGCTTGTGGATGCATGTTGGGCTGGGATGCGGATTGCTGTGGGAGATGCGAAAGTATGGGCTGAGGAAAAGGTAGATGGTGAGAAGGGGAAGGTGGTGTGGTGGGAGGTGGTACAACAGTGAGGCTATTGTTCCCGTACCACCAGAACATAGTAGACGAGGAAACACTGTGTCGGGAATTCAAGCCGAAGAAGATAGTTGGAAAGACCATGGTGACATGCAATGTCATGGCCGCCATAATCTGGTGTCTCGGAGGTAAAGGCTACCACGAAGAAGAGGGAGAAGAAAGCATCCATGCATACATTGCCTGAGTAGCTTGCATCAGGAAGCGTGCAGACAGTAGATGAATACTACAAACAAGATAGTCGAATCTAATACGATTGAAGTCTATCCTGAGCGATTGTAATATATACCCAGATGGGGGAATCGGTGATGACTGTTTGGGTCACTCCTGCTCAGCCAAACAACTTCTCTTTGGTGTCTCTTTTCTTGCGTTTTTTGTGTACATCACCCAACCTATGGCTTACTATTGTGGCAGGGAAGCCAAAATACCTGCAAGCGATCTCGCGAACTTGAACCAGAGTCCAGACAGTCGTGGGCGATAGTTTATGCGAACGGGATGTACCTCAACTAGTACAGTGCCAGTGAGGCGCCTGAACAGCAGAATGCGCAGTACGGTTTCAGCTCTATATATACAAACCGAAAACATCACTGATGACTCAAAGATTTCGCTACTTACACCCTTAATATTGGAGATGTGACTCTCAATCACTGATGATAGAATGATATAAAATTACAAATGCAGAATGCGAAACTATGTCTAGACCCCAAATTCTTTCAATTCCTCTCAGTCCGACTCGAAAGCCACACTGTTACCTCATCAATCAGTGCACGGGTATTGGCGTGCAACTTCCAGACGCATCGGTGCACTCTCGCAGAACGTCGGTTGGATAGGACGCATGCCAGATCTTCCGAGTCACCGACAAATTCCACCGCGTTCTCAATCTCAGGCCAACCTTCCAGAAGCCAACACATATTGTCTTGTAGACACGCCAACTTCGTTTCCCCGATGATGCCAGAAAAACCCTAACACTTGAGATATCTGAGAGCGTCATCAACCCAGTCTTGGCTGTTCCACCAGGGAACATTGTGTATGACGTCAACTCTTGGGAGAATTATCTCCATTTTGGCGAGCTCTGTCCTAGCTCACGCTTCCAACGGAATGACTTCCACGTAAGTCCTCCGAGTTTTCGAGGGGCTGGCTGATTCTGATGTCGATGGCGTAGTTCGTTTGGTTTCCTACAAGCTGATAGGTGTTCCCTATGCCAGGACTTGTTTCGACGTAGATCGCCCAGTGGAGGGGATAGGGCTGTAGGGGCTCTTTCTCGCCTCGCCAAAACTGGACAACTTCGACGTCATAGAGTTTAGGTGGGACTGTTTCGATTTCAGGGGATATCTATGGGACTCGATAAGTCGCAGTTCGTTAGGTTTGAGAAAGTATGCGCACCGAGGATTCAGACGACGTATCGAGCACGGATGAGAGAGCATGAGGTTTGAGTCCATAGATGTCCTATTTTATACCCAAGCCCATGGGACTCGGTAAGTCGTAGTTCGCTAGATTTAAGACGGTGTGCTCACCAAAGATTCAGACGACATATTGAGCAAGGATATGAGAGTATGAGGTTTGAGTCCATGGATGACCTGTTTTATACTCAAGCCCTTGTGGATTTTTGCTTTGTGAGTGTGGATGCACCACTTGTTCAATGACCTGTGGACATTGCATTTCCAATTGGGCCACAGCACAACAACCGCTTCAGATGCAGGTGGATGGCCCTGATCTCCATTAGGCTAAGTGTAACTAGGCTGCAAGTCCACGCCCTGTGTTGGCTGAGTCCGCTCATTATCATACGGATTCAAGGTTGCACCGAAATCGGCGTGTTGCATGCTCGCACGTGAGTAGGGTGGGCTTCTGAGATTATAGCTCAGTAATGCCTTTTTATAATGATATAGTTGTATTTCGTCAGTCACTTGAGACCAACGTCGCTTGTGCAAGTTTCACTTCCGTGCTTGGACGTCATGGGTTTGTGCGCCATTTCACACCATCTAGATTCCAGACCTGCTGTTGCCAAAGCATGTCCGAGTTGAACGTTGACCATGTGCACCTAACGTCATTTTGAGCGTACATTCCAATTGTGCAGCATTTTTATGTGCGTACTTAAATTACCCGGTCAAAGCACAAGCTCCTCGCAATTACTATTAATCGCACTTAAACATCCAGTGGTTTCCATTTGTACACGTGACGGCGGAGTTTGTCTACTCTTGTAATGGTTACTTATTCGGCAGCAGCTACCAGATCATTATGCAAGTCATCTTAGCCATGCGAATGCACAGGGGTTTCTGGATGTCAAACCGTGCTTTTCAGTGCGGTACCTACACAGATGTTTCTTTTACAACGTGGATGGCAGCAGTCCCAGATATCATATGACGGCGCGCTTCCTTTGCCAAATCATCATGATCATGCAGCTGACACTCGTTGATCAAGAGACAATGTGTTAATCCTTAAATTATGTGACTATTGCACAGCCTCTCATACCCGCGAGGCCAAGAAATAGATGACGGGACTTCGCTGGAAATCGACCCGTCAACCACAGCATACTTATACTTTTCTTCTTGACTATTTTATATATTTATCCCGTTCATCGTCGCTCTAGGCTAGCCTAATGTCAACGGTGCATCGTGATGGCGTCACTTCAGACTGAAGTTCCAGATTACCGTGAGGCTCAGATATATCAATATCACGACAAAACACTGCAGCTGTGCGCTGATGATGATAAATTATATTCGGCAAGCTTACAACAGGGCGGACAACAATGCGTCGTAAATATGTCAGTCATATTTTACGCAGTCATGTGTTACTCAAATGTAAAGTGTTCAACTCGAATGCTCCAGCAAGGTGAAATTTGTTCACCATGACGACCGAGCACTCAGCAGCGAACTACTTGCTAGTACGTGTCGTGTCGTCAACCGCACCACCCATGTGCGAAAGCATAAACACGACTCACCTCTGTGTGTCACTGTCATTCAGACAAAACCTCCGCCCAGCCTACCATGCCGGTGAGTCACGGGGTTAGATGAAAGCTACTCATACTCACATGTCGGGAATGCATGTATAACCAGAGCAACAAACTTCCGAGTAGCAGTAAAATGTCGCTGATGCTGAAAGTTAAGCTTTCAGTATTTCACCTTTTGGTGTAACGGTTATGCGGGCGGCAGTCTGACCCAGTTACACACCTGCATTCTGATCGGGGACCAAAGAAATGCTCGACACGCCCGGCTGCACAGAAGAGCTAAAAGTTTGCAAATGACTCAACATGGGTGCTGGGCTGGTCGTTTGTCTGAGAAGGGTAGACACAGGATATTTCACGGAATCGCTGGCGTATAGGCACATCAACGACGTTATATATACCACAAAGGATTATCTTTATGATGCGCGCGAAGAATCTCATAAGGTCCAAGGAGAGAATAATTATCGAGCACAAGGCGCTCTAAGTGTGTCGCAAGTTGATTAAGCTTGGCGAGACGACCTCCGTGTTCTTACCTGACGCTATGGACTCCGATATCGTAGATCCACCATCTCTGCATCTCGATGCCCTGCGTAATCACGACCTCCTTTGATCTATAAAGGGAGATGACTTTATGTGTGTGGCGGTTCACCTACCACTCATTAAAGCTATGTATTCATGTGTAAATCCTGCTCCATGTTCTCGTCATGGAATGCCTCTTGTTGCGAGTCCAATGTACCATGTGTATCCAGTTCTAACTCGAGAAGTATTGTGGTATACTCCTGTGCTATTCGTGCAGAGCGTTGTCGAGAGCTTCTCGTCTTCCTTAATTAATACCACCACCGTGACCAAGCTGACAAGAGGAGATACATGGGAATGAGTTCTGCAGCGGCTTGTAGTGGAAATTTCAAATGTGAGGTATTCAGAGCTGGAAGTGGGGCTTGAAGCCAACATTAATGATTGGCAGTGGTGAACAACACTAGTAGTTATTACCAGGCGTTGCCATTGGCCAGGAGGAAGCGGGCGGAAAAGTTCAAAGCGCCCCGCACCGTCCGACACTAATTTGACTATCCGGAACGCGGCCATTGCTGATTTGGATGCTTTGTAATGGTCCCAATATACACGTGATTGGCAAGATAATAATAAATAAATTTAAAATGTCCTGGTATACAAGGGACTTGACCACTCGTCTGAGTCCGTCATGAGAAACTGTACCTCGTGAAGCGGAACCTTCACTAAACCCGTTTCTACCTTGCCCTTCTCGAATACTTCCCCGTTTCACAAAGATCGCATCGATGGTGACCAAGTCCGGTGAGAATGAGTGATGCTCGCATCCCACGATATTGACAGTTACTGATGCCTGCTTCGGGAGTCCCGAGCTGATCGCCACAAATCACGGAGCCTCGCTGTACAGATAAAATACCTGTAAGAGCCCTGGCAAGATGCGGTTATTTCTCCTTGTTGAAGAGATGGAAAAGTCTAGTTATCTGCAACCTTATTTACCAAGTGGATATGCGAAGTTTACTTGTGCTTGTGCTTCCTTTTGCAACTATGCGTGATGAATTGTCGGTTTCGAGCACACGCGTGCGTAAGTACGGTCAGCTACAGGAAGCATGTCCTTGTGGTATAGCAGATCTCTTACATTTGCAGAAACTATAGGTTACAAGGAAAGACAGGTGTTAATCTAAACGCTCGAACCCACGCGGGTGAACTAGATTCAACGGCAGGGCACCGGGGTTTCCCAAGGGAGCGTAGGTCGTTCAGGGAATCATCCAAGGATCTGGGCCTTTGTCTTTTTCTTCTTCTTTGTGGTATTGTTGAATGACCGCCACGAATCAACACGGGTTTCACGGGATTCTATGAGGGGGTGATAGACGATGATTCATTGAGTGTGACTATGACCAAAGAAGTCACAAAACGCACCTTCCCATGTTTTATCCTCCTCCGCTTTACGTTTCCTTGTAGCAATTTCTTCCTCCTTTTTCCGAGCTTCTAGTCCCTCATTCGCAAGGTTCATCTTGATTGCTCTGCAAGAATACCGAATGATCAGGATCACAATACAGTTCAACAGTAAATATGAGCATCTCACTTCCTGCGTCTAACCTCTTCCTCAATTAACAAGTCTTTCACCTTCGCTCGCAACTGCACCTTGAAGGACGGGACTAGTCCTCGAAGTTTCGGATCATCGTCCTGCGTGCTCGTAGAGAAACCGTGACTACGGAGGAGCTGTAGGCGTGCCTCTGCAATTGTGGCGTCAAGAGCCTCGCGTTTGGCAGTGTCGGATAGCTCGGATTCAGCCTGGGTCAAGAGTGAGAATTTGGATCCACATGTATACGACAAACCAAATGATATACGAGGAAAGTTAATATTGAGACTTCCGTTGAAGTGAGTGTTGAGTAACGGAAGATGATGCAGAAATGAACTCAACAAAAAAATTAAAAGCATTGGGAGGTGTCATGAAAGGGAGAAAAACGCACCTTCTTGAGAAGGTCGAATGCATCTGGAGCACGAGCGTGGGGGGTCTTGTCAGGATGGATGACTTGTTACGGAACAACGTACGCATGCACAAAATCGATCAAACATGAAGTGAAGCCGAGTTCCAGGTCAAGCAGAATCACCAGACGAACAACCATGATTACGAAGGCGCAAAACCGTCAGCTTTGTTCTATGAATTAGAGGACGGGTGAAGCGAGATCGCTCACAGAGAGACAACTGTCGATATCTGCGCTTGATTCCTTCGGGCTTTGAAGACTCATCTATGTCGAGAATATCATATGGGCTAGGTCATAATGCTAAATGACTGATCAAACGCAAGATGTAGCTACGTACTTGAGCTTGAACGCCTTGAGAATCCGCTCGACCTCAAGCTCTCGCTGGAAGGCAGATGCTTCCCGGGAGAGCAGCTGCTCTATATCAGTATCGCTTTGTTGAAGTGGGTGTCTTCGAACTAGAAGGTGTTGATGTTCCTGTCGACATGTCGCTTGTCGTCGTCGTCGTCGTGGGCGTTACCAATTTGAAGTATGGTTCAAGGTTTCCTCACAGAGAAGTCACGTGCTTGTCACTTGAAGGTAAGCGGAAATATCTTCAAGCTCGCCATTAATGACGGCCGCGATGTCCTTCAAGCTGTGTGTACCTTTATTGAAGGCAGGCCGTGCACCTCAGTTGGTGAGCGTGTTTTCAGACTAATGATCTTTGTCGCGCTCAACTTTTCAAAGACTGCTCATTACTACCCGGACGCATTCCTTCGATGCCGTTCATTGAACCGCTCATTGCATACTCTCAATAGCATTCATTTCGTGACCCGTCTTAGTAAAAGTCCATGCTCATGGTCGCCATCGCGGTCCCTACTTTGGCGAAAAATGGCCACCGATTCGCATCCCAGGACACCTTTGAATGCTAAATCACGTACTTCACCATATGCATCCCGACAGTCATTATACGCCGCCCGGAATCGCAATCTGCTGATGTACTCCTCTGCCGTCGTACGCTTTCGCTGCCTTGTTTGCCGCATATTTTCATCCCATCTGGACAGATTGTTTTTGCAGTAGGGGTTACTTATGCTGCAGTTCCGCTCTACCGGATGTTCTGCGCAGCCACTGGCTTCGCCGGCACTCCAAATGTCGGAACAGGCCGATTCGAACCTGCGCGCCTGGTTCCTGTTGATGGAGCACGTCGCATCAAGGTTCATTTCAATGCTGACCGTGCTGAAGCGTTGCCGTGGACTTTTACTCCGCAGCAGAAGTTCGTGACGGTCCTTCCCGGAGAGACCAGCCTCGCTTTTTATAAGGCAAAGAATGAGAGTAAAAAGGACATAATTGGAATCGCAACGTACAATGTCACGCCTGACCGAGTGGGTACCGCACTAGTCGGATGTCAGCACCCATTGATGTTTGATGGTGTAGATCGCACCGTATTTTTCGAAAGTAGAGTGCTTCTGTTTTGAGGAGCAGAAATTGCTTGCAGGAGAGGAAGTTGATATGCCACTCCTCTTCTTTATAGACAAAGATATTCTCGATGACCCTGCGTGTAGGGGCATTGATGACGTTGTTCTCTCGTATACATTCTTCAGGTCCGTGTCTCTCTGTTGCCCGTCAAATCCACCAACCTCAAATACTGATTATATAGAGCCCGTCGTAACGCTCAAGGTCATCTTGAGCCGGATGCAAGTGACAAAGACGTTCAGAAGTCCCTTGGGTTTGAGAATTACGAGATGGCACCGCGTGCAGAAATCCGCAATGCGCAACCAGGAAAGAGCCCGTGATTTATGTTGGCTTTGATAATTTTCAGGGCACAGCAAGCGTTCCTCAGCACTTCTCTGTATATCTATTCTACAGCATACATACCAATACTTGTTCGGACGCAACGGAATGCACCTTGCCCTCACACCTGGATAATCTCAAGCACCCGCAAATTCAAAACACAACTACTATTGCTGCCCTTCGATACCGTAAGGCTAATAACGGTCAGACTTGTTGACTTGAATGATCATATGGCCCTGATTGACTAGCCTTTTCATGTACTTTTTAGCTGAAGTACGTTGACAATTTTAAATCCTGCACATATATTATTTACCTTTACCCATATGAATCCTAGGCACAATTTGGCATGGCTGTTGATGAGCTGTAACTGTCGAAACTCGACATTGTACTGGGGTATGTGCCCCTAACACTGCTGATATACCGCCATTGCTTTTTAGCTTTCGCTATAGCGTCAGGGACAGACTCCAAATGCTACTTGGCAAGAACTCGCCTATCACGTTTTTCTCTGTTAAAGCAAAGGTGCAATCCCTCTTCGAGACTATTGCGATGAGCGCATTCATTCCTATTGTTTGCAGCACAGCTTGCGAGCTAAATCTTGCGATATCAGATAGATGGAGCACTAGGGAATTTTCGTATGGCCTCTTACGTCTGGCTGCCAGACTACTCACAGAATCTTCAGTGGAGCGAGGCGTTCCTGTAATTGACCAAGAGTCACAGGCTGGCCACGAATCCTCCCACCAACTAGACGGACCAAATATGAAAAGGCGGTCATCACATGGTGATGTACCAGTTCCGCGCTATCGAGAATTTTCGCGCATACTTGTATCATCTTCATTTTGGTGGACATTGAACACTTCAATTCTGTGGACAAATGATCCATCGAGATGTGAAGATTGTCGAGTTACGCTGTCATCTTTGTAGAACGATAATTAATGACATGTGACATTTCGTCGAAGCCTGGCAGATAACTCGGCCGGTAGCTATAGTCGCTGGCATTAATGCCGATGGACTTTGTCGACTTTCTTCACCGGCACATTCAATTCTGCATCCATAATTATAAAGCTTCAGCTTTGAGTCTGCACTTGTGCCCATCTCTCCATGAACGCTTTCCGCAGAGAACTCAGGACTGCTACTGGTAGTCTTCGCACAAACTTGCGCTCATACTCTAATCATACTAGTCTCGTGTCTGCAGCAGTACATCGTAACCACTGGTTCCTCTCCTCCCGTGCTTTCTCAGCTTCTGTAGACGTAGAGCCTTCGGAGACACCAAAGCACAAGCCAAAAGCCAGCACACCACTTCGTCGTAGTGCATCTGCATCGATACCCATTCGCTCCAACCCGACACCTACTAGAAGTTCTATCAAGCCTGTGATCACTCTTGCAACAGCGGAACGCTACTTATTGTCAAGACTACGCTCCCGTCTTCCGGATGCTCAAACACTTCACGATGCCTGGTGGGTTCCACACTGGGGCGACGGAGGCGAGATTTTTGTGTTCTCAAATGGAAGTTTTGTGTGCTGGGGTCTTGGAGAGGGAGAAGCGCGACGATTTGCACGAGAAGTTCTTGCACCTAGTGAGGTTGGCAGATTAAAGGATCCAGAGACAGAGGAGCTGGAATTTGTGACAGATCCAACAGAGTAGGTACTCAGTTCAACCACTTGAACCAAATTTGCTCACAAAAATTCCCTTATCAGAAAAACTCGAATACAAGGAGATTTAATTATACTTGGACGTGTAGCGCCACTTGAGTACTCTGAAAATGCTCCTGCCGTATCACCAGGCTCCCCTGCACTCCCCGCAGATACCCTTCTGGCGCGATATACATTCTCTCAAGCACTATCACGTTCTACAGCTCTTTCAGGTCTTGAAGAATCACTTGAGGACTATCTCTCTTCCGTAGCACTTCTCCCGCACTCCCTCGAGAAGACGGGGAAACCTGGCCTGAGCAGGGAAGCCCTTATCAAGAAGCTCGGAGCGCTCATGAAGTTTCGCCAGGGCCTTAACCTCAACAGGGAGAACTTCTCTGATACCCCAGACTTGTACTGGACCGAGCCTGAATTAGAAGGTCGGCATAGTGGCCATGTGTCCACGTTAATCTAACACAATCTGCAAGGTTTCTTCAAATCGATGACAGCGGCCCTCGAAGTGAAGGCGAGAACTAATGCGGTTAATGAAAAAATCACCTACGCCACAGAGGTGAGATGCTCAAGGTGAAACGATTCATGAAACTAATCGTTCAACAAGGTGCAATCAACTTTACGTCAGCTACTTACGGAGGTACATTATTTGACGTCAAAGATTATGAGCGCATGCTAACCTTTCTATAGTCATCTACTCATCGGATGGAACTCGTTATCATCGCCCTCATTGCCGTGGAAGTTGTCATTGTACGTGCCTCGACGGTTATTTCAACTTTTGTCTCCTCATCTTATGCACTTTCCTAATTCAGGCTCTGATACGGGATGGTCCCGAGCTCTGGCAAATGGCTTTTGGCTCATCTCATGTTGAAGATCAGGTATCAGCGCCTCATTCATAGGCGATCAAGGCTCCTCATTGGACAGGAATCTCTACGATTTGTGGGTGCTATTCTGAATTCAGATATCATTTTGTATTGATCGGGTAGACATAGAGCTCAGCGCTCAACCTTAACATTGCATCATGTATTTACACTACCCAACACTCGCAAGCTTCCACGTATTTATCATGGTCAATCTCTACTCAATCTACATTGCTGCGTTGTTTCTGATCTTCACGTGGGTTTGACGGGGCTGCCTACTCACCCCTGTTACTCGCGTAAATCAATCTTTCTGCGTTTGCAGAGCGAGGCTCAATAGCGCATACGAAAGGTTTCGGTCGGCTGCCAACGTGGTCAATGTTGTGTAGCTGTTTGAACGGAAGTCACTTACACTGCAAACCCCACCGTAAACTCGGGATTCACATCGATGTCACACCCGGTCGAGTCCTTCCCTTTTCCAATGCGGAACGTCGCTAAAATGGGGACAATGGAGGCCCAAATGCTTTGATCTGCAATATACTGTTCGGGACATTTTCGTCTGAAGAAATCATCAGTATTGAGTGGCAAAAGTCAACCGCAACGCACCGTCCAAAACCGAAGGACAGGGGTGCAGTACCTTGGATGAGTTCTCCGGTAGGTAACATATGTCGTTCCGGTTTGAAACTCATCGAATCCGGGAAGCGTGACTCATCATGTGTCATTCCCCTTTGACTGGTTAAGCCAACTACCGAAACAAACCTGCATGGTACTCACCAAACGTTCACAAGAAGGATGGCGCCTAAGGATAAGTGATTGGTATAATTGATTAGGTCATAGATTGTATCCGCACCCTTTGGGATATAGTAGCCATCGTAGACATCGCTTGTACTCGTCAGATGAGGAAGAGCTGATGCATAATGTATCGCATGATTTCTTGTAAGCACGGTTGGATTCATCTTGACTCACAGCACGGAACTGTCGGTCGCCACCGTAGAGTCTCGAGATAGACTGCTTCGACATAGGGAAGCCCTTCTCGATCACTAAAATCAGGGAGGCGACTGTCCCCAATCACCCTATCGATCTCTTCTTGCGCCTGGCAGGAAAATTGTTGTAGAGGAGAGGAGGTGCATATTCGTGGATCTGACGAACCTTGATCTGGACCCCTGGATGAAGGACCATAGCAAGCAGAAACACACTCAAAACAGAGTCGGTCTGACAAGAGATGCGCGTCAGAGACTAAGGAACCAGACAAAGGTTGACTGAGACTTACAGTTTCTGCTCCACCTTTGTGACACCTTTCTGTGAGTGTCATAACATTCTCGTCGTGACTACAGAAGACGCACTAAATGATACAGTTGCGGCAACTGCTTTGATTGTCTCTTCGTCTTCAGCGGTGACTACACCATCCTTGGTCGTATATTTATTCAGAAGGTCCTTAACGAGGGATTGTTGTGTGGTTCCACCGGCCTGCGCTTTGAGCATGAGAAAGGGAACATCAATGGCGAAACCAGTACCATTTCAGCTTTCACATACTCTACAGGATCGTTAAGGATGTCGCGAGCGAGACCGCGGGACTCTACAGCCCGGCGCTTGTACATCCCACCAGGAAGCCACATCGGAATATATTGTACTAGGCAAAATGAGGTCGGTAAAATTATTGGCATCTAGGAAGGACTCACAAAATGGTATCAATTCGACCAGTGCGGCGCGCTCTGTTCCAATGTCCTGAATAAACAAATCAATTATACGAACGATCTTGGTCACAAATGGATCCTCTGCTGGCGCGACATCGTAACCATATGTGACAGTCATGATGGTTGCCACTGCTAACCTGTGTAAATGGTTATTCATGTTGAATAAATGGCATTTGTCAGTACGCACGTCTTTAAATGCATAGGGAATTGAGTTGGGGAAACGGTAAAATTCTCCAGGAGTTGGCGAACTTTCTGAAGCTGCATAGACTGGTATTTGCGACAAGCTTCCTTGTTGAATCCTACGTGAAGCATCTTGCGGTCTGCAATCAAAGTTGAATTCAAAAGCTAACCATCACAGTCAGAACGAACGTTGCCGCCACCGGTCCCCATACGGTAGCAACCCGGTGTTAAAATCTAACCCAAAACTGTGGTTGATTAGTGTCATCAAGGAAGAGCACAGTAAAAAATGTTGACGTGCAACATATTCGTAAAGACATATGGTCTGTCGGAATACACTCCAGAACGTTGTTCCAGAAGAGTGTGCGCAAGCTTTTCGGTATTGATAATGACAAACTCGTGCCCTAGGATAGTTGAATAGACAATATCGCCTTCGCACAATACATGGTTGAGTCGCTATCTTGAACACCCGAGTGCAACATACCGTATTTCTTCGCCCAGTTGGTATATGTCAACCAAGGCTCGTAAACATTGAGGTCAAACACATTCCCAAGGATCGGCAGACGCTTTGGTCCTGGAGGGAGTGGCAAACCCCTCCAGAGCCTCCGTTGCTTCCAGACACGAATGGAGATGGACGTTAGTAACAAAAACGTAGAGGATATCAAGAGGTGCGGCATGGTCAACAGCATTCTTGGAGTGTCGGATATTCAGAAGGCTTTTTTACGGCTGTCCACAAGACTGGGACCAGGGATGTCTTTATAAGGCTGGAAGATAGCGGTCATCTAAAGATCGTTAGAACTCTCCGCCATGGAGTAATCAGAGTTCGAACTGGTCTAAAAGTATGTTATCGTTGAGCCTCAGTAAAACTGCTGAAATTAACGCTTACCAGACACCGACAGCACCTGAGAGCACCACCGCCAAAGTGGTAAGCGTTCGTAAGCGTCCGTAACACGCTTAAGCTAATAAGTAGTAACCTGTTACCATTCTTATGTAAATGTAGATGTGCGATTCAAGCAGTTGTGGAGTGCGAAGACCAGATTTGTTGAGTTTACTTGCCAGTGTCCGCAACTGTAGCGGGGCTGATGGATCTCCGAGATAAATGCACTGGAAGACTCACACACGGCGATCTCCATTCTCGTTACTAGTGAGTTATATGTCTAGTACAAAAAGAAACCGCAGGAAGATTTACATCGAAAGGATCTACTTGTATTGCAAGTTAGTAGTAGTATGGCTATCGATCTGCATCGTGATATTAAATAATACTTATCTTTGTGTTTGTTTGTACAATATCGTTGTTCCGTAGCTCATTGAAACGAAACTTTGTGTTTAACCGATCCAGTTCGTATTAGTGGAGGGCTAGCTCTTCGTTGGACACGTAAAAAATTTAAGTTCAATTTCTTTGTTTTGTACACTGATCAGTTTTTTTTGGACTCCAAATGTAGGCGTCACGAAATCCAGTTCGTATGACTGGAGGGCTAGCTCTCTGTTGGACACGTAAAATTCTAAGTTCAGTTTCTTCGTTTTGTACACTGATCGGTTTTTCTGGACTCCAAATTCTAATTTATGTGTCACTTCGTAACGGAGACAGTGTCCTTGCAAACATGGCTCATCGTAGAAGTCCATTTATACGCCGCAGTGGTTTGGGCTGTGAGGTGAATGACACCTCTGCTTTTGTTTAACAGCGACTTGAGTATAGACATTTCCGCATTACATCTACACTTATGCTTGACTTCAGTTACCCCGTCGTCCTTGTTCTTTTTGTGTTCTCCATCTTGGTTGAGCGGTACATCAAGAAGAATAAAGACAATCCAGCAGGTCTACCTTTACCCCCTGGGCCCCCACGACTTCCTATTGTCGGAAACTTGTTTGGTTCTAAAGACTTAGGAGCACAGTGGTTGACATATGCAGAATGGGGCAGAAAATATGGTTTGTCAACAATCAAGATCTTGCTCATGAACAACACTTCAATTATGAATGACAGGCGACCTCCTCTATCTTGAGATACTTGGTCAGAAGATATTGATCATTAATACAGAGTAGATTGCACAGGAGCTTCTCGATAAGCGATCTCAGAATTATTCCGACCGCCCCCAAGTATTGATGGTCAAGTTGTAAGTTTGTCGTTTTTTGTTTTGTTTATTCGAGCAATCATGTTATCTTACAGAATGGACTGGAGCTTCAATGTGGGGTTTATTCCATATGGTCCTTCATGTGAGCTCTTCTCCTCGATATACTGCTCGTGTCCTGATCATGATACAGGGAGAAAGTTGGTTGATTAGTCAGTACCTTGGCGTTGACTAATTACGCTTGCGCCCCACAGACATAGAAAAGCCATGCACCAGGCATTGAATCCCCAGGCCATGCTTTCCTACCAGGGCCTCCAGCTCAGCAAGGTCCATCAAATGATCCGCAACATCTTAGTTATTCCACATGAAATGGAAGCTCACCTGCGAACGTAAGCATCGCCACAAATATTCTTTGCTGAAAATGTATAATCGAATTAAGATTCACGGCGTCAACGATCATGCAAGTCGTGTACGGTTATGAAATGGCTCCGCAGGACGACTTATTTGCTTCCATCGCCGATCGGGCCAGCGAGATGCTCACAAATTCTTTTTTCCCTGGTGCTGCATTGGTCAATACGTTCCCTATGTGTATGTACCTTCTTTCAACAAGCGATTCTAACTCATATTTGGTATGTAGTCCAATACTTGCCGGAATGGTGCCCAGGAGCAGGCTTTAAAAAGTGAGTCTGGTGAATAACCATTAATAGCCATACCATAAATTTAACGATTGGAAGGCATGCTTGACAATGCCGAAAGCTTACACGTGAGTTGCGGGACAGGCCATATGAGTATGTGCAGAAAACAATGGTATATTTTACCCTCTCCGAGACAGTAATCTATTGATCTTCGCTCGAGGCTAATGGCACGGCGCCACAATCGATAGTGTCCCAGATGATACAAAAACACGAGGAAGAAGCCGTGATCAAAGCAGTTGCAGGTACAACATACGCAGGTATGATTTAATATTTAATAACCTACAGCCAAGAATGTTAATGGTGATATTAGCCGCTGTTGAGACCGTTCGTATCATATAATAGCATAGCGCACCTCACTGACATTTTTTTAGTCATCATCAGCGCTGTCAGCTTTCATGATGGCAATGATTATGTTCCCTGAGGTGCAAAAGACAGCTCAAGCAGAGATTGATCACGTCACTGGAGGCACCAGGATGCCTGATTTTGGCGACAGGGAGTCCATGGTTTATCTCGAAGCCACGTATCGCAAAGTCTTGCGATGGTGCCAGGTCACGCCACTGGGTGAGAACGTCCCCTCATGAAACTCGAATTATGCATGGATTAACATACGATTCAGGGGTACCTCACATGACAACAGAGAGTGATGTGTACAACGGATATTTTATTCCCAAAGGTGACTCGGGTGTTAATCTGTAAGACGAAACTCACTAATGTTGATACTTCTGCTGCCAGACACGATTGTCTTTGCCAATATATGGTAAGGTGAAACATGGAGTTCTGCTTATGGTCTGATAGACTTTAATAGGGCGATGACACACGATGAAAGGATTCATCCTGAACCCTCTAGGTTCATGCCTGAGCGTTTCATTCAGGAAGACGGAACACTTTCTGACGACCTCGGACAGCAACAATTCGGATTCGGAAGACGGTATGTCAGGTAAACATTGCAAGTGACGAGAAAGCTCACTAAGACTCAGGATTTGTGTTGGGAAGTATCTCGCCGAGGCATCGGTTTGGATCGCTATGGTGTCCATTCTCGCTGTGTTCGACGTGAAGAAGGCAATGGATGAGTTTGGGGGTGAAATCGACATCACCCCTCAGTACACGCCAGGTGTGATTATGTAGGTCGTTCTGAAAGTGTGTCACTCTTCTTTACGAGTCCTTTTGCAGCCACCCGAAACCCTTTCCATTCTCGATTACACCTAGGTCACAGAAGGCAGTAGCAATGGTCCAACCTGCTCCATCTTCGACGGGTTGTGGGTTACTAGCGTGATGGTGGTCTCATTGTGTGGAATGGCGAGGACTACCAGTATGTATTTGGAACGCGTCTTAGATCTCGCGCAATAAATCAGCGAAAGGGTGTGTGTATTATGATGTCAGTAGCACAAACAATCGTATCAGGGGACATTGTTGCGAGTCTCAGGGTGACAGCTGGGTGTCATTGGATTCGTCGATGAGCACGACACAATTCGACATGCCAGTGGTCTACTGCGAGGCGAGGATGATCATTATACGCTGCAAAACAACGAGACGAAGGCTGCGGAAGGCTCAAGGGAGACTCGCGAAGACTCATCAATAGATTCAGCACCCGTACCTTCCTATCATGACCAACTAATTCAACACCCGGTGCTCGCGGCACTGCTCGCGGCACTGCCGCTGCCGCATTGAATGCGGGTATGTCGGAATTAGATTGTCTTGTCTTGGGTTGGCACAAGCTGGCAAGCTAAGTTTTTGAGCAACCGGTACAAGTAATCTAAACAGAAACCAGGAAACTTCCCTCAAGACGTTCCAGGTATAGTACTAGTCTGACCTTTGATACTGGCGCAGCATTTAGAATCCTAATTATCGTTTCAAATCTTATTCATCGCTCACATTACTTACATCAACATCTAGAAACATGTTCCAAACAGCACAAACGACGACATGGATCTAGCATCAGCGCTGGTCACATGCTCGTAAACAACTCGTGCCTGTCGATCATACCGGAGGTTCAGTGCAACATTTTCGCGGTGTTTGAGTGCGATTTAGAACAGGTTTATAATTAGAAAGAGGGTCCTACTTACATAATCTAGAACTGACATTTGACAACAGTACTTTGGGGTGATCAGAATGGCCGTTTAGAAGTAGAACAGCATTCTTCAAACGTAATCGGTTTTAGATCTTGCTCCCCAATCAAGCCTTGATCCAACCATCCTAGGATGTCGGACTAGAAGGAAATACTTCACCTAGCCTTCCCACCCGAATCCATGTCTCCAAATCTTTCATTCACGTCCCTCTCGCCGTCTTGCAATTGTATTCGTCAAGTAAATTTGGTATTACGCGCCATCCTCTCCTCCCACTAATTTTACCTTATCTGTCAGACATCCACGCGGCCATCATGCAAAGTTCTGATGAGAGCGAGGACTTATGTTATTCAAACCACCTTCTCGTCTATCACATAACTGGATTCCTTGGGTAAAATCATGAACGAGACTAGACATATATATACATGACAAGCATGGATGTAGTCGAAGTCGCGCGACCCTGACTACATGATCACGAATGAAATGCAGGCAAGTAAGATGCCTATGAAGAGCAGTAGAAGCTGAAACGTCACAGACATGGACTCCAGTCTGAGGATGTTTTCCCTTCTGTCATTATCATTCACAAAGACTTTGTAGCGCTGGTTGACCATGCTCCATTCGATGCTACCCACAATTCAATCCATCAGACCATCTGAAAATGCTGCAACTTGTCTGTTTGTCTCTTCGTCATCAAAGCTTGGGAGTGCATCTCTGCAGGTGCTGAAGCGATCCAAGGCAACATGAAATAGCTTGCCAGCGTGATTAAATCTTTCTTGAAGATCGAGATACTGAGTAGTCGGGTCCTTGTGAATAACAGTGATAATATTGTTCAGCGCGCCGTTATCGCCGCGCTCCTTTTTGAAGGAATATATGTCCTGAAATAGCTAACAATTCGGTTAGCATCAGTAATCATGCAGAGATATCTGAGACAGACATTGGCAATGTATACCATATCAAGGGCGTTGTTCTCCATCTCAGCTACAACAAGATGTTGCAGGACATGCTTGGGCAAATATAGCCGGCCCGTAGACCGCATCAGAGTGAAGCAAGGCCTAGTGCCGATGGTCTCTCTTCGCATGATCATATATGAAGCGATGCAGCGTGTCGCTGTAATGTCCTTCGATGCTTCACGATCGAGCGCCTCCTGTATGGTGTTCTTCGCAAATTCAGCATTGGACTGGATGAATTCAGGCCAGTGATAAGGATCTACAGCATCTTTCAAGCGTGCTGCCATTTGTCTTAAACGCTCGTCAGAATAGTATAGAGCAGATTTGTCCAGCGTACTTAGACATGAGTTTGATGAACGGGTGACGGTGACCCTTGCCAACTTGAGGGTCTTGTAGTACATCAATCCACAGTTCAGAGTTGTTCTTAGCCACTTCGCTCGAACATCGATCGCTGTAGCATGCAGTCAGCCCAGGGTTAAGACATTGGTAGCGTCCCACAGCCTACGTAAGCTCTTCGAGCATGAACGATATTGTCATGTAATCAAGAATCGCTCTTAATTCCTTGGAGCTGGCCTGAGGCCACGCAAGTGCCGCAAGTAGAGGCATCTCTGCCTTAGAAATCTCCTTCGGAAGTCCAGTCAATACAATTTTTTGTATGTACTATCAATAGCGGAACTCACAATTGAGAAGGAATAGCCAATGGTGTCTTTGACCCAGCGTTCGTACCCGTCCTTTGCTTCTTTGAAGCCAGGATTGATGATAAATCCTGTCTTCTGAGGACATACAGAGAGTAGCTTCGGAAGGTGATAGACTCTCGAAGGCATTTCGAATATGTTCAGGGAATGACTCCTAAATTATCGCAGACCAACATTTATATCTGGCAAGGAGACAGATACTATGAGTCGTGATATCAGGTCATCCGAGTTTGAACGGGGGGATGTACAAACTAACACCATCTCGCAACAGACTTAGCTCAAACAATTCTAAGTTGGTCACTGGGGATTCGGGGTATGTTCTAATGGTGAGAAGCCAGGTTTTGCCGCTTGCCAAAATTGAGCCATGGTGTCACGTTTGCCCTACCCTGATAGCAAGCCTTTAGCTCAAACAACTTTACGTTGGTTACTGGGGATTCGGGGTATGTTTATGTTCTCAGGCTGATGGTGCGAGAGGTCGAGTTTCGCTACTTGCCAAATTGAACCATGGAGTGGCGCTGCCCTGAAAAGCACCAAGCATAAATGGACTAGCGGATACGTCAGAAATGATAGGGACCCGTACAGGTAAATCCCCGGATATCGGAGGTCGTACCGGTACCAATATCCACTTTAAGGGTGCGGGTTGTTCTGCGGGTGTTGCCAACTCAGACCCGCATCCACACCCGTGCAGAGTTTACCTGCGGGTAACACATACAAATGCTATAGAATTAATATTATAAAAACATTCTATATGTAGATACATGAAAAAATGTACCTGCGAGCGTCCTTGAGTGGATGGAGAGATTCGCGCTGATGACGTGTCTGTCGTCGTCCGATGGTACTGGTGTGGGAGATGTCGAGGGCAAGACTCGGATTTCCTCGTGTTTGGCAATTGCTGGTGTTACAAGACGATGTGCACCAGGTGCTGTCCACGAACTTCGTTGGAAGAGTGAGCTGGTTCAATTACTAGTGCCCATTTCTTTCCGGTCCCGCCCTTGACGCTATCGCTCCGGAATGTACTGGATACCTTCTTCATTTCAATGGTCGACCCTCGCCGTTTCTGTGTGCGTCCTTCTGAGTCGATGTTCATGGGACTACCAGGTCCTGCCAGTTGCAAATATGCGTCGTCGATTCTATTGAGTTCTCTGTGAGCAGACATCTTTTGTTTCGTTCAACGTGGCATTTGAGAATCCGAAGAATTCTGTGTATCTGTCAAAATCGGGTTTTCGAATGTGACGTCAATGACTTACAGCAATCGATTGCCTTCGTGAACCGTGATCACTGTCGTCTGCTTGTCGTTTATTAACTCTGGGCGACTGCTTCTCATTACCGCTGTCCACATTTATGTGATCGGTGGTTTCTGACCACGTTGCCACCTTAACTATGTTCACAAGACGCGTACCACAAATGATACTCCAAACTTACTAGTTCCCCATTAGAATTGTGCGTCGAGCCTCCGCCATCATTGAAAGTGTAATTAACAACCGTCAGCTAGACGTGGTCCCGCCAGTGAGAGGATACCGGCGCATTAGCGATAGACTTGGATGATAGCATAGGAACCAGAATCAATAGCATCTATATGACGCGGACCTGCAGACGAGTTCGCCAAAGGAACATGTAGAGATGGATCTGCGATAGAGCGCCTGCAATGCTGCTGTAAACAATCGATGTGAAGATTGTCGAGTGATACTGTCATCTCTGCATGACAGTGGTGAATATTAATATTGATGACATGTGACATTTCGTCGAAGCTTCGTCGGCTTTCTTCACCAGCACATTCAATTCTGCATCCATAACTTAAAGCTTCAGCTTTGAGTTTCCACTTGTGCCCATCTCTCCATGAATGGCTTGCGCAGAGAACTCAGGACTGCTACTAGTAGTCTTCGCACAAACTTGCGTTCATGCTAGTAGTCTCGCGTCTGCAGCAGTACATCATAACTGGTTCCTCTATTCCCGTGCTTTCTCAACTTTTGTAGACGTAGAGCCTTAGGAGACACCGAAGCACAAGCCACAAGCCATGCACCTAGTGGGGTTGGCCGGTCAAAGGATCCAGGGATGGAGGGACTGGAATTTGTAACAGATCCAACAGGGTGGGTACTCAGTTCAACCACTCGAGCCAAATTCATTTACACAAAATCTTTTGTCAGAAAAACTCGAATACAGGGAGATTCAATTATACTTGGACGTGTAGCACCATTGAAAATGCTCCTGCCGTACCACCAGCTTCCCCTGCACTCCCCGCATATACCCTTCTGGCGCGAAATACATTCTCTCAAGCACTATCACGTCCTGCAGCTCTTTCAGGCCTTGAAGACTCACTTGAGGACTATCTCTCATCCGTAGCACTTCTCCCGCACTGCCCTCGAGAAGACGGGGAAGCCTGGTTTTTTTTTGAATCCAATTTCTGTCCTTTTCAGAGTGATACTCTATGTAGGACATCACGATCTAAACTAGAGACCCAGTGTCTCAAGTGCATCTCGGGCTTGCGAATGCCCTGATGTGAAGCGTACTCCCATTAGTCCGCCGTTCCCGCCGGCCGTTTTAGATGCTCTGCCCTATGGGTGAGATGACTGTATGAACTATCAGTGTATAGTAATGAAGCCTGGTTTAAGCAGGGAAGCCCTTATCAAGAAGCTCGGAGCGCTCATGAAGTTTCGCCAGGGCCTTAACCTCAACAAGGAGAACTTCTCCGACACTCCAGACCTGTAACCGAGCCTGGATTATAATGTTGGCATAGTGGCCATGAGTCCATGTTGATCTAACATAATCTGCAAGGTTTCTTGAAGTCGATGACAGCGGCTCTCGAAGTGAAGGCGAGAACAAACGCGATTAATCAAAAAATCACCTACGTCACGGAGGTGGAACGCTAAAGGCGACACGATTTATGAAACTAATTATCCGATCAACTCTACGTCAGCTACTTACGGAATTACATTATCTGACGTCGAAGATTACGGGCGCATGCTAACCTTTCTATAGTCATCTACTCATCAGATGGAACTCGTTATCATCGCCCTTATTGCCGTGGAAGTTGTCATTGTACGTGCTTCGACGGTTATTTCAATATTTGCCTCCTCATCTTATGCACTTTCCTATTTCAGGTTTTGATGCGGGATGGCCCCCGAGCTCTGGCAAATGGTTTTTGGCTTATCTCATGTTGAAGATCAGATACCAGTGCCTCATCCATAGGCGATCAAGATTCTCAGTCCTCATTGGACAGGAATCTTTACGATATGTGGGTGCTAATCTGAATTCGGATATCATTTCGTATTGATCGTGTAGACATAGAGCTCAACCTTAACTCTGCTTCATGTACATATTTACACTATTCAACACTAGCAAACTTCCACATATTTATCTTGGTCAATTTTCACTCAGTCTACATTGTTGTACTTCCGATTTCACGTGAGTTTGACAGGGCCGCCTACTCGCCCCCGTTACTGGCGCAAATCAATCTTTCTGCGTGTGCAGAGCGAAGCTCGATAGCGCATATCAAAGGTTTCGGTCGGTTATCAACGTGATCGCCGTTTGAATGGAAACCGATTACACTGACAATCCCAATCCCACCGTGAACTCGGCTTTGACATCAACTTCACATCCGGCCGCGTTCTTCCCTTTCCCGACTTGCAACATTGCCAAACTGGAGATAATGGAGGCCCAAATGCTTTGATATACAGTCCGGGACACTTCCATCTGTTTGAAGTCTTGAACATCTTAGCATTGGCAAAAACACTGAGCGCAGCTCACTGTTCAAAACCAAAGTAGGGCGATGTGATACCTTCCAGAAGCTCTCCTGTAGTTGACAGATGCCGTTCTGGCTTGACGCTCATTGTATCCAGGAATCGTGTTTCATCATGTGTGATTGCCGTGTGATCCTTCAAGCTAAATAGCAGACCAATCCTGCAAATGACCTACCATATGTTTACGACAACATTGACACCTGGAGATAAGGAATCAGGATTTGGCACAATTGATTGGCGTCAGGGATTGTATCTACACCCTTTGAAATGTAATATCCGTTGTAGACATCGCTTGTACTCGTAGCATGCGGAAAGGCTGACGCACCGCATGAGCTCTTGGAAGGACGATTTGGTTTTATCTTGACTCATTGAGAGGAATTGTCGGTCGCCACCGTAGAGTCTCAAGATAGACTGCTTCTATACAAGGAAACCTTTCTCGGTCACTGAAATCAGGGAGACGACTGTCACAAATTACCCTATCGATCTCTTCTTGCGCCTGGCAAAAAAATTGCTAGAAGAAAAGGAGGTACATATCATGCTTTGAACGAACCCTGATAGCCAGATGGTCATCGTCAAACCGAAGCGAACGCTGCTGCAACAAGTCCCCATAGGGCAACAACCTTGTAGTAAAATTCATCCTCAAACTGTGAGTATTTCGTGTTATTGAGGAAGGGCACTGTAACAAATTGAAATAAAGACGTACATCGTACTCGTGGAGATATATGGTCGTCAGAATACACTCCAGAACGCTGGTCACGAAGTGTATGCGCAAGTTCCTGGGAATTGATAATGACAAACTCTTGTCCGAGGATAGTTGAATAGACAACATCAACTTCGTAATGCATCATCGAGTCACATCTTGAACCACTCGATCAACTGATACGTACCGTATTTATTTGCCCAATCGGTATGCGACAGCCAAGGCGCAGAAACGTCTAGGTCAAGCACATTCCCAAGAATCGACAAACCTTCGGGAGCTGCAAGCCCCCCCGAAGCCCCTGTTGCTTCCAGACACGAACAGCAGTAACAAAAAATGCAAAGAATACCAATCATTGGGATCCTGCGTAAGGGGGTGCGTTGTGCGTTGTTGGTTAATAATGGTCTGACCACATGACTAGAAAGTCACTTATACAGCTGAAGGATCGCCGAGATAATTCCATTTGGTTCATCCTGACGCTGCATCTGTGATCATGAAGAGCTTCAAATTACTGTCGTTTGATCCTTAAAGAAGTACAAGTTAGCCAGCGCATTTCGGTTCTTGTTCAGTGAGTCGTGCAGGTCCTGAAACGAAAGACTTACTGATGCTGAAACGTGTGTAGCCATGAAATCACCTCCGCCGCCAACTACTCAGCCTTGAGTAAATCTTTTCAGATCTCGTACACATGTCGTATTCTATACCGTCATTTTGTTCACCTTCTCGCTCGTATCACCCTCGTGTCTTGCCTAGATCAATTCTTTCAACAAGATTCTTACCCTGTCCGTTATTCTGAAAGAATTTTTTATGTAATGGGCTGGCATGGACACATGTTTCCACTGCTCGCAAGTACAGAAGTGCTCCTCGTGTATTTAAACAAGCAACTTCAACAATCTTGAGTAAGCGTTCATGCCTATAGGAGGTATATGAAAAAGCCCTCAAGATTATAGGCACCCTACACCATGCATTCTGAGAGTGATAAACGAGAGCGGGATAATAATTACACCACCGATATATTGATTAAACTCATCGTCTCTTGGACGGAGGTAGGTCCATAAAGTCTTCTGCCGCTTTCCTCTTCGCTCCAAAGCCAAAAGCCACCTTCGTCCGGTCTGACGGCACAGGAGTACCTGTTTGTGTCGGCGTATCTGCAGCTGACGATATGCGAGAAAAGCCTGGCTTCATAACTGGGGGTGAGTTCGATCCACTAGGAGGTATAACAGATGAAAATCCCGAAGGGGCAGGACTTTGGGAATTGAGGTGAGACTGCGAATGTGGCGCCGGTAGCGTCATGAAACCAGTGGACTCGAGCAATGGAGCACCAGCCTTCCCTGAATCCTTCTTTTTGCTCTTCGCCTTCTCAGTCTTGCCCTTTGACAACGGCTGAGGGTCCAAGAACTCTGACGCTTGAGGGACAGCACTATACGAAATGCAATCAGATGCAGTAATGAGACAGACACAGAATAAACGTACCCTCTATTACCCACAGATAGTACGAAGTGAGCTTGGCCAGTTTTCTCCTGGCGGATCTGGAAGGCACGGTTCATGCTAAGGGGAGTATCACCACTTGCCATAGCTGCTTGCTTCTTCTCCTCCGCAATTTTCTTCAGCCTCTTCTCCGTCTTCATCTTCCCGGAGCCCTTACCGTGGAATTTGTGGGACAACGCTTTCCATGACTCCTTTGGGGTCAGCACACGGCCATACTCATCATAGTAGACAATTTCGACGTCAGGCTTGTAGTCCTTGAATAACTCCAGCTGCGCGCGAGCCTCTTGTTGTTCTCGAAGTCGATTTTCGTACTCTCGAGTCGCTTGGTCTTTATTACCACTACGAGACTGTAAGCGATCCGTTTCGCGTTGGGTTTGTCGATGGCGATATTCGGCGAGGAATCGATCCCTGTGTAACTGAATACCCTCTCGCGCGACCTGATCTGCCGATGGCAGTGCCAATACACCCTGCTGCCGGAGAAGGGAAAGGGTCGCCGCCATACCAGATCCAAACGTCTTTTCCCCTGATGTCCCGACCTCGGTATCGTCGTTCACTGCGGCGGTCTTCTCCTCCGCTTCAGCGATGACTTCCATCATATCTTCGTACTCCTCTTCCTTAACAACCTCACCAGCTTCAATTTCGTCGAGAGTTTCGTCACCTGCGGCCACTAAAAGGTCACGAGAGGGTGATATCTGTTTGGCAGGGGTGGGTTCTACTGATTCTTCTGCAGGCTCTGTCTTCACTGCAGTTGTGTTGTATGAGATAGCCCGAACGAATTCCGAGGTATCATCGAATGTCAAACCATTGGTGTCGCCATCTTCTGCGTCGCCTATCTGTAAAGGATCATCTGCTTGACTCGATTGCTCTCGGTTGCGTTCTTCTGCGACTAAAAACAGTCATTCTTAAGCCTTCGAAGGGAAGCAGCCCGGCTTACCTTTACGGGCAATCTCTTCCGGAGACAATTTCTTGAGTTTGTGAAGCTTCGCTCTTCGGGACCGAGCAAGGGCAGCTTGTAGCTCATCGTCATCGACAAAGTTGGCGTCTAACTCACGTGGCCTAGGCACAACCGGTTTCTCATCAACCTCCATAATATTCTCATCGCCATCAATGGGGGCACGACGTGATGAACGTTTCTTCTTGGTCTAATGAATATGGATGACAGGTTTCATTATTCACAAAGTCAAAAACGGTAAGTAGTGCTTACCTTTGGCTTCTTGAAACCTATATCTCCCTCTTGTAGGTAATCACGCGTTTCCAAATTCTCTAGAAATAAGAATATATCAATAAAAGGCAAGGGACAAAGTGGGGTTAAGAACTGACTGGCGTAATCTATTGACAGTAAAGACTTATTTACGCTTGCTAGTTCTTGTTTCGCCTGAACGCCACTGATCGTGGTGGACGTAATAGAATTACCCAAACGGAAATCCTGAAAAATGGGTAAAGGATTAATTGTGGAACGTTGTGGATGAGATACACGTACAGTTTCCCTAGGACCTTCAATATCTTCATCATATTTCGCCAGAATTGATCTCTTCATTCCAGCTTTGCCATCTCCAAACTCGTCATCGTCATAACCGGTGTAATCCCGTCTTTTAATCTTTAGTTCATTATTCTTGCGAGTGCGTTCTTCTTCAGCCATCTCAACATTCTGAAGTTCATCCTCTGGGTGGATGAAATTAGGAACAGCAGCATTGTAGTAAGGCTCGCGGTGGACGTACCTTCGTTGTCGAGAACACGGCTGTCTTTCAATGTGAGAATACGGGCATCGCCTTCTCCGAGGTCTTCAAAGTCGTGACTGACTTTGAGACCAACCAAGTCCTCTGCGGATAGAGTATCAAGCAAGTCATTCTTCATGTTACAAGAACTACACGCACTTTCCGTATAGTCGTCACCCTGAAAAGCTCTGTCCAAGTTCTCAAGCTCCTGCTGCCTTTCCTTCGCCAGCTCTTTGTCACGCTTCTTGGCTTTCTTGATCCACTTCAGGGTATCTTCTGTATCACCGTCGGGATCACCAAGTGTTGCACCTTTGAGGGAGGCATGGAGTTCTCGTCTGTTCCTCACCCTGTGATTGCAAAATGAGTAATAGCCGCTGGCTAGGGCCGAAGAGCCAGCATAAATAAATCGAAACTCACTTCGCTATTCGGTCAAATATTTGCCTGGAAAAGAGAAACGTCAATCAGAACAAGTCGTGTACTCAGAAACGAACCATGTAAATACTTTGTTTCTCTCTCTTTCGCCTGTCTCTCGCGTTGCTTTGCATAATTATCTTCCGCTTGCTTCTCTTTGTCGTCGGCTGGTGCAGAATCATCTGTAAGAGGCTTGAGACCGAGAGAGATACGGATCTTGTTCGTCTCTTCAAGACTGATGCTTTCCTCCATTGACATTGTGGTTTAGAATGACGAGTAATAACTGAGGAGTAGGTCACAGTAACTTATCCAAGTATGTTGGCAACTTGGGAGTCCTCAAGTGTGCGCTGCTTCATTAGTCACTGGTGTGACTTTTTGCGTGGCTCCCAATTTGGTTAACATATATACATATATATTTTGTTTTTGGTCCTTTATTATAAAATCTCAGGACTACTAAGTAGAGCGTATCAATTTCTTGCTAAATATTTAATACTAGTGTACATCGTGTAACATTGAGTTCCCAGACCAGTACACATAAGTATAGCTGGATTCCCTACTTAAGTACTGGTATTAGGCCATTTGCGGATGCCCGGAAGAATTCTGTCAAGTATTTCAACAAAATCCGCCTATCACTCATATCGTGGACACATGATTAATAATAGGAGCCTCGAGGCAACAACAAAGGCAATTTGAAATGTAATAACACTCCGATCTTTACATGGCATCATGCACACACTGCCAACTATATGGATTCGCTTGTCACATCAACATCTTTTCTGACTTAGCCCGGCTACCAAGGCGTATATGGAGCGCGAGTTCTTTTGACCTCATCTTCTTTCTCGGATCCTTCCTTTTTTTCAGGCCATCTTCATGTCTACATCAGCGGACTACCGTATTCCAGCTCTTGCTGCCATATCTGCGGTAGCATATGGCCTAGTTAGCTGGTGGTCACATAAGAAGAGAAACCAAGGAGGTCTTCCCCTTCCTCCAGGTCCCAAGCCGCTCCCAGTAGTGGGTAACGTGCTTGGTCTTAAGATTGATGAGCCATGGGTCACATACACGCACTGGGGCGCTACGTACGGTAAGACATTGGACATGGTCTTACAGTATACACAAAACTAACCTTCACAATTTATTTCAAGGCGAATTGGTGTACTCTCGTCTGCTTAACCAAGAGATCATTTTGATTAACACTGAGAAGGTCGCGAGGGATCTATTAGAGAGGCGCTCCAACAACTACTCCGACAGACCTGGCATCCTGTGCCTGACGAATGACTTGTACGTCCAATTTAAACCTCGCATGCATTTATCAGATTTACCGAACCACGCCAGTTTTGGCTGGTCATTTAATTCTGTCATGATCAAGTATAATGATCGTTGGAGGCTCCACCGACGATTGTTTCACCAAGCATTTCGCGCAGAAGCAGCTTATACATATCAACCAATGCAGCTTCGCAAGGCGCGAGAGTTGTTGAACAACTTGCTCGAAGACCCAGTTAACTGGATGGCGCATCTCCAGACGTAGGAGTACTGATATAGTGGCACTATTTTGATACTGATTTCGCAGATCAGGCACTCAGCCTCTATTATTATGTCTGTCGTTTATGGTTACGAAATTGGCCTAAGGGATGACCCCATCATTTCCATCGTCGAGAGGGCTGTCAACTTAGCGGTGTGTTCCATCAAACCCGAGGTTGCTGCTTTCCTTGGCGCATTCCCATTTTGTGAGCTTCTTTGCTCTTTTGCGACTACTTGATGTCTCACAGACATACAGTGCAGCACATTCCATCCTGGTTCCCTGGAGCTTCGTTCAAGCGGACAGCTATCTTATCCACCAAGTATGCCGAGGACATGATCGAGGCGCCATTTCAGTACGTTCAAAAGAATATGGTGGGTTCAAGTATCCCTTACAACTAGTCATTCATCTCATCTGAGGCGAACTAGGCGTCAGGCTCAGCATCCCCATCCATGGTCGCTGACTCTTTGAGAAAAGCCGAAGATGAAAATGCGTCTGAGACGTACGTCAAAGCAATCAAAGAGAGCGCCGTGACTGCATTCGCGGGTATGTTGATGTGATCTTATATTTCCCAGCTGTTCCCTCACATTATTGTTTCCTTCTTAGCTGCCTCGGAAACAGTAAGCCATGTCGCGACTGTCGCGCTTACGAAAATGTTGCTAACAGTTTTTTTCTCAGACCTCATCAACTTTGATTATTTTCATCTTGACGATGCTGCTAAACCCGGAAGTACAAGCCCGCGCACAGGCTGAAATCGACTCTGTGGTCGGTTCGGTCAGGCTGCCGAATTTTGAGGACAGAGCATCACTGCCATATATCGAGGCTGTTCTCCGCGAAGTTCTTCGGTGGCATCCCGCTGTACCATTAAGTTTGTATCGTACAAACTATATAATGTGAGTGACGGACTAAACGTGAATGATACAGGCATTCCTCACGCTACCACGAATAATGACGTCTACAACGGATACTTCATTCCGCAAGGTGCGACATATTTGATAACTCGCAGCTTGTTGATTGACATGCATCAGGGGCTACGATTATAACGAACACATGGTGTGTGCTTACCAATTGACTGACTTATAATGTCTTTACCGCTGATCATCATCAAAGGGCGATTACACGCAACGAAGCCAAGTATCCCAACCCAGAAGAATTTAAGCCCGAGCGCTTCTTTGGCGCTGACGGCGAGCTGAACGATGACACCATGAGCTTTGCCTTTGGTGTGGGCCGCAGAATTTGTCAGTCTCGCTAAGCTCTATTTGCCTCCTGGTTAATGATTCTGATCGTGACATCATAAAGGTGTCGGGCGATACATCGCGGATGCATCCATCTGGTCTGCGATGGTCTCGATCCTCGCTATCTTTGATATCAAGAAATGCAAAGACGAGCAGGGCAACAATATTGATGTAAATCCGAAGTTTACTGCGGGCGTCACTTCGTAAGCTTCTTTTTTGTGTACATTCTCGATTCTGATACCTCCTCAGGCACCCATTGCCCTTCCCTTGTCTCGTTGTCCCCCGACACAAAGGATTTGGCACGGAAAAGCTTGCTCAAATGTTCTAAGGTTCAGTAATCTCAATGTCTGGTTACAGCTGGTTCTGGTGTTGTACACTGCTCTTTCTTGATTGTACACTAGCTTTCCTATCCCAGACGTTTTTATGTTAACGATATCCGATAGCCACTCGAAATGTCCTCACGAGCGTCCGTTCATGTTGTACAGCTACTCTCTTGATACATCTGGGAAATGATCATGCAAACTTCACGCCGCCACCAGCTACAACTACAAAGTGTTAAGAAATGATGACTTCGTCCTCACCAGGGGAGGCGCGAACGATAGAACAAGGTACGTCAGGGCAGGATATGATATCTGGAACGAGGCTCTTCTCCGCAGGAAATCCCACAGACCGGGCAGAGACTCGTGGAACGGAGCCAGGGTGATTCCCCCCGATTTCAGCATCAGACAGGTCGCAAGGACTGGAGACACAGAGAGCCGAGAGCGATCTTGTGTGCGTCGTGCAAGGAGAGGAAGATGTTTGTTCACCCACACTTGTAAAAAGACCGGACGGCGACCAGTCGGAAGCGGACGAGACCGATGATGAAGAGGATGTGGACGAAACGAGTTTCCGGAAGTTGCGTCCTCCACTCCCCGGAATACGCGTGCCGTAACTAGGACGCAGCATGAACACCTCTCGAATGGCGGGGTCGTAGATCACAGTAGAGCTCTTGACCCTCAGTTTCTCCCGCGGCTTGGTGTCACCGAAAGCATCGATGGTGGAGGAACCCATGTTGACACGCGGGGAGCTAGCATAGACCGAGAAGTCGAGTAGATCAGATGCAGAAGCGACAGACGGGACACCCTTGAAGTATGGAGCAAAGTATGTGCTGCCTCGGTCGCCGAATGGAGAAGCGAACCGATTCTCTCCTGCACTGGGCGAATAGGAGCAGTTCGGATGAGTGGGCGAGCGAAGTTGTTTGCCTTGAGGAGAGCTGGTCCATACTTTGAGGGAAGCAGATGACAGGGACGTTGATAGGTCTGCGTCGCAGGGAAGCGAGTTCTTGCTGAGCTGGAGCTGTGTGCCCAAGACAGGTGGCCAAGAACTGCGGAACACATATTCATTGGAATGCTTCGGGAATGCATAGGATGAGGGAGGAGAAAACGAAGGCATAGGTAATTCCGGGCGATCGAACAGAGGATGAGACAGTTGTGGAGGTCCCTGAAGATTGACGACATTACAACGACCAAGCTCCGGGTCACTGAAATTCGTTGACGATGCCATCTCTTGGCCTTGAGCAGTCCTACATCTGGCATCTTCAAGCTGCCGCAGGACGACATTCTGCGGCAGCACGAAAGGCTTCAACCCTTTCGGCTTCTGGGATGAAACAAGTTGAACGATAGTGAAGCTCTGACCCTCAGTTCCTGGTGTATCGGACTCCTGAGTTGCTCGCCTTCCACCAGTAAAAAGACCGAAGAACGAGCGGAACAGTCCTGTAATGAGTGACAAGGATTTGTGAAGAAAGAGGACAAAGGTGTGCAGAATGGGAGACATTTTTGCGAGCGCTGAGTAAGGACAGTGGCGGACTTGTTCGCGAACGATACGGCGGTCGGATTGCAAAGGGTATAAGAGCAGTACTTACCGCTGCTGGCATATAAGTACTAGTGCAGCATGGCGGCTGACATATAGCTATAGCTTTATCGTTACTTGTGGAATTGTCAGCCTCCCCATTCGTAGGCGGAGACTGAGCAAAATTTGCCTCGAGAATTCGAATCAGTTATTGTCGTCGGAGAAACTAAAGGTACTGGCTGTAGGAGGTTGGAAGGAAGGGATGCTATCATGCTGTACGGAGTGCTTTTATAGCGTTCCAATACTCTGAATTCCAAGGTCCTTGGTGACAATGCACCGGTCTTTCTCTCTCCCCTTCCCGCCTTCGAATGCCTTCATTAATGATTCTTGTCCTTCGTCAGTCCTGTGAAAAGGGGCAGATGAAGTTCGGTATTGGCTAGTGAAAGAAAAATATCAATACCATTTTACAGAGTGAGCAGATTTCTCCAGTATGACTTTAACAGTTGTCCACGAAAACCGGACGATGGATGGGAAACCGAAAGTAGGGTCGAGTGAGGCCTTTACCCAAGCTTGGGTCTTTGGATCTGCAATTGCGTTAAGCAAGGAAGCAGAATTTCCTGCGACTTAAGTAACAAACCCGATGGATAACCACTCCCGAATTCTCTATTCCAGTTTTCTTTTCGAGTGTTTTCGACTGCATTGTCGTCTTCTTCAACCAGTTCTTCGAAGGTCCAACCATCCACACACGCATCCCTTGTGACCTTTGCCGCCACACTAGCTGCTCCCACAATCTTGAATTTTGAGTCTGCTTTCGTTGTCACGGTAAAACTGATGCCCGGGAATTGTGAAGAAAGATACGCTTCATAAGTAGTTGTGTTTCCCAGTGCATCCACGTATACCTAACCAGAGGATAGTTTAGTATTCATTCGGAAACATATGGCGCATGTTAACCTCAGACAACTGGAGTCCACGCTGAAGGCATCGCGTATGAGCAATACGGTTGCATCCTGGGATTGCTTGTTAAGATTTGTTGGCGGAATTCTCAACATCCCAGCTGATATAGCTTGTGGGCTAATCACCATGAGAAGTCTCACAAAGGATAGAACTTCGGATGTGCGTACCTGATGACTCGGACAGACCATCCGAGATTCTGAGGATCAGAGTTAAGAACGCCTAACAACTGGGCTCGCTTTTCCGGAGTGAGTGTTTTGGAATCTGGTAGAAGATATGGCTGGTGTCATTATGTAGTTAAGCGCTTGAGAGATGTTTACCAGCAAAGCCCAGCTGCTCTAAGTCGGTCTTCCAAGATGCAGGACAGTAGGCAACACCGTAAACAAGTGGCCCAAGTACAGGGCCACGACCAGCCTCGTCAACACCCAGGATGTATGGCCCTGGTGCTGTAGGCGTTGAAGAATGGTAAGTATATGAGTTTGTAAGTGGATTTGACGGTCCAGGTGCTGAAGGAATAGTTCGGGACATAGTTTGCACGATGTCTTATAGGTATCTCGACTTAGACGTATCTAGGCCAATATACCGTTTCCACGATTGCAAGACTGTGTTTACGCGTTCTTTGTACATATTGTGTAGGAATAACCAAAATAGACGGCACCCCTGTTAGTCACCAGTCACTGGTCAACTTGAAAGTCCTCTATCAAGCGGATAAATAATGGTTTTAAACTCGGCAGTGCTAAATTGATGAGTTCTTGTAATGTGTTCCAACTTGGTCTTAACTCGGGTACTTTTTTTTTTCTAGGACAAGCCAGATTTATGTTGCACATTCAAGAATTCGATCTACTATGATAGATAGGCTGTATTGTGCATTCTGTTACCAAGTCCGTCGTGCACGTCCAACATACTACTATACACAATCAAAATTCTCCATGTTTCTCGAGGGTGCTTTTAGCCCGTTCATGTGCTATAGAAATAATGATTCAGGGCATAGTATACTTTAAAAGTTGAAGATCGTACCTGCGTGCTTGGCTGTTTCTTATCAAGTTCGTCCATTCCCTTGGTCTCTGCAATGCGGTCAACAAAGCCACCCGTCAGCGCCTGCACTAGAGGTTTTTTTCAGATGAGTTCGAGACCATTTTGCATGATGATACTCACAGCAACTCTATGCCTTCGCATGGTTTGCAGGTTTTCCGTTCTGCTGAACATGTTTCTCGTACGCTTTGGCAGCCTAATAAGTGATCGGCAACGACGTCGTGCTCAACAGGCACGAAAGACAAACCTCGTATGACGCGGCAGCGGCAATGAGCTCATGACTCAGTTTGGCGCTGTGTCCGCCAGTCACCTATAGGTCATTAAGATGGCCAGTCAACGTAACACACCACTGCGGCTCACCTGCGAGTGTGCTTGAGACTCTTCAGAATCGGATGTGAACCACATAGTGTTAGTAGAATAAGGGAAATTTAAATTCAATGGAATATGGAGGTGACGCTTTTTATAATCACAAGGAGCGGTGCGATCATGATGATGTCAGTGTGGGGTACACACCAAGCTGCTCTAGATGGGCGGAGCATACCGTCACTTGAAAAATTTTGTCCCTGACAGGTGCGTTCAGTGCGTCTGTCTGGCGGGGTCTAAGCAGTACTAGTTCGTCTCAAACTTCGGACTGTATCAATGTTCCATGGATGGCATCTAGGAATCAAGAAGTGAAAGCTTGGCCGAAAAATTAGTCATGGCAAGGCTATCCACCGAGCCGAAACTTTCCAAAGGGTCAACTTCCCAGAAAGAGGTGCTCTCCTATGGTGGATCTTTGGTGACGGTTCGATTTGCCGTGCTGCCGCGTATATTTTCAAAGTCCGTTGTATTTACTTTTGTATTTAGGGCCCGTTCGGCAACCGCTCGTTTCGTTTGTTTGGGTTCGTTCCGTTTTGAAACGGACGGACGTTGAAGTGAAACGGATGCTCCCACGGGTGTCACACACTGTCACACATGTAGATAATCAATGATAACCATCAGTTTGCTGCTCAAGCTCTACAACTACTACTAGTATGACTTCATCATGGAAGAGAAAGGCCCTCAAAGCCTCCCTTAAGGCAACCCACACCCACAGAAAGAGAGCTGCAGTGCTAGCAGCAGCTGTAAATACTGCAGACTTGAAGGTGCCATTATCAGCTGAGTTTCTGTCAGCAAAGGTCTTGAGAGAGTCAAGGAGTGTTGCATCATCTCCCAAAAGCCACTTTGCATTCCATGGAATCTTCCTGGTACTGACAGCCTGATCTTGAGGTTCCTGCAGTGAATTGATGTTCTCCTTGGTATCTGACAAGAGAGAGATTGCCATGGTGTTAAGGTTGCATGCTCAAGGGGGTCAGATCACAAGGGCTTGGCCTCAGCTTGTACACTGTGCCCCTTTCCTGAGTATGTGCCCTTAATTTCTGGGGGCTAGAATAGTCATCTGGAGTTTCCAGGATTTGACTAGGGCAGATAATGGATGTCTGGATCTGAAACATGAGATAAATCCAATGGACATCTGGATGTTACTTGGACAAGTGGATAAGGCTAATCTGGATGAAGTCTGGACTAGAAACTAACAGGGGATAGACTACCCTAATGTAGAGTTGGAGATGTAGTCTAGGATGCAATCCTAAGACCCAGAATATGACAAGAGACTTGGCTCAAGTCCAGAGGACACAGGAATGAGCAGGAACTAAGATGATATTTGAACTAAAGTATTTCCGAGAGTTACAGGAGGTTTATATACTGTAGGTATCGTATACATAGGAATCAGTCAGCAAACACAAAGGCTATGTACGAAGCATATGCAAAGTCTATTAGTAAGTAGGACAGATCACCAATAATGCATATTGGAAATGAAATGTATGTAACGGATCAATAATCAGAAGGGAAACATAGTTAACCAGAGTCCAGAGACAGGGGAAGTCTAAATGGGGTTGGGCACTGATATAGAGTTTGGATTCTGGAAGGAAGATAAAGATAGATCAGATCATTGGAGATCCAGATCTTGGATCCAGATGTCTGGAGAAGCAGATTTAGAGTTGAGGGTCTGGAATGGCATATGACACATGGTAGTAGACTGGTAGTAGTTGACAGAGTAGGGACAGTGGGATATTTGATTGACTAGAGTGAGCAAAAGAGTACTAGTGTGATGCCACATTATGCAGCATGACAGATATCTAGCGAAATGAACACATTGCCAAACACATTTTTCTGTTTCAAATGAAAATGGATGCAAATGGATGAAAACAAACGAAATGGATGTAAACAAATGGTTGCCGAACGGGCCCTTACCAAGAACACATCTCAAATGTCTGTTAAGAATCATGCTGCTCAAGGGAGAGAGAGACTGACTCAGAGGGGCTTGGCCTCAGCTCATATGCTGTGCCCCTTACCTGAGTATGGGCCCTTCATTTCAGATGAGGTCTGATGATGGTCCAATGAAGTCTGGAGGACTTCCGGAGGCTGGCTACTCTGGTGGAGTGCTAGAGGACTTCTGGAGGAGCGTGGGAAATGTCCGGAGGAGCGTGGGAAATGTCCGGAGGAGCGTGGGAAACGTCTGGAGGAGCGTGGGAGAGTTCTGGAGGAATGCAGGAAGTGCTCAGGAGAGTTCCCACTGTGAGGTAATACTTCTACAGGAAACAGGATGGAAGGATAGGAGGTCCGAAGGTCTGGAGGACAGGAGGACAGGAGAACAGGATAGGGTGGTACGGATCAGGCTAGCAGCAAGGATCTGGAGGTCCGGAGCTCAGGGGTAAATCTGGAGCGGAGTCGATCCTACTGAGGTGTGGAGCACACAGTGGAAGGGGATCTGGCAATGAGTTGGATATGGGGTCCAGATGTAGGCTTGGAAGGCGTGGGAATATTAAGGAATGTGAGTCCAGATTGTGGGATATGACAATGTCACAGTCACCACATATGGTGTTGGGTAGTGCTGAATATACCATCTGCTTGTCTAATTCTAATCACAGTTCAATGTTCAACTTCCACCACTCGATAACAACATTAGTTCTGCTGCTGTTTGCAGAGGTACTTGATAGCAGTCAGGAATCAGTGGTAATGACATTGAGTGAAATTTAACATGGCTAGTAACTGTCATGCTGCCCAGGCATTTCCATCACGACAATGTGACTTTTTGCACTACTTACCATTCACCATTCCCTAACCAACTAAGATGGCCAGAACATGAACAGGACAGAGTGAACAGTCAATGATCTGAGGATAGAAGCTTCGAAACTGTTCATTGGATTCAGAAGGAAGAGGATCCAGGACCAGAAGGTCTCAGACTGTAACCAAGGACCTCCTCAAACCCATGGACAAATTTTTAGCGATGATGTTCAAATGGATGGTCCAAAGCCATCTGTCTCTCCTGCTGAATTAATTTCACAGATGCTGAATACACTTGGAAAGAAAGGTTGAGTTCCTGCCTGTAAGTAGCATGTCTGTGCTAGTAGTCCATTCCAAGCTGATTTTCGCTTATTCAAGCTCCTGATAATCTCATCAGGCCAATTATTGAGGATTTCGTGGCAAAGGGGTACAGTAACACCGAAATTGTTTCCTGCCTATGCAAACACTATGATACTGATGCATACAATGTTTTGTGAGTTCTTTTTTGTCTAGCTGAAAGCATGCTTGATACATGACCTAGGATTGACCTCCTGAAAAAGCGGCGCTCTCAGTGGGGGCTGAAGTCTGCTCGTGGGCAAGCCCATACCATCACAAGTATTGGTCCTGCAATTGAGCGAGTGTGAGCATGGTTCCCAAAGCAGGGTTTGCATGACATGAGGCAAACCCTCATACACGAAGAAAAGATTACTGTGTCAAGGTGTGTTTTCTTTATTCGGATTTCTGTAATAACACATGTAGTATTTTGTGAAAAGAAAGTTGATTCTTCATTACATGAATCTCTACCATCAGGCAGATGTTCAAGCTCGCAAGAGTCAACACCTGAAGAGGAGTGTTTACTGGACTGTGGGTGTCAATGATGTTTGGGTATTTGATCAACACGACAAGTGGTGCTGATTTCAGCTCTTCCTGCATGTCACAATTGAGCCATTTTCAGGACACATACTTTGGATCAAGATCTGGTGGACCAACCATAACCCCTGTCTTATTTGTGGATGGTACTGTGATACTGTACAAGCCCTTGGTGGTGAGCATGACTATCTCACTACACTCACCAACTGAAACATGGTTTTACTAGCCATGCCCCTTGTAACCCAGAGTGACCCTGGAAGTGAAAATAATGGCATTGCTAATGGTCACACCTTACTTTGTCATATGCAAGATCCAGCTCTTGCCTGCACTTGACAACACAAATTCAAGGGCCAACATTGCAACATCAAGCCCAAAATATTTTGGAGCCAATTATGATGATGCTGGACTCCAGGATTCAAAGATATTCTAGAATATGGCTTCACCATGGGAATCTATAATCCTGATGATGCCTTGGAAAGGTAGCAGTACCGCATTAATTTCTTTCTTTCTCGTTGAGCACTAAGCATCAAGTATTCAAGGCTCATTTTTCATTATATATTTATTCCGTGGCTCCAGCATGAGCTTGATCTCTTTGCAGAAAGGTTCAATCATGTCAAACCTCACCATAATATCCACAAGATCCTTCCACATGGTCATCCAAATGACATATTCTACCATGCCAAAGAATATGATTCTTGTGACTTTGCAGTAAGTACTGGCTATCTTTGTGTCTCATCAATTGATTGAAAGGTGTATTCTTCCTAGGTGAAAGTTGACCATTCTTTGCTTGATGCTATGTGACAGATATATGCTCCTCTGGATCACCCTGTCTTTCTCCTAGTTCTGCAAGAGTTTTCTCAACAAACCTCTGTATTCATGGCGGAGCTTGGCTCAACTCCAGTAACTGGGGACAATGTCTGGAATGTCTATGCTGACCTTCTGATGTGTTTCCAATCAATTGAATGGGATGAAGGGATTCGCAAACTTCTTGTGGTGCAACTCCCACTTCCTTGTGACAGGGACAACCTTATTGGCTCCAAGGACTTACCTATTGTAGATTTGCCACTGTTTGTTGAAGGTAGTGGTCCAGGCAGTGATATGGGTGCTGAGAAGATCTCAGATGAGGAGTCAGGTGATGCAGAGTTGGATTTCTATGAGTTTGATTGGACTGATGATGAGCTTTTGTGATGTACCTTTCATATGTTTGCTGGCAATGTGATTGAATGATTGTTTCCCAAAGAACCTAGTTTCACTGTGACCCTCACTATTGATCCAATGGTGATGGAACCAAGGGTTGACACACTCACCTGTAACTGAGAATTGCACATTGACACATGAGCTCCAAACAACTGACAGAGGAACCTTGGGTGTCATGATTCTAAGGCAAGAGGCAAATAAAAAAAGTTTCATCTTCGTCTGCCTATTGACTGAATCCTCCTGCATTTTACACTGTGACTCCAAGTCCTCAAGCTCAGATATCAATCATGGCTGAATTTACTCCTGTAAATCCAACTGCATGGTGACTTTGTCAATGCTGTGACACTTGCTTCGACTCAACTTTTCCATTTACATATATTTGTGGTAAAGATGGATCTGGTCATACATGCTGCCCTAGCTGTGCAAAGCATTATGAACAGTGCAAAATGTCTGAGCAGACTCGAGAAAGTAGTAGTTTGAGGACAGGTGACTCATCAACCTGCAGAATTGAACATTATGCTTATTATTGTAGATTTTACAGCTGCCATAGATCATCCTGGGCCATCACAACACAAGCTGGTAAAAGCAACCTCAGCTGCCCAGTGAGGAGGTGTGCATGTTCCCAATACATGAAGTCAACATTGCCAAGCTGACTTGAGTTTATTATGACAGAAAATCACTTTCCTAGTCAGCGTTTCAGTCTTGCTCCACCACCATCATTTCAAGGTGGTCAAGTCCACTCCAGTGGACAGGGAAAAATGCTCCCTCCACCACTGCCACCTTGTGTATCAGGTAAAAGCAAATAGTTTGGGGCTTTCTTTTGATGTCTAGTTGAAGTGACGTTTTCACCAGTCTATTACTAGGTCCTATTGCTAGCATCAGGTACACACCCAATCATGCAGTCCATCAGTTACATCACAACAAGATGGCCCTGGCAGCATCATCAGGAGGCACACACCAAGTGACAATCCATGTTGCTCTTCATCACCTTAAACCTGAAGGCAAGTTAGGGACAGTATTGGTTGGTGTATGTGAACCCTAGCTTGCCCAACCATATACTCACAATTTTTTTTAGAATATTGAACATAATGTGTGTATTGCACTTAATGTCACATTGACGGAGCTTCAGTCTATTGCCTGCAACCAGCTCGATCCATTATGGGCTGAATGGTCACACAATCACTCACTGTCTCTGTATAGCTTGGAGATACACAAGTCCCCAAAAATGCTTTTGTATGATCCATGGCAGCCATCCCTTAATGCTGATGAGCCAGTCCTTCGAGAGTTCTTCCTCTGATCAACAGCCAAGGACCCTGTCCCAATTTTTTTTGCAAATACACATATTATGGTCCTCCTTGTTATGACCAACATGCAGTTTCAGGATGTGTTGCTGTGGTGAGAGCAACAGGAAAATGTGCATCTGAGTTCATCTCTCACAAAGTGATGCTAACAGTCATAGAAGGTTGTACCAGACTATATAGATGAGGCACTAGTGGCTACTTCTAGCACACCACAGACTCAGAAGATAAAGACAATGACAAAGTCCTCAGCATGGAGTCCACCTAATAGTGGCAATGATTTAGATCTTTCGCCAAAGTGCCCTGCCCACAAGTGTTCAAGAATCATGATTCCCAACTTCTGCATACTTCAGACATGGTAATGAGCCTATACACAGCACTTGCCTCTGGCAACATCTGCAAACACTCAGATGGATGGATCAGTAACAGATCATCATGTCAGCACTTCTGACACAGACTCAGTTAAATCCACTTTCCAATTGAAAATATCACCACAGCTATTCCTACCTAGTCAAGCTCAGTTAAAGGCAGCAATGCATGCTCAGGGTAACATCCACAAGCAAGCTTTGTCTATTGGTATGCACAGCCTTCACATGAATGTTGATTACACTCACTCTAGTGCAGGCATGGGATATACCTCAGTTGTTTTTTGCCTCTATGACATCCCATCTATCAGTTTTTCCAACCTCATCTCAACACCGTTTGATATCACTAAAAGTCATTACACCATCACCACACTTGCCATTGACACTAGCCCAAAAGCAATGATTGGTTCAGTGGGCAGCTTCAAAAGTTGTCACCCAGTATTGGTCCATAGGACAAGCACCACATCTATGCCTGTGTCAACAGCATCTCTGTGACCATTGATTCTATCTGCTGAGCACCTTGTTGCTAAATGTGTCCTCTTCTGGAAGGAACCAGGGAAGGGATGCTACCAATTTTCCACAGAGGATGAACTAGCAAAAACTCTTGGTGAGGCCAACTGCCTTTACTGGGGTGCAGTGCTAATGGGCATGGCATATACGTTTGTCAATCAGATGCTCATGACAGGCAAAGTGCGGAAAGATGTCAAGAAACTGGTGCCACATCTTCAACTTGTTCATGTGGCACCTGTCATTCCTGTTGACATTGATGACAGCGACTCTTGTGCCAATTATCTTATCAAAGAGAGGATTAGTGGTACATTTGTTAAGTATATTAACAACAATTCAGCTGTTCCAGCTCATAGCCTGGACAGCAAAGAAGCAGAAATCAGACTATTCCTGTGCCCCATGCAACACATCCAGTATTGTCTCTCTAATGAGATGGTCTATCTCTCTGATTTTCAGGGTTAGTTTGGTTGTGCAGTCATTGTTTGACAAACTTACTAACTGTATCTTGACTAGGCTCTGGTGATCTTCTTACTGACTGTCAAGTCATAATGGGCTCATGAGTTGATGCTGAGCCAGTCTCTCTTATTGGTTGGCTGACATGAACTACAGTGACTTTGTGAATAACTTTGGCGACAGAAACTGCACAGCTGCTTTCAAGAACTTCCAATCTGAACACCAGTGCAACCAATTTTGCCGTGCCTTTGGTTTGCAAGCATTAGAGTAGTCTTGATAGGAAGATGGAAATCATGTTGTCGTGACGGAAACACCTGGGTGGCACGACAGTTACTAGCTACATATTGAATTTCACTTGATGTTGTGCTATAAAGTACCTCTGCAAACAGCGGCAGAGCAAACATTGGCATTGACCTTGAATGTTGAATGGCAGAAGTTGAATGTTGAATGATTATTTAGAAATTAGACATGCGGATGGTATATTCAGTGCTGCCCAATGTTGCATGGTGGCCATGACATTTGGGATGGTAAATACAACAGTAAATACAATAGTAAATACAATGGACTTTGAAAATATATGCAGCAGCATGGCAAATCAAACCGTCACCAAAGATCCACCATACTCTCCTGGGTGTCACCTTCTTTCTTTGGCAGAACCTTAAGCCACCAAAGGTTCCTATTCAGGTAATAACAAATAACAATTATTGTCTTTCAGCACCATGATGTTTGCACTTAGCTGGCAGAATTTACACCTGGGTGCACCATATACAGTAATTTGGTCACATGATAATGGAACCTCATCCCATTTTGGTTGGATTCCTCCTGCTTACCCTGCTTTCATGTTGTTTGTGCATTAGCTCATTTGTTGGTGCCTCGAGTTTGAGGTGTGCTTGATTACTTTATGCTAGGTTATGGTAGTTGGTAGTATAGTTTGTTAGCTCGTACTTTCCTAATCAACTCTTGCCTTTGTGTTTTCTTTTTTTTGAAACTTATGTTCCACACCATTTTCTCACCTCCTCCCTTCTTCCCTTAAGACAACCTTGAAGACTCACTCAATCATGTGATGCCCTTGAAACTCAAAGGTGAGCTTGGCATGCTTAATGATGCATCAAAATCAATTTAACTAACTAAGGGGATGGGGCCATCAGTTAACAGTGCCTATAATACCAGCCTCTACCTAAATCTATGGGTCCAGGTCTGTCTGTCTGCCTACTTGCAGGGGATGATCTTCCCATGGCTCTTCTTGGCATGCTTGATTGCATTGAACAGGGCGGTGTGACCTTCGGTATGTTCTGGATATGCAGCAAGGAATGCTGACTCATTTGCCTGGTACCTTCAAATGGTGAATGGCTCATTGGATAAGTATGAGGCAGGTCACTTACTGATAAAGAAATTCCAGTGCGATCATAGTACACTGGTGGTACTTCGAGCTGAAGATGGCTCTGTTCTTCTCCCTGAGCCATTCAGCTAGCCAGTCTCCAAGGGCCACATGCAAGCCACATCCAGGATCAGCTTCTGTCCAGTGCTGGACGATGTACTTCCAGGAGTCCTTCTTGGGAGCATAGCTCCCATCAGTGCACCACACAAGAAGGTTTGGGATGTCCAGGCCCTTCTCAGGGAGTGGATGAGAGCCAATGTTTGTTGTGCTGGTGCTATTCACAGTTGGATTGATGGTGTGGGTTGGTGCAGAGACCATTCATTGTGGGATGGGTGTTGGGGACTTGTGACTTCATTGTGAATCCCCATAGAGTGGGTGCTGCACCAGTGTCTGGCGCATGGGAGCAGGGCTGAGCTGTCCATTCTTGCAGGAGACAAGTGCATTTGTGAGGAAGTGTACATCACTCTGCAAATCTGCAATGTTGACCATGATGAACTCCTGCATGAGTTGTATATCCTATGAGCACACAGGCTTGACAAACCAGTGCTCACCAAGCAGGGAGCCATCAGCCTCGTTCTGTGTGGGACACAGGGCATCACTGTGGTCATTTTCATAAGTCAAGAGTTCATCAAGGAGGTACCAAATGAGTGTATCACACTGATTTGTTTTTCAGGAGTCAGTCAGGTGGTATTGAAGTATGTCTGCTGTAGAGACTCACACCTCTTTATGGCCGTTATAGGATGATACACCACCCCTTCCTACTGATACTCCAGCTCTAATCCTCAGTATAAGTCACTTGTGCTATCATGCACTAACATGCAACTGCCACACACACATGAATGCACTTGCATGTCCTGCACACCCACTCTAGGTCCTCCACTACAGTCCATCCACCTGTCCATGTCCTTGCTAAAGTCTGCTGGTATATTTTTATTGTATTCTTATCACTCTGACATATCTTCCAGACTGATTACAGTGCTGTAAATGTGCATGCTCACACTTAAGCGCCATTACATACAGATATTGCTACCTACCTGCTTTGCTTCCATGCTACAAGTGTCGCCTAGTGCTCAATATAGAGAAGGGACTTATAGTTTTTAGAACACCTTATCCTAGCACTCCCCACCTCTGTGTATTAGCAGTAGTTTGCACATTAGAGCAAGTTTAAAAGTCCCAAAAGTCCAAATTTGTGCGCTACCTGCCTAGACGTGACTGCTTTGCACCAGCTTGATTCCTTCTTCACTGGATTTAGTTTCCAGGTAGCCCTTGCCTCTATGCTTTAGACCCCCATCGCATGTGCTCTCACTTTCTATTGCCCCAGTGTGCTTTTGTGTGTGTCTCGATCGCGCTCCTTCCAGCATTCATGCTTCATGCATCCTCTAGCACCTGTTCAGTTTCAGAGTCTCCCTCAGTCATTTTGAGGACTCTCTCTCAGTAGCTGTCCTTTGGGTCTAGTTCTGTCTCATATCCAGGTCTTGCTGTAGAGTTCCCTTAGTAGTAGTCAGTTTCTCTCATAGTTCATAGTCCTCACCTTCACCATGCACTCACATTCTCATTTTCAGCCCATGATCCCCACCACCTTACCCTAGCCAATGTCCAGCACTCCCCAACAGGTGCAAACATCCAGCACCACTGTGCTCCACCATGACAATAGGTGTGGGTGGTGAAACTATCACCCACACCTCAAGGGATTCCTGCACTGGTGGTCACTTCATTGATCTAAGCCTGGACAGCATCATGCAAGATATGTTCACCATGGTGAACAACACCATTGGAGCTGATTGTGGGGAAGACAAAGTCATCAGGCTTGAGCTTGCCATTGTAGTGAACATGCTTGAGAAGTGTAAGCCACAGCAACATCCAGAAGAAACAATTACAGCCAGGCATGTCTGGCTGTGGATAGATTTTGTACTGGTTACCTAGACAAGAGGTGAGCAATTGCACTGGCCCCATAACAATTTTACTCACTGTGCAAATCTGCCTCCATTAGCCCTTTGTCCACCTTCCACTGCCATCCTTTGCAATTCAACAAGAACACCTCAAAGCAAGCATGTAAGTCCTTGATCAAAGGCATCTTGTTGTATAGATACTTGCTGAAGGCCATGTTGACCTCGGATGGATCAATTGTAAGGTCTTTTCTTTTGAGTTTAATCAATTCAAAACACCTTGTCCACAGATTCCAAGCAGTGGTGCTGAACACTTGGTACATCACCATTTGTGTGATTGATGTATGCAACTCTAAGGTGAGGTTGTCAGTAGCCATCTTATCTTCTTCAAGCAACATTCTGACAAGACCTGTATAGGTCTCCCTTGGGCAGCATAAGTGGATCCATGTTAGGATCCTATCCATGAAGCCTTTCGACATTGCAATTGAGTGAGTTATGTTGGCACCCTTGCTATTTGTCTTGTGTCAGACTGACTTGATGACATCCTGCACTTCAGCTGAACAAGCAGGATTCCCTTCCCAATGCTTCCATGCCTTGTTGAAATGCCATTTTCTGCAATATGTATCACTGGCTCTGTTGTTTAAAGGTGAGCATTAAACATATCACTACAGGCATGCTAGACTAGTGCTCATGCTTCCTCCCAGTACTTTTTGAACACTGCATGAATACCATCACATGTACTTTGACCATTGTCTTCATGAAAACACTTGTATGAAATAAATAGTGCAAGTGCTTTATCTGAATGCCAGTTAGGTGTCTCCTTGAGTGCATCTCTGAACATTGGATCCTCATAAGCATTGTCATTGTGTGTTTCTTTGTCTCTGCAGCCAGTAGCACAGGCATCTGCCTTTAGCCATTTCTGCCCACAACTGATGTATGAGCTGTAATTTTTCCATGTGCTATTTGCATGCTTATGCTGCTGCTTTGCCCTTTCCTTTATCTTGTTGATGGCTGGCAAGGTAGTGTTTCCTGTAGGCTGCACTCCTTTCCTCTGTTTCTTGGGACTAGCTTTGCTGGGGTGGACCTGGACTTTATCAGAAGTTTTTTTGGTCCTTCCCATGACCAAGGTGATGTAGTGTGGTGTCTTTGAGTCTAGAGAGTGCAGAGAGAGGTCTGTTCCTCATTTTAACTTCAGCTGCACCACACTTGTGAATTCATAGCAAAAAATTCATGTCATTTGCTTGGTCCTTCAATGGAATAAGAGCTGTGTATGTTAAAGTTACTCTACAGTAAGGTCAATAACTTCCCACCCCTCTTCATCAATGCACACTATCAGCTTGCTTCCCCCACTCAGCTCTGAACCTCCAACCTCATTGCTCATGTCCCTAACCTCAGGCCACAGCAGCATACTGCACTGATAGACAGGGATGCCAGTCAGGTGGTGGATCTTCTGAGGATGGCCCTGCAGAGATGGCATGTTGATCCAAGTAGTCAATGACATCTTGAGGTGAGGTAAGCTCCATAATTCAAGCTGTAATGGTAACCTTGCTGTGTGATGGTACCCAGGACTCTGTTAAGGTCATACTCAAAGGATAACTGGATCCAAAGGGCTTTGGCCTCAGCTCATGTGCTGTGCCCCTTACCTGAGTATTGCCCCTTATTTCAGGAAGGCAAGGCTAACATGTCCAGAAGGTCAGATGAGTAGCATAATGGATCCGGATGACTTCCAGATGAGGGATAAGTATCGTAGGGCTAATCTGGATGAGTCCAGACTAGAAACTAATGGTAATGGACTGTCGGGGACAGAGGCAGATACGGATAGACTATAGGAATAAATCCTAAGTCTCAGAGGGTGATGAGAGTAGAGGTACTCAAGTCCAGAGGACAGGAATGAGCAGAACTAAGATGATATTTGAACTGAGGTACTACAGAAAGTTACAGGAGGTTATATACTATAGGTATCTAATGGAATGATCAATCAGCAGAGTCCGAGGCTATGTATGAAGCATGTGGATAGTCTATTGGTAAGTAGAAACAGATCACAAATCATGAAATGGAAATGAAGCATAGGTAGCGGATAAGGGAGCAGGACAGATATACAGATAACCAAAATACCGGAGTTAGGGGGTTACCAAAAAGAGACGAGCACTGGTTGTGGATTTGGATGAGTTGTGGACCAGACCAGATGAGTGGACAGATTGAATGACAAGATGTTGGAGGGGGATAAGATGTGGATAGCATTGGAGATAAGATGTGGATCTGAGATGAGATAAGGGTCGGATCTGAGATCTGGATATGTGGATATGACAGACTTGTTCTCTTCAGGACTTGAGTTGTTGTCAGCTTAGATGCCATCATTAGCAGCATTGACAAAAGACAGTGCATATAGTGTGGTGTGGTAAACCAGTGTAGAGACCCCATCCTCTACAGCTGTATAACAGGCATATTTTCGCGTTTTGGCCTCTGCACTGATGCCCTCCAATAAGCACAATACACATGCACTTTCATGATGACACACATGTTGGCATGCTTCAGGCATGCTATGAACATGCTTTCATGCACTTTCGTGTCCTCATCACCAACTGTCCACATGTCCTGTCCTCGTCCTCCAAGGTCCATTGGTGTGTGTTCTATCTATTTTTACTTCAAACACATATCACAGAGTTACATATGGTATGCAATTACTCATTGCCTTGCTATTTTTACTTAAGTTACATCACTTATGATATTTACTGCTACCTATTCACTTCCAAAGCCTGGGAACGCACTTACAAGGCATTACATGCCTCTGGGTAAATTTTAGTTACTTACTCCTCTTCCACTAGTATCCCTCAGAGCAGCAGCAGATAGTTGAATTGACTACCATCTTTGTTGATTTTCGCACTTGAGCTCAGAAAAGGATCATCTCATCTCCATCATCTCCCACCAATCCAAGAAAAAGATCAGTATCGCTCGCCTTGAGGTCTAGAGCCCAGCCACAAAGCATGCATTTCGCATGTCGAGTGTGCATTTTCATGTGCCTGTCGCATCCAGCATGCTTTGGCACCTATCATTGCATTTCATACTCTCATGCTCCACCAGGCCCTCTGTTGAGAGCTAGTTCTTGGCATTTCCCCTCAATTCTTTAGAGGAATCCTTTCTCAGTGGCAATCCCCTTGGGTCGAGTTTGACTTGCATCCAGAGGAGCTCTGAAGAGTCCTTATCTTTAGTTTCCCCCCATCCAAATTCCTCACCTTCACCAGTACACCCCCATTGGGATCTTTTCATTTGTCAACATTAAATGTTGACTTCAGCAGTGCGCTACCATCAATTTTGGGAAGCTTGAAACTTTATGTAAGCATCAACAACAGTGAGTTGAGACAGGGCCCACCTGGCACAGTGCGTGCATGCATGCAGCGGATCATATATTGGTCCTGAAATACTTGTGAATTTTGGGTCACATCTAACTGAGGCAAGCCTTGCAGAATGCAGCAAGATACATCAGATCAGGCTGAGTGGGACCAAACTGTGGAAGTGAAGATGAGCTGGTGCCATCAGACCAAGTGGTGACTGGACTGAGGTAAAGGCACATGATGTCTACACTGGGAAAGTCTCCAGGGATAGACACTGCAAGTGCTGGGTACTTTCTCCCCAGAGTACCATCAACCAGGACCGTGCAGAGGCAATCATGCCATGTCCTGAGCATGCCTGGAAGCTGTGCAGGCATTGCTGATGTCATAACTTGCATCAGTGAGTCACCAAGGTTACCTGCAAGCAAAGCCTGGCTGACTTGACTGCCACAGCCTAAAAGTCCTCCCTAGATATAGATTTCATAGCTGCCAGTAGTTGTATATATGAAAAAGACATACCAGGTTATAGTCACCTCCATGGAGCATGGCCCAAAGGAGGAGATGAGAAGCTGTCAAGGGAATTTTTGGATTGTTTGATAGGGCTTCAATGCAGTAGGCATCCACCAGGAATGTGCCATCTTCATTGTCCATGTTGTTCAAGTAGCATGGTTAGAACACTAAACAAATATCACAATAGATATACTCACAGGTGTAAAACTTTTTCCATGCCAAATAACAGAGCATCACTATCTTCCATCAATATTGCACCAATCTTCCCTGCCTTTGACAAAAATGCCAAGTCCGCTGAAGGTGAGGACTTTGGACTATGGGGAAACTAAAGCAAGACCTGGATGTGAGACTGAACTCGACCCTAAGGACAGCTACTGAGAGAAGGTCCTTGAAATGACAGAGGGAGACTTTGAAACCAGATGAGCACTATAGGATGTGCGAAGTGCGAATACCGGAAGAAGTGTGAAGAAGATGTGCACAAAAGTGTGCTGATGCGATAGAAAGCGAGAGCACATGCATGGAAACACAGCATGCACGATGGGGGTCTAAAGTGTAGGTGCTAGAGCTATCTGGAAATGAAATCCAGTGGGGAGAGAATCGAGCTGACTAGAGGTGATCGCGCCTATGAAGGTAGCGCGCGAGTTCCAATTCTTTAGTGCTTTCAAACTAGCTCAAATGTGCAAACTACTGCTACTACACAGAGGTGGGAGGTGCTAGGATAAGGTACTCTAAAAAACTCCCCCTCCATTCCCTATATTGGGTGTTAGGCAACACTTTTAGTGTGGAGGTGAAGCGAGTAGGTAGCGATATCTGTATGTAATAGTGTTTTAAACTATAGCGCTATAATCAGCCCAGAAGGTACGTCAGAGTGATAAGAGTGTAATAAAAATGCACCAGTGGACTTTAGTGAGGACATGGATGGGTGGACAGGCTGTAGCAGAGGACCTAGAGTGGGCACACAGGACATGCAAGTGTGTTCACATGTGCACGGCAATCGCACATCAGTTTGCAATAGTGTGAGTGACTTATCCAGAGGATCAGAACTGAGTATCAGTGGGAAGGGGTGGTATATCATCCTATAGTGGCAATATAGAGGAGCAAGTCTCTACATCCATGGGGGACTTGAATACTGACTGTCCTCAGTCAGTCTCTGTAGTGTGAATGGACTTAGCGAAAATTCGATGAGCGGAGTCACATGACCATGGGTGTTCGCTCTGGTAAGGATTTGATAGCCGGGCGCCACTGTGTGGACACTGTGGCCATGAGGCTCATTGACCTGTGCTGACCTAATATGGCCATGTTGGATAAAAAACCAGGCATGCATTGTGCTTCCTCTTCTTCCTCTTATTGCTATACTGTGATAATCTTTTGACATCGCGATGCCTCCTTTCACCCTCTCCATGCTAGACTCTTACAGTTCCCCCCCTCCATCCCCTGGGCTAGAAGAGCGCAGTGAGGAACTGCCCCAGGAAACACCAGTGACACTCGTCCTTCACACTTGGAGCATGGTCATCGCAACTTTTGTTGCGTGCGCAGAGACACGTCCAGGGCTAAAGCAAGAGCTCCTGGAAGAGATAGAGGATTGGTTGCGAGAGTGGAACTGTGTCTCAGTGAGTTGTTGCTTTAGTATTTGGTTTCCGCCCTTCTAACGCATTTTTACCTGTCTTCCAGACAGCCATGGCTGCATCTAGTGACAAGGTGTGCGCTGCAGGTGTTGCACTTGACTTGGATGAGGGCAAGGTGAAACTCCTTGCTGAAACGACTAAGTGGGCAGGTGTGGCCCAGAAGACCATCAGTGATTGGAAGAAGCGTGCTGAAGGGCTGATGGCTGCCACCGCTGACACACATGCTGGCAAGGCTCCTGCAGTTACAGCTGCAGAGGATCGTGACATGGGGGTTCTGGTAAGTGATTGCACCTTCCTTTTCCTGGCTGTTAATGACGCATTCTTCCAGTGTCCTGGGGGTCGCATGTCTACTCCTAAGTGCGATCGCTGCACTGCGCATGGTATCGTGTGCAATGGCACACTGGGTACGCGCTGCCCATCCTGCGTGCATCTGCACCAGGCTTGCTCGTTTGGTAAGTTGTTTTTAGTATGGGTCGCATTTTTACTGATAATGCCTTTTTAGCCAAGTGCAAGGCCATTCCCGGTGCACCTCGTTCGCGCAAGGTCACACATTCTGGCAAGGCCACTGCACCTGCACCTACCATTACCACTGCTGATGATGCAGACACATCTGGTGAGTTGGAGGTCGAGATCTGGGAGGTCCTGCCTCCTCAAAAGAAGGTCATCCATCCTTCCCGCCCCCTTCCCGCCCGTGCCGGGAATGGAGATATGCAAGTAAGGGAGTTAGAGGAAGAGCTTGCACATGTGCGCACTGAGAGTGGGCGTTTGGAATGGGAGAATGAGGGGCTGCGTGCGAGCAACATGCGCTATAGTAAGTTCATTCTGAACATGAGGCAGCACTCGTGCGGCCAGGAGGCAGAGTTGCTCCTCATGTCCAACAAGCTCTACACAATGTTGGATGACTGGAGCGTCATAGAGAGGGAGATGGGGGACGTCCTCAGGGAACAGTAGAGTAGCATGTGTTATGTAATTATACCTTTCTTGGATTGCTGGTGCTGGGCACCCCTCATGTACCATAGATATATCCACATGCCAATGCGCACTGTATAAATATTGTGTTTGATGTTGCGTCGCATTCCAAGTCCTGGTCCAGTCCAGTCCATGTCCTAAGTCGCTTGGTCCACTGTGCTTGGTAGAAACAGATAATTATAGTAAGCACAAGTACATAAGAGGGTTATAACATGATAGATGCTGTACGGTCGGTCGGTTGCGTGAGGTGTGCGCTTGTCTTATCTTCTTTGCGTGTCTATCGTTGTCTATTCCTCCTGTCTTGTTGCCTGATTAGTGTGAATGTGTAAGTCTATATTTCAGGAACAAATGGGCATGGCACAGCTACGTGTGTTCGAAGTGGATGTCTATGGGCTCAATTATGCATGCATGAGAGAAAAAAATAGGAACTTATTCAATGTATATGCGATACGTCTAGGTGTGTTGGTATGCGTGGGTATTTTCAAGAGTCTGTTTGAGTATGTGAAAGCAATGCATGTTTATATGAGACAGTGAGTAAGGGAAATAGAGGTCACCGGATGAAACCTGGGGTAAAAATAGAGAGCTTGTACATATGGTGAAATATTTTTGTGGTGTTCAATGTTATATGATGTTTTTGGTATTTTTTTTTTTTTTGAATGGAGGCGAGAGGTGAGGGATATTGGCACGGGATCATTAATCATCTTGTGCATGTTCTGGTTCATCTTCGTCAGGCTCTATGGTTTCTTCTGCTTTGAGCTGGTCTAGGCTGTTGTCATCTACGCTGGTCATCTTTGTTACTGATATGCACTCATTGTTGTGTGGGTAATAGGGTATGACGCAGAACACAGCAAATCTGAGCTTCAATATCGTGCTGTCCAACTCTGCCAGCATGTACGAGCCTCCCTTCGTGTGGTGCACTATGATCATAGGTCCCAGGTACTGCGGCTTCGTCTTTTTGCTTAGCTCATACTCAACCTTTGAGTTGCGCACTAACACGATCGCCTGGGTGCGAAGTCATACAATTTGATCAATGTGCGAAAGCATTTCTCAAAATCACGAATGGACTTGAAACGTGCTTTGACTACCTTGTATTTGATCTGGTCTAAATCTTCCACATGCTTCTGTAATTGGCACACATGCCATGCTATGAGGTCAGTAGTGGTAGACGTGCCTCTGCTAGGTAATGGCATGAGAAAAGTCACTTCCACAAGATCAAAAGGAAAAATGGGTTTGATGCCATGAACCATAAAGTAAGGCGATAAGCCTGTCACTTTATGAATTGTGACATGCTCTGCCCAAAATACTGAATGTGCAATTTGATACCAGCGTGACTTGTCTCCTTTGCAAGTTTTGATGATGGCCTCCTGGACATTGCGGTGTCGACGTTCTACTATACCATTGGCTTGAGAGTTATATGGGGAGACACGGATTGGGTGTATGCCGTATTTCTCTGCTAATGCATCTGCAGTGAGTCTATATGCTGGCACGTTATCAGTGACTATCTCAGTAATTGGGCCCCATCTGCAGAGGAGTTCCTCGAAGATAAACACTTGGAGCATCTTGGTATTCTCCTTGCACAACATATGCCACTTGGGATACAATGTTAGCACGCAACGTGCCTGCACAAGGTTCTTGAACCCGCCTGCTCTAGGCATCTTCATGGTGTCTATGTGCACTTTGTGGAACAAACCTCCCGGAATTGGTATGGTCGGTGGGATGTGTAGCCTACACATCTGCTGCACTTGGCATTTGTGGCATGTTTTCGCATACCACTTGATGTCATCAATCATATGCAGCCACCAGAAGTGTGCTTGCAAGCATGTGCATATTGTATAAATGCCTTTATGCCCGAGGTCATCATGTGCTTCTTTAAGAATGCGGTAGTGCTTCTGTGGCTGCAGAACGAGCTGGTGTTTCCCATGGGATTCCCTTCGCCAGAGATTATCCTCTAGTATGAAAAAGCACACCGTGTTGTTAATGAACACTACGAATTTGTGATCTGAAGTGTCAGTGGGTCATTCACGCATGATGAGGAAATGTTGCATTCTGTGCATTAGTGCATCTAATGCTTGTGCGATGTCTGTGCATGGAATACTTGGCTCTCGTCCCATCTCATCAGCAACATCAAGGAACATGCACATACAGTGGCTCAAAAAACTGTCCGCATGTTTTGACATTTTTCACTATCTATGATATTGTGTGAGAACAAACAAATGGCTCAAGGACATGCTTATACCACATTGTAGTATGGCTTCAGGGCTTTCATTTGAGCCCTACACCGTGGGAATCGGTGGAGATATGGTGGAGATACAAGGCTTACAAAATCATGACTCATGCAGACAGTTTTTTGAGCACATATTAAAACTATATAAATCATCATTTATGACACCATAACAATCATGCCACCATTAAATAAATTATAAAGTGGTGTCATTATGTCATTTTAAAACCATATCTAACTATACAAACCAAAAATTTCCATATGTCATGGTTATATTCACCATGAAAGCCACCCCCCCTGCTCAAAGGGATAATATCCTCTCTCTTTCCTATTCTGGCCTCTCTGCTTGTCAAATTTCCTCTAGAACTGGAGTATCCAAGTCCACTGTGGCCAAGTTCATCAAAGAAAGTCACACAGACAAGGAAAACTTCTGTGAAGGGCATCCATCCAAGCTCACCTCTACTGATAGGAGGGCTATTATTCAACATATCACTACAGGAAAGGCTGATAATGCTGTCCAGGTCACCTATTACATCAATTCCACCATCACATTCCCTGTCTCTTCACACACTGTGAGAAACATTCTCAAGACAGCTCATCTCAGGTCAGTAACAAGGAAGAAAAGGCTTTCCTCTCTATCACACATAAACAGAGATGACTAACCTTTGCCTTAGCCCATCAGAATTGGATTACATGGACTGGAAGCATGTTATATGATCATATAAGACCACAATAAATAGGATTGGGTCAGATGGAAAGGTATATATGTGAAAAAAGAAGGGTGCTAGTCCTCTCTGCATATGTGTGATAGAGAGGAAAGCCTTTTCTTCCTTGTTACTGACCTGAGATGAGCTGTCTTGAGAATGTTTCTCACAGTGTGTGAAGAGACAGGGAATGTGATGGTGGAATTGATGTAATAGGTGACCTGGACAGCATTATCAGCCTTTCCTGTAGTGATATGTTGAATAATAGCCCTCCTATCAGTAGAGGTGAGCTTGGATGGATGCCCTTCACAGAAGTTTTCCTTGTCTGTGTGACTTTCTTTGATGAACTTGGCCACAGTGGACTTGGATACTCCAGTTCTAGAGGAAATTTGACAAGCAGAGAGGCCAGAATAGGAAAGAGAGAGGATATTATCCCTTTGAGCAGGGGGGGTGGCTTTCATGGTGAATATAACCATGACATATGGAAATTTTTGGTTTGTATAGTTAGATATGGTTTTAAAATGACATAATGACACCACTTTATAATTTATTTAATGGTGGCATGATTGTTATGGTGTCATAAATGATGATTTATATAGTTTTAATATGTGCTCAAAAAACTGTCTGCATGAGTCATGATTTTGTAAGCCTTGTATCTCCACCATATCTCCACCGATTCCCACGGTGTAGGGCTCAAATGAAAGCCCTGAAGCCATACTACAATGTGGTATAAGCATGTCCTTGAGCCATTTGTTTGTTCTCACACAATATCATAGATAGTGAAAAATGTCAAAACATGCGGACAGTTTTTTGAGCCACTGTAATTGGTATGCGTGCCATTTGTGAGACAAAGGTCGTATAGTGTGCCTGGTGGACTAGGTTGACTGACCCACCTGCGACACAATGCACTCTGTCATTAAGAAGTGCAACACTGAACGAGTATGTGTGATCAATCCAATCCTCATGATCGTCGTCTTCTGGGGAGTTGTTATCTGCAGGCGGCCTCCTTGAGAGGCCATCAATGCCTTTGTGCTTCATCATGGGGATGTGAACAAGTTTGAATGAGAATAGAAGGATGCCCGCAATCCATCGATTGATGGTCGCATTGGGTTGCAAATCAGGATTATTGATCATACCTTTGACATACTTTGCATCAACTTCAACCGTAAGGTTCTTTACACTGAATATAAAGATGTGCACGGTGCGCAGTGCACGAAATAGTCCATAGAGCTCTAACTTTGCTTGTGAGTAGCAGCTCTTGACTTCTGTCAGCACGATAGAGCCGAAATGATTTGGGTATCTCTTCCCATCTTTGCCTATTTGCAGCAGGATAAATCCTACTGCGATGCTCGATGTGTCAACCACTAGGATGACTTCGCGATTGCTCTTGTAATTGAGGTGGCACAGCATGGGGGACTTTAATATCAAGTCCTTCAGGGTCTGAACTGTGTCACACTCTTTTGGCCCAAATACAAAAGGGACATTTTTCCTGGTGAGGTCAATTAGTGGGTGCGCAATATGCAAGAAATCATGGATGAAGATGTGAAGAACGCTGCAGGTCCCTAAGAACCCGCGCACTTGCGACTGGTTGGTGGGTTCTGGCCAATCTTTAATCTTTTGGACCTTGGAGTCCTCTGGGATTCTACCTTTGAACGTGCACTTGTGCCCTACTATCACGGCTGTGGGGGCGGCCAATACAAACTTTGACGCCGAGACAGTCGCGCCCACATTCTCAAGGTGCTGGAGGATGCGATTGATTATGATGCAATGCTCCCATATGAAGCAGCGGATGCCTGGGTTGTTGGGTATAGTCTCATAGGAGCCATCTGCGCGCTGGTAGCATGTTTGCACTGATTTGACCGGCACATCGTCTAAAAACAGGGACATATATTTCGGAATTTCGGGCTGCAAGATGAAGGCCATATCGCCCTGGTAAACCTGCACTGTGTTAGCGTGCCCTTGCGGGAGAGTGGTAAGCCGATGTGGCCCTAGGGGCATCCCAAAGGTCGTCAAATCACATGACTCCTTGTGGAGCGCATGCTGATCATACCCCAAATACAAATCCATCACGCTGTATACTGCATAACCCACAAACAATTCTGTGAGGTGTTCAACAAATGGGGGGAGCGATGCATCATGGATTGTTACCGTGTTGAGTGGCTGCAAGTCATGCACCAGGTGAAGCGATTTGCCGTCTTTCTTGACTATGCAAAACCATTGTGAGCAATATGTGGCCATCAAAGGCTCGTATACCCCCAATGAGATTTTTTCTTTAATGATGTGCGTTACTTTGCTAAGTGTGGCCGGCAGGATCAGGATACTCCACTGAGACCAGGGGGTGTGCGCCACCGTGGGGATCCCACATGGCAGGAAGTAGGTTTCATTGAGATGTCCTTGTTCTGAGGTGTCCCACATGAAGGCAAGCTTGTGGACGCGAACAAGCCAGCATACTAGCTTCAGCTCGTCTGGCCATAGCCACTGCGCCGGGTCCAAATCTAACTTTTCCACATGCACGTGTGTATAGCAGGTTCCTGGAACAAAACCAGGGGGATGAGTGGGTAAATCGGGCAGTCCAGCTAAGGGGTCAGTGGGCAGTTGGCATACTACTCTATACTCTGCAGGCATAGTGGTAGGCACTGTGTGAACCTTCTTTGCAACTGGTTTATACACAAGCACATGAAGTGCAGGATCAAAAGAATAAATGGAATTAAAAGTGTCAATGGATGCTTGATCTAGATGGGAACGGGTAGATATTAGGTATGCATAAAGTGCTGTATTAGGTGCTGAAGATGATAAGGAAAATTGATACAATGACACAGAGGATGGTGTGCTATTGCTCCTTGAGAGCTGATGGTGGGCACCCACGATGTGCACGTGTAGTGGTGCATCAGGCGTGATGCAAGAGTGTGGAATATCATAAGGCGAAAAAGAACACAGGGATTGTGAAAACATAAGGGCATCTCCCCGCATATGGTGCAGATCATCGATACTTAAAAACCCTGTTCCCCTTCCTTGGGTGTGTGTGCATGCGTATTCTCGATGCACTGTGCACCTTTAACGAGACAACGCTTGACCCAAGGTAAGGTTGGAATATGCAATTCCTTGTGTGTGTTTGGGTCAGTAAGTAAGATGTCTTGCTCCCTGTCAGGGAGGTCGAATGTGCGGCATGATGTGAGTTTAAAAAATGGGCACCCAAGAAGGATCTCGAAATTTGGGCACTCATTGACCTGGACTTGGAAGTACATAGGTCCCCCTCCAAAGTCAAGCAGTATGTTCTCAATGATGCCAAGTGTTGAGTCTCTTGACATGTTTACTGATTCCATGTTCAGCTGATGATCGGAGCGCAGTGGAATGCCTAGCTCTTTCCATATCTCCCTGGGCATGACAACAACTTCTGCACCTTGATCTAGGACGCAGGTAAGTGTGCACCTGCCTATCGTTACTGCACGGATGCAGTGTAAGGGTGCATAGTGGTCTGCAACAACCTTTCCATTGTTGCTTTGCATATGTACTTCATCATATTGGCGTATCCATTGGTCTGTCACCAGATGACTGGATAGCTCGTGGACTGAGACAACGCCTACTGTGATGTGTTATTGGTCATGAGGTTGCGGAATTGCTTGTGAATATCAGGGGATAATGCAAGTAACTCTCTGACAGGGATGTTGAGGCTGGTGTCTAAGAGGTGCTCGACTACACATTTCTCAGCCTCTTTATCCTCAAGTGTGAAGGAGTATCAATATGTTCCTGGTGCTGTTGGTGTGGGTATGGATGGAGGTGAAGCATTAGTATGCGGCGCAGGTGATGATGATGACAATGATGGGCCTGCTGGCATTACTGGCGGCGCGTCTTTTGCTTTTGTGCCTGCAGGTGCGGTTGGTGGCGTGATTTTAGCGACTTCTAGCACTTTGCCTTTGCTTGATGAGGCTTGTATCGCAGGAGAGACTATCTCTTCTTCTACAGTGGCCTGTCGAGATGTGGGGGCTGGGCACACATGCACTTCACTGGGTATTTGAATGCCATCAAATCACACACTCTTACCTTTGGTGTCGCTCTTTGTGCCGTGCTTCTGATCATGTTTGGCGGTCACATATGCAAGTGCTTGCATCGCACATATCACTTCCCTATCATCCTCATCCATCTCGGACTCAGGATCTGCTATTGTGTGGACAAACGCAGATGAGTCAATGTCTAACATGACCTCGACATCCAGCAATGCACGGTAGAAGAGACCTGCAGTAACGCTAGGATTAGGTAGTGTTTCTTTCACAGTCTGATTAGCATGATATTGATCTATGCATTCCTTCAGTGACCCTTCCCTACCAGGGATGTAATCACCACTTGGTAAGATGAGCCTCTGCATCATTTCACTCAGCTTACATTTACCCGCTTTAATATACTTTAGCTTTTCTGGGCATCAACCAAGAAAATGTTTGAGACTGCTGCAGAATACACAGTCATCCTGCAGGGGTGCGTTACCGCGCTTATACTGATACTCGCACTTCATTACAGAGCCTTGTGCTGGCTGCTGTGCAGATGGAGGTGTCACGACTAAGCTCATGAGGTCCGTTGCTGGTGCACTGACTTGAGTTGCTGCTGAGGCGGCTGTGGCCGGTAGTAAAAACTGCCCAGCTTCGAAGACATTCATGTACAGGTGCGGCTCCCGTGGATGGTGGTCAGGAAACTTGATCAGTAGACATGTGCGGATCTGCATCTGGACATCGCCTGGGATTCCTTGGAAGAATATGCAGTCACATTCAGACTTGCCTATGCGATCTTCATTCTTGAGTGGCTGCATAATTCTCCTGAACATGCAAAGATAATCGCTCAATTCTTTGGCCAAGGGCATCAGCTTACTCGCATGATTGCACATGACTGCCTGAAAGTCGTTGAGCATGTAGTACTTAGGGCCTTCACAGCCGGGGTACATTACCTTGACTTCTTTGATAAATGCCTCGTAATTGCTAAGGGTCACTTCAGGTAACCCGCCCCATAGCTCCTGTTCGCTCGGGGGTAGGTAGCGAATGATACCTTTGATGCAGTCAAGCCCGCAGAGGCCTGCTTCATTTGCATGTCCTTCATAGATGTCGATGAAATCTACAAGATTCTCTGTAGTCCTGTTGAATTTCGGCACCTTGTTAGTCCCACGTATGGGCATTTTGTACAATGTAGCCATTATCAGTTGCTGATATGTGGTGGCGACGGGGGTCAGTGTGCTGGAGGGTTGCGGTTCATACTTGTGTGGTAGGTTACCTACTATTATGCTGCTGGGGATCAAGCTTGGCGCACGGAGTGTTTCAAACTCTTCTTGTTTGATGGGTAGCGCCTCACAGGTGGGATGTGCGTTTGCAGGAGTGGACATTGACACAGCGGGTGTGTTTTCGCTGAGGGAGGTTAGCTCGCTAAGCGAAGAGAGGGTAGAAGAAATATGCTACTGTGGCGTGTTGAGAAATGCTCCAGGGAGTTGGCTCCTAGGGTCATCAATCGTGTCGAAATTGTTGGATGATTCTTCCTTTGCTGAGTCTTTAGGTGAGGGTGTGATGGGCAATACTGGGTGTCTGGTGTAGTCAAATAGTGTTAGGTTGGGGCATGGTGGCTCTGACATGTTTCGTGCACAGTTGCGTGACACTGGTATGAATAGAGGGCCGGGTTTGACAGTGGTGGCAGCTTTGTCAAAGGTGGCTATGGCTTCTTCTCTGGTTCTGCAATGACTCGTGGGCCTGAGTACCCTGCTGGTGATCTCAGAAGTGTCCCTCACGGTGGGCTCCAGTTGAAGGTGAGGACTTTGGACTATGGGGAAACTAAAGCAAGACCTGGATGTGAGACTGAACTCAACCCTAAGGACAGCTACTGAGAGAAGGTCCTCGAAATGACAGAGGGAGACTTCGAAACCTGATGAGCACTATAGGATGTGTGAAGCACGAATACCAGAAGAAGCGCGAAGAAGACGTGCACAAAAGCGCACTGATGCGATAGAAAGCAAGAGCACGCGTGATGGGGGTCTAAAGCATAGGTGCTAGAGCTATCTGGAAATGAAATCCAGTGGGGAGAGAATCGAGCTGACTAGAGGCGATCGCGCCTATGAAGGTAGCGCACGAGTTCCAATTCTTTAGTGCTTTCAAACTAGCTCAAATGTGCAAACTACTGCTACTACACAGAGGTGGGAGGTGCTAGGATAAGGTACTCTGAAAAACTCCCCCTCCCTTCCCTATATTGGGCGTTAGGCAACGCTTTTAGCATGGAGGTGAAGCGAGTAGATAGCGATATCTGTATGTAATAGTGTTTTAAATGCGCGCCTGCGTGTTTATAGCACTATAATCGGCCTGGAAGGTACATCAGAGTGATAAGAGTATAATAAAAATGCACCAGTGGACTTTAGTGAGGACATGGACGGGTGGACGGGCTGTAGCAGGGGACCTAGAGCGGGCATGCAGGACATGCAAGTGTGTTTGTGTCAGTTTGTGATAGCATGAGTGACTTATCCAGAGGATCAGAACTGAGTATCAGTGGGAAGGGGTGGTATATTGTCCTATAGTGGTGATATAGAGGAGCGAGTCTCTACACCGCTTTAGCCTCACCTTTGGCCTGCCCACAATGGTCAGACTATTTCTGCAACACAGTGAAAATGTGCCCTCACTGTGGCCCATGTGAATCCAAATATTTGCAAGAGTTCCTGTAAGCTTCATGTCAGCCAGTGAGGTGCTGACTGCATGTGCTTGCTGTGCTTGATTGAAGGGCAGTCCTCCCCATTGAAGACAAAGTGGGCATGAAGAGGTGCATTGGTTAGGGTGACAAGTTTGTACATGAGTGTCCATAGTTCCGGGTTTTCACCTGACTGGGCATGTCCAAGTTGAAATGCCTGCAGTTTGCAGATGGCATAGAGCCAAGCACTTGTCAAGAATGATTAGCTGGATAGTGAAGCTCATGCTTAGCCCACACACCTGGCGTCAACACCAACTGTCATCATCAAAAGGCCACTTTCATCCTGCACATGCCCCTGGAGCCATTCAAGGGCAAATGCTGTCCAGGTCTGTCCCCCTGTGCTTGGAGAAACCAACTGTGAGGCTAGGTGTAGGTCCAACAACATGAAGAAGATCACAAAAACTGACCTTCCATAAATCAGTTAAACCCATGATGATGGTAGTGGGAAGAAAGATGTGCAGATGCCACTGCAAAGGTTATATGCAATGTGGTTTAGGGGCCATCACAGCCACACCAGATCAGGCGATGCACCTGTTCTTCAGGAAGAATCAAACATGGTGTCTTGATGAAACACAGTAGATGAGCCTCAGAGGTGGATATGTAGATTACAGACATACCATTTAGTACTATTTGTTCAACGTTTGTTGCATTCTTTGCAGAAGTCTCCAGGAAAGAAATACTGAGGTGGTCAGGCTGAACAGACTGACTCAGTGTAACTGTTGAAATATCAACAGTTCAGCATCACTAGGCATTGAGGTTGCTGAACTGACTGACCTGGTGTAACTGTTGACAATTTGGCATCACCAGGCACCAACTTTGCTGGAATGGACTGAACCAGTATAAGTCATGGATAGGCTTGAGTGATGGTGAGGTGGCTGGGCAGTTAAGTGAGCTAAGTGAGGATTTGGGTGAGCTAAGTTGGAGCTAAGTTGAAGCTAAGTGCATGACTCACCAGGTAAAGGTGGTAAACCTGGTAAATGGGTAAATGGGTAAATTTGTAAATTCCAGAGTGGTGGGCTGCCACTCACTGCTGCTAATAACTATGGGTACTAGTAGGACTGTACAGTTAGCTGAAGGTAAATTCACAAAAGTGATGCACACAATTACGGTGTTCAGTCCCACACATTCACATAATGAGTGAATAGGCTGACTCATGAGACTTTGAGGAGAAGCTACAGCAATAGCGGTTCTGTGGGGATTGCAGAACTGAGGACCTAAGTTAACTGCCAGACAGTGTGGGACCATACCAATATCAATATTGTCTTGGTAGGGTGAGCTTCATGATGAACAGTTACCTTGTACCTACAAATTGTGGCTGTATGATCCCATGACCCCCATGAGAGTTTTTCTTATATAGTGCCATAATTGAAAGTGGATAACCAAAAACAATGTCAGATCAACATTCATCTGATAACAAAAGCAATGGCAAAATTAATTACCTAGGCTTCCATACTTTGAGATGTGCATGTTGACATGAAGTGATCTACAAGCATTGCAATGTGATTGACTGATCAAAATGTTGTACTGGTATGAAATGTTGGAAATTTGTGAAAGTGGTTGCAATGGCGTACGGTTGACATGCCATTTGGATGCCATTGAAACATGTTGAAATGCCCTGAAATGATAAGGTAATCTAATGGTTGAGTTACAATCCATTGCAAGCCCCTTGTAATGATTATTATTAGCACACCTAATACTTCTACACCTGCAGCGAATTCACTTGCTCTATTGCCCCACTTTGATGTTATTTGTATCAAACTGCTCATTTCTGTCACTTACAATACTAATACTGTAACACAATGGGTCCAGATCATAGCACAAAACATTGTGATCTATGTGATCAGCACATCAAGCCATAAGGCTACACTACCCACCAAAAATCCTGCGAGATGAAGGCAGAAAAATGACATTGGGATCAGATTGTTATAGATCACATCCATATGGAGAATGGTATGTCTCTGTATCATATTGTCTCACTGTTGTGTTATTTAAATTATCAACATTTAAAATCTGAAATAAGATGTAGTGTCTGAATCTGAACCATTGGGTCCTTTGACAGTGAGACAGTCAGGTGCTGATATCTCTGCACCAAGTGAGTTACACTGTTCCATTATCATTCTGCTCACAATCTCTCAGTTGAACCACAGCATGATCTGAATTGCACCTTAGACTATGATTTCAATTATGCTATCAATGATCTGATAATCGGTGAGTTGATGTACATTTGTTATAGTTGATTTTTCTTATACTAACACTATCCTATACAGACCCTCCTATACTCAATGAACCAGAACTTCCAGCAGCTGCAGCCTTCCCTACCTACAATCTCAATGATATCAAAGTCGAGTATCACCTGAGTAGTGGTATTGTGGCTAAGACCCATGGATTTGATACTTTCCAGTGTTGTCCCACAATCTTGATTCCACCACCTGATAAAACTCCTTGGCATCCATTTAAATCCCAGCTTGAGTTCAAAATTGCAGAGCTTGCACTTGAGGTCAGGCTAAACCATGGTCAAACTGATCATCTCATTACATTATGTCACTGCTGTGCGATAGGGAAGGAGAAAACAATCTTCAAAAACCACAAGGATATTCATAACTTGTGGGAGGCAGCCTCACATTGTGTCACAAAGGTGTGTTCCGTTTCCTACCAATCACTGAAGTTTACAAGACCTGAATCTGACATTTGATTGTTTGAAGTATAGTTTATGAAGGAGGTGATTTTGGTTCACTTTGATGGTGACAGTGAATTGTGGGACTATGAAGTACACCATTGGGACCTTTGGGACTTGGCTACCAACTTACTTTGGAACCCCTGCCTCTTCCCACACTTCTCATTTGATGCACATTGATTCTCAAAGTATGATGGTACCACTTTTGTTCATTTTGTAGATGAGCCTTTCACTGTGCAGGACATCTGGGATATTCAAGTAGGTTTCAATGATACTTAACAGTTGTTTGATTCATTGATTGTTTTTTAATTGTACATCTGTAGTCAAAACTTCCACCAGGCACCAAGCCATTGGCTTATATATTGTATGCAGATAAAACAAGACTATCCTCATTTGGCACCGCAAAGGCTTACCCCATCTATGCTCATCTAGCAAATCTACCTACAGAAATCCAAAATGGATGAGGAACAGGTGGCAGATATGTGGTAGGCTGGCTGCCAATTGTACTTTTTTGTGTTTGTCACTTATTATTAGTACTGACAGTGTGATTTGAACAGGTGGCTGAGGAAAAACAGCATGCTGGAAAGCCAGGCTGGGTTAATTTTAAAAATATTGTTTGGCATGAGTTGTTCACCAGAATTATCTCATCCTTGGTATCAAAATCTAAAACAGGCCAGTGGTTTGAGTGTCTGGATGGCATTGCGTGCTGGTTCTTTTTGTGTGTACTCATTCTCTCAGGCAATTATGAAGAACTGTAAGTCCTGTTTAATAATTGGTCATTGTATTCATGTATTCATGCTAATCAACCTTCATTGTGAGATGTGTCATGTTGCTTACTCAAGGGCTGATGAGCCTTTGGCCATGCCCCACGTGTCTCATTCCTTGAGATGCTTTATTGGATGCTTCAAAATCATATCCCTGATGAACATCTGATGAGTCACAGGCACTTATCAAAGCTGTGCATGCAAAAGGAACTGCAGAAGAATGAGAGGAGATCCTCAAAGAACAAGTGCTTTGTGATATTGAGGTGAGTGAATGCTTCTTAGCATACAAATCTCTAATATTGATTGTTTCAGAATGTCTTTTGAACTTTACTATTTACATGCATTTACTGAGTGTTGTCACATGATCATTGTCACTTTAACCATGGTGGACTGTGGTCCTGTCATTGCTGGGTTGAGCTGCAGAAGTTCCTCATAATTCTTGGATGGGGGAAGGTATCCCAAGTTGATAAGAAATTTGTTCTTTCTCGCTCTGCTGCATTTTATCCTTGTCTGATTCAGATGGCTTGATATTATGTAGTTTTGAGGCCTTTCCACACTGGTGGAATCTCAAGCACCCAAACAAGGTCATTGGTGTTGCATTTACCGACAGTGCTGTCCATGAAGGCATTTCAAAGGTTTGTGTATTCATCTGATGTACTCATCTTACTCATCTTAACATCATACTGATACACAAAATCTTTATAGATGATTATATATGCCACACACAATATCTTGACTGAGCAAGACTTGCCCCTTGGTTATCTTTTACTTCGATGCATACACCTTTACCTTGAAATGGACATGTATGCTGTGATAGAGGTTCACATGGCTAATACAATCCATGAGGGGAGGCATACAGTTCAAGCTTTTGCAGCACTCATGAAGGTATGTGTGCTTATTATGTATAGCTGTAGTATTATACCAACACATCAGCAGCAATATATCACACAAATGGCTGAAGACATCAAGAAGAATTGGAACTTTCTGAAACTTCACATGACTACACATATATTTGATGACATCGAGGCTAAAGGCACTTCATGCAATTATAATACCAAGCCAAATGAGCCGATGCATGGATCCTTGAAGGATTGGTACTTGAACCGGACAAACTTCAAAAACATTGCAGAGCAGGTGACGTGTCAAAATTGGTTTTAAATTCTATCATTCCCTACTAATGATCTTGTTACATGTACAGATTCTTCATATTGACCACTGGATCCTTGTAGCAGACTATGACAATTATGTACTTTTGAAATCACAAGATGTGGAGGATGATGTGATAGATGATGAAGACAACAAAGGTGCTGCTGTCATTACAACAACTGGATCAGTCTTTGATCCATCACTGCATGTGAAAATCAGGTCAAGACAAGCACCACAGACCTTCATACACATTCAGAGTGTACACCAGGGTGACAATGCATTCACCGACTTCTGTACCAAGCTTAATGAATTCATTAATGCATCCCTGCCTGCTTGCAACACTGGTGGACGAAGGTTTCAGTTCCAACCAGATGATTCTGTAGGTTCATTTAGTACAGCTCCATTTTAACATACTGATTCAATACAGATTACTGAATTCTGATTATTGCGAGTCAACTACAAGTCACTAGTAGACTGGCAACAGTATACTGACTACCTCCAGTGCAATCCAAAGTTCTTCAATGCACCACATTTCAACTGTGTCTTCATCCACACAAATGACAAAGTCATTGTTGGACGCCTAGTCTTTCTTTCAATTGTCCAGTCAGAAATGACCTTTTCCCCCTTGCTCTCGTCCATACCTTTGACACTCCAACAGGCCCACAGTCTTGAAAGGATAAACAGCTTAACCTTTTCTGAGTGTGAACAAAACCGCAGGCAAAGGCAGAATTCTTCTCAGTCTGATCAATCATTCGCAGAGTGCTCCTGTTCCTTTGTGTGAGGGAAATGCATCTTCAGGCCAGTCATCCAGTGTGCATCTGACATATTCTACTTCCTGGTGAGCCCATTATTCCTTCAAATCAGACTTCAATGAGTTGCTCTACTAATGTATTCTCTCAGGAATTCACACTATGATGTTTCTAGATGTCTTTAGATTTGATTGAGAGCAATGATCATTACCATGACTATTGAGAGAGCTGTTGGATGATATGATACATACACATGGTACTTGTCCTGGAGGATTAGCCTCTGGGACTTCTCTTTCCTTTTTGATCTGCATCACATCTTGTCACCTTTGACCACCATATGTCGCATCCACTGGGGTAACCATCACCAGTGGCTTCTTCTCTTCTTGTACCTCTCCATATTCAGTACTTAATGTTTTGCTCATGTGCAGTCCTACCTCAGTGTTGTTTAACACTTCTGCTGAGGTATGTATATTACCAATACTTGTACTCATTCTTGCTAACATGTAATCTAGACTTTGTCTAGGTAAATACAAATATAAGTGTTGTTTAACACTTCTGCTGAGACTTCATTTAGCTTACATCAGGTTATGAGCCCTGGGCTCTAACAAAGCCCAGAAACCAGGAAGTCAATGTTTTCTCTTTGTGAACAAACCAGTACACACTCCCCACTGCAGGTCAAACTCAACCATTCTCCCATCTCTACCCAACTCTTTGTCATTATGGGAAAGTATGATCATATAACAGAATTAACCGGCACAGATGAATATCCAGCATGGTGACACACAGTCACCCTTGCTCTTCAGGCAGATGGTTTATGGAATCACTGCAGCTCCAGCACTGATCCAAATAACTATGCTGAGTTTGCATCAGTAATGCCTTCACCTGCTACTGCAGGATCCCCCACTGCTGCCGAAAAACAAGCCATCATTGACTGGATTAAAGAGGATGCCCAGGCTAAGGGTATTATTTGCAGAAAATTATCTGCAGTTGTTCAAGGACTCTTAAGTGAGACCTGGACTGCTAGGGAGCAATGGACCACTCTCACTACTCATTTTGCATGTCTTGATGTGACATCATAGTTCAAACTTTGCACTCAATTATTTGCCAAGAAGCTCAAAGATGCTGACAACACATCTCACTACATCAGCACTTTCAAAAACACAAGATGTTGCTTTGCCAAGATAGCTGTAGTAGTCACAGAAGATGAAATGGTATTTGTCTTACTCCATGGCCTTCCAAATACTCCTGAGTGGGTCATATTCAAGTGAATGACAATGAACCTCTATAGCACACCATCTATGCCTTCCTCCACTGCCCCTTCCACTACCACCAGGATGACCTTTGTGGCAATAGTCTCTTTCCTCTCCAAGGAGGCTAATCACCTTCGAGGAGAGCAAAAACTTGCTGGACCAGGATCAGAATATGCCAATGCTATGTCCCTCACCCAACCTCCTGATGGGAGGACAAACCCAAAGATGGGTGTCCAAATTCACAAGTCAAACCCTAAGGGGGTGAGCTGTGACAACCCAGCATGTTCTGGGTTGCCACATTCTTTAATACACGATTGAGACTACTGCTACCAGCCTGGTGGGGGAATGGAAGGACAGGGAGATAATCCACTCAGAAACCATGACAAGAGACTAAAGAAACCAGAAGTTGCTGCTGCTGCCACCAGCAGTACAGATCCATCTTCTACATCTGCCACCACCTCTTCCTCCCCAGATTCTAAGGCCTGTGATAAGTTTTGCAATTTGAGCGTCACCATCATTGAAGAATTCCCATCCAAATCTTACCCTAGCTTTGAGGACATGGCATGCATAGTGCACAGCACCTTGTCCACTATACTGGACTCAGGAACCACCTTGAACTTCATCACTGATCACAGTTTCTTCTGGACTTATGCTGAGAGCTCATGTGTGATGGTTAAGACTGCTAATCATGGCAGCTTACCCACTTTGGGACATGGAGATTGCATTGCTAATCTGACACTAGGTGGAAAGATATTCTGCATCACTTTCACCAATTGCCTTCATGCTCCTGGCACAATGGTAAATCTGCTCTCAATTGGTCATATGCTGAAAAAGAAGTGGTCTTGTATCTTTGAGCATTCACTTGCATGGTGTCAACTCAAATATCATGGAGAGATCCTAGGGGAGGTTCTGATGACAGGAAACTTATTTTTCATTGAGCTTAAGTTTATCCATCCTCCTAATGTCACATCTTTGACTCATCCTAATTGCATACCTCACAAAATCTCAGCATTTGCTCACATACCATTATCACTCGACTTATGGCATGTCTGAATGAGTTATCCAGGGGGTGATGCAATCAAACACCTTGTATCTGTGACCACTGGTATGAAAGTTGAGTCAGTGGCTCCCCTTCAGCAATGTGAATCATGCATCATCACTTAGCATCCATGAAAGCCTTATCCTCTCTCTGATAGTTCACATGCCACTCACATGCTAGATTTGGTTCACTCTGATCTCTGTGGTCCCTTTCCCATCATGATGCCCCATGGAAAGCTTCATTTTGTTGTGTTCCTAGATGACCACACCAATTTACTCAACCTTCAGCTCCTTGCTACCAAAGACCAGGCTCTAGACACCTGGCATATTATCCAAAAGCATTGGGAAAATCATTCTGGATGAATGGTAAAGGTTTTCCAGTCTGACAATGGGGGGGGATTCATAGGTGGTGCCTTCACTAAGGCTCTCCAGGAGGCTGGGATTGAGCATCAGCTCTCTGCATCATATGCACACCAACAGAACAGAAAGGCTGAGCAGGCCATTTGCACTGTAGAAGGATGTCTTTTCATGATGCTGGAGGCTGCAAAGCTACCTGCCAATCTGTGGGGTGAAGCAGTGTTAATGGTCTGTTATCTCTGGAATAGAAGCACTTCCCACATCCTCCCACCTAATGTCACTTCTTTTGAGCTTGTGGGCAACAGATGGCCTGGCCTTGCGCATATTTGCATGTTTGGATCCCATTGCTTCACTTAGATTCCCACAGAGCTTCAGATAAAGCTTGGTCTACACTCTTGCCAGGCAATCTTTCTGGGATATCCTGAAGGCACAAAGGGTTATTACCTGTGTGACAAGGTCACTGGCACCTTCTTTGTGGCACAAGATGTCATCTTTGATGAGCAGTTTGCTTCTACTGCCTCAGATGACTCAGACTTGGATGATGCAAATGACCAACTCACCAGTTCCTTGCCCTCTGCCCCTCTTAACGCCACTCTCCCTTCATAGGCTGCTTCTCCTGCATGTACCACACATACTGCACCTGTCATCCCAGCTGTTGTTCCTGCTGTGCAACATTCTGGATGAGCCAAAACATCCACAGCTGCAGGACAAGCCTGGGCCACTGAAATGGAGGCTGCAAAGAACCATCTTGCAGCACTCCAGGAGGCTCATGTGGCTCATGCCCAGACTCATGTTCCAGTGAGTGAGGGGGTGAGTGAGAAGACAGAGGCTGAGGAGAACTTAGAGGAGATCGAGCCTAATGTTGACATGCCAGAAGCATACACTAATGTGATGATTGAGGAGCACATGAACATGACCATCCGAAGTGACTGAAGGTGTAATCCCAGTGATCCAGATTATGACATGAAAATACTGCCTACTGCCTATGAAGAAGCTATGCTACACATTGATCACAACCTTTGGCTTGCTGTGGTGAAGAGGGAGCTGCAAACCATGGATGATATGCATGTGTACAGACTCACCACCATCCCAGAAGGATGCAAGGCAATCGGGAACCACTGGGTGCTGGAATTCAAAGAAGATAACGAAGGTGGGTCAGTCTACAAGGCTCATCTCATTGCCCAAGGATTCTCTCAAATCCCAGGCATAGGCTACGGTGTGACCTTTGTGCCAGTACTAAAAACAGTGTCCCTGTGTCTCATTGCAGCCCTGGCATGCAAGAACGATTGGGAACTTTATTCCTTCGATGCCACACATGCCTTTCTCTGGGGGGTACTCAAAGAAGAGATATATATGCATCAACCCAAAGGGTTTGAGCAGGGCAACTGGAGGGTGCAGGTTTGGTAGATGCTTTGCACCATCTACAGATTGAAGCAATCCACAATGGAATGGTATGAGCAGGTCAGGGAGGTCATGAATGAGCTAGGTTTCACTCACTGTCCCGTCGATTATGCGGTGTTCCTTTTTGACAGCAATGCCTCTGGTACCCACATAGTCTGCATCATCGGGTTTCACATTGATGATGGGATGGGAACATGTAACACACCAACATTCCTACTCTGGGTCAAGCAGAAAATACACCAGCGCTTTGGCATCAAAAATATGGGTCCAGTCACCAAGTTTATTGGAATCCAATTCAAGCTGGACCATAACACGCATCAGCTATGGATGCATCAAAGTGAATATATTACTCACCTGCTTGAAGAGTACAGTCTCCTTGAATGCAACCCAGTCTGCCTTCCACTCGACCCATATCACCCTTTTGGCAGACCTGACAACACCTATGACCCAATCCCCAATCTCCCCACTCTTTTCCGCAAACTTGTTGGTGAACTGTTGTATCTTGCCATTTGCACCCGTCCAGATATCTCTTTTGCTGTTAACTCACTTGCGCAGCACAGTTCCAGCCCCCTACCTGCACACTATGCCTTTGCAAAACAACTACTTCGCTACCTGTCTGGGACCATCAACCTTCACTTGCACTATGGGAGTGCAAATGTGAATGATGGATTAGCCTCTGGGACTTCTCTTTCCTTTTTGATCTGCATCACATCTTGTCACCTTTGACTACCATATGTCGCATCCACCAGGGTAATCACCAACACTAGCTACAACAGAGCCAATGTTCCTGAGATCCAACAATTCCTTGGGGCCACATCTTTGACAAACCTGACATACAAGACATTTCCTCTGGTGCTGTTCCCAGACTTGAAGGAAGACAAATCACTCAAGACCGTCTTTGGGAACTGGAAACTGTTAGCACGAGTAAGTTTATTAGCACCCTCTCTGTCCTGACCATCTCTGACTATGACTGTCCTCAGATTCTGAAAGCTTTGTTGTGTGGTGTCACTTCACTCCATCACACTTCTAGCAGTGGTGGTGCCCATACAAACTCAATGAAATGGAGCATTCAGCAAGTCTTGCCAGGTTCCATTGCATGGGCAGCAGTTATTGTAAGCCAGCAACATAATTTAAACTTTTATTTGCAGTTACCCTCACACTATTCAACAGGGAATATTCTTACTCTCACCTGACACTGAATTCTCAAGCAGCAGTGTCAGCAAGAGATCAACCATTAGCTACAAGGAACTATTCTTCAACTATAAGAAAGTCCTAGTGTCAAAATGGAGCACAAAGTGCATCAAGGCAATTGTCACCAATATTGATCACTACATCTTCAAAGCTGCATGACCTTCCACCATTGATTTTGCTGGACAGGAAGATCATATGGACACAATTGATTGCACATTAGCAGTGCTCAATATGGAAAGTTTGATTGACAAATCAGATATGCCTGAACCAGTCACAGAACATGCTATGGAATCAATATCACAGCCTATTATTAGACTCTCTGCATCACACCAGCACACCGCAGATAAAACTGTACCTGGACCTGTTGTTGTGCAAGAGAGTGTGGGTTCAGCACTCTGACAGGTCCAGGATTCAGATGCAGAGCCTGTCAATGAGCCATTGAGCAGAGGACAGAAGCAGACAAAAACCAGAGGGAGGAAGGCAGCTGCTCCTGGTACTGTGAATCATACTACTCGGTCTCGCAAATAAGGCTTCTTGTGAATCATCTGCATCTTTATCTTGGACCTCAATTATGCACCTAGATTCATCATCAGTTTGTTTTGTTTTCCGCACTCAGATTCATTTTTGTATTTCATCTAGTTCAAATTGTGTTAAAGTGCTTACTAATACATAAGGATTCAGAACAGTCTAAGACTCAGACCCATCATTTCGTCATTACACCACATGTATTGCTTTCATCCTCACCTAGATTTTCTTACCCAAAACTGTGTTGGAATTCTGGTTGTGTCTGAATCTTAGACCATCTGTCAATGATTCAGAATCTGAATCAATTCATTGGATTCTTTTTGCACCTGGACTTGGACCCTGGACCTTTTTCTCTTGGGCATTCATTCTCTGAATCATCTTTCACCTGCTTTAGATAACTATTATCTCCCTTTTTGCACCCTTTTCTCATGCCTCACAGATTGTGAGCTAATCATAATAATTCAAGGCTTGAATATGATCAGGAGCAGTGTGATTGTTGAAAACCAAGGTTGCAGTTTGGGACAGTGGGAAGGAAAAGACCATTGGTATGGAGGGAAGATCCAGTAAGTTGCCCATGTCATGAAAGCTGGAACATCTTTTAAATTTAAACTTAAGAAACCAGAGATTTGGTCCAGGAGATCACATCGACTTGCTTGCTTCTTGGGGTCCAGGTCTCAGCACATCCTCCAAGTCCACGTGCCAGATAACCTTACCTATGATAAAGTCAGCTCAGCACATCAGGAATTCTTAATATCAAGGTGTGTGGCTGCATCTTCGTACCCTTCCATGCTGAGGAAGGGAGCATGTACCATTTGGAACCATGCACATTTGATCTTGTCTTTTGCTTGCTCTAGACAAATATCTTACTCATCTCCTCATTGACCCAGCAGATATCTTTGTTTGTGCAAAAGCCAAACCAGATGAAAGCCAAACCCCCACCCCCTGGACCAACCAAAGTTCATGTTGATGTCACTCGCATTTATTCTTAAATAAATATAATGCTCAGTCTTTTGGTTGACAAGTTGTATCACTGACTGAGTCTGCAAAATTTTGTAGCACATCATAGGCTCATGTCACATGGATATTAAAATTTCCAGTGTTCTGCAAACATTGAAGCATGGTACTCCCACATCAACCCGCCCTACATCCCCTGCTCCATTGGCCATACCACCCAGAAGCAAGATCAGCTTCTTCCTGACCACATTTGCAGTAATGGTATGTAATTTTGCAGACTCAACCTTCATTGTAGCTCAACGAGCCATAGTTAATAGCCCAGGAGAATGTGAGGGATTCAGATAATAGGGTTGCTGTGATTGATATGAGGGGTATGCATCCTCGACAGTCCTCATCACTGTGATTTAAATGCCCCCAATTAAAATCTGAATAAAATAAAAATTGTACCATACTGTAATTTGAATCTAACATTTCAATCATGATTGCTATGAGTTGCAATGTGATTGCCTACATATTTCAACCACCCTTGCAGTTCAATGAAAATAGACATTTAAGTCCATTTAAATGATGGTGACAATAGCATTACAATTACATTGCAATTGTGTTGAAATGAGACTCTATTATAGCAACCTATTTAAAGACATGCACTGTATTTGGAAGTTGAAACTCATTGCAAACCATTGAAATCCAAATAGGGAATTTCCAATAAAATTCAACAATGGTAAACAACTTTGCCACTTGATTACATAACAAATTGCCACAGGCCTTAGGAACTAAACTACATGAGGTTCTTGCCAAGAGGTGTGTGACCAGTTAGTTCCAGACACCAACCATTTTAGTTCATCGACCCACCACCACCATTACAGTGACCTCACATGATGTCATACGGCCAAATCGAGTAATTCTGTCACATTGAAAATTTCACTAATGCATGAGAGACACGTCTCGATATTCGCATGTTGTCGATGTGTCATACATGTAGTAACATAGTGTATCGAGACATCTGACCATAAAAACACTAAATGGGATGTTTAAGTAGCATGAATGATGTGAAAACGAGTGCAACAAAACATTTAAGTAAGGTAATCATCACAATGCAAGTAGCAGGTCTGAAAGAATGAAACACTACACTGGAACACAAGCTTTTTTCACAGTTGACCCTGAAGCAGCCTGCATGTTGGACTTGCACTTGCAAGACATTGAAGGTGCAGGCTGGTTCTCTTTGTCTCCATCAAATAATGGAGTTAGCAAGTACATGTTGGAAATTCCAGCATCCTTCTGCTTGAGTAAAGTGAGCATGATTGACTGCAGAACACTGGCTGGAAGTGGGTGGCCACTGGGATTTCTGGGGTGTGCATACTGAGGTGGACTTGATCAAGATGCTGCAGCATATTGTAGTGCCAGATGGCACCTACAAATGGTGGTGCAGCGCATGACTTCTTGCCAGTGACAGGTGCAAGTGTGGGGTGACAAATCTCACACTTCAGAGGGATGTTTCGACATGGTCGGTTTTTTGACCCAGTGTCCACATTCACATAGTGGAATTTGTGCTGGTAGGAACATTGTGTCTCCAGGGTAATGGCACCATTTGTTTTGATTCTGATTGAGACTTTGCACTTGTCTTGTTCAGACTGTCCACAGAAGCCACATGGCTGCTGAATACCAACCTATGAAACAGTTTAGGTGTTAATTAGTTTGTCAAGTGAATTACTAGTAGTACACATACCAGCTCCTTCAAATTATCTTCCAGGACACCATAGAATGCACGCAGGATATGAATGCCCATGTGGGCTCACATTGAATCTGTCCTAGTACCATAGAGAGGGCAGTCGGTCAAAGGGCCAGCTTCACTAGCAGCAAGCCGTTCCATGGCTTTGGAACAGATGATAGCAAGAGAACCTGTCAAATCATGATAGTAGTAAGCTTGATGTGTGTGAAGGTACTAGTAATATCATAAAGAAACCATTGGGAAGCAAGTATGAGAAGTCAGAGGGTGCACAAGGACTGGGGACTTGAAGTATAGCCTTGAGAGCAATGTCATGCTCACAAGCTTTGCTCCACAAGGTGTCACATGTGAGTGTGAGTGCTGATTCTCCAACAGCCCATGTATTGCCAATATTATTGAGTGCGCAGAAGTCATCTGAGTTGACATCATCATGAAAACAAACACAAGTAGTGTCAGGATTGATGAGCTGCACAAGAAGTCCAGGTACTGTTATTTCAACAATCTTTTCTGTAGTTTTTGAAATGCCCATGATCTCAGAGCTGGTCTTCACATAGTTTCCAGACCAGAACCATGAGTGCTGCTCTGGCAGAGGCTGGCATGTAGGAACCAATGTTAATATTTGGCCAACAAGCTTCACATTTGGTGTGCAGAGGTCTGGGATAGCTATTTTGTGACGAGTGGTGGCATGATGCTTGATAAGTGTTGAACATACAAGGGGAATTGTAAGAGTGCTGTTGCAATGAATGATAGTGAGAAACACATCTCCAACAATGAAAGTGTTGCCACCTGTTATGGATTGTCCCGCAAGCTCACTCTGGCAATTGACTTTGGTGAAACCAACACTGTATACGCGTTCCTGGTGGTTGAGTGATTTGGGAATGAAATACTTGTTGAGGACACGTTGACAAATAGTTTCCTTATGAATATACTTTCCATCAACAAGAAGATAATTGTTGGGATGAATACCACTGTTGGTCACCAGTGGAGGAACTTGCTGTAAAGCTCCTTCCAAGTTGATGCAAGATCCTGAGTCAATGTGTGCAACACCCAAGGGCAACTCGTGTGTCAAGGCTTCTTCAAGGGTCAGGACATCATCCTCAAGCTGAATATCTTCCTCGCTACTAATAACAGAGCTGCTTGATGGAAGGGCTGAAGCATGAGGCTGGGAGATGTTGCTTGTATCGGTAATTTCAACATCAGATGTCACACCCATGTACTTGTTAGATCCCCAGGGTCGCATGAGATCATAGCCAGGCAAGGAGAATAGTTCATCAAAAGCGAATGAGTCTGCAAGCATGCGAGCATCAATACATAAGTGCTGCAATGGCCTTGTTATGGCCAGCAATCCATGCAGAGGGAAGGTTGCAGTGTGATGCGATAATATCACCACACCATAAGTCAGGGCAGATATGATCCAAGCCCTCAACACTAGTCAGTTTGAGGTGACAAGAGCCAGGGTTGAGTTCTGGGTGCTTTTTGAAGACAGCATCAATGTCCTTTGCAGCACCAATTCGATCAAGTGCTTGTGAGTAGTTCATTGCAGAGTTGTGCCCCCCTTTCATGCGCATGATGCCAAACAACTCCTCTAAGTCATTATCGCCCATCTGGATAATCCAGAATTTCTGCCGGCCGTCAAGTTTCTGCTGCTTTGCCACACAGAAACAGATGTTCTTGCTCATTGACTGGGTATCATAAAAGAGCACATGAGGCATGAAAGCAGTGCGATGCATGCGGAAAAGTGCGAATGTGAGGTGACAATAGCAGCTGATGAGCTCAATTTGTTGCTGAAGTGAAAGTGAAATATTGATGAATGGAAGGAGGAGGGATTCCAGTATGATGCCTAGGATCTTGATGGCAGCCATATCTGCACAGAGTGCAACACCATCCGACAGAGGATTAGTTTCAATCTTTGAGAGGGCAATAATAGATTGCATGAGTTCAACTGCTCGGGGTACATCTTGTGGGTCATCTGGGTTGAGGAGCTTTGTGATGCTACATAAACTCATCCTGACCTGGAAGTCATAGTAGAATCAGAGATTATACAGCGATGTAAAATTTGTCCTTACCTGGAAGCCATATCAGATATCATGCAAGAACACCACTGGTGATTGTGTGACCACCAGCCAATTTCAAGCCCTTCCTTGTACGGAGTAATGTACACCATCCTGAGAAGAATTCAGTTGTCAATATCAAGCAAAAGAAAACAATACTAACACTTAAATATGTGCTTGTAGTCAAAATCAAGAGTGATCTCATCATCTCCAGTTGCAAGATTGAGACCAGGCATACATGATAATGTGCTGTAGAGCTTTGACATCTTTGGAAGTTCCATCTTGACAAACAAACAGTGTCCAGCACCTCAATGTGTTGAGTCCCCATCAGTTGCAAAGCTAAAAATTGGACCAAAACATGCTTCTGCTCCAGTTGCTCGCCACCAGTCTCGAGCCATAGTGAGGATTTCCATCATTGTAGCTACATTCTCCATCTTGCATGTTGGTGCAGCTAGAATAGGAAAAAGATTGTCATCTCCAAAAGCATGAATATCCATCACAGACATCTCTTTGCCAAGGTGAACTTCGCCCTCATTAAGCTTAGTGGCAATTCGAAGAGTGGAGTCGTAGGTGTGAAGCATAGGATCAATAAGATTTGAATGGGAGTGACAGAGGCCGATAACACAGTTGGCTGGGCGATAGTGAGATGCCCTCTCCTCAAGTGCAATTTCATCTGTCATGACAGAATGTCCCTGGAGAAGGACGACAAGATTAGTATGCGGAGTGATAATGAGTGCGTTAATGTTGGCATCAAATTGGTCTGGTGAAATTGAACCAATTGTTGGCGTGATGGATGTAAAGATCAAGTGAGCTTGGAGGGTATGTAGTGATGGTAAACCTAAGCGATGATTGAGAGCATACATAAGCTGGCATCCTCCAAGTCAATAGACTAGTGTGGCAAGATCAAGATCATCACCACTATAGCCCCACAGATGATACGTTCCAGCAATTGCGTCCTCTAGGGTTGTGAGAATCTGCCAAACACTCGAGCCCTTCTTCAAGGTGACAGACAGAATGTGCTGTACACAAGGTACATCATTCTCTGACATTGCCATCACAAGTGACCAATACTCGTCCAAGTGGGTGAGGGTGTGAGCAATTTTGTGCGCATCATTCAGGCCCTGTAATTTCATTACTATGACATCAGTTTGTATGATCTCCGACTAACCTTTAGCTTTAGTTGGTTATTCTCAGTCATATAATGATTCAGCTGGTTGATCAGACTAAAGTGGCTCAGGTAATGAAAATTTGTGTGTGGCTTTATGTCCTCCAAGACTGACATGAGGTGAGATATGAATGGTGCGATTTCAGCACATCTGTCACAAGGTAATCCAGGCATGGAAGAATTGCCATCACAAAGCTTTGAATATGCATGTGGTGTGTCACCTCATGTGTCAAGATCAAAGGGGAGCATGCCACATCCCTCTGATGCTCAACCGACAGGGAACGTTTCAAGAAAAGACGGCCCTTGAATTGGCCAGTCAATCAGAACACCAACACAACTGATGGAAGCAGTAGAAAATGGCTTTGGTGATGCAACTACAACACTGGTGATAGAACTGGATGTTGTGGGGATGGTATGGGGCTTTTTTGAACATTTCTTTCCATCATGGTGGTCACAAAGAGTCTTGAAATAACCAGGAATATCAAGATCTGAGAGAAAATGGACAGCAAGACTCATGTTGATCCACATTTTGCAGTCGGGACACTCAACCTCCCATCAAGTCTTTCCTGCACATCGCTGGACATGGCCTGTGAGGAATAAGTGCATGAGGTTCTCAGGTGTGTTTGTCTTGAGCAAGGTAGCTATATCAAGGGCTGGCTGACTCAATCCAGAATTGTCAGACATGTCTGATGTTCCTGTGAGAAATTCTGGCCACAAGAGATCATAATGTGCTGCAAGAGGGGAAATATTAAGAACACAAGGCAGAGAGCATGATTCTTCATTTAATAGTTGAGTTATAGAAGCTGATGTAAGGGAATCATTGATGTCCTCAGTGTATTCGTCGTTATAGGCTGAGGAAGCATTTGTTGTCTGTGTGTTGGGATTGTTACTATGAGGTGATGTACAAGTGTCTTGCTGCGAGGGAAACCATGACTCATATTGACTTGGGTATGGATGCATGCTATTATCTAAAGGCTCCTGGCCTGATGAAAAATGACAGTGAATGAATGAACAAGACACCACCAGTGCTGCAGAGTAGCTGGGAGACGTGGTGGTGCAGGTCAAGTAGTATCGATATCGATCGTATCTCGTTAATTCATGAATCACGTGATGCGTTGATCGGCTCGAAAATGCTCGTTTGCAAGACAATTCATCAAGAACATAGCAGACTAAATAATCTAACTACCTAGAATTATGCTAATATACTATAACCGCCACCTCCCCCAATTCACGGAAAGATTTTATGAAGGTTTGAAGGTCCTGTCGAGAAGTTCAGACAGCAGCATGATATAACGCCAAAGTGGCTGAAATAAAGTTTTTTGCTTACCGTAAGCAAATGGATGGTTTGTCGGATTTCTCCGTCGCACACCTCTTGGTTCTTGCACTGAACCTAATTTACGACATTTACCTTGGCAAGGTGAATTTCGTCGAATAAATCGACTTATATATTGCTTTGTAGTTGGATATAATTTGTGGATACTTGGTATGATTTTGCTAAAAGTATCTATGAAAAACATCCCCAGCCCGACTTCGTGATGGGTGTTACCAAGTCCGTCGTGCGCGTTCAACCTACTACTATGGCACGATCAAAATTCTCCATGTTTCTCGAGGGAGCTTTTAGCGCGTTCATGTGCTACAGAAATAACATTGAGTGCGTTGGATACTTCAAAGGTTGAAGATCGCACCTGCATGCTTGGCTTTTTCCTTATCAAGTGCATCCATTCCCTTGGTCTCTGCAATGCGGTCAACAAAGCCACCCGTCAGCGCTGCACTAGGAAGAGGGTTTTTTTCAGATGAGTTTGAGAACATTATACATGATGATACTCACAGCACCTCCACGGCCTTCGCATGGTTTGCAGGTTTTCCGTTCTTCTGGACATGCTTCTCATACGCTTTAGCAGCCTAAGATGTGATTGGTAACAGCATCGTGCTCAAGGCATGAAAGACAAACCTCGTATGATGCGGCAGCGGCAATGAGCTCATGGCTCAGTTTGGCGCTGTGTCCGCCAGTCACCTACAGGTCGTTGAGATGACCGGTCAATGTAACACACTACTACAGCTTACCTGCGAGTGTGCTTGAGACTCTTCAGAATTGGACGTGAACCACATAGTGTTTGTGTAATAAAAGAAAACTGAATTCAATAGAACATGGAGGTGAGGTCTTTTATAACTGCAGTGGGCGGTGCGATATCGATCATGATGATGTCAGTGTGGGGTGTACACCAGTGTGCTCTGGATCCGGGCGGAGCGTGCCATCACTTGAAAATCTTTGTCCCGACAAGTGTGTTTAGTGCCTGAAATTATGTCTGCTTGGCGGGGTCCGCCGGCCCAACAACACCAGTAGTGTCACTAGTGCTCGTCTCAAACTTCGGACTGTACCAATGTCTGTAGGGCCTTTTTCAGGAGATGAAAGTCCGGCTGAAAAATTGGTTATGACAAGGGTGTCCGCCGACTCCCGAACCAAACGATTTTTCAAACTCCGCTTGCCCGACTCCATACAGCCTTTGGTGACATGTTTTGCCAAAGAAAGAAGGTGACCTCGGGGAAGCACCTTTTTCTGGAAAGCTGACCCCTTTGGAAAGTTTCGTCGAGCCTGCGGCTCGGGAGTCGGGGACCCTTACCATGACCGCGAACCCTGCAACTGAGACTGTTCGCACAGCCTACTATGAATGCAAGGGAAGGCTATTATTTTCAAGCTATCTTTGACCAGAAAACTGCGGACATCCCCAGTGGAGTCCATGCAAGGCGCCATTGACGTACATTGGAGTTGGGGACCCCCCACTCCAGGGGTAGAGTAGCGCCGCATAGTGCCGTAGCTACCGAGCTAGTGTCCTTCGGGCTTTGTCGTAGCGTAGTGCTCTTCATCACTTCTTGCCTTGCTCGCGACACGCAGGCACACAGTCGCGGGTCCACCGCTCCAACATGACGCTATGTATGAATCGGAAACATTTTACTCCACCTTTCCGACTCCCATCTTTTGAGAGGGTTTCGTCAGGTCGAAACGTTTAGGCACTGTCCGATTCTTCTCGCGAGTTCAGTGCCAATATCATCGAGGGTAATGCATCACACTCTAGTTTGCATTCCTTTAAGTACAATATAAATCAGTCGGATATGTCACTACGATTCTGCCTAATTTTCACAAACTTTCACCTTGCTAATTGCAAATGTACACCTGGTAGCTTCCGCAACAGGCTGTGTCTCCATATAGCTACCACTCACAGTGGTCAAATTTTGTGGATCCTGCATCAGAACCATCCGCACTGGGTTTGACTCATTGTACTGCTCCCACACCGGAGACTTTTCCAGCTTGTAAGTGTTCGGATTGCCGGCGCGCACGAAGGAAAGCCAGTAAGCAATGAGTTCGGAAGCAAATGCAAGTTCGGCGGGCGTCTGTGGTGTAAATGTCGTAGAGCCATTAAAACTAGAATGTCATCTCTATGAGCCTGTGCTTTTAATTGAATAAATTGACTGTCGGATACTCACCCGGTGTTAGTGCCATCAAACATCATCCAGTTCTCCGCAGCATGTGAGACGACATCGGAACCGCTCGTCGGGTTAGGTGTGTTGTACCGATAAGTCCAAGTATTAGAATATTGTGAGGACGGGCCGCCCATGGCCTGGCGCTGATGCGTGTTGTTAACATGACTCAAGGGTAGCGCGGCGGTGTGAGGCTCAAACTTACACCGCATATCAGTTCAGGTTCACCTGTCGCCACCTGGAATTGCTGACTCGGAGAATCAAATTCATCTACAGGATATAAAAGCAAGAATTCCTGAATGTCGGTGTCTGTCAGTGATGGAAAAATTCCTGAAGTGCCAGAGAGATGTTCGTCCCGCTAGAAAGAGTCTCATTGGAGGTTGCGCTATGAAATGGTGCTATCAGCGGCAGCGCGGCACCGAAATAACTCAAGTGCCAGCATACCCAACTATAAGCGGAACATGAACGAATTCACCGCGCTGGAATTTTGACGTAGGGTGTCCAGTAATCAGCATGCCGTCCAAGACGGGGCGAAATAAATTGTACGACCCGGAACTGCCACCCGTCAGCTGCGGAAATGAGTGTCTCGGGTAAAGTGGGCAGAACTCACAAATTTCCTTGGGCTGCAGCATCCTGTGCTCGTGCAAGCGCGCTAACGCTTGCACCACGGAGGCATGTCATTTGCTCTGCCACAGAGCCCGTTCCACACCCTGCATATGATGCGTAGAATTGAAAGAGGAGCTGTTTATGGGCGTTAGATCGAGCGCTCATCTGGGTAGGGCGCTTCACATGCCTGCTGTTGCTCAGGGGTGGGAAGGGGCGTCCTGAAGACGCTCTGCGCAATAGCGCCAGAAAAAAGTTGTTCACCCTCATTGGCAATCATGTGAAGCTCCACGGAGCTACCACCGGCACTCTGACCGTTGATGGTCACTTTTGTCGGGTCACCACCGAATTTGCTGATATATGATTTGACCCATTTGAGTGCCTGGATCTGGTCCTTGAACCCCGCGTTAAAGTCGCCATACGTAGGGTCGGCGAATTCGGGAGTGGTGAGGAAGCCGAAAGAATCAAGACGGTAATAAACAGATACGATGACGACATTCGGACTTTGATTGATCCAGCCATCAAATGGCCAGTTACGTGGATTTCCATAGATATAACCTGTCGCAATGAGATTGAGCAAATAGGACCGGTAGTCCCTGAAAACTTACCTCCGCCATGGATATAGAACAGTACAGGCACTACATAGATCCATTGGAGTGGTGAGAAATTTCAATGCGTAAGCCAGGACGTCTATAATAAAACGTACGGTTGTCGCCTTCTTGGGCACCGTAGGGTGAGTAGACGTTGACGTTTAAGCAGTCCTCCGAGCCTGCTCCTCCTGCATCCCCAGCTGGGCCAGTGTCAGAGAAAATATTTTAGGAAAATTACACATACCACCCGTTGTTCCTTGAATGCAAAAGTTGGGGTAATAGGTCGCGTTGACCACTCCCTCCCCGTTCAAGTTGGCCTCTTCACCCACACGTGTCGTGTTCAGAGGGACAGTAGCACGGAAGCGCAAATCGCCTACAGGAGGCTCGGCATACGGTATCCCAAGGTATGCCACCGTATTTGGGTATGTCCGGTTGCCGAGATATACCACATACCCGAGATCGACTGTAGGGCAGATAGAATTCTGTGCAAGCGTACCATTGAATAAGGCAAGGAATGCGAACACCACGCTGCGCATTCTTGAGTGAGGGGGATACATGCCCTCCAAGCACGGTTTTTTAAACCCCCCTCGGTCCCTCTGCGGAATGGCCATTCCGCAGGGGTAAGTCACGAGGAAAAGTCGACTTACACACAGGTTACATGCAATGCGTGCTACATGATGCGCGGAAGTGCTTCGATGGAAATTGGTCACGAGAAGCACTTGCAGTTGTAGTCACAGGACTCCTTAAGTAGGTACTCGGGCCCAAGATAAAAGATAAATATGTACAAGAGTAGTCGATCGATATTGATTACTATTGGTAGCTGAACTTGCCAAGCTGAACTAAGCCGAGTGTAGACATTGTCGGCATCTTCCGGATAACATTATTAACAGTCCTTATCCCTCGCTATACTACTCGCCATGTCACCTGGGAAGCCAGCGAAAGCCATCAGAATCAAGGTTCCGCGTCATGGTGCCCAAAGGATAGGTGCAAAATTTTCTGCGCATGTTGAAGCGCTGGCTAGGAAAGAGAAAATTCGTGTGGTCACTTACCAGCCTAATAATGACTCAAATAATGTAGCTCAGGCTATCGTGAGTGCCGTGTTGCCTGTACAACCACTTTAACATTAGTCATGTTCTATTTAGGAGTCTGCCTCGGAGTGGAACTCGTTGCTTATTACAGCCCGTGCTGAACGTGGACCACAGTGGGATGTTGGAACTCAACAGTGCGTCGTCTAGCCATGTCGTATCCAAAGGGAATTGAAAGTTGTTCAGATTTCTTGTAGACCAAGGGTCTGACCTATACTATGACTCGTCTCCACTGATGGAGTACCAGAAACAGCAACGCGAGGAGGAAAATGCCGCTCGAACCTCGATGCAGCCTCCCGACTTTCGTGCACACGATCCTTCTCGTATTGCTCGAAATCACTCGACCTCTTCAAATCACAACTACCCATATGCATCGCCAGGCATGTCTCAAGGGACTCCACGTCATCCTAATCTTGGGGGTTACTCGAATGTCCCATTCAATGGCATTCCACCCAATCACTTCTATGGCCCTGGAACGGATGGGGCTTCTCCTGCGAGGATGGGTATGAGAGACAGCATGGGTGCCAGCATGTCTCCGGATGTGAGGAGAAGGTCAGCAAGGGGCATGCCAGAGGATGGATTCATTCAACTGCATGGACCATGATTGCACACGACCATTGATTCCCGTGTATGTTACCCAGTGCTGTGTATATCATCATTGTTTCTGCTATATTTCAGGAGAATTTGTCTATTGCATTCCTCGGCGTGAATTGACTACCCATGTATTATTCCATTCGAGCCATTTGTGCCGTTATAATTTCTCTTCGTCCGTCCTCCCAGTCCTCCCATGATATGGCCATAATTGCAGTGTCTCTCCCTGGTCCTGCCAGCAGATCGGTTTTCCTAGGTGTCTTCCCAAGTCCCTTCCCGACAGGCAACACCCACGCCCATCTCAAAGTTCCTTCGCGTTCGAGCCCCATGCGAGCAGCAAGTCTCAGGGATGGCTCATTGTCCGGATGTGCATACCAATAGACTCTCCTTAACCCCAACCCAGATTCAGACTGGGATGCATAGGGCATGGTAAAACAGTACTTGAGGAGTGTTCCTACTGCATGCGTTGCGACATGTGTACGCTGAAATGTGGGCAGGATACACAACACCCCAATCTCCACTGATAGGTTCGTCGGTGAATAATTGAGGAGTGCAATTGTCCCTGCGAGCTTCCCTCCCCACTCCGGATAGTCCGGGTCTGGAATTGTCCTATCGATGATTGCGAAGAGGACACTGTACGGGTTCTGGCGCACGAAGGCGTCCATGAACAGCAAATACGACTCTGGATCTTCTATGCCGGGAAAAGGATAATAACGGTAGAAGTGCACAGGGTCTGAGATCGCTGCATGATATTTTGCAGCGTGAATGGATGGGATGAACGGCTCTAGCTTCAAACGCGGGGTCTCCAGCTGAGTAAAGTCGAGCGGAATGGCGACGTTGATGTCATAAGGGACGGGACCATGCAGTCCGTAAGCAGGTTTCGCGGGAGGAGGGGGTTGATAGGTATTGACGAACGCCATGTGAAGATAATTGGGCAAGCACCGAGGCCAAGTCATATACATTCAACATTCTTTTACCTTGAAGTTGGCTCCCAGTGACTCATACTGTTCGGCCCTAATCAAGGTAATCTCGGATCGAATCCTGAGCACTGAGCCATAAGTATTCCTATTCCTCCAGGTGCATAAACCGGTTTGGACGACATTGAGAAGGTTGGTACGTGTGATTGCGTTGGCACATACTCACCGTGAGCCGGAGTAAAAAACAAAGCGCTGGCAAATCAATTTGTTTGCTTTCATGATTAGGCAATGACGAGTGTTTGCCATAGTTGTAACTTGTACCATCTCGTCATCCGAACAATTCAAGTCTACTGACTTTCAGACGAGCAAGATAGACCATTCCTTAGCTTCACCGGTGCCCACGAACTTTTCAATAATATTCATCTGACGCTTGTTCACGAGCATTGGTTAGAATGTTTCTCCTTAAACGTGTCATTTTGATCTAATGTAGCACAGTCGATGCCGCAGCCCAATTCGAAGAGGGCACCAACTCCGGTGCGAACAGCGGCTCCCTTCGCTCCGCACGACGCGATGGTCGCATCGCAGCAAGGTCACATAGAGAACCTAGTGCAGAAGACTCGGAATTTGGAGCACACCATCAAGAAGCTGAACGATGAACTCAGTCTTGAACAAACTCGTGCCAAGGACACTGCCAATGTCATAAAACAACAATGGCGAGCAGAGCAAAAGGAGTGGCACGTTGGTTGCGATGCTTTACAGGCGTGCCATAGGATTGCTCATCTTAGGACAGCATGCGCTTTGGACGACGAACGAATCGCAGTGCTCAAGGAGCGCGAAATTGCACGGCGCGAGAAGCTTGCACGTATACAAAGGGATTACAAGATCACCATAGTTCCAGGCTAGGGAGGCGGAACTAGAGAGTCAAATAGAGGACCTTCAGGCAGATCTCGACTCTCAAGTGGCTCAAACAGAGTATTTGCTTAAATCTCGGGATCAACAGTACCAGAAGACTATTCTCGACTTACGAACAAGAGACGCGACACTGTCGTCCGAGTTGAAGCTAAAGTCGGACGAAATTGTAGCAGCTCATAAGCAACGCGAAGATGTCGAGGTCTGTTCCTTCAGTGCCAATTTTCTACAAATGACCGATGGTCTAACTTAGTAGTAGGATGAACTGCGCCGACTACGAGAAGCCCAAGCAGACGCAGACGCGGCTACAGTTACAAATGTGTCCAAACTTTCCCGGATAATTGTGCAACGTGATGGTCTACAAGCGAGGGTGACTCAACTAGAGCGGGAGCTTGAGGATCACAAGGATAATAATGCCAAGTTGCAACGTCAACTTGACAATTGGCAGGGGTTGAAGAAAAGTGATGATGTAGACCTGGAGATGTTGCGGAAGAAGAATGTCGAGTTGGAGGTTCAATTAAGAGAAGTGAATGCGGTGATCCAAGAACGTGATAAAGTGCTCGAGAAGGAGAAAGGTCGCACCACTAAGCTTAAGGAAGTTCTCCATGAGTGGAAGGTCAGATTTTTTCTCCAGCTGTTATGTTGTATGTTCAAGAGTTTGTTTGTTATAGTCCGAAGCCGGGGAGCAGACAACGCTCCGGAAACAGGCTGAAGATGAAGCTACAGATGCGAAAAAGGCAGCAGAAAAACTTGAGCACGAGATATCAGATCTGAAAGCTCAGCTAACTGCTGCGCTCAAAATATCCGCTGCTCCAAAGGTAGGGCAAACTTTCATGCACCCATGCCATATCTCAACGCATGAAAATCCCAGAGCAACACAACGTCTCCTCCTATCCCTTTGGCATCAGAGGAGGAGGCGGATCAAACTCGCCCGAAACCCAAACCCAAACCCAAACCAGTCAAGCGCTCGAAGCCAGTTGACAGTGATATTGAGTTAATTGAACCTTCCGCCAAAGCGAAAGGGAAACGGAAGGCATCTCAGGAAGACAGTGCCGATGAAAAACCTGCATCAGAGAAACCAAAGCGTGCACGAGCAAAAAAGCCCGCTTCTGCGCCAAATGAGAAGGCACCAAAGAAACGTACTCTTGAATCCGAAAAGAGCCAAAAGAAAGCTGCCGAGTCGTCGCAAGCAAAGACATCAAAATCTGCTGCGATTGCAGATAGTGCTGCAGAAGACGACCAAGATCCGGCACCTAAGAAGAAGAAACGGAAGCTCAATGTAGGCATCTTCCCTTCTATGCAACAACAGCCTCTGGTGTTTCAGTGGGACCAGGTGTGTTATACCTTTCTATAGTTGATGGTTCGCTGAAAAATCGGGGTTCAATCCCCTGCAGGGTGGAATCGGCCTAGGAATCCCTACCGAGCTGTCGCCTGTGAAAGATGCGCCGCGACGATTACATCCATCAAGCACAGGACCAAGTTTCACCAAAACTCGCGGATGAAGTCTGTCCCAGGTGGATGCGTGGCGGCTGACTGAAGTCTTTGATGTGATCAATGTCAATGAACGTCATGCTTGGTCTTGAATCCTTCTTGATGGGAGACGTGAGGTGACTTGCGAGTTGTTGGTCGCAGTCGTACGGGCCAATGATGTGCTTATGAGCCCGCAACGGCGTGGACCTTGTTTGTAGGAAGGCAAGTGAAGATATGATCATTTCAAGAGTTTTATTTCTGGACTGAAAGATATTTTTCAAACAAGTTGTATTTTATGTTGCAGTTCTCGCGGTCAGAAGTACATCATCAATCCATCTGTGTTCCACCGTCAATTGTAATCGTCTGGCTAGTGATATAAGCGGAATCCTTTCTGGTGAGGAACGACACCATGCCCGCAATGTCTTCCGGTATTCCGCTCTGCGGCAGCGCCGCATTCGTCTGGTACTGTAAAGCGATTGAAATGAACCCTCACCTCGAGAGAGAAACACTGATACATGCATCTTGGATAAATGTCTTGCCATCAGGAAGCCTTAACTGTTTCGCGAATTCTTCGGTGGAGCCTTCACTGGACACCACATTAACATTGGGATGCATAAGCTAATCGTAACGGGGCCAGCCCCAGCCCTCGACTCGCTTATTATTGGTATGTTTTGTGTTCATCGAATTATACGCAAACTGATCTTTTTATTCCATTTTGCGTTGGCAGATGACTGCTAATCCTATGTGATTCTACTGTCAATCCATCTGCACAGGACAGAAATCTGTTGCAGGTTCGAAACCTGCTTAATAATTTGTTCCTCTATCTACTTTGCCACGAGTGGTGATCACCAAGTACTAACCACGGTGGAGCAAATTTGCGGTCAACTGCGGAGATAACGTGCTCGCTGCCGTGTAGAATAGACCGACAACGCTGCGGCTCGCAAAGAGATTTCCATCCTACCCACGCTCGAGGCTGCTGGTTCGCTTGTTGAAAATCAACCTGCAGATTAGTATGCACCCCAGCAATCCCTTTTGTGACTTGCTATGCGAGGTTCAAGTCTGGTTTCTCTACAGATACAACAAGCCTTCCATTCATATATCCTACAAGCCCTTCTTCCTTGAGTGTTCCATTACCAGGAGTGGTGACCACCGCTAACGATAATACTGCGAATTTTATAGTTAGCTTTACTGCTAAGGAAGGAAATACAATGGCGACAACGTACTCGCTACCCGTGCAGAATGTTGATGCATTAGATGCCAGCCACGTCACTACACCGCGCAACTCGTCGGGGCGTCCGAGCCGACCCAGAGGGTTCATACTAGACCACACATCGAAGAGGTGCGGTTGTTTGTCCAGAAATGCCGCAGTCATACTATCACAGCCATTATGATTTGGTATTGCAGTGTAATTGATCGCAAGACGAACCTGGTGTAGATATACCCTGGAGACAGCGAGTTGGCGCGAATATTCTTTTCGCCAAGCTCGCAAGCCATGCTACGAGCCATCTGCAGGACAGCTGCTTTGGAGCTGTTGTACGATACCCAGGCATGGCCCTATACAGGGTCAGCATGTAAACATGGCCATGTCAGCTTTCGGGAGAGGCGCACTCTGTTAGTGATACTGCCCGACATTGATGCAATAAGAATGATGCTGCCACCGCGTCCGAAGCGCGACATTTGTCTGCCAGCAGCCTGCGCAGTGAAGAGGACGCCATTAGTGTTGACATCCAGGACCTTGAAATCGGGGTTAATTTGAAAAAACTGTCGGTGGCAAGCAAGTCATCATCAACCACCCACCTCTCTGTACTCCTGCGCCGGGTATTCCAAGCAGTCTGTGCCTGACCTGAGAATACCAGCCGCAGCGACACAAAAGTCCATTCTTCCCTCTATATCACCAATCTCCTCCGTCTTCTTCCAAAGCGCCTGCTGATTAGTGACATTCGCGCTGAAATACTCCAGCCGCGAGTTATTCCCTAGCTTCGCGACATAATCTCTGCTTGCAGTCCATTCATCTGACGGCTTTTCTGGAAGATCGAAGCAGTATACGACACGTGCACCAGCTTCGCAACATGCAAGAGCCATTTCCAGGCCGAGGCCCCTATTTCCGCCAGAGACAAGCCCAACGCGATCGGTTAACGCGAACTCATCAAAGATCTTGGGCTTTGGTGTGATGGATGAATCTGCAGCAGCCTCAAGGGCAGCCTCGATACCGAGTTTACCGAGAGGGGATGCAGATTGAGCTGAGAATTTGGAACTATGGGAAGATTCAGTTTTCGCTTCATGCCAGCAGTCGACACAACTTACTTGGACATGGCTTGGAGAACCGAGGATAGATGGTTACGATAAGATAATTCCAGCAACGTTAAGGGAAAAGATCACGTATGAGGAGTCTTTATATTGCCCGGATCTTCACCTTACAAGGCCCTTCTGTGAGCTCACCTGACCATAGTCAAGGCAAGATGCGGCGTATCAATAACGAGATTAGTACTGCATTCTGAACTCCTTAGTGACCACATGAGCATGAGCTGTTAATTTGCGAATCGAAGTGGTCTTTCCACAGCCGCATTATCGGCCTAATCTGATAGTATGGTTCTAGATTGCGAGAGGAGATTTGGGACAGGCCATTATCAATGGCATTGCCAGCCTGCATCTGATATCACGACATTGGATCCCGCAGGTGTAGTACTTTACAACCTAGCGTGCTACATAACAGAGAGATCTCCGCGTGCAGCACTATCACTAGAAAGAACGGAGCTTGTCCATGCATGTGGAGCGGTGTAATACCTATCAAGAACGGTCAGTGCGACTGCAGTGAGTCTAGAGTATGAATGATACGCACCTCGGCACATAATACAACAACGAAAATAACATGATGGAGTATGACTTACAGGAGACGCGTATCGACTGGCCCAGGCACGTAGGTGTTTACGGTGATGCCGTGTGACCCGAATTCACTCGGTGAAACGCAAGAACAGAAAATGAAATGGGGTAATAAAATCTCTTGGCTACACACCAAGTACCTGTGATGTGGAATGGCAGATTTCGACGCACAGTAAATGCTGGTCAACGGTATCCCTCTCTTCCCTGATACCGACGACGCGTCTATGACAAGGGTATTACCACCCAAATACGAAAAAACCAAGGGTCGTGCATACTGATTATCCTCCCACCACGTCCCCCGCTTGATTATAACCTTAGCTGCAATACACAAGCACAGGAACGTCCCGCGCGCATTGCTGTTGAAAATACAATCGAAATCGGCGAGCGTAGCTATTGGGGTATGGCGGTCACCATGAAAGTGCATCAAAGACGGGGCTGGCTTACAGTCAACCACAGGCTTCACAATGATTTGACCGGCATTCGCTACCATCTGGAACACCATTCATCAGACTATTGGCAGGTTTACAGCCGACAAGATACCCACCACATCCAGACCATTAAACTTTTTCTCCGTAGTTTACACCATGTGCTGGACTTCCTCCTCTTGTGACATACCACATTCCAAGACAATACACCGCCTCCCTCAGTTGTGCCCCAGAGCTTCTATGCGGATTCGCACTACCAATTCCGTACCGAATAACAAAGGTTAGTCCAAAAGATGGGCAAATACGCTTTCATAGATGCCCTCGATGGTACGTTGAAGCCCTGTCAGAAGAATAAGAATAAACAGTGTCAGCAGCCATTTGTTCAACACACTGAAGGGGCCGGGTGGGTGGCGGCCAAGGTCGCTGAAGATGTGCTTGCCATCCATGAAGAAGATCACACATCATGCTAAATTGACGTGCCGGCGGATGGCAATGGACCCGGAGTTGCCAAAGACGCACACGGCCGTCTAACGATGCGGAAACAACGAAAGCGCCGGAAAGAGGAGTGGCAATAGATATCAGTATGAACATGGCACGCCCAACTCGATCACCGACCTGGTTCTAGGTCGGTGCGTCTCACTCCGTAATGTGATGTCCAATGGGGTCAAATCTGAAATTTGACACAGCACCTGACACTTACTTAAATGTGCATCTCATAAATAAGTTCAAGCATTGCAATCCGAAGCATGGATTTCTTTGACTAGTTGGCACTCACGTCGACCCAGAGAAGGGTCAAATACATTTGTATTGCAGCAATGGACATAGTAAAGTGCAATGAGGCCAAAGGGAAGGGAATTTTGTCGCCACATCATGAAACTCCTCTCAACGTAGATATTCGTGATTAGAGTGATTAAAGAGGCTTTCCTCTATATAGACCATCCTATGATAGATACACACGGTGCCCTCATTCCATCGGTGAGCGGAACGCTTCCTGGAGTGAGTAGTGAGAGGTAGTCATGTAAACGGTAAAGAAATCTTGAGTACAGCTTCGAAAAGATTTATAGGCCTCGGAAGATGCCGGTACCAGAAACAAAAACTCAGCTGCACCAGGTTAAAGTTAGCGCCTGAGTTGGTGCAGGCAGCAGGACTGCCTTCATTAATGTCATGAACTCTGTGCGCTTTTCAATGAGCTTCATCTACCGCCAGCTTAGGTATTGGTTGGATTGCCTGCTACTCAAATGGGTGCCTCCATCCCTCCCAGCAATGCAACTTGGGCCTAATGGAAGCTCTCAGAATCCTACGATGGTGAGTTGTCAGTTACAATTTGTACTGCCAAAATGCCCATTCAAAATGGATCCTTCAAGATACAATTTTTCACCTGGGATGCCCGACACCCAGACATGAGCTGGTGGGAGCATCTTACGAAAGAAGCCCCGCACTTGGCCGCACTGGGATTCACGCAGATCTGGCTCCCTCCGCCGAACAAAGCAATGGAACAGGTGAGAATCAACAGTTTTGATGATATGTTCACAATCCCACTGTAATACGATTGCTGTAGGCGGGCCGCGGATATGACGCTTATGACTTGGTACGATGTCCCGTAACACTTGTTCCAACACTATACAGAGGTTCGTGTAGTGGGATCTTGGCGAATTCGACCAGAAAGGCTCCGTTGCTACAAGGTGGGGAACAAAGGAAGACCTCTTGAGAGCTTGTGATGCTGCAAGGCAATGCGATATGAACGTTGTCATCGATGCAGTTCTCAATGTAAGAATATTGGCTACACCTCACGAGTCTGCGCTCACACTCGGTCGTGCACCACAACGCATAAGCACAAACTCGGTGCAGACAGAATGGAGGCTTTTCGTGCTGTACGCGTCGATCCATTAAATCGCTTACGGGATATTGAGAACGAGAGACCAGTCAAGGTACGTTTCCCCTTCCCTGGTCTAGAGACCTTTTAATATCATCCACAGGGCTGGACCGCATTTGATTTTCCTGGACGGCTTGAGAAGGTAACTCAATACATTGTAATTTCATCGGCTAGAAGTAAACATATAAGCCAGTATAGTAGTATGCGGTGGAATTTTAATCATTTTACGGGTCAGTCCGTGTTGGATTTTCTTTGCTTTTTATGGCTGAAATCATCCAAGGGTTGGACTGGGATGATCTCGCACAAACCAATGGTGTATTTCGCATTTCTTCAGAAAGACACCAAGGTTGGTCAAGGTGGGTGGACACTGAGAATGGGAACTATGATTATCTCCTAGGCATCGATGTTCGTCATGGCTTTTTGTTAAAGTGGTCGCTAATTATCTATAGATTGACCACCGTCACCCTGAAGTGCGAAGTGATCTATTTTCGTGGGGCTCGTGGATCCTTGACGTACGTCTTGTCTCCATCATCTCTTGCATTATTTTTTGAAATTGTTTTAGACCACAGGTGCCTGTGGGTTTAGACTGGATGCCATCAAACACATAGACCGCAAGTTCCTCCTTGAATTTGTAAGGAATTTTGTCTTTATTTAATTCACCTAGTGACGGAGCCGCTTTACTATTGAAGATAAAAAGAACTCGGGACCACCCAGGCAGGAAGCGTTTGTTTGCGGTATCGGAGTACTGGTCAGCGAAGTACGTCCATCCTGTATTCTGTGATCTACAGGCCCCTGAGCGAGAGCAGCTTGCGACTTATAATCCCATATATTCGGGCGTTCCATGGCCAGGTGTGCATTTTCATGACATCACTGACTCGGGGTTAATGGTAACAGACCTCCTTTTTCGACGTTCCACTACACGAGAACTTTCATAGAGCAAGCAAGGCGGGTGCTTCATACGACTTGAGGACGATTTTTGAAGGTTCTCTGGTAAAATTGAGGCCAGGAGATGCTGTTACTTTTGTTGACAATCACGAGTGAGTGCTAGCACCAGATATCTACTGTTCCATGAGGAAGCGTTTCTCTTAATAGCACGGTAAGCAAGCGTTTGATGACCGCATATGGTTTGGCCAATGATTATTCCAGCAAGTCGGACAGTCTCTGGAGAGCTGGGTAAGCCGTTCGCACTTCTTCGTTTAATGGCTTCCGAGTAATTTCAAGTAGGTGGACACCAACTTTAAAGCTCAAGCGTACGCTCTCATCCTACTGCGAAGTCACGGACATCCGTATGTGCAATCTCGCTAAATCACCGGCCCTAACACGAATGTCATGACAGATGTGTTTTCTATGGTGACCTGTATCCAAATGATGAGTGCTTTGACGAAGGCACCTCCTGTACTCTGAAACAGCTACTCCTTGCACGAAAATCGTTCGCATATGGACCTATGGTAGATTACTTTGAGCACAGAGACTGCATTGGGTTCGTGCGCATGGGCGATTCCGATCATGCTGGGTGTGTAGTTGTGGTCAGTAATAACCCGGTGTGAGTCTCTTCGTGTTTTTGCACATGCTCATATATTAATCACTTCCTCAAGGCCGGACCCAGCTACGTCCAAAGTTCGAATGAACGTTGGACCAGTACGTATCCATTATGCATTGTAGCTATAACATCTACTCACCTCTCGTGTTCTCTAGCACCCAGGAGCAACGTTCCGCAGCTTGTTTGATGGCACCCGAACTGTTGCAGTTGACCATGACGGTTGGGGAGTATTTCCTTCTTCAGAAGACTGTGTTGAGGTCTGGATCAAAACTGGAGAACATCGATAGCCAATAGTCCCAACCTGCTTATGTGCATATAGGGCATAAAATACAATATCGTGATGGTGGCTCCCCTTTATTTAACAAATGTAACGGCAGACTCTTCTGAGTGTGTTTCGAGATGCGAAGGTGATCCGAAGGCACTAGTCCGCTGCACTCCACTGCGTTCCTGAAGCTCGATATGCGAATGTGATCCCAAGGCACTACTCCGGATGCTGCTGCTTTCATGAAGCTCGAAATAGTTGTCTGGCATGTCTTTCTCTAGACGGGGTGATCTAGGTCCATATTGTGGTATTCTGGCGAAAGTTGTGCTATCCCTCCTTTCCGTGGTTTTCCGAGGAATTTTCACGCCGTCAAATAGAGCAGCAGTTTCTTCCAGAGTACGACCTGAAGAAAAAATCCAGAGCCGCTCCGCAAGCCACAAAAACAATGAAAGTCACCTCTCGTCTCAATAATGAACACCATCACAAACACTAGCTCTAGAACGAGCCATCCACAGTAAACAAGGTACTTTGCGAAATATTTGTCAACCAGAAACTTGAACGAGATACGACTTACGTATTTCCAACCTATGGCATCGAGTGCCCACGGATTGACGAACGCGTTAAAAGTATTGAAAAGATATGCAGAAAAGTTCTGTGCAGGATGTTAGACGGTGTTCAGATATGAGTCATGAAAGTTCCAACCATAATTGCAAGTCCTCTGGCGCGAATATTGTAAGGCAGAATCTCGAGTGTGTACGAAACAAGCATCGGCGTATACGCGAAGTCATAAAAGAAGTAGAACAGAAAAATGAGCGGTACAGTAGCTGTCGTGCTTGATTAACAATCACACCAAGTACAACAAGGTTTCGCACTTGCCTTTCACAGCTGCAGTACTCCCGGTCTCGTTGAAAAGAGCGGTGGTAATCGTCCACATAGAGAAGACTGCCCAGACGATACAATAAGCGATATTCTCGTCACAGAATAGTACTGACCTATCAACATTCCAATATTCGAAATTAGGAACAACTGCCTTCTGCCCAACTTGTCCACAAGCATTGTGCCCAATAGAGCACTAGCGAGATTAAATATCTATATATGCAAGATAAATATCAACTCCGGCGGCTTCTAAGAAACCATGGATGAACCTGTAAACCGCCGTTAATCACTGCTTTTGTCCGAGTCGTGGTTATGCCGCTGTTGAGCTTTTAGCCAATGTACTAGTACCGTGCTAACCTCGAGAACATACACGCCGTCTAAAATGATGTTGATGTAAGATGAGACAAGACCATTGCCGCTGAAAGGAGCATCAATTCCCGTACCAAACTAGAACGAGGTTAGCCAAACCTCCACTGTGAGGATATTGCAATCGAAATAATGATAAACATGCGCCGCCTGTTACCAGGAGTTGCGAAGCACGTCAGGTAGGACGGACTGGAGGCAATATCTCGTTCGATGTTCAGAGCATGTCGGATTTGAGCCATCTCGAATGCTACTAGATGATGGTCACATTCGCTTGTCCCATTTGCATGGTACCGAGCGAGGACACGCGCGGCCCGCGATTCCTGTGAGAACAAGGACCAAAAGCTCGACCGATGAATTCTAATTGACCAGGAAAATTCCTCGCGAATGCTCACCAGACCTCTAGCCACTAGAAATCGAGGACTCTCCGGAATGAACCTAAACACGATCAAAAGTGTTGAGTCACTCTGAACAATTCAAGAGTCAACAATGCCGACCATATCAACGTCATTTGCAGGATAGGAACAGCAGCTTGGATAAATACAGGGACTCTCCATGACCATTCCGATGTCCCTGCTCGATTATAAGCGACCAGGCAGATCCAAGCCGCTGCAATACATGTCAGAAATTGAATCTATAGCACGGAATGTTACACACAGATAATGCTGCCAAAATACCACATCGAATTGTATAGAGAGGTCAATTTTCCGCGCTTGACTGGGATTAGAGACAACTAATAACGGACGAGGTGATTGGACATACATGCGTTGGATAACTAAGTTCGCTGATAAGCAAGGGAGCGGCATTAATAGAGAAGGCTATGCCTAGGCCAACTACAAGATAGGATAAGCATCAGAATTATTCTGTGGATGGGGGTCTTACTGAGCACACGAGCGCCAATGAATACTTGCACGGTGGTGGATAAGGCTTGCGTGAGGACACCAGCTAGCATGAGGGTTGCCCCGATAAACATAGTTGCTCGCCGTCCTAGCAAGTCAGACACATAAGGGGAAAATGGAATCCCCTAAAGCCAAAGTGAGCTGAGAGTAATTTAAACGAACTACTACAGCTTACGCTGAGGGCACCAATGCCTTGGGCAGAATTTATGAGGCCTAACAGCTGTGAATAGAGGGTTACAACAATGCTAGGACTGCCCACCTAAGGTTTTCCCCTGTGGGTTATGGAAGTACTCTTGCCATCCAGGCAAAATCTGCAAACCTAAAGTAACTTGAGTCGACCATATAATAGTGAATGCTCACGACCGACCGTTTAGTATAGACGAATCAAGGCCATTCAGTACTGATGATAGTAGTGGTAATATCAGATAGATATTTAAAATCAGGAGGCCTGCTCGCCGACATGTCAAGAAAATTGCTCATTTCGATGCGCTTAGCCAAGCTCGTACCACGATTCTTCCACCACGACTCTCGATGAATGAAGTCTGCAATGGTGTATTCCGGAACTGCCATCAAGGTGATGTTAAGTTGCCGGGAAAATGGGGGGAAGAAGTTGAAGGTGATTGATTCTTGGGGTATCGTGATATACTGTGCTATGTGCTTGCCATCACTTTCAAACGATCAAGCACAAGGGTCGCCTCGAAGCCTTGGCCTTAACCGCGTTAGACATACTTGGACAAACAGAAATGAAATTTCGCAATTCGGCACATTTCTTCCCAAAGTAAAGATGTGGTGAGAACGAAGGCGGCGAGTAGGCGGCGGCTCAACTATTGACACACCATATGCCTGCAAACCTTAGATGTAAGGCCATGACAACCCGCAGCAACCCGCGATGGGTCCTGAGGCCTGACGAGTCTGTATTTGGCACGGCTGCTCGTAGTAGACAATGTTAGTTTGACCCTGTTCCCCCATGTTCTTGTTGTAAGTGTTTATCCAATTAGTACTGCTGTGCTCACTCACTCACTTTTCGTAGACTAACAGTTTTACAGTGCTCATTATGCGACTCCAAGCCCAACGAACGAACAGCTAGACAGCCTCGTCAGTCCGGATTGGGCGGATGGTATTACCATGGTCTTAAACTGTGATCATAAATGTTTTGACCTAGATTCGTTAAACTGGTCCTGCAATAAGATATATCCACTGTAGGTCGGGCCCACAGAAGCGGCACTGCGGTACCATATCTGGAGTCAAGTTCCGCGACAAGACTCGTGTTAATTTTCTGTTGGTCACGGTTGTGGAGATATCTCGACTCCCCTTTCCTGCCGCGATGATGGTCGCTGGACTTAAAATGTTCTCGCTTTAGTAGGAGCTGGTGCTCGGATAGTGAGCCTATCGTCGATTAGCTCACAGTGAATTCGCTGTATTTCACAAATTTTCACCATAAAACCATTAAATACATGTAATTGGCACATACATCGGTTAAGTAGTTAAAACTCACTCTATGTAAACTGCGGTAGATAATCTGTGTTAATATATTTATCAACTGCTGTGAAAACCGTTGAATTGGTGATCGTACAGCGGCTGTGAAAATTTGCATTATAACCGTACTCCGGACCCTGGTCCCTTAGCCCTAATGGCAATATTCATTTATCGCTGGCCTCTGAGTCGGAGCCTAGGCTTGGCATGGACAGCTCTTCGAGAGACTACCGCAGCACCTTCGACGCTCCCGACTCTCGGCAACGCCCGATCTAAGCGCTAGCTCGGTAATAGTGCCAGTGGAGAGAAGTTGCCTAATACCCGCTTGCAAGTGTGCTCTCCGTCTTCCTGGCCATGCGGTGAGTAGCTTCTTCCATTGCGCGCAAATTTTCCAATGCCGCGTATTCGGGCACTGTTGATCTACACGGACCCCGAGTCACTAGTAAGGGAACTGAACATCCAAGCATTCGTTAACGACCCGCCAAGAATCGTTCTTCATATCTTGCTGCTCATACAGAAAGCTCCGGTCCGATTGAGGATCCTGTCTCCGACATAACTAAAACATTGTTCTCTGTCCTTTCAGAGAATGGTAGACTTGCAATGGGGAGACGCAAGGTGTGATCGGGATTTTCAACAATTGGTTTCATTCAAAATACAAACTTGGGAGAACTGGAAGTGGTTGTCAGCGTCTGTTCCTGAGACTTCTGCGCAGCTGTTCAAGGGTGTTTTCTCCCGGTTGGAGATTACCCTGAAGCAGCCTCAGGCAGAGCCGCCGGGAGTCAAATTGCTATCACAAATAAGGTACATACACCTTGATTTTGTGGTCGTCCTTTCTAATATGTTTCTGATTGCTTCGGATTGCTTCAGGTCAACCCCTCGGCCCTCCGGGTCGGTGGTGTTGTGTTTGAATTCGGCGACAATATTGAGAGCATTGACTTCAGTGTTTCGCGTGTCAATCAGCTCGACAATAATACGGAATTTGCAGCGTGTGTTTTACCCTGACTCTTTATTTATAATTTGACGTATGAGCATTGCACAGAATTCAATTGGTATAAGTGTATGCATGTCATACATGCTATGCGAGCTTTTTGTACCTGGCCAGGTAAAGAACACTATAAGACCATCACGTTCAACTCGTCACGTTTCACTGCCGTGCAGCGCAAGGTGACCATCTACGCAAGTGTCTAGTATTGGGTCGCGACCGACGGCTCGGGCGACCACCCGACTGGCCATACCGGGGCAACATGAGGCAACATATTTTCTGAGCTGGCATTACACGTATACTTTTCCTTGTGGGTCTATCTTGAACTTCGCGATCGAGAGCCATTTATTCATGCTCCCCAACGATCAAGTGTCACGATGTCGTTCATATTGCGTTCGCCTACATAAAGTATCATGCTATCCTTGTTCACATTTCGACTCATCCCTGCGTACAACCACTCACGTATACGATCACTCGTAGGAGTTCTTGGGGCACATCGAAATATTTACCCGGTGGTTCCTAACTAGGCGGCTAAAATGTACCCCGCGCAGTACGATGAACCTATGTTGTGCTTAAGGCCGTACTGCGATCAGCCGGATACAAGGTAAAACGTCAAGTTTGCTGGCTGACCTACATTCTAAACCTAGATCTGTGCAGCGGGGACATGCCACCCTATGTCACCACATGGATACTAAGGCGATACTCCGTTTGTTTGATGGGTGCAATTTGGGTGCAATCGTCAAGATCTTGCTGTTCCCTTCCGTGAAACGCCGAGGCTGAGAATTTCATTTCAAGACAAACATGTTTATTCAAGGGTTTCGCCAGTCGAATTCAATTGTTACGACACATTTGAGTCAATCAAAGTGTCAATTTCATAGGTTCAAGTTAAAATTCATTTGAACCACTACTGCTTATCCCAATATCTATCTTGAACCCTTATAAATCACAGCCTGCTAAGTTATACATAGCACCCTCCTATTGTCTATGGGGACATTTCTCGCGATTTAATCAGCTGACTTGAAAGCTTCCGACATCCGTAATCCATTGCGATGCGAACTCTGAGAAGTACCCGGACCTGACCCGCAAAGTCGCAACGCTCCTCCGAAATTTGTAACTGAACTCAGTAACCCTTATGACCATCAACATGCACGCCAAAACATAAATCATTCGGACCATGAGGAACTTTGCACTGTACAACAGCAAATCCCAAGTATCCGAAGGTAAAGTGTCAACCGGAATGTCTGTGACAAAAACAAAGAACGATCGAAGGGAAAGGCACAATTCAATCGAAGTTGTGAGCAATGAGCACGTAAGCCCACAGTCGCATGAAAGAATGTAAACATCAGTCGGGTAAAACTCCAATACTCGTAAAAGAAGACAGCCTAATGTACGTCGTAGATGTCGCAGATAAATGATTAGCAAAAGAAAAGCTGTGAATGTCTCTGAAGTCCTTCGACTGGTATCGGTCTCGGTGATGTCGGAGAAAATCTAGAAAAGCAAGGCAGCAACAGCAGCACCAGCAATGCCGGCAGCGCCAACGCGGATGACATTAGCAGAGGCGGCACCAGAGCTTGTCGCAGGTGAAGCGGCAGTGGTTCCAGAGCTTGTGGAAGTGCTGCGGAACGGATGTCACGTCAGATCACGTTGCAACTTGACAACAAGTTCAACTCACGTATGAGTACTAGCACCGGGTGTAGTACCAGTGGCAGTACCAGTGGTAGCAGGAGTGCCAGTGGTAACAGGAGTACCACTCGGTGTGGCAGCACTAGTTACGCCAGTCGGACCAGACGATACTGGAATGCGAAAATGAAACATCAGTGGGGTGATAGATTGTTACAATAAGAGACGTACGTGACGTAGTGTTAGTGCATGAAGTTGAAGCTATGCCAAGGTTAAAACCTAAGCAACCGATCAACAAGGACAACTGAAACACGTACATCCGGGGTTCACAGTGAAAGGTGCCGACTGTGCAGTCGCACCAGTGCTGTCACGAAGAGTGAGACCAATAGATGTCCCGGACGCGATGTTGCAGACCCAGGTCACTGAGGTGCCATTTTGCTGTCCCAAATTCTCAAGAGCAGTACCATCGGGACTCGCACCGGGTAGGATGCTGAAATAGTATTGAGTAAAATGTTAGGCGTATACGAAACGAAGTTATTACCTCTGTTTAAAAGGAAATAAAATAAAATTCGCTGAGGGTCAATGGCTGACAACTATATTATATGGGTATCACTGACCAAGTAGTAGGGAGCTAAAACATGGTCAGACACGGAACGGACGGAAGACCGCATGTTCGAAGAACTCACCAGTTCCACCGGACCACGCCAGGAGGGTGGGCTGGCACTCGACAACATTGGCCCTGTTGCGAGGAAGTAATAAGGGCCCGACAACTCAATGTACACGTGTAAGATTACTCACGGAGTGTTGATTGTAAACTGGGCGAGAGTACCAGCTACGAAGAGCGAGAGGGATACAACAGAGAACTTCATCGTGAACTTGTCGTTGAGCTGAATGAGGACAACAACGGGGGAAGGAAGTTGAACTGCGTGGAAAAAAAAGTTGTAGATTCTTTATTTATTTGCCCGACTCTGTTTAATTATTACGTCATTACTGACTTCCAAACACGCCACTCAACCAACAGTATCTTTGTACAAATTTAAAGTAAGTGCTCCTTCCCATGGTCATGCATATAGCTTCAACCTAATTTCTATCTCGAGTCTCTCTGCATGGCTAGAATCAGTTTCGAATTTTCGTTCAACACTCGACGTTCGTTGAATCGTTGTTCGGAATGTTGTTGATAGCGTAAAAATACATCAGATACTGAACCGATTCGTCCTACGTCCGCAGTATACGTTAGTGTTTTGGTCATAGTATTGCACCCCGTCAATTCTCACCAGCTCCGATCCTTCATTATCTCCTCAATCTTCCCGCATGATGTGCACGCGTGTCACCAGCCCATAGTGGTCGCTCACCCATTTGTCCCTCCCAATCGCCTCACCAATTCCTATCCTCTCTGGCTCATCCACAATGAAGCCCTCTTGTCTGGTGGTGAGCACCTTGTCTAACCTTCCAGGCGGCAATCGTTCTCGAGGCTGGTATCCCCAGGTAAAGCCTTCATCGTCGTTATCATCACCTTCCCAGGTATCATACAACCCGGCTGCCTCCACGATAGTCTCGTCGGTAGGGCTGATAGCATTCATATCCCCTGCCACAATTCCCCCGAAGACTTCCCTCCCACGCAATGCAGCTGCGATGAGTTCCAATTGCCTGGGGCGTGTCGAGGCCCCTTTTGGCATTGATTCAAGATGCGTGTTTGCAACGCGTAGGGTAACGATGCCTCCTGATAGATGGGGTTCGTCTTCGTGAGCCGGGACGCTCAGTTTAATATCAACGAATAGGGCATTGCGTTCCATATTAGAATTGCTGAACGTGATGGTCGAGACATTGACTACGGGAATTGTGCGGGAGACCAGCGTGACATTTCCATACTTTGCTTTGTCTGGCCACTTGTCCACGCTAGCGGGAACAACTATGAAACACCGTCGCACCCATTCTGCATTGAGGATCTGCGTGAAAACCGACTCATGTACCTCCTGCAACAGGATGCAGCATGGTTCAGGCCGATCACTAGTGGTCCTGCAGTCAAGAACGTGTTGCTGGATGTGAGAGAGGGCAGCAAGGAGCCGCTTCTTCTTATCGGGAGCCGTGAAGTCGATGTTCCATGTCACGAGGCGGAAGATAGATGGTAGGGGCTCCCTGACGCCTCTGGCGCAGTTGGAAGTCTGTGCCCAACGCCTTTTGCGAGATGAATAACGCACTGCGCGGAGCGGTACTTGGGCATCTGCCTCATGACGCACACGCGCTCTCACTGGCAGAGGAGGAGCTTCGTCTGGCTCCGTTTCATAGAAGTCAGAGGGCGGGGATGGTATGAACGATTCATCAATATCAGACATCGTTGAAAGATGGGTGGATAGTTGATCAAGATGACGATGAGCTACCGAGTGTGCAACTAGAGGTGTCGAATGTTCCACTGGTCAGCAGCTTTCGGTTTCAGGATAAGTTCCAGGAAATAAGTAGAATAAGTAGTCACGCAGTCCATGATGATCGGTTGTAAATCAGTCCTCGAGGCTCCTCGAGGCCTTCTATTTTTCCGATGTCTACTGCAACGTGCCCTTAAGAAATTGATACCAAGTCCTGTTTTAGTCTTTCGCCAGCGTCTACAAATTACGATAGGTGCCAAAGGTTCCTGATTTATCTTCACTATTGATTGCGCGGTGCACGAGGAGATCACGCCCACCGTGGGCTCGGAAGGTGGAACCAATGAGTATGAAGCTCGGATTAGTGGGTAGCACCGACATAACATGCAGATTAACAATATATATGTGTGGATCCTTCACCATTACGCGTCCGACATCAAAGCTCAGCCGTGGCTCTGCCGATGACACTCTCAACCTTCTCCTGTGCCTCCTCTAACTTTTTGGCCACGAATGCACTCAGAACGTTGGCTTTCATCTTGATCTCATCGAGCTTGGCAGGTGACATCGTGCGCTTGCTGAGAATGGACCCGAGGCTAATAAAGATATATCAGTCCATGATCAGCCGAACGTGCACAGATGCCCAGTAGCTTACCGCTTAGACTCCTTCTCGATGTAGGATTCCTGGTCGTTTACGACTTTCTCCATCACACGGAGATAGAATTTTGCCGTCTCGCCGAGCGACTCAGAGAGCGTCAAAGCCTCCCTATAAATATAGTCACGAGCGTCACCGGCAGCGCCCAGGAACTTCTGGGCAAGGGTGTCGAGTTCCGCAATACGGCCAGCCTGCACTGTTTCAGGAAGGGGTTTGGTTACCAGTTTGCACGTGACCCACCTCGTCGTTGAGACCACCGCCAACGGCGCGCTGAGTTCCGCAGCGCTCGTTGAGGAAAGTAACAAATGCTTGTTCTGTGCGAGGACCCTCATAGGCCTCTACTTCCTTTCCGCCATGAGGGAAGAACTTGATGGTAGGGTAAGACGACACTCCGTAGCGACCAGCAATCTCCTTGTTCGGTTGTGCATCCGCGTCAATGTTGGCAACGACACACTGCAAAAAATATACTGATTAGCTGAAACAGCAAGTAGATCGTCGGGTAGTACGCACGTTGCTTTCTGGTTTGAAGTCAATCGCAACTTGTGTGCAAGTATTAGGGAAATCATCAGAGAAAACAAAGACTGACGCTTACCTTGCTCATAGATTGGCTTGAGGTTCTTGCAATGCCCGCACCATGGCGCGGTGAATGTGACAATGACGTCCTTTGTCTCGTCCAAGGCAATATCATCAAAGTTGTGGACATCAAGGATCAAGGCTTCAGGGGGCGGTGGGGGCTTGATGTTTGATTTCACACCAGACTTTGCAGTGATGCTGAAAGAATATATCAGCATGGGGAAAGCACATATATGTGGTGAACGCACAAGGAAGCGAGTGCGTCAAGGTCTCGGCCACCTTCGTAAGGCTCGACGTTGCCTTCCTCGTCAAACCACTTCAAAGCTGCATTTAAATATTGAGTAAGGTATTTGTGGAAGCTTCATAAGAGACTCACTGGGGTATCCAGTGACACCGTATTTTTGTCCCAAAGGTTTACCGACACCATCAGCATCAACTTTGGCGACAGAAACTTTGCCCTTTGCGTGCGCAAAGGCATCTCCAAGTTGTTCGTATGTAGGAGCGAGGTTCTAGAGTGAGCGTAAGTGTTTTGTTCTTGTGTTATTACAGGGGGCACATACCTTGCAGTGACCACTATACCACGAAGTGTTCGTCAACTAGGGTTCACATGAGAGTGTAGAACGCAACGCACCACCAAGGGGCAAAACTGGAAGTGGAAGTTCAGGAAAAGAATTTAGGAAGTACCGCGGCGAGCTCACAATTCAACTAAACCAGGCTTCCCATTGCCGATTTCGCTGTCAAAATTGTCCGGGGTGAGTTCAACGACGTTAGAGGCACTAACGCCAGCCAACAGTCCCGCGAAAAGAAGCGACAGCGACAGCTTCATGGTGGTTTGAACGTTGAACAGTGGAAAAATACTTAGAGGCGACGTGGAGCGTTTGAAGTCCAAGAATCAATAGAAGCTATGCCTTAGTCAGCGACTGAATCTACAGATAACCACGTGGTCAACTATCGATATCTTTTCGTTGTCATCTTTCGGTGTATAAGCTTTACTCAGCGCGAGATTTCTCAGCAATTGCAGCCATATAAGAGGGCTCCTCCAAAACAACGTCAACTATACCACCCAGTTGTTATCGATGAATACGGCACAGGAAACAACAGAGTACGTTTCAGATGAAGAAGAGGACGTGTTCATCGACTCGGGCGATGTATTTGCAGAGATTCCTGATGACGGTGATCATCCTATGGACGAGGATGATGAAGCAGAGGACATAATTGGCGATCTTCCATCGGGGGATTCTGATGTGAACGACAACTCGCTGCAGCACTTTACCACTCACAACGGCTCTGTGTTTGCTATATCATGTCATCCGACGGAAGCGCTTGCAGTCTCCGGGGGTGAAGATGATCTTGGATACATATGGGACATCACGGATGGAGAAGTTATTGTAAAGCTGACTGGACATACGGATAGCGTATGCAGCGCGTCTTTCAGCAGTGATGGTCAGATGGTCGCGACTGGTGGAATGGATGGCAAGGTGAGGATATGGAGAAGAGTTGGCACAGTGGACTTCAGAAATTGGGAGTTCTTGACTGAGCTTCAAGGCCCAGACGAAGTGATTGTGAGTGCATCAGTAAACTCCACATTGACATACTGAAAATAATCCAAATTCAGTGGCTACGTTGGCATCCCCGCGGAACAATTTTACTCGCAGGCTCCAATGATTCTACGGTTTGGTTGTGGCAATGTATGTCGATGATATACCAGCCGCTCCCTGATCTACTCACGTAAACAGTGCCATCGGGTAATACCATGCAGGTATTCGCCGGACACAGTGGTCCAGTCCAATGTGGAGAGTTTACACCTGACGGTAAGTCCGACGTACTGGAGCCCATAAATAACATCAACTTTTGGTTACCTAGGCAAGCGGATAGTAACCGCCTCTGAGGACGGATCTCTCATTTATTGGGATCCGCGATCATCAACTCCGTTGTTCAAACTTTCACCAGAAGATGCTCGTTTTGATCTTGAGAGCATTACATCTCTTGCAGTAAATGCTTCTTCTACCCTCGCAGTTGTTGGTGGAACGTCGGGAAGTGTGCGTGTAGTAAGTCTTAGCAAGGGTGAGGTCGTCGGTGCCCTTGGGGGACACGCTGAGGGGGAGAGCGTTGAAGCTGTACAATTTGTCGATCTCGGTGGAACAGGAAGCAGTCCTGGTGTTGTAGTCACTGGTGGGACGGATGGGAAAGCGTGTGTATGGGACCTAACCACAATGAGACTTCGCGCAACTCTCGAGCATCAGGTAAATTGGCGTTCGTATTGGAAGGTTGCTGCGCTGACATTCTACAAGGATGCAGTTACGTCACTATTGGGTCACCCGGCACCAAAAAGTCATTTGATAGTGTCGGCGTCCGCAGACAACACACTCCGGACGTGGGATACTCGCACTGGCGCACTAATCAAGGAGCACACCGGGCACCATGGCCCTATACTCAGCGCGTCTCTGGGACTTCAAGGTTCTGTGGTTGTTAGCGGTGGGGATGATTCGGCTTGCCTAGTCTTCACTACGGAGATCGATGAGTCAGGATAGAGGTCTGCTACTGCGTCAGGTCACTTTATCATTTAACTTCCTGGCACGTTGCAAGAACAAAACCCTTATACAATCGAGTTGGAATTATAGATTATTAGAGAGCATGTGGCTTGAGTCATACCCTGCAGTAGTGCGGACAGACGAATCTTGGATCCGAAGTCAGCCAGTTGGTTAACCTCCATCGCCCTACTTCCGATCGGGGAATTAGATGGGAGTAACAAAAAATCAAGTTGGATGGCCGCTGAAATACAGGTGTGTGCATTCACAAGATTGTGCAACAGAGTTGGATTGGAGTTCGATGGTGTCAGACATTTTTGATAGTCAAAGGATGGGATGCTGGAAGGACTGAAGATTCAGATCAGAGACTCCGAGGCTTCAAGTTGTGACATACCACGTGATCAGGAGCACTAGGGGGCGGCTCGGAGCGCTACTCAAACTAGGGTAATTACCTGACCTGTAGGTTGGTACCCAGTGATTTTCCAGATAGTGATCCTGCTACAGTAGTAGGGACTAAATGAAGAGTAGATACTTTACAAATTACAATACAGCAACAATAGTTAATAGTGCTAATGTGCAGTCACCTGCCGCAGCCACGCCACCCACGATCACTCACGATCAAACATCAATATCCTTGTTCTTGATCCTTGTACTCGTTCTACTATACACCATATAACGCGTCTGGGAATCCAAGTGTTTATTTTGATTGACGGACATGTATAACGGCTTCCAAGCTGATAGCAACAACCCGTTCTTGAACGAAGCTCAGTCCACCCCTGCACACACCCGCTTCCCCGATATTTCCGCATCAACCTACCCACAGTCGCCGCCGCAGGTGGGCTACCAGTCTCACGACACTGGTTATCAGCAACAACCCCAGTTCCAACAACAATATCCGCAGTTTCAAGGACAGATACCCTATAACCAGCCACAGCAATACCAACAGAATCAGTATGCGTCTACGTCTTATGGTTTGGGGTATGTCAATCGTACATATTCATCATATCGTAGGCTTACTTTCCATCTTTTACCAGACAACTTGGCCCACAGTCGACAGGCATACCTTTTCAGTCGTCTGGTCATTTTGGACAACAGCTAGTGTCCCAGCAGCCTTATCAGCAATATCCAAATGGTTACCAGAACCAGTATGCTCAACAGCAGCAGCAGCAGCAATACGGAGGCTACCAAGCTGGCTACCAGCCTCAGCAGCAAACCCCAAGTTACCTCTCTGAGTTTGACCCATACACATCACACCCCTCCCCTTCACATAACAGGTCCATGTCCCAGCCAGCTAGCCTTTCAAGCCAGAATCCTGGTGATAGAATGCACCCTCGGGATTACATCCGTCAATATAAAGTTGAACTGGAGGCTTGGGATTCTTACACGTGGAAGCAGATGTTTAACGCCTGTGGTACGCTCAGTGCAGCCTGGCTTACACGCAAACAAGAGGCGGAGAGGGTAGTGCAGCAGCTGGGTGGGAACGGTGCACCGGGTTTGTTCGGCACAACACCTGGTTATCAGGCGTATGGCAGCGAACTTCAGAGGTGGCAGGGGGTAATTGCTTCCTCATCGAATGCTTTGCACTTGCTCACCGATTCCTCCAGATTGTGAAAGAAGCCAACTTGCATCATGGTAACCTCTGTCCTCTATTGCGAGTTTTACTAGTATTCATCACGCACTTTCTGCAGATACCATCGAGGCCTCCACATTTCAACTGAAAGAGGTTCACTCCTCTTATAGACAGTCGGGTGATGCTGTGAGCAAGCGACGCGTGCGCGAATCTTGCAACGCTGCGCTATCGAACTTGCCTGACTGGCCTGCACCATTAAATGCCAATTAGTCTTGGCAAAATCTCTTCACCTTACTATGAATCATCAATGGGATATACGTTACGATTGTTTACGCAACATGCTACTGTATTTCTTGCACGTTTATTCTTATCTCTGTTGTAGACCGCTAAGATCCGCGTCATGCTGTATTCTTGCGCATTGAGTGCGGTTTTTCTGTCTCCTCTTACATTCTTTTCTCCTTTCTTGCAACTGAACGAATGGAGTTCAAGGTGGTAGTTTCTCATGTTAACTTCATAATTTGAGACCTCGGAACTTCAATGCTCACTTGCGAAATTTGGGATACTGCGGTAATTGCCGCAAGTACAACTCGCTTGTGTATGGCACATCATGATTTATCATGCATCTTGAGCGTCGAAAGAGCTCACATGCTTACCCGATACTCGGCCTCTTGAAACGCAGCACAGTTGAAAGCTCAACTCAGGTAGTGAGTTTTGTCTTCTCAATTCATCAAATTTCAGACTTCTGAATCGGCCACTGATGTATATGACATTGCACGTACGTTACGGTACGTTGGACACATAAATATGAATATGAATGTTTTATTTGGCTACTCACATAAGCTCAGCTACAAACTAAGCACATAAAGAATCAAAGCCAAGCTCACAAATTATCGGGCAAAAGATACGCATAACTATCAAGCGAGGGATGTGTAACGTGGAAGGGAGGATTAGCACAGACACGTCGCTTGTATTCTACCCAAATATGTCCCGCATGCCGAATACCACGTACATGCCACGTTTGCGCTAATCGTGACAACAATTTAGGTTCCATCGCCGTACTAGCAGGTTGTGGGGATGAAGCACCCACGTTGCCTAATAATGCATTGTCGCCCGAGACGTTGGACAGTGAGGGTAAAACACCCACATAATAACGCGTTCGATATTGTTGCCACAGCCCCGCGTCGTCAGAAAACAAGCGCCGTTCGACCCTATCGAAAACCTCCCTGATATGATCTGCAGTTTTGCCCTCAAGGAGAGAGGAGGTATCGCCAGAGTTGCACACTATGTGCACGACGGATAGCCAAGATGGCCGGGCAGAGAGCAAAGATGCGGTGCGCGCTCTCAAACGCATCAAACCAAAATGACACCAAGGCGGCGTATCGCGAAAGCGACGATGCCACACTTGCGCGGTGTCAAGTTGTGATGGTCGGGTATATAAATGTACGGCGGCAGAGAATGAACTAGACGCCCGTGTGTACGGGAAGTCGGGCAGGAGATGGCGGTCGCACAGTGCGAGAGTCAAGGCTTGGGCCGGGTGGAAAGAGTCGTTTGACGCATGAATATCCTCGAGCCGAAAAACAACGAAAGAAGACAAATTACACTCGATGAACACACAATCAGGCGCAAAGATGGTATAATCATCCATATCGCGAGCGGTGCAGAGGCAAGAACCCCGCCGCTATGTTGCGCTGAAGAGGCCATGTGATCTTTGGCTAGACATTCGGGTGAGACCTGCCTGTGTGAGTAAGCAGTCCAGAATAGCGAGGGAGAAAGCTCCGAAGGAGAGAATATAAGCATCGGTACAACGAACGTGCCGGTTGACCATTCCAAATGTGGGGCAGGGCACATCCAGGACTAATTGCACGGCGGCGGCATTCTTGTAATCGGTAAAAACGGGGTAGGGCTGGTTTGGATGAGTACGAATCGATGAGCTATGATCCCCAAAAACTCGCCATGCAGTATACCTGCAGGTGTCCCACTGAATGCATGACTCGCAAGTGAAATTTATGAAAAGGCAACCACGTTACTTGAGTTAGTGTCGCTGCACCGATCCGCAGCACGCCCCAAATATGGAAATTTCTAGGGTACTGCGGTTTTGTACATTGGCGGCGCTTATTTCTGACGAATTTTGTCCAACACTCATCATCGTGTCAATCTTTGGACAGCACCACAGTGTTTGACAAGTCGGCTCAGTCGGGCTCTGCAGCGTCTGTCTACAGGTCCATATACTCATGCAGCAAGCTTGTCCTCCATCTCGGTTGGCTCGATGCTTCCAAGCCATAAGTTATGCCTACTGTTGTTCGTCTTATACTGCGGTGGCATCATCAATATTCCGAGTCCAGTAAATTACCCCGCCCGATTTTTATGCTTGGTTTTACAGCATAGGGATATCAGCTTATTGCATGGCCATATATCAGCGCCGCGATGTTTTTTAAGACCAGAGACGGGGATGAATCATCTTGATGCATTGCTAACTTTTCAGAGGGGGAGGGCGTCATGCCAACCAGTCTAGCGGTTGCTGTCCATCCAACGCCCAGTGCTTGTCATTTTGATGTTTGTAGTAATATCTTGTCCGTATCAAGACAGAGGACTCATACACAACAACCCCTGTGTTTAAAAGAGTTGCGTTTATTTTAGAACAATGGCCATCCCCTTCCTGATTTCCGAGTATGGACGCGATTACGAGGTCCTTATGTATACCCACCTCCTTCCATTGATCCGACGCGAGGCGCTTATGATTGTACCAAGTCTACAACGTCATGGTTCTGTATTTATACCATTTTCAAATTACCCACCTAATAGCGCTCCAGAAGGTCGCAAATCTGTCACCGGCCATCATGATTTACCAATGTTGGTGTTCATGCACCTGTACAAGCACTGGATGGCTTCAAGACGTCGCCGCAGTTCAAAAATCAAATCCTGACAATAACATATTGTTGGATGACGGTATGTTTTTCTGAACTGCGGAAATATAATTAAACTTGGCCCATCGTTTGACAGGTGTCCATTAAACACAATAACAGGCAGCGTGACGCGGAGGGCGGCAGCTACTTTGCACTCCTGAGAATTGCTGTAAGCCAACTTTCTGCATACGCAGCCCATTTCAATCTGCCACTAGTTGCTGGGCAACTACTATGCAACGCGGTTGCGTCACGAAAGATCCCGTTGAAGCTTCTGCTTATGGATCTCCATACCAGTCTCGAACTGAGCAACTGTCAAATTCATCGATGCTATATCTCAGGCCAGGTCTTGAAGACCAGTAGCCGTGGGTATTTTGTTAACTCTCCCGAGGCTTGATGTACATCTGCTGGTACTGGTATAGGTTGGCTAATGATCGGACCCTATGGCATTATACAAGGTGCTCCGTTGTGTCCTACTGGACTCCCACATGCCCAAAAGAGGTCCGACGGCGGTAGGGGTAGCAGACATAGCAGCCTAGTCGTCTGGAACCATTTAGGCGATACGCTACAACTCTCCAGCCAAGCTGACATCCTACAGCGCAATATGCGGAAGAAATGAAAGCGCATTCAGGCACTCCGGTCAGTTGACAAGTCCCTGTTGGATGCTACCCAGCTTGGAAGAACTCGTATCGCTTATGGGAATTCTGAAGCTTAGTGCCTTTGCCAGGCGATCAAATCCTTCATTCTACAAGTCCGCAACATATTCGAGTTGATCGGCAAGGTGGGAATCTGCTGAGACGTACTAGTATTGGGAATTACTGCCTCATAGTCGATTATTTCGATCCACGAATCGGAAGATATGTAGGCCAACTCTTGGATACAGAGGGTGATACCAGGGGCACTACTTAAGCTGAGGGATGCGTTGTGTCTCCCTCATCTTTCTCCCATTGACTTGAGCGTCGTGTCATGTTCCAACTCTATGTATTCCTATGCTTTCTGGCAAGCCTCCAGAGTCACGCCGCAACTATTGGCCCAGTTTCTGACCTCGTCATTGCCAATGGCAATGTATCCCCAGACGGGTTCACCAGGACGTCAGTGTTTGCTGCATTTTCGACTTATTTAATCACTGAAGTCATTACAGGGCAGTTCTTGCCTGCGGTACTCATCCCGGGCCCACAATCATGGCTCAGAAGGTGGCATCTACTTTGCATGCCCAAACTCTTGATTGACCTCATGTATATTAAGGGGGATACGTTCAAGATTAACGTCACGAACCAACTAAGTAACGAGTCAATGCTAACGAGTACCAGTATCGTAAGCACCGTGACTGGCTGATAAATGCATGTAGAGCGAACAATGATGTCTATCGCAGCACTGGCATGGACTATTCCAACATCATAGTAACCAAATGGATGGCACAGCATTTGTTACGCAATGTCCGATCATTCCAGGACACTCTTTTTTATATGAGTTCAATGCTGGCGACCAAGTAGGCACCTACTGGTACCACTCTCATTATGGAGTTCGTACTTCGATTCGTTCACGGTGTCAGCAACTGAGTTCAATTCAGGTCCAATACTGTGACGGTCTACGAGGTCCGCTGATCATCTACAATCCAAACGACCCATACCGTTCGTTGTACGATATTGATGACGGTGAGTGATTTCGACGAAATGGAGTTGCGCTTCTCACGTTTGAGTGCAGAGTCTAGCATTATCACGTTGATGGACTGGTAAGAAAGGAAAAGGCTGATGGATCTTTCCCTGTTATTAAATCGGCTTGCTTTGTAGGTATAACCTGCCATCGCCTCAGGTACAGAGACAAGTGATTCCCGACTCGGTGCTTATTAACGGTGTCGGGCGTTATAATGGAGGGCCGGATGTGCCTCTCGCCGTCATCAATGTTCAGCCACGAACACGATATCGTTTCCGCTTACTGAACATGGCGTGCAAGTCCAACTACATTTTCTCGATTGATGGCCATAATCTTACCATAATCGAGGTTGATGGCCAATACGTTGAGCCGCTCGTGGTAGACTTCATTCAGATCTATGCTGCTCAACGATATTCCTTCATTCTTGAGACAAACCAGCCTGTCGACAACTATTGGGTGCATGCCAATCCCGATTCAGGCACAAATGCCACAGCTATCTTACGATATGCAGGCTCTCCCAACGCAGATCCCAAGAACAGGACAATCTTGGACTTGGCAGCTCTAAATGAGACTAGCCTACTCCCCCTATCTCCGCCTTCATCTCGTTTACTGCAGGAACCGGACGTCAAACTCGATCTGATTCTTGGGAAAAATTTGACCAATTTCAACTTCCTCATCAATGGCGTCCAGTACATTTCTCCTAGTATTCCTACCCTACTACAGTTACTGAGCGGTGCTATGACGGCGACGGATCTTGCACCCAACGGCTCCGTATATACTCTACCCCGGAATAAGGTTATCGAAATTACGTTCAATCCTGATAATTCTCCTGGGGGCCCTGTGAGTCCATTTCAAACATCATGTACGTCCTTAATCGACAGAGACTGACATATTTTGACAGCATCCATTCCACTTGCATGGGGTACGTCTTGGCGTGTCATCTACATACACCCGAGGGACTAATAATAAGTGGTTCATAGCACACCTTCGCTGTCATCAGAAGTGCTGGAAGTAGCAGTTATAACTATGTCGACCCCGTCATGCGTGATACCGTGAACACCGGCAACACTGGTGATCGTGTGACTATCCGCTTCATCACCAACAACCCTGGGCCTTGGCTGTTGCATTGGTAAGTGTTGTGTTCATGTCTTTTTAGCTGGAAATGACTTTCGGTCTTTGTGAAGTCATATCGACTGGCATCTATACGCGTGAGTCAGTTGCTCCTTTCACTGAGCCTGGACTCGAATTAATAGGTGCGTAGCGGATTAGCTATAGTATTTGCAGAAGCTCCGGAAGATGTGGCGGCTTCGCAGCCTGTCAATAGTAAGCACCGAGCACTATGAACTTGAGCCAGTCTGACAACCAACAATAGATGCTTCGAAGCAGCTCTGTCCGATATACAATAGCATCCCTCAGCAAAATTTCCCTCTCCCTCCCGTTGATTGATATTTTGGATTTTGACCTATGCTTCCTTTTGCTCCAGAGAATTTTTTTTCGAATGCGATTTATATATTCATGATAAAGTAGGGTAGGACACAGTTGATAGTAAATAGCCCCTATTTTTAATGTGGAAGTTATACTTATTCAAGGTGTAATCAACAGCCGTCCATGCTGAATTCGTTATCAGTACACAACGTGAATTAGCCATAAATACGTTATTCTAGTACAGTTTTCTGAATAGTTGTTCTTTCGTCGTCCACTCGTACAAATACACTGAAATACACCCGTACTGTAGAGGCGTTGGTTGAACCCTCTCGCGAATAAGTTGCCGCGTATCCCTCAAAAACACCAAAACACAGTCAGTTATCTTCTTCAGTGCAAAAAATTGACGGTCTTTTGGGTGGCAGTTTGCAGTCTCGCTTAGACTGCAAATGTGACACGCGACGACTCAGCCACAGCGCCGCCTTCGTCTGTCACCATCACCCCCAAAGCATCCGACACCTCCTGCCATAGATGCCCACCCATCCCGTGGTGCATGACGCTCTTAAGCCGGGGTGTCCATCGCATGCAAGAACCGCGAGACCGAGATTGACTCCTCCGTCCACGTCAGCTCTGGCAATGACTCACCCAAAGGGTGCACGGGGTACTCGATCTCGATGGGCGAAGGACAGACTTCTAGTTTGATGAAACGCGGATTAGGTTGCAGACCTACTTCGTCGTCGTCGGCATTCGTATTATCTGTGAGCGCATCGACCCGCACCGTGACATTTAGGTAGAGTGAGACCTCGCGCAACTCGCGACAGCGCCTGACAAGGATATTCAATGCATACAAGGATACGGGGGTGTTACGCGACCCCAAGTCAAGAATTTGGAAATGGGGACATGTACGAGCGAGCGCGGATATGTCGGCATCGGTGAGTATGATTGAGGTTGCAGGGCCGGGAGAGAGCACGAGAGTGCTAAGGCCTGCAAGACCCTGGTGCGCGAGTAGGGGGCGAAAGTCAAAAGAGGAGGATGGGAGGCATTCGCAACGCCAATAACAGTACTCGCATTTCTCGGTTAGGATGACGTGCTCTAGTTTTGTGTTTGCGTGGATGAGAGATGTGAGTGATTGAGACCAGATGTTGGCTGGGACGCAATGTCCTGCATTGAACTGGATTGTTTTGAGGTTGAGGGATACGATGTTGGAGGAATCGAATTTGAGGATTCGGAAGGTGCGCAGGAAAGATATGAAAAGGTCCAAAGAGTCATCAGATGAGATGTGCAAGTGAATGAGTGTGGCAAAGGGCTGGGGGATGCGAAGAGGTGTGATAGGGATACCTTTGAGACCTAGCTTTAAGGTCAGGGATCGGAGAGATGGCCAGGGTGCAATGATGTTAAGCGTGGTGCTCGAGACATCATGCAAGTGGGATGTCAAAGAAAGCTCTGTAAGACCATCAGAATAGCTGATGAGGAGGGACTCAATTCTTGAGGGATTTTTGTCGGTCATGAAGATGACTCTGCCCTTGATCTCGAGAGCTTTGAGACGGGGAGCAGAGGTAGGTAGTGCAGAGATGATGGCTTTGCGAAATGTTAAGAAAATATCATCTGACGAGAAGTCGAGGGAGAGGATCTCAACTGTGGGTAAGAGGAGTTTGAGAACTGGGATATGGGTCACGGAACAATCGTTCCATGCGAGGGATCGTAGCTTTGGAAAGAGGGGTGTTTTTTTTTGGCACATGCAAGGAGGGAAGGGTATGCAGCCTTGTCTTCCCATAGTTGGGAGAGAATCCGTATGCGGGAAGCGAGAGCCAATGGACGGAATGTATCAGGAAGGAGCATGGAACATTTGTACGAGAACATAAGAGGCTAGAAGTCTTTCAGATTAGAATAAAGAATATCGAGTGCCAAATCGCGAAATGCACGGCAGGTGAGTGCAAGTCGAAAGATAGAACATCGATCTTGAATTTCCGGTGATGGTATGAGATCAGGCAATGAATGTGAGCAGAAACGTGGTCGTTTATCATTGAATACAAAATTAAAAGTCACTTCCAGGATCTCAGTTATGCAAAGACACTGGTGCATGTCAAGAGTGAAGTAGGTGACTTGAGTCGATTTAGATTAGCAACTTCAAAGTGCAATACTTATAGGAAACTCCTGGAAACCTTTGCACAACAGAGCGAAACAAAGCTTACCCTGTTCTTCTGCACTCTCCTCGCCGTCTGGCACAACTGAGGGCATTCTAATATCAATCTGACCCTTGCGTGATGCGTGCAGTTATATTTCTCTGAAAAGTCATCATAACTGTGGATCGTTGATATGGCTTTGCATATGGTTGTTGGTTGGGATGGAAGTTGGAAGTAGCTATATTGTATCTCATCACGGAGCTTGAAGCTTTGCATCGCATTTGTTATGATTGAAACATACATATTATGTTGCATTTGTGTCTTTCTTGACAGTGTGACTGTTTGCCTATGAATCTGCTTATTTCATTATCACTCTTGAAAAATCCAGTGTGCATACACGCCTGCTTGTACGAGACACATCCCACTTATCTCACTAGTCACACCATTTGCTTTTGATTCTCTGAGCTGCGGAGTCTGTAATGCTTGCAGAGGAACCACTTAAGGACCGCAGCCACTAGTATATGTCAAATTGAAGGTGTACACCTGTTCTCTGAACTACTGGTATGCTGTCTATATTCTAGTTATGGTCATAATCCATATGCTGATGAAATACGCCAGCCTCCCAGTCAACCCAAACCACGGAAAAGGTAGAAACAAACGCTTTTTATTGACATCGACGGGACTTCTGCTCCGGCGAACAGCTTAGAGCATCCCAGGGAATCGCCGCCTGCCATTCGTACAGAAGATCAATCTCAGCACGCTTTGGATATCCCACCTCTGTCATCGAGATAAGAAATCAGAATATGTCGACGTGGAATGACAGGGAATGGATATGATTTGCAGCTCGACTCTCGAGGAGGGAATGATCAAGTGTGACAAATGCGATAGGTCACATGCCCGGTCACACATCGTAAACCAGCTCAATTTGTTTCACGACTCCCATGGCCGCGTCAAAACGTCATCGCCATCAGAATCACAAACCCTACAACATTACTGAAGCTGATCTTTGCGGATCTGAATCCGTGTTCATATACATAAAAATTCTCTAGATGATGCCATTCCAGAACATTCAGTTGGTCGCCGAGGCGTTTTCGGCGTCACCCACTGCACAGTGCAGACAAAGCCAGAAAGTGGTCGCATGGAAGCAGCAATGGCCTATCCTGCACGCATAGCCGGAGTAATTTGAAGGAATAGAGCCTCTTTGTGCGTCGAATGTAGCAGTGCCTCACTGCTCAATGTGCCAGAAGGCGAGAAAATTAAGTCAAGGTATGCTGCTAACTCATCGTTGTCTAAGAATGATCATGGTATACTGCTACTTAGATTTCAGATTTTAAATCTCAGATCTGGAGCAAGCACCGACTGAGTCATGACCGACTCTGCTGACGGAACAATGGGCGCTTTTCGTTCTTGTGTGGGTCGTCATTTTTCTACTTTACACTGCGCTCTTGTTACCATCTGGTTGCATGGTTTGCCTATTGTGACTGCTGAGCGCTGAAACTTTTGTTACCTTGACTCTACAGTGGCTGTAGATCCAACATCTACAGTCTGAGTTACAAGATCTTCAAATTTTTCTCGTCTATTTAAGTAACTTCCGCAGATATGCCAACATTGACACCTCTGCAAACGTTTACGTTATCGCGTGCTACGACTAAGGTAAGATATTCACTGTCACTTGACATCTAACCTATGCTTACGTTGTGCAAAGCTGTTTGATAAAAGGTAAATACCCCAGACACCTGCGTTATTGTGTGCTACGACTGAGAGTATCTATTTAGTATAGATCCGCGCGACACTGCTATTGTTGTTATACCCGAATTCTTGTTCGAATACGTAGCAAACACTGAGTTTTGAAACCTATTCAACCACGAGAGGTAATACTCGCACCTGACTGATATTTCTTCTGCACTCGACTGATGATTCCGCCTCACAGTCCTCCATGACGACACTGCCATCCCCACTGGCCGATGTCACGTCTAGAAGTGCAACCGCTGATGTTGCACAGCTTCGCACAGAGATCGATGAAGACCTTGCTGCATTAACTGAGTCTACGCGCATCCTTCGCTTTCGCAGGAACGGTCTAGCTCCCATCTCTGGCCTCCCAAACGAGATTCTCACGGCTATCTTCGAGTACTTAGAAGAAGAAGAGCGTCTCGATGGATATGATAGCGAGGATACCCCTGCTTGCGTAGCAGTTACACACGTCTGTAGACACTGGCGCAATGTGACTCTCGAGTGCCCGACTCTTTGGAGATTCATCAGCTCTTCCTCTCCTTTTTGGCTAGATGTCATGCTTGAGAGGTCGAAGGAAACTCCTTTAATTGTCAGGTACTCCATTCCGATGCCGCTAGACAATTGCTTGGAGAAAGTCCTTTCACACCTACTTCGGATCGAATACCTCGAATTTCGCTCATGGTCATGTGATGTCGTCCGTATGATCTTATCTCAGCTGCACCGATGCTTAAAACATTCAAATTCTGGGCTAGAGATGCCGCGTTTTTTCCAACGGGACTCATATCAGGACCCATCTTCCAAGGACAAGTACCACTACTTCGGGACGTCGAGGTTGACTACTGTGACCTCAGCTGGTCATTATGCACTTTTGGCGGGCTTCGAACTCTACGTGTGGAAGGAACACGCTTGCCGGACCTCCTTTCAGCTCTGCGATGTATGCCTGCCTTGGAGCAACTTACGCTTGACTCAATAGAATGCAACGAAAGAATGATGTTCGATCCAGTGCCACTCACTCGGTTGAGACATATAAAACTATGCGCTACCTCGTTTCGAACTGCTGTCCCTGTCTTCGCACATCTAGCCCTTCCCGTCGACGTCAGGATTTCTCTACGTCTCCTCTCAATTCAAGGGCCTAAAACCTTCTCTGACCTGTTTTCGGCTATATACAAGCACCCTGGTGGACCCAGTCCTGTCTTGCGGTCGCTACGTGCCACCAATCACAATACAAGGTATATGGCTGTCCAGTTTAGCACATCGAGGACGATCAAGAATCCTGATGGCGATGATATACGACTGTCGATCCAATTCTTCTTTGACCTACCCTTCATAGTTCAGCCAGATATCGTACTCGATATATGGCAGATCATCACCCAGCAGGGGCATCAAACCTTCTTTTCTGGCGAGCTCGAATTCATCCATTTTGAGGGGTTCCTGGGGTTCATTTGGGGCTTAACCGCTGCGCTCCGGATTGAGGGTTCGTCAAATGTGACGTTTCCCTCGCTCCGTATTCTGGAGCTTCGAGATATGGTGCTCCAAGATGACGAACTTAAAGACCTTCGGGACATCTTGACAATGCGAACCAGACATAATCTCTGCATACAAGACCTCCGACTCACGCTATGCGATAATTTTACGGTTGATCAGGTGCAGCTTTTTAGGGAAGTGGTTGCGAACATTGATTGCGATCAATATACTCTTATTAATTGTGGTCGGAGTTTGAGAAAGAGGCTGCCCTGATTGCTGCGTAGACGGACGTTTTGATGTATTTTAGAGTACTTCTAACATATGTAAGGACTGAACAGTTGATCCCGCAATTCGCGTAACTCCCATGTGCGTATTCTACCTGAGTTCCATCGCCCAAGCGCTCAGTGTGTTAATGTCAATTCATGTGTTCGTCGTTCTTATCTATATGTCTGCTTGAGTGATCCTTCATGTTTTCGAATGCAGTATACAGACTCGTCTCTTATTGTAATTCATAGTAAACATCCGAAGGTGAACGGTTTGCTTGTTGATGGTAATAACGACGCGGTTTCCTTGCAGGTGTGATGTCCACCAACGAGTGAACCACTGTCTTCCTTCTATCGGCTCTGCCTACAAGACTGTACCCGATAGGTCCCAGTTGCGTCTCGTGCACGCGCAAGCTGGTGGTTGAATGCTACATGCCGCATATTTCAAATTACACAAAACGGAGCCAAAATTTTGCGGAAAAGTGTCAAAAGAGAGTTGTCAATGCTTGACAGATTGGCCAGGTACATCCACAAGTTCTGGATGGGTACGAGAGCGTACTGAGATATTGCAAGGGAAGACCATAGGGGAACTAAAACGATGGAACTGTTAGTGACGGGAAGATGGAATGATACGAGAAAACCAAGTACTGAGTGAGTCCCGTCGTGAATTTAGGGGTGAATTCGATCACTTTTCCCTGGTCATCTTTGGCAGAAGAAAACTCCACCGTGGCCAACATAGTAACAATAGCGGACCACACAGAGGCATCAGCGGTATATCGGCCTGATTAAAGAATGCATTAGCTTTAAACGATAATGAAATAACTCAACCCACCTGGACATCCACGCCGGCCAAAACCGAAAACATATTCAGCAGGGTCGTCGTCTGTCAGCGCATTATTGACGTCCAGGAACCTTTCTGGTATAAAGCTAGATGCTTCGGGGTACCGCTTTTCATCCCGTGAAATGCACCTGCAATGTAACGTCAGTATTTTGAAAGCCAGGCCTAGAGAATCGAGCTGACCACGTGTTGCATATGACAGTTGCTCCTGATGTACAATATCATAAAATATCTGTTCGCTGGACGACAACGGCAGACCTTTTGGAATGAAATAGCCATCGAATATATCGTCACTTGAGGTGGCATGTGGTGTGCCTATAAGATTGTTTTCAGTGAAGGCGTGATCACTCGGTAGGGAAGAATACCAATGGGCAAAATGGGGTGCCATCGCAAAGTTTCACGCAGGACAGATTCAACGTAGGGTAGCGAGGCTCTGTCTTCAAATGTAGGCAAGCGATCCTCTCCAACCACTGAGTCGATCTCCGCTTGTGCGCGTCTTTGAACAGCTGGATACAATACCATGGCGAGAGCAAAAGTCATCAAGGTCGACGTGGTCTGTGAAGAGGTTGAGCAGCAGACAATATGATTCGGATATCTGCTGACCGTCTCATATGAACCTGGATAGATGTCTATCAAGGAACAATATCCCATATAAAGAGTTGACGAACCTATAATAGCAGTAGTAGCTGCTTTCTTTAAAGCAGTCTCGAAGATGGGTTTTGATACTTGATCTGAGTTCTCCATCCGCTGCAAATTGTCTGATACCATTGAAACTTGACCGAGGGACAGGTTTTCGGCCTTAGCAAGCACGCGATCAACATCTAGGACTAAACTAGATCAAATAATATACCTACCATATGCTCCTGCGCATATTGGAACGGCAGGTCCGTCATTTCAGTCATACGACGGGTCGAAACTTGAGAATCGCGTTTTAGCGCGGATCCCCAACACCAGTCAGGTAACCTCAGCACTGCATCAGAGCGTGGAATGTCAAGTCTTTTCTCATAAACGAGAATGAGCTCACGGAAGGGGAAGATTTTAAGTAAGGTTGCTCTCTCTGGGGTTAACATCTCAAGGCCAATAGCCATTGCATTTTCTACGAGTCGAACCAGAGGATCGCCACGAGGGTCAGTCTGGTAGCCGTATACCACTGACATCGCAACTGATGACGAGAATCTACGGACAGGTTGGCAATTATCCGATGTTTACAAACACACCGACTGACGTTGCGAAGTGAGAATGATAATGTTGAGGGTCATCAATTAGGTTGTCGATCATCTCACGAGCCCGCTTGATCTGCGTTGGTCGAAACTTAAATGCAGAGTCGGGACGGAAAGTTTGCTGGAAGAGTCGCCGGCAAAGACGCCATTCGTCACCATAAGCTGTTAATGAAAAGTTGACCGACCAACCAAATCTGCCCGGGCTGGTACTTCATGATGATTAAATGTAAGAATGTTAGAAGAACGTACGGTTCGAGTGTGGCTATGTATGGTCGATCGGAGTAAATGCGAGAACGCTTGTCCATTAAGGCTTCTGCAATCTGCTGAGAATTGACCACCACGACTTCCTGACCTGCTAGAAGTCGCACGAAAACCAAGTCTCCTGATATAATGATTTGCACCACATATGCACCATACTATCTCCCCACATACCGTAGGCAGCACCCCATTCAGTATAAGTCAACCAAGGCTCCTTGGTGTTGATAGATAAGACGTTTCCTAACAGTGGAAGCGGCACTGGGCCAGGAGGAAGGCAAGGTTTATTCTGTCTGTTAACAATGAACCACGCGAAGGCTTTTATGACAACAAAGGATGCGGGGCGAGGATGGCAAGGCGACCATCAACTAAAGGAAGCATGGTCAGAACAATGCGTGGGCAAACACCCAACACATGAAGCGGATATTATAACTGCATGGAGAGCCGCTTACCAAGCACTCTGTACAACTGGTCGTTTTGTAGGCTCGTGATCAGCTTGGCTAGGGTCGGAGTTGTTGACATGGACCTAATATTGCTCAGCGCTCAGCCTTCTTGTGTTGTGATCAAAGTTGGCAACAGGGATAAACATAAATCTTATCGCACGCTTCATACGCATGGCGGACATGTGGAGTTCTGATCTCTGGCTCGGATATCTCTTGTATTTGTATTCTTTCGGCTGCGCACGTCCTCCCTTCCAGTGTGTTTGTATTTCGTTTATCATAGTGTCTAGCTCTAAGCTCGGTAGTCTACTGTTCCGGTTCTGCTATTACACGTTGACGCTTATTGACTGATTATTGTTTGCTGCCAAATCCTGTCCACCATTTCTTCTGAATGAAACTGAGTCAGACTTTTGTTACTTAACAGATTTCTATAAATGCATTCATCTTCATCCTGCGATCTTTCGGTAAATATTGTTATGTTTACCGTTGCCAATCTGTGTTTGTATCCTCGTCATAATCATGCCTTGTATTTCTTGAAGCAAGGTTCCTGGTCTGTTGGCGGATGGCTCTTAGATCATCTTCCAGTGAACCGTCGCCAGTCCGCAACGTCACATCCAAAACATTTGTGAACTTAAGACCATCTTTCATGTATTGAACTCGTCTTAGTAACCGTGATAATCTTACAAGAGTATCTACCTCAGTCATAGTAGGTCGGTGATGTTTACGCAACTTGGATTGGTAGCCCCATCGCAACTCGTGCAATAGGCTCCTTCACATCCGCGTCGACGCCTAAGCCAACGTATGCGGTGTTCGGCTTGTCTTTGACAAAGTCGGGAGGATTGATACCCGCGAGGAACGTCTCTGCCTGTTTCTTGACGTACTCGGTATTCATGGGTGTCTGTGGGACCGCGCCGATGTACATCACTGAAATACATCGGGTTGCATTGGTGTGATCCGTAAACCAAGAAACGCAGAACGTACCTGCCGAATCTTCCTGACCGGTGTGCTCCTTCTCGACGGAGTGCACGACATCCTGTGGATTGTGCTCGCATAAGAAATAATGGAATGCAAGGGAGGGGAAACATACGCAGTGCCAGAAAACCATATCTCCCGGATTGACCTTTGGCACGGACGTCATTGTCTTCTCAAGCCTGAGGTGCGGGTGCAGTTCTGGCGTCGGACGCGGACCAGAGAATCCGTTTGGAAGAATTAAGATACCAGGGAAATCAGGGGTTGAGATGTCTTCCGATAAAGTCAGCCTGAGCTAATGCTGTTCAAAAAAAAATGGACGTACCGAACACCCAATTCTCTGGCTTGAGAATATCCTCCGAGTCGAACGGAACGGTGGGGCGGAAGAATGGGCGGAGAATAGTGTATGCATTTGAGAGGACGAGATCAGGGAACACCCGGAGCGTTCCCTGCGTCGGAGCAGCCTCACTAAAATTATGACCATGTCAGGTCTGCTGTGTGATTGGGATCGAAATTTTGTAGAATACAAACCTTATGGCCAACCAACCTTGGAAGGACCTGAATATAGTCGCCTGGAATAACAAAGATTAGGTAGCTAAAAGGACAAAAGAGATACCTACCTGTCCTGGTCTACCATATAACGAGCTCCGGGCATCCAGACGACCCTCAAGTTCATATGGGTCGTGCGCGCGCCAGTCACCACTGAGAATATCAGCGTAGCATTTACGGAAGCTTTCATCCTCCCAGCGCTCAATTGCACCACCTTGCGTACGCTCAGCTATCTCAATGATGATTAAATTTTGTGACATGGAACGCACCATCAACGTGAGGGGGGAACCTGTCCCATCCTGGGCCAGGGTGGCGAATACGGAATCGGTCGGCATACACAAGGGGAACATTGAGATCAACGCCCTCGAGTGGCTTGCCTGACTTGACATGGTACTGCTTGTTTAGCCATGCAGAAGCCTTGAGGACATTTGGGTGTGCGCGAGCTTGCACTTGTGGACGCGTCCAACTAACAGAGTGACTTGAACATCATTCAAAATGATCGTAAAAACATGCTTACTACAGCATGAAGAATTGCTTGTCTTCCTCAGGGAATCCTGTTTGCCGTATTAATAACGTATTGTGCGGAAAAATTACTCCATACCTTCAACATGGGGATTGGCTTTGACGAAGTCATCAAGGGCAGTCTTCCACGCTCGGGCTTCACTATCATCAACGACATCCTTAATGACGACAGTGCCTCTGCGCCGAATAATATCGACTTCTTCAGTGGAGAGCCTATCGAGGTCCTCATACCGGACTTGGGGGATATACTATGCACTTGGTCAATTTGCATAAAAGCAAGGAGACAAGATGGACGCTCACATCTGGGCCAACTTGCCCAATCTCGGCGGTACGTTTCTCGAGCTCTCCGAGGAGATCCTTCCAAGATTCTGTGAGACGCTTCTCATAGTCGGGCGTAGCCTCGACTATCTGGCGCTTCAAGTCAACAAATCGCTCTGGCCATGGAGTGCTCTGCATTTTTCTGCGGGGAATGTAGAAAGGTACTTGCAATAATGAACTTCCAGTGACCTCGAGCTTATATCCTTTTTGTGATATAGAATGTTCATGCTTATGAAATGATCAGGTGAACCATTTCCGATATTACAGAGATAAAAGGAGTTTCCTCGGTGAATATACGTTTTATGATTGGGTGCGCCGGAGTTGGAGGATGAGTGGTAAGGGGCACGGGATTACAGGACACTATCGGGGTAAGAACAAGACGGCCCGGTAGGATTTAGATTAGTCCGATAACAAGGTGTTGCATTTTACGGTGCATGGAGTGCAGTGTATGTATCACAATGTATACAACATTAGACACGGGCACCGAGCAGAAGCGCAGGCGCTTGCAGACCACATGTCTTGTACGCGGGCGAATTTTCTTAATCCTATAGGTTAAGCATTCGCTTAATAAGTATCTGGGAATTTTCAAGTCTAATTTCATAACATAAGAATACCTTACTGTTCACTTGTTGAGGACGCAGAGAGAACGAAGACGAAGGACTACAAACTCAGTCAGCTAGAAGCTTAATGGAAAGCCGAACTCCGACTCATGTACAGCACCACGTGATCAATATGCATACTTATGTTTGGCATTGTTTGACTCAATGCTCACCAAATTCTTTCCAGTGCACCTCCGATCGACTCTACTTCGACGTTGTCGCCATCGGCCTCAACAGCGAGCTTGACTTTTCTCAGCAGTTTGCTTCCTTTGCTTTAAAATCGATCTCATGCTTGTGAGCCTAATTTTCTGACTTGAAGTTCTGTATCATTGACACGGATCGTGTTTTTGATCTAGCCATAACTTTGAAATCGTGTTCGATTAATGTCGTCTGGAGTTATCCAATATCCATCGATAAACCCACAAAACAGCTTTTTAAGGTGTCCCTCTCCGTAAATTCCATAGGCCAATCACTCATATAACCTGCAAGTTGCAGCATGTTTGAAGATGATGAAGACTCTCTCTTTGGCTCGCCGCCTCCGTCTCCAGTTAGAGGTAGGTCACCGGCGTTTCCCGCTAAAGCAGCCCAAGAGAGGGGCACAGGCATAACACAAAATGTGGGGGCCATTGCACTTCCTGGTTCCCATATGTCATGTTCTGAACTACCAGCCGACCTATTAGCCTTGCCGTTCGGCGGCTTTAGCACTCGCGAGCCTCCCTCACATGCGCTGCCAGTGAAAAGCACCTTGCAAGCGCAACCGACGCGATCGCCTCATGTTACCTCGTCGGTACCTTTTTCGACATCTCGCCCCTCTTCGAGGGCCACGGGAAAACGGAAAGCAACGAAATCACAATCAGCAACACCCCGTCCTGCACCCCCGCCTATACCGTTCCCTGGCCCAGATGAACCACTACCTTCTAATTTCTTGCGAAACCAGGAAGCATTATTGGGCATAGCTGGCCTCGTCGGAAACGTGAAGCCAACCAGCCTTCCACAACGAACAATCCGCGGGTCTACGCCTTCTAACCCCATTGTCATTGAGGAATCTGATCTGGCGCACCTGCCTCACGTCGATTCTAGTCAGCTCACCTCAGTCAATGGAGAAGATGCCATTGCCTCCCTCATCAGACAGAAAAATATATTTCCCGTGTTATCAAGCATCGTGAAACTCCTGGGCAACTCTCCAGCTGCGTCCACACAATCACTATCTACTAATGATCATGCATCTCCGCGCCCATGCAGTGAGCCCGCAACGACTGCTCCACCCCCACTGAAACGTCGCAAACTCACAAGCGTCCCTGCTGGTGCAGTGGAGTGGGACGTGCCCTACCCATTTCCTGAAGGTGAGGGCCCTAAGGCATATCACGCTACATGGGAGCGGGAGCGTGCGAGGCATCTAATTACGCAGCTTGTGGAGTCGATCAAGGGTGCTTTCGAGTCATCTCCACTTGATGACGATCAGGTTCCACCATCTTCTTCTTCGCAGTCATCCACGAGCGTCTCTAAACCCTCCAGGCATACCTCGTCACCTTCTCCTGTATCACCTACAACTACCAATACCTTTCAACATATAATTCCAGACTGCACCATTGATCCTGCACTCTTGCTATTTCCGTTCCACCATCAGTCACATATAATGCATCTTCCCCGGTTCCCGCACTCGTTCATTCTCCGGTTACATCTACCGATTCGTCTGATGGGGCTCTCACCCCGCCTGCATATAATGATCAAGGTGCATTGTCTCGAGGTAGTTGGATGGCTGAATATGCTCACCTGTTTCACGCGAATGGCGTAGATTCAGTCGCTGCTGCCAAAATGTTGTTGCAGTTCGCCACAAGACCTATTGTACCTTCGCCTCCTCCCTCACACACAGACATTTCGCCGGCAGTACTCACGCCATATCCTCAAACTACCCCATCCTGTTTCTCGCCATTGACGCACCTGCAGCCAGTCTCTCCTCAAATATCTCGCTCGCCGTCTGTCCAATCTATGCACAAATCGACTCCTTCCGTTCCTCGCCGTGCCGGCTTCAAGGCGGTTCATAAAGAAGATATCCTCAGCGCGCACGGGAACGTCGCCGGCAGATCGTTGGAGAGATCGAGCGGGCAAAGGTGGAGTTATGGGAGACGAGTATTGAGGGAGGGGTGTTGGGGCATCTGATGAAGGATCCAACACTGTCTTGATACAGTTTACTTACGAGATCGACGTGTATTGCATGCGGTGGTAGCTCAGCCCGTTCCCAGAGCCATGCATTTACTGTTTTAATGCTATACAGTATATAACTACCACTACGGCACCGCTCCTGAATTTGCATTGAATTGAAAACTTGTTGAGTGAAGAGTAGACAGCCTTTGTGCCACGTGATCCCGACGCGTCGCGTTCGAACTTCAGGGACGTAAACATATCTCAACAAAGGTTCTGCACACCTTCAGACGTGCTGCCTGTGGGTATACACGACCATCACCACTACAAGATCGCAATGGCGCCCGCTCGCAATGCCCAGCTTGATCAAGAAAAAGAAGAATATCGTGCTAGCATTGCCGAGGCCCTCCAGGAAGACGAAGACCCACTAGCTGCCTACGACGATTTTGTGAAATGGACTGCACAGCAGTATTCTGCAGATGATGTGACATCTGGTCTCATCGAGCTACTGGAGGAGACCACCAGACGGTTCAAAGATGATCTGAGGTACAAGGGCGATCTCAGATATCTGAAGCTCTGGTCGGCATATGCGAAGCAAGTCGAGAGGCCGACTATAATTTACTCATATCTCGTAAAGCACGACATTGGGTGTGTATATGCGCTACTTTATGAGGAGTATGCTGGGGCACTGGAAAAGGAGGGAAGGTGAGTGGCTTGTATACCTTCACGCTAAGCGCGGGTTGGGTGAACCATGATCCAGACACACTGAAGCTGACAAGGTTTTCCGTATCGGGATCACGCGTAACGCTCGTCCAATCGAGAGGCTGAAGAAACGTTATCGCGATTTCCAAGGAAGCCCTTCGTCGTCTAAACCCACACCCATCACCTTCCGACCGAGTGGGTCCCAAGAAATCGATGCCCTCCGCCGTAATCCCCTCAAGAACCATAATCCACCACCTGCTTCGTCCTCAAGTACTTCGAAACCATCATCATCCTCTAAATCTAGTACTCCGCAAGCCTCTGCATCGAGCCCTAGAGCTCATAGCCGCTATGCTCCGATGCTCGCTCCTCCAGTCCCAGGGAGGCGCCCAGAGAAACTGCGCTTCAATCTCTCATTGCTTTTTACTGCAGACGGCGTTGAATACAGCGCCGCTGAAGTGCGCGCCCGCTCCATAGGACTTCTCAACAAGAAGTGGGGTTCCCCCCCACCTTCAGAGTCACGCGAGACCATCCGAGTGAACTTCAACGATGACGGTACACGGAGCACACAGAATATGGGGTACGGGAAGCGCAAGAGCATTGTGACTTTAGGAGAGCCAACAGTCACGATCAATACGAAAGAGGCGCTGGCAGATGTGTTTGGAATGTATAACTCCCCGGATAAGACTGTGAAACGGATGATGCCTGGGAGCAAGCATGCGCCGGTAAAGAGGATTGAACCCATGACAGCTGCAGTAAGACAGTCACCACCTGTTGTCCAAGTGGAGGATGAGAATGCTAAGACACCGGGTAAGCGGAAATTCACTTTATCCTTGGGGCTCATTTGTATTTCTATGCATGAAAGGTGCATTCAAACCCTTCGTTGACGAGAACGCGAACCGCAAGGAGAATAGCACCCCTGCGGTAAAGGTGCTAAAAAAACACTGTTTTCCTTCATTCAACGCTAAATCTGCCAGTAGTTCAAACCCTTCGTGGATGAACCCCCAAAACAATCATTTGTTACTCCTGACATGGGTCGGCGCGCTCTCACAACGAAGGACAGCACTCCTGCTACCTCTTTTAAACCTCCCGCCACCCTCAAAGCCATCTCCGAAGAAAATTCGGGGCGAGAAAACGAGAACGTCAATGTCAAAGCCAGTGTATTCTCGCGCGTCTTCACTCCCGTGTCTCAGAAAGAACCCCTCACCCGACCCAACTCACAGGGGGCGAAAGCTAGCCCTCTGAGTGAGAACGCAAGCATCTTTCAGCCTCCTGGTTCTAAACCGGAGGCAGCACCATTCGTTGCATTCGTCGACTCCAAAACGCCTTTCAAGGTCTTCACTCGTCCGCCATCATCGCATGATGGTAGTGAGAACGCAGGACACGTTTTCACCCCGAAACCGAGCACGTTTAAGGCGTTTGTGGATACTAGTACTGTTGCCACGTCCTGAGAACCAAGCAGAACGTGAGGCTCCTCAAGCACCAAGGACGCCGGCGTCCGAGATCTACACCGATGAATCCAGTGATCCCGCAGACGACCCTCAGCAGAACTTCTCTTCGAGCGACGAGCCTTTTGAGGATGGGTATATTGAGGGAGAACCTGATGTACCCTTCTCCTCATCTTCAAGCATCAGCGATCAGTTCGAAGAAGAATACGAGGAAGAGCAACCACAACCTCTTGGAGGTCGCTTCGGTAGGATAAACGTAATGACGCCCATTACAGAACGTACCTTCGAGTTTAGTACTCGCGGATTCCCCACGCCGCATGAGAATGGCGCAGTCGAGGCCGCAGAACGACTCGCTGCAGAGCTGAGAGAGGAAGACGAACGTGAACGAGGATATGTGCACGACGGGGAGGAATCGGACTCATCGTTCGCTTCTTACGACCGTCCAGGATCGGTTCCGCAATATCAGCCAGCAGAGCTGGAAGTGATCGAAGAGCGCACAGGAACGCTCAGTCTCTCAGACGCTCTGGCGGTAGTGTCTGCCTTCAGACCATCGAACCCCTGCAATCCTTTCGACCCCGCAATTATGTCCACGCTGCTTTCCCTCTTACCTGGAGACGAAGATTTTCACGACCTGCGAGGGCAGGACTCAGGCATGCTCGAGGGTCTACAGAAGTTCGCAGCCAAGAAGAGCAGGCGAGGGAGTGGTTCAAGCTCCAAGGGGTTCGATGACGATGTGTTTATGGTCACCCTGGAAGGAAAGAGACTGAAAGTAGTGGGTAAATTGGGCGAAGGCGGCTTTGGAGTAGTATTTACAGCTCGAGACGTTTCGTCCAAGAACGAAGATGACGAGGACGAGGACTTGGATGAAGACGATGAGGAGGAGGGATCTTCGATGCTTGCTCTGAAAGTCGTGAAGCCTCGAAACCTATGGGAATTTCACGTCCTACGCAGAATCCACCGCACGCTCCCTGAACCACTCCGTCGTTCCCTCATCTTACCGTATGCTCTCTACGCGTATCGCGACGAAAGCCACCTCCTTATGCAGCTATGCCCGCAAGGCACCCTGCTCGACATCGTCAACCGTGCTGGCACTGCTGGCATCTCGCAGCAAGGCGCGTGTCTTGATGAGCTCCTCGTCATGTTTTTCACGATCGAGATCATGCGCTTCCTTGAAGGAATGCACAGCGCAGGGTTCATCCACGGCGATCTCAAGATTGACAACTGCCTCCTACGCCTCGAAGACGTTCCAGGCGGTGCGTCTTCCCTCTCCAGTATATACCAGCCCTCGGGTGAAGGTGGCTGGAAATACAAGGGCATCAAAGTCATCGATTTCGGGCGAACGCTCGACACGTCCCTCTTTCCTCAAAACCAACAGTTCGTTAGTGACTGGCCAACAGATGCACGAGACTGTTTTGAGCTAAGGGAGCATCGACCCTGGACGTATCAGACTGATTACTTTGGTCTCGCTGGCATCATCTACTGCATGCTGTTTGGCAAATACATCGAAACTTCATCCATCACCTCTCAATCCCCTTACAAGGTCACGACGCCGTTCAAGCGCTACTGGCAGAATGACTTATGGACGAGGTTATTCGATCTCTTGCTCAATCCTTGCCTCGTGCGCCCGGATGGCAAATTGCCTCTGTGCGAGGAGCTCAGTGATATAAGACATGAAATGGAGGGTTGGCTGCAGCACCACTGCAACCGGAGTAGTAACACGCTCAAGGGACTACTAAAAAAGATCGAGCTTTCGGTGTACACTGGGTAAATGAAACCTTACTTTACCTATAATTCATATGTTCATAGTTCAGCTATTTGCTCACGTTCTGTATACACACCCTGACAACATCTCCCTCGGGTACTCAGACTTAGTTCTCGGTCCACACCATCAATTAATGCCAGAGATTGATAGCTACAACATGCGCCCAGAGGACATCTAGGCTATGAAACACAACAACAATGACACAATTGGGTGAAGACAGCGAACAACAGATAACGAGAAGAAAAGATGCGGATACCATGCTACCCATCGCTCGATCATGCATGGCCCACACCACCCATCTGTGGAGGAGCCGGACCAGCTTCGTATGGATGGGGAGGACCATTCGGTCCTGCAGGTGGCATCATCATAGGGTAAGGGACGGCGTGTTGTACTGTAAGAAGGAAAGGAATAATCGTCAATGACAGTAAATTTGGGATTAGGTCAGCACGCACGTTGTGGGCTTTGATGGTAGTATGCGTGTGCGTGAGAGGGGATTGGAGTAGGTGGCATGGATGGACGTGGGCCAGCACCGTTGGGTGGGGGAGGGTACGTGCCAGGTGGAGGTTGCATGTATGGTGGCGCTACGACGGAGAGTCAGCCAAAAGTCAGAGAAACCAAGATGGATACACACGAGGCATCTGAGGCATAGGCGATGCAGCATACATGGCTGTGAGGTATCATGAGCTATGTGGCCCATGTAAACTTGGAACCAAAACTCACGTTGGCCGTTCGGTGGCATGCCTGGTGGGTACGCCATTGGTTGCATGAATGGTGTTGATACATATGCACCAGGTGGTGGTGGAGCCATACCAGGCATCATGGGCTGAGCGAGATTTGAGAAAGATTCCATGCGGGAAATAAAGACATGCACACCTGTCCAGGGTAGTATGGGTAGTAATAAACACGTTGTTCGCCGCTGTCTTCGTATACAGGGTGTGAGACGGGTGGTGGACCGGGTGGCGCGATGTGGACGGGTTGCTGAGGCGATTGGTGTTGCAGGGGAGGGAACATATGCATGTAGCGCTTGCCACTATAAGGCCAGATAGCAGCTGCGGCGAGCCATCAGATTCTATCCCCAGCAAGAGAGTGCAGCACGTACTAATTTGGTTCGCTTCCACAACTTTGTTATGCTTGAATGGGTTGAAATCGTCCTTGATATGAACCGCTCCTTTCTTCATAATCTTGGTGCCAAAGAATGGGTTGGGAGTGGGAGGTGACTGAGGGAGCTGGGTTAATCAATATTCACAGGTCAGATGATTGATTTACCGATTCAGCAGGCTTGGCCTTCGGTGACGCAGAGGCTGACGTAGAACTCGGAATCGGAGACGTAGGACCCTAATCACACAGACCAGTTAGTAACACAGGATCCGAAATCCAGTAGTATATTACAGGAGGGATAGTATTTGCCTTTAGATTGGGCCTGAACGACGAGGCGTTCGCGTTGAGCCTGTTTGCAGTGGTGGTGGGCGATGTGGGCACGGCAGCGCCGTTCGTGTGGGTCGCCGGGGCAGGCAATGGCGTGGTTGAGCGCTTCGCACCTTTGAACGGAGGGATGGGCTGTATGTACATATTGACCGCGTTCTTCTTGCTGAGCTCACTGGGCTTCGTAGCAACGGGTTTGACGACAGAGGCGGAGGTACCAGCGACAGGCGCCTTTGGGATGGCGGGCGGAACAGGAGTAGGCTTCGCGGTAGCAGGAACGATCTTGTTAGAGGTGGAGGTCGGCATACGAGACGCGCTAGGGGAGGTGTTGAGAGTAGCGGTGATGCCGATGGCCCGAGCGGTGGTCGAGGCAGCGTCCACCGAGGCCTTCTCCCGAATCTGTCGCTGTTTCTCTTCATCCTTGGCAAGAATAGGAACCAAATCATCCGGAATGGGCTTGTTCAACTAGATAGAACTGAATAATTGAAACCAGTAATGGAGAGACACCACGGACCTTGAATGTTTGGCTGAACTTCAGCAGCTCAGCCTTCCGTTTGTCCATCTCACTCTTGACGAGCGCCTGCTTCTTTTGCGTCAAGCGCTGTCTCTCATTCGTGACAAAGTCACGGAACGCCGGCAATGGATCCGCCGGGGGCTATGATCAACCACAGCAGAGGAATGATCGTCAGCAATCCATCAGTCTCGACCAATCAAGGGTAAAACATTGCAGCACAGCAATTCGAATTGAAACAGATAGATCAAGATCGGAGGGATTTGCATACCTTATTAGAAGCCGATGATGTTGATGGTGTAGGAGAAGGGGACTTGACAGCAAGAGGCGCCACGTCCTTTGCAGCAACAGGGGCACCGTCGGGGCCATTGACAGATACTTTGGGAACATCTTTTGGAGGAGGGCTTGTTCCCGAGGTTGGTCCAGTGGTCTGTAGTCTGCGAGCGCCTGGCGGGACGTATGCATTCTGCCCTCGGACAACAGCACCGAATCTAGAAGCAAGGCCATCATCAGACAAATGCAGACCTGACACCAAACGAACGCACTTGTCTTCCTCGTTCAAACCGCTATCATCAACATTCAAATTCCTTTCCTCTGCTACATGAGGATTGTTTATGGCACCCTAGCAGAAAAATTAGCCTATGTTAAAATAATCCTAAAACACCGCAAACATACGTTTAATATTTCACTAGCAATGCGCTGAGCCTTGCGCTCCCTCTCTTTATAATCAGCAGCCGTCCGATCCAACTTAGTGGTGTAAACCTCCTCGTCAAAAGTAGTCGTGACGCCAAACTTTTGTTCATTAGCCGCGAATTGATCCCAAGATACGTTAGCGCCCGAGCCCGGACCAAAGGTAACTTCATCGCCGAGGCCCATACCCGCTAAAGGCGGAGAACTCGCAGCAGCAGTTGCAACTGGCTGCCATGCTTGGAGTTCCCGTTCACGGACTGACTTGTTCTTGCTGATATCTGCATCTGTTCGAAAAGCTATTGCACAGCAAGTATGAAGATCAGCATCAAGGATTCAGGGTGGGATCAGCTTCCTGTGGTAGAGCAAGAAGCTGATGTGATATACTCACAGTCGCCATTTGGAACCGGTATCTTGGCGTCAGCGGGGCCAGACTGCCAAGTGTCGATGTTAGTGGAAGGAATGAAGAATGACTCCTTAAGTGGTGCGCCAGGCTTTGAAATCTCCTTGACGTCCTTGAGGGTGATGCCAGCTGTATCACCCTCACTAGCAGTAGATGAAATGACACCCTCATACCGCTGAGCAGTTTTGGTGGTCAGGGTGATAGTTGTACCCTAAAAATATAACTGTTGGTAGACAAATTCGTGGGGGTGCGAGAAGAATGGAAACACACAATAAGACCAGAAAGCATATGAAGAGGACGGTCCTGAGTTGGGTCGTGAATACGAGAGCCATTAGTCTGAGCACCTAGCGGAGGGAAGCCCCCCTGATTAGCTGGAGGAAGACGAGCCGCATTGTTCGTAGGTGATAACGTAGAATTTGGCCTCGCGCCAGTCTGCCAAGCAGGGCGACTGAATGGAGCAAGGTTAATGTATGCATTGGCCTATAGTGATAGGACTTACCGAGGAGGATCTGCCATTCCCTTTCCTCTTGGTTTAGGCTGGCGAGCGGTAGTTGCCATTTGTGAATCCGTTGAAAAAGCAATGAAATAAAGTGAACAAAGTAATGAAATGTAGCAGACAGATAGGCTACGACGAGGACGCGACTAAAAGCCGCTTGCCCGCTGAGTTGAAACCTAAGCTTGAGCTCTGCTTGTTTTTGTTTAGAAAAGAAAAGAGAAAGAAGAGAATATTTGCCTGCTGTCTGAAAGCTGGCGCTATAGAAGAAAAAACAAGCTAGCCAGAGGCTTCAACGTCGGAAACGGCGTCGACGGTGGGTCGTCAGTCAGTTCAAGAGTCAATATCCTTGAAACCCAATACACCCGCGGGAAATATCAAAATCATGTTCCCCGGATACCCTAATCTTGTAAAATTATACAACATCTTAAAACCACTTCAACTGTGAATGGACCCTGCCATACCACAGCTTCCTCTGTTCCTTCAGTCAACCATCCAATTCCGTCTGGAAACACTCATTTCTCCTCGATGATGATCTCTCCCGGCTTCAACACAGCATACCCGGAGTTTGAATATCGCTTCCGGGGTCCTTACAACGAGTCGCAGGCTTCATGCACACAACGCGCTGCACCATACTTGAGTCCACTCCGGCTCGCAGAGCGGAACCATTTTGATCTATCGTGACGCGATCACTTTTTGGACATGACGTGTCAAACGTTTATTCACGAGAATAGTGAGCGAGCTCGGAAACATCCACAGAGAGGAGAAATCGCACCGGTCGAGAATGATAAAATGAATTGAATTGTTACAGCTCACCCAGCGGGCCGTGTCGTGTGATACCCGGGGGCTGTCCAGAACACAACGAACACCGAGGGGTATTGGAAAACGAGAGGGATCCGCAGCTTGGGCTCTAGGGTATATGTGACAGTATTCCATGGCCACTATCCCTGACCGAATAGCGTGTGACGGAACTGCAGGGAGAGGTAATCTAAAAAAGGCCGCCAGTGGATTGAAGCTCCTGGTCATCTGGCAAGCTCAGAGCGAGCATCCAAAGTCCTGGAGAGATAGCTGCCTAGTCTATGTTAAAATGACCAAGGAGATCAGTGATCCAAAGTGACCTTCTAATAGAAGGGATGAGTACACCATAAGCGACCGCTTGGAAACAGTGTCCCAGGATAAAGAGACACGCCGTAATGGCACAAGCATATATAGAACTTGAATTGCTTAAACGAGACTTCGAATTGACCTCATGGCCTGAGGAAGGCGCAGAAGACGCGAAGCTGGTTACGGACGTTCATGGGTCTCGCTAAAGTGGTATGCACGTTGCTTGTATTGAAACCAAGGGCTGGGTTTCCAATTCATAGCCAATTGTTGGTTCGGAAGCGAAAGATACGGTTGGACAGAGAGTCCCAGTCGCAGGATCTTCTATGACACAAGAAGGAGCTGCCAGTGGAGTACACCGCCGCTACGCCATTTCCCGTATAAACGCAAACTGTGATCAGAATAAGGAGCACATAGAATGTGGCTTCTAAGAATCACGTGAAGGAAGGTGACGGTGCGGCCTGGGACTTCTTCCATGATGTATTTTAACTTTGAAAAGAACGACTCGGAGCCCGACCGATGATATCGTTAGCCGGGAAACTCGCAGACTTATGTTTTAGCGTGCCAGCCTGCCAGTAACGCATGTACTTCTAAGAGTGTTTGCGTTCACGTCATGGCGCAGGAATGGGATATATCCCGTTTCCGTGTCGTACCCGAAAGTGTTTGTCGCCGAGGAACATATCGCAGGAGGAAGAGCGGTCCGATGAGATACGCTGAACGGAATGGGTAGAACAAATTCCTGTTACCGTTAGGCATACGCCATGGACTTCGAGCGGCGGTTGCCACGTCTTCATGGACGTTCGCTACTCGTGATCGGCGCGTCAAGTTTAAGGAAATAGACTTTCTATTGGATTGTGGAGGAAAATGTACCGGTCGGTGGACGTGGATGAATCGTTGAATGACATACATGCCCCGGGAGCAGACAGTTTGGGGAAGTCTTGGCATGATCGTGACGCGTCGCAGACGGCCAGGGACGGCCGGTGACGAGATCTCAGCGCGTCGGAGCTTGTCAGAGCCAGCGTCATGATGATTGCACTCGCCACGTATACTATTGGCCAAGTATCCGACAATGAAGAATCAGTTCACGTTCCGGATGAGGTATCCAGGGGCGTGCGACATCGATGCGATTATCAGCTTGAAACATATTCTATCCCCCTGGCCCAAATTTTGCAATCATCAACACTCTATTCTTGATCCAAGCTATTACAGTTACCCGAACCCCATGATCTTGAATCGTATGGCTACCGAATCACGCTGGCGACCTCTCGCTAATCCAACCGAACCCCCGATATCCCAATCCGTTGCAACTCAACTCGCAAGAAGCTCTCCTTGGAAGAACTTATTCAAACTTGCCCAAAAATCTGCCAGTGTAAGCATATGACGATCGTCAATTTCGTAGCCGAACGGTCAAACTCGGGCAGATCGTTGATCGATTGACACCTTGCTACGTCGCGTTGCATCAGGCGCTTGATTCAGCCCAGTATTGATTCCTAGTAGGTGCCTCTTCCCTCATTTCTGAGCCTGGAATCACCTGGAATGGCAGTTTTCGCCTCATGGGTTCACCCTGCCAATAAAAGGGCCCCTCCAACTTTCCCTCTTTTCCATCCCTCAACTTCCTCCGCTCACAGTCATGTCGTCCTCAAAAATTCTTCTCAGTGACATTGCCCCAAGACCTCGCTGGATGACCTCTTGGGAAAGGCTCAAACACAAGGAGCTACACTGGCTCGTGGAAGTCGTTGCAGAAATGGTATGTCCTGGCTGCGGCCCTTCATCACATCTTCTCACTGGCATGCCTCGCGTAGATGGGGGTCTTTCTTTACGTCTATGCCGGTCTGTTCTTTGTCTACTAGTCCTCCGCTCCCCCACTCACCATCCCCATTTGGTATTCAGGCCTGGGAGCCACCGCTGCGTTTGTTGTAGGAACTATCGGAGGGAACGATGGAATAGGATGTCAGTCGATACTTTCTTCTTCACAATTTTGTTCACGACCACCCCACAGCGTTGTTTACTGTTGGCTTCGCCTACGCCATCGGTGTCGTATTTGCCATCTCGCTTTGCGCTGCGACCTCAGGAGGCCACTTCAATCCAGCCGTCACAATCTCATCTGTTATCTACCGAGACTTTCCCAAGCGCAAAGCAGTCAGGTTCGTGATAATCACCATATCCTTCAACGTCGCTGATCTATTTCTCAGATATATCATTGCCCAGGTTCTGGCAGGTTACATCACCTGTTTGATCGTCTATGTCCAATGGAAAGATCTGCTTGTGGTACGTAGAATACCAAGATATGCTCAATATTCCGCGATCTCACTCTCCCAAGGGTGCGGAGAAAATTCTGATTGAAAAAGGCTTGTACGACAGCGTGATGTTCTCCAGCGGTGGGCCAGCTGGTGTGTTCGGTTTATACGTCGCCCCTGGGATGAACCTGGCTCGCGTGTTTATGAATGAATTCGTCACTGTGAGTATACTTATTTATATCCCACTTTGGGCCGAATACGGATCTTATCTAACCGTCGCTTCGTAGGACTTCCTCATCGGTTTGGTCATTTGGGGCACTCTTGACCCCACGAACCAGATGGTCCCACCAGCAGCCGCACCTTGGCTCGTCGGGATGGCATAGTACGTATCATGACTCTGTCATCGCTTAATATTAATGTTCTCCTCAGCGGTCTTGCAGTCTGGGGGTACTCACCTACCGCAAGTAAGCCCCGCACCACACGTTCTCATTTTTTCTTGATCTGACTTTCCGGTCCAGTCGCTGCCAATACTGCCCGTGACGTCGGTGGACGCCTCATGGTCATAACCATCTGGGGACTGAAAGCCTCAGGAGGAAGATATGCGGCCATCGCCGCCCTGACGAATATCCCAGCCACAGTTTTCGCCGCTACGGTCTATGAACTGTTTTTGGGATCTGCCACGCGCAGTACGTATCCTTTCTTCATATATCACGCAGTGCTGACAGCTTGTCCTGCTACAGCACTTACAGCGCACCACATCCATTTCCTTCGCGCTCACAAACAGTACTACGAGGACAACAAACTCGCTCCGTATGGGTACCTTGAAGCACTTAACCCACGATGCGGCCAATCGGAATCATTCGAGTCAGGCATTGGGGAAAAAGTGCGAGACAGTCGGATCGAGACTGTCTCTCAAGCTTGAAGACTGTGTTTAATGAATGTGCAACGAGGCATCGCTCGTACGTACTAAGGCGTACGCGATGATGCCCTCGTTTTGTCCAATGATCAAATTTCGAAGTGTTAGCCAAGCATCCCAATATTCGATAGTACTCAATATACACCGCCTAATCTATGATGTTGGCCGTGAAAGGTCTGGGAATTCATTTTCAGCGATATTTGGATTTCAGATGCAGGTGCAACACACTGCACGATCGGGCATGCAATGAAACTGCCGAATCCTGCGCCTGTCAGCAAGTTCGTGCCCGCAGTGCGTACATCAAGTTAACGCCTGGCATGTCTATAATTTGTTGAGCCGAGTGACAGTGTTATAGCGAGCTGTGGCAGGAGAACTACAATTGCACCAGTATACCAGATACCATAGAATACAACAAATACTAATAAAGTTAGCCAATCATAATTATGGATAGTTTGGTTCACCTCTCTGTACCGAGTGCAAAATATAAAACAGGATCTCGAACAAAGAAGGAATCCCGGTCTACAGCTTCGGACTCGTAGAAGGCTCATCCGAAACTTTAACAACTCTATATCGCCGTATCAGCCTTTAGTGCATAACGAGGGAAACACCAAAAACACGCACAACTTTCCCACATTTGCCCCAGAGAAGAGCATAGGCAGCGCACTCGGAGCATTCTGCAGACCATCGACGATGTGGAATTTGCTTTTGATCGATCCATCAGCAAGTCCGGCTGCTATCTCCTTGACGGCCACCGGATATTGCTCGGCATAATCGAAACTATGAAGGAAGTCAGTAATATAGTGAGATAGGCCCCCACCCGCACGTACACGACGAAACCTTGCATCTTGGCGCGTTGCGCGATTAGCGTGAGATACCCCTTGAGACCTTTGGGTTGTGGATCGTCTAGTACACAAATGGTGAGCCTCTAAACGTATAGGTTTCGTGAAAACACTCACTATAAGCAGATATACCCCCTGCATTTGCGCATCAGTACAAGTCTTTGCAGCTGTAGAAATGATGTCACGGACCACACAAAACAATCCTCGCATTTTGATTCAACCTTGAGAGCGCTAATTCGAGTACCTCGCCCCCAACGTTGTCAAAGTACACGTCCAAATACCCAACAGCCTTTGCGAAATCCTCACGGAAAGTAGGGCTCTTGTAGTTGAGCGCTTTGTCTACGCCCAAGTCGCCCTCGAGCCAGGCACATTTGTCAATTGTACCTGCAATGCCAATCACGCGTGCGCCGGCCCGCTTTCCGAGCTGGCAGACGAGGGCGCCGACTGCACCAGCAGCACCGGATACGACTAGTGTTTCACCGGTTTTCAGCTGGCCGACATCGTGAAGGCCCTGTAACTTTATCAGTATACTGCGACATGGCGGCAGGAGCGGAACGGACAAAGTATGCAGTCATGCCTGTTAGTAGACGTCAGACGCGCTAGCACATATGCAAAATGAGAAATCAGACCTGTCATGCCCAGAGTGTTCAAAAAGTCGATGGACGTCGATCCCGGAGGTGGCCTGTGATTCATGATATAAAGACAACATACCGATGCAGAAAAGAATCTTACGAGATCTTCTCCAATGACTTGTCATCCATAACTGCATACTCTGTCCATCCTGAGCATAACATGAGAACGAGGCTGGGAGAAAAGAACTGTTCGCGTAGACGCACCAAACATTCCAGAAACTAGGTCTCCCTTCTGGAACTTGCTCCCCTCGCCCACACTCACTACGACACCAAGTCCGCCCGAGCGCATCACTTGCCCGATTTTCACTGGAGGGAGGTAGCTTCGCCCGTCTCTGATCCATCCACGCATGGCAGGGTCCAGTGAAAGGTACGTGACTTGGACTAGAGCTTGACTCTTGCCGACATGGAGTTCATCGAACGCCCTCGTCTTGGACTCAAACGTATCTGGGAGAATGTCTGCGACGGGGCGCTCGCGAAGGACGATCTGGCTAAAGGTACTGGGAGACATGGTAAGCTGTTGATTAAGTTGCGTATCAACGCGTCCTTATATAAATCAGCCCACATGACATATCAGTATCCGAATCCCGGCTCGCTCATGATATGATAAGTCAGCTCATGAGAATCACGGTATTCCACGGTATTCCGACCGCGCGCCGGGGTACAGTACATGTCACCTCGCTCACAGTACCCCTAAGACTTCCAAAGTACGTTGCAACGTCAGATACACAGTACATAAATTAGTAACACAACATGTCCATGTGAATGATTGATTCGTCGCGAGAGAATGCTGTAACCTCCTGTAGCGTACGCGGTGCCTGCGTTTGAACTATCAGACAGCTCAGTAATCACAGTACTTACTTAGTCATGAGCGGTGAACCTTTGGGGCGGGAAGAAGGCCTAATAGTCCGAACGTGAGTGCATACAAGCCAGATGCTGAAATGCAAAACTGAGATTACAAATATCATCGGACAGATTATTTGTAAACTTACCCCCTACTACTCCTTCCAGGTATCCCAAACTAGACCACCTTCCAAGGGTAAAGGACAGAAGTGACCAGCCAACCAAGATCGCAGTGGTCAAGATTGGAATGACAGAAGAGAGTATTCCAGAGTCTCGCCAAGACCGGTACTGAGACGCTATCAGTCATGTGTGACGAAGCTACTACAATATTAGAAAGAACTGACATCTGGTTCGAGACCGTGTATCCACGGTACCAGGAGGACGTAGAGGAAAAGTATGATCACAAGTCCTTCAAAGCCTGTGGAAGCAAAGGCAAATAGTCTAATCAACCGTAAATATATATTGGGAAATTTGTCGATCATGGCCCACCTTGCCCACTGCCCTTCTACATCTTGTCTGGTTAACAACTCCAGAAAGACGCGATGGGTATTGAATGCATATGTGATTGCAGCTCCAGGGATGATGAACTTGAGCTGACGAATGGTATGCTTGGAAATCGTTCTCCCGATAGATTTTATCTGGGGAATGATCATTTTTGAAAGAGTATGATGTGCAAGCAGTGCAACCGGAGCGGCAATGACACGATGCGGCATGCTCAGCGCTCCTAAACCATATTCGGAGCGGGTTTCGGAAGCAGATATTTTCGTGCAATGCCTTCTGTCAAAGCTGTCAACTTTATTACTAGTACTGTCCTGTCCCATGCAATCGGCAGCCCCCAGAAGTCGGCAGTCACGCAAATGTCACTGAAAGTCACGACATGTCACATAGGTCAGTTTCAAAGTCAGCTCGGCAGTCAAGCAAGAGCACAAGGAGGTCGTTAGTATTTGGCATGAGCAAGCAAGTACAGTATTTACTAGTAGAATCTAAGTATGAGGGTGACCGTGATTAGTACCGTAGTTGTAAAATTGAGGGGGATGTGTAGGGAGACCATGTACATTGTGTGGATACTGAGGTTGTCTATGTAAATTTGATGGTGATGCAATGGGACTGCTGGATGGATTATTAGTGTAATGTGTTGAAGAATAAGATGGTGTGCGGAGAGCTGGATTAGTGTAGAATTGATGAAAATATGGCTGGTGGGTAAAATGTGGGGGATAATTTGAATTGAAAGAGTGTGTGGGCAAGGTGATAAAATGATTACTGGAGGTGTTGGATGAGGTAGCACCATTGTCCTGTGAAGCGCTACTAGTACTGGCTTGTTCTGTTGGTGATGCAGTGGCTGGATTCTTCAAACATGTTTTTCCTGTCTGGAACAGTGCAGCAAAATGTGGATTGTCAGCAAAGTGTTGATTGGCAGCATCAGCAAGAAACTCTTTTATTCTAGTCCAGAGTTCCTCAACTGTCCCATCTCTTGAAATCTTAAGAGCGCCGGCAAGTGTGATAAAATTGTCCTTGTGCCAGAGTGTTGAGAGTGCCGTGACGATCATATTCCCGCTAGGCTTGCAATGGCCATCTTTTGATATACAGTGGCTCAAAAAACTGTCCGCATGTTTTGACATTTTTCACTATCTATGATATTGTGTGAGAATGAACAAATGCCTCAAGGACATGCTTATACCACATTGTAGTATGGCTTCAGGGCTTTCATTTGAGCCCTACACCGTGGGAATCGGTGGAGATATGGTGGAGATACAAGGCTCACAAAATGGTGACTCATGTGGACAGTTTTTTGAGCAGATATTAAAACTATATAAATCATCATTTATGACACCATAACAATCATGCCACCATTAAATAAATTATAAAGTGGTGTCATTATGTCATTTTAAAACCATATCTAACTATACAAACCAAAAATTTCCATATGTCATGGTTATATTCACCATGAAAGCCACCCCCCCTGCTCAAAGGGATAATATCCTCTCTCTTTCCTATTCTGGCCTCTCTGCTTGTCAAATTTCCTCTAGAACTGGAGTATCCAAGTCCACTGTGGCCAAGTTCATCAAAGAAAGTCACACAGACAAGGAAAACTTCTGTGAAGGGCATCCATCCAAGCTCACCTCTACTGATAGGAGGGCTATTATTCAACATATCACTACAGGAAAGGCTGATAATGCTGTCCAGGTCACCTATTACATCAATTCCACCATCACGTTCCCTGTCTCTTCACACACTGTGAGAAACATTCTCAAGACAGCTCATCTCAGGTCAGTAACAAGGAAGAAAAGGCTTTCCTCTCTATCACATATAAACAGAGATGACTAACCTTTGCCTTAGCCCATCAGAATTGGATTACATGGACTGGAAGCATGTTATATGATCATATAAGACCACAATAAATAGGATTGGGTCAGATGGCAAGGTATATATGTGAAAAAAGAAGGGTGCTAGTCCTCTCTGCATATGTGTGATAGCAAGGAGAGCCTTTTCTTCCTTGTTACTGACCTGAGATGAGCTGTCTTGAGAATGTTTCTCACAGTGTGTGAAGAGACAGGGAACGTGATGGTGGAATTGATGTAATAGGTGACCTGGACAGCATTATCAGCCTTTCCTGTAGTGATATGTTGAATAATAGCCCTCCTATCAGTAGAGGTGAGCTTGGATGGATGCCCTTCACAGAAGTTTTCCTTGTCTGTGTGACTTTCTTTGATGAACTTGGCCACAGTGGACTTGGATACTCCAGTTCTAGAGGAAATTTGACAAGCAGAGAGGCCAGAATAGGAAAGAGAGAGGATATTATCCCTTTGAGCAGGGGGGGTGGCTTTCATGGTGAATATAACCATGACATATGGAAATTTTTGGTTTGTATAGTTAGATATGGTTTTAAAATGACATAATGACACCACTTTATAATTTATTTAATGGTGGCATGATTGTTATGGTGTCATAAATGATGATTTATATAGTTTTAATATCTGCTCAAAAAACTGTCCACATGAGTCACCATTTTGTGAGCCTTGTATCTCCACCATATCTCCACCGATTCCCACGGTGTAGGGCTCAAATGAAAGCCCTGAAGCCATACTACAATGTGGTATAAGCATGTCCTTGAGGCATTTGTTCATTCTCACACAATATCATAGATAGTGAAAAATGTCAAAACATGCGGACAGTTTTTTGAGCCACTGTAGGTGATGGAAAGCTACAAAACCATCAACCGCTTTTTACCACCTCTGACTGGGGACAGTCAGCATTCAAAGTCCCCATGAGATGTGACAATCATATTCCTGCTAGGCTTGCAATGGCCATCTTTTGATATAGGTGATGGAAAGCTACAAAACCATCAACCGCTTTTCCTGCACTCAACCCACTCCGGATGTGTATTCCCGCGCTCTGCGGACCCGTGCATTCACTCCCGCGCTGCGCGCATACCTGTGGTCGATTTCCCATGCCTTCGGACTACCTTACAGATGTCCTGCGTCAATCCATTGTCCATCCTACCTCATTGGTATGTATTTTGCCTTGCCTCATGTGTTGTAACAAGTGTTGCAGCCTTATTACATGTCTTTACATATTCCTACTGCCTGTCTGTCCTGTCCCTTCCGTTTCCAAGAGGGTTTAGCTAGTATAAAGTGCCTAGGGTGACTACTTCATATTTACTCACCTTCTACAGTAATTCCTTCCCTTAGGTTTTACTTAGGAGCAGTCACCATTAGTGCGCGCTTTTAGCCCCTATTGGTTACCTTATACCTGGACACCTTGTCTTGACTTTCCTTACCCATGCAATCAATACCCTTGCCCTCACTTGTTACCTGCACCATTCCTTAAGACTTCCCTACCCCTTACCCTAGCATCTCACACTTCCACATCAACCGCTCATTGACCACTCACCAACCGCTCATTGACTGCACTTCCGCACTTCCGCATTCCTGCGCTCTACATACCCGCGCACTTGTTCCCACGCTCTGCACACTTTCAGGTCTTTAGTATCATCAGCCATTCTCAGTAGCAATTCCCTTTAGGGTCGAACGTTCTTGCTTGCAAGTGTAGCAGCTAGGCAGAGCATCAACCTACAACAATATTTTTGGTTAGGCACTTTAATGAGAGTCTAGCCATTGTTGTGTTTGCACAGCGCATCAAACATCTTCGACTTGATATCACAGTTGATCTGAGCATTGCGCACTTCATCTTCTGTCTTCTTCTTGGCCTGTTTCTCTGCATCAGCCTTGTCTTTTTCATGCCGCTCCTCCTCCGCCTTGTTGAAGTCCTCCTCAAGCTCTGGGTGGGTCACAAAATGGGCCCATAACTTGACGGATTTCCTTGGCTGCTTCTTTTTCTTCACATTCTCTAACTCCAATCTAGATTGAGTCAATGCCCACTGCGCCATTGTACAGTGTGTGTTTGTAGCGTCAAGCTGGGCAGTCAGTATCTGGGTTGTCTGGACCAATGCCCCATTCTGCCCATACATGTGCTGGAGCTCATACCAAAGCTCCTCCTTCATCAATGCCATCAGCCTGATCATGTGTGGGGATAACTGGATGTGGGATGGGGGCTGACAGTTGTGATGTCGAGCAAGTGATGCAGGGTGTTAATGTGGGCATTGTTATGGGGGTTATGGGGGGGGCTGTGTGTCTTGCATCTCTGGGCCTTCTTCCTCCAACTCCAACTCTGAGTTGGAACTCTTGGAATCTGAGTCATGTTCATCAACTGCCATCGGAAAAAAATTGCTGTCCTCTTCTGAATCTTCTTCTTCACTGCCATCCAGCCTCATCAAGTTGTCAACCTCATCAATATCAGAAGGAGCCGTCATTGGAGAAGAAGGGATGTCAGCAGGATATGATGGAGGAAGATGTGCAGCAGCAGTTGAATAAACCAAGCTTGGTGCAAAATCCTTGTCTGTGAAGACTGACGGATCAAGAGGATAGATACTGGTTCTTTTAAACGCTTTCTGGATGAGTTCTGGCGTGATAACATGGTGAATGGCCATATATTCGTCAATAAAATTATAGTGATCAATTTCAACCCCATCAGCAAGGCATTTGTCACAATGTTTGGTCCAAGCATGCTGGACAGACAAAAATACGCCCACATCCAATGATTGGATTTTGTGCATGGTTTTCGATGGAAAGGCATGAATTATGACACCATTATTGTAAGCCACCCTTTGAATAGCTCTTTGTTCATACAAACTATGACCATCAATGGTCAGAACAATTGGCTTCTCAGGATCAATGCAATATTTCTCTGCTGTAGGAACAAAGTGTTTCCTGAACCAATAATCTGCTATCTCATGGTCTGTCCATCCTGTTGGCGAGAAAGAAACACTGTCCAAGGTGATCACAATGTTAGTAGAGCATAATACTATACTTATATACAGTGGCTCAAAAAAGTGTCTCAATGTTTGTGACTTTTCATGTAATTGCTGTATCATGAGCCAGGGCATGAGAATATGACTAAGCCATAGGGAGGTGTGGGAAAGCTCTACTTCTAAGCTTTATGTTTGATCCCTATAGCGTGGGAATATTATGTCATCAAGTGAAGATATGGTTAATTTAATTTGGTGACTCATTGAGACACTTGTTTGACTTTCAGTTTGACCAACACAATCTCTATAATTCTGGTACTTGGTGCTTCCTCCTGTTGCTCTAATTACTTCCACCACTCTTCTATGCCTACTATCTATCAATTTGAGACATTCTTTATCAACAATCTTGCCCCACTCTGCTGCAACCCTCTCCCACAGCTAAAATAACCCCTATTGAGGATCTTGATAGACTGCAAGTGATATCTTGAGTAATTACCAGGGCTGTTCAATAGGGTTGGGGTCTGAGGACTGGACTTGCCATGATAGAACACTGATACCATAGTTTTCAAACCATTTTATGGTCAATTTGAAGTATGCTTAGGGACATTGTCTTGTTAGAAGGTAATGTCTTCTTTGTTAATTCTTGATTCTTGTATGCTTCTGAGCAGATACTTTTCCAAAATTGAAATGTGATGCTCTGCATTTATCCTCCTCCCCACCTCACAGAGAATTCCTACTCCATTCCACCTCATATAACACCATACCATCAAGTTTCCTACTCCATACTTTAGTGTTTTCTTGACTGTTCTTTGTTCTAGTAGTTCTTCAGCCTTTCATCACATATATTCCTAGCCATCTGACCCCATCCTATTGATTTTTGTCTCATCTGACCAGGTAGCCCTATTCCAGTCCTCAACAATCCAATATTGAGGCTTGAAAGCCAAGGCTATTCTCCTCCCTCTATAGGCTGAAGACAGGAAAGGCTTTTTCTGCCTGTTTACAGCTTTAAGATTGGCTGCCTTAGGAGTATTCCTGACTATTTAAGTGGAGAGAACAGTGTAGATGATGTAATTAATGAATTTGGTGGCTTGAGTAGCATTGGCAGCCTGCCTAGTTAAAACATTATGAACAAGAGATTTTTTGTTATATGGTGTAAGCTTGAAAGCATAATCTAGTTTGATATTTTTCTTATCTGGCATGACTTTTTTATGATCCTGATGATGGTAACCCTGCTCAGACCAGTTTGAGTAGCAATCTGCCTGGTATACAGATTAGAAGAGCTGAGGATAATAATAATAGGGGCTATTTCAGCTGTGGGAGAGAGTTGCAGCAGAGTAGGGCAAGACTGTTGATGAGGAATACCTCAAATTGATAGATAGTATGCATAGAAGAGTGGTAGAACTAATTAGAGCAACAGGAGGAAACACCAAGTAGTAGAATTATAGAGATTGTGTTGGTCAAAACAAAAGTCAAACAAGTGTCTCAATGAGTCACCAAATTAAATTGACCATATCTTCACTTGATGATATAATCTTCCCACACTATAGGGATCAAACATAATACTTAGAAGCAGAGCTTTCCCACACCTCCCTATGGCTTAGTCATATTCTCATGCCCTGGCTCATGATACAGCAATTACATGAAAAGTCACAAACATTGAGACACTTTTTTGAGCCACTGTAGCTTGCTTACCTGCCCACTTTATCTTTTAGGTCTTGAATATCTGGAGGTGGACCTTCTGAAAGAACAAACCATGGTGGCATCTTAGCACCAGCAGCAGAGATGCACTCGAGAATGGTTATGAGCTCTAGATTATCACTATGGACCCGATAACGATCTGAATCTTCCACAGAAAAAATAAATTTTGTGCCAGCATTTTTCCTCCCCCCACCCATCTGATTCCCTTTCTCATCCATATTCCAATGATGCTCTGGTGGAATTTTATTATAGTCATCATCAAGCTTCTTCCACATCTCAAAGAACTCCCCAATGGTATCCTTGTTGAAATTTCAAGTGTGCTTTGGATCCAGTCCACTTGGTCGAGATACACAGAGGGATGAATGATGATGAATGAACCGATTGTGCCATTTTCATGACGGGAGTCAACCAGTTATTTCTTTAATGCATGCATGCAACTTCGCCAGGTGGATAGGAGTCACAGATGCAGATGCCAATTTACACCAGTTGACAATGGTTTCCTCCTGTGCAGCAGATAACAGTTGCTGACCCTTGTGAGCATGCTGACAAGACTTATGAACTCCCAAGCGTCAATCACTCAGTGTCTGACGCAATACCTAGACCAGTTGAGTAAATAATCACATGATGAATGACAACTCACATTTTGCTCCTTTGCAGCAGCTGCAACAGATTTATATAGCCCATTTGCAATTCCCTGAATTGCAGCTTGAATGTGCGACTCATATGTAGGGTCTGATGAAGCTTGCAGCTTTATTAACAATAGAAACTAAGAGACAGGTCTCAGCATTGGTGACAGAACTGCTGTAACATTGACAGTACCTAAGAGACAGGTCTAGAGATGAAAGAACATAAGTGGGAGATGACATGCAATATGAACGTGAACTATACCTCAGTGTTGGTGAAAGAACCACTGAGGTACAAACAGTGTGATACAACAAGATTATAGGCTATACTATTGAGTCCATGATGACGACGTGATGATGAATAAGAAAAGGAACAAGGAGTCAATGTTGATGTCAACACACCCCCTCAATGAGACAACACATTAACAAGTCACAAGTGCGAGTCCAGAGTGATGAATGGTGAAAGTGGGACGAGGTAAGAGTTTGGTGAAAATGTTGGCAGTATTTTTGTGAGTTGATAACCATATGGGCAGGAATGTCTTATCCTTGATGTGGCAGCAGATAAAGTGATAACGGAGATCAATGTGCTTCATTCTGATGTGATTGGCAGCTTCCTTGGACAGCGCAATGGCCCCCACGTTGTCTGCGAACAACTGCAGTGGTAAGGAAAGGGGGATATTGAGGCAACTGAAGAAGGATTGGAGCCATAGGCTGTCTTGGATAGCTGAGGTGAGTGCCACATACTCCACTTCAGTTGATGATAATGCCCGAGTTGTCTGTTTCTTAGTGGAGTGGGATATGGGGCCACCATTCAGGAACCACATGTAGCCAGAGATTGAGACACAATCCTTGGGACAAGACACCCAGTCCAAATCTGAGAATCTGTGAAGGTTGGCATTGATGCCAACACCCCCATAGTGAGTGCGCATGTTGATGGTGCCTGCGAGATAATGTAGGACATGTTTGGCAGCTGTGTAGTGTTTAGCCTCAGTAGATACATTGTGTTGTGTGAGATGCATCATGGTAAGGGCAATATCCAGGCGAGTGTACATGGCAAGGTAGAGGAGTTCGCTGACAAGCTTACGGTATTCTGGCTGCAGGTTGTCAACATGAGGAAACATGTCAGTTGGGCGTCCAAATGGGAAGGTGGGGTCCATTGGAAGTGATACTGGATTACAATTGGACATGCTGTGTTCATCAAGTAAGTACCTGATATAGTCTTCCTGGTGCATCCAGAGTTCGCGGGTCTTATGATCACAGCTGAATTGGATGCCCAGATACTTCATGACTGCGCCAAGATCGGTGATCCTGAATTGCTCTGCAATTTGGCTTTTGGTCTGATTGAGAAACCGACAGTTATTGGAGCCTGCAAGCCCATCATCCACATGCCACACAATGATGCATATCACCCTCATTCCTTCTCCATTGACATGATCGAAGATAAACACGGCATAATCCACCTCACAGTGAAGGAAGCCAAGGTGGGTCAACACCTCCTGAAGCAGCTCATACCAGTCGTATGCTGCTTGTTTGAGACCATACAGGGAGGAGAGGAGATGGGTGATCAGGCAGGAACCATCAGGACCAGAGCGCTCAAACCCAGGAGGTTGACACATGTACATGTCCTCCTGAAGTTTGCCCCAGAGGAAGGCATGTTTCATGTCAAAACAATCAAGTTCCCAGTCATTTGCAGCTGCATGAGCAGGAAGGACACAAATGGAGGCTGATTTTGCCACTGGTGCAAATGTACACCCGAAATCTACACCTGCAATCTGAGAGAAACCTTGAACAACCAAGTGTTCCTTGAAAACAGGCCCTCCTTTGAGGTCCTCCTTGAATTCCAGCACCCAGCAACATCCAATAGCGCGACGACCTTCAGGCAGGGGCATAAGCTTGTATACATTCATCTTGGACATGAGATTCATCTCCTTCCACATTGCTGCAAGCCAATGGTCGCTGTCAGGATGCCTCATTGCCTCATCATATGTTGCTGGCAGAAGTTTCAGATCGTAGTCAGATGCAAGGGGGTTGTGACAGGTATCACTTTGCACAGAAAGGGCAGCTACTTCAATGATGATTAAGTTCACAATGATCTGTGGAAAACTAACCTCAGTGTCATCTGGAATTATTGCATCAGGGTCAACAGGTACTGGAGCAGCCAGTTCAGGCATGCAGTGTAGGTGCCATGACAATAGGTGCTTCCACAGTGTCAGTACCTGCAAGTGGGGGCACGCCATTGATGCATGCAGTGCAGAGTTCATGCTGCCAAGTGAGACTGAGCCTTGTCAGATGCGAGATGATCCTTCAAATGCTGACCTTTCTCAGTGGGTACTGGGATGTGACCTAAACGATAGATGATAGTGGTATGAGGAGGTTCAGGAGGTGCAGGTGGAGGCTGCAAGGTGGTTGAAGGTGGGGCAGGCTTGTGCTATGGCACTGGAATCATCATTGTCATTGTCACTGTCAGGAAATGGGCGATTGGAGAGAGTTTCATCAAAGATGATGTCTCTGGAGTTGAAGAAGGCACCAGAGATTGAGTCACAACAGCACCAAGCTTTGACACCAGGTGGGTAACCCATAAAAACAGCCTCACATGAGTGGGGACCAAGCTTTTGCTGAAGTTCAGTAGGGATGCAAGCAAAACAATGCACACCAAAGACTCAAAGGTGAGAGAGGGTGGGTTGGACCCCATGTAACATCTCATATGGTGTTTTCCCTGCAGGTAGTGCTCGTGATTCGGTCTGATTGAAAAGGTAGCACACAATGAGCACTGCCTCACCCCAGAGTGACAGAGGTAGACGTGTGAAGTCCAGCATCACATACATATGACCTTCAATCATACACATCACCCTCTCTGCCTTCCCATTCTGCTGATGAGCATAGGGGGCAGAGCATTGATGCTGAACTCCAGTCTCCTCCAGATTCGCAGTGAAAGCATCATTCAGGAATTCTCCCCCGTTATCACTGCAAAAAACCTTCACCCATAGTCCTGAAAGGTTCTCCCATCATGCACATAGGGAACACCACACTTCAAGAGCTTGATCTTTTGTTGCAAGGAGCTGTAAATTGAGGGTGTGTGTGTGGTTGTCCAGAAATATGATGAAATAGTGTTTCCCATGTGGTGTGATGGTCAGAATTGGACCGCAAACATCGCTGTGGATGAGGTCAAGGAAAGCAACAGCATGTTGGTCTTGGAGGAATGAAACAGGTTGCCTTGGATGCTTAGTGAGGATACAGGATTCACAGTGGGACAGTGGAGAAGATGATTGGATAGTGACACCTTTGGCAATGCGATTCAGGCGCATGACAGCATCCTGACCAATGTGACCAATGCGCACATGCCAGAGGTCCAGTGAGAGGGGAACATCCACAAAAGTGGACAACTCTGGTATGGGGCTAGTGATGGGAGGATGATCTGCAAAGGGAATAAATTCAATGCTAGGAGCATACAGTTTACCCATTGCAGGGATAGCCCCAAGCAGTGAACCTTTGTATCCTAGTTCGCACATCATATTCGTGCAAAAGTTCACAGTCCCAGCCCTTGGCATTCATGCAGCTCACAGATAGTAGATTGAGCAGCACATCAGGTGCATGCAGGCAGTTTGACAAACAGATGTGGAGACGCCATTTTCCAATGGTAAGCCATGTGATGCAGTTCCCATGTCCAGTTGTTTGAAGAACACCATGATTTGCAGTGAGAACATCAACTGGATCCTCTGTTGAATAAGTTTGGAAGAAGCGATGCTCCTTGACAAGCGTCACAGTGGTACCCAAGTCCAGGATGGTCATGAAAGGAAGGTTGATGGCACATGCAATCTCATTCAGGATCTCAGCAATCAATGCAAACAATAAGTCCTGCATCAGGCTGCTTAAGTCTGCAGCAGCAGCTGCAATGACTGGAGCTGGTGGTGGAGGTGCAGGAGGTACAGCTGATGTGGTAGCAGCAGCGGCAACTGGTGTGGCATTAGCATTGTCCTTCTTCTTATTTCTCATCCAGGGCGCCTGCCCTTCCATTCCTCCACCCTTGCCATAGCAATGAGCATGATCATGGTCACCTTTATTGCAACCAGGGGTCATGCAAAAGATACCCTGCAGATTGTGCTTATGCATTCACAGACTGGTGATCAGTGTTGATTCCGGAGGTGTTGGAGGTGGTAGTTGCATTGGCATACTCAGAGCCAGGGTGGGAAGAGTGTGCCTGTTGAGTTACCACGTGATGGGCAGCCTCAGAGGTGATGTGGGAGACACAACTCTCAAAGGTGAACTTCACGCTAGTGGAGGTGGTGGTGGTGGCATTCATAGACTTGTCGTGCATATGTTGCTCAAGGAGTGACTTAAATTGTTGCCAGATTGGCATTTGGGGAAGTCCCATCAGCATATAATAGATGGCGTCAGTCTCACCCCAGGGTGCACCTGCATCAATTAAGCATTCATGAAAGACTGCATGTTTCGCAACATAAGAGGTGGCATCTGCAGAATGTTACAGTCATGTATGCCCCTATTCATTTTCTCTCTTACTATCCTTGTATTACGTCACATGCTGCACATTGCCGCTGCTAGATAACTCATTCTTATCTCTGACTCATCTTGCTTATCTCTGACTCACTTGTATTACATCACAACTGCCACTGCCATCGCTAGATGACTTGTTTTTATCCCTGACTCATCATTGACTTATGCCTGCCCTAAACCATCTATGGTTCCCTATATATAGTCAACAATGTACTTAGCAGATCTTTACTTTAATCTTACTAGGTCTTCACCTGAAACTTCTCTCACTTAGGATCCCCAGTCCTAAGTCATCTGAGCCAATATTCAAGTCAGAGACACTCTCTTTGCCTTGTCTTATGACCCTTGCATTTGCAAGGTCTTGACTATAACTTCAGCCATCGCTCTTATCAAGCTGCTGTTGTTACGACCATCCTAGTTCGTAACACAGAATCCTTCATGCATAGTGCCTGAACCTGCTGCCTAAGCAGATATTGGGCACTCATGTCTGTATGGTTGAAGTGTTCTTGTAATATCTGCCAGGCCTTATGTGCAGTGACAGTGTGAGAACAAGGGACAAGAGATGCAACAGAGGAGCTCAGTCGATTGGTAATAAGTTCTTTAGCCTTCATGTCCTTGAGTAGCCATTCATGCATCCCCACCATTTCGGTGGTGGTGGGGTTGACTGGATCAGCAGGTACAGGCATATGCAAAGGATGACTGAGAAGATCCCCTGGTTTGGCCTTTATGTTGATATGGCACCAGTGATCCTCACATGCCAAAGCGTACTGCATCTTGGTAGCCCAACTAATATAGTTTTCCATTCCAAGCAACTCAGGAATGTGGTCATGCTTCCCCATGACAATACTGTCTTGGAGATGGACAAGATAAATGAGCAGCAGGCAGCGCGTGAGCAAGTTACTGTTCAAAGTTTCAGTTGCTGGCTCAAATTGAGCCAGGGCTCATAACCTATTAACAATAGAAACTAAGAGACAGGTCTCAGCATTGGTGAAAGAACCACTGTAACATTGACAGTACCTAAGAGACAGGTCTAGAGATGAAAGAACATAAGTGGGAGATGGCGTGCAATATGAACAGTGAACTATACCTCAGCATTGGTGAAAGAACTGCTGAGGTACAAACAGTGTGATACAACAAGATTATAGGCTATACTATTGAGTCCGTGATGACGACGTGATGCCGAATAAGAAAAGGAACAAGGAGTCGATGTTGATGTCAACAGCTTTCCTCGTCTCCCGCTGATGGATTTGCGAAGGCGGACCAGCCCCATGACCAGCAGCACAGCACCAGTCGGCACTGGTGTGTGCAATATTGAAACTCCGTCACGGCACACATCGGCAAGTGACATTTTCTGCGTGACTTCGGCACTTTCAACCATCTCACTCAATTCTGCTTCAATCGTATCTGTTCGACCTCGTAGTGAGTTGTATTAGAGAAAGAATGATATCTATGTTGAGAATTTTGTGTTTAAGTGGCTGGAAATACGAGTGTTGTGAAAGTGCCAACTTCTGGGGGCTGCCGATTGCATGGGACAGGACAGTATCAGTCAGTGAGCATGCAGCTTTCTACACTCATCAGTTACACAACCAACTAGTGAATACTCGAACTTTGATCGGTGCTGATGGTCTATGAGAAAGATGATGACCACTTGGGACGGTACGGTACGCTTTCACCGAAGTGTCTAACTAACGCGACATGAAGGTAACCATCTAAGCTGTGTGACAGCACCAGGGAGAGGTCTCTGGTAAAGAATTCAAACGATGTGCTCAGAGCGGCCCAGCTGCGGTTCTCCTTCTCACAACCTCCCGTCTCTGATGTCAAGGCTGGAACTCAACAAGACTTCATCTTAGCATTCAACGTTCAACTCCCCGAGTTGGATCCCTGACATTTGATGGAGTCTACAGCTATCATAGGTCTAGACTGCCCCTGCCTCCAGCTCCCTGTAAACCCTGTAATTGCTATCGGACTCTTTTATTCGTGGTCGAGACCATCGGTAGTCGGTCGCGAGGGATTTTGAGACGCCGGCCACAGCAAGTCACCTGGTTTTGCTTCTGGCGTGTGCCGTATCCAATGCACTTACTACAAAAGGACAGGATTATTCCTTGCTCCTGTACGAATCTGCACTGATCCGCCACTTCATTCTATTCGAATGCTGATACATACATACTTCATCTCAGAACATGTGCAGGGAGCCCGAGGACTACAATTGCAGATGATGATTGGCTCCCGCGCTCATACCTTTCATATGCTTTGCAGCACCACCAGTTCTTCAGGTACTATTTTAGCGTTGCCTAGGCTGATCTATGATTTCGAGATAGCGCATTATATTTACATGCGGCGGTACAAGTGCTGATTTACCCCGCTGAAGTCATATATGGTGCTCACCCTTCTTTACAGCAACCGCGTGTAGGGACGGAAGTGAACGAAGGCACAACCGTCTCGAGATATGTCCCTGACCTGGACCATCAAGCATCCTGCCCCGGGAGTCTAGACTCATCAAGCGCTTACGTTCAATAAGCAAATGCAGCTTCTTCAGGGTGCCATAGGCGGTAACAAAAATTACTATATCTCTCTTCTTGCTACTGCATGGCTAGTGTCAAATTCTGGGTTATTAATCTATCTAGTTCTAGATCCAGGTGCGAATGGCCTGGCCCTTGTCGTGGATGTGGTGTACTTATCCATCCAATTCTATCTAATGTTCTGTTCGTGGTGTCACAATTACAGGACACTGCGAATGTATATCAATGAGGGTTGCGATGGGTTCCCTCCGCAGCAGTGATTAACCCTACACTCCCGTGAGCTAAGGAGACACTGCGGATCTCCGCCTGGACGTGAAAGCTTATCCCGTCTGTATAAAAGTGCTGCAGATTCATTATTCGTTCATACATTTCTTTATCCTCTGCACGATGACGCTCCAGGAAAAAACTGTTGCATCATCTCAGACCACAATACTTTCTACTCCCGAACTTATATCTCCTGCGCTTGCCAGAGACTTACAAGACTACAGGAAGACTTCCCTGAATCTAGTGAGTGTTCACATTATTGAAAGTGGCAGTGACTTACTCGACCTTCTTGTCACAGCTCATGGGATTTCTAGCGTCAGTCCAATTCTGATCGGACCATTCCTGACACTCCAACCAAAAATCTGGTATTTTTGTAGCTTTCAGTCGGTGTCAGGATCTCGAGGTCTTGCAGTGGCTACCCTCACGCTGATACTATATACTATCAGCCTGCACATCACTGCTAGTGCGGGCGTCTCTCACGTAAGGCATTTTGAATCACTGTCCATGCACAAGCACCTGAAACCACAGCAGCTTGGAGCAGTAATTTTGGGAATTTTGCATGCAATCCCAGCGGTTGGAATTCTCGCCGTAACGTCAGTGGAGTTGACGTTTGCAGTAAAATCACCAGTAATGGCTGTTTCTATCATCATATCTTGTTTCCTCCCTACGATGATTGCGGTTTTTCAGTACCTCCGTATGCGGTACATGAGGACAATGATAGGTCAACTCCCGATGACCGTCCCTGGGGACCTCCCATCAGAAGCGGCGTGATTAGAGCTCACTGATGCTGATATTGCGTAGTCCTTCCCACTGCCTTTTCTGAATTATCCCCTCCCTACCAGGAGTCATAACAAAGCAAATGCTCCAATAGTGATTTATAGATACCTGGCTATGTAAATAGTACACCTAACGAAACATCATTACGTAGCATAACTTATACATTATCTTCCACTGGTACACCAACTACTTACATGTCCCACTCATCCCATATACCTTCCACTGGCGCGGATGCCATCGGTGTTTGCATGGAGCTGAATTCCGCAGTTCGAACTAGTTCTATTATCTTGTCGCTAACACCATCTTTATCGTCCTTAGTCCCACGCATCGCCACGAGTAGTGTATCATCGGCCGAGTGAGATTTCAGGTTCGTGTGCAGCAGTAAACGAATGTCGCTTCCTTCAATGACTTGATCAAGTCTGCCGGTAGAGAGGCTTCGAATTTCAATGAACTCAGAGGAGAATAGCAGCACATGGGACCCGCGATGGGCAAATGACGTAGCTGTCGTCTCCCAGCGGATGAATCCGCTTTTCCGGGAGGGAACGCCATGCTTCGTGATGTAGCATCCAAGAGCTATAGTGGAAGTACAGTGAATTATGGTCGTAATTTGAATGGGAAAGACTTACCGTCATAAATGACCAATATTTCGCCTGATTCGATCCGAATTAAGCCAAGGGGCTTAGCATCCTCGCAGCGAGTCTTCAGGTCAGCCATGTCTGTGTCGGAGGTTGCTCCGCTAAAGTCCGGGACAACCGAGATCATCTGCCTTGCTGTACTGTAATGTTATATTAGTAGAGTACAGAGGGCGGGTGATGAACAACATACTTGGTCGGATCGGCAATCACGATGCCCTTCTCTGTACTTATAGCAACTGTCTTGGCTAGTGGTGTAACGGAGTAGGCATCCTTTGGTACATACAATGGCTGGTTCACAGTATTGAGTATATGAAAGGAAATGGTCGCATCCACTTACTTCGCCAAACGGTCTAAACGATAATATGGTGCCCTGGGATCCTCGTGATGGAGTCCGCCGAAGCTCAGAAAAGTTGCAGGCCTCCAATGCATGCACTGTGATTTGAAAGAATGATTTAAGAGCATAAACAACTGGTGAGAAATGTGAGTGAAAGCGCCATACAAGTTAGGTCAAAACTTACCGATCATTCGCTGTTTTATTCGTCCTGCACTACAGAATAGGACGGTGCCATCTCCCCCTGCGATTTTCTCCATTGAAGCATCTAAGCTACTTGCAGGGGCCTGGTACATCGCGACTCTGGCGAGAAGATCCAAGGAGTATGCGAGCAGATAGTTCTCATGATGTACGATGAACTTATTGAAATCTTGTAAAACTATGATAGAGGAAGGATTGCCATACGACAATATCTTGCGGAAGTCTGAAGGCAAACATGAGCGATGGAGCAAGATCAGTGTGTGAATATTTCATACTGATATCACCCCTGGATCCAACATAGATTCCAGTTGCGCAACCGACCACCATGAGCCTCTTCCCGCCGGCAGCAGCTAAACAGATTACCAATTATAAGTGATATTAGACAGGGAAAGCAGCAATATGCTGCGTACTAAAAGACACAGCGTTGACGACCCTCCCTGACGCCTTAGATCCAAAGCCGCGGGGAGTGTAAGCTCCTGGTGATCGGAAGGAGCCATCATCAACGAGTTGTGGTGCAAACCACTAATCAATCGAATAAAAGCGTGCCGGCATGTAAATACGGATATACACACCTTGTTTGCATCTCGGCGTACGTCGTCTATTCCCTTGGCCTCAACAAGAGCGTCCCGCCACTTCTCTCTCGCAGACTCGGTCGGAGCGTACAGAGTATACCGCCGCGTCAACTTATCTGCAGAGTGGTAAATCGTGAACGGATAGATGGGTTTGTATTGTGCGCGTAAGCTGTCCAAGATCCCTCCTTCTTCACACCGTTCCTTCCTGCTTTCTGGCTGTCCATCGAAACTTCCTAGTTTGAGATATTCCAAGGGTATAGGCTGTAGAAAAAATACAGGAAATGAGTTTGAATGAAATTAGTGGAAAGCAAGTGAATGGCTTTACTCTAGACGAAACATAGCGCTTGAGGATTCCTCCCGTTCTTCTCTCCTCTTTAGTGAGCAACACTGCAATGAATCAGTGACTTCAAGTCAAGCAAGATGCAAACACAAAACTTACGATAGTTGTCGAGTAAGGCAACGAATAGATCAGTCCACGGGTGCCAATCCATTTCAGACTTGGACCTTCGGGCTACAGGGCCAGAGTACACCAGTGACCGACTTTCGTTGTACCAATCCAAATCCTGCACTCGATCAGCCAAAGAACAAAATAACGCCCATGGAACGCACAATTATTTCTCCCTTGGGCATCGTCAAGCTTTCACAGACATTCCAATATTTTACTCTGTTCTCTGCAGCTGCGATACCAGGTTGTGTACTCTTTAGGAAGTCGCTCAAGATGTTTAGAAGAAGTGGCAGGTCTTCAAGATCCGGATGGCCCGGTTCTGTGATCTTCTGAATGTGCTCAAGGATCAAATGTAGACGTGGGAGGCGAGTTACTGGTCTGGAAAGGAAGGTGATCATGTCGCGCTTGCGCACCCGAGGATCTTGAGAACATTTTTGCATGAACGCTTGATAGCTTTTATTGCGACTGAGTTCAGTGCGGTGCCGCTCTTCTGCGAGTGGATAGTGTTTGATGTAGGACTCGTACTCTGATTGGAACTGAAAGCAGGCTAAAAGGTGTTGAATGTAAGCTGTTGAGTATTTTGTTTGTCAGCTCACTTTCAAGTACAATGTCAGTCACGCTCTGTACCAGCGGATGCTGATCTAATTGACGTTCAAAGAGTGCGGCCAGCATATGCTCATGATGCACAGAGATCTGACCCAAATTCCAAAATACTTCATGAACAAAGGGACGTAACTTGTCGGGAGCAATGACAGGGGGGTTGGCGAACTTTAAAGGGTCGATGAAAACCTGCGGCAGAATATTAGCTGAATCCAATTGTAAAGCGGTGGATATCACCTCTGTGACAAGTTTAAGATCTTCCACATAGTCCCTTTCTGACTTGAACAGCTCGAATAGAACTGATTGCCGCTCGACTTCTTTTTTGCCAAGTGCTTCCTGAGCTTCAGGAGGAGCCAGCCGGTGCCATTCTTCATCCTTCTCCGCTAATTGACCGGCTTGGAATCGTCTTAATCCCTCCTCAGAATAAAGGCTGCGTTTTGTTAATAACTATCGCATTAAACAAACCACTATGATACTCACGAAACATTGGACAGCTCCCGAGTTAGTTGATTGACTGGTGCTTCCCACTGTAGAGGTCATCAGAATAAGTTATCTTATCGTAAGCTTTATATTCCACACACGTACATCGTCCTCCGGAAGGTAATGCATGAATGAAGCAGAGTCTGGTGTTACTGGAGTAAAGGGGGGACTAGCCACATCGTCTGTACTCGGGGGTAGAGAGCCATGACCGTCATCGGACTTGCTGTAACGGTGGCGGGGTGAGTATGGGTGAAGGGTCGCTCTCTGAGAAGCAAATCGATGTAGCTCCGGTTCAGGAAAAGATATGGTGGGTGGTACGGGCTCGTATGCACTTTGAGTACGACTACGCGATCGAAGTTCACCTGGTCTGCCATTCGGATGTCGGGCTGTAGGTGTGTGATCCCATGGATTCAAGAGGTCTCCAGATGGCGCATTATCAAATTCGTATGGATATGCCTGCAGTGGGCTAGGGTTGGGTAGAGGACTCGCTCCAGGGGGGATCGTAACATATGGATAACGTCGTTGATTATGCATAAGAAATGTAATTGCCGAACACGTTAAGTGGTTGATTGAGTGTTACAAGAGATTAATGACCTATAGACAAGACAAACCAAAAAGTCAAGTTCAAAGATAATAACAGTAAGTCTTACCCTGCCGCACAGGGCCAAGCGGCAAGGGTTCTATATGTGAATGGAATCACGTGACGTGATAATTAGTCACAATTAATATTATGCTACGGTTGCCAGTGTGCTTCCGACAGGCCCAGCCGGTTTCAATCTACTACGCACTGCTACTGTCCACGCAAGTCTATGTAAGTTAGTCCCCGAATCCTTTTCGGTGTGTTAATATCATAAGCAACGCAGCTGCAAAACTGCGGGATCAGTCACCAGAATATCGCCTTACAATTTGGAGACTGGTCACTAGTACTGGCCGTCCAGTGTTTTCAACTTGAAGTACATGACTTATGCAGAGATTTTATTAGCCTATTTTGCCACGTCTTGAGAGTTCATTTACAAGTCTTGATTTGCTCTTGGTGACGTGCGGGTTTCCTGTAACCGTGACGGTAGTGACCTGGTGCGACACACAGCATATCCCACAAGTCGCCAATGCTCGGATCCAGTGTTATCATTGTGCAGTGCCGCTAGGCACGCTGATGATCTGGGATAGGTCTGTGTGCACAAAGGAGAGTATACACCTTGCTGTCAAAGGCGTAGGAAACTTGTTTTTCCTCGGAATGCCAGTTTTTCATTCTCGCACATTCCAGAGTCTTTAAGAAATTTGGGGTTTTGGCATATCACCAGACCATTTGTGGACGCTTGCTCAATGCTATCTGACCAAAAACACAGAGGGTCAGTATCATACTCTGAAACCGTGGGCTTTGAAAAGCAAGTGGTCTGTAAGTTCGTAAAACATCGGTTTATGTTGAAGTATGTCTCCTAGACCAAGTTGCCAGTTTATCTAAGCAAAGTTTCGGAGAATTATCAATTTAGGTATGTTGGAAGTTGCCAGAATTGCTGGACTATGGCAGACTATGCTTCGTAATGCGCGGAGATAATCTTTGGGCAAGAGGTGCTGTCTTCAGTGCTGCGCCCCGGAAGCAACTTTTAGAACATTCCGTGATAGGAACAACCAGCCCAGGATCTTGAGCTGCTCTTGAGAGGAACCTCCTTCCACCAAAAATTCCAGTCTTGCTCGCCATTATCGCTGGCCCCTCATAAACAGCTCATCTTTCGGCTTAGAGATGTCAAGGCAAGGCAATGGACCAATACGACCAGTCGTTATTCAATCATACATCAATCTTCATACATAATATACACGTCATACAACATACCATAGAGTGAATGAAATCAGCAACATAACAAGCTTTCAATAGTAACGAGTATGTGTTAGCCACCCGCCAGCGCACTTCTTCGAACGAGCCTCCCTACAATTCTTCGCCTTGCTGCAACCCCTCCTCGTCCCCCTCCCCGAGCGCCTCTGTGCGCTACGCATCTTATACATCTCCCATTTCTCCCTCGACTCAGCCCAGATCTGCTCCATTTCCTCCGTGATCTCCTTGGCTTTCCCTCTGGCACGTGAAGCACGGTTCATGAGAGCATCCCCAGCTTCATGGAGCCATTTCGCCCCGTTATCCTTGAGCTCCTTTGCACGGCGTTGCGCATGCTCATTACGAGCATTGAAAGCATCTATGATGGCCTCAAGTTCCGGAGCTCTTTGCTCAAACTGCACTGTCGAGTACTGGATAAGCGCATTAGTTTGGGCAATCATGACATGAGCTTGTCGGGAAATGGCTTGGACGAGGGAATCGAGAGCGTCAATGATATCTTGCATGTCAGCATTGACAGCAGCAAGGACAGCAGGCGCATGTGTGTCCACAAATTTGGGAAGATAGTCCTGCAGGAAACTCAGCGTAAGAGTAGATGACGCGAGTGCGGGCGAAGACGGAGTTGGCACTGCCTCTGCCACATGAGGCTTAGAGGATGTCATACTAGGAATGACAGATAGTGAATTGGTGCTTCCTTCAAGAGACATGAGGGAAGAAGTCGGACGAAGGATGACATCTTTGGACAGCTTTAGCTTCTCCGAAAAGGAAGCCGCGCTGCGGAACCCAGATGTCAAGGTCTCATGGGAGATAGAAACAGATGTGGGGTCTGGGTTGAATACTGACAGGGCGAAGTCTTTCAGAGAAGAGTGGATCGATATTGCTGTCGACTCGGTCTTTGCTGGAATCGATTCGTGCGAGCGATTAATGACAGGGTGGAGGAGTGCCCAAAAGAGTGGCGTTGAAGAGGCCGATGCCACGGCAGTGGTGACAGGGGTCGGGGTAACTGCAGGTGCAGCACCTCGGAATGTGGATCCTACCATAACGCCAAGCACAAGCGACACCATGGTAAATCTTGAATCCAAGAAACAAATATATTGAGTGACATCAGTGGTCAATGACAGCAGGACTTACATTGTGAGAGTATGCGGCGAATTGATTGAGAGCTTTACCGATTTCTTCTTACCACGAGAGAAGATGCGATCAAAGGCACGATATGCACGATATGAAAGAAGTCTCTCAATCACATCAGCATCCACAACGCATGGAGCAGTATCGCTAAGCCGAAGGACCCTGTCACCGGGGACATTGAGGAGGTCCCACGCCTCCTGTGCAGAATTGCGAATCGCATCCCCAGACTGAAGACTGTCTATGGCGCAAGGGGCAGGAACAAGGACAGGAAGATATGCTGAATGCTCTGGGAGCTGCAGAGATGAGAATGGAAGGAAAACAATAGCCAAACTTGGGTGACCTGTGGAAAAATCGGCTAATGGCTGCAGGGCGTTGCAATTAATCTTCCGGTGAAGAAGTGAATCAGACCTACATCTTCCATGTCACCTTGCGTCCGGTCGATCACTGTGATGACGCGAGGGTAAAAAATACTCCTGTCCGTTCTACCCTCGATGTGGAGTTGTCGGACAGGACCGTCCATCTCCTCGAGGGGTGTGGCAATGGTAAGACGAGCACCGCGAACAACCTTCTCGAGAAGTGTGGACACAAACGACCATTTATGCGGATAATGAAACCCATAGAGTGAAACATTCAGGTCAGAGTCGAGTAAGGCAGACACTACATCATCAATGGTTGTGGGTGCTGAGGAGCTCCCAGGCGCGTGAAACAGGTCCGGTCCTCCCGGGTCTGTGATATGTACGGTGACATCGGGGTCTGGGCCAGAGAACATGGTACTAGAGGAAGGCGATAATATGTCCTCGCATAAAGTGCTGGAGAGCTCTTCACGGGAGCTGAAAATGGGATCTGGGAAGGATAGGCGCAAGTCGCGCGATGAAGTAATCACAGTAGATGCGTGAACCGAGCTTGAGCGAGAGGAGCTCAGAGTACTGATCATACTCTGATCTAGACCCTCTTTAACACGTTGCTCTTCTGTAACATCACCGGCATTCTCGTCAGTCGGAGTAGTGAAGTGGCCTTGGTTGGAGGCGAGTGGAGAGCCAGACGGACGGACGGTATCGGGTACTACCACCTCGTCGGCACTGTCTTCAATTAAGCCTTCCCAGGCATCAACGTCTCCATCTCTGGAGCTTCCGTAGCTAAACGATGAGCGTCTTGAGCGCGAACGTGATGTGCGTCCTTGATCTGTCCCCCTGGACGAATAGATCGAGTCACTATCAGACTCACGGCCACTGGCAATATCGAGCCACTCAGAGTCAGATAGGCTTTCTACTTCAGAAAGTGTCGAATTGTCAGTGGGTTCATGTGTATGGGCAGGCGAGTGCTTGGGTTGTACAGGATCCATGGTGATCGTTCAATTGAAAGGGGTGGAGGGCTTTTTATTGCCGCTTGCACGCTTGATTGGCTCAATTTGGGTGAAGTGGGCAGGCCACTCTCACGCAGCATGGCTGCGGTCTTTAAATTACCAAGATACATATCAAGGGCTATGCAGCTGCAATGATTGAAAATCCCTCTTTGATTCTGCTTGAAGGCAGAAACCTTTGAGCACCCCGTCACGGTTCTGCTGATAAGTGTCCCGGACGTACTGGTTGCGATTTTCTTATGTCTGACTGGATCGTTTAGAGAACATGCTGTCTTCGACTCACAGGCCCGGGTGAGTCATACACAACGTACTAAGTTCCAGAGTCACACGTTGAACATGCATGGCCGAACACGTAGACGTGTCGTGGTCTGCATACTATAGGATCCGTAGACTAGCATGTCTCCCACAGATCAATCCACGTTGACATGCTGTTGAATCTGCTAGGGGATTGCCTTCGTGAAGTAGCCCTTTATAGAAATGGTTGATAACTTTTCAAGGTGAATTAAGCTCGCGACTGGTGATCGTGCGCCATCATCTCAGTCGTGCCACTGCGATCACCTTTCAATACAATTACGTGGTTCTCTCGAATTCCATCGTGCTTTTCGGGATAGAAATCACATTTGCACTTGGCTTGAGCATTGATGGCTACGAGTAAGTTTGGTGCTCACTCTTCCGTCGCTTTATAAACATCAAGGGTACGCAGATCGGTTAGCATCTACAACGTTTCTCGACTCGTGTACAAGGTGGTGCGCCACTTTCAGCGCCTTGTAGGGAACGCCCCGAACTGGTCGATTTCGGAGATCACAACACGCAAGAATATCATGAGTGTTCTATTCACTGATTTAAAGACTAAGACTATAATTTGGAAGAGGAGAAGCGAATATAATGCTACAAATATCTGTGTACCTTCCACTCGTCCATACTGTCAAAAATAGTGTACTTGAATTGCAACTTACGTGGCCTCAAGTTACCCCTGTGCAGATGACGAGAAGCTAGTCTATACGTAAGCCACGTGATGCGTTGGAAGTCATAAATTTACACTGCCACTGCAATCGTGATCATCTACTAGAAGTCACCACACGAGCAAATATTGGCAGGACTTGCGACAAGCTTGCGACGTTTCCTTTGGACAGTTTGCTACCACCCCTGCTCATTTTCCAAAATATCTGGCTTCCATCTAATCTCCTCGTGTTTCAATCCAATTGACCGCGAGCACCCGGG